AGCTCTAGCGCAGCATTGAACTGACCTGGACCCCTAGAATGCCCATATCAGCATGGGCAATGCTTGAAATAACAGATCTGGGCAGCTTACCAATTACAATCTTGAGAGTCTCACACAACGAGCTCTGAAAGCAGCTGAAAGTCTGCCCTCTTCCAACCGCAGCTTTCCCAAGTGTCAACGCAATACATTTGAGTCTTGTGACGGACGTATACAAGCAAAACATACCATCACTTGTTTTCATTGCTGACCGCCGCCCTGCGAAAGATCAGCTTCGCGACGCGATTGGTGAGTGCCACGAGATTCGACGACCAGGCTATTGGGCCGTTGGCTGCAAACAAGACAAGGCCGGTTGTAGATCTCCTTGGATCGAGACGTCTTGTGAAGTCGGTGTCGTATTGGCCGGCGGCGATATCAAAGCTCCGTAACTCGCTGCCGTTGGTGTTTTGGTGGGCATGATACATGATGCCGTGGCTGAGGGTGATCCGGAGATATGGGAATGCTCGCTGAAGCTCTCGTATGTGTGGCGGCGTATCTCAAGAGCTTGCCAAGTGCAAAAGCTAGGTCAGGCATACTTTGCAACACGCGTTACATGGATGCTCCCAATCCAGAGGGAAGACGTCCACGCTTCCATACCATGAATCGGAATAAGATCCTTGAATTCGTGCATACTCTTTATATCTCCACAGGAGTGAGGGACTCCTCAGCGCCCGCGTTAGGATCGATGCAAGTTACAACGGTGGCCAAGGCACTCAGGCATTGCCATTGGCTGCAGACAAATGATGTCAGTCTTTTCATCTCTAAGCGAGAGGCTTCGGTACTGACATACCGAGTGGACTGACAGAGAAGGAGGCGATGCTTACTTTGTCCGCGTGCCAGCCAAAGACCGCTGCAAAATTGAAACATTGGTAATGGGAAGCGGCAGTAATCAAGACGGATTTCGGGACCTGAGCGATGTGTTGCTGAGCGATGTTGGTGGTGTGTATGGCAGATAGTTAGGCTTCACCCTAGAGCCAACATCCAGTGTGGCAGGCATATGTACTGGGCTCGTAGACCATAGCAGCAAAGCTAGTAAAAGAAAATGGGGCAGAAAACCAAGCTGAAATGCCGAAGTCTAGCCCGCTCGCTGTGGGCGCAGGGCAGGTAGAAGGACACGTCAAGGCGGACGCAGGATAGCTTTGGGTTATCACAAGTGAGTTTTTGCACCCGGCGCGAGACGATGACCAATTGTCGTATTGTTCGCTTTCAGGGGCCACGTCTGTTGGATCTCAAGATCAAGGTCTTAGGCAACGTCTGTGAATTCTGTCCATGTGCCCTCCTTGGTCTCGTATGTCCGGAGGCATGGTCCTCCAGATCGTTCCTCGAGGACCCGCATTATGACAGGACATGAAATGTCGTTGTGGTGGTTATTAACAATCAGCTATGAGCGGCGGGTTTCATATCAACCGTCATACGCGCCGCACAGTAAGTGAGGATAGTGTGCATCTTCACCGGGATCGTTGCGGGGTCGGTTGAATAGGTCTTGAGGGCCAGGCGGGGTCTCATCTCATCCGTAGCCTTGCCCTGCCTCTTCGAGGCTGACCTTGGCATGGTCCGGGCGTACAGCCGGTCGAAAACAGGCCTTTTGTAGGCGACGTTATCTAGCACTCCAGATGTTAGCGCGTGTTGTCCAACGTGGGTTCGACCCCAAGTGCGAGATGGGAAGCTCACTTCACTATATTCGGTTCCCGCCATCTCGCTTGCCTCCATTTGCGTCCATAAGATCATGCCGCAGGGCCACCGACGTCCAGAAGGATGTTGAGTATACTTCAGACTGTCGAATATCGTCTTCCAGGCCGTTGTTCGCGTGCCATCTTAATTCGGGACGCTCTCCCCGAGGTTAGGGATGTAAAGAGATTGGTCAGAAGCTTCTTTCATTTGTTGGTGTAGTCAGCGACACAAAACCAGAGATAGTATGAGCATGCAATGCAGCAACCGGGGACCGCGGCAAGACGGTCCAGATTCAGGCCATGATACAGGCGGGCATCGACCGGTAACATCTCCACTAGGAGCCGAGTCAGTTGGGTTTGTGCACAACGCACTAAAGAATACCGAACACAGCACATAAGCCTGTATTGGACGCCCGCATGGAATATTGGGAGCTCCACTGTAGAGGCCATACGTGCCGTCAACTTCGTGCAGGGCTTCCACAAAACGCGCCCTCGTTCTCCACGTATACAGACTGAAAGGTGCCTGCTGAGCGACTTCACGTTGGGTCATTCCAATAACGCTGTACCCAGCCAGGACCACTGTATTGGACGAATGTGGAAATATCGCTGGGACCACCAGCTCACCATCTCGACTGGCTCCGATCGGCGCCGCGGACCATGTCCCAGAGCAGGCCTTCGCTCGACTGTAGCTCCAACTATGTTCCGTCAAGAGTCAAAAGTCGCAGGCAGCCGTTTCTTTGGATGCTCCGCACACCTCGGAAACGCCCAATATGCGTCGGCTGGGTTGGTCCTGCGACAGCAAGACCCGGGACATGCCCGACACACACCGCCGCCATCCCAGCTTTGACATGGGGGACGACCCCAGGCGAGCTGGAGTTCCACCTCAGCAGTGTCCATGCCGTCGCGCGCTTTGACATGAGCAGTATGTCTGAAACAGTGCATGGGCGATCGGGATGTTTTCTCGCCGGAATTGTGCTGGCGGCATATTGTGATGAGCTGGAGCGTAAAAGGTCAGTCTGTATATGAGAACAGCAGGGATGACAGTTCTGACGCAGCATATCATAAATCCAGGAACAACACCTGTTGGAAATTCTCCTGCGAAATGAATCAGCGCCATCGATCCCCATCCACCGTGGAAGGTTTGAATTGAAATTACCAGCAAAGCCTGAGTGCTTCCAGAACTCAAAGCCCCTCCAGCGTGAGACGATAACAGCCCTCGTGCAGAATCCACAAGCTCTCTGCACAAATACCTGTCGCATGGTTTTCCTAGATACCCCTGTGCTAGCTCTTCGCGTACCAAGATTACTACAGGCAATGTTGATATCACACCCCTGTCACTATTTATCGTCGCCAGTTGAGAGAGACAAAAGCCCCCGGCGCAACAGGTACTCAGTTCAAAGACTTTTTGGCCATCGTCACTGGAGGACCAGAATCACCGCAACATGCGGCTGCGAGGGCAGCATACGGCTGCCAGCTCTTTTGCATGCGACTGTGACTGTCACCATAGTGACACGAGGACATGGGATTGAAGATTTGGAAAAAGGGCGCATGCCCCTGCTCCCTCCATCTCAAACGTTCGTTTGTTTTGCCCAAAGCCGTCCGCGTAGTCACACACTCCCTTGACGATGATTGTGGGAACAAGTCCCCACGCCTTCGTCCCCCATTCCAAGACTTTGCTGGTTCTTCTCAAAGTCTTTGGCAAAGTCACAGGCAGACCTGACAATCATGTCTTGGCGATGCAGTGATTGTCGGAACACAACCCCATGCCATGCCCCCTGGGGCCGGAGAGGATGCTGACGCGGAAATTGGAAGAAGGACGAGAAGACCAGAGGCTTTAACATCTCGGACGTGCTCAGAAAGTTGAATGTTCCCTGCGTCTCAAACTCCTCTCCATCCCTTGTGCTTGTGAGTATCGGCATAGTCGCAGACTCCCTTGACGATGATCGTGGGAACGGTGGTCCCACGCCCTGGCATCTTCCATTTCGAATCACCATGTCGCTTCCGTCTCGTAAATATGACAATCAGCACAATGAGACGCAAAACATGCTTTGACGATTATCGTGGGGAAACGACCCCAAGCTCCCCGCACCCTCATCTCGACAATCACCTTGCGATCCGTGGTGAAGCCCAGATCCTTTGGGATGTCTGCCTGTTGAGATGAGGCGAGATGACTCCGCCGTAAACAACAAACCAAACGTGGAGTCTCTGCCTTGCATGCAGTTCGGCGATGATCGCGACACTAGGCTTGGTTTCAGCAAGAGCATCACCATGCTTGACGGGGCTGTAGGGGAAAATAATGGCGGTACATACCTAGTAGTTTGTGATCATCGCAAAGACTTTCCTGCACGCCGCGCTGAAGTGGTGGTCTGGTTTCATCCATCAGGGCGAAGATGGCTGTTTTACCACCCTCGACTCGACGCCCCAGCTTGCCACCTCATTTCTTCATGCTTCAAGGGTTCAATACACGGACCTGGTTTGGGCGTGAGCATCATCGACAGAGGCAGGGGTGATGCAAATGAACCTGCACAGCAGACGGCCACTGGCGCTGGATCAGCGGTATCTCCCGGGGGAAATAATACATCGCTGTCTCTGGCTCGCCTGCGCGGAGTGCAAATGAGGATGGTTTGGTGAGTTGTGGTGGGTCGCGCTTTCTTCTGGTGATATGTCAGCTGTGACAATGACCGATGACAGGGAAGAATCTAAGAAGATGCCTGCAAGGAAACCAAAGACTGTCCACTAATGTCGGTGGTACATACCATTCATCATTCGCTCGCTTACAAAGTGCTGTATTCCACTTCGACCAAGGATGACAGCTGCAGCAAACTCTGGGAGTTTCTCCTATTCGATGTATCAGCAGATATACCAAGATAAAAAGGCGCGAGGCATGCGAGGGCGATGGAAGCAGCAGGAAGACCACTCACAAATGTTAATGACATATCCAACACCACCACGATGCATCCCGGAGACTTTCATTGGTGATCGGCAAACTATGAAAAGCGGCGAACCTGTTTGGCAAGATGATGTTACACGGTGCCATCAAGGTCTTCGCGGCCCGGGACATTTGTTCTCAACGACATGGCCGGGGCTGCCATGCAGAAACTATAATCGGGAGTGAAGCTCGGATAGGAAGGTGGTGTGGGTGGCGGGGGCTGGTGTTGGAGTAAGATGGAGCCGTCGCATCAGATAAATGAAGAGTAAATGGATGCAACAATATATACAAGCGAAGAGAAATAGGACGAGGCGGGAAAAAGCAACAAAGAAAAGTATGTACACGAAGGAGATGATAAAGAAATCTGCCGGGGAAAAGAAGAGGATATTTATGCCTTTCTACTCTACTTGCAAAACCCCATCTCGACCTCGTCAAGTCGCAGCATCCTGGCCATCTACAAACGACTTTGATGCATCCCCCACGACCTCGCTGGCAGCATCGACCGTCATGGCCCCTCCGCTCTGCATTCCAGCAAACGGCGAACCCCGACCGCCCAAAAATTAGCCCTGACCACATCTCAACGGACCGGTCACTCGACTCTCGCCAGTTCATCAGGCCACTTCCTGCAAAGCAAAGCGATGCAATGCAATGCAACATACCCCCAAGCTAGAGATAACGCGATTCCAAAATGATCCTCTTGCTCCGAAACAGCCAGCGCAAAAAGGCCGAGCCAACCTCGGCCTCGCAAGCACGCGCCCAGCATTCCGGCGCCGATCCCTGCGGACCCCTGACGATCAGGACCCAGCGCAGCCAATGACACTACAAGACCAGAGACTCAGGTGGACACGCCCAGACATTACTGGATGCTTGCTTGTTTGAAGCCCCGTCTTGGCCAGCCACTCGCAGTAGCGCTGCGACATTGCAATCGCGGCCCTAGACTCATTCAAGCAGGTGATATTCCGGCCATTGCATTGTCCGGTGGAATCTGGATGGCTGACGAGGGTGAGATAATATGTGGGGAGATGACAACAATGGGTTATGTTATCATGCGATCTGCGTTTTAAAGGGCGAGGCTGCCCCTTGTTCTTGGTTTCGAAGCATTCTGCGATTCAGCGCTTCGACCTGCTTCAGTGACAAGACACCTGGTTGTGTCTGTCTGCCTGGTCACCACCATGCGCTTCCCCCTCTCTCGTGCGACCCTCTCCCTCGCGGGACTGGCTGCCCTCGCTGCATCAGTCTCCGCAGAGGCGTTTGAGCGGCTGAGCGCTATCCCCGATGGTACGTACAAACCGTAGTTTCTCCGTTTACCATCGTCACCTTCACTTCCATCACCACCACCACGAATACAGCAACGCCCCGTGTGCAAACTAACAACACACACAGGCTGGAAAGTTGCTGGCACCCCCGCAGCAACCCAACCGCTGCGCCTCCGCATCGCCCTCAAACAGCACGACGTCACGGGCTTCGAGCGCGCCCTCCTTGACATGAGCACACCCGGCCACACAAACTACGGGCGGCATTTCCGCTCCTACACCGAGATGAAGGAGCTCCTCCTCCCCAGCAACGACGCCGTCTCCACCGTCGAGGACTGGCTCTCCGCCGCAGGCGTCACAGACTTCGAGACGGACGCCGACTGGGTGAATTTCCAGACCACAGTCGGCGAAGCGAATGAGCTGCTTGATGCGGATTTCTTGTGGTACACGCATGCCGATACAGACCTTGATGCGGTCGCAAACGCCAACACGCGCGATGTGCGCAAGGTCTTGCGAACGTTGAGCTACAGTCTGCCCGAGGCCATCGCCCCGCATGTCAACATGGTGCAGCCCACGACGCGGTTTGATAGCCTGCAGGCGAACCGCGCGACGATGCGGTCCAGGCCCGCGCTGGATATCGATACCAGTCGGCTGACGACTGCGGTCGCCCAGGGCGACCTGGAGCACTGCAACGACGTGATCACGCCCAACTGCCTGGCGGACTTGTACAACACCGAGGGGTATACCGCGGACGCGCGCAGCGGGAGCAGGATTGGGTTTGCGAGTTTCCTCGAGCAGTACGCGCGCTACGACGATCTGGCCAGGTTCGAGAGAACGTACGCGCCCGGCGCCGCGGGGCTGAACTTCTCCGTCGTCACCTTCAACGGCGGGCTCAACGACCAGTCCTCGTCCGAAGACAGCGGCGAAGCCAACCTCGACCTGCAGTACATCGTCGGCGTCAGCCACCCACTCCCCGTCACGGAATTCTCCACCGGCGGCCGCGGCAAACTCGTCCCGGACCTGTCGCAGCCAGACCCCAACGACAACTCCAACGAGCCGTACCTCGAGTTCCTGCAGGGCGTGCTGAAGCTCGACCAGGATGCCCTCCCGCAAGTCATCTCGACGAGCTATGGCGAAAACGAGCAGACGATCCCCGAAAGCTATGCGCGCGCCGTCTGCAATCTGTACGCGCAGCTCGGGTCCCGCGGGGTGAGTGTGCTCTTTTCATCGGGGGACAGCGGCGTAGGATCCTCGTGCGTGACCAACGATGGGAAGAATACCACGCACTTCCCGCCCCAGTTCCCGGCGTCGTGTCCGTGGGTGACCTCTGTCGGCGGCACGAATGGGACGGCGCCCGAGGCCGGCGTGTATTTCTCCTCGGGGGGGTTCAGCGACCTGTTCCCGCGGCCGAGCTGGCAAAACGCCGCTGTCTCGGGGTACCTCTCGCAGCTCGGGAACGTGCAGAGCGCGTACTTTAACCGGAGTGGCCGCGCCTTCCCGGATGTCGCCGCCCAGGCCACAAACTACGCCGTCTACGACAAGGGCGTCGTGAAGCTGTACGACGGGACGAGCTGCTCTGCCCCGGCATTCAGCGGGGTCATTGCGCTGCTCAACGATGCGAGACTCAAGGCCGGCCTGCCTGTTTTGGGTTTCTTGAATCCGTGGCTGTACTCTGCCGGTGTTGCTGGGTTGAATGATATCGTGCATGGAGGCAGCCTGGGGTGTGACGGGAATGACCGGTTCAATGGGCCGCCGAATGGGAGTCCTGTCATCCCGTTTGCGAGCTGGAATGCCACGGCTGGGTGGGATCCTGTTACGGGGTTGGGGACGCCGGATTTTGCCAAGTTGAAGGGGATTGCACTTGCTGCCTGAGGCGGGGTACGTCTATGAAGTAGAACAGAGGGGATGAAATCTTTTTAGACGCTTGGATAGGTGCAATGTAGATCTTGGAGTTTCGTTTCTAGATAGAACAATGATCTTCATTCGCTGTATGCTGCATTTCTCGTCGATCGTGTATCATGTATCGGAGCTCGTCTCATACAAGTCTACGCTCAACTCACCAGGTGCGCCAATACTGCCATCATTAGCCATTCGCCCACATCGCAGGATCAATATGGCAAGAGAACTCACCGAAGCCCTGTACAACAAGCACCCCCCACCCAAATCTCCCACTCCAACTCCTCACCGCAGCCCCATCATCATCCACCGAGGGCTGGGCAGGCGCAATATAACTCGGCAACCCCGGATCCTCAACCGGCCCATCATCCAGCCCCTCCCCCTCCGTCCCATTCCGCTCACTCGCAACAAGCGCCGAGACATTCGCCGTGGATCCCGATCCGCCACTGGCACTCGTACTCTCCCTATGAATCTCAACCTCATTCGGAGCAACCAAAAACCCCGCCCTCTCCGCCTCCTGTATCCCCGCCCACCAAACCGCCGCCATCGCCCGATACCCGTCATCATCCGGATGCGTCCCGTCGACGAGATACTCCGAGCCGACGAAATAGCTCATCTCGGCAAGGACCACGCGGTCGCCGGCCGCGCGGCGCCGCGCAGCGACGTTGCGGTATTCGCCGCTTATCCGCTGCACGACGCGCTGCGCGTGTGTGTTGGCGATGAGCGTCGAGAGGATTATGGTCGTGTTGGGGATTGCGGTGAAGAGGTCGCTGAGGAGGGTGTCGATGCGGGATCCGGCGCCGCGGATTGCGCTGTTATGGAGGGCGTCGTTTGTGCCGGCGCTGTCTGTCTGTTAGCATCCCATCTCGGCGTGTAGCTTGTAGGCCTGGAGGTGGAGGGAAACAAGGGGTAGGTCCGCACTTGATCAAAATAACATTCGGCTGCATACCGACCGAGCGAGCGGCGGCTGCGGCGATCTGCTCAATGGTGTCTCCAAAATGACCTTCGTTTTGCTGCACGGAGAAGAGCTCGTCAGCTTGGCCACATACATATCGAACCATCCAGACCATCCGTGGCATATCACATCATATGAACCCATCCACCAATGGTACAACCGAATCCCAATTAGCCGGATAGAGGTGACGTACATTATCCTTCATCGTCCCATTCGTCAGACTCCCCACCATATCGACCCCCCACCCCGCATAGCGCAGCTGCTCCCGCAGCGGCTTGCGATACCCATTGCCGTCGCTCGACTGGTACCCGACTGTTATCGATGCGCCGAGGGGCATGACGCGCAGTAGAAAAGGTTTAGAGTCGCGGGCCGCGAGGGAGTCGCTATTCGTGGTTGCGACGGCATTGCTGTGGCGGGGAGGGAATAGGCTGTAGGATGCGGCGCGGGGCGTGAGCAGCGACAGGAGGGTGAAGAGTGTAAGATAGAGTGCCGATAGCGAGTGTCGAGCGGGAATTGATGTCGACGGCATCGACGCCGAAGCCGATCGCCGCATTACTACCGAACGGTCGTGGTTAGTGCTGGACGGTGACTGTGGGGAGGGAACTTGTCTGGAATATAAGCGGCTGCCAGCTACAGTGCTGCCTGCAGGGCACAAAGAAAGGTGAAACCGTCGAGGCAGTGCACCCAAGACTGGCCGGACCCTGACTCGTTTCGGACCCTCTGTGCAACAATTGGCGATATGTCGCGCGAATGACGTTCGCCCTTGCTGACGGGGAAGTTGGAGATGGAAGAAAAGAAAGAGGAGCCGATCTCAATCTGGACAGGCCGATGACACCATTTGTGGCTGCTGTGTTTATCCCCGATCGCTCATCGTTGCCGGGAGACCGCGCTAAGAGTGCACTAGTGGGCGCTAACTGGCGCTAACTGGGGACAGAACAAGAATTGAGGAAAATCATTGGCCGGCCTGTTTTGGCTTTTTTCGACGCCGCTGGTTGCTGACTGGTCGCGTCATCATGTCCTCAGAATGTGCTAAGCTGCCTGCATTGTAGTGTTGCCTGGCTCAGCCTCACTCCAAATGCTGTTCTCCGCGGCAAGGAATTTGGGTTGGGACATGTGGCTACAGGTGTCTCCCTTGCGTCGTGGAAAAGTTCATCCCCTGTCACGCGACTCCCTTCCTGCTTAACATCCAATTGACACAAATATATCTCCTCGGCGAGACAAATTAACTATGAGAGGCTCCAGGTCTGCCCCCATTGCGCAATTCTCAACCGTGAGGAGTATATCAATGCAATTGAACATGATGCGATCTGAGCCGGATGACCGTCCGAATGAGCCAATCATCCTGTAGATCACCGGCGGATAACGAGGTTTAGATGGGTAGAGAATATATCGGTACCAAGGTCCATATCCTGCACCACGCCCGATCTCATCGCGAATAAGCCTTCTGCATATACTCCTCTTCGATAAGAAGCAAGGCCGCCTGAAGTTCAACCCCACTCTCATGTCGAACAACGATCGGCATCAGATCAGTGGTGCTCAGCCACGTCCCAAGACATCGTCGTCGCTAGCCTCCACGCCCTGCTTGGATGCTCAAGCAGATGGATCAGCGCGCCTCCGAGGCGGTCACATTGAGAGATCTGGGATAACAATAGAGGGTCCCCGGAAATACGCATCTCTGCTGTCGGCCACGGGATTCGGTAATGAACTTTCCTGGATACTCGGGTTAGGGGGTTTTGCAGCACGGATGCCAGCGGACAGGTCTGAGGGCGTACTGCACTATACGGAGTGCCCTAGTTGGCTCTCGTTCTGACAGTTTCTCGTTGGGAAATAAAAACCCTAAGTTATGCAGAACCTATGAGCGCTATCGGAGGGGAACGACGACGAAGCTTACAAGGAGGAATAAAAGAATCGAAAGGTGCGATTCATTGAATAACTTGAGCGAGCGACTGGGTTAAATACAGGAGAATGGGAGAAGAGTTAGACCAAAACAAGAAGTCGAGGTCCCCTCGCAGGAACAGCAGATTCTGCAGATGTCCCCGTGATACAGCTTCATCACCGTAGGACTGCATGAGGTTGATGGAGCCGGCCTCTACATGAGCGATTTATCGACCAACCACTGTATGCAGGTTCCTGGATGTGTGACCACGGCATGCAGAAATATTGGAGTTGTGTGGCCAGAGTAGTATGACTCCGAGCGCTCGACAAGGTAGTGTCCATTACTGGCTTGACCGAACGAAGCATTTGCATCTACGGAGTACAATTCATGCCGTCTGCCCGTCTCGTACATATAGATTGTCAACCTTGACCTTGGGTTACTCCCGCCTGTACCGCTGTTAACTGGTGCCCATTTCTGTACGTGGAGATGTGTTCTTGTGGAAAGGCATAGGCTGGTTACTTGAGCGAGGTCAAGTTGCGGTATTATATGGGTACCTCGTATCATTGGGACTTGGTGAAATGGCTAGTTGAATGGGATGCTACGACAATGGAAGCCCCGAGGTCGTGCGCGTGGCGCTATGCTGGGCTGGGGAGTGTCGGGGCGGTCCACGGATCATTTCGTCTTTCAGTTGAGGGTCACTTGTACTCTAGTATATCTCTATTCGTGGTCCGAGCTTTGAGGGCCTACTGTCAGCCAGTGGGTATATGCTGATTATGAATGTGTGCTGGGTCTATTGGCCATGCAAGGTCAACTGTCTACCTGGAGTTTCCGCGTAGTACCTATACTAGGATACGCACTCAAGAACAGTACATCAAACAAACAAGGGGAATATTCGAGCCTGGTAGAATATTAGAGAAAAGCCCCGTGTGAGACGAAAAGATCTGCCCCACGCCTCTGGTAATCCCACTCCGCGCACCTCATTCACTACAAACCTCCAGCATACGTCAAAGTTAAAGTCAAGAAACCCCATACTGCAGCCGCCAGCTATACTGACGCAGGATCTTGTCGATTCTCCGGTCATGGTGCGGGTGCTCGACCATCAAAAGATGCTCAGCCTCACGCAGGCAAACCCCCTCATAGGGCCAAGTCCCACCACGCGCCTCGACTGCCTCGAGGATCATCCGCAGTGTACGTATATCCCGGCACAACCGGACTATAGCGTATCCTCTCGAGTACAGCGGATTCGCACCTGCGTCAAGCAGGATCCGCAGCAGGTCAGGCAGCGCGCTGCAGTCCCGGTGCCAGCAGTACGCGGATTCGAATCTGCTACCCCGCCGGTGGTGGCACTTGTAGTCCGGAATCGAGAACAGGGCGTTGTCAAGCTCGGACTGAGGGGCGCCGCGGTCGAGGAGCCATTTGATCGTTTCCTTTGGATTCGCATTGGGGGTTCCCAAAGATCCCGCCGCCGCGGTGAAGAAGAGATTGCGTTTTGGATTGGGAAAGGGGATGCGGAACCCCTGTTTGCGGAGGAGGTCAAGGAGCTCGGTTTGATTTGAAGCTACGGCGTGGTTGATGGCCTGCTCGAGCTCTCCTTCGCTCTTGCCCTTTGGCGAGAGGAGATCGTCCCAGCGGCCCTGCTGGAGGAGCCACTCGAAGACGCGCTTACCTCCACGTACGGCGAAGAGAAGCAGGCTATCTTCTCCCTGTATATCCTGTACTATGTCTAGGCCGCAGTCTAGCAGCATCTGGATCTCACTGGTGCTCCCTGATGCAATCACCGGACCGGCTATCGATTTGCCTGCTTTCTTGCAGAGCAACGGGTCTGCACCAGCCTGGAGTAGCCTGGAAAAGATCGACTCGAAGGGGATGGCTAGAGGTAGTACAGGATCTATGCCCCGGTGTCGCCCGCCCAGCTTACCAGATGGATCGGCCCCTGCGTCTAGTAATAGGTCGACAACTTTTCCGTGCCCGTTGCGGGCTGCTTCGGGTAAGGGCAAGGCCACATGGCGGTTGGACATAAGAGGAGGTGGGTAGAGGTCAGCCCCATGATCCAGCAAGAGGGAGACAATGTCGACATGACCCCTGGAAGCCGCCCAGCACAGCGCGGTTGGATATTTGTCGGCCGAGAAATTGCGCTGATCTGTCCATGTGCCGCTGGGATGGTAGCGACGGTTGTCCAGCAGATCACGGACAAGGTCCACCTTGTTGGACATGGCTGCCGCGGCCAGAAATGCGCCCTTGTCATCGGGAACTTGGACCAGGCGGAGATAATCAACGGTTTCGAGAAGATAGTCGAATACTTTTGGGTGTGACTTCTCTGCAGCCCATAGTATGGGCCACATGACGTCCCTGTCGAGCTCGCCCCGCGGCTCTCGCCTTGTAGAGCCCAGGACGCCTCGGCTAGCGAGCATCTTTACGATGTCCAGATGTCCGTTCCGTGCGGCGCAGCAAACCGGGGTGCCGTCAACCGCATGCCGGACGGTTGGATCGGCCCCATGCTCAAGCAAGAACGCTACGACACCCGTGTGCCCTAGTTTCGCGGCGCTGCCCAACAGATCCTTTCCGTGCGCAATGGGGCAGGACACACCTTTTTCCTTCTTGTAGAGTCCCATCAGCAAAGGCAGCATGTGGGCATGACCATTCGCCGCCGCCCTTGAAAACAACTGGCCCGACGGATGGAGATACAGGAACGGCCCGTGCGGCCTCTCTGGATATCGAGGCCTGATTTCCGCGCATTCCGTGTCCCAGCTCAAGTCCACGCCGCGATGCAACAGAAGTCGAAAAGCCGCCTCGTTCCCGTGCATCGCCGCCAGAGCTGCGGGGCGCTGCTTTCGCTCTCGCCCGTCGCGCCCGTCGCACGCGTTCGGAGAAGCGCCTGCGTCTAGGCTCCGGGTAATGGTGGCCATGTTCTTATTGATGATTCCCCAAGCGAGTGCGCTGCTGTTGCCGTGGCGCACATTGTGCTTGTAGAGGAAGGGGCCGAGCAGATTGTAGAGGAATCTGCACGTCCGCGACAGTGAATTGATCTCGTCCTCGTACTCGAGCAACTCGGCGATCTCGGTGAGCAGTTCGATGGGCAGGTGTATTAATGGCATCGGGGCGATAGAGATAAGTGCACTCGGATGGACAAAACTACTCGTGGGAAGTGCAGTGCGTTCATGTTTTGGCTCGCGACGCGGCGGGCGCTCCTTCCCCGCATACGAGCTGCCAGTGCCCAGCCCGACTTTGCCCTTGTCCTCGCAGTCGGTCACCACCCGATCAGGGACTGTCTGGAAGGAAACAGGAAGATTGAAGAGGAGAATGAGAGTTCTGAAAGGCTGGAGCTGGGGACATTTATCAGGCAGCGAGGTGTCCACCTGGAATCCCAGGCAGTAGCTCTGTGCCTGGACTAGCGGGGGCGCAGGCAGCCACGGGGGCCTACGCGAATGAACCAGGTTAAAAGGCGCCAGCTGCTCATCCTCTTGTATTCTATCCATCGCCCATCATGACAAAACGCTCAATTGACACCGAGTCCACTCCCCCGGCCCCCCGCCGGGTCAAACCGACGCCGATCGAATTTCGCCCATTCACAGTCGCCAACGTTATCGACGGAGAGATTGTCCATCAAACCGCCATCGCGCTGCACGGGGAATGCCCCATCTTCGACTATGCCCACGAAACAAATTTCGTCTCGGTCTCTGTAACCGACGCCTTCAACCAGTCCCAGCCAGTCCAGCACTGGCCCCTGCACGCCGGTAAATGGAGTGCCCTTGCAATGCTCGCCCCTGGTATCAGCACCATCAACCTAAAGCTCCACCACGCATCCGGCGTCTACGACTCGGTAACAATCTCGCTCAACTACGTTCCGCTGTTGCAACTCCCTCCGCTGCATCTGGCTATTATGGTCGCCAAAGACTCGCCGTTACTCATCGACTGCCCGCCCGCCAAGCACGGCGCGTTCGCAACGGCGCACAGCGATGTCAACGCCGCTGTCGCCAAGCTCCGCATGGCCGCGTACATGTGGCAGGCTCTGACAGCCGAGGACTTTCGTGAAAAGGGCCTGGGCCGACGGTCGTTCCGGCTGGATGAGGAGTGGGGGAGCACCACCACTTTGCGCACCACTCATAGTCAAGCACAACGCGGATCATCGGCGTCAATGGGCGCCGTCGCAAAAGTGCACATCGTCCGGTCCGACAAGACCGTCGCGGAGATTCGCGATGCCCAGGTAGCGCAGCAGAATCCGCGTGGCCGGAATCGGGAGGCTCTACACCAGTACTTTGAGTCCGCCCTGGCTGCCTCTGGCATCCCCGTGTTCCAGTCGGGCACCCGCCCTGTTGTCGCCGGGTTAATCCTCGATGCGCATTACTCCGCTGAGCAGAAGCTCATCCTCGGGCATGCGGCGCTGGGATGCCACAAGAGTGACGGAGTGTCGCTGGGGATCTTCGGCAGCCACCTGACATACTCATGGCCGCGGTTCCTCGAGGAAGTCCCCGCGTGCCTGGTCGATCAGACCGCAACGGGCGATAGCGTCGGCAACGACAACGGGGAATGCGACACGATGCGCGGCGCCTGCTTCGTCGGACAAGGCGCATTCCTACACGAGGTCGGCCATGCGTTTGGGGCCGGGCATACGACAGGGATCATGGCGAGGGGGTATAGCCGGGCGTGGGCGATGAACTTTATCGAGGATGAGGGGAATGCTGGGATGAAGAATGAAGCAAAGTGGGATTTACGCGACGTGCTCAAGTTCAAGCTGCTGCCTCATTTTGCCTTACCTGGGGATGAGTATCCTGTGACTGCGGAGTTTAGGCAGGCTGGAGTGACTATTGCAGTTGATGCAGAAGTCGACGTTGATGCAGGTGAGGGTGTCGATGAAATCATCAAGGTGTCGTGCAAGGCAGGACTTGCGCGGGTTTCTGTCCAGACCGGCACCGACGAGCCCAGAGAGTATTTTAGTGATATCACCGGCACCTGCACAGCCTTCAGCATCAACACCACGACCGAGGACCTCGACCGCAGCAAAGCACTGAAGATCACAGCCCTAGGCATGAACGGCAAGGAACGGGTAACCAAGAACGCCTGGAGCCTCCTGAGAGAAAAGCCCTACATCTCCATCCCGGGCAGCAACATCATCCTGAACAAACAATCCGTGCACTCGAACAGTTTCGAGGCCGACAACAACGACAATGACGACAATGACGACGAAGGCTACATCCGCTGGGCCATGCTTCTCCACAACCGCGGCAAAGACGGTGCCCTCCACCGCGCGACTTCGATCGACCTCCGCGTTGGATGTACCATGGACGGCGCAGTCGTCTACTACGCCGACGGCTCGCATCGGAACTGCGGTCCCGGAGGCGGACACTCCTTTGGCGGACATGCGTCTGAAAGCCATAATCTCCCCGAGGGCGAAACAATCCGCAAGGTCGTGATCTGCAAGAAGGATGACGGGTGGGGGAGTCTAGCGGGGATTCGCATGACTTTGGGGAACGGGGAGGCGTGGGGCCACCTGAACTATGGTAACAGGGATTACGATGACGAGGATGAGGACGATGAGGATGACAGTGAACATGGAGCGGAGGAGTCTGATAGCGAGGCCGTTGTCACCCTTGCACCCAGTGACGACGAGGAGATTGTGGGATTCTACGGGCAGAGTGCAGCGGGGTCCGGGTTCACCTATCAGTTTGGGATTTTGACGGCGCCGAGGGGGATAGTCTTGCCTGATGCTGTTTACGATTTGCCAGAGTTTATTGAGGTCTAGTGATGTAATCCAGTCTCTTCTTGGGGTTCAGTCGAACTGATATGGGTTTTGAATCAGGAACAAGCGGTTAAGACCTGGACTCAAAATACAAGAAATAAGCGAATACCTTTAGTTCCAAAGTCCCCGTATCTTATCAAGACTTTGTTCAATGGCCTGCGAGGCTATTTGAAGGGCTAGGAATATGTGAAAAAGACCATTCGTGGTTGCGAGGAATAGCCAGAATACATAGGTTCTCAAGTACACTACGCAATGTCCAGCCAAACTGCATCTTCGTATGTTCCCGAGTGTGTTAGCTTGGAAGAGAGGCAGTTTCCACCACCATTGCCATATGAGGCAGCATTAGAGTGCTGTCTATACTCAAAGACAGTACATCAAGGGGACAAGCTATAAATAGCCCTAACCGGGGTTGTTTCGCGTGGAGTAGTCCTGTCACAATCTATAGACTCAGCCCATTAGCCCGCTGATGAATTCGCCACGTACCGTACATGACTTAACATTCTCCTAGCAGTATCTAGATAGTCATTCCATGGGATACTCTCTCAATCATAGCCTTGCTGTCATCCAGGCTCTTTTCGACATCGTGGTCAAACACAGACTCTTGAGATTATTTATGCTCCCTAACTTCAACGGTATTCCACCAACAAACCGCCAGATCCCGAACTCCTCGATATCCCTTGTGCCTCCACTCAATCTTCCTTCCAGCCTGGGGCCCTGGAACCGGAGGCCCATTTCTGTGTAGCCCCCGCCAAGAACACCTTAAGAGCTAGGCTTGGGCCCCAGGAACTCCAGCCTCCAGGCGCGCAATGCATTCTCTCCTCTGTCGGAAATAAAACCCGCCCAGTTCACCTCCCTCTACTTAAGTATCTCAAAAGTACCCTTAGAATGCCCGATCCCCTATCCCTTCCCCGCGAGATCGTTCTGCGCGTCTTCCACTAAGTGGACCAGGACCGGCGCAAGAAGCTCCGCTTCACTAGCGCGTTGTCAATTGAGATTTGACGGTGCTCGCCATTTCAGACAATTACACTCAGCCCAACGAAGGCGAATTGGCAGGAATTCCAGAATATTCCGGGTGATAGTGTCCTCGGGGGGTCTGTGAAAAAGGTTTCTTGATACTGCGAGGGATGATGTGGGTTTTGCCTGGCCACGGTGTTTTGTTTCCAAGGGATACTGACCCAGTATAGGATGAAGACGATGATGAGTGCATGGCAATCTCGAATGGAGAAGGTGGACAAGTCCAGCATCAAGACCAAGGCGATCTCTCCCGCCGCTTCTGGAAGTTGGTCAAAGGCTTGGTCGAATTCTCCCGCCTACCAAGCGTTGTCCTACGTTTCCACCCTGATTGCAGCGGCAGGGAAGAGAGATGGGAGCCTGACGTCCTGCAAACCATCGTGTTTCGGTCTTCTGTGATGTGCAAGACCATGGCTGTTCTGGCGTCTCACCAACTGAGCTCGCAATCTAACATCTATAGAACATTGACACGGTTGACCTTGATATTCAACGAAATCTTGAAAAAGTCCTCAGCGGGCTCAGATTCTTGCGGCTGAAAATTTCAAATCAGCATACTGAGAAGAACGGGGAGGCTGACCTTGAGGTATTTCGAGTCTTGTATTATCCATCTACTCTGTACAAAACGACTAACCGACTCTTACAGCACAATGCCCCGTACACCTTTTACCCAACGCTTGCAACTAAATGGCGAGGACCAACAACTGCAATACTCGAACATTCAACATTTAACCCTCTACTCCTCCTTCCTCTTTGACTTCTACCCTAAATGCTCCCTAAATGGTTTTCACCTCCCACGGCTAAAATCGCTTGCGCTCGGCAGCTACACATTCATCCATGACAGCCAGCTCAAATGGATTACATCGCATGCTCCTTGCCCCTGACACATGCAAACCGCTCCCAAGACTGGAACGTAACCTCTAAGCCCGATGTGATACGAGGTGGTGCGACTATCTCAAGGCATTCCAAGAAAACTACCGCACCTGCGCAACTTCCGCTTGGGACACTTACCAGGCCGGTGGGATACCGATACGACGCCTTTTGATGCTGAAATTGAGATTGTCATCAAGTTTGACTACAGCTATATGGATTTCTGTGACGGGTACTGGCCGACACAGGATATGCCCGCGTTGGCTGTCGATAAAGATGGGAGTGCGTGTAGGTTTTAGGTGCTCTACTTACATACATGCGCATTAAATAAACAAAAAGGGCCAGCGCATTATACATTTGACCACGGTAGGTAGGTATACTAAGCAATAAAGTTGGCCAGGCTTAGAATTACTTTTGGCGTACATGTATACTCGCGAACAACTTTGGACATCTACACTGCCTTTTCTTTCTCATCCATTGTTATACCTGCCGCATGGTTTGCGGTCCATCTAAATGCACCTCCTCAGCAATAATTACCGAGCTAGGCACGCCCTCGAGAGCATCTTCCTTATATCATTCGCTTGCCTCCGGACTTTTTATTCATTCTTTCCGTTTAACCGGCTGCCGAACGTATCGAAGTGCTTACGACAACCGCCGGATAGGCTTGCTAACCCCAATATAGCTCGTTCGCTAAACATGGTGTAGGTTAGTGACTCCAGTGCTCTGGCAGCCTTGTTAGTGAATCTTGATACAGGGACGATAATTCTGCGAGTCGTGCCGTCAATCCCCAGCTCAGAAGACAAGAAACACTTTTAATTAAAGCTGTCTACCGAGAGTATGCTGATGCTCAACTTGATCTCTTTTGCCACTGAATACGACCAGTAGCTGCCACACTTGGACGCGGGTGTCGTAGCCTCTGTGACTTCTCTACCTAGTTATGGTGGATTAACGCTATTGGGAAAAAAAAGCCCTATACCACGTATGCCAGCCCTTCAGGCTCTGCTAACCTGTTCAAACTCTAGACACGGAAGCCCTAGCGTGGCAGAGATCGGACCTGTAGAGAAACAGGACAAACTATCATCTGCATAAAAGCCGTACAAGAAAAAAGTCACCCTGCAAGTCAGAGATGTGTGTAGATTCGTAGGAGCGACCTAGCAGAACACGAAGCTATCCACCTGGGTAGGTGAACAGGCACCCTCACGCAGCCACCGTGCCGACAACTACTATCGTACAAGAATGAGAGGATGTAGCGTAGAGCCTTGAAGCTACTTGTGAGAGATCAGAACCTTAAGGCATCACTGGGCCAGGTGAATATCCATTGCACCCGCAGAAGTGAGCGCAGGCACGTGGTTCGTCGCCTCAGGCAAAAGCGAGAGCCACAGTACTCCGCCACATGTCGAGCCACACCAGGACTACATGAAGATTGACTGGATTGATACTTCGATAGGGTGCATGCAGAGATGGCGAGGAGTTTGAGAAGGGATCCACGCCAATACAGGAGACGGCATCGGAATCAATATCGCACATGATCGTCGGGCTAGTCCTACTTCTCGTTGTGTGATGTGCCTCCGTAGTAGTCGTTGCGTTACAGACAGAAAGACACCAGACCCAGAAAAGCTTCTACAACACTATAAAGAAGTACCACCGCTTGCTTCGAGTGTTGAGGTACGCTCTACTGGTTGTTCTTGGATCACTCCGGCCTCTAGTGGATGTAGCATGATATCTCTGGACGCGGTGAATCTAATAGAAGGACTGGAGACGGGATACAAAATATTTCAGTGACTCCTAGTATTTACTATTTAGCCGCTTAATTCCCTCTCCCTTCCTCGCCGCCATCGCCCAAAGCCTGCCTCATACCACAACGTCCTCCATCTACGCGCCTCAACCTCGCTCTCCTAGCATCGGCCCTGACACCATCTACCTCACCACGTCACTCAAGCACATTTCACCCCCTTCGATAAACCAACATGTCCAGTGTTACTCTTAAGGGATCTCTACCCGAAGATGCCACCGGCCGTATTCAAGTTCTCGTAACAGAGTTAATCCGGGCAGGTGTCAAAGCATTTACCATCTTCTTAGGGCACTCCGTGAAAGATGGTGTCCAAAAGGTCTCTGTGCATTTTCCAAGTGCCGACTCTCTGCCAGAAAAACTACTGGCTCACGTCAGAGTCGTCTTCTCGAGGGAGGTCCACTCGCCAACCGAAGACTGCACGGCGCAAACCACGAGGGCTGCAGGTTCTCTGGCACGCCAGTGGATGGGTGCCAGTGGACGTGACTGGACTCATGCCAGCACCCTCTTTGTCTTGGATGGGGAAGAGTTCTGGGCCATACGTGACGGAAAGCATGACTGGCTTGTTCTGGGGCGATATGCCAAGCGCGTTCTTCAAGATCATACAGAGAGGCACAAAGAAAGGTATGGAATACTTGGTCGAATCACGTTGTCGTGTATGATTTACTAACAGCTCAGTATCTCTCTCCTTAAGTGATACAGACCGGAAAGCCATGCTCGACTGCCGCGAAAGATCTATCCCGTGTTTTGGGAAAGAAGAGAGCGAACTGGGCGGTATTAATCGAAGGTCCGCTAGTTTTTGCATCGGTGTACGGCCCAGACGGACTACAAAGGACCATTGTCAATGCTTGGAAATGTTAAATCGACTCATGTCAGCATAAGGAACTGTTATATGATCTATGTAATTAAGAAAGATTCCTCTCCGCCACCATGCAAGTGGAGCACATGCCAGCCAGGCGTTCAAAGAGCAGTCCCCCTAGATACTAATGCCTCTGAACGTAGATTGTAAGCCATCAATGTACCCAGTCCGCATCTCGGGTGTTTCTTCACCCGACCGCTTGCCCGCACGGAAGTGCATATGGCCTTGAGGTCGACGGCGAAGTTGGAAGGATCGTGGTTCGTCTCGCGCATGCTTTCCCGTCTCTTCACCGGCCTTTCTTGTCTGGCCCTTGCAGGTTGCACGTTTGTTCCCGGCCCTTTTACACCTTCCTCCGCTGCCCCAAATCCTCCTCTGTGTGGCGTCAGGTAATGCAATTGGCGGAAGAGCGATGCTGAATGCGTACCTTTGGGCATCTTCTGTCATGAGGTAAAAGGCAGATTAATTTGATTTATTAGAAAAAAAAAAAATTGTTTCACGCCGGGTATACGGTTGAGTCCGACAATATTCCATCAAATAATCCCGCTCAATGTTCAAGTCATAGGTTCTCCTCTGGCAGATGTCTGAAGGAATGAGATTGACTGCACCGATGCCGATCAAGGCAGATTGGCCCCAAGAAATCGATGTCGCCTGCCCCGAGCCGATGTTTTTTGACGCTGCTTGTTTCTTCGGATGCGTCAGATCCGCCATCTGCGGTGTACGCCCGGGGTTTCCAGGAGTATTGTGAGCCTCTAGGATGCTGTATCCAGAGCTGCGTCGCGGCTTGTGGACGTGTCTTTGGCAACCACGGTCGCAGTGCACCTCCACAGGTTTGAATCCTTGGTATCGTTTGTTATTCGTTCGTGGAACGGTTGTGTGGAGGATCGACCCTCTTCTCTGCTCGGTTCATCCGGTCGTTGCCTGACTATGGTGTGCCGGTGCGGTGGGTATGGACGGTTTCCCTGCGCACTACCAGCGTAAAAGTGTCAATGCGGATGCGGCTGTAATGAGTTGAGATGGACATACATTGAGGGACGCCGTATTACCATTTTGATATGTCGACCGGCTCGGGGCGCATCCGGGAGAGACTCATGAGGTTCTTTGATTCACTAGAGCCACCTCCACAATGTCGCAGGCCGTTTCGAACCGGGTGTCAAATGGCTCAGAGAAGTTAAGTTGGGGGATTCAATGAATGGGGAAATGGTTCATCGAGCGGGTTTGCCTAGGCCTAGATCTCTTCTCTCGCCTGCTATTTTCCCCTGACGCAAGTCGGAAGCGCGAAGGTGGCCAAAAAAGGTCTTTTCGACCAGAAGGGCGAGAGCAACGCGGTTCCTAGTCAAGCCAAAAGGTCGACCAAGACCTGTAATGGGTCCATGATAACAGCAAGAGAACAGGATGGAGAGAAGGCAATAGAACATGCATGAGGTTGATCAGCATCTTTGAGGAACGGTGAATCGCAGTCGCTCCAAGAGCATCAAGGAGGGTCCCAAAGACGACACAAGGAAAGTCCTGCTACCCCTTTTCTGGCTTGTCAACGTTCTCTCTGCGCATCTAACCGCGGATGGGGCGTCTCTCAGGAAGCTTTGGCAAATCAGAGCGGTTCGGAGCCCATAGTGCGTCTACGGTGTAACCAGCCCCTGCGAAACCTGGACCTGCCAAGAATCTCGCGCCTGTGGCTAAAAGTCAGACACTCCAGCCCTATTACCATCTAGTTTCGTTAAAAAGTGCTGGCATAACTGGCAATGGAACGAAGACACTGGCATCAGGTCTTCTTTCACACAAAGAACATGTGGGCCAGATCTAGTGAGGCTAGATGCTGCACGTAGGCTTGAAAGAATGCCGTTTGTATCCTCTTTCAGGGTCATGCGCGATGATTCCAAACATTGAGAGCATAGAACAGCCGCTGGGCTTTGGGATTCTTCAACTTTGCAACTCCTCTCTCACTCCCAGGAGCTCTCACTCCCAGAAGCTCTCACTTCCCTAATAATCACAAGATTTCCATTCATAATACACCATCCACACTTGCCGTCAACGCCCACAATGGAAGAACTTGGTGTACGTTGCCAGCCCCGTCGATGCTTCTGATGACGCTAACATACGCGGATATAGACTGGACGCAATCCGAGTCCCAACCTCCCCACCGGTTACGCCCAAATCGCTTACCTCATGGCCCTATATCCTGAAATGACCATTGTTAGGCGTTTCGGGTACCTTAACTCGCTCAACTTCCTCAGACTACAAGCCCAGCTCAGTGACCTATTAGTGCAATTAAGAGACCAGCAAAGGGCAGATAGCGAGAGTGGGGACCAAATCAGACAGACGTTCTCGATATCTTTCCAAGAGATGGCGACGGCAAGAGACACCGACTCCCTTCAATATGATACCATGGAGGCGCTTGGGCGAGCTCTGGCCGAGTATGGTGAGCTCCTCCTCACGAGCGTGGGATTTGAAGCACGTTAATGAGGCGGCACTGACACTGATGTGATAGCTGCGGCTGTCCAGCAAAAGGCCTTTTTTGATAGGCTCTCAAAGCCAACGCGACGCGAGATCGACTCTCTTGGGTCCGTGCTGACGCAACAGGGAATACTTACGGAAGAAAACTGGTTGACGGAGAATCGAGAGGACCTGGTTGTTCTCGCGGAGCGCGACCACGACGACCGCATCACCCGATCCGTTCGGGGAGGATTACTGGCGATTTTTCATCGCGTGGTGCAGGTTTTTAAACGGGTATGTCACACTCCAGACCAAGATCGGTTCGTTCTAACAGTATTCCAGGGTTCCCCTTGGACAGTCCCGGGCACCGACCTTAGCGCATACGCCGAGGACAAACTCTCGCTGGCCTCTCGAATTCTCTCGTCGGTCATCGCAGCCATCGTGCCCACAGTGGGACTCTTGGCTCTCACCAAGATCCCATCCAAGGCTATGTGTCTACTCTTTATCGGAGGGTACGCGATTGCCTTCTCCGCCTTGCTCGCGGTGCTCACTTCTGCCAAACAGACTGATGTTTTCATCCTCATGGTCAGGTATGTTTTGTGGGCCCCTTGCTGTGGCACTTGGTCGCTAACCCCCGGCAACATAGTTGGATGACGGTAGCCGTCGTGTTTGTAACAAACTGAGGGAGAGATCCGTGATGAGGACCTATTCCGGTTTGGTTCGCTAGTCTTAATACCGTTGGGGAGAATGAAATGACTGCCGTGACACCCCAAACCTCTCTTTTACCTCCAGGATCCTTCATGTTCTTGTCGTCGACCATGTCAGTCCGAAATAGCTTCAGTAGAACTTCATGTACCTCGGTAGTTTGCAATCCAGTTCGCTGATCTTCCACCTCCTTCTCTTCCCGGCTTCCCTTCCTTCACCTCAATTGTCTTACTCTCCACATAGTTAATTGTCAACCGCCAGCTGACAAACCTCAAAAGTATATGCGTGCCATGTTCAAGCATTATGCATCACGTCTACTGATGTATATTATAGTATTCGCCATATCGCGATCCGTTTCGGAGCAACTTCCTTCAGGGGCAGGTTCTCCGCAAATGCCAAGAAAAGCATGCACGAGAGTCAGGACGACCACCGGCTCTTAGCACTTATATCATCGTATTGGGAAACGTGGTTTTTATGACTTACACCGGGACCTTTGCTCAAGCTTCACGGTCACGGCGGCTGGGGGCACGGTGGAAAAAATCTTCGAGAGCCCCCAAAAGTGTGGTTGCTCATACTTTACAGCCTGTCAAGGGTATCTAGTGGCTCGGGACACATGGGAGCTTCTTTTGGCAATCCCAGGGTCGGATTCGGAGCCATCGAGCACCTACTCAATGGCAGCGCCAAAGAGGAGCGACAACGCCTGCCACCGGCAAGCGTTCCTGCTCGCCCGCTCATGGATGCTGCTGAATCCAGCTTGTGTCAGGGAGTGACCTACGTACACGTGCTGGAAACCCACTCGTACTGGATCCACAAAGACGGAGAATACCTGCCCCAGGCCTCTCGCGAGTTCAGCCAGCGCATGTTACCTAAGCCACCTGAAGCTAAAGAGGTATGCATGTCGCCCACACTCCCCAACACAGTGCGACTCACTAACGCCGTGCAGCTCACTGTTTCGACCTCGAGTTGAGGGGAGTAGCACGGCGGCGGAAGTTTTGGTATCCCGGGTGAGTGTTGGAAGAGTCATGTGGGAAATGCTGGTCATTTATCTAGCTGATGACGGTAGCAGCAGCAGCGCTCTATCAAGTATTACGATTCTCGACAATTGAGAAGAATCAAAATAAAGCGTTGTTCTTGTTTTCTGCTGGCAAACATTTGCCCCAAGATACACACACAAGCACACGTCCTCGCCTCTCCGCCAAACTCACCCACGAACCTGGCGTGGCTGCTACCCAGTTTCCACAATCATGCCGAAGTATCTCCTCGTTGCTGCGAGTCCGGGCCAGACTTAGACCCCGGGGTTTGGGAAGAAGGTGGAGTTGGTGTCGACTTGGCTTGCGGAGGCAAGCCTTCCAGCGTGTCTTGCCTAATCTTTTCCAGCGCCGCTGCCATCATCTGTTCTCTTTTCTCTCGGTCACTATCCTTCTGCTTCGGCTCCGGCATTTGGACTAGACACTGTTAGACAACGATCATCATCACACGCGGATCATATGCGAAGTTCACCCTTGGACTTCTTGTTGCACAGAAGCACATTAATGCCCTCACCAAGGGACTTGAAGTTGTACACAAGGAGCTCCTTGTCAAGGATAAATTCTGAACCGATTGCCAGGCGCACCGCGATATCCTTGCCCACCAAAAACTCGGTCGTTAGGGGCACTTGGGGCGGAGGGAAATTCGCCGCGTACCAGGAAAGCTTTATCGTGCCTAGAGGCTCCACTTCACTTTTATTGAATGAAACGTACTTAGTATTCCTGAGTTCCTCGGATAACTCAAGTTTTTTGATCTCGTCCGAAAGCCCTAGCGTCTTTACCAGCTCCTTGCTTATCCAGTTGTATGTCGATGCCGTATCAAACTGCGCCCACGGGACTCTGAAAGTGTTCTGCTCGAGCTCGATGGCTGCGGTAAAGTGGAATGTCTTCGGAACCATACAATCGACCAACTCTGGCTCAGCGTGATCAGGTATCTCGTATCGCGGCTTGCCATCTGCCGGTGCAGGCTTGTCGAGGTGATCTTGGGTTTGTTGAAGCGGAGCGGCGCTATGAACAGAGTCAGCAAGCAAGGTTCATTGGGTTTAACCCAGCATCGCGCACATCGCCATGGCTGTCGTAAGAATTTGCACACGCTTGTTGAAGTACGCCGCGTGGCCAACAATGTTTGAAGCCTGGAGGCTTCCTGATCCAGAGCCACGTAATTTCTCCATCACTTCAAGCCTCTCTTGGCAAAGGCGCAAGCTTGTGAGAATAGACGGTCGAATCGGCTCAGCACGATCGAAAAGACTGTCGACGGCTTCCTCCAGAAGCTGGACGTACACCTCCATTTCCTCAATCTCCGATGCGACGTCGCCTTCGACCCACTCCGCATTTTGAAGCGCTTGTTGAATTCTCGTTGCGTTGAGGGAGACCGCGACTGCCGCGCTGGCTAACGCAAATGTGTCCTGCATAGCTTTTCACAATAGAAGGGGATGTAAAATGAAAGGTGTTGTGACACGAGCTTGCAAGGAGACTGTTTTGAGGGCTGCTGGAGATGTCGACGGAGGGATAAGACAAATAACACAAACGTATTTCGCCTAGGCAGCAGGTGTTGACGAGTTCCGGTCAGCTTTGCTGGCTCGATATTCTCTCCAACAAATGTCGAAGCGAATGTGCGTGTAACCAGGCCTCAGGGAACCCAAGTACCCGCCCCGCTGCCCTTGGCCGCTCACTCTGCCCGCATGTCTGTCTCTATCCCCATTTCGTAAGTCTGGAGCTTCCGATACGCACCCATCAATGATCAGTACACGTCCCCTCCGCTCAGCAATTGGCAGATTAACGTTGTGTTCACATTCCTGGTTCCCAGCCCCTCCGGCAATGACTAGGATGTCGGTTGTTCCCCAGAATAACAGGTGAGCAGTCAAGCAGCGCCGGCCAAACGGGGCTTCGCCCCAGCTTGATCCCAGAACGATCCATCAACACCCTTCTCGCGACTGGAAACATCGATTCCTACCTCAAAAGAAAGTTTGCTGTTGTACCTAGCATACCCTCCCTACTACAAGCTACAACATGGACTTACCTTTTGTGTCTACGACTTCCCCGACAGCGACCCACTGCGACGAGAGTATCACTGTCAGATCTCAACCCCTGCCTGCACACGCATCCGGAACGACCGAGTAACCTCCCACCTCTCCATCGCTCCTAGCCAGATGCCTTCAATTCGCAGATGAGCCGACACCCTAAGGTGGTCATTGTTGGATGGTTCGGCAATAGGGAAATGGCAAACGTACTCCGTGTGCTGGCAGAGCTGTGCCATACGGAGCAAGAGCAGGATCGTTGCTCGAGGGGGGAATTACGCGATCGGAGGCTGCAGTGGTGTATAGACTGCGCAGGCAGCAACTGTCAAATGTCAACGCGAACTGCTGGGCAGAGCAGAGAAGCTGCGGGCCGAAGACCGTGACTTTGCCTCCAATCTTGGTTCTTTTCATCTCCTTGGTGGCTGGCTCGTTACTGACATCTGGACAATAGACCTGGCGATTTCAACCGCAAAAGCGTTGTACCACCCTCCTACCAGCTTGTCGGCCGCCCAACCTGAAAGCGACTCGAATGCCTTGAATCCACACTACCGCGTATCCATGACGCGAGTAGCCTCCTCTTCAATCGCGAAGCTATCTGGTATCAGAAGAGTGGGCTGTATATCCTTGACGACCACTCGGCGGGGTATCAGTCAGTTACTAAGATATAGCCCCCTGTAATGCTTTCACCGTGCGAGGTGATCTAGTCAAGTTGGCTGTCGTGGACGAAGATGTCGTTTCTTAGAGACTATCTCGTACAAGGCTCACGAAGAGAAGTCTTAGCACCGAACCCGAGGAGTCATCCATGTTTTTGTAATACAATCCCTGGATTCAATTTTACCACCTAGGCTAGTGCTCAGTGGACCAAGTGTATCTATCCCTCAGAAGCACAATTATTTCCTCTGAGCAAGGATATACTTGGAGTCTCCGGATGCTGCTCCACAACAACCACTTAGGCAAGTTCTAAATGAGAACGGTAAGTGAGAAGGTTTCCAACTGACAACCCACCACGAAATGCCCGGTTGAATCTCTGTAACAAGTGCTAGACGTCGCAACAGAACCCGCGCCAAATAGATAAATGCTGCCATACTTGACTTGACTCGGTCACCATCCATCCCACCAAGTAGTTCTAGAGTGCAAAAGATCATTAATATTAGAAAGCAGTCAGCGTCTATATCTATTTCTGCTCAGAATTTGAACACCCATGTTTATCAGTAGGCATTGTTCGCATTGAACTACAATCAAGACAATTACATCAACGAACTCTTTTCACCCACATGGACCCATCTATGCTGCCCCCGGGCCTTTCGGAATACAAGAGCGTATATATACACGAAAACCAGCGATGAATCAGTATTTTTGAAAGAAAAAAAAAGAAAAAAAAAGAAAAAAAAAGAAAAAAAAAGAAAAAAAAAGAAAAAAAAAGAAAAAAAAAGAAAAAAAAAGAAAAAAAAAGAAAAAAAAAGAAAAAAAAAGAAAAAAAAAGAAAAAAAGAACCATTGCCGCTGTCAGCCGTCCACCGCTCCTACTTAGTCGAGTCCTAGTCAACTTCGTCTTCTTCGCTTTTCAGCCGATCTAACACCTTGCTCAACCCTCCAATGTCAAGGTGAAGCGTTGCTTTGTAGCTGTTGTAGTCGTGCCGTACTATCTTGCCATCCTTTTTAAGCAGATAAGGAATCCTCCTGTACAGCATGACGTGCGACACAGACGTTGGCTCCAATTCTGCAATTGCAGCATGGTATCTCTGCTTGTTGGCACCAGGGTCGAATAGTCGAACAGTATCCTTAATGTCCAAGACGTCGATCCCGAATGATCTGGGAAGGAAGTCCCGATGCTCCTGGCGCATCAACGATCCCGGCATCTGATCCTCCACGTCGTCCGGAACCCGTATCATATACTCTGGCCACCTCAGGCGCCCGAAGAGCATCCACTGTTCTTTCCCAGGATGATACCCGATAATCACGTCGGTGGTGTTTGTTGTGCCGCCAGCTTCCACAATGAATTGCTCCAGAACATGCTTGGCTGACAGTGCGTCATGAACCCTGGGCATCTCGGCTACGAGTACATTCCCTTCCCATATATCCTGAGCGATGCTTGCACCTGCATTCCATGGAACCATTTCGCCAATGAGATATTGAAGCGTGGCTGGTTGGACCGTCGAGCGCGGCTTATAGCGGGACAGTTGGACAGCAGATGTTGTTTCGCTGATCTCACAGAGGGTTGATTGGAGAAAGAGATCGTAGCAGCGAGTCCACAAGAAAGATGTTTTAAGATTGAGAGTGCGTTTTCTTGTTTTTTTTTTCAACCACACAGTGGTGAAAACGAGATTGAGGAGGAGCTTGGTCTTGTTGCCAGTGCTGCTGGAGGAGAGGCCATCTTTATACCTGTCCCGAGGCTCCGCCCATGTTGACAACAGCCGGTTGCGGCCATGTCTAAAGGAAAAAAAAGGATCACTCTTATCATCTGTTCCTTGGCCCAAAAACTCGGGCTTCCAGAAAGGCCGCATGCCCTTGGCCTCATTCGTCGTGTGAAAGAGAGCGTCAAAAATAACACCGGGCGTTGCTGGACAAAAAAATCCAGTTTTCCGAAGCCTCAAACGAGTCGAATCCGAAGTAAGACTAAGTTTGCCTTGAGAGCATCTAATTTTTGTCTGAAAGAAAAAAGAGAGGGGTAAAAACGAGAAACATGAAATAAACTTTGACCATGATACTATAAGCAGACTCTACGAGTATCTCTCTTTCACATCGAACTAATCTCGCTAATCTTGGCTGGAAACATCCATTCCAAATCCACCGCTTCAAACAAAGAACCCCCTCCCAAACCAAAAATCCTTGCTTCAAAAAACCTCACCCAAGACCGCGTCACATGACAACATGGTCAAAGACTCTATCGACCCCGACCCACCTTTCCCATCCTCTTTCTCCTTCTCTTTGTCCACCGTCTTCCCCCTCCCCCAATCAACCCACCCCTCCACATCCCAGCAATACGGATCCTCCAGCGCCTCGACCCATCGCGTCTGACCCGTTTCTTTGGCAACGTACCCGTCAAAGAGATCCTGCACCTCGTTGAGGACCGTCAGGTCAGGCATCTTGCGCACGGGGCCGCGCAGGGCAACGAGGAACCGCCACGCCCTGTCTTTGGGTCGGTAGCCTGCCCAGACCTCGTAGGCCTTGTAGTGCTTACTGCGGAGAAAGGTGGCGAAGTAGGTGCAGATCTCGCGGGCAGAGGTCTCGGTGAGGGTTCGGTCGGGCGTGAATGTTCCTGTGAGGACGTAAGTGGACATTTTGGATAGATTTGCATATATGGGTGTTGGGTTTTTGTTTCGGGTTGTGTTGCTACTGTGAGACTGAGATTTGCGAGGAGTCTTTACCGACGGGGGTGGGATAGATGGGCATTTATAGGCGGCTTTTGTGGTGGGATAATGAGGTGGGCATTGTTCAGAATGTTTCTTTGTTTGAACAAAGAGGATTGTCGAGTTCGTGGGGGCTCGTTCTCCGAATTCTTCGAGGACTTTTGTTCTCTATCCTCGGAGGACGCTTGTGCTTTTACGGCCTTGTCCTTGGTCTTTGAAGCTGGCTCGTCCTTTCTGTAACAATGGCCTCCGTTCCTTCTTGCTGCATTCCTGTGATCTTCTATTGGAAAAATGGCTACGAGTATTAAGACTAATATACAGCCCCATGCCCGGGAACACCACGATTCCAGAGCCCGTGTAATCCGGAGTGAAGCTAAACTAGAGGGCGGTCCGCTCGAGGAAGTGGAATGGTTAGGCCTTTCGAAGCCAGAAGATGTGTTTCGGACAAGGTGAACATTTGTCAAGGACCACCATTGGGGCAAGTGGCAGGAAATTCAGTCGTGGCCCTGACGATGGATGCACACATGGGATATTAAGAAGCAATCTGGGCTTGGAAACCGGAAGCTTAGAGCTTTGGCCTTGTAGACAGACGGAGAATAGACGCATAGAAATGGACCATGATAGAAAGCAAGAAGAAGATAGATTCTTGTAGAGCAACCAGAATGCTCAGGCAGAACCCCCCTACAGCAATACATCCGGGGAGGTCCCCGTTCAGTTGAGACGAGAAGCACGGCGTTCACCGATAGGTCGATCTGTAAGATACAGAATACTAGCAGCTACGAGCCCTCATGTACCACTTTTATGTCGCATCTCGAGGGATCTGGAGGTACTATCTACATGATCACGTCCCCTCGGCGCAGAAGCTAGTGTAACATTGGCGTCGGCCAGAGTGAAGGCTAAACTACCAAGAAGAAAATTTGGATCTACCATCCACAGGCAACAGTTGTAACAGAATCCATAAAGATACGCTCAAGATATACTGATTTACGAGCGAGGAAAGCGCACTCTGAAGGTGGTTTTCCTTTGACCTTGAAACGCACGCGATATATATTCCTCTGCGAGTCTGTCTCATCTCCTTTAAGCGTCTGATATACTGTGACATCTCCGCAGCAACACCAATCCCATCCCACGGCGGCCGAAGCCGGGCTAAATTAACGTTCATAGATAGTCTTGTAGGCATGGGACAAAGGTCAGGCTTGAATGTAATATCTGTGGAACTTGCGGACCCCAAAGTGATTTGTGAAGTCGATGAAAATTACTCTTGACGAAATCCTTGTCGGCGCTAGTATCTCAGTCTTGATAGCAGACTACAGATGTCGAGATCAGGCCCTTCAGCCTCGTCCTATTTGCCGAAGGCGTCAAGGAATTGTAAAAGAAGGCGACTGCCAAGATCAGGAGAGTACTTTGATACTCTGCCTCAGGCCCTCAGGCACCGACTACCCTCGGCTAATCGACACTAGCCACAAGCAGCTAGACCGCCCACGGAACCGGGCTATAAAGCCTCCGCCCGCCCGCAGAATTTTCCTCCCTTCGCACGACGCCAACATACAACAACTCGCGATTTCTTTGCATCGCAAGCTCAAGCTCAAGCTCAAGCTCAAGCTCCAGCTCCAGCTAGCGACCGTTGACTTTGTTCTGGATCTCCTGCCATGCTTAATGTTTGATGAGCCCGAGATCCCATCTCCGACCGGCGTCACCTCCGCGTCCCGTAGTACCCCCCCTTTCTTCCCCTCTTTTCGTCCTTTCCGAGGGTACTACACCCCAGCGACGGCTTGTCTGCATGAAAAAATATCATGTTAGAGTGTCGAATGCTGTATGCCTCTTAGTACCAAAATCAACTCGGGCGGCCATCAGCACGCGGACGTTGCACACTGGCCCCTTCGGTCGCGTGTGTCCGTGTAATGGTGTTCGTCCTACATTCCAGCTTAGATGTGTAGATTTGCGTGCTTGTATCTGTCTTCCAGTTCTGGGGATGAATTTCGTGTCTTTGTTGATGCAGATTTTCCTGGGTTTCTGGCCTCGAGTCCGAGGTCGAGTCTTTGGTGTTACGGATTGGCCTGCGACGCTGCACTCTTGGGTTTCAATGCGCAAAGTGTTTGTCTCGCTTCCAGCGGTCACACAGTCAATCTTGTAAAGTACATGAATGAGACCAAAAACTCCATGTAAACCGTCGAGTATCCCGCCCGAACCCGTCTATCCAGAACCCAAGCCACGCGTGCCAAGCCATCCCAAGCGCCATTATCCCATCATTATCATCATCATGACTCGTCCAATCCAGGCCACATTCATCACATCCTGTCCCATTCCATTCCAAACCATCTCGCACCGTCAAAGCCCAAACCCCCCGCCAGCTGAAAACTGCGTATACCGCAACAACGGCCCCTCCCCAAACCCCGAGACCCCAACACCAATATCAACCCCATACCCCATCTCCGCAGCGTCACAGCCCCCGAAACCCGTATTGCCAAGATCAATCCCGCCGCTCCCGGCATACATCGCCGCGCGATAGTCGAATGGGAATGCACCGGGATCACCGCTCGACGAGAGCGGCATCGCGTGGGGAAAGTTGAAGGCGGATATGGAGCCCGTCGTCTCGGGGGTTGCGGGGAGGTAGTCGTTTGCGGCGAGTTGTGGGGTGGAGGTTAGCGAGTTGTACGTGTATGTGTCGGAGGTGGAGGTGCAGGAGGAGGAGGGAATGTAGGAACTCGTCGTTGACGATGTTGATGTTGAGCATGAGGCTGACGGTATCGAGGATGGGAGGCGGCGGGAGGAGGGTTTTGTCCGGGGTGGAGATGCGCAGCAGGGGTGCAGGGTCGTCAAGGGCAGGCTTTTGCGGCTGAGGATTGTATATCTTTGTTGAGGAGCGGAGTATTAGACTTGCATTGCGTGACGTGTTGAGAAAAGGGAAGGTACGCATAGACTCACTGGTTCTTGATATTGTTCGCGGACCGCGTGGGAAAGTGTGACCGCTGAATCTCCTTCCAGCTACTCCCGTGGACTCCAACGGCCGAGAGCAAAAGCGTGTTCTAGCTTCATTAGCCCTGTCATGCGCGTTTGCTTCGTGGCTGCTGCAACGACATACCTCCCCGTCCGTCCAGGGACTGCGCTCCAACTCGGGGTTCAGGCAGTGATGCCAGCGCTTCGAGCACTCTGCCAGCATCCACGATTAGCGTCTCATTCCACGTCCATGTGCAGAAACCAACTCACGATCCGCATTCCGCGTCTCCATCTTTTGCGCAATCGCCGCCCACCGGTACTGATAGCGCTCGACAAGCTGGAACAGCCGCTCGTCTTCGTCCTGCGTCCAGGAGCCCTACATTTCTCCGTCAGCATCGTGTGACATGCAAAGGCGAGCTCGATCATGGACCCGATCAAGGGTGTGTGTGTGTATACCTTGCGCAACCCGCCCGTGAACCGGTTATAGTACCGCTTGCGACAGTCCTTGTTGCTGCGTCCGGGGATCTGGCGCGCGATCTCGTTCCAGTTGATTTTTTGGGATTTGCCCGTGGGTGCTGGGGCAGGCATCGTTAGCATTGCTCAATTTGCGGTTTCCGAGTGTTAGACGGGCACACCTTTCTCCTCGATCTGATAGAGGTCCCAGAGGAGTGCATCCTCCGATGCAGTCCAGCGTCGACGAGCTTCACCCATCGTAGTGACGTCGTATATAGGGATGCTGAATGAGTAGATATAAGCAGCAGCGATAACAGTGATCAATCCTCAAAGTCGACGAACAAGGCTAGGCAGAGTTTATTCAGACTAAAACGATCAACGCCAACGCGGGACAACCCATGCCTTTAAGGGAAGCGGAGCAAAGCATGGCGACCAGGATTAGGATCGAGCCGGACGACGCCCATAGCCCTGGCCGGGGTCGGGGCCGGAGCTGGCTGCGCCCCCTCACCCGTCCGAAACACCAGGAAGGATCATTAACGTCATGCACGGCGCGATCCTTCAGCCATGCCTCATCCGCCCGATGTTGAGGCAGGGGGTGGGCTGCTTGATGGGCTGGCTGATTGGTTCGTTGGCTGGGCTGGATCACTGGCGGGCTCCGGCTCACGAGCTATAGTAAGAAAGGGAAAGGGGTGGTGTGCAGTGAGAAGGCCACAGAGAGTTGTCTGGTCCAAGTTGGGTGCGATGTGCTTTCCTCACCACTCACTCACTCCCCAACACGGCGCCTTTCACGCTCAAGTAAAGTTTCGACATTCCCACATTCCGCGGCTCGTTTTCGACTTCCCCAACGGGCGGTCTGTCTGACTCTGAGGGGGCTGAAAATAGCCATGACTAGCGAGCGACCTCGTGTGGTATTTCTTTTTCTTTTTTCTTACTGGCCACGAGTGCTGGACGAGCTGCTACCCTGCAAAGCGCAATGCAGGTGTTGATCAGCCGCAGCGTGAACTGCCGAAACGTGCTGTTGACTCACGTAAGGTAAGGCCAGCCAGGGCGGAGCAAAAGGGCCACTTGGGTTAGGCTTGTGCGACGCAACGTTACCGAGGAGAGGATAATCTCCGCCGAGTGAGAGCCAACGTGGTCGGAAACAGGCTAGCAGCGTGGGGAGATAGAGAAACACGCAAAGATGAGAGAGAATGCATCGCGGTTCGCAACCCCCTAGCGTCATCTCAAGCTGACCAGCGTCGAGCGTGTCTCGGGCAATGAGAGCGTATGCTGAGTCTAGTCGGTTCAGCAAGGGAGACTGCCTGCACGAGAGAGACTGTCTCGAGTGCCCGCGCGCAGATCTTGTCGTTCCTGGGCAAGTCCCTGCAGGTGCGCGATGGCCATTGGGTGTCGTGGGCAGCGCAAGGTTCGGATGTGTCTGGATTCCAGGCTGCCGTGTGGACAGACAGGCAGAGACAGACAGCAGCAGCTGGACCCGAGGTTCGAAGAAAAAAATGTCTTGCAAAAAGGAAACATTCTGGAACCTGGCGCAACGTGGTCAGCGTCTTGAGATAGTGCGTGCCATGGAGCGACCAATGAGATTAAGGCTGAGCGCCCTGGGCAAGAGTCGGAGAGTCGCACAAGCTCGCGCCAGACCCCTTTTGGCACTCGTTTCGCTGGGCCTGAAGTTTGAAGTTTGAAGTTTGAACAGCCTTGGCCCTCGTAATTGCCATTTCGGGTTTAGAGGGGCAGGATACAAGGCGTTGGTTCACAGGCAGCTTCTTCTTCGGAGTTCGCCCGTGAGCGAGAATCAGCTCCCAATAATATGCTATCTAATCTAGGCAGCCGTGTTAGTTCTGCCCATCTCCCACACCCTCTCCCTCGATCTCTCTCTCGGACAATATGAGCAATGCCGTGTGGATACGAGATTTCCCTCTCTGGACCCCGACTCCGTCCCCGACTTGCCCCGGAGCCTAAATGATCAACATTCCCGACCCCGTGTTTGGCTCCGCCCGCCCAATCGCGTCTCAGAGGCTCGTTTAAGCTCTGGAATGCTAATGCTATATTTAGCGAGGCTGTTTCTTTTTGCGACTTGTCCTCGTTCCTCGTCCCTCCCACTCTCCTCGCTGCCGGATCCGCCTTGGGTCAATAACTATTTCATGTCTTGAACCTTGCCAGTCTCGCCCCATTCCACGGAACAATATTCCACGATCGCCGTTCACACTGCGTCGCGGTACGAATTTATTTCCTCATTGATCTCTGTCAGAGCCACGAGGGCTGAGTGTGACAGTGTGCGACACAACGGCTGCCTAGACAGGAAGGGAAAAAAAGGAAATAAAATGCAGAACGCAGAAATTTTCCTGCAGTGTGTCGGCAGCTGAACTCTGACGTGACACAGGGATTTTGAACACTCGGAGAGTCATTTATCTCTTCCCTTTGCACTTTCACGGCGACGCCGAGGCAGGGCGGACGAGATGGCGCCATGAATTTGATTTCGTATCTCGGTGGTGATTGGCGAGCATGGGATGCGAGCTGGCTGGGCTGGGCGATTCACCTTGTTCGCTGTATCGCATGATCTAGATCTTGTTATCTCAGACAGCTCCACGCTGACCCGTAGATCAAGGATAGAAACCACTCACCACGTCGAGCCGCGAACGGCGGTTCTTCAGGAAATGATTCATTCTGACAATTGATCGTCGTTAACCAGTGCTTGTTTTGGAACTGGGCGCTTCGGGAACGACGTCCAATAAAACACGCGGGATAGCGAGTCTGTGCGACATTGATAGGGCGCCTGATAGTGTTCGTGGAGGTGTTGCCTTCAGCCCTAGGGAGGATCCTCGGACTGTGCATGTATGTCGAGTAGTTGTGTCAGAGTTTGCAATTCAGCTCAATTTCAAGGATAAGCAGATTGGATGTCTCCAAGACTTACCCAGGACATGCGGCATGAGCGACTACACTTGGTCTATTGAACTGGGTGCAGGGATGGTCCATTCAGGATACACTTCTAGCTCACTCACCGAATGTAGCTGTTACCTTTCTCACCTGACACTCGTCGATTATTCGCTTCAGTGCAAGAAAGAAAGAATGTAAGGACGCGGACGGTGTATGGAACAGAACAGACGAAAGTGAATGTAGATGAAAGCTGTAGAGCACCGGTCCTCAAACCATGTAATGATGTCCTCCATGAACAGCCCATAGGCTAAAGCTCCGCGTAAGGGCTCCTACTTGCCTGTATATTGGTGGGATGCCTCAAGTTGAGTCTGGGGTGTAAGTGTCAGAACAGAATTCACGCCGGCGTGCGGGCTTTGCCCTGGACTAGGAGTCGGAGCACGTTGTGTTTGTATGTCCTTGCCGGAACCGGGTCCGACTAGTTTCTCTCTTTCGCTTCGGATTGCTCGTGAGGGGGATGTTTGGGATGGAGACGTTCGTGGGAGCTCCGTCGGGGGGTCGGTTGCTGGTGCTGTGGGCGCGGCGCCGAGTGGGAAGAATGTTGCGCGGGCTCCGATGAGTATATACGGCGAGGAATAATCAGGTATTACGCGGCTGAGTTTGGCCCTTTTTTTTTACTTTCATTGGGAGGTGAATGGGGAGTCCCGGGGCGGAAAGCCGAGTTACCTACCGTGCACTATGGTTCCCCCTGCCTGCCTTTAGGACGAACACGCCCGCAACCCAGCCATTTTCTGATACACCCAGATAAAATGTATGTTCAGGGGTTAAGGCAAGATCCATATTGTGTTTAAGCTCGGGATGATGAGGGGAATTTTGTGCCTTTCCAGGAGCCGGTCCCTGTTCTCTAGCTGTCCCCCGTACGATCCGTGTGCCACCGGCGGCTGAAATTTCTGCACCGCTGGTACAGACCAGCGCGCGCTTTCTGAGCAGCTTTTGCCCGGCCTTGCTTTGGCGTGGGTGGTACTGTGGCGTGGCGCATTGCGTTGGTATCAGGGGAGCCGCATGCCTTCGGGACGTGTGTTCCTTCCCGTCATTCCTCAAGGATATTCCCGGTGTCCCAGCGCCCCAGGCCTGAGTGTGGTAATCACTAACCGATAAACCAATAGTTGCGGGATTACGAGGGCGTTCGGAGAGGTAAATACAGCCCCTGATATGCGACAAGTTGGTAGCCTTCATCTGCTCCTCGCATCTTGGGAGAGGATGGAGAGTAGGCATTACCATCCTTATGCGGCGACGTCAATAATGGCCCGAGCGGCGAGGATTTGGGCCAGGTTCGGCAAGACTGCTGAGCTTGATACAAGCTCTTCAAGGGGCCGACTGATGGGATTGCGCTCAACCTGATGCCTTGCCCTGGGGATAGCATACCCTATAGGGCTTCCTCGCGACTTGGGGGAAATGATCCACTACTACTCGTATCTCATATACTGCCAGACTGCCCGAGTCATCTTATAGTGGAGAAGAGAGGGAGAGAAAAAAAGAAAAGACTCATGAAGTGCCACCAGCCATTTGCAAACCTTTGCTATGTATGTACTAATCCCATTATCTGAGCCTTCCAATCTGAAGGACTCTGAAGGTAGGAATAACAAGATGAAAGAACGGCCGTAGGTGTATATGCAGTTGGATTGTATCTGTACCGCAGCAACCCCACCAAGTGACAAAGCAGACTCGTCTTTCGACGAACGCCCTCGATGTGATAGACACGTTGTTAGGCCTTTGGATATGTTTGCGATTGCTCTGCGGTTCAGTGTGAGGATGTAGATTCGGCGTCTGCATGGAGACAGAGGAAAAAGGGAGAAAGGAATCAAGATTATGCCTTTGTCAGATCGCAAAGGCTCGCTAGGCTCAGGCTACACACAAGATCGCGATCCTTGCAAAAAATGAGAGCTTCCTTGCCGCCGCTACTGTCTAAAGGATGCATAGCTAGGTAGACTAGGGCCTGCTTTCCGCCATGCCATGGATTATTCGCATGGCTTCCCCCCAAGGAGGGAGGGGGGAAAGAAAGTAGAACACAGGGAAGTAAACAAGCGAGGAAAGAAAGGAAAAGAGAATGAGTCCCCTCCCCAGGTCACGAAAACAGACAACTTCTAGTAGTTCTTCTCAAGGAAGAGGGGAAAACAGAACAAAAAAAAAAAAAAGAAAGAAAGCCGATCCACTACTTTGCACCACCACCACAATCACCTCGAGCCGGTCCTGAAGACATCTCGCTGGCACGAGCCCGAGAGCTCGCTGGCGAGCGATATCCTGCTGGCGCTGTACTGCTGAAATCTCGCTCACCAGGTGCGCCCGCTTTTGCTCGATTCTATCAATCGCCTGATCCAGGTCGGCCCGCTCCAGCCTAAGCAAGGCCAAGCGCGTAGTCTACTGTTGTGAGTACCGTAGCATACATAGCATGGCATGCGATAGAGTGGTAACCTACCTGATTTGCTGCAGCAGTGTTACACACCCTTTGTCCACGAAGGCTGTCTAACAGCTCAGGGTTTGCCTCCTGTTCTGAAGGCCTCGAAGCGCTCAAGCCACCACGCCCAATGCGGCCATTGTATGTAGGACTGCGACCACGGCTAAAGTAGCCACCATGAGGACCGCGACCACCGACGCCATCACAGGTACTACCGCGACCGCTGAGAACATTGCTACCACGGAGACCACCGCGGCCGCTGAGACTACCCCGACCAATGAGATCAGGACCACTGAGAACACTGCGACCACTGAGACCACAACGGCCACCAAGGACTCCGGGTCCTTCGATCGACGGCTAGGAGCGAACAATGGTTGTCAGTCGAGCCGTATAGGTGTGGAGAGAGAGGGATATCGTACGGAGCAATAAGATTCGGCCATGCCGACGGTGATGGAGAAGGTACCAACCGTTTCACAGAGAGCGGCAGTCCCTTTTCATGGCGCCAGAGTGGAAGCACGAAGAGAAATATGGGCGGTGTTACCTTACCGGGCTTCGTAGTGGAGAGGCTTCTGGCACTCCTGGGTGGGAGATATAACGGCAGGCTTCCAGTCAGACCGGCGTCTCACGAAGAGTGCGGTGCCTCTGCACAATGGTGGAGTTGAGAAAAGTGAGGGGAGGATAAGCAGTGTCACTCGAGGGTGAGTCTTCTGGTGGTGGAGGCGGCGTTGAGAGTGGCCTTGGAGGGGAGCTGTTTGCATGTTTGGATGAGGGGTAGAGCAGTAACAGTAAAGACGAGAAAGGCAACCAATAAAGGGCCTTGCTCTTGACGAGTTTTGGTGTCAATTCAAAGTGACTGGAAAAAGAAGGGAAAGATCTGGGATCGAAGCCTTGGCTGGCTTCCCTGAGGAATTGGCGACAGTGACAAAAGCACGCACCCTGATTGGCTTTACCACTATGAGTGAGTGAGTAGCCCTCTAAGAACACACAGAGAGTATAACTTATTGAAGCCTGGTAGAACGGGTGGAATAGTAAAGAATGAATACAAGATGATATATTGTATCTTGAGAGCTATGTATATCATCTGGGGAAGCTGAAGCGAGCTTAAATTTGATATGTGCCCACAATACCCCATATTATTGCACAAAGGCGCTACTCACGTCGCTGCTGGCTCAGGCTGATGGCTCATTTTAGCCTTGTGTTATGGAAGTGGGTGAGTTCGTCTAGAACCTAGTCCTTGGATTAAACACAGACACTAAGCATGTTCTCGCCAGTTCGAAAAGGGCTCTCCTCATAAGTCTATCTAGCACACATGATGGGGAACTAGAGCGAGCGACTTTGGGGTACTAGCGTCTCACTTTCTTCATAGCTACTTTGGTGGAATTTTATATCATCGCACGCATCACAACACACGATTCGTGGTTGGATCATGAACCATGGGTACTATTCAACCTATTCGGAGTGCCGGGAGAGGCACCTCCCTGGCTATATCCTATGACCTAGAGTGCCATATTGGTCCTATCTCATCCAGAACATTTCGGCTGACGTCAGGGTAAGAATAGCCTGGACGAGGCTGAAACTTGCTGCCTGGGCCAGGACTCAAATTTGACTCTTTCTACTAAGGTAGTCATATCCTCAATCTGGCCAGTATCAAGCACGGATAAATCGGTGCACCTAGATAGCTAAGCTGAAACTTTGCTAAGAAGCGATAGCATGAATCAAGATAAAGCGGGTAGCTGTCCAAGACGTTGTGTGGCTGTTGAGAGCGACGGGTTGATTCCAACAAGGTTGCGTCCCTCGACCCAAGCTACGTATGGAACGCGTGGGGAGCGGGGCAGAAAAAAAAAGACTATATGGATTATCTGGAGCAGCTTTCTCTCACAGTCAACTGGCCACATTACCAAATAGAGATACTCGGCTGGCAAAGAGGCACGTGTCCAGCTGGCAGGCCTCCTGTAAGCAACAATTTAAAAGAAGTGACAAGACGGAGCTGAACTCATCTAATATAATAAGCAGTGTCATCGGCTCACTCGAAAGTGATTTGATGGCCCAGAGCCTTGGGCTAATCGACATTTGAGTGAGGCTGCCGCAAAATGAGCATCCCAATCAGCCATTCAACGCGATGGGTATCTCCAGGGGAATTCCTGGCCTGATTGATGCATTCGTCAACTTTCAAGCATATAAGATGCCGATCGTCCACCCCTGGCACAGTCCAGAAACTACAATCATCCGCCATGACTAAGAAGGGCATCCCAGCATATGTAATTCTCGAGTGCTGCTGGAATAGTTTCCATAGTCTGTGGCTCTAGGTAATCAATATTTTCCATGTGCTTCACTGTCTATCTGGTTACTGTACACGACAAATTAAATAATCAAATGCGGGGGGGATTATGGAGGAGGGTTACGCGGTGCTGATAGAGTGTGATAATCATGTCTAAGCTGAACTTGACAAATACATTAATAGCAACCAAGGAATACTTGCGTGATATAGCTCTATAGTAGTCAAAAGACCAAACCCCCAGATGTGAGGCAATTCCTCATTCGGCAAATGCCAGGCTCTGCCCACATGTCGTGGAACAGGCAGGGTTGGTGGTGGGACACATTCTCTGCGTGCAAGCAATGTCCTCTCTGTTGAATGGGATTACATGTGCTTACCAAACAATGGCACAGGCTTTACCGCATCGTTTGTTCATTGGGTCAGATATACAGGACGCTGCGCATGTATCTAATGTATTGGCTTTGTGAGATACGGGTGTGATTATGTATGAAAGGTGTGTGAAAGGTAGGTACAGTGGCAGGAGTGTGGAGTGGTCAAAACATCAACGCGAGTGACATGAAAATCTTCTCTAAGGTTTTGAGATTAGGGTTAAGAATACGATACAGAAGTACTTGCTTAGAGTTCAATAGATAATTTCTTCTCCGTTACACACCCGTAGGCCAATCCCCTCGATAGTTAGTGTCGCAATCAACAGAGGGAAAGCGAATCATGTACCGCGTAGTTGCCAGCTGAAAGACTCGACCTATCGGTGATCGGGTTTTCAGATAGAGGTATCGGCAAGGATGTCGTGATACTAGTATACACGTCACGCCGTTGTCGTAAGGGCTGGTCGCCTTACTACGAGCCGTTGCCTTGGCCAAGTGACAGGTATGTAACTACCACTAGCCGCCTTGAGCCTCAAGCAACGAGCCTCATTCCCCAAGGGCGACACACTCTAATTCCAGGACTCATCAGGGAGGCATATGTACATGGACTCGAAATGCAACCTCTTCCAACGAATCGTCGCCCTTAGTCCTTATTTGGTCACCGCATCGGCCTCCCATCTACGCGTGGCCAGTGGAAGTTTGGAATCCAGGCCGAGGGACCTGAGTCTTGGCAGGATCTTGTGGGTGCAGCTCTGGCCTGCTGCCCAAGAAAGACGCATGGGGCTGGAGCTCGTGATGGCGATCTCACGTGTGTGAGTACATATCCAGCACTCATATTCGAGTCCCCCATTTAATATGGTCGGTAGTCTGTATCAAATACATCCAGGGGGCTGTAACCGATCCACGAAAAGATCCTGTCGAGTCATGTGTGCTTGGCGATGCCAACGGCCCCCTCGGGCCTCAACCACAACCAAAGGCGAGGCCAGGTCGATAACAAAGCCCGCCCCGAAGTCATTTAAAACCCCTATCGAAATCGAGATGCAAAATGAGCCTGCTTCTCAAATCCTCCTGGAATCAGTCCCTCCACATCCCAAACCTCGCACCTCAAACGCCTCGAATCAGAAGCATTCGGAAGTTCGGCGACGCCAACCAACCAATGGTCCACAATCCAAAAGCCCAGGTTCAAATCCCCGATAGGCTAACGGGCAAGCGGGCCGGAAGTTAGTTAGCTAGGTTTGCTACTAGCTGCTTGGGAACCTGCATCGAGACTTTTCTAGTATTTCCACCGTCTATTTATAGCCCTAGTCCGGACTCGGTCGCACATACGAGAGAAGGCCAGCCTGAGGGGGAATTGTGGACCCCACCAGCTGAATGCTCAATTTCCCGGAGGTGTGGATTTGAAACACGGACAGAGGGGTGGGAGGAAGAACAGGAGTCTGGAGGAGGGAATTGCCATTGCAGATTGATCTGTATTCTTTCTTTCTTCCTGTATGGATGTATATCTAACTGATGCAATCTGCCATGCAGAGCAGTAGTGGTAAAGGTAGTAGAGAGCCTCTTTCGTGTGCTAAGCCAGGCAACCTGATAGAAAAGACCAGACCAACTTTTTCCGGGTATTCCGTCCATGCCATGCTAAACCTGACCGAGAAAATGAGAACAAAGATGCAAGTGTAGGAGAACGCCAAGGGACCTCGTCTAGCTTTTCCTGTATGGAGACATGCAAGGCGAGACAGAGAAAGTATTGTACAGGAGGAGATAGGAGTAGATAGGTGAGGCAGGATGGGGCAGGATGAGGTGAGCGAGATAATGTTGGAGTGAGACAGTCAGTCACGTAGAGAGAAAACGCCCCCACAACCCGGAATCTAGTCAGTCCAGCTGAAACGGAATGAAACAAGCAATTGAATCAAGCGATTATTCCAAAAGATTAAGATGAATGGTGAAAAGGAAAAGAAGAGACATCGAATCGAATGAAGGATGAAAAGGACGACGACGACGTCGATCAGCAGTACGAAACCCTGCGATTCAGCGTCGCAACCTCCTTCCTCAACCTCTCATTCGCCTCCTGCAGCTCCTGCATGTATGCAATGGCATTGCTCAGGATCTCCGACTTCTTCAGCGACGCCGAGGACTTGACTCCCGACGCCGACGTCGATGTTGTCTTGGAGACACCCGATCCAGAAGGCTTGACAGCCATGGCCTTTTCGAGGGCAACGAACTTGGCGTTCATATTCGTGCGGTAGCGCTTCTCGATGATGTTGTGGGCGGCGCGCTTGGCGGCGTTTCGGCCGCGGGTGGAGTCGTCGGAGTTGTTTCGGGATTTCCGACCCGTCGATGTGGATGATGACGTTGTTGCTGTTGTTGCGGATGTGGTGGTGGGTTGTTGCTGTGGGTGGAGTTCGGGGGAGGAGGAGTAGCGGGTGGAGATGGAGGCGGCCTTGCGTTTGGAGGCGGCGCTCTGGGATGCTGTTTGGGGGAGGGCGATGGGGGAGGAGAGGGAGATGTCGGCTGAGGCTGGAGGGGTTGAGGACATGAAGTTTGTTGGCGAGTATGACTGGTCGTCGCTTTCCTCCTGTGGGATGTTAGTATTGTTTATCGCAGAGGGGTAGAGGAGGCGTACAGAAGAGAGGGAGTCTTCATTGGAGACAGTGAAGCCGTTGATGTCGGTCGGGGCAGCCCAAAAGTCGGACGGGAGGTCCTTGGACTCCAAGAACAGGTCGTTGGGGATGTCCATGGGGAAGGACTCGGGCATCATGGTGTTGAGGGAGAAGAGGTCAATGGCGCTGTCGTAGGACCAGTTGGCCGAGAGGGGATCAGGAGACATGTTGTACGCCATGTGGTGTTTGGTCGTTCGGGATTTGCTTTTGGGATTCAAAAGAGTCCAGACTAGCGATGCTGATGAATGTGAATTGGAACTTGGGTGGCAAGACGGAAGGAGAACCACGGACGGTCTTATTATATAGCAGGTGGCTTTCCACAGGCCCAGCAGTGCGTCCCGAAGCGACTCCCGAAGCACTATCGAGACACACCCGTGTCTGGCAGCTCATCCGGATCAGAATCTGATAGAGATGACAATCTCTGCACGTTGACTTGCTCGGTGGCCACGATCCGAAGTCACCTCACCGGATCCTCAAGATCCAGATGTGGCCACAGGGCATATCGGCCGGGTCCGAGATGCTGGCCTGGGCGAGGGCAAAGGGAATAGGGAGAATTAGGGATCTCTCATCATCGCCCTTTCCAAATGCACACACACAAAGGGCGACATACGCCAGACAAACGACATGACAGGCTGTGGGGCTGCGGAACGATCGCGGGCCCATCCTCTTGATTCGTGCAACGGTCGAGAACGGGGGCGAAGGATGGCCGGCCGTAGCTCGGAGCCGATGCCATACATACAGCCCGTTGCTATAGAGCGCTAACCGAGCCTGGCTGGCGGTGTTTACTGCTAAGGGATCCCCAGGAACACCGTTGATCACGATTGCGATGCCTCTTATTTGCCTGTCCAACACACTCCTTACACACCATTCCTTACACCCCTCTGACACACGCCTCAGTAAGCACACATCAACACCATAATATATACAAGATCATGAAGAAACCTCAGTCAAAAACCCGTCATCACCTGTCAGATGCACCGGCGGCCTCCGCCCAATCTGGCCGGTACTGCATCGTGGTCTGACGCGGAACTGAGACTCCGTCCTCACCTCATCCAGTCACCTGCACAACGCTGCCGGCCGACAGGGCTCGCAACACGCTTCATTTCGAGCCTGGTTGGGCGTAGCGGCCGACTCTGGACCCTGGAATCTGGATTCCATCGTTGCAGCGGGTATAATCATTTCCGGCCCATGTGCGTGCGTCAGAGATGATGTATGTTTTACAGTCATGGATCTTGGCGAGAAAACAGGTTAGCATCCATGGCTTAATTTGCATTCGTATGCTGTAGATCCTGCGAGAGAATTCTTCTTGTTTTGCTCACGTGCTGATCTATTCTCCAGTACCAGGACACAGTATGTACAGTAGTGACTATGCAACATATTCTCGCTATACACCCCCGATCAACAACCCCCTTCACCCTCTCATCCCATCGCCCCCTACTAATAACGATCATACCCAACAATCCACCTCTTCCCCGCATGCTCCGTAACCGTATACCACTCCTTGCGCACAGGGTTATAGCTCAGATCTTCATTGCCCGGAGGAAACCACCCCACATGGCTCTCCGCCGCCTTACCAGGTGTCCAAACGAACATGTCCCCGCCCGTATTCCCGCCATTGCTCCGCGAGAGAACGATCTCGCCGTCCCGCGCGAAAGCGCCCTGCACGCGAAGGAAGTTTGTGCAGTATGCCTCGCTAGCGCCCACGACGCCGTCGGCGTTGACTGCCAGCCGGCCTGTTTTGGGGTCCAGGGGGTACTTGACGAGGCGGATGTCGACGGTGCTGTCTTCGGTTTGGTATTCGCCGACCATGAGGGTTGGGGGGTTGTCGCTGCGGTCGAGGGAGATGTAGCTGTGTCGGAATTTGGAGCCGTTGGTGGAGCTGAAGCGGTAGTAGCTGCGACAAATGCATAGTCAGTATATATCATATCATCCACCCATCTCCATCTCTGTCCAGCGTCCAGGAACCAGGTAAAGGGGGGAAGGAAACGCACTGAATCTGCGGCAGCACATAGCGGTAATTCTCCGCGACATAGCTCCCGTCACTCTGCTTCCCCAGCCCCTCCCCAATACTGACCTCCCACAGATTCTCCAGATCAAACACGCGCACCCCGACCGAGGTATCAACAACATACAGCCACTGCTGGTACCAGACAATCCCGCCCGCATGCACGCCCACCGGCCCGAAACTCTCCCCGTCCGGCCTGACCAGATACACATGGCGATACTTGCCCGTGGCGCGATCCACAAAACTCACCCGCGCATTGCTGTCGTCGTCCTGGTGCCAGCTGACGATCCACGCCTCGCGGCCCTCCCATTTCCCCGAGGGGTCGGCGTCCGCGGAGCTGGTGATGCCTTGCGGGAGCCACTTGGGGGTGTTGGCGTCGCCGGAGTTCCAGGCGAGGTGGACAGTGGGCTTTCCGTTGCCGATGGGGGGTTTGGAGGAGGTCAGGGCGCGGTTTGACGAGTCGAGGACGTCGGAGACCGAGACGTTCTTGCCGGCGCTGGCGAAGATCTCGGAGAGGGTTGCGAGCGCTGCGCTGTCGGCGGAGATGGTGAGTTTGTAGGGCGAGGGCGATTGCGCGCCGTTGCTGGTGCACGTCTTGGCGGCCAGCGCGAGCGGGAGGATCAAGACAGAAAGAAGGAGGGATTTCATCATGGCGATTGCGATGGGGATTGAGCTTGACTCTGGTCGCCTGTTTGTTGAGACTGCATACCACGGCGATGGTGGCTATCTTTATACCCTCGCCCATACCCCCAATCCCACCCATCGCATTCTGCGCATCCCCTCGAGTCCCATCCTCACCCTCTCGTCTTTCGCGACCCTGAAGAACCCAGTCCTCGATTAGATACGAAGATCGCCACAGCTACCGCCCGCATGCCGAACCACCCACCAATCCCATCCGCCGACCTCTCGTGTTCCTGAACATGTGCGGTTTCGTATCGTGTTGAGGCGCCCGAGGGGTCGATGATCGACAGCGGAGATGCAACGTCGCGAGCTATTTTGGGATTGCGGGGCTGTATACGAAGTATGCGATGCGATGCATGGTTATGTTGTGTGGTTGTTTGAAGAATTCGCTCAGAGGGGAGGGTTATATACGAGGTAAGGTATCATCGGTTCGTGTTTGAGTGGAGATCATTTTGAAGAAAGACTTGGGATGCTGCGAAAGCCTTGGGGTGCGATGGGCCTTCGTTGGATGGGAGGTCGTCGTATTCGTCTCTTCGCGCCTGATGCATGATGGGTGTGAGGTTCTATTCTTATCAGCGAGAGAGCAGCCGGTCATATTCCAAATGGCGCCTTACATCGGTCTCGAGTTTTGTTTACTGCTCACTGTCCTTGAATCGTAGCACCTGAAGGTGGCATGTTGCACTCGACTGACAGTGGCACTGTCAAGATCCCCACAGGGCATAATGCAGCACCTTTATGCATACATAATTTGCGTCCCTACTTTATTCCACCCGATCGATGCCGCAAGTGCGACACGTGACACGATACTCCTACATCATAACGTGACAGGGCCCCACACAAAAATCTCACCAATGACCCTGCTGTGATTCCTCAGCAGCCAGCATTCCCACCTGCAACCTATGGGATGGCAGACTTGGTCTTCGGCCGAAGCACGTGTCGTAGCGCCGCAGACTCGCCAGAAACATCCAGAAAGAGTCGAAGAGAGAAGAGATTCTATTATTCAGTACTATGCCAAGAGCTCAGAAACGCCACTAGCTTTCTAATTACATAAGAACTTCGGGAACTCGGGATGATCCGTGTAAAATCCCGGGATATCATGATTCATGATTCGCCAACGCGAAAAAAAAAGGGGAGAAAGGAAAGGAAAGGAAAAAAAATCGTCACTCGTCCAGGCACGAAGCGAGGCTGCGAATGCGATAGCCTTTTGAGTCTCGGGCACTCGTGCCGCACTCGTCACTCGTCACCCACTTCGGAACAGACGGGCGACTCGACTCGACTTTGGTCGGCTCATACTCCCTCTAAGCCGCAGGCACACCCCCCGTCCCAAACAACTCCATGTGCACGCGCGCCTCATCCACGCCCCTCGCAACAAGCGCCTTCTTCGTGTCAACCATGAAGCTCGTCGGCCCGCAAACATAGTACTCGGCCTGCTTGTCGCCGAGGAAAAGGTCCTTGTCGCCATCGAGCTTGGCGACATCGACGTGGCCGACAAAGTCATAGTCGACGCCCTCTTTATCATTCTCACCAGGGACGGTGAAAAAATTCGTCGTGCGCAGGGTCGGGATCCTCTGGGCGAGCGCGGCGATGGCGGGCCCGAACGCGCGCGACGCGCCCGTGTGCGCGCCGTGGATGAAGTGGATGGGCCGCGTGCTCGAGGAGCCCGTCAGCGAGTTGACCATGGCCGTGAGTGGGGTGAGGCCGACGCCCGCGGAGATGAGGACCAGTGGTGTGGTTGCGTCGGCGTTTTCGAGACGGAAGTCGCCGTAGGGGTGTGAGAGCTTGACGATGTCGCCGACGTTGACGGACGAGTGGAGGATGTTGGAGACGTAGCCCGGGTGCGCGGGGGCCTCGGGGTTGGACGTATCCAAGCCTGCGTCTTTGCGGACGGAGATGCGGTAGTAGGTTGGGTTGGGCTGGTCGCTGAGCGAGTACTGGCGGCATTGGGCGTGGGAGAGTTGGGGCACGTCGATCTGGATGGAGACGTATTGGCCCGGGATGAAGGGCGGGAGGGGCTTGCCGTCAACGGGCTCAAAGTAAAACGAGGTGATGACATCGGACTCGGGGACCTTTTGGGCGACGCGGAAGTCGCGGAAGTCGGTCCAGCCCTCGGCGGACTTGTAGAGGTCGGCCTCGATGCCAATCATGAGCTTGGCGAGCTGCCAGTAGGCGGCGGCCCAGGCGTCGAGGATGGGCGGGGTGAGGGCGTCGCCGAGGACGAGGCCCATGGCCTCGAGGAGGAACTTGCCGACAATCTCGTATTGGTCGGGCTGGATGTAGAGGGAGGCGTGCTTGTGGCAGATGCGGGCGACGGCCGGGGAGAGGACGCCGAGGTTGTCAATGTGCGAGGCGTAGGCGAAGAGGGCGCCGGCGAGGGCCATGGGCTGGTGGCCGTGGACCTTGTTGGAGACGTTGAAGACGACGCGCAGCTCCGGGTGGGCGTTGAGCATGTTGTCGTAGAAGAGCTTGGTGATGGTGAGGCCGTGCTCCTGGAGGACAGGCACAGTGGCCTTGATGAGCTGGACCTGTTCAGGGGAGAGCGACATGGTAGCAAAAAACGAGTCAGGGAGAGCGATTGAGTTTGGTGGATCTGTGGTTCGGGAAAAGTATACTGGAAAAGAGTCGAGTCGTGAGGTCATGAGGAGTGGTATTTATACATGGGGGAGTGTATACAGAATTTTCTCCGCCGCTTATGGGCGCATGAGTAATGGCATCTCCTCGGAAGGTGAATGGCGTGGTCCAAAGCGCTGCCTTTCTCCGCGGAGCCAGCGTGGAGCCATCCGAGCAGTAGCCGAAGGCGATCATCGCAGCACAGTTCAAAGTTGCACGAACTGGAGGGATACAGAGGGGATGGCGGGGGAGATGGGAGATGGCCCTGATAAGGAGGATCGAGATAGACCAGATACTGTAGATCCATTAGTGCTTGAGCAGCAACTGGCGGGGTGCTAACGCAGGGTTATCAGCAGCCCCGGTTGGCGAATGGCATTGCGGCAATCCCAGAGCCAGAGATAAGCAGCAAACAGGGTGCAGCGTAGCCTACTCGACTATCTACAAAGGAGAAGGTCTGGGACGCTTTCTTTGTTCTTCTCCAACATATTGACGTCGTCCATTTTCGCCTGGACCGGCTCAGGTTCTCCTCAGCCGAACAACCACCCCGGATTCAGTCTGCAGAGCCGATCCAGAGTAACATTGCAACTGGAAGAGAGCCTCAAGCGAGATTGATCCCAACGAGTCATGACGTTGACGACCAAAGACGAGTCCATCAAAGGACTCATGCTAGAACAACATATAATGCCGCTCTACTCGGCGGCATCGCATCTGTCCACCTCTCCGTACTAGACCTCCCCATCCACAGAGATATATACCTTTGCACTATACAGAACCTCGTCATGCAGCTTCCAAAAATCTGGGGCCAAAACGCTGCCCAGGGCGACACCCCTGTGGTTCGACGCAACCGCGGCCAGCTGCCCATGCTGCATCTCGCCGACACCACGCGCAACAACCTCATCGCCATCGCCGGCGAGTTCACGGGCACCTTTCTCTTCCTGTTCTTCTCCTTTGCCGGCACGCAGGTGGCCAACACGCCGAAACCCGTCGCGGGCGCGCCGCCAAATACCTCGGCTCTGCTGTACTCCTCGCTGGCCTTTGGATTCTCGCTCATGGTCAATGTCTGGGCGTTTTATCGCGTTACCGGGGGGTTGTTTAACCCGGCTGTATGTCTCCGCGCTGTGCGGACTATGTGTATATGCCCAGCTAATGGATTGGACAGGTGACTCTTGCGCTGTGCCTCGTCGGCGGCATGCCGCCCATCAGAGGCGTCTCTGTTTTCGCCGCGCAGCTCGTCGGCGGTATCGCATCGGCCGGTGTCGTGAGCGCCTTGTTCCCGGGTAGTCTCAACGTCGCGACGCGGCTCGGCGGAGGCGCCTCCATCTCGCAGGGCCTCTTCATTGAAATGTTCCTGACAGCCCAGCTCGTCTTTGTCATCATCATGCTCGCCGTCGTCAAGCACAAATCGACGTTCCTCGCCCCCGTCGCGATCGGGTTGACGTTTTTCGTGACGGAGATGATTGGTGCGCCATCTACATCCTCTCCCTGCCGGCGCCATGCTAACCGCAGTTTCTAGGGGACTACTACACAGGCGGCAGCCTCAACCCCGCGCGCTCGCTCGGTCCGGACGTGATCAACCGCAGCTTCCCGGGCTACCACTGGATCTACTGGGTGGGGCCCTTGCTGGGCTCGCTGCTCGCCTGCGGGTTCTACTACTTCCTGCGCATGTTCTCGTACGAGTCGGTGAATCCGGGTCAGGACTTTAACGAGTGGGAGGCGAAGCGCGGGGCCGGGTCGTGGGATTTCCATCGTCCGAGTTACTCGGATACCACGACGATCAATACGGAGCCTCGCGGCGGCGGGCGCAGTGGGAATGTGGTCATGGAGCATAACGGGCGGGGTCACAATCCGGGGAGAGTCTCGCCGGGAGAGGCGAGGCCGCTGCCGGATGGGGCTGAGCAGGTGTGAGTGAGGGAGGGGTCTTGGGAGTATCAGGGATATACCTAAATATACTGTAATAGCTGAACAGCAGTCGTATACAAGCAGATACATAGTAATGGTACATAGTGGAAAAGGTGAAATTCAGTCATGATTCATCAGGCAAACTCTAACAAGAGTCCAGCCCAATCACACGCATTCCCTTTGCCGCTAGTCTCCGTCCACAACCAAAAAGCACGCGGGCCAATCCGGACCGAGCCCGATCCCTTCGTGTCAATCATGGCCGCTGATCATTGAGCATTCTGGCCGGTGAGCCCCTTACTGGGGCAGGGGTGCTGGCCCGCGCTGAGCGGAGCTGACCTCTCGTCTTTCTCGACTGAGTCTCGTCCGTGAGGATTAAACTCGGCCTTCTCCCACTCAACTCGGTCGCATCGCACGAAACAGCCGCGGGGAGGAAGCGTCCCAAGAATCCACGGCCACGATGCATCTCACACGCGACCAGAGCCAGCCAGCCACCGCTGGCCCCGCCACACCGGATGCCCTGGCCGATATCCACGATCAGGAATTACTTGGTGAGTTGGCTAGCTAGCTCGCGCCCCCCCACCATTGCTACCCTTGGCTTTTGAGTGCTCCGTAGGGCAGAGGGAACCGCGGAAACTAATCTCCCTGCGCAGCGAAAATGGGCTACAAGCAAGAACTCCGCCGGCGGTACTCGACCGTGCAGATCTTTGCGATCGCATTCAGCATCATGGGCCTCGTCCCCTCGATCGCATCGACCATTGCGTTTTCGCTACCTGCGGGGCCTGCGGGGATGGTTTGGGTATGTAGTATACAATCTCCTGGGCCAATTTGAAACGGGGCTGGAGTTGCGCCTGGATGGGCCCCCAGCGGGATCCATTTCCGCCGTGTGATCGACGCTAATAAAGTACAGGGCTGGTTCACGGCGAGTATACTCATCTTCTTCGTCGGTCTCGCCATGGCCGATATGGCTTCTGCCATGCCGACGGCCGGCGGGCTGTACTGGTGGACGCACTACTTTGCCGGCGAGAGGTGGAAGAACCCGCTCAGCTTCTTGGTTGGATATAGCAATACCCTCGGGCTGATTGGGGGGATATGTTCTGTCGACTGTACGCCCCTTCCCTTCTTCGTCCGAGTGCACGCGCGCTGACCTGGACGTAGATACTCTCTCGCTTTTGATCCTCGCCTGCATCTCCATCGCCCGCGACGGCACCTGGAGCGCCTCGAACGGGACAATCTACGGTCTCTACGCGGGCCTGATCCTCATCCACGCCCTCTGCACAATCCTCCTCAGCAACATCATGCCGCGGATTCAAACATTCTGCATATACATCAACGTCGCGCTGATCCTCGCGACCGTAATCGCCCTGCCCGCAGGCAAAGTCTCGCGCGGGGGCTCACTGAACTCAGCCTCGTATGTGTTTACGCACGTCGAGAACCTCTCCAACTGGCCGACGGGGTGGACGTTTATCCTCGCGTTCATGTCGCCCATCTGGTCCATCGGCTTCTTTGATTCGTGCGTGCACATGAGCGAGGAGGCGGTTAATGCGGCCAAGGCTGTGCCCAGGGGCATATTGTTTTCGGCGGGGAGTGCGTGTGTGCTGGGGTTTTTGGTGCTCAGTGTGATTGCGGCCGTCATGGATCCTGTTGTTGGGAACACGGCGGGGACCGTCTTTGGGCAGCCTATGGCACAGGTATTTACATTTACATATTCTCTCACCCTGCGTTGACATGGCGCACTAGTCGGAGAGGATGAAGACTGACGAACCTGTATAGATCTACTACGACGCCCTCGGCAAATCCGGCGCGCTGGGCTTCATGGCTGTCCTCATATTGATCCAGTTCCTCATCGGACTAAGCCTCGTACGTCGCTCTCCCCTGGACCTCCAAGATCCATCCAGTGCCTGCATCTAACACCCAACATACAAATACACCCCCCATGGCCGAAGCTAAAAGCTGAAGCTGAAACACCCAAGATCTCACCACTCTAGCTCCATCCTTCCATCCTCCACCAACCCCTTCCACTAATCACCACATCCCCATCCACCAACAACTAATCCAATATCACTAATCAATCAATCCCAGATCGTCGCCGCCTCGCGCCAAACCTGGGCCTTTGCCCGCGACTCCGCCCTCCCCTTCTCGCCCCTCCTGCGCCGCATCTCACACATCCCACGGCTGGGGATCACCCACCAACCAATTCTGTCAATCGTCGCCCTCCTCCTCATCTGCGAGGTCTTTGGCCTCCTCTGTCTAATCAACAGTATAGCCGCGAATGCACTCTTCAGCCTCTTCGTCGCGAGCAATTATCTCGCGTGGGGGGTTCCGATCCTCTGTCGGCTGACCTGGGGCAGAGGGAGGTTTGTCCCGGGGGAGTTTTACACGGGCGATGCGTGGTCGAAACCGGTTGCGGGCGTTGCGGTCGCCTGGTTGGGGTTTGGGCTAGTGCTGAGTATGTTTCCGGGGGTGAGGGGGCCGAGTCGTGAGTTTTCCTTTTTCTTTTTTCGATTCCTTTCTTCCTTTTCACTCCTTTCCTTTTCATTCCTTTTCTGGTCCTCTGCGAGTAGTTCTGCTCCTTGCCTGTTCTTGTGCAATGCAATGGCGATGGCGTGCTCTGCTTTTGCTCTTTCTCTCTCAGGACTGTCGTGGCTAACGATGATGTAATCCCCTCACCAGCCGACGAAATGAACTACACCATCGTCATCAACGGGTTCGTCTGGATCGCCTGCATGGCGTACTACTATCTGTATGCGCACCGCTTCTTCACGGGGCCGCGGACGACGCTCGGCTCGGGAACCTCGTCGCCGGTGCCGGTGCCGGCGCCGCTGAGGGATGAGGCTGCGATGGCGAGTGCGACGATACAGAGGGTTAACGGGGAGAAGGATAGATAGATACGAAGATAGATGTATAGGGAGATCTAGACGGATGAATGAATGGATGGGTGGATGGATGAGTGTTGGGTCGCGTGGTTGGTATTCCATATAATACAGCGATGGTTTCGTCTGGTATTGACAGTAGAATGAATGAGAGACCAGTGTATTCCAAATTCCAAATTCCATGTTATCATGTACAGTGTAAGTGTGAATCAATCAATTGCAATCAAATGCATGCATGCGTAGTATTTCCAGTTCCTTTCTTTTCCTTGCCTTTCCACTCCTTCCGTTCCCCAAAATTATGCAGTATGTACTGTGAACCATCCCCCTCTGCTCATATCCATAACTCGATAGAAGCATCTACAGAGCAGCAACAACACCAATCACACCGACGATACCAGCAACACCCATAAACGGCGTAGCATACGCAGCCCCATCATCGGAATCCGTCGTCTCGCTGGCATCGTCGTTGTTGTCATCAGCCGTGGGCGAAGGAGTCTGCGTCACATTGGTCGTGGTGACAGTCTCCGAGCCATCGGCACCGGTGGTGGTTGTCTCAACAGCAGTGGTTGTGGGTGTAGCGGTAATGTCGTCCAGCGACGAAGAGAGGTCGTCGATGGCGGAGGTGATTTCGCCCGAGGCGGTCGAGAAGAGCGACTCGCCCTCGGAGGCAATGGAAGACAGGGCGGACTCGATGTCCGAGGAGGCGCCGGTGGCCCAGGTGGAGGCGTCCTCGAAGACCTCGGAGGCCCAGGAGGAGACGTCGGTGGGGAGGGAGCCGAAGGAGTCGGTGACCGAGTCGAAAATTGTTTCAGCGGCGGTGCCGACGTCGCCGACGGAATCGGAGACGTCGTCAATGATGTCGCCGATGCTGTCGCCGAGGCTGTTGTCGTCGTCCTGCTGGGGGACAGCGAGGACGGAGGTGAGGAGGAGGGGAGCAGCGAGGAAGAGCTTCATTTTGGTGGTGGTAGTGTGGATGGAGATTTTTGTTGCAGAGAGAGGTTTAGAGATAAGATTGTTGATTCAGGGACGGATTCAGGGGATTTAATAAATTGTCTGGAGCAGGGCGAGGGCTGCGCCACCGGCCGCAGCCAGGATGGATGGCGCTGCACTGGACCAAGTCTGGGTACTGGATCCTGTGGAGGCTGGAGAAACGGCGGAACCTGGCGACTGGCCGACTGGCGAGGGAAATTGCTGGAAAATTGCTGAATGTGGGAAATTGCAGCGTCAGCCCAGGCGCGCGGGTTGCCGATCCCCTAATTTTAGCCCCGAATTATTTGCCTGCGATTCCACAATCTGCTCCTCGAATGACGTTGCAACCAGTGATGCCCACAGCCCGTCACAAGCAGTTGGACACTGCCTTGCTTGCCCATCCTGGAGGACTACGGCCATTGGATGCTTGGATGCAGCTTTCCAGTTGCCACAGTTGCACGAACCCATGGTTGTGTCATGCACAATTCATTGCCGAGGAACAATGTGGCTGCCTAATGTGCCACGACGCAATTCTTGTGTCTTCTTGTCTGCCATCATCCTTTTCACATTCACTTTCGAGCAGATCAGGATGCGAGCCTCAACCTGACACATCCTGCGACACCATGACGTGTCTCGGGCTCAGCCTTCCTCTTGGGGTCGAGCTGAGCTCTTGGACGTTGGAGCTGTTGGGGGCCAAGACACAGCCCTACGCTAGGACATCACCGGTTGTCAGGAGTTGATCACGTTGCTTATTCTCACATCTCTCGACCACCTACAGTATGCTGCTATTTACAGTTCCTTTTCTGCCTTTTGGCTCGTCTTGCCCAGGGCCCTGATGATGCGGACCCCATCGTCCAACACACTACTGGCCCCCGACCAGAAGCGCCGCTCGGAATCCAGGGTCGCCTCATGGAGCATCTCGTCGGATTGCGGGGAGGGTGGATCGGTCGCACTAGTGTAGACACTGACTCGGTCGCGGAATCTCACTCGTAGCTTTCCTCGTGGCGGGCTGCCTTCGCTCGCTGTTGTTTGAAAGTACTTCTTGCGCATTGCATACCGCTTGGCCGCCTCGCGTTGTAGTGTGCCGCTCAGGATCTTGCGTAGACCGGTGCTCACCGCAAATCGCATCGCTAGATATGCCCATTCAGCGAGCAGCAGCGTCAGCAGCAGCGACGAGACGCGAATCTCGACCATCCCGTCGCGGTAGAGGTACACAATCGCCGCGGTCGACAGCGCGCCTAACCAGCTCAGCACCTCCAAGCCCTGTAGAGACGGCCCAATCGAGTCCGCGCGGATCGGGGGCGGTCGCTGGCACTCGAGGCTGAGTTTGAAAAAGTCCCCACGCAGCTCAAGCCAGTTGTTGACGAGAAACCCAAGCGCGACCAGCGGCCACGATGCGCCAAACAGCGTGAGATAGCCAAACTGCACACACATCTCCAGCGTATCCTCGTGTACGTTGTACTCGTCGGCCTCGGCCTCGTTGCGGACTCGGGCGAGGAAGGCGCTCTCGTCGGGGTCGTCGAGCAGGACTTGACTCGTGGCCTGCGAGACCTGGCGCCGGTGCTGAGCTGTCGCGTGCTGCTTGCGATATTCTCGCCACTTCTGCAGTGCGATTCGCTTGATATACGGCAGCACAATCTCCTCGCCAAAACTCAGCACCTGGCCTGTCAAAGAGAGATAAATGACCTCCTGCTTGAGCCGCCCGGGATCGATGTGGAAATCGTGTGTGAGATTGGCAGATTCGCCTCGAAGGCTCATATGAGGTATGAGCTTCGCTCCAAAGGGCACATAGGCGTAGGCCGTGAGCAGCGTTGGCAGGAAGGCAGTGATGAAGTGCATCACAAACTGCTTCGTCGTCTGCGCCAGGTCGTACTGATCTTGAGTCCGGTAGTTTTCGTACTTGGTCAACCTGGTCGCGATGCTCGTCAGGAGACCGCTGATGGATGGCAGACACAGCGAGAAGATGACGGTCGGGAGAAACTCGAGGTAACCCTTCAACGAGCCCGTGTACACTTCCGAGATGAAGACCTCCAGCGCAAACGTCACCACAATCAGCCCGCCGAGTGCCAGGCTGGCCACCAAGGCAAAGGGGACCAGCAGCAGCTGCCGGATGAATTGTCGGTACGGGGAGAAGTACTGGACCATCTCGCCAGTGTTGGGGTCTCGAATCTCCTTGTCCCAAACGTACTTGGCCCTGGTCACCTTGAGAGCGCCGACTCCCTTGACCTGCCAGCGAAGAGCGAGATCTGTCTCACGAATCTTCCAGTATTCGACAAACACTATCGCCCAAAGACAGTTGCCCAGGGCAAACGGAATCGAGTAGGATCCCCAGTACCACCACGAGACCATGCCCCAGCCCGCTGGGAAGACGAGAAACGACGAGTACGACTGGATAAAGGCAAAATAGAACGCAACCTACACTTGTTAGCTGCTGTTCCATCTGCAGCGCCAGTCAGCTCACCTTTTCCCCGAACAACGCCCGGATGGAGTCCAGATCTTCCGCTGTCAATAGTATAGTCCTGCTCCACTTCCGCAGCAGCTCTGCATTGGCAGCTTGGTCGTGCAACGGAAAGGCCGAAGCGATATTCTTCCATTTGCCATGTTTTGGTGTTATATGGGCTCCCCCAAGCGATTTCTTCCAGGTCACTGCATGATAGACCGATCGGAGGGCTTCGGCGGGGGTCTCGGCGTCTGCGATTGTCTGCTCGTCACCGGCGGGAATTTCGTGGATAATACCGTATAGCCAGTCTTTGATCCTGAAATGTATAAGCGGATGAACGAATGGCCAGACGCCCGAGGCATGCCCTACCTAGATTGGTGCACAAGATTGCCAAGATGATGACGCGGGACTTTGATGAAGACTAGGAGGGACGCTCCATGCCCGTGGCGTACTTGTGCCTCCAGATTGGCTTCATGTAGATCTTGCAGCAGGGCTTCGAATTCTTCGATGGCTTTCGATGGGTCTGTACACGTTAGTCGGGCACTTCAACCTAAACAGCGACGACAGTCCTACCGAGATCCCCAAACTCATAGAGGACTACCCAGTCGACGCCGAAATTCTCTAATTGTGCCTGCTCCGCAGGCCTGTAGTTTGGAGAGAGATTCATCGGCTGTAGAGGATCTGATTATGGGAGAAACGAGACAGGGCAAAAGAGGGATGGACGCATATTAAGAGGGAGGAAATGCGGAGAGGACAGACAGACAGACCGACAGACGCTGCATCAGTAGGCGCCGGGCGAGCCATTCGGATTCCAGAAGGAGCGACCTGCACGCCTGCCTTTATGAGAGCAGGTGGGGTTCTCCCAATAGTCTGCGATCATTTCAAGGCCATTATTTGCTGATTCAGATTCCATGATCAAGCGGGCGTGTAACTCCATTCCTCGCTTTGATCGCTCAGTCAATATGACTGGGTAAGCGGCGTCAGCCCTACAGGGCTCAACCAGTAATGTCGTAGACGTGTCAATCGCGGTGGATTCTCGCTTGTTCCCAGACGGACCAATCTAGGAACTGATTGTTAGATGCGTTGACTGTTGCCTAGATGTACGGAGTTGTCGGATGTTGATTTTCAAGCCACTGCACTCGCCGTGTAGACCGAACTGATTCTCTGCGCCCTCAGTCAGAATTTGACTGCTGCTATTCTGGTCGACAACGCCTGCGCCAATCAGGCCCGGTCGGCATCAGCATTTCCCACCGCCAGAAGGAATCAGTCTCATCACTGTGCTTTGCTCATCGCCCCTGCAAACTGGGAATTCTGCTGCCTACCGTAAGCCTGAGTCTATACAAGCCGCAGACAAGTGGAGCAGATTGTGGAACTGTGGCGCCGCCAGCCAATAACAGCCTGAGCTGCTCACCAATAATGGCTCATCCTTGCAGGCATCCAGCATTAATCCATTCAAGCCTTTTTGCAGGCGTTATAAGCATCCCTCGAACACAGCTTTGGATTCATCTGATTTAGCCAACCCATCAAGGGATCGGGAGCTGGGAGACCCCTGCTTTGTTGTTACCCTGCTCCCTGCCACTTATACTCAACGAACCCTCTCGTCGTCAATCAGCGAGCCTCACCAGACAAGCTTCCAATCTCCTTCAACCACTCCACTCCTATCGCCCTCATGATCCCCGCGACCCTCGAACCCATGGTGCGCCGACTCTTCCCAGGCCAGAACCTCGCGTTCGGCCTCAGTTTGTTTCTCTTCACCTTTATGGTCGTCCCGACGTTTGTTGTCCTCCTCGCTGTCGTCGTTTTCTTTCTGTTCCTATACCCTCGGCTGCGAAAGTCGATATGACTGCGGCTATCGGTATGTTGATGAATGACTCGTTGGGGTTGAAGATATACTAACTCGAGTAGAGCCTCCACATACACAATGACGACCTTCACGATCCATCTAAGCTCGACTTCGAAAGTCGATTTCTGTACCATACTGTACTTTTCTTTACCTAATGGAAGCCTAGCAGGCACAAGATCAATGTACTATAGTATATTCGACCATTGAGTCGGATACAATACCTTCAATCATCCAGATTCTTCAGAAATCTATCTTTCTACTATGCACGGATCTCTTTTAATATAGCGACAACCGTCCCGAGAACCTATGCCTACTCAAGTCGCTATACTCCACCAGCCTTGGACGAGCCCGAAGGAACACCCACTGCAGCCTCTCTCTGTTTCCCTTCCCGCGCGTTTTACTCGATCTCCTTGAACACTCGCCTCAAGTTGAGATGGGCCTGATGTCGAAGGGGCTCCCATAAGGACCCAAGCTACCCAACTGGGAACTACACAGGGGCTTAAACCGCAGGACCATCACCTAATAAATTGATCGTTTGTCTGGATGCCCTTGTGAGATCTAGAGGATTTCGGCAGAGAGCAACATATCACCACTGGGAATTTGTTTTTATATAGTCAACGCCCGTACTGTGTAAACGGGTTATCTAATGGACGAGTACTTTGTCAAATTTAGGCCTGGCGGGAAGGGTCGCTCAAGCATTTTCCATAGTGAGTGATGTTCTGACTCTCTCACGTAGTTCAAGCAGATATTTCCCAGCAGACGTGTTTCTTATACCAAGGTCAGCCACGCTGCCTGCGCTGCCCCCCCGGCACAAGCCACTGGTATAGGATACCCATCGCGAAACGCCGTCTTTTGTGGGTATACTATTTGTTGGTGGGAAAAGGAATAAGCAAATAAATCCTCAATGCACGACGAATCAGCAGACGCAAAAAGCCTTCTTGATTCCTCGCCTGTCATTATGCGGGGGTGGTCGGGCCCCTCACGCCGATGGCCCGATATCGGCGATCAAGAGCAGCACATATAAATCGCATCGGGGAGAGGGTTTCCACCTTACAATCGTACAGTATTCAGAATATCTCCAATAATAAATATCCAAACCACCGAAATGGCCGAAAAAGCAACCTACACCCACGGCCACCACGCCTCCGTCCTCCGCGTCCACAACCAACGGACGGCCCTCAACTCCGCGGCCTTCCTCCTCCCCCATCTCAAGCCACACATGAAGATCCTAGACATCGGCTGCGGCCCAGGGACAATCACAGTCGATCTAGCGACCTACGTTCCCGAGGGCCACGTCACGGGTCTCGAGATGGTAGGCGATGTCCTCGTCGGCGCGCGCGCCCTCGCGGAGTCGCGGGGGATCACCAACATCGACTTCGTTACCGGGGACGCCAATTCACTCGCTTATGATGATGAGACCTTTGACGTCGTCTTCTGCCACCAGGTTCTGCAGCACGTCGCCGACCCCGTGGCAATCCTGCGGGAAATGAAGCGGGTCTGCAGAAACGGCGGAATCGTCGCTGCCCGCGAATCTGATTACTCGGTCTTCATGTGGTACCCCGAGCTCCCCGGGCTGCGCCGGTGGCAGGAGCTGTATGACCAGGTCGCGAGGAAGAACGGGGGCGAGCCGAATGCGGGGCGGCACTTGCATGTCTGGGCGCGGAGGGCTGGGTTCGATGTGCAGGATGTCGAGTCGACGGTTTCTTCGTGGTGTTTTGCCAAACCTGACGAAATAAAGTGGTGGAGTGGCGCGTGGCAGGAGAGGATTCTGCAGCCTGCGTTTGCGAGGGGGGCACTTGAGGGTGGGTTTGCGACTGAGGATGAGCTTAAGCAGATTTCGGGGGTTTGGAAGGAGTGGGGGGAGCATGAGGATGCCTTGATTTCAATTCCTAGTGCAGAGGTTGTTTGTCGGAAGCATTGATTGGGTCTTGATTCAGTACAGTGGTTCTGCGTGTCATGGCCCATACAGATGCGTAATGCGTATCCTACCTCAATTTTAGCATTTTCGACACCCTATTACCGGGAGGGCAGGCGAGCGTGGCTACTGGCTTTAGAGCTGGAGGTGAAAAGTGTTTGACGTGTACCTGGTTTTATCGGTGGCGTGCCTTGTTCTGAAAGCCTCAGTATTGACGCCCGTCTCGGGGATCCAGGGACACGATAAAGTGCCCCTTTGATTTGTGGCCCGTCTATGTTATCACCATATTGGTGGCTAGCGAAGTCATTTTGGCCAATCTTCCACTTGTATTGCGATTAGCATTTGTTGACAGTACTCCGGAGAGTGATAGTCCGTGGATCGTTATACCCAGATGCAAAGCAAGAAACCAGTACCTCTTCAAAATATAATCATTATTCCTCATCTCCACCCCTCAATATCTACTTATTTTCCCCAACAAACCTATCAAGATCTCGGCATAGCACACATCGGGATCCCGTAGATATCCGCGTCAGGCTGCCACCGAATATGCGAACTGAACGTACTGGTCAAGTCAAACGCAGCGCAACTTGACTGTCTCTCGACCAGTCCAGAATCCCCAGCATCCTCCAGATCCCGTTTCATCGGCATCACCTGCAATCTCCCACCGACATTAAACGCATCCTCGACCGGGTACACGTCCACCTTGATTCTGTTGTTATGTTCTTCGAAATAGCCCTTGATCACATCGACCACCGTCTGGTAATACTCTGGTGTATTGTCGTGGCACTATAGCCAATACGATTCGAGTTAGCATCTCTCCAATTCCCACATCTTGCAGTAGAAGTAGAAGAATCCAACCCACCTCAAACTGCAACCCCACAATCCCACTCAGCGGATGATCCTTATACAGCGCGAGGAAAGTCTCATCCAAGTTCCAGCCGGTCAAGAGGTCGTCCCACCGGTTGACAAACTGCGTGTAGAAGCTGCGCGCCATGACGGCGCCGTTGTCGTCCCACAGGGCGCGCAGCGCGGGGACGATGCGCAGGCCGCCGAGCAGCCGGAACTAGAAGCGGCCGTTGCGGTTCGAGGTCCAGAGGTGGATGCCGCCCATTTCGACGCCGAGGTAGGGCGGTTCGTCGGCGCGTGCTGTGAGGATGGTGGTGGTAGCCTTGGTTGTCTCGTGGGCGGCGAGGGCTGTTGTGTGGGGGATTGCAATGGAGGTTGTGAGAGGGGTGAGGGTCAGGGCGAGCAGGGGGAGCTGCGGTTGTTGGTTAGTTGATGGATTGGGTTACAGGGTCGCTGGGTAAGGAGTGAGTCACCAGGCAGGAAAGGAGCTTCATGGTTGTGCCGTGCGAATATGAAGGCTGACTCAACTACGTTGTCAAAATCGAACCAACAGGCCAGAACACCGGCGACGGCTGGTGCAAGGGCATAATCGACAACATCATCGGCGAGTGCGGCCGGAATCCCTCGAATGTTGCGTATCTCGGCGGCAATGACTGGAAGGGATGCAGCCCGTACCTCACATATCATCTGCACCATCCTGTTACGTACGAGGTCAAGCCGATGCAGGGGCTGGATTTGAATTTTCACTGTATGTTCGAAAGTGCTTTGGGCCGCTTTTCTGGGGAATAAGGCTAGGGGTGTTGGCTAATCGTTTTCTGTGTGCAGATCACTGGCCCTGGACCGAGGGTGAGGACGCGAGATGTTATATTGAAAGTGCTATTAGGAAGGGATCTTGCGCCGGGGATGTGGCGTTCAAGAATGGGGGATGCTATCGGCGGTCTTGAGGACCTTATAACCTACTGTTGGATAACACTCGGGAGGTGTACGCATATTTAACTAAAGGTGTTCGGTGCCGCTGTTCATAGAGCATAAGGGGCTTATGCTTTCGTTAGCAATCGTCAGTTAGCAGCAAGCTATGCATGAAGTCATGAATTGTCAAATAGTATCGAGAAAATCCTACCATTGCATTGATCTGAAAAACAGTGAATCTGTGCTATTCCTTCCAATATATAAACAAGAAAACAGACACTGTACGCGCAAGAAATCCACAAAAGCCCAACCTGACATTAGGGGAACGACATCCCACTATACAAAAGGTAGCTGCCATGATTGATATTGATTGTCGATATCTCTTCTAATTACCGCATCATTCTAATATACATGGGTATCAATCGTGTTTATATCCGGAATATATCCTTTGTAGCCCCTGAGCCCTTTAGGTTCACTTTGCCGCAGATCTAAGAAAGGTCTTTGTATGGACGCACAAACAAGTCTTTGAGGCGTGTCTACTTTTATAGAGATAACAAAGCACATTCCCCGTTTCAGGGGACTTTGCTCGCTTTGTTTGACGTTACCAGCTGGTGCAGTTTCTCAATCCAACAAAATTACCTACTGGAGGGGCTTAAACAGGAGAGAGCGTGGGCCACTGATCTTCTAATTATGCATAAAGTGAGTATAAGGTGAATATAACGATGTACTGGGGCATCAAGTTCATCTCGCCGTATACGACAGCTTGATAACCCCATCATAAGCATAGTGCAAAGGGGTCTTACCTGGAAAATCTGCTTTGGATACTTCTGCCTCTACCTCGAGCAAGAACTTGGTGTTATCATATGCCCGCACCTTGCAAGGATACCAAAAACATGTTCGCCCTTTAGCGTTGCAAGAATTCACATTGATACCGAGCTCTGCAAGGAAGCATTGTAGCATCTCAAACTCACCATGCTCCGCTAGCAGGTGTAACGAAGGCTGACCGAGTCGTTTTTCGAGCTTAGAGTCTCTCCCGCGCCGAAGCAGCATCTGGGCTGCCTCTATGTGACGTTTGGCTCTTTGCTTGAACTCGGGAGATTCCGGACTGTCGTAGGAAGGGAACTTCATAACCATGCCATATTCGAAAGCACTCATTCCCCAGTTACTGGATATGCTGAAGTTCGCGCCGGCGTCAAGCAGGTAGGGCAAAATAGCGAGATGGCAGCCTTGTGATCAACCGAGCCATGATAATGAGCTGATCTCAGCGTGACTGTTAATTTACTTGTTTGTTGGGTGTGGTATCTGATACATTTTACAGTTTGGCCTAGTCGATACGAGGTAGCTGAAAATCCGTTGTTCGTGGTGCCCAATATCTAGAAGCGCAGTTTAAATGGTAGCACTAGCTGTGGCTGCCACTCAGTTACTCCTTTATTTTTCTGTTTTATACTGACAGAGCGCGCTACGGCTCCGGCAGAGAACTCAGCCATGACCAAAGAAGATGCATGCATTCAGATGTTTGTCAGATCTGTCGGAAGGATGAAGCTATCTAGCTAAGGAATCGCTAGATATAGCTAAATGAAAGGAAAGAAGACATGTGTGCTAGAACCTTCCGTGGAAGCCAAAGGACCGATAGGCGGGGCTTCCAACATATACTAGTTGTGCGGACTAGTGGTGGCTTTTTTTTTTTTTTTTTTTTTTTTTTGGCGTTTTGTGAGCCAACAATGGCCATTGAGTGGTGAAACCAACTTAGGGCATTGGGTCTTTCCTGAACCCATTGATGGATTTCACTTGCGACAAAGGCACTCTTGGTGCCCATTAATCCCCATGCAAAGCTTTTTCGAGTCCGGACGCAAGGTGTAACAACCTCATTCAACTCGGAAACTCAACAGACAAAGGACGGGTGGGATAAAGCATCTTGAGATGTATATATACCTTCGAATGCCGGCTCCCCAATCTATTCCTCATATTCATCAGTTTGAAATTCCAACAACTGTTGCAACCAAGAATGTCGAACATTCCTAGTTGCCAATCGCCACAGTCATCAATGACTCCTTCCATTTTTAACCTCCCTGAGGAGCTGATCCTTGAACTCGGCAAATACCTCTATGGCAAAAGCTTGCTGGCTTTTGCTATAACCTCTAAGCACGTTCAGAGAATTATTGCTCCGTTGCTAGAGGATGAAAAGAATGAGGTTGTTCGCGTCTGGGACAGAACGGAAGAGGGTGTGCCCTTCCTCAAAACCGTTCGAGTGAGTCACGACAAGCTGCCGAAATTCTGGTCAAAGTACAGCGAGCTGCTTCTGGCGTGTGAAGAGGAAACCATCGCAAAGGTGCAGACGCTTCTGAAAGACAAACGAGTGCTTCATGTACTCAACGACGAGAAGCTGCCCAACGTCCATGAGGGGATGTATGGCCTCTTGGAGGCCGCGGGCGGTAGCATTGAGATTATTAACCTCCTCAAAGATACCGAGGCCGAGCTCGAATACCTTAATGTCATACGCTTTGCCTACCTTGCAGCTGCCGGAAAACTCGACAAAGACCGATTTCGTGAGCAACTACTCCTTCTTACTGGGAAAGACTCTATCCTGGATCTGAAAGAGGAAGCAACTTTGTGGAACACGCTTTATTACGCACTTCTGTTCCGTGCTCCGCCTCCCGCTATCGACTTGCTGATTAGTGGTGGACTGTCCTTTAATAATCTGGATATAGAAGGGTTTGGTCCATTAGAGTGTGCATTCGGCTTTGTTCAACACGACAACTACGAAACGGAACAGACGGAATTGGAGTACCTCCGCTGGTTACTGTCTAAACCCGAGCTTCAAGGGCCAGTCGACGCCAGTGGGCGTTCCGCGGTTCACTACGCTGCGCTCATGAACCATCTCGCAGGGTTGAAACTGCTGTTGACCGAATTAAAGGCTGGCGTCGATGCTCCCGATCGTCATGGAATCACCCCGTTGCTTGCAGCTATTGAGCATGAAGTTTCCAGTCGCGGTCCCGAAGCCACATGGGAACCAGGTTGCAAGATTGAAACAATTGAGATCTTACTTGGAGCCGGAGCATCTGTTGCAAGGGTGCTGCAGGTGGGTGGCAGAGATATAACACCCCTTGACCTCGCTTTGACCATGGAACATCCGTGCCTGCGATTGATTGTTGACGCGTGGCTGTCGGAGGCCGGTTATCAGACGAATCCCAACGGGCTTCTGGTGGCCGCGGCTCATCTGGGAGACCTCGAGCTAATGGAAACTGTTTGGCCACTCTGCGACACGCCGGATGAAGGGCTTCACCGATACGACCCAGAAGTCGCCATCATCCATGCTGCCCGCAAGAAACACTCCAACTGTGTTGCTTTTCTCCTCGGCCACCTCCCGAGACTTTATGCCGTGTACCGCACTCCGGACCTCGGCGGGGTCACTGCGCTAGAGTTTGCTCTCAGCTGTTCAGATCTAACAGATGAGGATATTAGAAAGCTTGTGTATGCAACACCAAGCGTCGCGATCACGGCGCGGACCCTTCTGGAGGCAGTACCGAACCGGTCGTCTAGCGTCGTGACTCTCGTCTATAAGGCCATGCATCCTCCCCACCGCGAAGAAGCCCTGAGACATAAAGCACTGGTCCTGGCTGCAGAGCTAGGTAAGCGTGGAGCTTGCCGCGCACTGTTGAAACGCATGGACTTTGCAAAAGTGAGCCACAGAACTGCTCTCCAAGCCGCTGTCAACGCCTCAATACCACCATGTTCCCGCCGCAGCCGGCTGCCTGTTTTCAAACTTCTCATGGAGCATAACCTTGAATTGATCGATCCCAAGACGGTCAATAGGGCAGCACTTAGCGCCGCCCACCTCGGCCATTCAGATGTGCTAAAGCACATTATTGACACCCAAGCTGATGTCATCTGTGAGAGCCATGCTAAGATACTGGAAGTATCGGCCTGTATAGGCTACTTCGATATTATCGACACCCTTTATTCCCAGCGGCCAGAGCTCAAGGCCAGGGACATGCCATCTTCCCCGTCCTGTCTCCTTCTCCATGCGGCTGCCGCTGACCAGAGGAATCTGGTGAGGCACCTTATAAGAACTCACAATGCAGATTTGAACCATTTCGACGCCCGGGGTAGGACCGCCCTGCATTATGCTGCTGCTGCCTGCTTACCAAAGATGGTCAAGCTGCTCTTGCGGCTGGGCTCAGCGGTCAGTTGCTTGGATTGCGAATCGAGCACCCCCTTTTTCCTAGCCGCTACAGCACGTTCTCACCAGTTTGACCCAATTGACAAGGGCGTTTCCTTGTTCAGAGAGCATCTGGTCCGCCGGCAGCTGCGGACGATGCGTATCCTGCTCGACAATGGAGCCAAGATTGATGCCCCTATCTTGTCTCATTGTGTGGCAGACGGCGAGAAGGAGCTGGTCCAGTTCCTTGTCGACAAGAAGGTGGATATCCTTGCTAAGAATGTGGATGGGACGACTCCTTTGGAATGGGCCAAGAGTGATGAGATCATTAAACTGCTATACTCATACCATGTTTAACATGAACCCAAGAGAGAAAAAGAGAGAGAAAAAGGAACCAGAACGGTTGATGCAATCTAACTAACTGGTGTGATATTTGATAACTTTCTATAGCCGTGTTTTCTCTAATCAGTACATCAGTCGGTAAATCTAGCTTTTCGTTATTCATTACAATTCCAGTTAGTCAAGTCAATACCCAATATAGCTCATCAGTTGTTCTAGCTCTTGCATGTACCTTCTCTTCTTCATATTCAGCGTACTCTAAACGCTACTCGGGGAGTTGTTAACTATATTCACACCTCTAGAAGTCTAATTAGGCCAGACCATGCTTTATATATGTATCCCTGTTAGCCTATACAGGCTTTGCGTGTAACATCTCGAACCACACCTCTAACGACTCGAAATCATCAAAGAAAAGAGACCTACGCCAACTAGTCTGTGGGTCTACGATGTGGCTAGTCCACCTGAACTTAACCTGGGCAGAGACCGAATTAAGAACAGTGGCTTGAAGGGCACGGGGGCTGGAGACAACAAATGCCCAGCAGCACGGAGACTAGCGTTAACGTGGCCGTCGAGTCTTCGACAATACCTACGGTAATCTTTAGCCCCAGGCAGATCTCTTACAGCCAGCTTTCCAACTAAACTAGTATGCAAAAGGCCTACGAAGGGTGAAATGGAGGGATAGATCCCCGCGAATTTTGGGGGTCTTATATGAGAACACTAGAAGAGACCGTGGCTCGCTTGCGTATCAAGAAATATGACTGGTAAGGGAACAAGGATGCCACATTTCAAAACTCGGCCAAAGACAGCTTTAAAGTTCGTTCTTATCTCTAAGAATCTCCAGCAAGGAGGGAATGAGATCCGATATTGCCTCAGCCCCCACTGCCAGAAGCGCTAAGCAACCTATAAAGATAAATCTTCTATTGGAGATTAAAGTAAGCTTAACAGCCTCCAGAAGTAGGTACCGTTCAGCACACCAATCAGACATCATTTACCGCACCTTTGTCAACTGTGATTCGCAGTTCCTTCAAATTAACAGTCTCCTCGGCAACAGTGACAGAGCTGGGCACGCGCTCGTGGACGGTATCTTCAAATCTATCTCACTGGACATATGACCGAATATCTTCTTATGGAATCGCCGGCCTGATGACGAGACCGATCCCCATGGTGCAGTCAGGTGCAACCATAGGAGCCTGCCGCCCCCTCAAAGCTCATTGCAGTTCATTGAAGCTCGGTTCTTTATGTGACTCTAGTATCTCCTCGGGCTTCTTTGGGCATCGTCTTCTCTGGACATGGTGAAAGGTGGAAAAATGGTGAGAAATAAGGTGATATTCAAGGCTTAGTCGCGCTAAAGTGTGTACTGAACTGCTCAGTATATACAGAGTACAGAGATTTATACTACACATAACATAACTAACATGACTGTGATTTCGATACCCTACTTCTTATACTGTGCGTATGATAGACAGTCTTTGGTGCTGCGCGTCATCCCTCATAAGAGCCACATGCATAGTTCGTTGGACTAATCAACCAAAGTATCTTCTCACAAAAGGCCTCACCTGACTAGTAAAGTAAAAAGGCGTATACCGTACAACAGAACACCTTTCCACTTAGCCATACTGCCCATAATCGGCATTGTAACTACCTTGGACTGCCTACTCAAGCTTCGCAAAGCCCATACTCTCCCACCTCCCCAAAACCCTCTCCTTGACCTCCTCGGGATAACTCTCCTTGAAATCCGCCGCCTCCCAATTCCTCCTCCCCTCTGTATATTCCACAGGCAACAACGCATCAGAAACAACCTTACCGCCACGCACCGGCGATGAGTTCCCATGTGCATTATAAGGAATAAGCGGAAACGCCCGAACATCCTCGAAGAACACCTCATCAACACCAGGCTTGCACCGCGTTGAGAACGCCCACATGACCTCCTTATCGTCATAAACGTCGATATCCTCGCCGACCAGGACAAGGCGGTGGATCGTGTACCCAGCCTTGTGGTTGAAGATGAGGTCGCCGATTTGCTTCGCAAAGGCCTTGGGGTCTACGCTCAGGGCGCGTAGGGCCGTCGTGTCAATGCGCAGGGCGACCCAGGTTACCTGTGAGATGAAGGGGGCGAAGGCGTCGAGGACGGGCAGGTGGGCTTTTTGGCACAGTTTGCGGATTTCGGCGGCGGCGAGGGAGCCGATCATTGTATGCTAGACGTACATTAGTAGTTGATGCTTTTGAGGGTGAGGGGGCTGGCTTACGGTTTCGTCTGTGAGTTTTCCGCATGAGCTCATGGGCAGAATTGCGTTGTTCCGGTAGGTGATCTTGTTGACCTTGTACTTGGGGCAGATGTGTGTATCGCCGGGGAAGATATAGCTAAGCCATAGTCAGTGTTAAACGGCGCAGGATACAGTAGGTTAGGCAACAGACCCATGCATCTCCCCAAACGGCCCCTCAGGCCCCTTTTCCGTAATCGACAGCGTCCCCTCAAACACAATCTCTGCATTTGCAGGAACATAGAGGTCATTCGTGTCACACTTTGTCAACTCAATTGGCTGACCAACCATGGCACCAACGTATTCAGCCTCCGTGACCCCATCAGGGATGGGCATGGAGGATGCCATTATCGCCGCAGGGGGGACGCCGAATGCTAGTGCCCAGGGGACGTCACGGCCCTCCTTCTTCCACATCTGGTGGATCTGCCAGATGTGCTGGGGCTCGATGACGAGACCTGTAAGGTGGTTTTTGTCGTGGACCATGGCGCGGGCGATCGACCAGTTTGTCCATTTTCCGTCCGGGGATTGGACGATGTGCATGCCTGAGCTTCCTGTTAGCGGCGATTTCTTCCGGTAGAAAGGGATTTACCGAATGTCTGAACATAGGCTCCACCATCTGACGCATGAATCATTGGGACAGGGAGCCTCGTAAGGTCAATCTGATCCCCTTCGATGCTATTCTCCTTGCACGGCCCAGTAGACACAATACTCGGCGGAATAGGCGGCAGTTCATCCGCAGCCAACATCTTATCGAGAATCTCCCTCATACTCGCAGTGGGAGGAAGCGCCAGGTGGCGTGCGAGGCGGCCAAACCTCTCCGTGGGCGACTTCCTCAAAGACGCAGGTGCACCTAGGATCCGCCAAAGGCCATCCTTTGCGCCAACGACATTGTTGAACAGCGGCGCCTTTTCGTCGTTCTCGCAGACAAGACGGGTAATGGCGGCGGCCTCGAGATACGCGCTCACGGGCTCGTTGATCTCCACGAGGTCGTTGTCGGCCTTGAGGGCCTCGATGAAGGAGCGGAAGTTGAGGTGTGGTTCAGTGGCGGACATTTTATTAGAGCAGTGCTTTGATGTAGTATGTCTTTGTATGATTGACCGAGCAGGGATGTTCATCGACCTGAACTATGTTATGCCTTTATATACTCAACTGCCCGGCAAGCCGGATCTTGTTGTGGCTTCCACTCGGGCCGATTGAGGCACCTTAGTCTCGGGTCTCGGAGGCTCGGGCATGCTGCCAGATTCGCTCCACTCATCTTGGAAGACTCATTGTTCCGCTTGAGCCATGGATCACCACGTGACCAGTGGCCATCGACCGAGGCTCCAACGTCGCACTGTTCATGAATCGGCCAATAAGCGACACAAACATCAACTGCCAGTGCAGTAAACGTCACTGGCCGACGAGTACCTATAGCGCATGCTTAAGAGTCATCAGCCCAGTTTTGCGAACCGATCAACGCCGTGCACACAAACGGTCTCACCGACCCGAGCAGATCCGAAGTCATCCGAGATGGAATCCGGCCCTCGGGGCTCACAGGATCTCGAGCGCCAAGAGATAGATCGCGTGCTACGCCTGAAGCGGAAACAGCGCGAATCCAAGGCGTGTTATCCCTGTCGCCAGCGCAAGGTGAAATGTGATGGCGAGCAGCCCTGCCGAACCTGCACGCGGAGAGAGCATCCACAAATCTGCGCGTATAATGTTGAAACGCCTCAAAGCAGGGCGAAGAGACGCTCGGAGCATAAGTCACCGCGCAGAACCCGGGGTGTTTCGAGTTACTTGGACGTGCAGTCACACTCCCCCAGGAATACTGCGGACGCTGGATCGCTTCCCCCCTCTTCTCCCGTCGGTAGCCCTGAAGGCTCCAGGCACCATGACGACAGCTATGTCTTCGCGGGAGATAATTCGCTTGTGTCGATGCTGCACCAGCAGGATCCGCATGGTTCTATGGCTCGAGAAGCGACTTCGGTCCTCGGTCTTCATAATACATATCTCAACTACCCATTCATCGAGTCGAAAACGCCACAGGAACGGTGGACGGCCCTTATTGATATTCTTCCACATAGAGATGAGGTGTTGAAGTATGTCGTCCAACTCATCTATACCAAAGTGCCTCCAATCCGCATACTGATTAACTAGATTCTTTCATTTCTATCGTATATGCGCATATCCGTTTAATCCGATCCTGGTCGATGTTGACAAATTCGAGTCTGATATCTGTCTATATCTCAGCGCCTATGCATCCGGTGAGCTCCGCAATCGAGGAAGGATCTCAAGCAATTGGCTGTCTACAAAGTCAATAGGATACTCTAGTCTACTCCTAGCTACTTTGGCTGCCGGTGCACACTTTTCAGACCTAGAGAACCCCCAGCGCTCGGAATTGTGTCAGGACTTTGGTACGTGCCTAGTCTTCGGTCTGATGTTGGTCTAACCTCAACAGTACGGCGTTCATTCCACGCTCTCCGGCTTGCAAACTTTCTCTTCCGCCCATCCCTGGACGCTGTGCAGGCGCTCCTGATTCTGGGCAACACGTTGCAGAACAACGGCCAGTCTGACGCAGCGTGGGCCCTCCTCGGGACCACGGTCAGATTAGCCCAAACACTCGGCCTACACACTGAAAGAGGAATCGCCCACTGGCCCGAACACGCAAAGCTAAAGGCGAGATTACTGTGGTTAGTACATGGTGCATCTCCAACAATTACGACTAACCCTTCTAGGTCAATGACCGTCTGGCAAGACAGCCTGCTCAGCCTCTGCTACGACCGCCCACCAATCGTCTCAACCCGAGGCTGGGCACCCGACGCCGTATCCAGCCAGTGCGAACTATCGTACACCAACGTGATGCACTACCTGTGCTGGATAGCCCTGCGAATTATATCTCTCAACGAGCTAGGTGACCCCCAACCACAGAGTAACCTCACCCTCCTCGCAGAGCTAGACAGTACGCACGCGCGCGCGCAACGCCACCTCCTCGAGCGCAGCAGCTGCAAGAACCTCCAGCAGCATCTCGAACATCTCGCCCTACGCATGCACACCTCCTTCTGCGTGTCTGTTCTCTGCCGACCAGCGTTGAAGAGCAGACCTGATTCGATCGACCCTCATACCTTTGAGAACCTGCGCTGCCGCGCAAAAGCAAGTCTCATCGACGCCGCAAAGGCCTTTCTGGACTTCCAGGCGCTAAGTGTCGTCCCGTTGCGCACGTGGTCGATGGTGCACACGGTCCTCAGCTCGACGTTACTCCTCTGTATCTGGCCGGAGACGAGAGAAGACCCCGAATGTAGAGATTTACAGCAGCGTGCTATTGAAGTATTTTCCGTATTCTCTAGTGGGAACTCGTCGGCGAAAGATACGGCACCCTCGGATTATACCCAGTGGCTTTCGGCGCGGCATATCCGGGCACTCGTCACGCTGAGGCAGAGCTTAGGGAACACTAGTGCATCTACACCAGGCAGAGCTGCTGCTGTACCGACTGTGCAGAATCTAGAACCTTCAAATGTGGAACAGCAGCCGATGGATGCTGGTGTTGCGCCGGAGACAATGCCTATGGGTGGTTTCCCGGCGTTTAATGACTTCTTCTCCGGGCCGGGATACGGGTAAGTCCGCCTTTGGTAGGTGCTGTTGACATGAAGGCTGATCGACCAAAGCTATTCTAATATGGATTTCTCGCCTCTGACGTATCTTGATTCAATCATGAACGGTGGGTACTGAGAAGTTTTGCTAGCGAGTGGATGCTAATGAGCTCATAGTCCCGCTTTTTGATCTACCAGAGGAGATCTAGCCTGTTATCAACAAGTCCCGCAGTTTGAGAATTAGGTACTTGAAAAATTCGGAGCAGCTACTGTGTGTCTCGGAATCTCGGTATACACTCGGAGACCTTGTACCCATTTTCGGTGGCTCGGAGGCTCGGAGCTTTCCACACCTGCAGTCACAGATCCATTCTCTGCAGAGGTCGAGAACCTCAATCAGCGCCACTCGCCGGGTACGGCATGCCGAGTCCATTGTTTAAAAGGAGCTTGGTGTATCCGAATATCAGCGTGCCAGAATCTACCACAACAACCGTGATTCAGCCAAGAACAAGTATCAAAAACTCTACAACAGTTCCTGGCCAAGAACACCAACACAGATATAAAAAAAAAAATGCTACAAAATCTCCTACACAGCGCCAGCGGCACAATAACCCCCCAATCCTCCCACCACTCCCCCGAACCAGACGCCGACACCATGAATATCTCTCACACCGCACCTGCACTTGCCACAAGCCGAACACCTCCCCGCAAACGCATGGTCGTGGCCATAACCGGCGCAACCGGCGCCCTCCTCGGCATAAAAACCCTCCTCGCCCTGCGCACACTCAACATCGAAACCCACCTCATAATGAGCAAATGGGCCGAAGCAACCATAAAATACGAAACAGACTACCACCCCTCTAACGTCAAAGCCCTCGCTGACTACACCCACAACATATCCGACATGGCGGCGCCCGTATCGAGCGGATCCTTCAAAACAGACGGGATGATCGTCGTCCCCTGTAGTATGAAGACGCTGGCTGCTATCCACGCAGGGTTCTGCGATGACCTCATCTCCCGCACGGCGGATGTTATGCTCAAGGAACGCAGGCGGCTTGTTCTTGTTGTAAGGGAGACGCCGCTCAGCGATGTGCATTTAAGAAACATGTTAGAGGTTACGAGGGCCGGGGCTATTATTGCACCGCCTGTTCCTGCATTTTATATAAAGCCGGGTAGCGTGGACGAGTTGATTGACCAGAGTGTTGGGAGGGTGTTGGATCTGTTTGGGCTTGACACCGAGAGGTTTGAGAGGTGGGAGGGGTGGAAGAAGGGGTAGATTTATCATTGTTTCTTTCTTCGTGTATGGTACCATTTTTTTTGGCCGGCACTCAAGAGTCTTTTAGGCATGTATCTTGATTGAAAACATCAAATAGTTCAAATGTACAAGAGCTTCTCTGATATGGATGCTGGATCCGTCCTACAGTCAGGATTGCAATGTGTAATACCCATACTCTCCATTTGGTCCACTTTCAAAGGACCAGATATCTCTCGACGACGAGAGCTAAAGCTCGCCATGATAGACCTGATCCTCACTTTTAACCTCATTGACATCCTTATGCTCATCCCCATCCTCATAGTTGTCTTCCATCATACAATAGGAGGTATCCGACCTAAGATTCGAACAGTGCTTTCAACACTCGGTTACTAGGAGAGTCAGTATCCGCATGCTGTGATCTGGAATTCCAAGCACATCAACAGAGTACTCCCGTTCCATCGATACAACTGCTCTGGAGTGATATAGTTGACTTCACGCATCTCCGAGTATCTGAGTGCCAAAAAGCGAGTTGATTATTGTAGTAATGTGCCTCCGTAATGCAGTAGAAGTTGGAAGATTAATGTAGCTCGGACGCAGCCTATTGCGAGGCTTGAGTATTATAAGTATGTGATTGTCAAGGAGACGTTTGAGATGATTATCCCAGGGGAGAGAGTAGTAATGTGCTCTATGGGCTTGAGGGCAGCTTCAAGGCGAATCGGGAGAAATTCGAGAGGGGGAAGGAGGAGGAGGGGGAGGGGTATGGGTGAGGGTAAGAGTGAGAGTGAGAGTAAGGGTTAGGATAAGGGCGAGGGCCGGGGCCAGGGGTATAATGACAAGGATTGGCCACACTCCTGGCGCAAACAACCTCATCTTTGCTAGGGTGCCGTGTTGGGATTCCCTGCCTTCGTCTGATTGCAGAAGGTTCTACCATCATGTACCTGGCGAAATCTAGCAATCTTGCAGATGGTTTCTTCTGTCTAAAATACAACCCGTTGCGTTATAGCTTAATGAGCTCCTGCTTCAGCACCCTATGAATCCATTGTATTTGAGGGGTTCGAGCTTTGCTGTGGGGACTCGATAGGTATCGGATGAGAGACTATGGTAGCATTTGTCCATAAACTACACGTAGCTGCGGAATACTGCTTTACTCAAGAGCCAATGAAGAATGATCCATAAGATAAACACTCTGACATGTTCTAGATTGGTATAGTACACGACCACGGTTCTACCTATCACTAAGCAACCAACTAATCTACTCCAAGTACTCAATACCCCATATGATCACCTAAGAAGGAGGAGCACCAGTTGGAATGCCACTAGGCACACCACCACTGGGCATCTCACCACCAGGACTGCCGCTACCACCCCCAAACCCACCCATACCCGAGTTCTCGTTCTCCACACCCCCTTCCTCAGTATAGTACGCCGCAGGCGAAACATCCGTGCTAGCAGACGAATCAACGACAACCGTCACCCAAGCAAACACGCCCTCGGTAATATCATCGCCCAGCAGCACGTAGGAGACGAACGGATCGATGTCGCTGTTGAGCTCCTGGAGGAGGATGCTGTCGTCCGCGTTGAGGGTGAGTTCCTGCGTGTTGCTGGCGTAGGGGCTGGAGAGTTCGACCTGCGTGATGAGGTCCTGGTCGAAGAAGATCTGGCCGACGTGGGAGGATTTCGACGAGTAGATGTCTGTGATGGTTTCGTTGTTGCGGTTTACATTTGTGCTGTTGGCGGGGTGCGAGAGGACGTGGATGTGTGTTGCGCGTCCGGTGTAGTGTCCTTAAAACGGTCAGTCTTCTATATGTCATACACCTATTGCAGCTAGTTTACCTGGGAAAATGGAGTGGAAGGAGGCAACGCCGAGGGTATCGGTGCGCTGAAGGCCGCGGAGGAAAGTCGAGTCTAAGTTTGACTCGTCCTCAGAATTTCCATTGCCGGATGCGACGACACCAGAATAGACACCCTACTTCGAGTTAGATTTGCTTGTGTTGAGTCAAATGCGATGGCAAGGGGGGCGGGCTTACAGTAGCGTTGCAGTGCCAAAAGTCAATGTAGACGTCGGGGACGGGCTCGCAAGAGTTGGAGTCGATGAGCTGAATGTCCAGATACAGCGGGACACCTTCCTGGTCCTCGACGAGGTTGTTGCGGATGAGCTCTCCGCTCACGTCTATAAATTCTATTAGCAAAGTGCATCACCTTGTCTTCACTCGGTGACACGTACAGTATGGACCCTGGGTGACATCCTCAGCGAGGACGCACGAGCCACCAGAGGAGAAGAGAACCTCAGGATCAACAGCGAGGTCGACAACCAGGTCGGACTCATGTGTTTCATTAAGCGGGGTGAGGTCGCGGGCCTTGAGGAGGGGACCGTCGAGACCACGGGCCTTGCGGAGGGTCTTGAGAGTCTGCTCGCGGCGGGCAATGTTGTTGGCCTCGACGCCGCGAGCGGCGAGCTGGGTCGAGCACTGCTCGACACCACGGGCACGGATACCCTTCAAGGCAGCAGCGCGCTCAGCGGCTTCAGCCTTGACATCGTGGCCGGGGTGGGCAGAGGCAACGGCAGCCAGGCCGAGGCCAACAAGAGCAGAAACGCGGACCATAGTGAGGAGTGAGGACTAGGGAGGTTGTGAGGTTGAGTGGTGAGTGTTGAGTGATCTAGACTTGTATCGAGAAGAGATGATTACCTCTTTATATCTCCCCGTGCTGGAGTCTATCCAGGACGCATAAAGTAGATGACGAGTCCCAGTTTCGACATTTCCAACCAGATGACGAGAATGGCATATGCTGGCAAATGCTGGAAACAGACGGCGTGTAGGTCGGGCCCACCGGTCCTCAGCCACAGGAGGTCTGCCCTAGGACTGGATCATCCAGCGTCTTCAGTTCTTGAACTAGCCGCGGCGCTAATATCAAGCTTGATTTGACACGGGGTAATAGGCTTGTCGATCCCATCAGAGGGCTGACGACGACTTGCAATGTTGTATATTGTAAACATGGTAGAGTACAGGATGTTTCATCCATAACAGCCAGGTATCCTCGGAATACGTACTCGACTTGTGTGTGTGTACAGAATGCAAGCAAGCAGTAGAGTAGATCGTACCTGACGCTCAATCGGATCTCCCAGGTCTGGGCAAATCCCCCTCGAGCAAAGAAAACGCAGATCGTCACAAGTTACAACCCCTTCCTGACGAAACACCCCCGGCTCGCAATGCAAATACCCGCCAGCTTATTGGTGTTTTTCTCTCAGCAGCGGAAATTCAAGCACGCTAAGACGCCCGCCAACTCCGCAGGACACGCATCCGGCCTTGGCACGTCGTCACCCTCTTATCCGCCGCTGACTTTCTGCACACAACCAGTCCACTCGAGCAGCTGGAATCTTTGAGAACAGGAAAACTGAGAGATCAGCGCTTCCATACCCCTTCTGTATAATCCACCGTCATCAAGGCCACGCACAAGACCTTGGCAGGTGGGTTCAAGCTCGTGGCTGGATTGGCGGCTCGGGAGGCGCCTGCAATTCCGAGCCCTACTCTAATCCCGGTGTGGGCCTCCAATTCCGAACGGGGCTGCCATGGGTTGCGGTGGCGATCACCAAGGCCTCGCCAACGAGATTCCATGCATTATTGAGCGTGCTGGAGTCGGTTGTGAGCACTGCCGGCTCTTGTGGTCTACCGAGGTACCTATGGGAGCCAGATACTTTTCTGACGATCGTGGGACGCCGCGCCGAACTCTTGCTGTAGTCTGTTTTGGAATTCCGGGCCCCGAGGTTAATTCCGTCAATCGCCAATTTTTGGATACATGACCTGCCCCTGAAGGCTACGAGAAGCAACCGAAGCCAAGACGATGAGAGAGCTTGGAGATTTTTTGGACCAAGAATTCTCAGACTCTTTGATGAATGGTCGTTGAGTTGCTTCATCAAGTGGGCACGGTCCTTCGTCACCGATCAAAGACACCATGTACGTACGAAAGAAGACGAGTTCCTATATTCTGTCACACTCGTTTAATGATAATATCTTGATGGTGTGCTTCATCGGCTTGAATTGGTGCGCAGGCCATCCGCGGCAGGTATAGGGCTTCTCCCCTCAACAGAAAGATGTTTCCTGCGGCGGCCAACAGTAAAGGCGAGCCTTGTCTACGCATTCTATCCGTCACGTTCACACTAAACGAGAGAAGCCTACAGGTTTACCTAGTAATTTCCACAGCTGCCACTTTCAACTCATGGGTGAACTGAGACTTCAGCGCGAGATTAAGATGCATGCCAAAATCGGTTTGGAGAATTCAACCGAGTTCAGGACAAAGATACTCACCACCATTCTATCTCCTAATATTTGTGTGGAAGTATGAGTGGCGATGCTTAGGGAGATGCTATGTAGATAGCTTCGCCGTAGATCAGCGCAGGCTGATTAAGTTGATGTATGCTGAACAGAGGCATGATGCCCCAGATTTATGCTAGCCTCATTCTACGGTAGGTCAATTAGACTCCAGGCCTTCGCTGGGGGATTTTATATTCATTGGGCTCTCTCTGGCGGTTGTGCTCTTGTTCCCTTGATGCAGACAATCGTCAGGCGCGATAGCGCTTTCAAGTTGCTAGCTACGGGCCTATTTTAAACGTAGCTAAGTGTAGGGTTGAAATGCTAAATGGGGTGCAACAATGTATGTGTCACTTTTCCTTGCCCATGGCCAATAGGCGGTCGATATGAGCTAGAATGCAGCTGCGAAGGGCTGTGAAGCCCGGCCGAGCTAAAATAGTACCTCTCATTTATCATGTACTTGGGAACCGAAGCAGAATGCCAATAAGCAGAGAGCTGACTTACAAGAGGAGTATTTCGATTACATACTACATCATGGTTGAACCTATCTACTCAACAGGTAGATGCCTTCTCGCGGGCAAGAACCAAGAGCAGTCAAGAAACACTGCGACTCCCTGTTCAATGATAAGGATGGATATATATTCTGCTTCCACTGACATACCTTTGAACGACCCGACCTTGTTTTATGCAGGTGAGCAGCCAAACGCCGATTGCCGCAAGTCCCCTACCTACCGTTCCTCCCGACTCAGTGCGGCCCTCGGGTAGCACCCGCTAGAGCCTTGCACGTTCCATACAATGTGCGTATAAGCAAGCACAAGAGCCAGAGCGGAGAGGTCAGAGCCAGAATAGCCAATACGGCTGTGTCGTCCATAGAGAACGAAACGCGAGTGTCTTGCAGGAGCGCTGAGCGCCGAATCTTCCATATTTTCTCTTCGTGCTCCAAGAGACTTAGTAGACGATCAAGTTGCGCCAATCGCAGCTGTCGCATACGCTCATACTCCTGATCTAGTACGTGCAGCTTTTGAGCTTTTATTTCTTCTTCCTTCGCTTTGATCTGCTGTTTCCTGTTCAACTTGCGCCTCTGAGCCTCTATCAAGCTCTCTATTGCCTTCTTCTGTTGGGTTTTGTCCGTGGAGTCTTTGCGTCTATGGGTCTTCCGCGCGCTTTGGGGCGTACTGTCAAGGTTCGCCAGCATTCGATGGCGCTGCGAGAGTAGAGGCTCCGTGCCACATGCGAGAAGAATAGTCTCCGTTCCGTAGTTACCACCGCGGGTGTTGAATTCGCTTAAGGCGGACCCAGAAGAATATGGGCACCACGCAATCTGAGATTTCCATCAGTCTAGATTCCCAAAGCCTCTGATTTTCGTACCTCACGGACTTCTCTGTACCTCGCTACTGTCCTAATCGCCGCCTCCAATAACTTGCACAATTCGTCCCTCACCCCTTGCAATGCGCTTAATTTTCCCTTATCGACTGTTTGGTGGTGGGCCATGTCATTCCGAATCTCCTTGGCTTTCTGAAGCCATTTGCGTAGCTTCTTCGAGGTTTGAGGGCCCAATGCCCTTTGTAGAGTTCCGGTCTCAGCAACACACGATGCTCGGAGGGTATCTACTAACGCGGGAAGATCTGCAGCCTGGTGCCATGGGAATCCATTTGCCTCGAGACCTCGAGGGTCAGCGAGTTCTGCAAGGATGAATCCTAAAAACTCCAAGTCGTCGTTCCAGGCGGAGAGTTGTGCGTGGGACTCAATATATGAGGCTGCCGGCTGCGACGACATCTTGGGAAGCGGGATGGGTTCTTTCCGAGTTGAGATGGTGAGCGTGATAGGTGTTCAGGCGACCGATATTACACTGGTTCATTATTGTATGCCTCGGATTCGAGGCTAGGGCTGGTGATTCAGATTCTGTATACCGTCATGCTGAGATCATGACTCGCAAGATAGAATCATAGATCTGGCCGACACTAGTATTGTCTGGTAATACTAGTATATGCCGCCATATTTCTTGTCTTAGCTACATTAGAAGTGATGTGCGTAATCTCTGCAACCGAGTGATAGGACTGAAGTATATAGAACAAGTAATGTAAGTGTAGAAGTAACAGGAGTATATAGGGTATACAAGATGATTAGCTTAGTAAGGGGATATATAGGGTTCTATATACTAATCTAGATTAAGATTTCGTAATTAAATTAGTGGGTAACTTATCCATGGTCCACTTGTCACGGGTAGTCCTGACTTTAAATATAATACCGTCAATCGTTGTTGAGTTCATGATGCGTGAGTTGCGCCCAAGGCCGCAACCACGGATACAGGGGTCATAGTTGTAGTTTAGGACTGAAAATCTAGTACTTTTTGGCAAGGCCCAAGACATGAGCTGGGAACTTGAATATAAATTTCTCAGCCACCAGCATAGTCATTTGCTCCGATTTCCCACACTCTTAGGTGGTAAGATGTATATGAGTCCACCCAAACGCCTTCCTTGCGGCCCGCGGATCCGTAGGACAAGATGGCAAGCACGTGGCAAACACGCGGCCTGGGGACAATGATATTTGAGACTTGTTGGCAAGATGAAAATAGAGAGAGAAGCGTCTTGGCAATGACGGTCGGAATTCCGGCGCCGCAAATTCTCCGAGGATATTGTAACTTGATGGATTATACGAGGCCCGATCCAGGACCTGGTGTTGTTCGTATCTCTGCCCGGGAGGCCTCATAGCTGCGGAGCTTCCGATGGAAAATGGAGACACTCATCTGGCATGCAACGGCCGGGCCGAACGGTCAATTCCTCTATTTTAGTCTTGGCCCCCTGTTTCTGTGCCAATACGGTCGCTGCATGCGTATCCGCTATCCTAAACGGCTAGAGGCCACTCCACACATTTATCGGACTATGTCAATTTGCTCTTTCAGGTGTCCGTACTCTTCCTCCTTGTCAAGTAGGCAAGACCTGAAATGGATGGCTAATACGGATATTATAGCCGTTCTTAGCAGGCGTGATAGCTCTTGGCCATAGTACGTGACCATTCCAAGAGCCGCCGTCATTAGGGATACCAGCCGTTACAAAGAGATGACAACTGCTACATGCATGTCTTTCAAATCAATTGCAGTTTTCTTGGGTACTAGACGTATATAATCACTGGTCAGGATGCCCTGGAGGGTCTAGTCCGGCAGGAGGGGGGATATCTGCCCACCGAATGCGGGCAAGGGAGATTTTAATTTGCTATTTCGAGTGAAAGCAGTTTTTCGCGAATTTGACGAGAGAAGATGTTTGGGCCGCACATGAGAGAAAAGATTGCTACAATCGGCGCGGAGGTACAGGTTGTGCCTCTCTGTCTGCTGTCAGTGCGTGGTGGCTGCCGGGAAAACTCAGTTGTGACTCGCAAGCAGTAACATACGAGGTGGCAAGGCCCTAGAGATTGATCAATCAATTCAAGGATGCATGTAAAATGGTTCACATCGGCTCTGATCTCTGCGCTCCGATTGTGAGAGAATCAATAACGTCTACCGGCACCAAGAAACCCCGAGAACACCAAAGTGACCTCTGTCTGCGTGCCAACAAGCGCAATGTATTACGTAGCCAGTACCTCGGCAATGCGCATTTCTTCATAGATATCAAGTAAGATAAACGTTCAGTGGCACCCGAATTGCTTTTTCTCCCCTTGACGTTGGCTGTCGATGGCAAAAGCAATGTGATGTTTGTGTCACCCGATCGGCCCCCTGGAGTATAGATACTCCTGCCCTGTGGAGTTGGGTACGGAGTAGATAAGCCCTCCCATGCCCCGGACCTTGTTAGATTCTCTGATTTCCATCTTGCAAGCACAGTAGAGCTCGTCTCTTTCCAGTCTGCCACATCATCCGCAGCCATGGAGAGCAAAATTGCCCAAGCATCGACTGCGATCGAACAACTAGCGGCCCTCGACATCTCCAACCAAAGCACTCACCCCGAGATCGTCCGAAAATGCCAGGCCGTGATTAGCGCTCTAAAAGACCCTGCAGCAGTGGTCGTCGAGGCCCTTGCGTCCGTAAGTCCAATACTACCCACGCTGCGAATAAATCGATCGTGCTGAACTGACCTTCCAAAAACAGGTCACCAAGCACCCTTGCCTCGTGGTTCTCAGCAATCTAGGCATATTCGAGAAGCTTGCTAGCACCAGCGAGTCTCTCACGGCTGCATATTTGGCACAGGAGAGCGGCGCCGACCGAGCGCTCGTTGTTCGACTCCTTCGACTCGCAGCGGCGTGGGGGGTGGTCGCTGAGACAGGGCCGGAGACGTACGCGGCCACGGGCGCTTCGAAGATACTCGCGATCCCATCGGCCGCAGCTGGTCTGCGTGTAAAGTAAGTAAACAGATAACCCCCTTGAGCATCGATTGTCAAGATGTCCGCAACCCCCACTCGCGCACCCTCGCTCACACAAAGGATCCAGCCAACGAACCGCCGAGCTCGTCAACAGCCTCCCCAAATACCTGCAGGAGACGCAATACCGCAATCCCAGCAGCTACACCAACGGGCTATTCCAGTACCACTACGCCACGGACCTCGGCAGTTTCGAGTACCGCGCCGCGGACGAGGAATGGATGCGCGATTTCAATCTCTTCATGCAGGTTCCTAATAATGCAGGAGCTTCCTGGCCTGAGACCTTCGATGCTCACAGCCGGATCTTCGACGCTGGCGTTGAGACAAACCCCGCCGCTCCGCTGGTCGTCGATGTCGCCGGTGGCGTGGGCCAGGACCTGCGCTTGCTCAAGAGCCACCTTGTCCCCGCGGGGATCACACTCACAAAGGGCCAGCTCGTCCTCGAGGACCAGCCACACGTCATCGAAAACGTCCCCGCGGACATGTACGATGAAGATTTCACATACGTGAAACACAACTTCTTTACGCCACAGCCGCTCAAGGGCGCGCGGGTGTACACGCTCAAGTCGGTGCTCCACGACTGGGCGGACGACAAGGCGCTCGAGATCCTGCGGCATATCGCGGCAAGTCTGACGCCCGGGTACTCGAAACTGTGGGTTCTGGACCGCGTCGTGCCAGAGACGGGGGTCGACAAGAGTCTCGCGTGGCTGGATATCAGCATGATGGCCATTTACGGCGCGCTGGAGCGGACGGAGGGGCAGTGGAGGGAGTTGTTGGGGAGGGCGGGGTTAAGGGTTGTTAGTGTCCAGGCGACGACTGATCATTTTGGGCTGATTGAGGCTGAGCTCGAGGGGGTGCAGTAGATTTGATTTTGATAATACAGGCAGACCAAGTCACGGTATGGAAGCAACAGACTACGTATCTGGTACACTCCGTCGTGGAATCGATCTCTTCCTCCGTCTCAAAGGATCTCGAGTCCCCACAGACAGCCGCAATCCCTGTATCCCGCAGAAGCTCGTCAGAGGGCTTTACGCTAATATTAGATGGTTTCTATCTCTTGTGCTTCATTCAGATCTGCGCGTTTGGTCTCGGACATCTCCAAGTACTGCGCAATGTACCCCCGAGCGGATGACGAGGATGTCGCCGCTGCGGAATGTAGATGTGGGATCCATGTTTTGGTATCTCAGGGCCTCGAGGAGTTCGGAAAAGGAGATCTCGTGCGCGGACGTGGCGTCGATGGACTTGTTTTCGGCTTGCGCCCAGGTGTACTAGTTAATTAGGAGTGCGCGGCCGGCGATGCCCTGTTGAAGACATCTAGAGCGTGGTCTCTTCGGGCTATGCACTTGCTCCTAGAATGATCGGAATTGGGCTACATACGCTGGATCCCATTTGGAATAGGTGATGTAGCAAAGTCCTAGGCAGTGTGGCCCATGTAGTATAGCTGTCACGGCGTCTCAGTCAGGCTTGCCATAACCAAGTACAAGCCTTGGTAACTAAGGGCTTACCATTTCCCTCTGATACGCATAGTGGCGTAGTCCATCCCATTGGAAGCTGCATTGGGAACTGCGTGTCCACTACAACGCGCAGGAAAGGTTAGCATGCATGCAATCTCTTTTAAACCCTGCGTAGAGCAAGTAAGTATAGCGGACCTCATCATCATGCGCATGTCTTAGCGGAGCCTTGTTGATAAGCCACAGCTCCAGAGGCTTCCTCGGGAGCCTTGGATGTGAGGCGGCGGTCATGAACCAACTAGGACACACAGTTATTGGGAGGTATCATATGCAAACGTAGCACCAGCACTTACTTGAGCAATACCCTCTTGCCAATTTTGATCTTCTCTGCTGCGGCGCGCTGGACGACCTCATCTCTTAGCAGACTCAAGGTACCAAGTTGATCCTCGGGGCCCCAGAGGCCCCATGCGTTTCCGCGTGGGCCGGACTGGACTTGTCGACGGGGAGGGAGTCGAAGGAAGGGTAATTCCCTGGTTGAGGAGGCATGTTGGAGTGTTGTGCCGGATAACTTTCTTCTTGGGGATGTCAGCAAGGGATTCTCGCGTGACTTTAATTACCTCTTGCTCGGAGGGCTCGGAAGATGACCGATGGCCAACGATCCCAATGGACATTTTCCGGTGCTCAACATGGGGTCCAGCGATCTGGATGCGGGGGTCATTTCAACGACCACATGGATTGTAACTAGCATGCGAACTCCTCCGAGGACAAAGTAAAGTGGACATCGAAAGTCATTTGAAACACAACATCTCCCCATGAAGCACCCCAAACCAGCCATCCTCTTCCTCTACCCACTCCCTCCACCCTTTCGCAATCCCCTTTAACACCTCCCTCACCTCCTCTCCCTCATCCGCAACAACCTGATCTACAAAGCCCGAGCCCTCCATCCTCCTCGCCATCCCCCCACCCCAATACTCTCTCTCCTCCGGCGAACTAAAGCACCAAGCCCCCGCACTCCTCTTCACCTGCTCCCTCGCAAACCCTGCCTCCGTCGCCCAGACATGCATCATATTCCCCGGATGCGGGTTCCCGCCCTTTGCTCGCGCAACGCGGGTCGCTAGTTCGAGCCAGGCTTCTATCCCCTTGTTCTCGGGGAACCAGTTGAAACTCGCGGACTCGCGTGCAGCGACGATACCCCCCGATTTCGCCACCCTGTGCATCTCACGCATGGCTTGGACCGGGTCTGCGATGTGTTGCAGGACCTGATGCACGTGCACGACATCGAACGTGTCATTTTCAAACGGGAGCTCGTGGATATCGCCCGTGATGAACGTGACATTCTCTACCCCACGCGAGGCAGCGAGGTCGCGCGCGGCTGGGAGCGGATCCTCGCTGTATTCAAGGCCCGTTATGTGGCCTTGCGGGATATATGTTGCTAGGTCGACTGTTATACTTCCCGGGCCGCAGCCAATGTCGAGGATTTTCATGGTCGGGGTGAGGTGGGGGAGCAGATAGGCGGCGGAGTTTTGGGCTGTGCGCCACCCGTGCGTTGCCAGAACGGAAGGGGCGTGGTTTGTTGTGTAGGTTGCCATCTTTATACTATGTTTGAGAGTTGCTGGTTCGGAATTCTCGGGAAAGGGGAAGTGTTGACGAGGGGAAGTGGGATGAGATCAGAAGGTGGTGAAGTGGGTAACGCTTTACAGCGGGGAAGATCAAGTCAGCCAATCACGTTATCAGAAACATTACATATCGAATTGGGGATGTAGAGGGGTTAACATAACCCCATGATCCATTGAACCATCGCCGGGTATGATGGGAAGCAGAATGTTGGTTGTTTTCGAAGAGTCTCGGAGCGAGATGAGGTCCTGGTGACGGTGGCAGGCAGGGTGGCCCTTTGCGCCTTCCTCAACAGTGTCCGTCTGGCTATACCTGATAAAGACTACATCTGAAAGATCTGCCTATCGTCCAAGTAACAATACCACGTTCCAGATCGGTTTGGAGCATGTCCTCAGCCTCCAGCAGCTGACCCGTGGTGATTCCAACTCCTTACGCCCTTCCTCTCTACTAATACTAGTCTGTATGCACCAGTCGCCGTTCAAGTATTCAGGTACTAGGAGGGGGATGTCTACTTCTGGCAGCATAGTGGTATATTGTCAGGATCTCGGGATACCTTGCTGGAGGATGGATGCTGGATACGAGCGTCTTTTATCAGCACCCAGGGCGATTGGGGCTCGTCTATATAGGGACTGGAGCTGTATTATCAGGCTCTACTCGAGATACTTAAGAGAGCGGCAACGAGGATTTTGATAGAAACAGTTAACGGACTTTCTTTTATTGTTATAGGGTTATAGACATGGAGTTGAGGAAAGGAAGGTAAGACGGAATCAAAAGACAAATATGGCCGGCCAGTGCGTTACCTGGTAGTCGAAGATGGCCCTGAAATCAGGCCATATCACCACATATCGAACCAAGTAGACTTTACTCACTGAGGAGCAGGGAGCCTCCCAACAAGATCCTTCGCACACGCAGCCGCATTTCCCGCCACGAACTTTTTCCACTTCTCGTCCGAGTGAGAATCACCATAATTCGCGACCCCAACAACGACCAGGGGCCGAAGATACATGAGATACTCCGCCCCGACGGGGACAGCCAGGGCGCCGGTATGGTTTTCCATGTCATCGCGGTCCAGAGTATAGTCAACAACGCGCCGGCAGGCAGCAACGGTGTTGAAATGGACCTTGGGATCGGTATTTGTCCTTGCGGGGCGAGCGATCGCCTTGCTGGTATCATCGCACTCGGCGCAGATGCTGTGCCAGTCCAACACAGATTGGCATAGTGCTATCGATACTGCGCTCTAGACGTGATTGGAACCGCCTTGGTGAGCTACCTGTCGTTGCCTGTCTTCTAGTCAGAGTCCGCAGAAATTTCTCCATAGAGACTTTCCCATACAAGTGATAGAAAGGCCATTCCGCTTGCGCCACGTTTGGTGGTCAAAGGCCCATGTACTCGACCACTAGTGCTTGGATCTAATCATTCGTGTCTGCTAGAATCTATCAAATATCTAGTCCTACTCCCCCGTCTCCATTCCCATCCGCAGGACCAGCTGTCCCCGACTCCCCTCTTCCAGTCTGTTGAACCTGAGAACCATTCAGCAAAACCAAAATACACGTCGCATTATCACTGCAAGGCCTCGACGCCGCCTCATCAACCAAATGCTTTGCAATCTCTTCAGCCTTGAACCCCGCTTTCAACTGCTGCGAGACAGTGCCCATGATAGCCTTGTCCTCTGTATAGTTCGTAACCCCGTCAGACGTCAACGCCAGGACATATTGTTTCTCTTTCTCTAGCTCCACTCGCTTGAACGACATTTCGATGGACAGGAAGCTGTCTCTTTCCTGTGCTGGTTTGTCCTGTCCGTATACTGCGATTTGTTGTTCCTCTGTTAATGAGCCGGACTCCATCTTGTTTACCGGGTTCTTGTATTCCAGGTCTCCGATTGCTCGGGACATGTTGAGGGCGCCTGTGGTGGTCAACATAGAGTATCCAAGAGTTCTCCATCTCTGGCTCACCTATCCTGGCCACATTCTTCTGCTCATGGACCGTCCCACCAGCATCCTCAATCCGCTTCTTCTCGTCCGGACTCTCTGGTTTGTGCGATTCCGTCAAACGCGTCTACTCCAGTCAGCAATCATATCGACCTCACCCCCATAGCACTCCTCCTGGGACAAAAACATACCACACTCCCCAGCTCCCCACTCCCCCCCTCCATCTCCGCCAAAATCGCATGCGAATCCCCCAGATTCCCAACAACCACCTCCCCCTTGTCCAAATCCACCAGCACAATCGTCACCGTCGACCCCACAGTCGCGAACCGCGCCTCGCCGCGCCGAAACTCTTCCAAGAGGACTTTCTCCTCCTGATCAATCGCCGACTGCATCGCCCGCTCGTAGTCGCCTTCGCGGAAAGCGGGCGCGTCCAGAATGGATGGCGGGATGTGTTTTGATGCGTGTTCGGCGACGATTTCAGAACCGCTGCGGTTGGTCAGTATATATTAGTTTGCAAATTGGGGGCGGATGGGGAGACGTACTGGCCGTCGAATACGGCGAATAGCGCCACGTCTTTTCCGACATGGCTGGGTAGTTTCTCTGGGGTCAGCGCGATGTAGCGGTCCTGCTGGGACGGGCGCGACCCTTGAGCCTGGACTGTGGGTTAGTTCAAGCCATCGAGCAAGAGTCAGATTGAGTTTGATTGGCGACGTACGCTTGCGCTGCCTACTTGGCCAAGTGCCACGGGGTGTTTTAGTGTACCACCCATGTCAAAACAATAATGTGGTTCGTAGTCGGATGCGTGAATCTTGCAACCAGAGTAGATTCCCAGGTCCGCGGTGGACTCTTTTAAGTGATGATTGGCCACATCGTCATCTCACCTGATGGTGGCTGGCTGCAGATGACGCACAAAGTACGGAATGGCAGGCGGACCAGGCTGGACCACCGCTGGCCAGAACCACAGTTGCTAGTTGACTCCGGCTCTTCCATACTTTGTCTCCTGCTACTGCAGTACTCCTGTTGGTGGCTAGACAATACACAGTCCAGCTCTCGAGTTTGAGTTTAGGATTAAACAATGGTGATTCATGGTGATATAATACGTCAGTATAAAAATGCTCCGCAGTTCGACCTGCCTGCAGAGTCCTCGATTGCACCTCAAACTACCCCTTATCTACCAGCACAGACTATAACAAGTTCAACCCACCACCACCAACACCAAAATGCCCAGGTACTCCAACGGTCAGATGGTCGAGTACAAGCCCGTCGGCGGTAGGCTACTGCCTTCCTTCCTCCCTCACACCTGCCAGGAGGAATCCATCTCCCCCACGATGCATCCCAGATTAACCCTTCGCAGGCCCCGAGTCGAACACCTCGGTCAGCACCGGCAAGATCAAATCCGTTATAACGGAGCCAGGCCGCCAGGCCGGCAGGAACGTGGATGCCTCTGAGGAAAATCCGCGATATGAGGTGCGTTGTCGTCTTCCCACCGCTCACTGGGGGTGGCTCTCACGGACTCTGGCTGACATACTCATTTGGTAGATTGAAAACGCCAACACTCACAAGGTGACTTCGGTCTATGAGCAGAATATCCTTGGGGAGGCTGAATAAGGATAAGTAGTATGGATGAATCAATCATCGCCGGTTAGAGGAGAGGAGCGGGGGGAATGGTGGTGAAAATGTAATATTTACTGAATGGAACGGATTTCAATGCATTTCTCATCTTTCAAAGCCCGAAATACACAGCGTAGCGTAGTATGTAATCTGTAGCGGTAGTAAGAGAGCCACTTGACGCGAATCGAAGAGCAACCAAACACCTGTTAAAGCAGATCATGGATACACACTTCATGCCAACATCAACAAACACACACACACACAGACCGCACGCAGTTTAACAACCTACAACGTCGTCAAAGCCGGCGACTCGGGTGCAGGCGGCTTCGAGTGCCTCGTCTCAAGAAACACCTTCTGGACGCCTTTGCGCGCATTAAACATTTCATACACTTTGTCGATATCCTCCAGCTTCAGCCGGTGGCTGACCATATGCAGCGGGTCGATCTCGCCCTTTTCAATCAGCTCCATCAGGCCCTGCCAGTATTTTTGCACGGGCGCCTGTCCATTTCCGATTAGGCGCACGCCCGTTTGCATTATGGCGCCGATGTTGAAGTGGTTTGTCTGCGCATGTTAGTATGCACTCTTGTAGATTATCGAAACGAGAACAGGGGGGACGTACATAACCAGCATAAACCCCCGTGATTCCAATCCTCCCAAACGGCCTGACGGCCGTAATCATCTCATTCAACAACTCGGACGTATCCGTCTCTGCGCCTACCATCTGCTCTAAGAAATGAGCCCACCCTTTCGCATACTCGCCGCCCACACACTCGAGACAGACATCAAGACTGTGATCCGTCATCTCCTGCAACCGCCGCGAAACCGACTCGCCCCGCTTCAGTTTGGTATAGTCCAACGTCTCAACTTTGGGAACACGTTGCTTGACGAAATCCAGCCTCCACCCGCCGTCCCCGCCGTCAATGAGAATGACCCGGCTCGCCTTGTGGTAGAACGCAAACTCAACCGCCATCTGGCCAATGGGCCCCCCACCCCAGACAGCCACGATGTCGCCCTCATTCACACCCGTATCCACAACACAGTGCCAGCTGGTCGCGACGACGTCAGAAAGGTACAACGCCTTCTCATCGGGGACCCCGTCCGGGATCGGGAGGAGGTTCACGTCGCCGTGGGGGACCCGGAGGTACTCGGCCTGCCCGCCCGCGAACCCGCCAGTGAAGTGGCTGTATCCGAAGATCCCGGCCGTGCGCTTGCCGTACATGGCGTTTGTGATGCTGTTTTCGTTCGTCTTTTCGCATTGGCTGTAGAGTTGCGCTTTGCATCGTCGGCAGCTTCCGCAGGCGATGGGGAACGAGACGACGACGCGTTGGCCGGGCTTGAAGCGCGTGGCGTTGGGACCCGTTGATTCGACTACGCCGCAGCATTCGTGGCCGAGGACGTCGCCCTTTTGCAGTTGGGGGATTACGCCTGCAGGGCTTGGGTTAGGATTTCTTCTTGTCCGGCTGCTGGATGGATTAAGGGGAGGTATGGACGGACATACCGTGGTAAAGGTGGAGGTCACTACCGCAGATCGTACTACCGGTCACCTTGACAATGACATCGCCGGGGTCGACAACACGGGGCTTGGGCATTTCAACTAGACCAGAAACCAAATCAGCCCTGGCTTCGTTCCCTTTTCCTTCCTTCCCACTCCTCCCAACCCAACACACAACCGTCATGAGGAGAAGGAATTAAGACGCACCAATCCCAACATCATTCTTCCCTTTCCATGTCGCAGCCCGGATCTTCTCGCCGGTCTCGGTCCCAAACTCGTTGTTGTAGCTGCTTATATCTGTGTGTATGTCTGCCTCGTGCGAGTGCCCCATTGCGCGCTCGACGAGGTTCGCAGCGCGGGTTGCAGCCATTTTGTGTTTTTGGTAAGGTTTGGATTAAGTGGGCTGCGTTGGGGACCTTGGGGTGTATAGAGGTGATCAATTGATTACCAGTAATTTAGGTGGGCGCTGGTTGAGTCGTTGGTTCGAAAGGTAAGTGCAGTCTTAAGTTTTGATTAGATTGGTTCGATGTGCAAAATAAAGTTTCAGATATGGTTCCAACTCTTCGCAGATTTGGTAGAGGGGCCTAGAGTAGATATAAGGATCTGGGGTCCCAACGAGGGAGCTCAGTGAGGTAGGGCTGTTGCATCACAGTGACATCACATGACGCGGGGAGACTCGAGCGATCAACTGCCGTCAGGATGACGGGCGTCAAGTGACAAGGGTTAGATAAGCTTAATTGTTCCATAATTTTGAGGTCATGGGTTACTATAGACATGCAGCAGCTCTTGTGCTACCACCGTCGCGCCTACTGTATGTACAACCCATACAATGTACCCCCCATAACTCTACCACGGCTGCACGGATCCCCTGGTGATGACAAAACCCACATTTCCATCCCTCTCACCCTCCAAAATCCGCCTAAAAAACGGCCCGGCAACACTCGCATCCTCAGCCCCAATCTTCTTCATCGCCTCGGGACCCCCCGCCAGACCCGTCGCAAGCAGTCCCGGACTAACAGCCCAAACTTTAACCCCATCGTTCTTGAGTATCCGATCCCACTCGCGCACCAGCATATTCAGCCCCGTCTTCGTGGCGCGGTAGGCCGTTACGCTGGGCGCCCTGGTGTCCTTTGGCCAGCCTGCGGCCGGTGGCGTGTCGAGTGGGATTGTGCGTGCGACGTGGTTGGCGAGGGAGGATGTTCCCGACGTGACGAAGAGGAGGCGCGGGTCGGCGGATTTCAGGAGGAGGGGGATCAAGGTCGTTGTGAGGACTTGGGTGCCGGCGACGTTGACGTTCCAGGATTTGAGCCAGGCGGCGCGCGCGGTGAGGCTGCCTGTCGCGATTTCGTTGTCGAATTGGGCGCCTGGACTCTTGATTAGCAGGCTGCATGCACTTCCAGGTTGACTTGAGGTATATATGTGCGTACCGGCATTGTTAATCAACGCATCGATCCTCCCAAACTTGCTCTCAACCTCAGCCGCCGCACTCTCGATCGACTCATCCGACTCAATGTCAACGGTAAGCGGGACGAGCGTGTTCGTCGAAGCAGGAAACTCGGTCTTTAGGGAACTGATTGCATCCTCCGCCTTTGAGAGCGACCTCGAGCCAACAATTACCGTGTAGGGTTTGTCGGCACTATACAGCGCCCTGACGATCTGGAAGCCGATGCCCGTGTTGGCGCCGGTGATGAAGACGATTTTGGGGTCTGCCATTGTGCAAAGGGCAAGGGTCTATTCTGTGACTTGTTCGTGTTTTGTTCTGTTCTGCTGGTGAATGTGTCGAATGGAGTGGGCTATAAGTACCGGTGTCGTGGTGGTTTACTCCGTACCTAAATCCGGTGCATCTCCGGATCCCCACGGCTTAACTCCATATCCGCTGCGGTGGCCGGTACCAGGCACCAAGGGTGGATCCTGCGTGCCTAGAAGAGTTTTACTAGATGCAACAGTCTGTTAATCAAGGTTCATATCCCTCTCTGGACCACTGATCGGGGGCAAAGAGCGTAGGTAAATGTGCAAACCCGGCGTTGTCCAGAGTCCTGGTATGGGCCTCAACGTTGCCTTTCCCCAACTGGGATTGGGGTCGAGAAAGCTAGACAAGATATTCTTTTGTCTTGATTGGAACCTGTGATGAGAACCACGACGTCTCTGACGCAACAAATAGAGCGTTATACCACATAAAGCAACGCGTCAAATGGTGGGGCTCAAGGCTCCACCAATGGGAGGTCGTGCGAGTCGATTGCTATCCTTGAGCACTCTGGGGACACTTCTATACTTTCCCTTGCATTGCAGAATGCATCCAAGCTCTAGTCTTGGAGGGATTACTAGTTGGGGGCTTGGGTGGGACCCTGTACTTCCAGGGTCATCTTGATAGGCGACGGAGTTGCGGAGTTGCGGAGTTCCTGGTGTATGGGACTACGTACTAGTATCAAACCTGTACGCCTTGAAGAATTGACCAGGAGCGGCCGCTAGCGTGATTCCACTCAGAAAGCAAAGGTGTACGGTGCATTAAGAAAAGTGATTGGCAGTTCGATTCGATCAAGCAGGAAAAAAGATGAATCCGAGACTACCAGGCCTCAGCCCCCTCCAAGAAGCCCGTCGTACCGAAAAGCTCCTCCAGCAGAGCCGGGTCAATCTCCAGATCTTCAGGAATTCCCGGAAACTCCGAGGCTGGAGCAGCAGCGACCCCACTATCACTCTCCGCCGCACCAATCCGGTCGAGCAGCTCGCCACAGGACGTCAGGCAGTTATCTGCCAGATCCCAATCAAAGTTCTGCCGGTGGGCCTGCAGTGCATTGACCATGTCTCGCGCAATCTTTAGCGGCGTATTGCGGCCTCTACTTTTCATCCGAAGCCCGCTCCGAAGGAGAAAACTTGCTGCCGAGGTCAGTGAGAAGGCGTGCACGGGGATCCAGAATCCACTGCACTGCGCTTCGTCCAGTTCCTGCACCAGGTAGGCGATTTCCTCGGCGGCTCGCTGTGCATGCATGTAAAATAGCGAGAGCGTGCCATCTTCAACCTGGAGAGAGCTCTTGTTCATGTTGAGCTGGATGCGGTAGAGAAGGAGGTTGACGGAGAGATACGCGAGTCGGAAGTTGGCGGCACCAGGGATGTCAAGCTTGGTTCCTCTCAGGACGAGGTGACGGACGTCGTCGCCGAGTGACTCCTCCCAGTCGCGGATGATTTGCTCCAGGTCTGCTTCGGACAGGCTGATGGGTTGGAAGGTCCTGGAAACGCTATAGACATGTTCGAGGTAGTGTGCAAGTACATCTGTTAGGGTCGTCAAGGCCACAAAGACAGATGCAGCGGCTTTCTCGCGGGGACTACAAGGGTGAGGGCAGATATCATCCACCGAGGGCAATGGGACATCGTACTGTGCTCGATGCACTTGCAGCGGTGTGCCGTATGCCAAACTGCACCTGCTCGGCGTTAGACTTATCACGAGGGGGGTTTGTCAACTTACCATCGATCATGTACAATGACGAGCCACCAGATCCTGATCCGTAAGCTCTTCTCTAAAGGCGATATGCTCCATCCTGACGGATCGCGGTTGAGGCCCAGGGCATTTGACAGCCCAACGGCCATACCGACCATACCTCCATTCCCAAAGATCGACGTACTTGGTCTGCCACAAACATTGATGAGAATGGCCATTATAGTCGGAATCCCGGGTGAGAGAAACATCTCTGAATGCAGCGCTTCGTTCGCTTGGTTCCAGATATAGCGAATGTCAGGTGTGCGGCCAGAAGCCAATCTAGGTGAACTCTTCCAGTACACGAGAGAGTTGGCATACAAATTGGAGAGTAGCGCAGGCGAGATCTTGTTCTTGTGTAGAGAATATGAGCCTCGGAACGAAGCTTCGTCGAATAGAGGAAAGCATGGATTGGCTTTGAAGAAGTACCTAACTCACTTAGAAGAGAGTCTTGCAGCTCAGCAGTCTACTCACAGGTTTAGGTACTCATCGAGATCAGGGCCCATGTACTTTTCAATAATCTCGCATTTTGCGGCCGCAAGCGACTGGTTCGCAACGACTCCCAGCGGCCGTCGAGGGACCAGGTTGAACCGCACGGGCCTGAGATGCCCGTCTGAGCTGGAGCTTGTGCGAATCAAATACCGTTTTCGCGACGACGGAATGGCCGAAAGATAACTCTCGAGAATATCATTATCATCTGCAACCGCCGGGCTCACGATATGCGAGCTGTCATCCTCTGCCTCGGAAACAATCCCCATAAGATGAGGAATCTCGCCTTCCGTCCCACATGCCCGCCAATTCAGCTGCTCGCTCCGAGTATTCGCTATACCCGCCGACACCGGGTAGTTCCGACTCGTACTGGGAGTCGGATACGGCCTGTGCAATATCTCCTGCCTGTTCTGCGAGAACCTAGACGACCGCGCATTCGGCGCCAGTCTCCGCGGCGAACTTTGCTGCTCGGGTCGCGCAAAGATGCACTCGGTCCCGTACGCCAGGCACATAGCGCATACTTCGCCGAGGGTCCGGGTTTTGCAGCGCGACTTGCGTTTCCGGCATGGCAAGCAGGCTGGGTGGAGGTGGGACCGGTACGGGCGACCTTCTGGCTGAGGATTGTTATCCGGCTGCATGGTGGGAGTTGGTAGGGCAGCAGGTACTGTGAAGAGAGAAGGAGGGGAGGGCAGACTGGCTCTCGCGGGGGATTCCACGGCAAAAGGTGGTCCGTTATCAGGGCAGTGCTCCAATCAGCATCAACATATTCAGAGTTAGCATTGGATTGGAGAGCCCACAGGGTTTGCCGCGGCCAAGTGGTGGGCCCAATACTCAACAGCTATAGGCCAGACTGACCGCGGGGGTTTGCGCGGAGAGTAGGTATGTTATCAGCCCTCAATATGCCCCTCGATGCCCCTCCCCTCTTCATATTTAAGATGCTCTCTAAAGTTATCCTCGACATGCTCGCACACAGCTCCCCGTCCCTCTCATCATCCCACATATCCTACACAACATGGGCTCTACCGACAATGACGTCGCCTTCTTCGCAAAGGCCGACAAGTACCTCATGTCCACCGGCGTTCCATACTCCCCCGTCGTCATCACAAAGGCTCAAGGCACCCGCCTGTACACCGAAGATGGCCGCTCAGTCCTCGACTTCACCTCCGGCCAGATGAGCTCGCTCCTCGGCCACTCGCACCCGGAGATCGTCGAGACCGTGAAAAAGTACGTCGCCGAGCTCGACCACCTCCTCAGCAACATGATCACCCACCCCGTCGTCGACCTGGCCGAGCGCCTCGCGCGCTTCCTCCCACGCCCACTGGAGAAATCCTTCTTTCTAAACACAGGCTCCGAATCCACCGAAGCAGCCATCAAAATGGCCAAACTGTACACGGGCAACTTTGAAATTGTCGCATTCGCCGCTAGCTACCATGGGCTCACCCAGGGGTCTGGATCAGCCACGTACTCGGCTGGTCGCCGACGCGGCGGACCATGCATGCCCGGCCAGCTCGCCTTCCCGGCCCCCTACGCCTACCGCTCGCACTTTCGCAAGCCCGACGGGTCCTATGACTGGGAGGCCGAGATGGACTTCGGGTGGTCGATGATCGACCGGCAGAGTGTGGGTTCTCTTGCAGCATTCATCATGGAACCGATCCTTTCGACGGGCGGGATCCTCGATCCGCCCAAGGGGTACTTCAAGCGCATGGTCGACGAGTGTCGCAAGCGCGGGATGCTGGTCATCATGGACGAAGCGCAGACGGGCGTCGGGCGGACGGGCCAGATGTTCGCGTTCGAGTACGACGAGATCGTGCCTGATATCCTTGCCCTCTCCAAGACTCTCGGCTGCGGCCTCCCCCTCGCATCCGTCAGCACAACCGTCGAAATCGAGCGCGGCTGTCACGAGGCCGGCTTCCTCTGGCTGACAACACACCTCAACGACCCGCTCACCGCAGCCGTCGGGAAAAAAGTCCTAGAGATCGTAGAACGGGATAACATTTGCCAACGGGCCTCCGAGCGAGGCGCGCAGCTCCGCGAGGGGCTCCTGAAGCTACAGAAGAAGTACTGGTGCATTGGCGATGTCCGGGGGCGGGGGCTCCTCCAGGGGATTGAGATCATTTCGGATGCCGAGACGCGGGCGCCCGGTTCGGAGCTTGGGCAGCAAGTGTCGGATCGGGCGATGGCGCGGGGTTTGTCGTGTAATGTGGTTAATCTTCCGCGGATGGGGGGCGTGTTCAGGCTTGCTCCACCGGTCATGGTTACGGCGGAGGAGATTGAGGAGGGGTTGAGGATTCTGGATGAGTCGTTCGGATACGTGTTGAAGGCGATATCTTGAGTATTCTTAGTTGGTCTGGTTTGTGCATGAATGAGACTTATGAAAAGGATGAGGTATATTGGAGTCAAATGCTGTTTTTGCAGGTATACGTTCGCTGTGGTCCAGAAGAGAGAGACACGTCACTTGGAGCACACTGCAACTAAGTCTATCCTGAGTCCGAGGTCCTGGCCGAGTAGTTCCTTCGTAGTCCGGGTCTTTGAACACGGTACATACTATGGCTCTCTCCCTGTATTCACCCACAGGACGGCTCCTTTTTGATCCATCTTTGGATATAAGACATTGCTGACGAGTTTCTCAGTTCCAAGGACTCATCATCCGTGGCATGGGCTTCAGCAGCCTACGCACGACTCTTATCCATGCCATCCGGTGCAGTGCAGCTTGTCATATGTCCTTTGGCCTGGTAAGCCCTCCGGCCCCTCTGCCAGTCCAGCACAGACTCTCCAGAGCTTACTTACCTTCGGACGCCTGTAGCTTCATCGCCTCGCACTACCCCAACGCGTGCCTACTTATCATGATCCTATGTATAATCCCCTTTCTCGCTGGCGTGCTAGGCCTATGGCTAATCGCCGAATCCAACCCATACGGCGGCCTTGCCTGCCTCTGAATTTCGTTCGCGTACATAGCTTCGTGGACGCTCTGTATGTCTGCCTCAACAGCAAACACCGCGGGCCACCCGAAAAAATCACCGTCAACGCAATGGTGTTGACCGGTTACTGTTTGGGTAATTTCATCGGCCCGTCCTTCTGTAAGACTGAGCAGGCGCCAGTCTATCCGCTGGGTGTTGGAATGATGTTATTCCGCATTGCGGCGCAGGTTTCAAGTCTTGTCGCACTCTGGGTGCTGCTTTGGGTGAGAAATCGAAAGAGAAGAGAGATGTGTGAGAGGGAGGATATTGGTGAGGGTCTTCCCAGGTGATGAACAAGTCCCTGGCGGTAAATGCCAAGGCGCGTCTTGGCGCGAGACCTGAGAAGCCACGTGATTTCCGCTTCTGCCACAGGATGATCGCGGTGGATGGCATTGACAGGCTATCTGCAAATAGTTTTCTATTAGAGAAGAACACCGACATCTCCATAGCCAGCCGACGCCTGTTTTGCGTCTCTAAGCTCCTTAGTAGCATGCGTGGCTCGCTTATTGAACCAATACCACCTACCTTATCAAACATCGCAGCCTCGTTCCTCTCCTGCGGGCGCAATCTCAAACCACGTTCAGGGATTCTAGAATTCTAGTCTTACTGGCATCTGCAGTGGCTGCTCAATAAGTGGCTTGACTATTATAGTCCATTTGCCCACGCTCGCCTGTTTTGTCCCCAGAGTCGGCCAAGCGGATGTATATAGTGGGCGTACAACGTACCAAAGATCCCAGCACTGCATGTCATATTTATGGTAATGCAGTATTATTCTCGATCCATCTTATACTAACAGGTACACAGCCCTCTCGATCTAGATCACTATAGTAGACACCTGCGAATGCCCGAGGAGATGATTTGCCACATTGGCGCTGGGCATCATCCCAGCTGCATCGACTGCTTGCGGACATTGCCGACTTTTCATCGCATTCTCAGTGTTATCCCATGTCGTCTTCACTGTTCCTCTCTCAAGCGTATCTGAAAGAGTAACTGTAATCGGCGATCACTGACCTGCATTCCAGCCCAGCGACGCTTGTGTTTTCATATCGTTTGCGTCATTTGGCCAACTTCACCAACAACTGAATCCATCCTCTTCCAACCTTCTCTCTCGCCGTCTGTCTTGCTTTAGCTCTGTTGCTTATTATTTTGCCTCACATTGCTCAATTCCACCTTGTTTTGGCCGTGATTATTGTTTCTCGATAGACGGACAGCTGCGCCAGATTGCGGGCAGCCCAGCCAACCCCTCAGCGTCGCTCGCACAACCACAACCTCGACCGCCGCCGCCGCCAACCACCGACTCGCCAGTCCTTCTCTCCCTCCGCGCGACTCTCTCAGCCCAACCACACTCGCCCCTCTTCCAATTTTCCTGCCTCCATCTCCATCTCCTCTCCCTTCCTTGCGATCCGATTCCCCCTCTTCGCCCGGAGCCATGGAAGGGGTCGACCTACAGTCGGTCCTCAACAAAGGGAAGCAGATGGCGACTAACGTCGCTGCGTCCGCCACCAACGGCACTACCAATAAAAAGAGAAGAAAGGGCACCGAGTTGAAGCCCATCGTCACCAACGATTCTGCGACTGCTGCCGGTGAGCAGCCCGGCTCTACAACGGAGGGGTATGCTTTTTCTGACCGGTTTTCCTTTTCGCGATCATCCCCCTTCCTTGTTCTTCTGCTGTGTTGCGTTCGTTCCCATTGCTAACCCACTTCTCCCCGACGATAACAGGGTCCCGCCATCACGGTCTGGCTCCTCGTCCTCCGAAGAAGAAGTCGAAACCACCGCCGAGGAGGAAGATTCAGAAGACTACTGCAAGGGCGGCTACCACCCGGTCCAGATCGGAGAGCTCTACAATAACGGCCGGTATGTCGTCGTGCGCAAGCTGGGGTGGGGTCACTTCTCGACCGTCTGGTTGTCCCGCGACACAACAACAGGGAAACACGTCGCGCTCAAGGTCGTCCGATCGGCCGCCCACTACACCGAGACCGCCATCGACGAGATCAAATTGTTAAATCGCATCGTCCAGGCCAAGCCCTCGCACCCGGGCCGGAAACATGTCGTCAGCTTGCTCGATTCGTTCGAACACAAGGGGCCCCATGGGGTCCACGTCTGCATGGTCTTTGAGGTGCTGGGCGAGAATCTGTTGGGGTTGATCAAGCGGTGGAATCATCGGGGCATTCCCATGCCGCTGGTGAAGCAGATTACGAAACAGGTCCTGCTCGGCCTGGACTACTTGCATCGGGAATGCGGTATCATCCATACCGACTTGAAGCCGGAGAATGTCTTGATTGAGATTGGCGACGTCGAGCAGATTGTCAAGACGTACGTCAAGGAGGAGGAGAAGAAGGCGCAGAAGGAGGATAACCGCAACGGTCGCCGGCGGCGCAGGACGTTGATTACCGGGAGCCAACCGTTGCCCAGTCCGCTCAACACAAGCTTTGAATTCAAACACAGCTCGCAAAACTCGCACAGCAGTCTGAGTCAGATGATTAGTGAGTCCGGTACGTGGATTGCATTTGGTTCGAGGTCGTCGCTAACTGATCAGGCTCGGAAGGAGTTTCGATGAAGCAATTGCTGGGGATTAAAGATGAGGACGAGCAGGAACCACAAAGAGAAAAGACTGCGTATGTGAAGTGATATTCCGCACTGAGCCTTACTAACGAGCACAGCGATTTGCTTGAGCGGGAAGTGTCGGGTATTTCACTGGACAAGTCAAAGTCCGACGAACCTGAACTCGACTGTGATATCATTTCCGTCAAGATTGCCGACTTGGGTAACGCTTGTTGGGTCGGACACCATTTTACTAATGATATTCAGACACGCCAGTACCGCTCCCCTGAAGTTATTCTAGGATCTAAGTGGGGAGCTAGTACTGATATTTGGAGCATGGCTTGCATGGTAGGCGCTCAACCTTTCATCGCATATCTCGGTGCTAATTCCTGCAGGTCTTTGAACTTATAACCGGTGACTACCTGTTTGATCCACAGTCAGGTACGAGGTACGGCAAAGACGACGACCACATAGCCCAAGTCATCGAGCTTCTCGGCCCATTCCCGAAATCCCTCTGTCTCTCCGGCCGGTGGTCGCAAGAAATCTTCAACCGCAAAGGCGAGCTCCGCAACATCCACCGACTCCGCCACTGGGCGCTACCGGACGTTCTCCGAGAGAAATACCACTTTTCGCTGTCGGAGAGCATGGCCATCGCCGATTTTCTCCTCCCAATGCTCGAGGTTCTCCCCGAGCGACGAGCAAATGCCGGAGGTATGGTCGCGCACGCCTGGATGAAGGACACCGCGGGGATGCAAGATGCAGACTTGGGCATTACACCCGGCAGCAGAGGCGAGGGCATCGAAGGCTGGGCGTCGGAAGTGAAACGAAGATAAAGATTATCCATTGACATGACGACCACGCGTGTCGAGTGACGATTTTCCTTCATTTGTCATGAACTTTCCTTGCTGTGCATTTTATCCCACAAACACACTTACAGACACACACCATCTCCATCTTGGGCCGAGTGGCGAGTTGTTGGTTGTTCATCCATGACCACTCCGTACATTCTATATCTACCCTTCTACGACTACTACTTCATCCTCGACATACCACCTTGCTTTCCTCTTTTCTCTCCCTCCTCCACTGCACCTCACTCATTACCCCCCATAGAGCTTTGATTTCCACTTGTCCGCCTGTCCGCCTCCGCCTGCTCTGTCCTGCCCGCTCGCACGCACCGCCTTAGAGAACGTTCCCCCGCCCCCTCACGGGGTTCCGCGCGCTGGAGCCGGATGGTATATTCCGCTGCTGGTCTATTTACTTGTCCTCGTTGAACACACACACGCACCTGTCCATTTTACGATCGATCCGTGATATCTATCCATGATGTTTACGATGGCCATTGTACGTATGGGATCTGAGGTTTGAGGGTTTTGTTTGAAGATAGGATGATGCGATGCTGCCAACGACTCTCGTTAGAGATCTGATGAAAATATATACGCATTAGTACATGCTCATTGCCTGTCCGAGTATTTGGTTATCGTTGTCGTTAGTTCGTATGCTGTAGTAGCTTGCTCATGGGACTCTGGTCCCGTTACATTGGTCTACCCCTGCACCTCCATCTGCATCTTCATCGTCGACGTCGTCGTCGTCGTCATCCTCACTCTCCAACTCAACAGGAAACCACCCGTATCGCGAAAGATCCACATAAAACTCCCCCATGCTATCACTCGTCACCTCGACGCCTTCCTCGCGCAATGCCTCCGCCTGTCTCTCTGCACTTCCCGGTCCACTGCATGACACAAAATACAACATTGATTAGCCCAGTTCGAGTCCAAGTCAGTACCGCCTCGCCTTTCGTCATTTCTTCAAACAGAGAGAACAAAACAGAACAAACTAGAAGGAGGAGAGAGAAGAATACCGATGCGAAATCATCCCCTTGGCATTAACAACCCTCTGCCATGGCACATTCCCGCCATGGAAGTGGTTCCCGCTGTCCTGCGCCGGCAGGTGTTTTAGGCAGATGCCGACTTGGCGGGGGCGTTTTGCTATATTCTCCCCCCAGTCGTCATGTTAGCAGGATCCTTTCTACAAGAGATGATTACGCAGATACGACGATAGTGAGGGATATAGTAGTCTCGGAGTGAGAGTGGGTGAGGAGCGTACGTTCACCCAACAACAGCGCGATATGTCCGTACGAGGTTACTTTCCCCGGCGGGATCTGCTGCACTGCGGCGTAGACGGCGTTGAACCAGAACTCGGCTTCATCGGTTCGGGGCATCTTATCTTTCAATGACAGTTGTATGAGTAGATGTCCTGACTGCGATGGAGGCGGTTTGTGGTGTTGGTACGGTGGATACGGAGATAGACGGGACGAGTTCGGCGCTTCGAGCAAGCAAGATGTAGAATTAAGGTGCTGAGATGAATTCCTGAGGAGGAAGGATTGGTGTAGAGAGATTATTTAAAAGGATATCGAGTTTCTCTGTCTCAAGCTACATCTCATCGAGGGATTTCTCAGTGTCCTCGTATTGCGGTTACGGAGCCATACGACATGTCGTACCGGAGGACTGGATAATCCGGCTGCCCTACTCAACTCTCAGTCAGGCCCACCAACCAAATGAAAGAAATCAAACCAGGCAAACAACAGTCGAGCTCTCTCTGCTCTGCTGCTCAAGCTTCAAACTTGTCGGAGCCCAACGACCAACGAACCCAGTATTACGAGTATCAAGACGAATTTTATCGGATATCTACTAAAAAAACGGACCTTCGCATCATCTTCCCTTTCCCTTTCTTCAACAATCCCCACGACACGCTCCCTGGCGACAAAGACAAACACTCACCCACCCAAATCTCGCTCGATCACAATGCCCTCCTCCTCCCTCGCCGAATACCTCGCGAAAAACTACCTAACAGCCGACACACCATCGGCCTCAGCCTCAGACCCGACGCGCCCGAAAAAGAAGCGCAAGAAGACAAAACACGCCGCCGCGGAACCCGAGGGCCTCATCATCGCCGACGACGACCCGCCCGATCTCCGGAGCTCGGCTGCGCTCGACGCGAACAGGCGCGGCGAGGACGAGTTCGGGCCTGCGGTTGTCGGATACGGTCCTGGTGGCTCTGGGCGGAGTGCGGAGTTTCGGCGGAAGAAGGAGAGTGGGTGGAAAGTTGTTGGGACGGCTACGGCTACGGCTACAGGGACAGGGGGGAATAATGCGGAGCAAGATGAGGCTGATGCGATATTAGCTGCGGCGGTGAGGGAGGAGGATGCGCGGAGGGGTGGTGCCGACGAGGATCCTACGGTTGTTGGGGAAGACGAGTCGGATGATGGGGGTCTACGGATGGACTCTGGTGCGCGGGCTGGTCTACAGACGGCGGAGCAAACGGCTGCGATGGTCGCGGCGCAGGCGAAGCGGCGGAAGGCCGAGGAGGCGCTGTGGAAAAAGCCCTCGGGGGCTTCCGGGGAAGGTGCAGCACAGGAGACGATCTATCGAGACGCGTCAGGACGAATCATCAACGTTGCGATGAAGCGCGCGGAGGCGCGACGCGTGGAGGAGGAAAAGAAGATCAAGGAAGTTGAGGCGAAGGAGGCGCTTATGGGCGATGTGCAGCGGCGGGATCGCGAGGCTCGGCGGCAGGCGCTGGAGGAGGCGAAGGTTATGCCGCTGGCGCGGACGGCGGAGGACGAGGACTTGAACGAGGAGCTCAAGGCGCAGGAGCGGTGGAATGATCCAGCTGCGCAGTTCTTGACAAAGGGGAGAGGGGGCGGGGTCAGTGTGTCTGGGAAGCCGTTGTATAAAGGGGCGTTCCAGCCGAATCGGTATGGGATTCGTCCGGGGCATCGGTGGGATGGGGTGGATCGGAGTAATGGATTTGAGAAGGAGTGGTTTGCGGCGAGGAACCGCAAGGGGAGGATGGAAGCGCTGGAGTATGAGTGGCAGATGGATGAGTGAGCTGTATACTATAGTTAATTCGGTGCTGGACGCCGATACCATTACGCATCTACTTCACGATAACACAGACAACGCTGTTCTACAGTCTCCGGTGCCAGGATGACGCGATGTCAGCCTCAGGTATCACGTTTGTAGACAAAACAAGCTAAGCCCCAGACTGGCAAGCCGGGTCAGTCGTCATTGTGCAACTTCGACCCAGACCAGGTCCTCAGCTCGAACAAGGCAAAACTTGCGTGATTTCTGGACGCAGGTGACGGCTGTGACGCCTGGTCAGCTGCGGCAATCTCGACGATAAGCCGGACCAGCCAGTCTTGGAAGCCGGAACGTCGTTTCTGCAGAGCAGACATGCACATCACATCATCGCATGACATCACGAGCAACGGCCAACCACAAGCAAGAGAACGTGCCTGAAACGACGGCCATGATCGGAGCCAGGGTGCTGGGCAGAGTGAGCGACAGGAGAGCCTCGGAAGCGTCGGTTGACGAAAATCGAGGAGTCGGGGACCGTGGTTGGGGTCGCTGGGGCACGAGTGGCGCATCGCCCCGGAAATAGAGCAGGCAGTGGGGGGAGTCTACAAAAAGGTGCGTAATCGATAGGGCAGCAGCGGTCGCGATACGCATGTCTATTCATGACCTGCACCTGCCGCAATCAGCAACGCCTCGCCCGGACCTCCCTTGATAGCGCGTGCGGGACCCGATGGTGAGCAGCAGTGGTGGTGGTCCTGATGGTGGTGGGTGGTGATAAAGCGCCCCTGGCCATGACTCGACCCTGCCAAACAAGGTCCCCGACAAAGCCTCTTTGTTCCATCTCTCTCTTCTTCGTCTCTTGTTCCTTTGTCTCCTCCCTCGTACCAACTTATTGCGCTCTTTGGTGACACACGCCGGTGACTGGTTCCAAGCCGATCCCTGGTGACTCACCCGAACTATAGCCATAGCGACTCCCTGCTTCATTACTCATTCTTCTTCCGTCTTCCACCACTCTGTTATATACTACGCCAACCGTTACCTAGCCCAGGCATACTACTGCACCTACAACACATCTACAAAGCGTCACTGAAGTAGCCTCCGCCATCTCACTCTTGTCCTACCTTGGCTTCCCACACCTGTATCTTCGCTCTCAACACCCTCGTAACCATGTCCGGCTCTTTCGACACCCACGACCTGCGCCAGGCTGGCACTGCAGCCAAGCGAGTTCACAACCACAAGGCTAAATGGAGCCACGGCGGCCGGCCCGCTCGTTGTCACCCTGGCATCTTTGATGACCTCCCGATCACTCGTCCCGCAAAGCCTGACCCGTATGTATTCCTATCTTGTCTTTTGCCCCACAGTCTAACATCCAACAGTAGCAGCTTGAACCGACGAGAGCGGACGCGCGATACGCAGCACACCGTGACCGCGGCGAAGATCGACCTCCGAAACGACGTCCGGGAAGCGCTTGACGCAGGAACATCCGAATCCTCCGGCGCAGAAGACCACACCGACCCTGCAGCCGACGCCACCGTTATCGGAGAGTTCCCGGACGAGACCGTCGCACATCCCTACGAGGTAACCGGCGAGAGGATCTTCAAGGACATGGTCGACAAGGCAGTCGAGAAGTTTGAGATCAAGGAGACGGAGAAGCTGGTCAAGGAATACGAGTTCATCACGCGGGAGAGCGAGATTTCAATCGGGTATCTCGCCGACGACGACGACTTTGAGCTGGTCGACCGCTACCAGCTATGATCCGACGTTTCTCTTCCACTGTGTATTTCGCTTCGCAGTCTTCGCATCCGCGTGTTTCGTCTTTGACTTGTATCATGAGCGCTGGGACCGGAGTTGGCTAGAGCCTTTTGTCGATTTAGATTAGATGATTTTTGGAGTCTGTTGGCGCTGGAGCTACCGACGAGGACGGTCATTTGGCGGGTGGCAACCTGCCTGTTATTCTTGCTTTGTTAGAGCCCGCTCGGCATCTGAGTTTGGTTATTGTTATTATGCATCAGAATGAACATACATATCATAGCCAGGTGTTCCGTTTCAATGTAGGGATGCTGCGAAATGCTGGACGCGAGATTGAAAGCTGGGGGAGAGCGGAGTGGAGAGGGAAGCGGGGGAATTGCATGGCTGGGCCTGCGTAATTCTCGTCACGTGTAGGCTACAATCAATATACGTTGTCATCGAGACGAGCAGATTTGGGGGCCATTCAAGGGGAGTAATATATCAAAATAGGTTGCTCGAAATATTCAAGGGCAGTAGGCATTCTGTTATTCAAAAAATCTCAATTACCTTGCCCTGTACAGGCTGAGTCGCAACTTATCCACAATATATATATCTTCGTTGCCCCATAGACTCTACCATATAGCGAGGATGTCACCTCCTACGAAAAAGGAGAATATATTCCTTTTCGTACCAAACTTGATCGGTAAGTGCTCGCTATACCCAACCTCATAAGATCATATGCCTTTAACATACAATCTTTAGGATACACCCGAATCATTCTCGCACTCACCTCCCTCTACTACATGCCCTACCATCCGCGAATATGCGCCCTCCTCTATAGCATCTCATGCCTCCTCGACGCCCTCGACGGCGCAGCCGCGCGACGCTTGAACCAGTCAACGCGCTTCGGAACCGTTCTGGACATGGTAACCGACCGCTGTACGACGACCTGCCTCCTCGTCTTCCTGGCAAGCGCATTCCCACGTTGGAGCATCGTCTTCCAGGGCCTCATCAGCCTCGACTACTCGAGCCACTACATACATATGTACGCGACGCTGGCTATGGGCGGGAATCGGAGTCACAAAGAGGTTGATGAGGCGTGGCCGTGGGCTTTGAGGGTTTATTATGAGGATAGGGTATGCTGATTTCGGGTTTCAGTGGTGGTAGTAATTAGTCTTCTGACGTGGTTTAGAATGTCCTCTTCACAGTCTGTCTGTTCAACGAGTTGTTTTTCATCGCGCTGTACCTTTTGTCCTTCTCCTCTGACTCTGATGTGTCGGTCGAGAACTGGTCTTCGGCATGGAGTGCGGGAGCGATGGAGATGGCTCGGTAAGTTATTCTCTTGTTGTCCAAAAGAAAGAGACCGCTAATCAAGACTCATCCAGGGCAAATAAAATTGGGAGCTTCTGGCCTAGGGTTCTTTTCGCCATTTCGTCGCCGGTCATGCTCTACAAGCAGGTTGTCAACGTCATGCAGCTCGTCCAGGCGAGTAGGTGGATCGCTCAGGGCGACATCGAGGCTCGGCGGAAAGAGAGGCGAAGTTCCTAGCTGATCACGGTGGATGGTTTATCGAGATAAGATGATACCTAGAGAGTCCGTAGGCGGCGGTATCTCGAAATCTGCTACTGGCTGTGGTTGCTGCTGGCTCTGCATTGGTTAACGAGAAGCGAGTGACCCAACTGGTCCCTCTGAGGCTGCGGAATCGAAGCCGAAAATGACTCAGAAAATCTGGGGCCAGAAACAGCCGCTTTTCCATGTAATTTTGGACAGCAGAGCCGCTGTGGTATCCGCTTGTTGCCCGGCACAGCCCACCATGGTTTATGAGCGACGGTATAATACTGAAATCTTTGGATGATAGATTGTTAGAATACATACGTACTGGTATAATGCCATTGTCTGAATCTTTTCGCGCTGCATTGCTTGTTAATGACTGAAATATCTTCCACGGTTGTCTGAAGTGGGATTGAAATAGTACAAGCTATTCCTAACTTAGTAAAGTTATTACAGGACTCGAGTCAGCGCGCCTTGAATATGGACTCGGAAGAAACGCTAAAATCTCCAAGTTCACCAGGATAGGCTAGACGATACGGCCGTTCATCCGACTAATATAGTGTGGTAGTATCTGTTCTACCACTCTCCACACGATGCGGCGATATTAAAACTCGACAGGGCTTGTGACCCTTTTCTACATAAATAGGTAGGACCCTTATACTCGCGACTGCTTCTGTTTGAATATTAATACTTCACCCAGTTCAAATTTTGAACATTGTCGTTCATTTCCTTACTACGCTCGCTACCATGAAGATTGCTTCTTTCTGGGTGTCTATCGCCCTATTAGCGCCACAGGCTCTAGCAGAAGCCACAACGACATCTGCTACGTCCACTACCTCTACTGCCGCGGCGGCAACCTGTACAGCTTCCCTTATCACCAGTCTCTGCGACTACACGGAACCCGACGAAGGAACCGGCGTCGCCAGCGACGGTGCGGCCTCCTGCTGGGAGTATTGCAACGACAACCCTCCTTGCGACTTTGTTATCTTCCTCGAGGGCAACCCGTACCTGGGCACCGGCACATGCTGGCTGTACCCAGGTGAAACCTATGATGAGAGCCAAGGCAGTTCGGAAGGCTGCAACAACCCTTACCTAGATGTCTACGACAAGCCCGAGTGTTCTGGAGGCAGCCCAACCTCCACTGCCGGCACCTGCGAAGCCACCGCGTCTCCATCTGCTATTGCCTCGGTCTGCGGGTACCCTAATCCCGGTGATGATTGCTTCTACGACTGTGCTGCTAGCTCGGGCGCCTCGCACTGTCTGAGTATGTGTGCTGAGCGCGACGCCTGCAACTATGTCGTCTTCAACCCGCACAATCCGAGCAACTCGCCGTATCGGTCGGGCACCTGCTGGATGTATCCGAACGGTACATATGACGCTGATGCTGCGTCCGATTGTGACGGCGAGCCTGAGCAGTTTGTGTATGAGAACGTGTGTCCTAAGCCGTCGCCTTCGTCATCGTCCTCCGAGGCCGCTTCGTCGACCTCCGTTTCATCGTCTCCGACGGAGAGCTCGAGTGGCGCTGAAAGTGCAACCCCTACTTCGGGCATAGATTCAACTGCCATTGCTGCTGAGGAGGGAACTACTACCGATGAGAATTCGGCGCCTTCTGGCATCTCGCTCACTATGCCTTTGGCTATGGCTATGGGTGTGGCTATGGTAATGTGGCAGGCCCTTGGATGATATTCTTGTATATATTAGTTGTTTGTTCAGCTAAACGAAATATTGGAACGATGTATTATACTTAATGAACTTCATATGAGGTCACTTCTCCTCGTATATTTCTCGCTGTTATCGAGAATATGCTGGGTTCCCTTGCGATTGCTGGTAATATCAAGGCGAGGAAAAACAGAGATGAGAAATGGATAGAAATCCTTGATAAATGACTGATATCAAGTTAATACTCATAATCGAGAGCTGCAGACCTGAAAGTAATCGATCTCAATGTGTTCCAGTTGTACTGAATGTGGTTGCTGGGTCTGGATTGTTTACAAACAAAACCCGCCGCCGGAAAAAGTCGTCGATCCTTGGCCGAACTCCGCAGATCAGCTACAATTTCCATCTGCCATCTCCACGCCTCCTGCCTTCATTTCTTCCTCTGCATCTCCTGCTGCTTTGACTTTCATCTGCAGCCAAGATGGAAAAGCGAACCGCAGAGAGTCCCATGGACTTTGAGTGGCAGTCCAGGGGCGGCCCCGGCGACGTGACTTCGCCCTTCTATCAGCTCAGCATGCAGCATGACAACAAGAAGCGTGCGTCTCGCCCTTGTTGTCTCGGATTGCTTTGACTTCAGTTTCCATCGAACTAACCAGCTGCAGGCTCGCACAATGCCTTCGAATCCCCCGAGAAAAAGTCCCTTCCTGCCCTCCGCCCGCCCAACAACCAACCTTTCCTCTTTTCACAATCCCGACCGCAAACGGGCCCCGGAACACCCAAGGCCGCCACCTACGCCCAGCCTGCGTTTATGACGCCGCGGAAATTCGATATCGACTTTTCATCAGGAGCGGAGAATTTCTCGTCACCGGAGAATGCGGATAACGACGAGACACCGGAGCAGCCTACAAAGTCGGGCCATCGAAACTCGCTGTTTGGCATGTACGGCCGCTTCGCACCGAGTCCAGGACGCGGCGAAATACAGCGACTGACTCACTACTCCAATGCGGCGGTTCGGCGGGTGCAGAAGCGGCGATTACGGAACAAACAGCTGGGTCTGCAGATACACCGGGATAGCGACGATGAGAGCGATCGGCCGAGTAGCAGCGAGGGCAAGACAAAGGGCAAAAAACAGGGACACACAGAAGGGGAGCAATCGTCGCGGATGTCGTCGTTCTCGGACTTTTTCGCCCTGCTCGAGGCTCATCCGAACGTACCCAACATCCTCTCGTGGTGGGCACAGCTGCTCGTCAATCTCTCGCTGTTCTCGCTCGCTGTGTATGTGGTCTTTGGATTTGTGTCGGCGATTCGCTCGGAGTTTGATCAGGCGGCGGAAGAGATGTCGGATACGATTTTGGCGGAGATGGCTGTTTGTGCAAAGGATTATGTCGACAACAGATGCGGTGGAGGGGATCAACCACCGGCTTTGAAGGCCGCGTGCGATAACTGGGACCGATGCATGAACAGAGATCCAGCAAAGGTCGGACGGGCAAGGGTGTCGGCACAGACCATGGCGATCATCATCAACAGTTTCATCGACCCGATCAGCTGGAAAGCGATTGTACGTTCCCTGTCCCAGCCTTTCGTGCCCTCTACTAACGTGTTGCAGCTATTTTTCCTTGCCACCATATCGACCGTCACTGTCGTCAGTAATTGGTCCTTCCGCTCGTTTAGAAGCCGCTACAACCAGCACGATTACGCTCACCAACCACCCAGCTACTCTCGACAGCCCTCGGGTCAACATCCTTCGATGCCTCCGCAGCTGCCCGGTCAACAATCACATGGATTCGGTTACTTGGGGACACAAGAGCAGGAGAATTTCGCCGGCTTCCAGAAGCAGGAGATGCCGCTACTCTTGGACCAGCCGAAGATGGCGAATGTCACTGAGCGAAGCCGCGAGCGCTCGAGGAACCCCCGCACTCCAAGCCCAGTTAAACGAAGCCGAACTCTCTTATAACCTCCTTCCATATTGAGCATCAGCGACTTGGCGTTTATTGTTATTTTCTTCCATCTTCACTTTCTTGTGCTGTCTTTTTACACTTTGCGCGATAGACTGGCTTTGGAACACGGAAATCAGGCAGGAGGAGTTGGTCATTAGTTCATTCACTTGTACATATACGGATTCATGCTGTGCCTATGGGATTATCCATGTTTGTGTCGTATCGATGGTTGTATTGCGAATTCTCGTTTGGACTGTTGAGCGGCGCTACCAGTCAGCCACAAGGTCCCCCGTCCGTCCTGCGCTGAGACAACAAGGCAACTGCGATAGCTGATAGGATGTTCTGTGAGGGGTCGCCGCGCCTAGCCGAGTGCTTCCAGAAGTCGATAGAAATCTAGATGGCGCTAAACATTCGCATGATAACGGGAGGATTGCGTGCGGCTGGCTCTGGTGGACGGTGGCCGATGGAGGCGTCGCGGTAAGTATTACCACTTATCGTGCCCCTGCAGAAGCTTATTGAAATAGATGAGCAGATTTTCGGCGACTAGTGAGAGTTTTGAGCACATTTTTGATGCTTAATTCGAGGGCAAGTATGCGCTCCCGACAAGGACTCGGCTCGGGGGATTCCCAGCTAAACTGTCTGAACACAATGGGGACAAGGCTAGTGCAACAAGGGAAGAAAGAACAGCGATCCCGCAATCGACAGCGCGCTTTGTCTAATCGCCCGCGTGAGGCTTTGGTTACATCTGCAGGGGCCAAGAACTGCAGATCGACACTCCAATATCGCCTCCCCCAACCACAGCCTGCCCCTGCGGCCTCACCGCTGTAACCTAAGAGCTGCACGGCGTTGGGCCCTGAATCTCCGCGAATCATCCCCACGTCTCAATGTTCTTATCTGCGCCGGCCTTCAAGCTTCTTCTGCACCTCCGCCGGCCAAGACCGCCTGCCCTGCGATAGAATGATGACCTTCCTTTTGAGATGTGGTCGCCCGGGTATGGTAGCAATCCACATGGCTTGGCAAGCTGTGCGACGGGGGCTGCAGCCTTGGCTGCTCGCTGTTCTCCGAATCCAAAGAAGGCTATATAAGGGGGCGGTTGGCTTTGCGATTGAGGAGACCTCATCCTCCTGCCATCCCATATCTCGGCTCGGCTGCCCTAGATCATCATGAAGCTGTCACTCGTCTCTCTCCTCTCGCTCGCCTGCGCGGCCACCGCATCGTACGAGAATGGGGGTACCATGGAGCACCTCATGTCGCTGAAGATGGCGTCGCGTGAGCGCGCCCATGCCAAAGGATGGTTCGACAAGGACCGATACCCTCTACTCAGCCGCAGAAAGTGCTTGCGAGGGAAGGCCGGCGAGTACTCTTGCAAGAACGTTGATCTGCTCAGCTTCATCAGCCACCAGGGTCTGGGCAGTGAGACCCGTGAGGGCAACGATGTCTGGGGTATGTGGGACAGTATTTATCCTCCGAGAGCTTGGGCTAACTGATGTAGGTTGGGTTTCTAAGTGGGGTCGCGAGTTCGGTATCGTCGGCCAGACGGACGGAGTCGCCTTTGTTGAGATCCTCCCTCTTACCGGTACCCTGAGGTACGTTGGTCGCCTGGCTACTCAGACCGTGCCCTCTGTATGGCGCGACATCAAGGTCATCGGTGACCATGCGTACATTGGCTCCGAGGCTCCTGGCCACGGACTGCAGATCTTTGATCTGAACAAGGTGCGTTAGCTCTGATTGACACACGGACCGGGGCTGACAACGTATGCAGCTGCTCAAGTTCAGCCTTAAGCCCATTATCTTCTCGCCTGAGAAGGACCTGACTGCTTGGTACCAGGGCTTCGGCAGCTCCCACAACATTGTGGCACACGAGGAGACCAACACGATCTATGCCGTCGGCACCCAGCGAAACCTCACCTGCGCCGGAGGTCTCTGGATCGTCGATGTCTCTGACCCTGCTAACCCCACCTCTCCTGGTTGCGTCAACGAGGACGGCTATGTTCACGATGGTATGTCCGCAATATCGTATGTGAAGAGCACAGCTAACCTCTGCAGCCCAATGCGTCATCTACCAAGGCCCCGACAAGAAGTACACCGGCCACGAGATCTGCTTCAACTACAACGAGGACACCTTGACCATTGCTGACGTCACCGACAAGAAGAACCCCATCCAGATCTCGTCGACCCCCTACGTCGGCGCTGCCTACACCCACCAGGGCTGGCTCGTCGACGAGAAGCAAGAGTACCTCCTCCTTGACGATGAGCTCGACGAGATGGACGGCACCGGCCAGGCTGCGAACGGCCACACCACCACCTACATCTTCGACATCAAGGACCTATCTGCCCCCAAACACACCGGAACCTACCAGTCGCCCGTCCGCTCGATCGACCACAACCAGTACGTCGTCGACGGTCTCACCTACCAGTCCAACTATGGCAGCGGTCTCCGCATCGTCGATGTCAGCTCTGTCGCCAAGGACCCCACCGGTGCAAGCTTCGAGGAAGTCGGCTTCTTCGACGTCCATCCCGAGGACGACGAGGTCGGCGGCGAGGTCGAGTTTGTCGGCAGCTGGAGCGTCTACCCTTACTTCCCCAGCGGATACATCTTGCTGAACAGCATTGAGCGGGGCATCTACTCGCTCAAGTACACTGGCCCCGGTGCCAAGCACTAAGTTGACTTGGTCAATTTGTCGCATGGAGGTCATCGGATCACTCACTGCATGTATCGAGCTCGACCACATGTCTGAGCACTAAAAGTTGTCAGGATGGTGAATTCTGAGTCCACCAGTCTGACAAACAATAATAAATCCACAAGTCATGCGACGCACTGCATGCATTATGTACATAGCAATGACAACCCCGCATTTGCATAATCCGCTCCCCTGCACTCCACAAGTTACCTAGTATCTGTATAGTAACCTGAAACCCAGACACAACTCGTCGCAGTCTCGCAGACCCGTCTCAGTCTGACACACCCGATCTGACTCCCACCTGGTTCAAACCAATGAAACACCCGACGAAGTAACGAAACCCTGGACGTTCATCCCACGCCTCGGTAAACGGCACCTGCGAGGGAGAATCATCTTCGGCAGTCGGTGCGACTCCACTTCGTCTTCACTGAATCACTCTTTTACCCAGGATTCCAGCCTTAATATGAATAGATTGATTCACTTCAACGAACCAATCACCCCCCTGTTCTTTCCCCGCAATCTTGAAACAATATCAGCCCCATGACCCCGTGAAGAATCCACCCAGGGCGACTACTAGCAGTACCGAGTGTGGACCACTGTACCACAGTCCTACCTAGGCTAGTCGCACTGTGTATGGTAGGGCTGGCTGCGCCAATCCGACCCAGGGAAGCCACCAGCGCCCCCGACCTAAAACAACCGCTATAGCTTAGAGGGACTTGGGGAGGGGAGGCCAAGTGCCAGGCTAGGTCTACTACAGTGCCCAATTTTCAGGTCACTGAATCGCCGCGCCGTGACCCATCCTTATTCTCATCATGGGACTCAGGTTGATACAGCCTAGGGAAACATACGTTGGCCAAGCATGGGGCCCTCCCCTCCGCTCTCTTCTACCTAGGTACCAGCGGCACTGACTGCCGCCACGCAGGGCCTTATTTCACCTACTCTGCCACATAGGAATGGAGTAAACAACCGCCATCGCATGGAGACTAATGTATAAATATCCCCACCAGCACGCAAGAATCATGAGGAGTCTCATCAAGCACGCCGCACCGCAAGCCTCAAGCCAGCTGCATCCATTCCTTCCTTCTTCCTTGCTGCTTTTCTTCACTTCAGTCATTTGTCTGTTTAAGCAGTAGTCAGCTAGTCTACTAGCAGCCCAGCCCGCCATGAAGCTATCCATCAACGCTATCCTCGTCGCAGCCCTCGCGGCCCTGTCTGTCGCGTCCCCGCTGCCCGCAGACGCAGACATCACCCTCGAGCGTCGCCAGCTCATCAGCTCTGATGACCTGAAGAACGGCGACTGCAAGCCCGTCGCGTTTATCTTTGCGCGGGGATCCACGGAGGCTGGAAATATGGTGCTGCCCCTTCCTCCTACCTTTCTCTCGCTATCTCCCATCTCCTTCTATACCCCGCCCCAACAATACCAGATAGTATGTTCCCTCAACTAACCAACCGATCCAGGGCTTCATCGTCGGCCCCCAAGTCTGCAGCGACCTAAAGTCGCGCCTGGGCCGCAACAACGTCGCATGCCAAGGCGTCGGCGGCGCATACACCGCCGGGTTGATCCCCAACTTCCTGCCCGAAAACACCAACCGGCAGTCCATCCAGGCCGCCGTCGACATGTTCGAGCTGGCGGACAAGTGCCCTGATACGCAGATCGTGGCCGGCGGATACAGCCAGGGCTCGGCCGTGATTTCTGGCGCGATCCAGGATATTTCGGATTCGCTCAGGGCCAAGGTTAAGGGTGTGGTCCTGTTTGGGTATACGCGCAACTTGCAGGACCGCGGGCAGATTCCGGGGTATCCCAAGGATCAGACGAAGGTTTATTGTGCGGTGGGGGATCTTGTGTGCTCGGGGACGCTGATTATCACGGCGAGTCACTTGACCTATGGGATTAATGCGGGTGCGGCGGCGAGGTTTTTGGCGGATACGGTTGATATCTAGATCAACCTCGCCGAGTCTGTGGTCGAATCGAAGCAGGAGAGAGAGAGCGATGGCAGGGGCTGCTTGTCTGACCCTTTTCTTTTCCCGCTGACTGACGCTCGACTATTGGGTATTGGTGCGCTTACCCAGGAGGACTATCCTCTGGCAGCACCAGCTTGTTTCCAAGGAGGATGGAAAGGGCAAGGTGAAGGAGCGGATGCTTAATCAGGTGTAGATAGCTTTTCGATTCTACTGGAGACGGGATATGCAGGTCATATTGAATGTATCTTTTACCAACGTTGGAATGGTCTTTTCTCCTTCAAACCCGTCCCACCGTTTCCATAGATGCGGCGTAGGACAGAGAGAGCATCACGCTCCCATTGTCTCTACGAGGACGAACCCTCCTACGCCACGAGTCCTCGCCGTCCAAAAATCACGTGTTTCTTCACATCCCCCTTTTTTCAAAGCAGTGCGCATGCATATAATTGCAAAGTGCTTGTCCTCTCGTTTAGATTAAGCACTCAAATCTATTTTCCCTCAATATACTCCGTACTCATCCTTCTTTCACCAAGATTACTCGCACTAAATGACTCCCTCCCACCAGGTCGAACCCATTAGTTCTTTTTCCCCGGATCAAATTTTTGGAATTGTAAGAACTGGGTTGGTAGTCCGTCAAGGGCAGTTTGCCGTTAAGCTCCCTCTCAGGTGGAACACAAGCAGTGACGAAGAAGTGGAAGCAAACATTGAATCACTCCAGCATGAGCAAGCTATCTATCAACGCCTAGATAGCTGGGACGGCGTTGTCTTTTTCCTTGGTTGCTCAGCGACGGCCACTCAACTCCGCCTAATGGAAAAGGGCGATCTACGTTCCTACTTGAGCTAAAATAAGCCATCCAAGAGGCTCCAGCTGTCCTGGTTTCGGTCAATGGCTTATTCACTCTCACAAAGCCATGACCGGCGAATTATCGTGGCTGATATTGCTACCCGCAACTTCGTCCTCGATGCCGATCTCAAAGTTACGATATGCGATTTTACCGAGTCCATGCTACTGCCTCTTGACATCCATATGGAGACGGCTGATTGGGCTGGATACTCTATACATACAGACATTGGGCAGTTGGGAGCCGTGATGTATGAGGTGGTGGTTGGCGAGAAATGTGAATTTGACATATCCAAGGATCTTCCAGTAGAGCTTAGTAGTGGTACATGGCCACGGAGGGAGAGTCTTCCCAGTACTGAGGGCCTTTGGCTCGGTCTAATAATTGAATGATATTGGACGAAGGGTGCATTCGCCAGCGCGCACGACTTGTGGAAAGAACTAGATTCCGTGTAGGTTAAGAACAACCCAGTCAAGCAGCCTGGGCTGTTCAGAAACTTATCATCACTTTTTCATTTTCTTAATCCATTCCGGTGGCTGGGAGTCGCACGCTCTGGGACTACACTGTTGATGGTATTTGGTGCAATTGTCGGTTATGTTTGGAGCCGGAGACGCAAGACTCGTTGATCTTGAAAAGGAATGGATCATCCTACCACCGGGGGTGCAAGCCGCCGTTTCCATTGTTGTTGTCTGCAGATGAGGTTACTTTAGTACTTTGATTCAATGAGGAGGACGGCGTCCTATACCTATAGGCGAAATCCCATAGGAAAGGTGATAATTTGAATTTGGACGGTCAACTCCACCTATATTTTTGAGCACGGCAATTACACACGGGATGCGGCCCGAGAGCACTTTGTATCTCAGCTGGTCTGGATTGAAACGGGTACGGAGAACTGCGTCTCTGCGTCCTGCAGGATTGGAACCGTCCATGCATGACGGACATGCGCAGAGTTCGATGCCGATGCCAATGTCCGTTGCCGTATGCGAACGTCCGACGAGTACAGAGTCCACCGTCCACGAGGTGTCGGGAACGAGCATGTTGTACACACCGAAGGGGACAGACTGACGGGAGCGTACGTACGTCTGCCGTGCCATGCCAGGCCATGCGACTCGGGGAGACTGTGTAATAGTTTATTTCAACGCGCGCGCAAACAACTTTATTCCCACCTCCATTTCCCTCTCTCCTCCCTTCTCATTTCACAATGTCCCTTACTCTCCCCTCAACCCAACCTCCTCTGAGTCTACCTACTTCTCAAAGCCCGGCCGTTCCTCCACCCCACCAATCTCCCCCTTTGGCTTTGCCCCAATGATACCGGTATCATACCTCGGATCAAGCTTCTCCAGTATCTCTCTCGAGTCTGGCTTTGGGCTCTCGGATGCGGTCGTGGATGCCGAGGCGCCGCCGGGGCCGTTGAAGGAAGCTTTCTCGGACGCGGCGCCTGTCGTCAGGAGGTCTTGGTCGTGGGATAGGGTTTGCTGGTGCGAGCGGTTGGGCATTGTTTTGGTTTTGGGATGTGATCCGTTATTGGAAGCTGTAAGTTTGACGAGATGATTTTCGTCCTAGAGATGTCTGTAGGTGAGGGAGGGACTATGATGTATGGATGAGATCAGTCCGGCGGGTTCCAGCGGTACTCCTGGTACTCCCTTGTATACGTGATTCTTGGCAGGAACATTGCTGGTCGCTCCTTCTTTCCGTTGTCATGATATCTGAGTGTCACCGAGGCTGACGACGCCTTTGAATCAGCTTCGCATCCTGAATGCCAACACTCGTCATATACCTTTTGGTCTTCGCAGTTGGGTACTCATGGCTCAAGCACGTTGATGAAGGTGATCCTTAACAGTATCTAGCTGGCTATTCCAGCGGAGAGTTCGCAGAACGATCACTAATCTCGAGGCCAAGCGCAGAGTCGGATCCGCGCTTCTTCTTGACTGATCTCCCAACGTTTGTGTCGCTGATTCGCCTCCCAAGGGTTGATTGCCGGAAATCACGGAGAGATGGGCTGGTCGAGGCCTCGTATAGGCTGGATGCCGGCACAATGCGGGGCTCCGGACTTGACAGTGTCTCCATTCCCCAACTGTCATTCGGAGCTAATGCCGATCCAGCGATCTGATAGCAACTGCGATTGGATCCTGCAGGGAACTCGGCAGTCCAGTCTGGGAAAACCGCGGTCAGAGCGCAGATCGGATCCGGTCTGACTCCAGCAACCAGCTCTGCGGCGGAATTTCGCTGCCGACTTCAACTTCTTTTGCTCATAGAGACTCGGATTGTCCACCAGAACCAGCTGAATTCCAGGAGTCGACTATGTATTCACTCTCTGGCGGATGCGGCTACTGTCTCTCGAATCACATCGGCTGTGACCTCGTCGAGGGGTCGCCGTGCGGGACTTGTCGCGATTATGGCATTCAGTGCCCACCGAACCAGTGAGATGAATCAACAAAAGTTGTTGTCGCGATGCTAACATCGATAGGGAACCAACGCTTGGTCTAGATCTTGAGATAGACTCGCCAATGGAAGAGGCCATCCGTAAGTTGAGCCGCCTCTCAATGAACAAGGCAAAGCTCATAAAGCCGTTGGCAGACACACCAGAAGCGTACACAGACAGCCGGTTCGATCTCGTCGACGTTTCATCGCCAATCCATTGGATGGTCCCTCTTGATCACTACAAATCCGTCGCCCACGACTTTCTCTGCGTCGACGTCCCTGGGCTTCCAACTACGACTGCCGAGCTCTCTACGCAGCCAGTGCCTCCCTTCATTCAGGGGCTCTCTGCGTCTCTCGCCGACGAGGACGTGCAGTTTCTCGCCAGCAAGGGCGTCTTTTCACTGCCAGACCAGAAGCTACGGAATGCACTGCTCAAGACATTCGTCCACCACGTCCATCCCTATCTTCCGGTGTTGGATCTCCCAGTCTTCCTCGAAGCCATCGCAAACAATGATGGGCACACACAAGTCAGCCTCCTCCTCTTCCACGCGGTCATGTTCTCGAGTATCGCCTTTGTCGATCCCACGCATATCCACCGCGCTGGATACACATCTCGAAAGGCCGCGCGCCAGGAATTCTTCAGCAAAGCACGGGTAAGTACGCCCTGACCTTGAATACCCGATCTAACGAAACAGCTGCTATACGACCTCGACGCCGAACGAGACCGGATCGTCTTAATCCAGTCCGTCCTGCTCATGACGTACTGGCACGAGACCCCCGACGACCCCAAAGACTTCCGGCACTGGCTCGAAATCGCCCTATCACAAGCAACTATTGTCGCCTTCCCCAACTCCTCCGAATGGGCCAGCGGAGGCACCCAGCCAGGGTTGTGGAAACGAATCTGGTGGTGCATGTACACTCGGGATCGACTGAATGCTTTGAACCTCCGCCGCGAACCGATTATTAGTGACGCCGACTTTACTGTCCCCTACCCGACGCTCTCGGACTTTGACATTCAGCGGTATCCCAGCAGCGTCACCCGGATGCTCGGAGGCTGTGAGGTCCTGCGGCGTCTCGACTATCAGCAGCAGCTGGCGCAAATGTTTATCGAAAAGGCCAAGTTCTGCTGCGCCATTAGTGAGATTATACTTAGCATTGCAAATGCGTCGACGCTCAGCCCGGAGGAGCTTACACGGTATATCCAGGCGCTGGAGGACTGGCAGGATAACCTCCCCTCGCATATACAGTATTGCGCGCCGACAGGAAATCTATCCGAGGGCGAGCGGACGCTATTTGCGTATCGCGCCTGGCTCAAGATGCTCTTCCTCGCAGCGTCGGGCGCTCTACATCGCCAGAGCCCTCAACGACTCACTCACGTCGACGCCGATACCGACCATCAAGAATCACAAACCCAGGCCCCAGAAACAGGCCTCCACTCGGTAACCCGCTCCATCGCCGGCGTCGCTGAAGGCCTCCACCAGCTTGACCTCGTCCACTGCCTCCCAACAACAACCGTCGGCCTCCTGATGCCCGTCCTCGCAACGCACTTTATGAACATCCGCTCGGAAACGCCCGACCTGTGGCGCAACGCCTTTCAGTCGCTGTACCAGTGCCTGAAGGTGCTGGAGAAGCTGGGGGAAGTGTACATGCTGGCCGAGTCGATGGCGACATTCTTCCAGGCGGCGATTTGCGGGGATGCCGATGCGGGCGATCCTGCGCGTGGCGGGCCCATCCCTGGCCGTTCGGGGCTGGAGAGGGACTTTCTGGAGAGGATCCTGACAAGTGCGGAGATGGAGACGTTTGCGCAGCTTGTCGGGGAAAGAGAAGCAGCGCTGGCGGTGTGAAGTGAGTGGCAGTGGATGGCATGACGTGACGTGACTTATGATTAAGATTTGTATAGGAAAACTGTAACGAAGCGAGTGGCGGCGCACTGTTGACACATTCATCTTGCAAATGACATTGGAATCTGGTCCTGTAAAACTATGATCGACGAAGAACTTGATCGACTAAAATCTCCGCTTGCTCTGATCAGGAAAAGTCGACGGCTGGTGTTTTCAGTGTAGCACAGGCGATAGGCTGGACCAGGTGCCAACCCCCACTTTGAAGCCATCACGACATCGCGGGCAAATGAGTGCAATCGCCCAAACGAATCTGCAACCTCTTCAAATACGAACGGACATACCACGATAGACGTTGTCGCACTCGCCACGTTCCTCGACACACCTCCATCCCTTCAGACGGCTTCATCTTGACTGTTACCGAGTACCAGGCTACACCTGCGCAGCGCAGGTCCAAGACCAAAAATGTCCTCCAAGGATCCATCATCGCACTTCAACAATGAAGTCGACGAAGCATCGCGTCCCGACAACCTCGACCATGACCCCCTGACCGCGCCGCTCAAGCGCAAGCTGCACTCGCGGCACCTACAGATGATCGCGATCGGCGGTATGTATCTACTACTCTATAGATATCGCCAAGCTCAAGTTGGTCTGACAACATCTCACAGGAATCATCGGCCCGGGTCTCCTCGTCGGGTCCGGAAAAGCGTTTAGCGAGGGCGGTCCTGCCGGTGTTCTGATCAGTTTTTCGCTGGTTGGGATTATTGTGTATTTTGTCATGTGCGTCTTTGACCATTCATTGATGGTTGCCGTCTGGGCTCCGTGGCTAAATGTCCAACTCATTAGGCAAGCACTCGGCGAAATGGCCACCGCCATCCCCGTCACAGGCTCATTCACCGAATACGCCCAGCGCTTCGTCGACGACTCGCTGGCGTTTGGGCTCGGGTGGGCTTATTGGTATCTTTGGGTTACGGTACGTCCCCTCAGTTCCTCCATCACCCACAGGCCATCTATCTGGCTGGAGCCTCTAGCTGCAGATGCAAAGGTAGCAGGAGTGGCTAATGGAGCTGCGCAGGTCCTCGCAAACGAATACAACGCCGTCTCCCTCGTCATCATGTACTGGACCGACGCCGTCCCGCAATGGGCCTGGATCCTCATCTTCTGGTTTCTGTTTCTCGGCCTGTCGAATTTTGGGGTGCGGGAGTATGGCGAGATGGAGTTTTGGCTGTCGCTGTAAGTGCACCTTTTATCTTCCGCAAACTCCCTCTTTCACCCATCCCAATATTAAAATCAAGAGGTGCTTGCTAATATCAACATAGTATAAAAGTCATCGCCCTAATCGTCTTCTTCATCCTCGCCATCTGCATCAGCACGGGTGGGATCGGCGACCAGGTCATCGGCTTCAAGTACTGGCATAACCCCGGTGCCTTTGCGGATTCGATCAATGGCGTTGCGAGGACGTTTGTTGTTGCGGGGACGTTGTATGCGGGGACCGAGATGTATGTTTCCCTTGCCTTGTTTTCTTTTCCGCTGGATAGTCTCTTCTGTGCTTGCTGGAGGGTATTCTAACAGTTAGACAGGGTGGGAATTACTGCCGGCGAATCGAGTAACCCACAAAAAGCCGTCCCACGCGCCATCCGGCAGGTATTCTGGCGGATTCTCGTTTTCTATATCGGTACATTTCTCTCCCCCTCCCCGTCCGAAACGCGATATTGACTATAAGGTTGCAGGAACAATGTTCTTCATCGGCATATTGATGCCCTATACCGAACCCCGCCTCCTCAACAGCTCCTCGTATGGCGCAAACTCCCCGTTGACAATCGCCCTCGCCGACGCCGGCATCGCCCCCGCCGCACACCTCATCAACGCCCTAATCGTCGTCAGCGTGGTCTCCGCAGGGATCGGGTCCCTGTACGTCGCGTCCCGGACAATCCTCTTCATGGCGCGTAGCGGGAAAGCACCCAAATTCCTAGGAAGGACCAACTCGCGCGGCGTCCCCTGGGTCGCGCTCATCTTCTCAAACATCTTCACCTGCATCGTCTTCCTCACACTAGGCAGCGGAGCAGGCAAAGTCTACTCGGCCCTCATCACCTTGTCCGGGGTCGCAACCTTCCTCGTCTGGACCTCCATCTGCATAGCACACATCCGCTTCCGCCGCGCACTGGCCGTCCAAAACCAGCCCGTCTCATCCCTCCCCTTCCGCGCCGCGCTGTATCCCTACGGGACGTATTTCGCGCTGTGTACGAACATCTTCCTCATTTTCTTCCAGGGCTACACGGCGTTTCTGAATCCGTTCTCCGCGGAGGATTTTGTCATCAATTATATCCTCCTCCCGGTGTTTGTGGGCTTTGTAGTTGGGTGGAAGGTTTGGCATCGCACGCGGTTCGTCAAGCTGAGCGAGATGGATGTTTGGAGTGGGAGGAGGGAGAGGGAGGGGGAGAGAGAGATTGCGGAGGATGGGGGTCCGTATGGCGGTGGGCGGGGGAGTGGTTATGTCGGTGGGTGGAAAGAGGGGAATGGGTGGAGAGGTAGGGCTTGGAGGGCTGTTGTTGGATAGATTCCTTCTCTCTGTGTCTTTTGCTTTACTGTACTTCCTTTTGCAACTCGTTGTGGATGGGGATCGCGTACGGTAGTCCTGAGGCGTGAGGCGTGGGGCGTGAGGCGTCCACTAGATTCAGGGCGCAGGATATCAAAGATCCAGGATCCACGCTACACATCCTCCTCGACTTCAACTGTAAGACCTAGACGGAGGGACGGTGCCTTTTCTCACCGCCCACTGAAGTTCAATAGATGTCGAGAAGATTATCCCGAGCAGATGATGCACGTTCCCAGTAGGCTAAATCGGCGTCCAGACACCAGTCGAGCCTGGTGTGCGCGTATCATCAGCTCAAGGTAGGTAGGTATATCCTAGTTGACAGCAAAATATGGTTCGTGCTGACGGTATTCGTTGTTGTATATATATATATATGAGCAGGGATGCATCTATAATATATATATGCGCACAACCCACTGGCCGTAGCAGTTTTGCCGTCCGCCGGTAATACACCAAAGCCATGGGCTAACTATCGCTCTCGTGGTTTTAAACTATCTACGGTATGATTTTTCTGGTATACCCAGTACTAGTAAAACAGTGGTAGACCGAACCGACCCGCGTTGGTGCCGAGGACCAGCGAGACACGGTAAGTATGCACTGCACCCACCTCGCCCCTGCTGGCGTGTCCGAGAATCATGGATAGCCATGACCGGAAAGAGCTACGATTGACGCGAAGGGGCCCCAGACAGGAAGAGAGAAAGAATACGCAAATCGCCATCTCGTATTTTTCGTCGCTGACGCGGAACGGACTGTGCCGACTCGATCAATTCACCAACTACGGAGGATGGAGGAGATAGGTATGGCATCTCTATCTCGATCATCGATCCCTCCCTTTGAGGAACGCAACACGGCGGGCGGATTTCGAGAGGCGGTCTGGTGCGCGTCGAGGCATCCCGAGTCCATACTATAGCATACGGGTTTGATGTAGGGATCTTGACCAGTCTGTTTATGGACCGCTCGTAGTGGAGATGATGTACGGATGGTAGGGTAGGAGTGCGAGAGGAGTGGCTAGCGCAGGCTTCGCAGCGCTTGACCGGGGAAATGATTCGAATCGATCAAGCACCCGCGTTGGCTTGCCGGATATACATACACACCATGAATTGTAGGTACGGAAATCTGTTGAATGCGTGACTAGGCCGAGAGATGTCCAGCTGTTAGTGACAACCCTCACGTCTACGTGTCTGGCCGGCCAAGGGCACCGCCTGCATGAGAACTCAATCTACGGAGCGATGCGATATCGGAATACGTGTCTTGCAGGCACCATGCGTCCATCTCCATCTCCGTAAGGAATTGGGATAGCCGGCTGGGGTGGAAATGTGGGTGATAGGAGAGAGAGGATAAGATGAGAGGATAAGATGAGATGAGCAGCAGGGTGTTGACGAATTTTGTTGTTTCGTGTCAGAGCTTGATGGCATCTTGGTGTCGGATTTGGTCTCGGTTCCATATGCCAAGGGCCAACCTTGGGTATCCGAGGTAATGGAGATATCTCGCAGCGATATGGTAGGGCGATCAAGGTCGTCGTTTTTGGTTCTGCTGCTGTCGCTGCTGGGTGACGGTTGAGGTACTCGAAGTAGACCGGATTTGACTTACTTCCTAGCCGCTGAAAATGTGATATGCTTCATATGCACAACTGACGACTGTCTGCTCTCCGATATCTGGTCTCGATATCGAATGCGTGGCGAGTTGACCTGCAAGAGCAAAATGTTGGCCTGTACGAGCCAAATGTTGGCCTGTACGAGCCTCGCACGGGGGGACAAGACCAGAGAGCTCTCGAGTGATCGTACGAAACGACGGCTAAGTCTGTTCTCAAGTAAATGCATGGGCTGAGCTCGTATGTTTGTGTCGTGGGTCTCGTCTCCTGCCACCTGGACCCAATAAGTCGTCGAGCTGGTGTCAAGGCTTCAGGCGTCGGGCAGATACTGTGCGCGGAGTATGCGCTTGGAAGACGTTATGGTAGAACACGGCGCTGCATAGTCTGGATGGCTGGGTTGAGGTATGTAGAAGGGAAGAGGGGAAGGAGGTTGGGATTTCAAAGGTTGTAAGGATAATGATGTGCTGAGGCTGCGGCTGCAGCGGGGTTGGATCTATGATATCCTCGTTAGAGAACTGCTGAGCTGGGTTTGTTTTCCTGATTATGCAGTAAGAGCAACCTGTCACCCCACAGGAATAGGCCGGTGATTGAATTCGAGTCGGATTTGTTTCGAAGAGCGACTCTGCAGCGCCAACCGGTCTTGAGGTGGTTGGTAAATTGACAGCTCCACGCACGTTGCGCTGAGGCGATGCGAGAATGGATGTTGCACGATGCCAACAAAAGGCCAAGGCGACTTGTCATGTTGTCTCTGCCAGACTGCGAATCCGGCGCCTAAACAAAGAAACCATTCTTGTCAAGAGGAGGCGGGGCCAAGGAGATGATGAAGAGTGTCGAGCTTCCAAGGGTGAATCACGATTGTGATATGGACCGAGGGGCTGGACCACAAAGAACAACAGCAGCAGGGAAGGTGAGGTGCTCTGACCTCCCACGCACACGCCCACGAGCAAGTACGATTACCAACAAGGCCTGGGCTTACTGTTGACAGCGAGAAACCTGCTCAAGGGCACTTGGCCAGGAAGGGACCAGCCGGAGGATTCCTTTGATGCACGAGTGCCACTGCCGGGCTCGAGGGGAGATGCTGATTGTGAGCTAGGACGGGCTTGCGCAGGGGCGGACAAGGATGCCTCTTTCGTCCTCGGAGAGAGCTCGATGTTGTTGCGACATGTCGACGATGTCGTCAGTCGAGTCAGTGATTCCGCGTCGAAGGCCGATGAATCACCCAGAAGCTGCTCGCCATTGCAGTTAGCAGCGCTTGGCGTTGACGCCACGGGCCGGGGTTCAGATTGCAGCAGGAAAGGCGCCGGAACTCTGGGGAGCAGATCCGGATTCATTGTCCTTGCTCACTGGCCATGTGATGCTGCAGGATATTAAACTGTTGAGCCGGCGGCTCTTGGCACAGGTGCTAGCAGCGAATCCTCGCCGCCAATTTCGCGACGCATGCCTGATCTGGGGGCCAGACGGGGTGTGGTGGCCAATTGCAGGGGAGCTTGGGGCCGCGTAAGGAGGACCAGGGTGAGCAGGGCAGAAGGGATCAAAGAGAGAGATGGCTGGTCATGATGATGCCATTTGTGGTGCTCGCAGCGTGGAAAGGCGAGGAGGGGAGTTGAGGCTTTTGAATTGTCCATGTGAAAAGTGCGGATGGCTTGGCGTATTTGGGCCAAGTGGATGCGCAGCGACTGTTTTCCATCCATCTTGATGATCTCGTGTTGTTGATGACGATCAACCGGTTTCACCTGGGAGACTTCCAACACCAAGTGTTTGGGTTGAAGTGTGTGTGTGAGTGTGTGTTACCGTGACACAGCAACGAGTTTGTACAACCCTGTATCCAGCGCAACCGCCTTGTCGCATCGCCATCTGGTCGTATGAGCGATAAAACGGTGCATTGTCTGATAGACTACAATGAGCAGCTGGAGCTCGAGCTCAAAGCTGACTCCGCCGGCCGGGGTGCAGCGTATTTGTCGCCACTGCAACGCTGCAAGTCATGGGCGGGGATTGGCCGTCAACGCCTCTGAAAATTGGCCACTCCAGTCTCCCCTGATCCAAGGAACGCTGCGACGCTTGGAGCCGACGAACACTCCTTTGTTGAGACCATTTTGGATTTCGATTTCCCTGTCAGGTACAAGATCGCCGCCCGGCGTTTCCAGCTGGAATCTTCTCATCGCTCGATCGAATTTCCGAGGCATCCGGTCCATCCCCAGACACTGCAATTCCCTCTGCCTTCCTGACTCATTCACCCCCGTAATTCTTCCGGACTGCCCTGAACAACTCCCCCGGACACAAATTTCCGCGGGCAAGTCAGAATAGATTGAAAGGAAATTACGACTCCATCGACCCCAAGCTTGTCGGAGGGACTGCCCAAAGCGGCGCACCGTCTGGTCGCCGTCGACGACCCCTCAAAGAGGCCGGTGCAGCGCTATGCAGGCTATGCGAGTTGGCTGCGGGGATTCGTCTGGCTGTGTCTCACTCTGGGCTCCTGGAGTGGCTGCAAGGCCCTGCGGTGGATCCGCCCGAGCGTCGCTTAATACTGGCGTGTTTTCTCCAGCCAAGAGCAAATGAGAATCCGGGGGCGGGCCGACCTCACAATGTAACCCAGTTGGCCAGACTCAATGAAGCAATGGCCTATCACACCCCCGCGTGGGTTTCGATTGCTCATCTTTTTGCTGCCCTGCTGGAATACGGGCTCTCATCCTGGATCCTGTTCCGTAAAGCTGATCCGTGAAACTCTCCTTTCGCCTCCAACCCTCCGAGCTCGCACACATTCGCTGCCCCCAAGAAGCGGCTGGGTTGAGCCAGCGTGAAACGCACGCCGAAATAAATTCGAGCCCGTCAACAAGCATCGATGATGATCGCCAGTCGTTGTGCCGCACAACCCTGGTCTTGCCCTCCTGGGCTCTTGGATCCTGGTCGAATCCCCTCGACTGATCGCAATAACGCTAATTCTTGATCCAATCTTGCTAATAATAACATCTCTTCCCCTGATTCGGCCTGGCCTCGGTCCCATGCGTGCATGTGAGCTAGTTCCCTGGCCTCTCTTCCTTGGTTATATATAGGGGAACGCCAGCTCGCTCTCTCCAGATCTTTCTTTTCCTCCTCAGTCAACACGATCTGGTCTTTCGTTACACAGCTTCGGTCCCGGGCACTCGTTTAACCCAACCTTATATATATCCACCGATAATCTAATCCCCCCCTTCACCACAACAACACCCACCGGCACCATGAAGTTCACCGGCTTGTTCACTCTGGCTCTGGCCACCGCTGCCATTGCTACCCCCGCCAAGCGCCAGTCCTCCCCCGACGAGCTCATCGCTGGCATCGCTGAGCAGGTCACTGCTCTCGGCTCCGCCATCGACGGCTACAGTGGTGGCGACATCGGCAGCATCCAGGATGCTTCCGACTCCCTCGTCTCGACCATCAACTCTGCCGTCGACGCCGTCAACAGCGGCCCTGACCTCTCCAACTCGGACGCTCTCGCCCTCACTGGCCCCGTCCAGGACCTGATCGACCAGGTTGATGGTGTCATCTCTACCCTCAACGGAAAGTCCGACCTCGCCGTCGAGGCTGGTGTTGTCTCTGAGGTCCAGGCCTCCCTCCAGGCCCAGTACGATGCCGCCTCCGCCCTTGCCGAGGCCCTCTCCTCCAAGGTCCCCGCCGCTCTTGAGGAAATCGCCGCCGAGCTCTCCGCCGGTATTACCGCTGCCATCCAGCGCGGCATTGACCACTGGGCCGACCTCGAGGACGGCGGCTCCGGCGAGCCCACCGGCACCACCACCTCCACCACCGCCACTGAGACCTCCACCGGCACTGAGGAGCCCACCTCTTCCTCCACCTCCTCCACCCCGGTCATCCCCACCACCGGCACTGAGGAGCCCACCCCTACTGCTACCCCCACCTCCACCCCCACTGACGACACCCCCGCTCCCCCTGACTTCACTGGCGCTGCCAGCAAGCAGGGCTTCAGCCTCGTCGGTGGTGCTCTCGCTGCCGTCGCTGTCGCCGTCGCCATCTAAGCGCCTCGCTTCAGCTTCACTTTCAACAGCATCGGGATTATGGATGGGAATTAGCGCATTAATCAAAACAAACCATGTCTGACGCTTGACGATTGGCAAAACTCAACCTGGCTTGCTCCATGTACATTTTTCTCTTCCCATACTCTATTGTGTCTGATCTGTCTATAACAAGCTCAGGTCTTGCATATATCGTGTGCTTCTTTTTTCTTATACTGTCCGATGGATATGGATATACTACTTCCTAGTAATACACTGTAGCAATGCCTGTATTGATATCGCGAGTAATGAATCATGTTGGATCTTTAAAACGTTTGCCTCCTCGCCTTTTTTGTGTGACAGTAACAGTAAGAACTTGTAAACACATACACTATCGCAAAAGCGGCCCGAGCTGCTGAGTCCTTTTGTTCGGAAACTGCATCCATTATCCTCTTTCGAGTCTCGAGTCTCGCCGCCCATCGTCTGACCGTCGATCGCGCCGATCCGCCCTACGAAACAAGCTCACATGGACACCAAAACATAAAGAGTAAAAGAAAGGCCGATTTTCCAGCAACCTAAAACGCCGGTTCCACGAGTTTGTTCGGCGCCGATCACCTCGAATCTGATGATGCATACACAATAATCCAGAGTTTTGGCAATGGCAGATCTTCCAGTGCCGAAGTTACGCTGACGCAAGGATTTTTCTTTTTTCCTTTCTGCCTTGCTTTTTGCCCTTGCTTACTTCTTGTACGACGTACGCAGCACACGGTGCACACGTACTCAGCGTACATTCTTGTGCTGACCATTGATACGGTAGGGCTGGAGGATGGTACCATCACATCACGCCATTTCCTCCCAGCGTCTCGTCTCTCTCCTTTGGGTAGCAGAAAGGCCAGTTACGCTTTACGGAGGAGCTTGACTTGACTTTGTCCCTATATACACACCCGCACGGTTACATTTTCCCAGTCTGAACCCGGTCCTGTGAAAAATAAACGGCAATACCAGTCAGTGTCGGTGGAGGAATAAACCTCCTCAAAGATGCTCCTACGTCGAATAGATCCTTCAATGCTTCATCCCGCCTGCCTGACTCGTTTCGTGTTTTCGTTTCGTGTGCTTGGGACACGGGGACTGCGCTTCGTCCTAGGGTAGGGAGCCGAGCCCTCTTCACACCCCACCGCCGCTATGTTTCAACTTGAGACGGATCGCGTCTGGGATGGTGCCTCGAGTTGGGGCCGGAGTGCCCAGTACCGGATGTGGCAGGGCATATGTACATACCTCGGTTTGTTGAGATCCGAGAGGTAGCGCCCGGTAGATGAGTCTCTGGATCTATAGGCGAGGCTACATATGTCTTTGTCTCTGCCGTGGTAATAAGGGATGGATGTATGCTTGCGTCGGAAGAGTGGAGATGGGTAGGTAGCGTTGACCGGGTTTCAGTGCTCGTTGCTGCTGTGTTTAAGCTGAGGCCGAGGGGATATCGAATAGCATCCATCTTTCGGCCGCTAGACGGGCAGATGAGACCGTGGTTGGCTGTTGGGCGGATTGGTGGGCATGCAAGGGCTCTCTTGGTGAACAGGGTACGGTACCATGGACCTATTTCCCATCTTATTGAAGTATAGACAAGAGTAGACTCGAACATCTAAATGATACCCTACCTGCGTATCATGCCCCTTTCCGTCCTCCTTTACACGGCGGGGTGCGTTTCTTGTGTTGTCGTCTGAGAAGGAGACTGGGTGTCTGGGTTACTGACGCGTATCTATCGACCCTACCCCTTCTAAGTGTAGAGCTTTGGCGGGGCCCTGAGGATGAGCATACATGCATCAACGCAGTGTTTCTGCGTCAAGGCATCAGGACCTGGAAGATTGCCTTTCTGATACTCGTGCGCTTTCGACACGTTTTGATTAGCCCTTTCTCCTGGCTGGTGCCGCCGTGTAGGGCTTTTATCGGCTATCCAGGAAGCGTTGAGAGGCTCCCCAGCGAACCTGACTCGAGAAGAGCCCATGCTTGAATTCCCTTATTGTGATGATAAAGGGGGCACTGGATGCGTAGGTAGAAAGTCATTAACTGCTGCCCTATATGAAGTATCATGCCCCTAGTGCAATGTCTGTTACAGAGAGAACATGCAGATGGTATTCCCCTATTACCACGAACTGAGTGGATGGCGTGTAGGCAGGCAGGTCAGTGCCTGCGGTACAGAAATCCCTCAACGGCTGGACTGGACCGGTCATTGTGGCACTTGTCATCGTGTCCTGTAGGCATATACCACTCCCCTGTTTTCAGAAGCAGCCTTGGCCTCGACAATCTCAGTAAAGTTAGCCAGATATAGAGCATTGTGCCGCCTGCTGATGTTATTCTTCCTTTGACAATCATGTTTCTTAGTTACCAACAATTCAGATACACCACAAATGGAGTATGGTAACCTGGAATCGTTTAGCGCTGCGTCTGGACAGGAGAGAGCCAGCTTGAGATAATGCCTCCTATGCTTGTTCGCAGGTACTGTTCTCCGCATATGGAACAAACAGAGCCTCAAGTTGTCTCCAACAGAGTAGTAGCCGATATACCAGCGTCAAAGTGACTGCTAAACTGCTGTGTGAGAACCAAGGGCTATCTAGATTGGCCGACAAATGGCGGTAGGCGGACACAGCTTGCACCGCGAGTTGCTGTCCAAGAAGTAAAGTGATGGAAAACAGGCATTTGATACTGATGCTAAGCCCAGTGCTAGTCAAATGCAGCACGGCCGCGCACATGGAATTGGTACCGCCCTCTCACATACCACACATTCTCGCAACTACTGGACCTTTTGTTTTTTAGGTGTTTGAGACTCTGCTATAGAGGGATGTAGGCAGCTCGTTTATTGCGTTCTGGCTTCCTGCACAACGCAACGAACGAAATTATACACCGGGGAGGGCTCTTGCAAGACTACCCAAGCCCTTTTTGCTGAAATTGTTTCTTATTAATTCTTTATTCAGCACGGTGCGGCTATGGAGGCCCGCATACATGTCCATCTACCAGCCAGCTGACCGAGACAGACGGTTTGCCTTTCAGCGCTCTTTACCAGGGTTGAACTCTGAATGGGTTTCTTGGGATCTTTTTCTGGGCTGGAAGACACAGATTTGGTCCTTTCCATTGTATAGTACCTCTATAAATGAAAGAGGCTTTGAGTGGGCTTCGGATACCAGCTGGCCTCCGCAGCTGCGACTGTGTCACTGCGTAGGGCGACCAGCAAACCAAACGGAACTGGTTCGGGGCACCCATTGACGGAGGGTTGGTGGTTATGTGATTCAGAAGCCATGGAAACGGGTGGTCGCCCCATGGAGCATTTGGAGGAGTAATTTGTTGCTATAGTTACGATCGATTATGCTCCGAGGTATTGCTTTCTGTACTGGTCAGGGTGTATCGGCGTTGGATAAAGAAGATGTTGGCAGTTTTTTGCTCCCGGGTATGTTTAGGCTCGACTGCACAAATCTAGGCCTGGTATATTATCCTTCCAGCAGTCTTTTGATGTCCATTCGCCCAAGATGTGTCTGAGAGCATCGTACACTGCCTCATTCTCCAGGTTCTATACTCGGGTAGGTCCCATTCTTTGATGTCAATTGGACGTGGACTCCGAGACCCATGTGCATATAGACAAGATATCCCAGTCCCTGCCCTGCAGACGATACCCTCACACCCCCTTCTCAACACAAACCAACAAAAACGCCGGCCTATTCCTCTCAACCGCCCAATCCGGATGCTCCACTAAATCCCTCTCGGACGGCATCCATTCGACAAACTCCCTAAGTACAAATCCACACCCCAGTAAAGTCGAAAGATACGTCTGTGTAGTGCGATGATATTTCCTCACATCTTCACCCAACCAGTTTCGCACCCGCTCCCCTTCGTCTGCGTACCCTTCCAGTAGCCACGATTCGAGGCCGGTATCGTTGTCGTGATGCCATTTGTCGGCTTTTGGGGCAGTGTATATTGGGTGCTCGATGCTGAAGATGAACCGGGCTTTGGGCTTTAGGACGTTGTAGATTGTTGAGAAGAGGCGGTTCATGTCGCGGATGTAGTGGAGTGTGAGGGAGCTGTAGACAACGTCGTAGGTGTTTTCCTTGAGGTTCAGGGTATCCAGATCCGCTCGTTGATATTCGATTTGCGAGCTTAAATTGGCATCTGTCATTTCTTGTGCACGCTCGAGCATCTTCTCTGAGAGATCGAATCCCTCAACGCGCGCCGCGAGACCCTCCTCTGCCGCCCAGCGACAAAACCAACCGTAGCCGCAGCCGAGATCAAGGACGCGAGAGTCGCTAATATTAGGTTTACCGGCGAGGACCATGGCTTTTAGGAGCGGCCATTCGGGCGCTGATGAGAGACCATTTTGTGAGCGGGGGAGAGTGTTGTAGGAGGCGAAGAAGGTAGGGTTGTCGTAGACGTTCTGGGCCATTTCGGGGACTGATCTAGTCGTCTTGTCTGGAACGGCTGTGTTTCTCATGAGTGATTCTGGGCAGAGTGTTGTTGATATAGGTTTACCGACTTTCCAGAAAAGGTGCCCGATGGCCCTTGTTCCTGTTGGGGTTTAGCGGTAGTGGCGCATTTTTCAGAGCCAATCTAAGCAATCAGATCGGCTATACTCCGTAAAGTTTGCAAATTGATTGCCCTGGGAAGTCTGAATGAGATCTCCTCCGCAGCAATTTGTACGTAAAGTTGTTCGGCTGTGGTCTTTTCTCTCGGTTTGCTGGAAATTTTCGATCCGATGAATCATAGTGCGTTGCCCTCTGTCATTGAGACACAACAGAATATCTCTCGTCAAGGCAAACCATATTTCCAGCCTGATGTAAATGTTATCTCCATGTTGCACCATTTCACTGCAAGTCCTAACCCTAACCCTAAGCCTCAACCCTTGTAGCCCCTTAGCACCCGGCATACTCAGGCTGGTTGTGAATTCCTGAGAGACCGCTGCCACGGAGGGAAGTTCGTTGGTATAGCTATCTGCAGTTCTTGCCGGTTGAGAATGAGTTGGTATCTAGAGCTGGAAAGCCGTCTTTCGTGTGGGATGTACTAACTGACTCTATACAAAACTTGCTGGCTATACACAGAGTTCCCAAACTATTATACCCAAAATCTAGAATCCAAACAGATTCTTATCCTCATCATACCCCCAATCGACCAACGCAGGTAGAACCGCCTTCTGAATCATCGCGGGCGGCCCACAAAGCAAAGCCACACTCTTCTCATCCGGCTCAAAGCCATACTTGTGGATGATATCCTCATTCACTCGCCCCTTTTCCCCTTCCCAAGAATCACTGGGATGGCTTAGTATATGCGTAATCTGGAACTGGTCCGGATGCTGGTCAGCCAGTTCCTTTAGCTCTTTGCGCATCAAGATATCGTCTTCTGACTTGTTGGAGTCGATGACGCGGATCTTGGTCTTGTCTTGCCCCTTTGATCGTAAGATTCGCACGATTACTTGGTATCCTGGTGTGACGCCCGAGCCACCGAGGACGAGCGTGATGCGCTCAAAGGTCATCTTCTTCTCGTCGATTTGGAATACCTCGTTGCCCTCGTACACGATCTCGCCGGCGGGTCCTTTGATCTCGACCTCTTCGCCTTCCGCCAGGCAGTCGAGGATGTTGCTCATTGTACCGCCTGGCTGTCCAGGGTCTGGGTAGTAGGTCTTCACGACGAGATCAAAGGTGCCGTCTTCCTCCTCCTCAAACACAGGTCGTACGGGTGTATATGAGCGGAAGACGAGTTGGTCGTTGAAGTGGAATCCTATTTGGATATGTTGGCCTGTCTTCAGGCCGAGCTTTTTATTCTTTGATAGTAGCTCGAATGTGTATCGTTTTGTGTCTTCGGAAAGGGGGATCTTCTTGGTGAAGCGTGCTTGTGTCCATCTGCGAGAGTTAGTAGGTGTCTCTGGGATCAGGGTGGTAGACATACTTATGCCGCTTGAGAGCAATGTCGGACTCTTGTCCACCGGACTTCGCGCGCTGTTCTGCTTTGACTTTGGCTTCTTGCTTGATAAAGTCTTGCGTCTTCTTCGTTACCGTGCCGAGGATGCATTCTACAACTATCAGTTAACGAAGCGACCATCAGGGAATAAACGCACCTTGAAGCTTCGAATGCGCAAAGTCATCATGTATGCTCTCAAACTCCCCCGTCGTATCCGCGTGGACTCGCCCAGCATGTGCCATGATGGGAGCTTTCCCACCAGGATGCCAGCTCATCACGCTCGTCGCGTCGTATACATTCCCATTGATGACAATCCAGCAGTCGTCTTCGGTGCTGTGCTTTTCGATCTCCTCGCGGGTAAATTGCTTTCCCGGCGTCGATGCTTGCCGCTGGCTCTCTTCTGCCTGCATCTGTGGCGATGGCTTCATCCACCCGCCTTCGCCTGTGCCGGGCTCGCAGGGGTGGCGGAAGGTGATGTATGCTGTGCCGGACTTTTCGTCTTCGGTCAGTTCGGGCTTGACGGTGTATTGGCAGTTGTTCATCATCCTGAGGTTGTCAGCGTATGCCCTAAGTCTATCGGCGTTGAACATACCCTTCGAGGTTCCAGGTTGGGTTCTCAGGTTGGGTGTTCTTGTTGACATCCCAGCATTTCACTTTGATACTCTCTGCGCGCACCAGCTGTGTGAGGCTGACATCCACATGCCAATGCAGCCACGTCCAGAATTTCTTCCCATGTCGCAACGAGTAATCTGGGTACTATGACCTGTTAGCTGCCTGTTGATCGTGCTTGAGAGCCACATACCCTTCGAGCGCAATACAACCACGACTGACCTCCATCCAAACTAACCTCCACCTTCTGCACCTCATTCCCTCCCCCATTATACGCAAACCCCTGCAGACGATACTGCTTCCCACTCTTCACATCTTGCAGATCAATCTTCTCCCCCTGTGCGGGTCGTACAATCACCGAATTCAACTGTTGCTCCATGCACGCTGTGCTCGGATTGTGATACATGGTCTTGGCCAGCTCCGAGTCCCTGTCTGTCACAAACTCCGGCACAACACGGTTATCCCAGATATGGTAGTGGCTGTTGTTCTCCTTATCTGTGACCCAGATCTTTTCGAGCCACTTGACCCAGCGTCCACCGACGTACCCTGGCACGACCAGGCGCAACGGATACCCGTGGTCTGGCGGAAGAGGCGTGTCGTTCATCTCATACGCCAGCAGAACATCCTTCCGCTTGTTCATCACATACTCGAGCGGGATAGACGTCTCATACTTGCCCTCGCTCAGATTATCGCCCCCCTGGAAATTCACCCACAGCCTCGATCCCTCATACTCCTTCATGAGCTCTTTGGCCCCAGCACTCTTCAAAACATCGCGCAGCCGAACCCCTTTCCAATACGCACACCCGACAGCCCCAGGCCCCCAGTTAAACCCTTTACTCCGCTTGAGCATATTCAACTCCTTCCGCCGATTCCCATCACAAGCCGCAAAGACGGGGATATTGATACTCTCAAACTGATCCTTCAAATCATCCATGAGAAACGTCACATTCCTCCCCGCCGAAACCTCCAGCTTGTGGTTCTCCCAGAGGAGATGCGGCACAGCCCCGTGGCTACGCACATAGTGTAGCCAGTTTGGCGTGATGAACCCCGCGTCGAATAGTTCGGTGAGATTTGCTTCGGCGTTTAGCGGGTGTTTTCCTGTGATTCGGATTAGGTGGTCTGTTCGGGGGATCCAGTTGTCGGGTGTTGTTTGGTCGATTTCGTCGATTTCCGAGGGGACAAAGTCGCTTTTGACGGGGGAGACTCCTTTGCCCGTGCTGGGTTTCAGCGAGCGCATGTAGGCTTCTTCGGAGCGGAGGAGGTGCAGGAGGGTTTTTTCTGAGGGGGAGAGTTCGGGTTTCTCCTCTTCTTGTTCTGCATCTTGGGCTTGCTGCTTTGGTTCATGCTCCTCCTTCTCGCCCACTTGCTTCCTATCCTCACTCTTACCCTCATCACCTCCGCTCTCCTTCTTCCTCTCCTCCTCCTCCCTCTCCTTCCTCCGCTGACTAACCAACCACCCCTGCCCCTCCTTAATATACCCCTCACTCGTATGCAGCACATACCTCCACCCCCGCGGATGCACCTCCGGCCGCCTTATATGAAAATCCTCCTGCTTCGCCAGGAAATCCCGCACGGTCAACAATTCCCCCTTATCGACCTTCTCCTGGAGTTCCCGGATCTTCTCTTCGGCCTCTTCCTCGAGCGCGAACCGCCAGTCGTCGCCCGGGTGCGTTAACCCGGGGAAGCGGTCGTCGCGCGAGCGCAGGCCCACCCGGTGCGCGTGGGTTTTTGTCCAGTCGGGTTCTGTGAAGAGGGTTGGTTGGGATGGTTTGGAGGGCATTTTGGATGTAAGTTTTTTTTTTTATAATTTAATGGGTTTGGTGGTGGTGAGTCGGGTGTGGGAGGTTGGGGATTATACGGGATAGTAAGGGAGGTAGGTAGTGCCTGAGCGAGTGCAGGTATGGATGGAGTCAAGGGTAAAGAAAGAGCACAGAGCTTAGCGTTGCCTTCCCTCGGGTCCCCAAGAATACGTCCACGGTCCTTATGTACCTGATTATCTATTCGATTCTATCCAAGTCATCCATCCTACCCCGTCCATCCGCATTCTATCCGGACTTGTACCATTGATGGCGTCATGACATCACCGGCGCCAACGAACGCAAAGATGGAAATGCTTTTCCCCACATTCGTTCCTCAAGCCTCGAGCGAACCGGGCAGGGTCGCGAAGCGACAAGAAGCAATTGGCCAAATGCTTAGCTGTTGAGTAATGCATTTCACTGGTTCGCTGGTGGATTGCGTGGTGTGGGGAGGATGCGAGGGGGAGGGTTGGGTTTCTCCGAGGAGGTGCGAACAGTGCTAAATTAGGTACAAGCTCGAAGGATTCTCTAAACTATTCCTCGAAATTTGTTGACTGGCCATGCCCCTACTCACTGGACGGAGTAAAACCTGCTCAAGATAGTGCTCCTTGATCCCGTATTCCCGTTTTCAGCATTCCAATAGCGAGGCCGTCTGTATAGCTACCTGGCTAGTTTGCGAGTGAGCCATGTTGGGCCCCAAGACCTCCGTGGTCTATAACCCCGAAACGTATTCTAACTTGTTCATGGCGTGTTTTTCTCTTCCCTAACTTGTCGAAGTGTAGAAATTATACAATTGCACTAGCCATGCATGCTAAGCTAGGACCGCTAAACTATGGGTACAAAAGCTATCAATACTAGTAGAAAGGATTAACAATTGGTCCATGACTACACTTAAATGAACTAAGCCACGCCAGGCTTAGATTATGATTTAAAAAAAACCCCCAACAGTCACGTTGTAGAAGCGTATCTATACTATAATCTGGTATTAGTGTCTCATCCTGTGGCTTTACTGCTATGGACGTCATGACTGTGCTCTTGAAGTCACTAAAGTCTTGCTGATTAGGTGGATAGCTGGGTTGGGCAACCTTCGGGAAGACACGTATCTATGGTAGCAGCATACACACTCACAGAATAACTGCATGGAGAATGCAGACAGGGAGGGAACGTCAGGCTCAGGGGATCATGTTGTTCTGCGCATGATAAAGTTTCCTGATGCGTTGAAATCTCGGAGAGGCTGTCCGAGCAAAGTCTACTCGGGCCACAAACTCTAGTCTGCAACCTTTGAGCTGTCATGTCATGTGCAGCAATGCTCTACTTCAAGGACGAGGGCTTGCGGGTTAAAAGACCGCACTCCCAAGCACCTGAATCCCTCGAGCCCTAGGGATTCCTCTTTCTAAATCACAACTATCCCCAAACACCATGGCACCAGCAACCTTGCAAAAGGTTATCGTGGTATACGGTGCTACTGGTAGGCTCCTCCACTCCATGAATCAAGCCCTGGATCACTAGCCAGCTAACTAACCCAAACAAAAGGCACCCAGGGCACGGCGATAACGCTCTCCTTACTGCAAAGCAAGCAAAACTTCATTGTCCGCGCACTCACCCGCAAGCCCGAGTCTGAGAAAGCACAGAAGCTGTCTGCTCTGGGCGCCGAGGTCTTCAAGGCCGACGGGTTCAACGACGACGAAATGAAGGCGGCTCTGGAGAATGCGTGGGGGTTTTGGCTGAACACTCACCACCATGACCCGGTATGTTATGTGTTATGCTTCCATGGAATGTTCTATCCGAAATGCTGCTTGTACTAATGTCCATTTTACAGGCTGTGACCGATCCCGAGGGCCCAACCGATGAAGACCTTGGACGCCGACTCGCCACCCTGGCCGCAGAGGCCGGTGTCAAGGTCTTCATCTACAGTACTTGCGAATCGCCCGCCCAAATCACAAACGCCAAGGCACCGGTCCCTGGTATGGATGGTATGTTCTCCATCTCCTCGCTTCCCTAGGACTACCCTAGGTAGTACCTTGCACCCCCAAGCAGCGGGTCGTCCCTCTGATCCAAGCACTCACTTTCATTCAACGGCTGGCTGGCTGACAACTCCACTTCGATTCTCAAACAACCAGCAAAAAGCCGAGTCGAGCTCTTCGCCCGCTCAATCCCGTCCTTCGACGCCGTCATCGGCGCCTGGCCCGCCTGGTATTTCGAAAACTTCCTCGACCCCGAATACGCGCAGGCCTTTGGCGGCTTCCCGCTGTACCCGGACGTCGAGGGGTACTTGACTTTCACGAGCCCTCGCATTGGCGGTCAGGGCACCGTGCAGACTGTCTCGGTCGCGGATGACTTTGGAGAGATGGTGCATGCGATGTTTCTGGATCCGGAGACGTGGGCGGGCTGCACCGTCCCCTGCATGAGTGATTCGTTTTCGTACGAGGATATGGTGGAGGCGTTTATGGAAGGTACATATACATAGTCTCCCTGCTGGATAGATCAAACTGACGTCTGTTCGTTCAGTTACCGGAGAGAAAGCGCGCTACATCCCCATGGATTCGTACAGGGACTTCCCCACGCACGGCAGCACCATTCTCGAGGAGCTGCAGGACGTGTATCGGTATATGCAGAGTGCCCATGGGTGGTTCTTTGGCAAGCCGGATGACGTTGCGACCTGTCAGCGGCTCAAGGATAAGGCGCGGCTGGACAAGGGCGTGGCGCCGCAGCGGGTTATCACCATGAAAGAGTACTTTGCCAAGCACTATGGAGGAAAGTGAGGAAGTATGTGGTATGCGACTGGGCTGTGGATCCCTCGGCCTAGCTCAGAATATGAGGTCTGCTTTACTGTAGAGCCAGCGGCCGTGTCAGGAATCCGTAGGACTCGGGAGTTGCTTGTTGCTGTAGTTTGGTTATCACGCCAAGCCTGGCCATTGTTTTCTGGATTCGGAAATTGGGTTGTATGTCTAATCATTATGGTCTACTTGAGTCAACAGAGGGGCATCCTGAATATCAAAACAGCACCACCCACTATCCTAGTTCCGATACAGCAAATAAAAATTGAGACCTTGTATACGCTTCCCATGAAGTCATCGGTAAAGGCAATATGGAATATATGACTCAGCTATGAAGCATAGGGAGGTTCTAGATGTCGGCACTACCAAGGGTATCCTTCGTCGTCGTGGAATGCGTCTTGGGACGGAAGGAGTGTAATCATCATCGAGAACTGAACAGACGGAGCAACGCGTTTTCATACTTTGATCAACCCAAAAGTTCCATGGACTTGACCAAGTCTTAATCAAGTCGGCCTGGGTCGGAGAGCGGGGGAGCAGTGGAGCAGTGGAGCGATGCATTTATCTACCTAGGTAGGGTAATGTTCAATCACTGGTTACCAGGAATGGTCATCATGCGGGGGATGGGGGGTGACAGTACACTTCGAGCGTGAACCTGGGCATCAAAATGCTGATCGAGCATATGGATTCTCCAAGATCCAACAAACCCCCCGACAACGAGGGAGATTGACGTCCGTTTGCACCGAGAATGGCGAACGCTCAGCAAATAAAGACACAGCTGAATATCCAGGGAGCCATACTCGGACCCGGCGACGAAAATTACGAGGAAAGCCTAAGGCTATGGTCTGATACTTGTTATCGGCGAGCGGTACGCGGCCCCAGTCTGGTGATGATCATGATGGTGATGATGTTGCCGTCTCCTGCTAACACCCCCAATGTGCGTAGGCCGTCGTGGTCCACCCAAAGAACGCCAACGACATAGCAACCACGGTGAACTATGCAAGAGAGCATCACTTGGACCTAGCAGTCCGAGGAGGCGGCCACTCAACCCTAGCCACTTCATCGACCGACGGTGGCATCCTAATCAACCTCGGCAAGGAGATGACCAGGGTGGTTGTCGATCCCGATACTCGGACTGTCACCGTGCAAGGAGGAGCGACCTGGGAAGATGTCAGCAGGGAGGTTGGACGGTACCCGCTCGCGGTCAACGGCGGCACGGTGAGTATGGTCGGCGTTGGGGGGCTCAGCCTGGAGGGCGGGTATGGGTATTATGCGCCTCAGCACGGGGTTACTCTGGATACGATCCTCGCGGCGAAAGTGGTCACAGGCACCGGTGAGATTGTGAGCGTATCGCGCGAGGGTGAGGAGCACGCAGATTTGTTCTGGGCGATTCGCGGTGCTGCGCCGACGGTTGGGGTCGTGTACGAGCTGACCTTCCAGGCATACTCGCAGCCGACTCCAATCTGGTACGGGATGAGGAGCTATCCGGCTAGCGAGGTGCAGAGGGTTACTGAAGGCCTGAATGCGGCGCTCTTCCACCCCCGCGGCAAAGCGGCCGCGCAGTGTCTTTTGTATCTCTCGCCCGAGGACGGCAAGACCCCGATTGTCAGCACCGTCTTGTTCTTCGACGGCAGCGAGGAAGAAGCCCGTGCGCATTTTGCGCCGCTGCTGAAGCTAGAGTGCATCGGCGACAACATGTCGATGAGGCCCTTTTCCGAAACCAACACGGTCCTTAACCCATTCGTGCCCGCTGGAGGTCGGAAGAACGAGCTAGGGTTTGACACAACCCTCCCACCAAGCCCTGAATTTGTGGCAGAGCTTTTGGACTACATCACTGCCAGCCTCACTGCGGAGCCTGATTTTGCCCATGGTTCGGTCGAGATCGACTTCTTTGACCCTACGGAAATCTGCCGTGTTCCTGTCCCAGACGCTGCGTTCCCGACGCGTGTCCGGCTCCTGCACGGGACGGCTATGCTCCAGTGGACCGATGCCACCAAGGATGAAGCATCCCTCTCGCTGGGCAAGGAGATCCTGAAGATGGCGGAGCGCGAGCTACTGCGCCACGGGGAGAGGCAGGGTCTAACAGTGTCCAATTTTTTGGGATACAATCCAGGTGCGTGACTACCAGATCTTCATTTGATTCCGTCCTGACTTTTCTTCTCACGCCAGAAACCAAGTTATCCCCTTCAGAGATGTTTGGCGAGAATGCACGTCGGTTGCTGGATGTCAAGGCCAAATACGATCCGGCCAACATGTTCAACAAGCAGAACCCTATCGTTTGATGGAAAAACGGACGGACAGACGAATTGTACTTTGTTTCCAGACTGTAGCCAATATGATCCAAAATCAATTAGCTTCATTATTGAAAATACCATCTGAATCGGCCTTGGTGGGTAGCCAGTCCATGGTACTGTTAGGGAAGCAGCGATGGATGACCAACAACGCCGTTAAGACCTTTCGATTGATCTCAGACCCCTTTGACCTCTGCAAGCATCTCTTACCTCGATGGATTGATTACGGAGTCACATCAATATTATTCCTTTCTTCGATCCTTGACAAGTTCTTGTAGAATACTACCTACCATGAGGACATTCTGACATGATAAGAGTATATGAAGTTCAGAGTTTAGAACATCATGGGAGAACTCAAATCTACGCGACATGTGATATCATCAAAACACAAGGAAGGGTGAATGGCTTGCTGCGATGGCACATGCACCTGCCAAATTCCAGGGACAAGCTAACCTCTGACTCATTATAATGCTTCTAGACTTTCCTCAAAGTACCGAGAACCAGAATTGGACTGGATCCATGGAGACGTAGCGGTGGTGAGATTTATTGAACACTACGTTGGAGAATATGGCCTTTATCCTCTTATTTTCCACGAGCCGGCTTGTTAGAAACGCTCAGCACCTCCAGGATGCCTACTGAATCAACAATGGCTTGTCTGCCCGGCAACAAAGCCTCGCTGATAAAGACGGAACCCGGAGTAGCGTACGAGCCAGACCTTCGGAGCCTTTTCGAGGACCAGGTCCGTACGAATCCTACAGCGACCGCAATCAAAAGCAATGGGCATGCGCTATCATACATCGAACTGCACACGAAAGCGTCATCTCTCTCCTGCCAAATCCAGACCCTGGCGCTCCGGGGCAGTGCCCCCATCGGGATCCTAATCCTCAGAGGAATCAACCATATCCTAGCCCAGTTGGCCATTGTATACGCGGGACGAGCCTGTGTGCCCCTCGACACCAAGCTATCCGATGATTCGCTGAAGAGCATGCTTGACAACCTCCACGCCAGCTTCATCCTTGCAGACCAGGGAAACGCACATCGGCTGGGAGACGTTGCCCACCTCGTCGTCGACCATACCCATACAGGGCACGTAGAATCCAGCTCGAGTTCCCTAGCACCGACGAGCAGCTGCTCGCATATCTTCCATACATCCGGCACATCTGGTCGCCCCAAGGCCGTGCCGCTGCCCGCCACCGGCCTCATCAACCTCTGCCGCGAGCCCGATGCGAACTGGATCAAACGCGGGCAACGAGTCGGCCACGCAGCCAGCGTCGTCTTTGACATCTCTCTGGTCGAGATATGGGGAAGCCTACTAAACGGTGGGACGATCGTCGTGATCCCCATGGAAACCGCCCTCGACCCTCTGGAGCTCTCCAATTTCATTCAAACGCAACGCCTCGACGTTCTCCAGCTCACGACCTCTTTACTCGACGTGACAACCTACGCTTTCCCGGGGGCGTTTGCGACGCTTGATACGTTAATTACGGGCGGCGAGGCGATCAATTGCCAGAGTATCCGGTCGATTTTCAGCAGTCATGGTGCGCCACGGCGTATCATTAATGGGTATGGGCCGACGGAGTGTAGCGTGTACTGTCTGTGGCATTGTGTCTCGCGTCGAGAGGCAAATCAGGGGCTGATCCCTGTGGGGAAGCCGTTTCGGAATGTAGAGACTTTCCTGGTCGATGAAGCCCTGATTCCTGTGGGGGTTGGTGAGGTGGGCGAGCTTGTTGTCTCTGGCGCAGGCGTCGCGAGCGGATACAGCGGGGAGAGTAAAAGGACGGACAGCAGTTTCATTACCTACACTTGCTGCAATGGATTTCCTAAGATGGCGACAAGACACGTGTACCGGACGGGCGATCTGATGCGCAAGGATGAGTGTGGATTGCACTACTATGTCGGGCGCAAGGATAACCAAGTCAAGATCAGCGGGCAGAGGGTTGAGCTGGAGATGATAGAGTCAATTCTACAGGAGACGGACCTTGTTAGTACGGCGACGGTCATCAAGATCACGCCTCAAGAGCTCGGACGGAGTGCGTTTCTGGTTGCATTCTGTGTCCCGAAGTCCTCTAGTGTCACGGCGGCAGCGATACTCGAAGACTATGTCGGACGGAGTCCGCGGCTTGTGGTGCCGCGCTTCAAGCTCACCGAGGCATTGCCCCTGAGAGCCAACGGCAAGGTAGACCGTGGCCAGTTACAGCGCCAATATACTCAAGAAACAGAGTCATCTCATGTCGGGGGCAGGCAGGGCGGCAGTCTGGCGGCGGAGTTGCGATATCTCTGGCTCGACGTCTTGGGCATACCAGACCAGGATCTCCAGCCGACGGACGACTTTATTGCGATGGGTGGGAACTCTTTGATGGTTGCTAGTCTGATTGCGAGAATCAATCATTCTTTTGGTATCTCCTTGCGCGCCTCGACACTCTACGACAAGATGACCCTGCAAGGTCTCACGCAGCTGTTGACGACGCTGCATCGAGACGGCCCAAGGGGGCTTCCTGTTGACGCAAATGAGGAAAATGCATGGCTGCGAGACTCGCACTTGGGAGACCACTTGCAGCCTTCGCGCGAGGGCCCAGTAGTAACAGACTGGACGATCCCATCAGAGGCCAAGGTCTTTCTCACTGGAGCCACTGGCTTCGTCGGGGCCTTCTTCCTGGCAGCGCTACTTCAAAAGCCGTTTGTCAAGCAGGTCTCTTGCCTTGTGCGAGCGCACGATGCAGCCCATGGGCGTCTACGCCTGCAGAAAACCCTCCTCAGATACCACCTCTGCCCATCCAACCTGGACCTGGATCGGCTCACTGTCGTCCCCGGGTCCTTTGGCGAGGCCCAGCTCGGCCTGGACACCCAGCAATACGACCACTACGCCGAATGGGCCAGCGTCGTCTTCCACCTGGGCGCCAAAGTCAACTACCTAGCAACATACTCTGCGCACCGCAAAGACAACGTCCTCGGCACAGTCCACATGCTCGAATTCGCCACGCACAAGCGCACCAAGCCGGTCCACTACACCTCCACAATCGCCGCCTACGGTCCAACGGGCCACGTCCTAGGCACAAAGTTCCTCCCTGAAGACGAACGCCCCGCGTCTCATATCGCATCCCTCCACTACGATACGGGCTACGCGCAGAGCCAGTTCGTTGCCGAGACCATCGCCTGGCGCGCAATCGACACCGGCATTCCTGTCACCATTTACAGGCCCGGGTTCGTCCTGGGCAATAGTCGCTCGGGCGTCTGTAACCCGGACGACTTTATCAGCCGCCTATTCGCTAGCTGCATGGAGATGGGCGCGTACCCGATTCTCCCGCGGCAGCGTAAGGAGTTTGTCCCGGTGGACTTTGTTGTTGATGCACTCCTGCACATCTCCTCTAGCGCGTGCACAAGCGCCGGGCAGCACCTCGGGCACGCGCTCAACCTCGTCCACCCGGACCCCGCGAGCGCCATTGACGTCTGTGCGGCGTTTGCGCTTCTAAACCGCATCAGCCCGTACCGGGACCCCATGCGTGGTATCCCCTATACAGAGTGGGTGCGGTCGCTATCCCTACGGCTGGAAGACCCCTTGTACCCGCTTGTGCCGATGCTGAGGGAGAAGGTACTGGGCGACAGGACGCGATGGGAAGTGTACGAGGACATGGCCGAGTATGGGCGGGGGAACTTGCAGCGTGCTCTGCGGGCGGCTCCGGAAATTGTACGGGGCTGCGGGTCTATGGAGCGGCTGTTTGAGCGCTGTTTGGGGAGTTGGTTGGGGTTGCTGAATGATAAGTAGCATATGTATCAAGCGAGATTGTGAGTAGGGATGAATTTCAGTGAGAAAGCTTTGCTATGCAAGCGTCCTCATAAACAGTCTTGACACTGTTTGGAATGTCTCCGAGTCGCGCGTCTATCCCCTGTAGGAGACATGGCCCAGCATCCTGGGCGATATTCGTTGGTATGTAAACGTCAATCTGTTTGTATCAGGGACGATGTAGCTTCCAGGATTATCCCAGGTAATAACAGAAGCTTACCTTGCATGTACGAGGGTGGGTCTGAATTGGACTGGCGACAGAGACTCTGAATCGTATGACCTCGATATTCAGCCATATCAAGGTTAATTGGAGAATTCCACTCCAATGTGTTGTTAGTTATAGTTGGGCGGGTGATCCTCGGCTGGTCAGGCGGAGAGTGTTTGCTGCCGCGCCTCCCCGCCTGACGCGCCGATCGCTCCACCACCTTTGATCTTCAATCTTTCACCTCGCCTCTCCATCTTCCTCTGTTCCCAAACCATCCTTTCGGGTGCTAGGGATCATGTCAACCCCGTTCGACCGCCGTCCCTACGCCGACTATCTCCTCGCGTCGCCTCTCGCTGCCCTCGTCTATCCTCTCCATCACCTCCTCCTTCGACTCCGCGGCCCTCCCCAACTGCCTCCTCCCAACGCCCGTCCCATCCGAGTCGTCTGCATTTCCGATACACACACTCTAGAATGGACAGATATTCCCGATGGAGACCTGCTCATCCACGCCGGTGACCTCAGCAATGATGGTAGCGCCCGCGAGATCCAAGCCGCCGTCGACTGGCTGAACAAGCTCCCGCACCCACACAAGGTTGTCATCGGCGGCAACCACGACAGCTACTTCGACATTCGCTCCAGACGTCCCGAAGACCGAGATCAGTCGTATGCCAACGTATCCTCATCCACAGCTTCTATCCGCTCTATCGATGATTTCGACTCCCCGCACCTCATCGACTGGGGCGACATCCACTACCTCCAACATTCCTCCGTCACCTTGACCTTCCAACCCCCGCCTCAGCAAGCCACCGCCTCTTCCGCTCTACTCTCCTCCCGACCCCGCTCACTCACCTTGTATGGCGCTCCCCAAATACCCGCCATAATGCCCCTGGGCCCAGAACACGCATTCACATACCCTCCCCACCACGACGCCTGGTCCGGCACCGTCCCCGCCACCACCGACATCCTCATCACCCACACACCCCCGCAATGCCACCGCGACCTCTCCCCAATATACTCCACCGGCTGCCCATACCTCCTCGCAGAGTCCTGGCGCGTGCGTCCGCGCCTACACGTCTTCGGCCACCTCCACGCAGCCTACGGCAAGGAACCCGTGCACTGGGACGAGGCCCAAAAGGCCTGGGAACGCATCTGCACAGCGCGCCTCAGCCGCGCCGGGAAATCGCGCATCAACTCCTTCTTCTTCGGCTTCCTGCGCGACCTCTTCGACATCTCCGGCTGGGTGGACTCCGCGCGTGTTGTCGCGTATGGCATACTCGGGATCGTCTGGGCAAAGGTCTGGGGCGGGGAACTGCGTGGAGGCTGGATGGTGAATGCGGCCTGCATGTACCGGGATTCGGGACAGCTGAGGAACAAGCCTCAGGTGATAATCTTGTAGGTTCGCCCTACGTTGCATCGCATCGACACTTAAAACTGTATATATGCATTTGCCTACTTTAGCGCTTTTTACTACCTGGCTGGTAGTTCTGCATAACTATTAATGGCCTGGGTATTTTACCTGCCCTTGCCTCATGGGAAATGAACCATCCTTGCTTCGGGAATTATACCTATTCGATTGAGAAAACATGTTACACCACGTTCTTTTGTGCAACCAAACAAGCTTAAATCATAAGCCCTCAGCCTAATAATGAAAAGACTGTGGTTATCACCTCGCAGCAACATCATGTTTATACCAACGTTCGATCTCGAGACCCAGGCGCACTCAGCACAGGACATCCACTTACACTCATCTATCACATGGCCCGCTAGTATTATTTCCCAGGACACAGCAAACTCAACCTCCTCTCCTGATAACCATTTTTGCCCAGTGGAAATGCATACTTCGCCCCAAATGTTAAAAGTACCTACCCTTACAACTCTCGAGAGACATAGACAAACAGGCAGGAGAAAAAGAACAGAAATCACGTCTGGTGCTACATACATAGTAGCACACTCTTAATCCTGACGAATGCCCAATGGCCGATCACTTTAGCTCCCTCTCTCTCGACATACACTAGTTTGTATCTCGTCGGACTTCCGACTCGGACTCGGTAGGTTGATAACCTTGGTATGGAAGGCCCCGCAGCGAGAGGAAGGATCTCCACCACAGTAGTGTCTCCATCAGGGTCCACGCCACAAACCCACATCCACATTTGCAGATTCGCACATTGCATAATAATAATACTTTTCAGTAGGGCTACGTACTCCGTCTGTATTTCTCGACGAAGAGCTTGTTTGCGACAAGAGGAGAGAGGAGATCTGGTCTGGTCGACTTGGCGGGAAGGTCTTGTTCTTCAAAATGCCTTTTCCAACGTGGTATTATTTGGTTAGGAAAGGAAAGTTCGGGGGAGGATGTATGGGATGCCGGATGACGGATGACGTCGATAAACTCAAACCCTTTCGCGGGCGGATTTGTAGTCCGCGTGGTTTGGATAGACCATGTTCAACGTACAAGGGTACAGTTTCTACGGAAGATATCTCCTACGGGTTGTTGCTGCAAAGAAGGGTGTGCTCCGATGGGAGATCCGTCAAGTGTATGAGTATTTTAAATGTATCCAGACAGGGCAGCAATGCAGATTATATGGCTGCCTGGATCAGATGAAACTCGACCATAGATATCTGGTTGATCGCCGTACCTACCTTATCTCGTTGAATCGGCTTATGTCGGCGGCTAATACTGATCTTCCGTAGACAGTGTATTGAGATGTCCACTCGAGAAAGCGATGCTCAGTCTGGCTGTTCCTGGGCTTTTTTGATATCCATATCGTGCCTTCGAAATTCAAACGGGACTGGGCCCACTATTGCGTTCGCCGTGGGAGTCATCTACTTCGGTGATGAAGGTGAGAAAAGGTCTTGGGCTCTCGCATTATTCCGCACCGGGGATCTAAACTGGAAATCAATGAATGAGAATTGAGATTTAAACTGGAGATTCGATGAATGTCGGTGGATTGTGTTAGTAATGCCACATTTTCTTACCATCACACAGTCGCAGGAACCGACTGATGGTGGCTTGGATTGATCTTTGGTTCGAGATTCTATCGCATGGCGTCGATTTTTCTGGAATAATGAAGATGTTGTGGTCACGAGCCTACATGCCATGGATGGATTTGACAGCATCGTCATATCCAGGGTTGAGTAGAGGCAACACATCTCTTTGCAGTATAATGGGATGCACCGCAATCTGTGACGGCGATGACGTCCATGCAATGAGCGAATGGGCAAGCCGAAGAAGAATCGGGAGCGGCTTCCCGAAACGCCATCCGAAGCCACCGCCGCGCCGACGCCGTGGATACCGAGAGAATGGACAGGCCAGTGAGACAGCAACAGTGATGCCAGCGCGCATTAAGCGGGTCAGACAAATAGTGCCAGTTGGGATGTTCTCTCCCGTTAGCGTTTGCAGGGTAGTCCGCCAATTCTGGGCGTGCATACTGCTCCAAACCGTTCTCGCGAGGGTTTATAACGCAGCAGGAGGAAGATGACATCGCGATGATGAATGCGGGTTTATGCCGAACTGCTGCAGATGGTGGAAGTGGGTTGTGCAGCGTTTTCTCGGGCCACTTACTCAACGGGATTTCGGTCTCAAAATCTTGACGCTTGTTTCGCAGGCTTTGTTGGTCTGCATGGGCGTGTCGGACTGTAGGGGGGGCTCCAACGTGATGTCATTGTGGATGCGCGATTGGCGACCCTGTGGAGCGGAGCGCTGTGCTAAGAAAAATGCTTAGCCCACCTGGTTCGATGCTTGCAGTTCCTTGGGCTCCACTGCTTGAAATTCGGTATATGCAATCGCAGCTCGCAGCGCAGTTGTGCACTGTGTGAGCGCTGTACGCCCGTGGATGCCAGCTCTTTGGCGACGAAACCACCGAGAGTGGATGAAGCAGTTATGCACGTCGCCACACCTGCTTTCAAGTCTCCTGTGGTTCTACGTACCCTCACCCCTCGTTTCTAGGGCTTCTGGAGAAACAGGCAGTAGAAATACCCCCGTCTTTCCCCCCTTCATTCTCCGCGTTTTATCAGTTCCTGAATTTCCCAATCCCCTTGCCTTACCTTCTTCTCGCCATCTCCTTTTCCACAGACACTCCAGCCGGCCAAGACACACGGGTCTCGAGCTGGCTACGAATCTATCATCGGTATCGTTCTAGACTGGCAATATGGCACCCTCGTTCGCTGGGTTGTCGGGCAGGCCGCTGTCCCTGACAGTGTCGACTGTCGCGACTATGGGTTTCCTGCTTTTCGGATATGACCGTATGTCATCTATCTCAGTGCAGCATACTGATTGAGCAAGGCTAACGTTCACCAGAGGGTGTCATGTCTGGCATCATTAGTGACAGAGCATTCAACAACGTCTTCACCGCGACCAGGGACGACTCGACGATGCAGGCTCTCGTGACAGCAGTCTACGAATTAGGATGTTTGTTTGGCGCCATGTTCGCCCTGTTTTTCGGCGACAGGACGGGTCGACGGTGGATGATCTTCTCCGGCGCTATCGTGATGATCATCGGAGTGATCATCCAGGTCACCTCGTTCGTGGGCCACATCCCCCTGCTGCAGTTCTTCATCGGTCGTGTCATTACTGGCATTGGCAACGGCATGAACACGTAAGCTTTGACCCCTTCTCTCACGACACGCAATCATCGCTGACAGTTCCAGATCGACCATTCCCACATATCAGGCCGAGTGTTCCAAGACCAGCAACCGGGGTCTCCTCATCTGTATTGAAGGTGGTACCATCGCCATCGGTACGGCGATTGCCTACTGGATCGACTTTGGCGCCCACTATGGCCCGCCTGACCTCGTTTGGCGATTCCCCATCGCCTTCCAGATCATTTTCGGTATCATCATCATCGTCGGGATGTGGTTTCTTCCCGAGTCGCCTCGCTACCTCATTGCCAAGGACCGCATCGAAGAGGGCGAATACGTCCTCGCCGCCCTGGCAGGCCGGGAGCTTCACGACCACGAGACCCAGATTCAGAAGCAGCTCGTCCTAGACTCTCTCCGTGCCTCGGGCGCTCTCGGCAAGAAGACCAGCTACCGTGATCTGTTCACCGGTGGTCCCAGCCAGCATTTCCGCCGCATGGTCGTCGGTTCTTCGTCGCAGGTCTTCCAACAGCTCGGAGGTTGCAATGCCGTTATCTATTATCTGCCCCTGTTGCTAAAGCAGAACCTTCATCAAGATAATGACATGGCCCTGCTGATTGGTGGTATCAACATGATCGTTTACGCCATCTTCGCTACCTTCTCCTGGTTCTTCATTGAGCGCATCGGCCGTCGCAAGCTCTTCCTCGGCGGCTCATTCGTACAGACCGTTGCCATGGTCATTACCTTTGCTTGCCTGATCCCCGGCGATGAGCAGAGCTCCAAGGGCGCCGTCTTCGGTCTCTTCCTGTACATGGCCGCCTTCGGCGCCGCCTGGCTCCCCCTCCCATGGTTGTATCCCGCCGAATTGTCCCCCGTCCGCACCCGCGCCAAGGCCAACGCCATCTCGACCTGCAACAACTGGCTATTCAACTTCACCGTCGTCATGATCACGCCCGTGATGGTTGACGCTATCGGCTGGGGAACCTATCTCTTCTTCGCCGCCTGGAACGCCCTGTTCATCCCCGTGATCTGGTTCTTCTACCCGGAGACCGCCAACCGCAGTCTGGAAGAAATCGATCTCATCTTCGCCAAGGGCTACTGCGAGAACATTAGCTATGTCCGCGCCGCGAAGGAGCTACCCAAGCTGACGGACGACGAGATTGAGGGCGAAGCCGCCAAGTACAACTATACCCCCGAGACGGAAGCAGAGGTCGAAAAGGGCCGCGTTGGTGAGATTTCGCCTACAGGCAGCGCCAGCTCTGCTTGAATCCATCTCAAATCCATTTTCACAAAATCTCGATTTCAGAAACAAAAAGACGCGAAGGAAAGATTTGATGTAAAGACTTGATGTCTCATTCATGTATATGATTTGATGCAGCCGCTTCCGGGTTTGATGCGCTGTGGATTGCTTGCTTTTCCGTCTGTTCGTATACCCCAGAGAAGAAAGACCAGCTCCCATACCCCGTGGATCGGGCGTCTGGCGATCTGTTTGCTTGTGATAGATGTACATACCACGTGTTTTGATAGAGAATGAACTTGTCACTGTTAACTTGTTTGTCCTCGCCTGACTTGATTACTTGATTTGCTCGGTTGCTCGTTTGCTTGTAGTGGCTCCCTGAATCAGTATGTCGTATCGCATCATCTCCTGGAAATCTTCGCAGCAAACAGCAAACAAAAACACGGGCAACCCTGCATGGCGTCCGCGGGGTGCTGATTAGCCGTGACAAAAGGGCCCTCGCAGCTGACACAGGCCAGTCACGAATTAGGCTGACGAGGACAAAGCCACTGGCTGCCTGGGTGACTCATGATTCGACGAGGACTCATCGCCCGACTGCTATTTATTGGCCGTGAACCCGGTCAAGGAATGTTCGCTGCAGCGATGGCCATGCAAGATAAGCGACGAGATTTCAACTGAGATTTGCTGGATCGCAGGCCTTGGCGAGCAGGGAAGAGCGATCTGTAAGTAAGGGGCTTTGTAGTTTTCTCTCCTCTCGTAGTTGCTTCCCTCCCCCTTGTCGCCAGTCGCCACAGGAGTTGGAAGACGGAATAAGGGTTGGAGGAGCAGGCGTCGGCAGAGGAAATAAAGAGGCGCGGAGGAAGCTGAGCTGAGGCTGACCAGTGACCTCTCTCAGGCGACGAACACCTGATTACCGATTCCCTTGTCCCTCAACGCAAACGCTCGTGATCGGCTGATCGCCTCGTGCGGTTCTTTCAGGTTACAGCAGCTGAACAGCGCGAGTCATTCTTTCGTGTTCCCTCGTTCCGCGCCTCTCCTTCAGCTCGTCTTTTGTTTCCCCTCTTTTGCTTCTTTTGCTTCTTATCCGCCTCCACCCGCTCGTCGCTTTGTGGGATCTGATCTCTTTATCTTATCGCGTATTTCCTCTCACTTTAACACAACATCCTTCCCTGACTTCTGCTGCTGGTCGCCGTGACTTGCAAGCTGGATCATGCAAATCCAGCTCTCCCTCGGCCCCGCCTCAACCTCAACCCCACCATGAGCTCCTCCCTCGAGGCCAAGATCGTTGTCCTCGGTGCTCAAGGTAACGCCCCTCCCCTCTTCCCTCACAAACAAATACTTATGCAGATGGAAAAAAAACAGGCGTCGGCAAAACCTCCCTCGTCCAGCGCTACGTCAAGAACGCCTTCAACGAATCGACAACAACATCCACCGTCGGCGCCTCCTTCGTCACAAAGCGCGTGCTGGATAGCACATCAGACACGCTCGTCCGGCTCCAAATCTGGGACACAGCAGGGCAGGAGCGCTTCCGCAGCATCTCGCGACTGTACTACCGCGGCGCAAATGCCTGCCTCCTCTGCTACGACATCACCGATGAGCACAGCTTCCAGGAAATGACGGGGTGGTTGCTCGAGCTGAAGAAGAACCTCGGCGAGGGCGACCAGATCGTTATCCATGTTGTTGGGACCAAGTCGGATATTGTTGCTGTGGACCCCGCGCGCCGCCGCGTGCCCTTTGAAAGGACGATTGCGTATGTCGCTGAGCAGCTGTATCCGTCGCGGGCGTCGACGCCGCCGCCGACGGCCGGGTTCGGGGCTGGACCTGCGCCTGTACCTGGGCAGTATGCGTCGTCGGCGTCGGTGACGACTATCCACGGGATGGGCATGGGCCTGGGCATGGGCCTGGACAGCAAGCGGAGCAGCGGATTCTGGGGCCAGGATATTGGGTGGGATTGCTGCCACGAGATCAGTGCCAAGGACGGTGAGGGCGTAGAAGAGGTGTTTCGGGTGATAGCGCGGAAGCTCGTGGAGCAGCGGAACAAGCGCGAGGCCGAAATTGCGGCGCTGTCGCCGGGCGCGTCCTCGTCCGTCGATGGGGTTCTGGGTTCTGCTTCTTCTGCGGGGCTGGGAGGGATTGAGGCCGGTGGGAGCTTTCGACTGGGGATGAACGATAAGAGGCGGAGTTGGTTGATGTTTCCGCCGAGTAGTGTTGGGGATGATGGGGATGAGGTTCCGCCATCTGTGAAGAAGAGGGGGAGGTGTTGCTGATTTCCTGGTAGGCTTTTGTGGATTTGTTATGGACGGGGTGGCTATTGTGCATTTTGTGTTGGCTAGCAGCGTGCAGTTGATTTGGCGTTTTGTTTTTGATGCATTACCTACAGGAGGGTTGGATAGGGTTGGATAGTAGATACAGAGCGATGCCCTCTGGTCCGGATTCAAGATGGTGCTGGTCACCCTTGGATCGGGATGAATGTTTACATGGGTTGTACTATGATCATTTACGTTTTAGAGTCAAGCAGCCTCTGTATAGTGTACGAAGCGTTACAACGCGCCACCTCCACAATATGTAGATATACTTGGGGTATACCCGGTGCTGTTGGGAAGCAACGAAGAACCTCCATAATTATTGATTGTGACGAAACCCCTTCTCTTCTGGAAGAATCTCTAGCCTCTCCCTGTATTGTTACAGAAGGTGATAAAGTTATTTATCTGTTCTCTTAAAGTCTCTTCTGCAGGGCCCTGATGAACTTGCCCTCCATCTTCAATACTATATACTGGCCTCAGGCACCAATCCGAATGATGCGATCGAATCAAAGTTCGCAAGTCGCCGTCAGTCCCACACTAACAGAATGCAACGATCAATCACACTGTCAAGAGAAAACGAGCGGGACCGAGATCGACAAAAGTCTGGCCAGGGTTCTGGCGCAATTAAAATGAGACACGATGATCAACGCTTCAGAATTTTCTGGCCGCGCGTCTGGCGACTGAGGGATCGGACTCGGTGAGTCGGAGTGCGAGGTCGAGGCAAAATGTGCCGGAAGTCGCTACGAGTTCTACTCCGGACGGGACGAATTTCCTTGTTGATGCGTGCAGCATGTACGTAGAAGTCAAGGGTCATTTAAGCCTCGAGGGATGGCTGAAGGATTTGATTGCCGGCGAAATGAGATGCCGTTTATCTACAGTCTGTGGATGGTGGAGGATTCGAGGACCCTGGAATTCTGGTCGGGATCAGGAACGGTCGGGAGGACCCATTCGGCGACCACGGGCGATGGTCACCATCGAGGAAACAATGTGCCGACTTCGCGACTTGCGATGTCGTTGACGGGTAAAGTCGACATCTCTGGAAATCTCAAGCTGAGGAGGCTTATATAAGGTGGCTCAGACCATCTGGTGCGAAGATTGCGAAATTGAAATTAAGGCGAGTAGTCTCAAGCCCATGGCATGGACTGTCCAGGACCTTGGCGGCTGCTCCCACTGCGAGACTCTTGACCGGGCAGACAGCGATCAAAGGCGCTGAACTGTTGCAAAGAGGGCGACAGTATTCATTCGAGCTGGAGAGACTCGCTTTGGAGAAAAGAACGTCTGGCAAAGTTTTATACTTGGGGTTCAGGAGGAGTCGCTGCAGATCCAGCGGCAGGCGACCGACCAATCCAAATTCCGCGGGAGTTGCCACGAAATTATTTTCCCTCGCGATCCAGTGGAACTTGACGCTTGCGGCCTGTCTCTGTCTCAGCTGCGCCGACCTCCTCTCCTTTTCCCCTCCCATCGCCATCGCCGTGCTTCAACCGACCCTGTCGTTCCTTTTCCCTTCGCTTCTCCCTATTCAGTCGTTTCTATTATTCTTAATTCAGCAGAGGTTATGAGATGAGACTATCCGTCCGCATCGGGGGGGCCGCCCTCCTTATCACCGCCATCTTCCTCCTCGGCCGCCTTTTCAACGCCGCACACCACGCTCCGCGTCCACGCACATTCTGGACCTTCAATGTCGGCTCCCGACCAGATCCTGCCGAGCTTGCCTCGTGGAAGTCGCGATGGCCAAAGGATCAGACTGGCGTCTCGGGCCAGCACTACGATATCAGTCCCATCGTCGTCCCGAATGACCGGATCATCGTGATGGCAAAGCTATCGACGGAGGATACAAACTGGGTCAGCGCCGATTTGACAGAGTATGTTGCTCAGACTCTTCTATCCCGACGGTTTTCGCGTGCAATGGACTAACCCGACTGCTTTAACTAGCTGGCGGAATTTCATCTACGTCGTCGACGACGTAAACGCGCCGCGACACACCCCCATGAACAAAGGCCGCGAGGCCCTTGCCTACCTCCAATACATCGTCGAACACTACGATGACCTCCCCTCGACGATCGTCTTCATCCACAGCCACCGCGATGGCTGGCCTGGCGCCTGGCACACGGACACAATGGACTACAGCAACGTGGAATCGATTCGGTCGTTACAAATTGACTTTGTGCAACAAAACGGTTACGCCAATCTCCGCTGCCAGGAGACCCCCGGCTGCCCCGACGAAATCCGCCCAGGGAGAAACCCCCCACGCCCGGGTAAAAACGTCGAGAGTATCTACCCGGATGCGTGGCGGGCGCTGTTTCTCGACGACAACGTCCCCGAAGTCATTGGCGTTCCGTGCTGCTCGCAGTTCGCGGTCTCCCGTGAACAGGTTCTGAAACGTCCGCTGAGCGACTACCAGCGATACTACAACTGGGTTCTCACAAACGACCTCCCAGACGACATGACCTCCCGTGTGATGGAGTACACTTGGCATATTATCTTTGGGCAGGAGCCTGTTTAGTACGTTTCCTCCTCCTTCATTTTCGAGACAGCAACTAACCAGCTCGCAGCTGCCCCGACGTTTTCCAGTGTTACCAAGACGTCTATGGTAACCCTTTCTTCTGGTGATTCTTGTATATATTGGAATGCCCACACTGTTCTTTTTCACTCTTCCTGACGACGACATACGCGACTTCACTTCTTCCGCCCGCTAATGCGGAGCACGTTGTATATTAATCAGACCTTTGCATCACAAGGCATTTTCTTCATCATAGACTATGAAACGAGCAATTCACAGCATCTTTTATGCAGCTTTTTCACTTCACTTTTCCAACGCTAATCGGCCAGCGTTGTTCTAAACTTTTATAGTGATAGATACCTGCAGCAGACGCGCGCGTAAGGGGGTATTGCTACCATCCGCATTTTCTGCTGCTTATCTTATCTGACAATTGTTGAGGGCAGTTGGGGGTAATACTTGGATTGGTTCGAGTGAGGCGGCGCAAGAGGGGGCAAGGCAGGCCGAGCCAAATCCCTTGTTAACAAGAAAATCGCGCTGGGACGATCGTACAAAGGTGCCTCGCCGTTGCGCCAAATATATATACAAGTGTAGAGAGATATGGAGGTGCAGTGTCTGTCTACGTTGCGGCGGCAAGCGACGGCAGGTGAACGAATATGAGGAGGATATGAGAAGGTAGGGCAAACTGCATAAGTTAAAAAAAATGAGAGCAAAAAAAAGTGGTCCCAGAGGGGGTCGAACCCTCGACTTTGACGTTATTAGCATCACACTCTAACCAACTGAGTTATGGGACCCAGTTTGTTATAACTTGGCTTCGTACTTTTGTATTTTCAGGAAAGACGTATTTTTCTACACATAAACACGACCTTTGTCCTCAGTTTATGACTCAGAATGAGGAATGATGACTGTTGCGTTTCAGCAAAAATCTTAGTCGAGATATCTCGGAAGCGCCTCCTTGGTGACCGGATGCGGTTCGGCTCTTTTCATCCCAGTCATACTGAGGTTTGCTGCTCAGCTGTACTCCGTCACTGATTAACCCTGAGGCGGAGATATATAGTTACGACAAATTGACACCAACAAAGGACATTCACAGCATCAAAGGAGGTGGGCTGGTAACGGAAACCCAGAACAACCCTCGGAAAAATCCAAGTCTTAGAGTAAGAGTGAGGACACAATCAAATCACCAAGAATTGGCGCCTCCTGTGCATTTATCGAGGCGCTTGGCGGTGGCACCCGCTTTGGTGTTCCTTTGAAACTCCCCCACACTCCAACTTCCCCTCACCGTCTCCCTCACGCACAAACCCAGGAAAACTCGACTTCCCTCCAAATCAAAAGCCAAAATGAACGGAACGGGATCCATCGAGTCGCAGTGGCTGGCCCAACTCGCCGCCATGCGCCAGGCGATCGCGGATCTGAACCTCACCAAGAACCCCGCCAGCGACCAGCTCGCCTACGGCAGCGATCTCGACCTAGACCTTGACGGACACTCCTCCTCCGCCGGAACCATCGACGACGTTTGGGACCTCATCAGCTCAGATGACGAATCCACCAGCGACGACCTGGATGCGTTCGACGATCTCCCTTCCCCGCCGACTTCCTCCGAGCAATACGACCTCCCATGGCTGCAGCAGAGATGCCAGCTCCTCGCGTTCCAAAAGGGCGGGATGGAAGTGGATGAGCTATCGCAGCAGATTATCGCCGCACTTGCGACGGATAGCGGAGACGACGAGTTGCAAATGTCGCTGGCTGAGATTGTGGGCTTTGACGACTTGGATTTCGTTATCGAGTTGATTGCGCATCGGAAGGAGATACTGGCGAGCTTGGATGCTGGTCCGAAGAAAACACAGGCACAGACGGACGGGTTGGCCTTTGGGTCGTTGCAGACGAGGGCGGAGAGGGAGCAGGCGCTGCGGAGGCAGGACTTTGAGCACAAGAATGCGGCTTTAATGCCGGAGCAGGTGCGACAGGAGCCGAAGTATCCGCATGTTTTCAAGATGCATGATTCGAGGAATGTGCTTGCGCTGAATGGGAAAAGTTATGGTTTGCCAGTGGGGAGTAGGCAGATCGATGAGCAGAAGTACACGGAGGTTGAGGTCCCAGCCGCAAAGGTTGGGACGCTTGCCCAACAGCAGAAACTCGTTCCGATCTCCTCGATGGATGGTCTGTGTCGGGGAACCTTCAAGGGCTACAAGACCTTGAACAGGATGCAAAGTCTACTCTACGATGTTGCTTACAAAACCAGCGAGAATATGCTTATTTGTGCGCCTACTGGAGCTGGCAAAACAGACGCTGCGATGCTGACGATATTGAACGCCGTCGGCAAGAACACGATTCCTAGCCCGGTTGATCAGCCTGATGCCACTGAGTTTTCAGTCCTAGTGGACGACTTCAAGATCGTTTACGTAGCCCCCATGAAAGCGCTCGCAGCCGAAGTCACCGAGAAGCTCGGCAAAAGGCTCGCATGGCTCGGGATTCAGGTTCGTGAGCTGACTGGTGACATGCAGCTGACGAAGCGGGAGATCGTGGAAACCCAAATCATCGTCACCACCCCTGAGAAATGGGACGTGGTGACGCGGAAAAGTACCGGCGATACGGAGCTGGTGCAAAAGGTTCGCCTGCTGATCATCGATGAGGTTCACATGCTTCACGATGAGCGTGGTGCAGTCATCGAGTCTCTGGTTGCTCGTACTCAGCGGCAGGTGGAAAGCACCCAGTCGCTCATTCGTATCGTTGGTCTCTCTGCAACACTTCCGAACTACGTCGATGTTGCCGATTTCCTCAAGGTCAATAAGATGGCTGGACTGTTCTTCTTTGATTCGTCCTTCCGCCCCGTGCCTCTCGAGCAGCACTTCATTGGCGTCAAAGGAAAACCAGGCTCTAAACAATCCCGCGATAACATCGACACTGTCGCTTATGAAAAAGTCCGTGACATGCTCGAGCGAGGTCATCAGGTAATGGTGTTCGTGCATTCCCGCAAAGACACGGTGTTGACAGCACGGATGCTCCGACAAATGGCTATTGAAGATGGATGCGAGGCCCTCTTCAGCTGCCATGAACATGAGAACTACTCGAATGGCCTTCGGGATATGAAGCATGCGCGAGCCCGCGAGCTGCGAGATCTGTTCGCTAGTGGATTTGGCACACATCATGCTGGAATGAGTCGAAGCGACCGCAACCTCATGGAGCGTATGTTCTCTGAAGGCCTTATCAAAGTCCTCTGCTGTACAGCTACTCTTGCCTGGGGTGTTAACCTTCCAGCTGCGGCGGTCGTTATCAAAGGAACTCAGCTGTATAACCCCCAGGAGGGTAAATTCGTCGACCTTGGCATTCTCGATGTTCTGCAAATCTTCGGTCGCGCAGGTCGTCCCCAGTTCCAGGATACGGGTATCGGGTTCATCTGTACGACACACGACAAGCTCAACCACTATCTCTCAGCGGTGACTTCACAGCAACCCATTGAGTCTCGATTTTCAAGCAGACTCGTGGACAACCTGAACGCTGAGATCTCCCTCGGCACAGTCACATCTGTTCCAGAAGCCGTGCAGTGGCTGGGTTATTCGTACCTGTTTGTGCGGATGAAACGGGAGCCTCGAAACTATGGCATTGACTTTGCTGAGATAAGGGACGACCCGATGCTGGTACAGAGACGCCGCCAACTCATCATCCAGGCTGCAATCGTCCTACAGAAGAGCCAGATGATCATCTACAACGAGAAGACGGAAGAACTTCGAGCTAAGGATGTTGGTCGCATTGCAAGTCAATACTACGTCCTGCAAACAAGTATCGAGATCTTCAACGAGATGATGCGCCCTCGGTCCGGCGAGGCAGACGTCCTGCGCATGATCAGTATGAGTGGTGAATTTGACAACATTCAGGCTCGCGACAGTGAATCAAAGGAGCTCAACAGACTTCGCGAAGAGGCAGTCCAGACCGAAGTCGAAGGAGGTAACGATTCTGCTCAAGCCAAGACCAACATTCTCCTTCAGTCGTACATCTCCCGTGCTAGAATCGAGGATTTTGCTTTGGTCTCGGATACTGGGTATGTAGCGCAAAATGCAGCGCGTATTTGTCGTGCTTTGTTCATGATTGCGCTGAACAGACGCTGGGGATACCAATGTCAAGTACTGCTTTCGATGTGCAAATCCATCGAGAAGCAGATCTGGCCATTCGATCATCCTTTCCGTCAATTCGATCTGCCGCAGCCGATTTTGAAAAACCTGGACGAGAAGTTACCATCTTCATCTGTCGAATCGATGAGGGATATGGAAACTGCCGAGATTGGGCAACTGGTCCACAATACCAAGATGGGAAAGACCTTGGCGAAGCTGCTAGATAACTTCCCAACCTTGAGTGTCGAGGCCGAAATTGCACCACTCAATCGCGACGTCCTACGTGTGCGGCTAAGTCTCTATCCCGAGTTCACCTGGAATGATAGGCACCATGGCGCCTCTGAGTCTTATTGGGTTTGGGTTGAGAATTCAGAAACATCAGAGATTTACCATCACGAGTACTTCATCCTTAGTCGGAAGAAGCTCTATGACGAGCACGAATTGAACTTCACCATCCCGCTCTCAGACCCGCTGCCTAGTCAGATCTATGTCCGAGCAATCTCTGATAGATGGTTGGGAGCGGAGACGGTTACGCCCATCTCATTCCAGCATCTCATTCGCCCGGACACAGAGAGTGTGTACACGGATCTCCTCAACCTTCAGCCTCTGCCCATCTCTGCACTAAACAACCCGATCCTTGAAGAACTTTATGAGCAGCGTTTCCAGTTCTTCAACCCCATGCAGACGCAGCTCTTCCACGTTCTGTACCATACCGCTGCAAATGTGCTTCTTGGATCCCCAACAGGTAGTGGGAAGACGGTTGCCGCCGAGCTCGCTATGTGGTGGGCTTTCAGGGAGCGTCCGGGCTCAAAGGTGGTCTACATTGCGCCGATGAAAGCCCTTGTTCGCGAGCGTGTTTTGGACTGGGGAAGACGCCTCACGGCACCGATGGGCCTGAAACTCGTTGAGTTGACGGGAGACAACACGCCTGACACGCGAACAATCCGAGACGCAGATATTATCATCACGACCCCGGAAAAGTGGGACGGTATCTCACGTAGTTGGCAGACTAGGGACTATGTCCGGAAAGTGAGTCTCGTTATTATTGATGAGATTCACCTGCTTGGCGGTGACCGAGGCCCAATTCTGGAGATCATCGTATCTCGTATGAACTACATCGCTTCACAATCCAAGGGCTCCGTCCGGTTAATGGGTATGTCGACGGCTTGTGCGAATGCGTCGGACCTTGCGAATTGGCTGGGAGTCAAGGAGGGATTGTATAACTTCCGCCACTCCGTTCGGCCTGTTCCGCTGGAAATCTTTATCGACGGGTTCCCCGAACAGCGCGGCTTCTGTCCGCTCATGCAGTCTATGAATCGGCCGACATTCTTGGCCATCAAGAACCACTCCCCAGAGAAGCCAGTAATAGTTTTCGTCGCGTCTCGTCGCCAGACACGGTTGACGGCTAAGGACTTGATTAATTTCTGCGGGATGGAAGATAACCCGCGTCGATTCGTTCGGATGTCGGAGGAGGATCTGCAACTGAACCTTGCTCGAGTTAAGGACGAGGCTTTGCAGGAGGCGCTATCTTTCGGTATCGGTTTGCACCATGCTGGTTTGGTAGAATCTGATCGGCAACTGGCGGAGGAGCTCTTTGCGAACAACAAGATTCAAATCCTTGTCGCCACGAGTACTCTCGCATGGGGTGTCAACCTTCCGGCCCATTTGGTTGTTGTCAAGGGGACGCAGTTCTTCGATGCAAAAACAGAAGGCTATAAGGATATGGATCTGACCGACGTTCTCCAGATGCTTGGTCGTGCTGGACGTCCTCAATTCGACGATTCTGGTATCGCGCGTATCTTCACCCAGGATGCGAAGAAGGCGTTCTACAAGCATTTCTTGCACACTGGTTTCCCCGTTGAGTCCACTCTTCATAAAGTCCTTGATAACCACTTGGGAGCCGAAGTATCTGCCGGAACCATCACGACGAAACAAGATGCCCTTGACTACCTCACATGGACATTCTTCTTCCGTCGCCTGCACAAGAACCCATCCTACTACGGCCTCGAGATCTCAGCAGACCAGCACAACTCCCTCGAAGCTCAAACCCTAGCACAGGACTTCATGATCGACCTTGTGGACAAGTCTCTCGGCGAACTCTCCGAATCAAACTGCATCACATTCGACACCGCAACGGGCGAAGTCGACGCTACCCCCTTCGGCAAGATAATGAGCTACTACTACCTCGCGCACAAGACCATCCGCTACCTGCTCTCCCACGCAAAACCATCACCCTCCTTCCACGACGTCCTCAGCTGGATGTGCTCCGCCACCGAGTTTGACGAGCTCCCAGTGCGCCACAACGAAGACCTTATCAACGCCGAGCTCTCCCGAAACCTCCCGCTCTCCGTCGAACCCATGGGCGACCTCCCGCTTTGGGATCCCCACGTCAAGGCCTTCCTCCTGCTGCAGGCATACATGTCGCGCATCGATCTGCCCATCTCTGATTATGTCGGTGACCAGATCTCCGTCCTCGACCAGAGCATCCGTATCATCCAGGCGTCCATCGATGCAATGGCTGAACTCGGCTACACTGCTGCATGCTACCGATTCATCAACCTCCTGCAGTGCATCAAATCCGCCCGCTGGCCGGAGGACCATCCGCTCTCCATTCTCCCAGGCATAGACCCAGGCCAAAACCCAACGAACAACAAATCCAACACAAGCACGGCCCTCCCACAATCCCTTACAGCCCTAACCCTCCTCCCGGCAAGCGCCATTTCCTCTCTCCCCGGAAAACTGCACATCCCCGCCTCCAAAACCGCACAATTCACAAAAGCAACATCGCACCTCCCGCGCCTCGCCCTATCTATCTCGGCAATCTCCCCCGCGGGAGTGAAGGTTAGCATCACGCGGAAGAACGCACCCACGAACGCCGATCATCGCATTTACGCACCTCGATTCCCCAAGCCGCAGACGGAGGGGTTCTTCCTCGTCGTGTGTAGTGCGAAGTCCGATGGGTCAGATGGAGATCTTCTTGCGCTGAAGAGGGTTTCATGGCCGTCGAATAATAACCAGAAGAATTATGATCAATCTGTTCGGGGTGGTGCTGGTTCTGCTGGCAGTGGGAAGGGCTCGTCGAGTAGGCCGGCTCAGGGCCTTGGTTCCGGTGGTGGTGGTGGTGGCAGGAACAGGAAATGGAACAACAGCTCCGGTCTGACGACGAGCTCCTCGGTCAAGTTCCCGCGCCATTTGCTCGTTTCGGGGAGTGTTAATGTGCGTGTGCTTAGTGACTCGTATCCCGGGATGGAGTGGGTACTTGCTGGTGTGGAGGTTGATGCCAGTGCTGAGAGGCAGATTGTGGAGGAGACGTCGAGCTCGGTTGTTAAGGGGTAGTAGATCTGCTAAGATGGTCCGTTGCATGGAATGGCACTTGAACATGGATATTTTATTATAGATATATAGATGAAAAAAAAAAAAAACACACTGTGTTCTTGCGAGATAAGATTGCCCATGTAATCAAACAGAGCATATTTCAAGAACAGAAAGACCCAAAACCAGATGGGATCCTGGAACTGGAACTCCAGAAATAATAGAAATGCTCCCTGCGCTTTGACATAAACATTTGGAGAAAGAAGAACCAGAACTCCAGGCGATACACAAAAGGGGTATGATGCAAAAACTCAAGACAAGGAAACGGAATCTACGCCAATTCAATGCGCACATCTTGCGAGAACCCAGGTCTATGAGCAGACTTTCCACCGGTAACCTGGGGCGTTCTAACCTGTCTCGCGACAAGTCTCTCGTTGGTGTTGAGATGGCCCGTTCGAGTTCGGACCGGAACAAGGACCTGTTTCTTGCCCTTAGACACGGATATTGACCTTGCGATCGAGACTTCGATGGTCGGAATTGGATCTTCCTGCGGAGGATATTTTCCAGGTGGGGGAAGGATGGCCGGTGTCACATTATTGTTGTTTCTCACAGGCGATACGCCAGTGCGGAGCGAATCCAAGGGCGAGAGGATCGGTGATGATGCGGTTGTTGATCCGCTGCTTCCAGACTCCGATCGAAGTTCCCTCGTATTGATGGTCAATACCTTCGTTGCAGGTTGCTGTTCACCCTGAGCAGACCTTTTGCGGTTGATCATCTCCCACTTCGGTTCTTCCATGCCCGCAAAAGTGCGGACGGGCTCGATTTTGTGAATGAGTAAAGGCTCATCATCGGACCCGATGGAAGTCGAAGAAAGGAAGGATGATATAGAGGGCTGTGGATGATGAGATGGCCGCGCTTTTCGTTCGATCTCTGAATTTGGCGTGCTTCGGCTGACTTCGATTTCTTGTAATCGTTCTTCGGCCGCCGGCTGGGCTTTGCGCAAGGGATCTGGTCGCTGAGGCAGATTTTGCGTTCCGAGGATCTTTGAGGCCTTGCTTGATGGAGTTGTTGGGAAGAGTGTAAAGTTTGGTGACCTTGAACGTGTTGGAGAAGTCGCCCGGCGGCGCGGTGGCCCTAACGGCGAGGATACCTGTGTGCTGTGAGCGTAACAATATCGTCAACTGTGTAGATTCACACACCTCTTGACCTGGGATAGTTACATCATCCAGGGTCTTGCTTCGTCTGTTAAGTAGCGATGGGCGACTGTTGTTCAAGAGACCGCCGAACATGACGCTGTACCTTTCCAGTTCGACTTTGGGGATTTCGACCTGAAGTAATGACCCCTGCGCATTCGTCGAGGAAGAGCTCTGCTTCTGCATGATAGCTTCCTGTTCCGACACTAGGCAAGGCCATAATTCGGTGTTCTCGATTGGTTCAGTCTTGCTACCGGCCCTTTGCCGCGATTTATAGTCGATTGAATGAGATGAACCTTGGGACGGCCGCTCCGTTTCGGCACGGACCTGGTAGAATGGCTTGTTCACATTGGGGGCCACGGCGCTTTTTGCTTTGAATAAACCGCCAATTTTCCTCCATTTGCTCGACTTCCTCTGCAGGGCCGACGGAGGGCTTTCGACGTCGGGAGGGGTCGGTGGCGGATTTCTTTGTCCCTGTGTGGTAGAAAGTTGTGACTCCAATAAACGAGGGCTCCCTAAGGCGATGCCGATCATAGACTCATCTAGTGCATGGTCTGTTTCCGACGGCGCAAATGAAGCTTCAGCAGGTGGAACAGTTATCTGGAAATCGAAGCCAGGTGTCGGCGCTCCCGTTTTGCGTTTGGGGCTGCGTCCTGCAGATGTGCCAGGGTGCTGCTCGGCTTTGACAACCTGGTGAATAGGACGACTGTAACTGATGCCGCCTTCAATCTCGCGGAGATCATTGCGCGGCAAGGCATCCGTATACTTCAAGACTGGCTTGGAGATGCTCTGCGCTTCCGGTGATGGGCGACTCTTTCCTAATATTCCTCTAGCCATGATTTGCTAGGCGCTTGGGTGCTACAGATTGGCTAGGTCGGGTTCGAAAAGGTAAGATTAATCGTAAAGAAAGAGGACGCCTAAAGGTGTACAAGAATCGAAAAGGGTTAAAAACCCTATAAAGGAACGGACAGCCTTCCAGAAGGCCTAGGTGCAAAGCGAAGGTCAAAGAAAAGAGATAAAGAGCCATTCAAGAAAAAAAGAGGGAAAAGACGGCTGATGATATTAAAGGGCCACGACCCCTCCGCGACAGTGGTGTCAGGGATTCGGTGGAGCAATTCAGCAATGTCTGACATCTTCAATGCTGAATGAGACACCCAGGGATAAATTAGCGCTAGAGAGGGTCAGCCAACGGGATCCCGAGAGATAGATTGTTGTAGCCGCCGGCCATCAAAATGTAAGATTATGCCGCCCACTCAACAAGCAGCAGAGGCGGATGCAGTCAGCGCCACCAGAATCTGCGCGGGCTGCCTATACGGGGGCGTAAATGGAGCATTGCGGTTGCACAGAGATTAAATGAAGATTGCGTCTGGCGGGCCAAGCAAATGCTTTGGCGGCAGGCAGGGCAAATCTCGCGGGCTCAGGCTGCGGATTTCTGATTCACGATTGGTTTCAGCCGATTCTGAAACCGGGCCCGCCCAACCAATCGACAGCCATAACGCCAGACATCAGAACTCAGATTCCGAGAAAGCTGAATCTTCAGCGGGCCTCTCAAGATGAATCTGGATCAGAGATGTATTCGCGTCTCGAATTCTGAATCTCGAATCTCGATTTAGTGTTCGTGTAATGGTGGATCACGGGAAGGGGCCGTCGTGGTCGTTTGGGCCTTTTCCTCAAGAAATGATGGTCTGTGGGGAGTGTTAGAAAATGATAATGGCAGCGTGAAAGCCGGCAGTTCAGAGCACCCGAGGGATCGCAGATGGAGAGATGAAGAGACGAAGAGGCGGTGTTTAAGATTCAGGGTCGAAAGCCTCGCCTTCCTGATCTGGTCAAGCGCCACAGATGATCAGCACATGACAAGAGCCACAGGTGTCACGTGCATATCAAGCAGCTTCTCCTCCAACACATGCATCATGATGTTCGTGCAAGTAACTACCTGGACTGCTAAAAGTGACTGCTTCTGGTGGTATAAATGGTTCTGACCTCATGGATGATTGGAAATTCTCCAGGCCCCACCAATGCAGTTGAGAGATATTGCACTGTTGTCTACACCGCTTGGTTTCGGACTTGAAGCTCCGTGAACATGAACAACCCGACATCTGCTCAAGTTGATGGTTCGTGCTGAGGCTTAATCTCAGGACAGTTAATGCCTTGGATGCGATTGATATGATGATCTGGAGATTCCCTGACTCAGGCTTGCCCATCAGCGCGATCCGTGACTGACGGAGACGGTACCCTGATTGTTGAATATCTGCTGCTTCAACCTTGGAAGACTCATAGTAGTGCCTGATGCGCAAAATAGAGTGTGGGCCTTGTTTCTAACGCGTAGGAGCACCGACAGTCGGAGTAGTCGAAAGGGTTCTCGTGTGTTCCTGACAGTATACATATTTCTGCCATGGAAATGGAAGTCGGCCCCTTGAGCGTCAATCACTGCTTAACCGACCTTTATAGGCCGTTTCAAACCCAGAAGGTCATCATCCAAAGTCTTAATAGCGTACATTCTGTTGATAATCAAGGGTCCTCAAGATGAAGAATGACGCGACTGCGCCAGATTCGGGATGAATGGTGGATGGCGGGGCACCGGGACGACGGAGGCAGCTTCCAAACCCGCCAGCACACCCCACCCCACCTTACCTTTTACCTTGCTCACCTCTTTCTTTCTATCCTCTCTCGCTTCCTCCCTCTATCGCCGCAAATAATAATATTCTCAGCAGTGGTATTGCTGGACGATCACCCCCCTGTTCCTCTGCTGTGTCTCACCTCAGTGCTCTCCAGATCCTCGTCGCGACTCCTCTGCCGACCTCTCAACCCGATCCCCTTTTCAGTTGCTCCGTTACTTGTTTATCCTAACCGTTACCATGGGTGCTCACTCCGCTGTCTGGCAAGGTACTGTCTGCGATATTTCCACATATCTCTTCTTGTTCCACTCGCATTAGCTAACTGTCTCTTCTTATCCAGGTTATGTCGATTCCAGGTACTGATCTCTCCAACGCTTACCCCGCTTCGCCCAACACTGGAACCCCCCGCGACCTCCGCATCAAAACTGACAACAGTGACTTTGCAGTCTGATGGGATCCGGCCAATTTGACAAAGCTGCCATCCTCAGTGTTGACTTCTCCGGCATTGAGGCCTCATCTCCTGGGTTTACGGTATGCTCCGAGCCTTTCCCGAGCTGCTTTCACCTCACCGGTCTTACGCGCAACTTGAGCGTTTATCATTGACGACGAGTACAGATCACTCCCCAAGAAATCCAAGCCCTCGGTTCCGCATTCGGTAACAGCGAATACGCTATGCAGAATGGTTTCACAATTGGAGGCGAGAAGTTCTTCGCCATCAGAGCTGATGATCGCAGTCTGTACGGCAAGAAGGTACTTGGTCTCTTCCTATCCTGTAGCACGCAATACTGATGGTATTCAAACCATATAGGGCAAGGAAGGCGCTGTCGTTGTGAGGACCGTCTCCTGCGTTATGATCGGTCACCACAACGAGTCCGTCCAGACCACCAACGCGGCTGCTGCCTTGGAGAAGGTCGCTGACTACATCAACGGCGCCGGCAGATGAACATAGTTAAGGCTATGTGTGGCCAGTCATGAGATCAGATCAGACAATATGTTTGCCTAAATGTAAATCACGATGAGGGTGTTTTCTTACGTTTTTCCCTCTTGGCTTCTTTTCTTCAAGCATCAATCATAATGCGTAAAGATGTGCGCTACGTACTCTTATAGTACAGAATGAGACCTAATGGACCGACAGGATACGTGATATTGGCGTAGGAAATTCCAGAATTGCACATTCCACGGCGATCCTGGACACGGAGCTAGTATTGGTTGTGAGCTTTAGATGGCTCGCATGCGGAGTAGTCTACATCATTTATCATTCGGAGGTATGATATTCCAGAGTCATCATGAAATTAAGCAGCGCAGCAAGGCCACAGACCCAGCGCACCACACTTATTATAAATAATAGTCATAAGTATAGACATTATACAAGCCCCCAATACCTCCCTTCCCACCAGAGCCGAACTCACTCATCGGCCATCCCGAACCCCAGATCTAAAGCATCAAAAACAGCACTAACAACCTAGCACTCTAATAACTAACCGACGCCCCTCTCACTCGCCAAAAACTCGAAAAGAGAGAGAAACTCTAAACAGGCAACTCCGCATTCCTCCGCCCGCCAGCCAACGTCTCCAACGCACTTCTAATATACGGTCCAACAACCGGAATATTCCCAGCGAACTGGCCAATCGTCACGAGGAAGTCACCAAAGAGTATGAAGAGACCGTACAGCTCGACGAAGAACCCGATCAGCGGCCACCGGATGAGGATGAGGAGGATGCCCGCGACGAAGGCGGCGGTGCCCTTGAGCTTTTGGCGGCGCGAGAAGAAGGCGAGGGTTTTTTCGAGGCCGATTATCAGTGTTAGGCCGATCAGGAAGAGGATCTGCAGCGGGTGATTTGTTGGTTAGTAGACGTTTTGGCGCGACGGGTTAGGGGAGGTGTACGTTGCCCATTGCGAGTCTGTAGAAGAGAAGGAAGTGTTAGTGGTATGCGCTTGAGCTTGGATGAGGGGAGGGCAGGCGGTGGCCGCCGTGGAGCGGAGGTGTTGAAGAACATACAGAGACCGGTCGAAGAACATTAGGACGCCGCCGAATAAGAATAATCCTCCTGGAGTTCCGTGCAATTGTTAGCTGTGCCGAACTGGCGGAGGGTTGGATGCGATGGCGCATTGAGCGCGTGGTCGACTGTATGCGCGGGGAGAGGCAAATCATACCACCGGAGCAGAATATGACACCAATTTCTATGCAACCAGGGAGTATTAGCATCTGTTCGAAGCGTGTTTCTAGGAAGCGTCGCAATGAAGAGTGGTGGCTCTTACTTTGGTTGTCTGTCATCCAAACGGACGGCATCTTGACGGGTTGTTGATGATATTCTAGGAATGGAAAAAAGGATAGAGAAGAGAAGAGGTGTTTAAGAGAGCAGTTCGACGTTTGCGCTGGCTATGTCTAGGACGATTCGAGAGAGGAACGATTTGTCGTGAAATTTGTTGTGGATGATCTGCAGCGCGCTGATAAGGAGCGGAAACAGCACGGTAGGCGGGAGAGACGTGAGGTCGTGAGGAGGTCACTAAATTCGAAAGAGCCAGGAACAAATGGATCTTGGAGGAATCAGGAATACTGTGCTTAGGTTGTACCCGTCGATTAAGGACCAATAGGTAGTCCTCAGCTAAATTTCAGGAAGCTGTATCAACAATCGGTCTGGTTGCGACCATTAATCAAAAATTCTGCCACGTTCGCTGCTTGGCTGGCGGTATTAGGATGAATTAGGAAGGCGGTCTGGTGGCTCCTCATATTTCCGCACAACCAGCCCAGCTTTTTCTCTTCCAGCAACAACTGCACAATGGAAGCAAAACAGTGCTTCCTATGCTCGCTGGTCAGAATTATGGCACAATGATATTGCCTATCAACTATGAACTCTACAGCATTGCGGTCGACACCAGAAATGAACAACAGCCATCAGTGCTGCACCATGAAGACCCCGAAGCAGACGGTGCCTTTATTCTCAACATCTTGATAGCGTCTCTGTCTTCTTCCCAACCCATATCCGCCGCGGCAACAGTACCCTCGGGTATTGTAACTGACGCTCCGGCCATGGAGCGTCGGTATGAGTCGAGTGCTTCGGCACAAGGCGAAGATCAACCGTATGAATATACAAGATCACGAATAAGCCGGAGCGTTTTCTTGAGCCTGTCTCGAAAGGGGCACGGTGGGTGGAAAGGGCTTGACTGTGTTGGTCGTACATAACCTCATGGGAAATGGTAGTTCTAGATTTCAATGTCAGAGAAATTCAATAATGGCGAACCCTTGTAGCTGTAAAACGTACTTTGCCTGTCAATTTCATAACGTCGTTGGAGTGTGCTTGTCACAACACGGCAGCAAACTTATTTGAGAACAACATGGGCGGCTCTGAGCTCGAGATAGCTCTCAGGTACTCCCTGTCCCAAGGTTCTGACGACTCCAAAGACCTCCTTATCATAATACCTGAGTCGCGTCTTCGGGTCGGTGTACGGCGCAGGCAATCCGGTGATATCACAATACGGCCGTTGCTGGGAAGGATGTAAAGACGGCGCAGATTCAATGTTCGTATATGTGGCCGCAGGCCCGGAGGAGTACGCCGCTCGTGCATTCTTCTCTAGAACCAGCGTCGAGAGGTTCTGCGCGGCCTGAGCGATGTTCGGCGTCCGCTGGATGCCTTCAGCCGGAGTCTGAGTCCCATCTGTGCTGGTCCCAAGTGCGCCGGGTGTAGTTGCACCGGAGTTCGCTTGCGTTGCCATTACAGATGCTTCTTTCCTCGTGCTGTCGGAGATGAGCTGCTTGACGTTCTTGTTGCGACGCTGAGACGGTCTCCAGTTTTGGCTTCGGAAAGGCCGTGGAACGGCGGCGATATCAAGGCGGTCGAGGAGGCGCTGGTGGGATTCGTTCTCGGCAGGAGTGGGAGGAGCCATGATGAGCGGTTTGATGATTGGAACTGAACGTGTAGTGTGTCTAGTGATGAGATTGACTCTGGAAGGAGGTTCAATCTGAAGGAGGCTCTCCAGTTCCACGCCAAGACTCTCCCGATCCGACCAAGCAACGTAAAGCGGCGGCAACTTTTCCCCCGCTGGGCTGGCTAGGTATGTATGGAATCAAGCTCGTACTTCCCATTTAGAGATCGAAGACACTTCCATTGCTTTGATAAACCCGGTTAGCTCTGAGAAGCACCTCAAAGGTTGCAACTACTCAGATTTTCAAGTTCAATCACGTGATAACTTTGTTGATAACCACAACAACAAACGTCAGGCTTTCCCCAGCGTCAACAACCTCAAGAACCACAAAATGGTAAGCATAGACAGGATATTCCTTTATCTCTGTGTATATGCTTACATGAGTCTACAGGAGAGTCCACATGAGCACCAACAAGCCTTGCTGCTGTCTCGCATCATCAACAATGTCGTATGTTTCGGCCCATCGTCTCTACAGAACGTCGAACTGACTCTTGACAGGAGAAACTGAACGAGGCGATTATGGTCATGAACAAGAGTCTGCAGGTAGTTTGGTCGGTATTCTCCTCCTAAATGATGAGACTGACCCCGCGCAGGAGGTGAACATCCAGAACATGAATGTCGAGCTTGTGGCACAAATGTTCAAGAATTACCAGTCAAACGTCCTTTTCCACTTGGAAGGTATGACGCCTTTCGCTATTCAAAGGCTCTTCCTTACTGACTGATTTGTAGCTACGGAAAATTTGAAGGAGCCGTCGTGATGGACTAGCTTGCCGGCAGTTTCATGTTTGACGCAGCAGTTATTGATACCACTAGATTGAATGATTATATCCATTTTGCCATTTTGCCCTTCCACTTGAATCTCATTCCATCGCATTGAGTAGTCAATCAACCATTAGTGCTCATACCTCTAATTCTGTAGTACGAAGCTGGGGATAGGCCTGGTCTTGGCATTTTGTGAGCACTGCCGGCGGTGGCCAGATTCCACCGCGCTGGAACTGGGGATTTATTCCCGCTCATCTCCATCGTTGAACAAACCATTCTCTCTTGCTGACAGAACCAGCGCGCGTCCACAACCTCAGACCTGTCCGAAACCCTCGACTTTTCTCTCCCCACTGCATGCGACAAACGGCAATGCGGTGATCGCTCCTCGCCCGAGCTCCAGAGTTAATCGATCTCCGTTCGACCTCGCCGCCAGCCATCATGGCCATCACGTCGGTGCAGTCGATTCTCCCTGCTCGCGTGACAGTTAATGCATCCGAGCAGGGAGCGGTCAAGCCTCCGCCCAAGATCTCCAGTGCGCAAGATTTCCCTTTCAAGGGCTATCAGCCCCCGCAGCCAGAGGGCTACGAGCAGAGCAAATCCAGGCCAAACACGAGCGCTATCGTCATCGACAATGGTAAGTCGAGCCATACTACTACAATTGATTCAAGAGACGTGCTAACACTGGATTCTCGATAGGCTCCCACCTTGTCAAAGCCGGCTGGTCGTTCGACAAGAATCCGCGTTTCATAATACCCCCTGTTATGAGCCGGTATCGGGATCGGAAGTTGAACAAGGCGTGTCAGTTCATCGGATATGATGCTTACGTTGATGCTACGACACGAGGACAGCTCCGCTACGCGTTCGACCCTGGTACCAACGTGGTCGGGAACTGGGACGTGATGGAGGGAGTATTGGATTATCTGTTCATCAAGTTGGGAATTGACGGTGCCAATGGAGGAGTTGACCGGCCGATTGTGATGACGGAGCCTATCGCGAACCTGAATTATCCGAGGAAGAGTGAGGATTCCGTGTCCACAAGGGTGAATGTCACGCGCTGACGGTTATAGTGATGAACGAAATCCTGTTCGAGTGCTACTCTGCCCCATCCGTCGCTTACGGAATCGATTCGCTTTTCTCATATCGGTATAATCGCGGAACGGATGGTCTGATTGTGTCTTCGTCACATACCTCGACTCACGTCATCCCCGTACTCAACTCGAAGGCTATCCTGTCTAGTTGTTCACGGCTGAACTGGGGTGGCATGAATGCTTCGGAATACCTGCTGAAACTTATGCGACTGAAGTACCCCACATTCCCGGGAAAGATGACGGAGAACCAAATGGAGGACCTCGTTCATAACCACTGCTACGTTTCCAAAGACTACGACCGAGAATTGAGTGGCTACCTGGATTGGACAGGGCTGGAGGACCGAGATCATGTCGTTCAATACCCATACACCGAGCATATCGTTCCGGAAAAGACAGAGGAAGAGCTTGCGCGAATTGCGGAGAGAAAGAAGGAAAGCGGGCGGCGACTACAGGAGCAGGCGGCAAAGATGAGGCTTGAGAAGTTGATGAAGAAAGAGCAGGAATTGGAGTACTACAAGGATCTGCAGCGCGGTCTTCAGTCAGAGACGAAGAAGGAAAAGACACGCATCCTGGACGCTGAGGATCTCAAGGACGAAGCGCACTTGGACCGGCTGATTCGGGATCTTGAGCGCTCCATCAAGCGGTCACGGAACAAGGACCTTGGAAACGAAGAACCCGAGGAGGCACCAGAGGAGATGACGTTCCCGTTGCTGGATGTTCCGGACGAGGAGTTAGACGAGGCCGGTTTGAAGGAGAAGCGCCATCAACGACTGATGAAGTCAAATGTCGAAGCTAGGCAGCGCGCTAAGGAGGAGAAGGAGCGCGAACAGGCGCGCCGAGATGAAGAACAACGCCTTGATCGTGAGAAACGTGAGAACGATTTTGAAGGCTGGGTCGCCGAACGGAGGACACAACGTCAGGTGAGTCGACGTTCTTTGCCGGGCTAGTCTGCGCTAACTGTCATAGAACATTCTTCAACGGATCAAAGAACGCGACCGATTCAAGGCGGATCTTGGTAACCGGAAATCATTGGCTAGTCAGATGCGCATGAAGACGCTCGCCAATCTCGCAGCCGACGGCCCCAAGAAACGACGGAGAGGCGGAGACGACGATGATTTCGGCGCGAACGACGAAGACTGGGGAGTCTACCGTACAGTGGCTACCGGAGAGCAGAGCGATGACGAGGAAGAGGAAGACCTCGGTGGAATGCTCGATAATGTGGAGAAGGAGCTGCTCGAGTATGATCCGGATTTCACGGAGAATCACACCCTTGCAGCACAGTCCGACTGGACGAAGAGCCTGATACACGTTTTCCTGCGCGGCCCCTGGCCATTCGACCCTGAAAGTCAACGCGAGGCACACCAAATACACCTGAACGTCGAGAGAATCCGAGTACCAGAGGTCGTCTTCAAACCGTCGATTGCCGGGGTTGACCAGGCGGGACTGGTTGAAATTGCCGCAGACATCGTTAACCAGCGATTTTCGAACGCTGACGAACAGTCGAGGTTACTGCGTGATGTTTTCTTGACCGGCGGCAACACTCTGTTCCAGAACTTTGACGAGCGATTCCGCAATGAGTTCCGGGCATTCCTCCCGCTCGATGCTCAATTGGCTGTCCGCCGTGCCTCCGATCCCGTTCTGGACGCCTGGAAGGGAGCTGCACAATGGGCGTCTGGGTCCGAGCTGGCGAAAGCATCTATCTCGCGAGAGGAGTATCTGGAAAAGGGCAGCGAATATCTCAAGGTATGTTTATCTCAGCCTTACCGACCGTTGACTGCTTACTAACTATTTATAGGAGCATGATTTGGGCAACGTTACATCGTGGTGAAAAGCTTAGGCTTTCCTGAGCTAAGCATTACTTGGTTGGCGCAGTGAAGCTAATTTCGACTACGATAACGGCGTCTCAGCAAAGAGGGCAGGTTGGAGTCGGGCGTCAGGATCGCAAATTGTTATCTCGTAGACTAAATACATCATTGGGCAGAGATGCACCATTATTTTTATTACCACAACATTGCCTTGCTGCTATAATTTCGGGACAATATATCAAGTCTCGCAATGAGCCAGTGTTGTTAATATTAATAGGAGCAAGGTCAAAGCACGTTTATTAGCTGCGAATTAGCTGGATCTGATGGCCAGCAAGGGACTCTGGGTGCAGGTGACTCGTCGGAGCGACGTCACTGGGCTTGGCGGGGTCTTCAGCCTTGTGGGGCTGCGATTGGCCGAGCTGGAGCTGCCGAAGCTGCTGGCAACTCTTGATCAGACTTCATCATCAACACGTGTGGACACGGATACCGACGGAGAGCAGTGACCAGGCCAGTGCCAAAGGTGGGGAGCGAGCAGCGGTGAGCCGCCATTCGACAGTCGAGATTGCATTTGTCGGTGATGTGATGATGATCGGAACCAGCCGCCCAATCGCCGTGCGCTGTGCGCGTCTGTCTTTCAGGATTCTGGTAATCCGCGACGGTCACTTGACTCGGTTAAGATGCCGACGTCTAATGATGATCGTGTAACGATATCTCATCCCTCCCATGGATCCGCTCAGTCCAACAGGATCATGCAACCTCTACAGCGCGTTCGGCTCTCTAGCGGTCGATCCCTTGCTCAGCGACAATCATACTGCAGCCCCTCCCTTTTCTCCCTTCTGGACTCGCTCTTCGGCCCTCTCGGCCACGATTCTCTCCAGGTCACACAACCTTGACACCAGCTCACTGGCTGATAGGCCGATCGGTTCCCTTCCCTTCCGGTCCCCACGGCCAGCTGCTGCTCGCCCACGAATCTCATCGCGCAGTTCAACCGTTGTGCCCCAGATCTGTATCATGACGCACTCATGAGTTGACAATCAGCCGAGCAACACCTGCTCATTCAGAAATAATGCATTTCCTCGCTTTCGGTCATCGATGCTAGCCTCGAGTCTGAGGTAAAAATGTGAAGAGATTATGGCAGCTCTGTGCAGACGTGGGTCTCCTGCAGTACTCGGCACGGTCGAAGCATCCTGACGCAAATCCTACCTAAGTCGCTGGTCCGTGGGTTGACCAGGGCTGGATGCATCGAATGCACGGATCCTTGTCTACTGCCATTGAAACATTTAAAGAGCTGTCCTGCCCACCCTCCAACGGAACCGTTTTACTTTCTCATCCAATCCTTTGTCTTTGAGGAGCTCTGAAGAACCAGGTTAAGAAGTATCAGCCTACTGCAACAATCCTATTGTACTACATCGTACTGCGACAGATTATTGTATAGCCAAGATGGTTTCTCAAGCTCTTACTCGACCGCTGATGCTCCTCATCCGGGCTCTTCAGTGGGCTAGTGCTGTCATTGTCATGGGGATCACCTCCTACTTCATCAGCAAGGGTCCTCGCGGCCAGCATATCATCTACCAGGAAGTTATCGTATGCTCTGACCGTGTTGCTCTCTCGGTCTCTCCATCTCATACTGACTTATTTTAGGCTGTCCTGTCGGTCGTCTTCTTTCTACCGGCCTTCATCTCCCCATTCATGCCCAAGGTCCTTGGTCGCCCCGTCTTCCTCATCGACGTGATCTTCTCATATCTGTACATACCCTTCCCCGTTTATAGCAAACACATCTAACAGACAATTCAGCTGGCTTACAGCCTTCATTTTCGCCGCCCAAGACTACAACCAGCACAACTGCTACTTCAGGGCGCCTCCTTTCATGGGCTGCTCCCGGAAGCGAGCCAACGAAGCTTTCATCTTCCTTGCCTTGTAAGTCACATCAAACCAAATCTCTGTTCAAGACCACACTAACTTTCTCGTAGCATCTTCACCTTCTTCGGCATGCTCATGGAACTCTTCTCCATCTGGTCCTATCGCCGCGAGAACGCCAACCCTGTCGCCGAGAAGCACGGCGCCCACCACCCCGCCCCCGCTGCTCCACACGACGGACCTGCTACCGCCGTGCCTTGAGAACTTAGCTCACTTTGTCTTGTGATTATGGCTGAGTGAGCGCGTGAGCCAACTTCCGCGGCTCAGCATAAGAGGAAGAGCGTAACGAACGAGTGGGATGGTGGTTGATCGAGTGCCCGATTGCTTGCTTGATTGATTGATACCTATACATATCGCCGACTTTGGACAGGGCATATATTTGCGACCCCCTATCGCGTAATACCGCACTATTGTTTGTTTTGCTTTGCTGCGAGTGATGCGATACGCGGTATGATGTTGATGTATATTGGAGATTTGTAATAGTCGATTAATATATTGCTTATTATTTACTTGAACTCGTGCTGGTATCTGGGTATATACGTAGCTCTGATTCAATTCACTTGGAAACGTTGAGCAGTATAAAACATGGTAAAGTGGCTCTATCCATGCTCACCCCAAGCACGGGCTTTCCCATGCTACACTCTCCTTCCAACATTAGCAACCAACCGGCGACAGGAAAGATATCGCTTAAGCACGCTCTTATCACTTTTTTATCCCCTCTGACCTCATCAACTATTCGGTATGCGCCCGTCTTTATTGGGCACGGATGCTGCTGCTACCTCGCCGGCCCTGCCCGCCATTACGTCAAGCGCGCTTTCAATCAACATGGAAGTAGCCCATCACCTCCGGTGCAATTTACCAAGAAGTCCCTATATCATCTAGTGAGTTATCTTATACACGCTGACCCTAAACGTTCCTCAATTCAAGACCGCGATGCATGTCCTCGCACCACGCTGCAAAGGATCTAAATCAGAGCTGAGGGGGGGGGAAATAAATAAATCACCATATAGCCTTACTCAGGCTTAACTCTCCAATTACACACGAGTGTCTGTCTATATTAGGCAGTTTATGCATGCGCGATCAATCTCAAGTCATTGGGCTGTCTGATTCGACTCTTTGGCGGCTCCGGCTCCGTCTCGGAGTTTTGGTCCCGAGTTAGGGCTAGTAATTCACCAGATCGAGGTCATATTTGCTTCGTATGCTCCCCGTCGACTTCCTTCTGCATAATTAGCTGGTCGAGCCCAATGAGCACTCTGAAGAACTATCCCACAAACAGTGAGGCGAGCCCCGAGAAAGGGCCGAGTCTCTTACCTCTCGGCCTTCGGGCGTGGAATTATCCATGGACCATCGAATCCACTCTATCGCTCACTGAAAGACCTGAATTACTGACCCAACACCTATCTCCACTGGCTTTGAACCATTCACCGTTTCGTCCTCGTGCTACGCATATCCCACGAACGTCTCTCAGCTGTCAAAACACGTCGAACTATGGCTCGCCAGGGGATACTCTAGAGTTCTCGTGGTGCACTTCATATTCCAGCCATAACAATGGTGTTGACTGCTGATGATCATCGAATGGTCTATGCGTATCGCATAGCTGTTGATGTAAGTCTGCAGATTCGCTGGCCGTGTCTTGACCGTGCCACATGCTACGCAGCTTGAGGACAGATACTAATAATTTTTTTTTTTCCACATCAGGACGAGGGCAATGATCCTGGAGTTGGGCGATACTTTATCACGGCAGCCAACAACCATTATCTTGTCCAGTGGCACAACCAATTCACGGAAAATGTCCCTATTGATAAAGAGCGAGTGCAAAGGGTCAGTGCCACCTGGTTTACCTATAAAATAGAAGGATGGGTGATGAAAAGATACCAAATCAACGCACTGGTAGCCGATATAAGAACGCAAAACCCAGCGTAGTTGTCTTTACTCGGCCCGCAGATATCCCAGGCCATAGCCGATTCACTCGTCTGGCCAAGGCGAACTCGGAATGTTCTTGGCCTGCAGTGCCAAACCCCTGAGGATTGAGATCGCTTCCTCTCACCACTTGAATAGGATCACTGAAGGATATCTTGGAGGTAAAAGTCTTGAAGAATTCCATCCTGATGCTCATACAGTGCTGACAGTGTTGTCCCACCAGCTGGGCGGCTCGATCGTGTCCACCCATTTGATTTGCAGTTTGCCGATAGTGGACAGGGTACCGAAATTCAACTTCTGTTCGTAGAGCGCGTCTCCGGTCTCTGCATCTCGATTGTCTGTCTGGCTTATGTTCCTGTCTTCTGGACTCGGACCGCCTTGCTGGTCAACCTCAATAGCATCTGCAATCCTCGAGAGATTGTCGAATATGGACTCTTGCGAGTACACGACGAAGAGTCGTTTGTTGAATGCATGCTTCCAGACCGTCTCGCTCGGACTGGCTGCATCATCTGAACGCAAGTGGCCATACCTAGAGCACTGGATAGAGCAATGAGAACCGCGTTTTCGCATGCCTGTTTTTGCGATGCGCCGCCGCTGGACAAGAGCCTGTCTGAAACAGATTCAAGGGTCTCTCTACCGCCCTGCTGCTGTACACGATCGATTTGTTCGAAAATGTCCAGAAGCCATCTCCAATACCCACCAGGTTCACAAATATCGGCTCTGACTGCCGTGAACATATCCCGAGCTTTACCTTTAAGATGGACATGCTTTTCCTCCTGGTGCTCGCAGAACGTCAGCATTCCCGGCCATCGAGTAGCGACTCCTGGGCCGTAGAATCTGTCCATCACTTGGATCTGAAGGGGCTACTGATCAGTTACTACAGATTTTAGAGTCCCATCCATGGGGGGACTGTGACAGTTACCGGTCCGGTTGCAGTGGGATGACCAGACTGACTAGATTGGCCAGGTGGTGCAGGCTGGGCTGCTCCATGTTCAAGTTCCCAGCGGTCGCGGTGGTAGACGCCATGGCAGCACAATGGATCGAGAGTCGGAGGGGGCGATATTGCTGTGCAAGCGAAGAAGACTTGGTTTGGGGACGAGAAAGTGAACAGACGTGAGAGGATCTTAACAGGAAAAAGCTGCAGTCGGGTTCGAGTGAATGCTATGCTACAGGCTTCTAGTTACAGCGGCAACCTCTGGTCTTAAATAACGGCCGCGCTGAGCTCTGTCTTCGAGTTTGGTAATATAGGTAGTCTGGAGGGAGGTGTAGGAATGTGACTGAGCGTTCCCTGTTTCCAAGGGTAGTGGAATACTACAAACAGAGAGGATGGTCGAGATCCACGCATGGCAACAGAGTTGTGTAACGAAATCCGGCTCTTGGATACTGTTCAGTAATGACCATTTACCGGCGTTTGCCCGGCTCCAAAACCACCCGCCCGGCGTTTACTGCGATTAGGGGGGCATGAGTTTGCTCGCGGATGTGTCCAACCTGGGTTGCTTTTTCTCCTTGCGTTCCTTGACAATACGCTATGCACGGATGCCGTTCCTGCACCTCGCCATGCTTGGGCATCCTCGGATTCCGCTTTCTGAGACCTGGGTAAAAAAAGAATGGAGTGATACATCGAGAATCTGTTGCGATCAACGGAGATATCCCTGTCTGTTTACACCATGCGCCCTAAATACTGGGAAACAGTAGACACCCGGAGCAATGAGCTCACCCACAGATGAGTCGATTCGGATTTGTGGGCCAAATACCCAGGGTACCCAGGGTACACTGGTTGCCAGTGCATCTCCGTCGGGTGCCCAGCGCTGCTGTTTGACAATGTCTACGGCGGTAGGGAAGATGGAGGGCTGCAGCCAGACAAAGCCCGACGGACTGGCAAGGACAGAGCCCCGTTTGGCGGAGTAAACCACCAAGTCTTGGACTTCCGAACTGCCATCGAAAGCTGCTGGGCTAAAAATAAGTCTGGCAAAGACTCGAAAGGCCGCCGTGACTGCCTTATCCGCCGCTGCCTTGAGCTTGGCTACATACGATAGGAACAGTGAGTGCTATCTGATCGCTGCAACGCACATATGCTTACCAAGGAGATACCGAAGAGGTGTTTCTGGGTCGCATATGATCTAGATCGTGTGGCGGCATTTACGCTTGGCAGGCCAATGGGAATCCCAGAGGATTCTATCGACGTTGGGGTACGTGCAAAGCCAAGATGTTTAGCAAGACTGAGCGTCATCGAGGCGGGTATGAGTCACGTGATTACTCGCTACGGCCGCTTAATGCCTGAGGCACCCCTTGTCGACATATATTGTCCACTCATCACTACGATGGTCGATCAAGACAACCCCCGCTTCAACTTGGCTGCCATGTACAATGAAGAGATGGTCAACCGAGCTTTTGAAAAATAGATTGATGGATAACCCCGAATTTGATGCAAGCAATGAGTAGGGCCTGAGATCGAAACGCGCTTGAGCTGATGACTCCGGAACAACCGTCAGGGGCTGATCGATTCTGTTTAGTGGGCCTTTGGAAGACGTATGCTTTGTATGTGGAATGAAAATCAAGGTGCATGGCTAGATAAGCGACTGGTACCTCCTAACGACTCTGACGCCTTGAGCCGAGGGGAAGTAAAAAGCTTTGGTCGCCATACACATCACAAAAGAACTCAGCCATTGCAGAAGAGCTAGATTAGGGAGGCATATTGGAATCAATGGCCCTCTTTTCCTTCTTTGTGGTGTTCCTTATACCAGTAAACCCCCATGGCTTGTCCAGAAATCAACAAAAACGGTTTCTGCTAGCCAGACAATCGATTTGTGCTTCTTGTTCTTTCCCTCTTGCAATAGTGTCTTTGTCCCGCCGAGAGCCGTATTTTCCGGGAGAGAAGACTGCAAGTCATGCGTGATTCCCCATTGGGAAAATCCACTTCCGTTTTAAATCAATACCCATGAACAACCACCACCTTGACCCCGCGTTGCCGGTGGGATCCACAGCCCATTTTGGTTGTTCTCGGGGACCAGGTCCGGAAGATTCACAAACATAATACTGGGTGCGAGGTGCCGAAGTGCTGAGGAGAGCTCGAGAGATGTTTTGATCTGGAGCAATGAGTGGTCATAGGTGTACCAGATAGGAGATCGTTTTTGTACACCGAAGGCTTCTTGGCTTATTTCTTCATACCATCTTTCCAAATGGGCATCCTTGCCGACGATCAGAAATCTGTCTTTGTCTGTGTTCTTTCCGGTGGACTAGATATAGTAGTGAAGTAGTGGCGAATGTTAGTTTATATTCCTAAAGGTGATTTGGGTGTTGAAGGAGAGGGCGATGAGGAAGAGGAAGCGAAGAGGTCAGTAGCAGCCATGAACCTATCTCGAAGCTAGGCATCCAATAGAAAGGCGGAGAAGAGTAAGGTGGAGCTTCATCCGATGTAGAGCTCAGTTGTTCTGAGGATATTCCAGATTATGGATGGGGCACGGACCCTCGCCAGGTGCTGTTCTCGCACGTCGTCGACTGCTTTAAGGAGGAAACTATCATACGTGCCGAGGAAGCTACAACAACCAAGCAACTGTTGGCCCTGTGTCTAGAAGAATTGTTGCAGCTGGTTATCAGGAAAGAGTAGAGAGCAGGAACAGTCTAGCTATGATTTTTCTTGCAATATACAACAACAAAATGAAAACAACGCTGCAACAGAAAAGAGCGGCAAACACACTCGAGTGAGAATCATAAATCAAAGAAGAAAGAATAAAACAGACAGCATAGGTCAGCCAATATCCCCAACCAAGTCCCGCTTGGTCGCATATTAATCGTGGAACAGCAGCAGCATAACCTTGAGATAGAATCAGCACCGCGAACAACCTGAGCCAAAGGCTTCCAAGTCCAGAATACATAGGAGGACATACCGTCATATAATACTCCTTTCAACAGTCAAGACACGTAATCTGAGCTTGTTAATGGAACGTTACCCAGCCACGGTCCTGGTTTGCCTTGGCCAAACGGGTATATTTATGATGGCCGGGAAGATCCGCCATGAGGGTAAAGACAACAGTTGCTCTCACATCGTACTGTCTAGAGTACTTGTAATAGTGCTGGCTGAGGTGGGGGATCTCTTCTATGAAATCCTCATGATATGTATACCAACTGGTGTTGATTTTCTCCACACTCTCTGCGCACTTGAATCCACTGCGCCGCCTCTTTGCATCGTCGCACACAAGCCACCACTCATTCATCTTTTGAAGGGAGGCCGCTGTTATGAGGTATCGGCCCCTGCCGGTCTCATTGCCATGTTCCTGGTGCCAGCACGGACTCATTAGTATTTTCCCTCCCGGCTTGCGAGTCGAAGTATGAGAAAGATACGCGGCTGGGTCACTTACATCGACTGCGATCGCGTAGGCGTAGTATGGCATGGCTGCGGTGACGTGAGAAATTTGATGAATAAACTGGTAGTTGAACGAAACTCTGGCGGGAGATTGTTTTCAGCAAGGAATACTGGCCGTCCGGAAGCAGAAGGGTCACGGCAGTTATATAGATCGAAGCGAGGCCAAGACCTCGAACTCGAGCTCTACTCAGAAGTCAATCTAGCACCTCTGCTTGAAAGCCGATCGATTCATACGCCCGTCTATTTTAGGATTCAGCGCCTTACCCGATGTTGAATGCGGCATTCTAAGCCCGTTGCAAGTTGTAAGTCAAGGTACGCCCGCACTTCTTTGTCTAACAGACGTGGCGGAACATATCCGTGGTCGAATCGTCGGGACAATGAAGAGACTTCGCCACGCTTTGTACTCTCGACGCGCCCCGGATGCGCTAAGATTTTCCCGGTCAGGTGTTATCTAACAAAAGAAGGTCCTGTTCTCTTTCTCGAATGCTAAGTATAACCATCGGTACGCGAGTCAACAAGGTGAGGTGGTCCTTTGAGGCTTATGGCGCGTGGAGTGTGGAGTGGAGTGTAGCACCATCCTAGATAGAATCCTTATCGAGAACCATCAGCTCGGCCATAGAAGTTGCTTTGGTTGGTTGGTCGCTGTACAAGGCAATAAAAAATGGAGCCGGCTTGCCGCCGTTGCACCATTCTTTATCGTTCCTCTGCAAGGCCAAAGCCTTGCGGCTTGCAGGAATCTTTGTTGCCTCCATCGATACAGCAGCTGTCCCAGTACGTCCTTTGTCCTCGATATTGTGGTAAATTTGTTCCTCGCTGCTCTTACTGTGGAGCTGTGGAGGTAATGAAAGAAGGCAAAGGGCTTAGACTCGCCCCGATGTGTGAGGCAAATGTAACCACGCTGTGTGAGTGTCAAACTTTGTACCACAAACTGAGAGAGCACGGCAAGAAAAATGGGCAGCGAGACAACATGCCGCTTACTTTGACGAGAGAAGGAGTGTCTCAAATGACCGCTAAGGTTGTGCCCTTTGGACACGGTTGAAAGAGACTCGCGTGTAGTAACTTCGTCAAGTCATTAAAGGCAAAGCCCGTGGTAGATATGATCCGTCACTTCCCCTTGGGGTAGTGCATAGCTAGCCTAAGGATTGGAATGCTGGTTGAAGTTCTTCTGGAGGTAAAACCATTGGAGACATATGAAAAGGTTGTCTGATCCACAGACACTCTAATGGTGCGTATAGGATGAAAGAGAAGGCAACGAGATAAAAAAAAAAAAAAAAGGAGAGAGAGGAGGAAAATAGAAGAAAAGGAGGAGGCACAGGCAAGTCACAACAACAAAGCGCCGCGCCAAGGGTAAGAGTAGATATTTGAAACTGTTACGCCTATAGCATCCAACCATGTTCTCACGCGTGTTTTGCGAAACGGAAATGACTGCCTGCGTGAGAGTGTTGCTGCAATCCATCGCTATCCCAACCCAGCCCAGCCGTCACTGACCAGGAGAGGTGGTCTAAGATCTCCATCGCTGCGGGGGCGGTCGTCCTTTTCCACGAGATCGGAGGGATGAAATTGAGATTCGCACGCAGGCTTCTTTCTTCGTGTGGTAGCGGAGGGTGATCCAGCTCGTCTAACAAGAAACAAAGTCGCCCCTCCCATCAAAGCGAGTACACAGGCCAGGGATATTGACAGTGCTTGCCCACACGGACATGGGTAGGACAGTCACCACAAGAGCGATTTCGGATATTGCTCACCCTTGAGCCTATTCTCGAATCTGGCCAGGGACGGGTTTGGTCGATTTTGTCGGTCGGGATCTAGAATGACGCGAGGCAGGTCATCATACTCCGTTTTGTCTGAGTCTTGCCCGGGGAGCAAAATGTGCACCAGGTTCCTTGAGACGACAGCCGTACTGAAGTCCCGGAGCGTCTCTCAAATCCGTTTTGTCCTCACGATCGTTTGTCGGCTTGGGTTCGGGGGGTTCAGGAGTCGGTTGGTAGGGTCAGCAACTCGTCAACAAACAACGTGCATTGGAGACCATAGGGAGGCGAGTGCGCTAGAGCTTGGTAGAGGTGTCGATAGAGGAAGAATACAAATGATGCAAAAGTGTCATGGTAGATGCGGGGGTCCTTTGGCGAACGGAATCTTCCGACTTGGTGGGCAAGAGGTGTGCGTGAGGAACCAGGCTCTTGAAAGGTCAGGCGGCGTCGTAGCTGGTCGACGGATAGGAAAGTGTTGCGCATCCCACTGTCGTAACGTAGATTTGTTCACATCGATGATGTAGTATTCGAAATGGTGAGCAAGGCGCCCGCTGGAGGAAGACGAAGGGAAAAAAAAATAAAGGTGAGGGGATCATGAGCAGCTTGACGTACCGTTGGTCGTTGGCACTTGGATGAAGATTCCCGACAGCGCAGAGCATCCAACAGCTGACCGAAGAGTAATGTCGAGCCACAGTGTGTTCGTCCAGAGTCCAAGTTCGTCGGTTAGCCTTTGGCTCGCATACTCCGCTGTGTCAGTGGCTCGGTTTGGGAGTGGCTCCGACGATGACTCCGGACGGCGATGAAGGATTCTTGTTCGGGCTTGCTCTCTCACTTCTCGTATGTACCGAAGCAGGGTCCGGCATCCATCGTTCGCTTTTATTTGAGGCCTTGAACAGCCAGTGGGTTGGTGCATGGGCGAGGAAGCTTCCTTTCATGGTTTCTTGTATGAGCGGTGAACGTCAGAGCCAGAGCCTCTCCGGGACAGTGAACATAATTGAGAGATTGGTTTGGTGAAGTCTGGATCGTGTCTTGGAACCGGCATCTAACATTCTGCTGGTGGGAAGAGCAGAAATGAGAAGGCGAAACAGAAGCGATTGCCATGAGGAAACAGAAACGAGTCAGAAAAATCTGTGCGCTCGAACCTGGAGGGAAAACAAGGCGTCGGTCCGGATTGAAATCGGTTGAGCTTCTCGCAACGCCATACCCGGCAGTTTCTCGACATACCCAGATGCCATCTCAGATTGGCGCTGGAAGATGAAGTACCTATCGCTATTGCACATCGTCTGGATGAGATCCTTGTCAGAGATCTCTCTTTGATTTGCACGAGGTTATACTGGGTGAGCTGAACTCGGAGGCAAAACAAACGCTGATGATCATCGGGGACGGGCAAGACAGCTGCATCTTCCCACACTCCCTGAATGGGGTTTCCGAAGTGTCTCGCTTTCATTAAGGCGAGAGATCCACAACTGTAGCTCACGGCGAGTTTCTGGTGATGCAGAATGAGAACCCCATCTTTCGTGGATATCCAGTCCCGTTGAGTGTGAGAAGAAGGCTAGAAGCCTCCCAGCACCAAGACGCGCGCAGGATAACGTCAACCGGACGAGGTTAATTGGGCCTGTCCCGATCGTCTCAGTAGGAAGAGTGCTCATGTTTCAAGCGTAAACGGCCTCCTCTAGCTTGGTTCGTGGTTGATATCAGCTCATTTCGTGTGTCTCAGATTTGGTGACGGGGATCTCGTCCTCTAAATCCGGCTGCATTCTCGGGCTTCTGCGTCTCTTAACTAGAAGGATTCCGCTAAACAACTCTCTGACCCTCCAGTCTGTCACCAACAGACATATCTGCCTGAATCCCGAACTTCGCTACAATTCCTGGCTTCAATACGCTCGCCTACGGTACGCACACTTCATTGTTGACTTTATTTCCTGCACACTACAGGCTTCCTTTTGGTTTTATCACAAGTCCCCTGGGAATGAGCGCAAACCGGACTTCAAGCGCGGTTGAGCCGACAGCAGCGAACGGAGACGTCGAGCTGGGCTTCATGACGGCCTGCGCAGACTGAAATGCCCTCTCCATTGAGTCAGGTATGCATCCAGCCTCTTGGATAAATTTTGGCGTTTAGCTACTAACGACTTAGGTTCCCGATATTCGTGTGCGCTTTCTGGAGGGTCTTTTGGGAGAGGGCGTGGAGAACCGGTGGCCCGGCATTTTCCTGTATATCCAGAAGATCCAGGCGGACATACAGATGGTTATATAGGATGCTGTGGTGCAATCGGGTCGTGGAGGCGATGAACAAGCGAATTGAGCTGAAGGGCATCAGCCAAGTAGATCCCAGATCTCTCCTTGTTGAGCTCGACCAGACCAATATCATCGATGAGCAGAGGAAGATTGTTGCTCTGGCCGTTGTTTGAACGGTGCACTCTATTTGCGCACTCCTATCGTACGGTACCATGAGCGAGAGGCCACAGGCATGGGCTAGAGCGGAGATGGTGTTTTTACTCCGCAACCTTTGGAGGTGTACGCTGCGAGGGAGAGAGAGGCCTCCAATTGGTCTGCTTGCAGAAAATTGGGCGCGTCCGCTTGAGGCTTGTAGACAATGCTAGAGCACATCTTGTCTTCGACAAAAGCATGCGGACACTCTCGGTGTTTGCGTGGCCCTCTCTTTGCGCTGCAAGCGTCACGGCGGATAATAATGAAGTCTTCAAGTCCATAAGAAGGTATGTGGCTTTTCCCTCGTCTCCTCCCGTCTTCGAACACAGCCGCTGACTGTCTGTCGCACTGTAACCAGGGCCGTCAAATGCGCATTTGCTCGAGATCAATACAATGGAGATGGCGAGTCCGCGGATGAGGATGTAAGCGAGCAAAAGCAAGGGGTTGCCGTTTTGAAGGAGGTGCTGTCGACATACCGGCTCCTTTTTGGACAGTCCTTCCACTAAGGCTGTTTAGAAAGGAGCTGAGGCGCCAACTGAAACTCGGAAAAGACATTGATCCCTTTTTCACGGTATGCACATCGCGGATGACCGGACTTCGTCTCCCCCGGTGGATTCCCTTCTTCGGTCAAAGGGAAGAGTTAAGTCCGGGGATATTCTCTGCGGCCGCTTTGAACGAGCTTGGCAACGAGTTCCAGAATTGGGGCACTTATAGTGTTGATGACGACTTTCCAATCTTCGGATCACGCCTGAAGGACCTTGAAGATTACATGGATCACCAAAGACCAGGATCTTTCCGGCAGGCCTGGTTCGACACCAGAGACATGTCCGAATGGATCAACCGCTGGGGTATGGTTTTCTTCGGCGTGTTGGCTACAACCGCCGCCATAAATCAAGGAGTCACAGGCGGCATGTCGACAAAGGCCGCTGTTGAGACCCTGGCTGTAACGAGAAATAGTACAGCTTGAAACTGTCTTGCTGATAAGGCTGCGACTTTCTTTATTATCTATCTCTCTTTCTTCTCGTCTTCCTATTAATACTTTTGCCTCGGTCCTCCTCTTCCTTCTCTTTCTTCTACTTCTCTCCTTTTTGTCTTCTATCTCTCTGCCTTCTCTCTTGTCTTTTGGTTGTACTACTATTATTATACTCTACCTATGTGCTAGTAGAACACGCAGGTATCAAACTGCCTCTTAAGGACTTTGACTCCATAGAGTTCAACCAACATTTGTACTATACTCTCTCACCATATCAACCTACCATTCTTCATAGCAGACGCAATGTGGTATCACTCTCCGGCGGCGACGCCTAATGGTGAGCACGAGACGATGCTTAGCGTCGAGCAGCTCTCGTTGCTGAGGAGTGGTGGTAGTGGTGGTAGTGGACTGCGTGCAGGCCGGAAGAGTTGTCCATTGCACCTAGTATCTCGCTTGATCTATCTATCGCAGGGTTGGCTATACTGGGAACGGGGATGACTGCGGTCCTAGATCTGGGAGCCGAAGGTCGTACTAGGGCTAAAACTGCGGCACCGAGGGACCTATTGGCGAGCAACGGCCTCGGCGCTGCTTTAACATGGCATTTGCAAGGTTGCCCCGCTCTTGTCAGTTTTGTTTTGCGCTTTTTTTAGATGTCCGACTGAGGCGCGGCACGAAGTCGAGTGTCACGCACAACAGCATGTAAGCAAATAGGCATCGGAGACCAAGCCGTCAAACTAGTTTCTGACACTCGATAACCCAGACAGAAGCAGAGGTAAGGAGACAAAAATAAAAAGACGTGGTCCCAGAGGGGGTCGAACCCTCGACTTTGACGTTATTAGCATCACACTCTAACCAACTGAGTTATGGGACCCTCGGATGGGGAAAGCGGGTAGATGTAGGACACTGTCAGCCCAAAAGGCTGCGGACCCACTCTATATGTCCATGTGGGTATCATCTCAACCGGGTGAGGCTTTAACCAGCACAGAAGCCCCAATGCATCAACAGCGGAAGTCGGGCCTCCTGATGAGAAAAACAGCAGTGAGTGCATAGCTCTTGCTTTGCTTCAGTTTACGTTCACGGTGGGAGGTGGTATCTTAGCGTTGACGGTCTTCGCTTAGATCTATAGGTAGTGGAGCTGGAGTGGATGTCAAGACGAATCCCTCGAGACGCGCTTGCTCGTTCAGCTCCCAGGTGAGGACCCCTTTGATTGACGTGAAGGGGGAATAGGTGTGGTAGAATATATCAGCATAGATGCGGAGTCAGTAGTAACTGAAGTTCGCCCGAAGCGTGATGGACTCCAGGTCAGATGTTTTCATTACAAGTTGCTGTAGTGTTAAGGAGGAAATAGACAGCGGGAATAACCATGCCAACAAGTCATACCTTTAGACTGCAGAAGTCTTCCGAATCAATAATACACTAATACTATTCTGGAACTAGATCAATGTACAGTATTTGCATATTCTCTGCCCTCGTCAGGTAAACATGCTGAGCTCGACGAGCCCCGTTGTATAATTCCATGGTGGTACAGGACTCTATCCTTTGATAATAAATAAACCCAGTTGTACGCCCGGATTGGGAAAGCCATAAATTATTAGTTGGGGAGCTTCCAAATTCACTATGAGGGTCTTTTAAGCTGAACAGACACTCCGCATGCGAACTAGACCTCATACCCAGTGCTACTGGTTGCATCCGCCATAAAAGTAATAGCCATGCGCCCTGAGTCCCTAGATCGCGGTGCGTTCATCACAAATAACCTTCTATTTCTCAGGCACCACTTCGCCAAAGACCTCCCACCATCAAAGACACGCCAGCCTCCTCAAGTCTCAGCCTGCGAGTCTCCGAATAGGCGTAAATGAGGACCGCAAACCAGACCAGCAGCAGACAGACAAAGACGGCGTAATACTTCCAGCGAATTGCTTCCAGCGAAGCCGGGTCTATGAAGCTATTGAAAATGCAATCTGCAACCTGGGAGATACTGAAGATTGTAGGGCCTTTGGCGCGTCCTGTAAGCAGCAGGATCTCCAAGAGGTAAACCAAGGGGACAGGAACCACGCGCATGTTAAAGGAAGAAGAAGAAGACAAAGATCTTGTCTAGTCAGAGTATACTCCCAGTCCAGATACCGGCATCGCCATCTTATGGCGCAGTCGAATCCGCTACGATTAGTCCCTCATCATTGCCCTCACGCTTTGGCGGCCGTGTTCAAAATGGAAGTCCTCTTATTCGCACGGGCAGCGTCGAAGAGCTTCGGATTGGGGTCACGGACGCTTTATCGCGCAGTATCTGGGGTTTTCTGGCTGCGCCTTACTCCAAGGCAGCTCCAGAGCTCCTGTAGAAGCTCATCATGGTGAGGACAACCTGGGTAATCCATTTGTCCAACCGCTGAATATGGATTTCCGCTCGCCGTTTATATGAGGATTTTGAGGTGGCCTGCTGGGTATGGTATCCGCTTTGTAATTTCCCTTGTAGACATTATACCCTGGTGCGCACACTGAAGATGTCTGCATACTGCGTAGCATGTTCCAGCGGCGCAGAAGGACTCCCGTATGTGAGAGTCAAGAAGAGCAAAGATTCGAGATGGACTTTTTCCGTGTAATCGCCCATTCAAGGAGAATGAATGGTAGCGCCGTAAAGAAGAATCTGACGCTCGGTGCGGTCCATTGCTATGCTCTTTCCCATCTCCACGTCCATGGCGTACAGCAATGTAACACTGGCGTCTAAATCTGCCGAGAGCGGTCCGGCCCTTCCATTGAGTATGCGAGCTAGTATGTATGCGAAGGAATGTACCTACCCAGTATCAACTGTTAAGCCTTGTTCCTTGTCCGCCATTAATGCTGTACGCAGCCGTAAGAGCTGGCAATGCTCTCACCTCGATAGTGTCACCATGGATTTCGTTGGCACCTTGGACAGTTTGAAGGTCTCACTGATCAGCTCGGAATGACACAGAGAAGCAGCAGGGTTCATGGCGAAGACGGACCCGGGAAGAAGCTGGTTTCTTGACAAAGGGTAAAGCCATCGATCAATCCTACTGGTCCAGGGTGGACGCGGTGGTGGGTCACGTGAGCTCGTCCGAGAAGTGGCGAGCGCCTCAGGCCACGAGGCCCATCTTAAGAGCATGTGGATGGGCGGCAGAGCGAGGCAGAAAAAGCTTGCTAGTACTTATTGTTATATTTTGAAGTTAATTTCAACCGGGTCCCATAACTCAGTTGGTTAGAGTGTGATGCTAATAACGTCAAAGTCGAGGGTTCGACCCCCTCTGGGACCACACTTTTTTGTCGCCTCTTCTTTTTTGTTCTCCAAGACTCTTTGCTTGGACAGTTAGTACTATGGTGTTTGGGATATTATTCACTTTATTTGTTCCTTTTAGCCATGCAGACCTTTCCCTGTATGTAGTCTCTGCCCCAGATACTCCCTGATCGCCATGCTTGATACTGGTTAATTTCGGCAGGTACAGGCTTGCTCTCTTTTAATATGCTTGAAATATAAGCCTCTATATAAGCCTCTAGATATGTTACGGGAGATTTGAGTCTTAGAATCTCTCTATCATGGTGATGCTTACATTTTCTGTCTTACGAGCATGGTTGAGCACTAATGAGCATATAGATTCCCAAACAGGCCAGGCATCCGAAGTGAGACCAACTAACACAACAAACCTTACATAGCCCATAGGCAACGCTTCTCCCATTGAGTCATAACTGGTTTGAAGTTGGCACCGCAATTTACTTCATGGGGTTGCCCTCTAGTATCCCATGATATGGTGAGTAACAGTTTCTGCAGCTCGTTTCACCAAGCCTAAGTGAGGCAGGATTGTACAAAACAAAAACCAACCATTGCCGCCTGCATTGATAGTTCCTGCATAGCCCGCCTAACAGAACAAGAGCCGAGAGCAGCTTCAGTACTACAGGCAAGAGAACAATGACTGGTCCAAGTCAGGAGGCGTTACTGGCCTACAAAGCATACTTCGAACAGGATCCAAGCACCTGCTACTACCTACCATTCCTCAAACACCTTATTTACTTCCTCATGGACGAATTCGACATCGGAATCAATCCAAATATTCTACCTTCGAACCCAAATGACGAAACGATGGCGGAGGAAAGCTTCCGGGCGCAGGTGATAGATCGCTTGTTGGACGAGTTTGTGCAGGAACTCGGGGATCCTCTTGCCGACTCGACCTTTCAAGAAGGCGATGACGATAAAGGGGAAGAACCGCTTAGTGGGTACGCATATAAGAGGATCTTGGAGGTCTTTTACTTCTGCTTGAACCGGCAACCGCGGGTGCCTTCAGATGCAAACCGTGACCCGAACACTCTCACAGCCCAAGCAGTGAGAAACAGAAGGTGGAAAGTTGATATGGACAAACGATTTGAGCAAGGAAAGCGTGCAATCTTGAAAGCAGCCGCTAGGACTAGCGAAGAATATTCAACGATTACAGATTTTATCTCAAAATCGGAATCAGAGATAGTGACCTGGACAGATCAGGCAACAGATGACTGCAGACAACCGCACGTCCCTCCCAACCTCGGAAAATTTGACAGGTCAACCCTGGCTCAACAACCCAGAGTTCAAACCAGGCTTCTAGAAGCCATTGACCCTGGTTCAGGGATACCGTTACCTCCTTCACTCGAACTCGAGCCTCTCAAACGTCACGAAATCCTTGAACATTTGGTCGCTAAAGTTGAAGAATTACATGCTGAAAGATACCAAGAGATTCTCAAAGACAAGTACAGAGAATCTCTATGTACGATGCTCGAACGTAACCTTGTCCCTGGTGTAAGGGCTATCTGTGAGAGCGGTTTATTTTCTCTTGAAGGGTAAGTGACCTGGTGAGTTATCTGTAATATCTTCGAACCTGATAGATATGTCTACAGAATCTTGTCAATAGGTGGGAATGTCAGCTCAACTGGTGCCGGGGTTTACTTGCATATCCTGTGGTATCCCGATAACCCTCAACAGTTCCGGCTTTATGTCGGCCAAGCGACTGATCTGCGCAGGAGAATTGCTGATCACAATAATAAGTTATACCGAAGGAAGCATCCTAGCCTTCACTACCACGTCTGGGACTCAAAGGATGACATCTGCTCCCAATTTGTGATACTTGCGCGAGCTGACATAGACAACGGTGCAAAGAACATATCCAGGCTTGAACAATGCATGTTGAATATGCAGGAGATGTGGATGGCCTGTGTATTCAGAACCCTGACTTCGCGAGATCTCGAGAAATACCTACCTCCATCCGTGAGCCAAGCTTCTTCTGGTCGCCATCTCAATGTTGTGCCACCTCTGTGGCAGCGATTTCAGAACGAAAATATACCCGACATTTTGGGAGTTTGTAGCAGACAAACATTTCGAGAGTTTCTACAATCAAAAGATCCGACAATACGAATATGGGCCGAGAAGGCAAGAGATTCCTACAATGATCTAAGGAACTCCCCAGACCCCCAATTACGGCAGTATTGGTTTGAAAACAACGCCAGACAATTACAAGAGGCTTGGGACGCCAATGATGAGAATACGCGAGAAAGTCTCAAGGTTTATCAGATCACCGGGAAAGAGGAAACAGTACAATGCTCTCCGGGTCGCAGCCGTGGGTTCATTACGTGCGGAAAATTCAACATATCATTGCCTCAAGCATTACGAATCACACCAGGGAGCAAAGTCCATGTCAAGTTCCATCTTCACGAGACTGGCATTCCCCATCGATATGCCCAACAAGCCTTGAACAGTGACCCATCCAGTCGATTAGCAATATCCGTTACAGGGGTCGATGCTTCCGGTCACCATGTCGGTTCATTCCTCCAGAGCTCACGAGGAGAAAAGCTTCCAATGCGCATAATACTCTAGTAGATGCATTGGAGGACATCACCTTCAAGGAGACCTGCTTGCTGCGTCGTCGATGGGTGGTGACTCATTCGAGGGAAACATCTCGACGCGAAACGAAGTACACTGATTAGTGCCAGCGATGCCTGTAGAAGTTGAAGGACACTTTTATAGGGTGCATTCTTATCTAGAGCGGCTAGGAGCGTCTGTTCTTGATCTCTGACACCTTCGCCGGGCTCTTGCATGCAAATTGTCTCCTATACGCTCATACTAGGAAGTTGGGGAATTTGAAGAGACTTCGCTGGTCAAGGAATGCCGTTTCTGAAGCCCGGTGGTCTCAGAGACCACAATGCAATGCTTTCGGGTAGCTATTTCTTTAATCCACCACATGTGACTTCGAGAAACTATTCGGGAGGGAATCTACATCCGTAGTTCAAATCCGAGCAGTAGCCCCTGTAAGAGCAGCCTGCAATTTCTCCCAAGACTTCCTCCCCCTCGCCGCCGCAACCCCAGGCTTATACATCTCATCACGCATCCGTCTATCGAAGATCTCCATCGAGACCCACCCATCGAACCCCTTCTTGACCAGCCACGCCTGCAACACCTCCAGAACAGGCGTATACCCACCCAGCTCCGTCTCCAACGGATACGGCCGCGCATGCTTCGACCAGGTAAACTCCGGCGCCTCACCCTCAACATACCACGGATGGCTTTTGGAGAACGGCGGATCAAACTTCTCTGCGTCAGAAAGCTGCACGTAAAAGAGCTTGTCCATCGGGATATCCGTCACTGAGCGACGGAGTGAGTCGGCTAATTTTGCCGGCCCGTCAGGGTAGACCCCCGAAGCCTCGAGCGGGCTCGCCCACAGTCGAGTCAGGACGTGGAATGTATCGAGACAGAGCCCGAAATTCGGCCTGTCGACTAGCATCGTGAGCCGCAGGGCGTCTTCCCAGGTGGGGTAGAAGTGCGACCAGGACATGGGCTCGTATGCGATCGAGATCACGGGGGAGACGGAGCTTGCGAGGTCGGCCAGCTGTTGCATCTCTGAGACGATGACGGCTTCGTCGCCCGTGCAGTTATCCCCGTATTGGGCGGGGACCTGCAGGTATGTTGCGCCGAGAATACGGGCGATGTCGAGCCAGGCTGATGCGACGGCGAGGCGGTCCTGTATGGGGGATTTTGTGCCCTCGAAGTTCTCGAATGGAGCGAGTGAGAGGATTTCAAGGCCGAGGTCGTCGCATAGCTGACGGATTTGTTTTGCGCCGGTGCTGATGGGGAGGTTTTGTGTAGTGCTGTAGCGGTCTAGGTCGCTGTAGACGATTTCAAGACCAGAGAAGCCTTGTGCTGCTGCGGCGCGGATTTTGAGGTCCAGGGTGTGTGCTTCGTTCTGGCCTAGGCATGAGGTGCCGATTGCAACCTTGTTTGTGAGGGGTGCCATCTTCAAGTTAGAGTTGGAGTCGAGCGCCTTGTTGTACGCTCTATGTATCGCGGGGAAAGGCTCCAACCCCGCGAACCTGAAGTATATATGACGCCACGGAAATCAGTTTCCTAGCCTCGGACTTATCTGCACGTTACACAATCAGCCCCGGAAAATGACCGAGACCGACCTCCTACCTCTTTTAAGACATCAAACACATGATCGATAGATTATTCTATCTGGAGCCCCCAACCTCATAATCCCACCCCTACAGCGCCCCCTCCGCCAGCTTATCCAATGCCTCCCCCTCGACCATCATCTTCAACCACTCATCCATCGCCCGCGCCCCAACCTGCTTATAGAACTGAATACTGGGCTCGTTCCACGTAAGCACACTCCACTCCAGCCTGCGCCCCTTGATCTCCACCACCTTCGCCGCAAGCCACTTGAGCAACTGGAACCCGTACCCGTTGCCTCGCGCCGCAGGCTGCACGTACAGGTCCTCGAGGTAGATCCCCGGCGCCGCGCGCCACGTCGAGTAGTTGTAGAAGAAGAGCGCCATGCCGACGGGGGTTGGCGATGGGGTTGAGGGTGTTGCGGGGGGTGTGATCAGGGCTGTGTAGACGGAGCCGCCGCGCTTGGGCGCGGGGGTTTCATTCTTGTTGTCGGTTGGGGGGAAGGAAAGGGTTGCGAGGAGGGAGGATTCGGTGGCTTCGACTTCGTGCAGCGCTTTTTCGTAGTCGGCGAGTTCGCGGATGAATTGGAGGATTAGGGGGACGTCTGGTTTCTTGTGTTAGTCTGCAGAATGCGGGGGAGGGGGAGGGGTAAGTTGTACCCTCTGCTGTCGCAAGGCGGATTGTAGGTTGCGCCGACATCGTGATGGTGTTTGTACTTGCGTTGAAGGGAATTGAGTTGAATTGAAACGGTGGTCTGGGAAAATCAAAGGAGAAAAAGAATTTAGAGCGTTGGACACGCGCCCTGTGACATCCGCTGATGCTCCACATCGTGATCTATGGTTGCGGCCGCAATGGGCAATTGGAAAACAACACTGCTGTCTAATTCTTCTCGTTTCTATGATTCGCATAGTGGGATAAATTGGTAATAATATAAGACAGTGAAAGAATTATGTACTCTGAACTCCAATGTAAGCCCCCACAGGCTACTTCGAGGTGATGGCTGCCATCCACTTTTGCTCGTCCGTCCTGTTAAAGTCAGCAATGTTGCAAATTATAGGAAGCGCAGGTTGAGTGACTGACCTGTCAAAGTGCAAAAGCATCCCAAGGACAGGGATAAGCTGCTTCTGGTAGTTCTTGTCCTTTTGTTCCAGGAACTGAAGAAGCACGTTCTTCAGGTAGATGTAGTCGATGCCGCCAGTGGGCGTCTCGCTTCGCTGCGTTGACGGACTGCGGGTCTTTGGTATCGGAGAAGTGACTCCTCTTCGAGGGCCGGAATCAATCGACGAGCGAGATGACTGTGGGTTCACGCCAAAGCGACTGTCCTCGGAGAACACTTTACTGTTTGATTTGCGCATCTTCTCCAGGCGAGAGTTGGTTTCCTCGACTGACCGGCGCAACTCGGCTTTCTCCTTCTCTAAATCGCGGACCTGTTTCTCGCTCTCGTCTAGAGCCTCCCGTAATCGAGCCATGGCCTGCTGGACATCGTGAAGCTCCTGTGTAGCTCGTTCGGTCTGTGCTTCAAGGTGATCTCGTCTCCGTTTCCAGTCCTTCTGTGAATGCTCCAGCTCCTCTTTGTCTTCCTCTGCACTCCGTAGTGACTTCTCGACTTCCCGGAGCTTCGTTTTGAGTTCTTCTAATTCGCGAGCGCGGCGTCGGCCTTGCGCGCTAGCTTCGTCTTCGGCGCGATCTCGCTCTTCGATAGCTGCCTCCATCCTCTCCTTTAAGTCGCGAGTCTTGGCTTCGGTACGGCCCTCGATGTCATTGAGAAGTCGCCGCATGGTTTCGCCCTCGCGTGTTCGCTCGCTGAGAAGACGATGTGCATCTGCTAACTCTTCTTCAAGGCTTTCACACCGCTCTCGAGCTTCCTTCATCTGCATGCCAAGCTCTGAGGCCTGATCGCGCATACTGTTCATCAGACTTTGTGCGCTGGCGTGCTGAGCTGTCTTCAATTGCATCTCCTCCTTCAGTCCTTCAAGGTCCTTGTTGAGTTGGCCAGTTTGTTGCTCATACTCTCGCAACTTAGCGCGCGCAGTCTTCAACTCGTCCTGGACATTGAATAAGTCCGACATGACCTTCTGCCTGGCCTCGACGGCTTCCTGCTTCCTGCTCTCCGAGTATCGCAAGTCGGACTGCGCGACGGTCAAGCTCTCTTCGGCTTTGAGTCGGCTTTCTAGCTCTTGCTTGATCTTCTGGTTCAGGGTCTTCACCTCTGTCTCGCGATCCGAGACTGATGACTTGAGGGTCTTCAGCTCTGCCTGCAAATCGTCGTGTTTGCCCTCCAGTGTCCGCAGCTCGGCGGTCTTGCTCTTCAGCTCATCCTTGGTCGTCTTGAGCTCCGTGCTTTCAGCTCTCAGCTTCTTGAGCTCGGGCTGGATCTTCTGAATGGACTCTCGTAATTCAGTGAGGTCCTTGAATCGCGTCGTCGCTAGCTGCTGTGCGGCAGAAAGTTCGGTTTCGAGTGTGGTGAACTTCACCTTGAGATTCTCATACTCACCCTTAAGGTCATTATGGGCCTTCGCAGAGGTTGCAGTGGTTGACGCGTTGTTTGCGCGCAAATCTGTAATCTCCTTCTCCAACTTGGCAATGGTTCCCTCCAGAGCAGTCTTCTCTGCCGTGAGCACCTTGACCTTGTCCTTGGCTTCGACGTGCTCTTGGCCGATATTGAGAAGGTCATCGCGCAGGGACTCGATCTCCTCCTTCAAGTCCTCCTCGCCCTTGAGCTTGGAATCGAGACGATCAATGGCGGCCTCCTTCTCTTTGAGTTGCTGCGTCAGTTCCTCAATCTTTTTCTCGAGCTCAGCTACGGTTGAGCTTGGTTCGGCGGGTTGAGGTGCCGTCTGGGTGGGTTCGGCATCAACAGGGCTTGACGGTTTGCTGGCATCGTCGCCGCCTTTACCACCTTTCTTCTTCTTTTTATTCTTCTTCTTCCCTGCACCGGTACTCGGGGCGGCGTTGGTAGGTTGCTGTACGGGCTCGGCACTCTCCGTTGTTGCTTCTGGAGTAGGCGAGGGGGCCAATGTCTGGCGAAGTTCTTCAAAGTCGGCCTTTTGCCCGCTAATGACCTTCTCCTTGGCTTCTTGCCATTTCGTGTTACCCTGCATGTTCCCGTCGAGGAAATCAACAATGTTCTTTAATTTGCCAGAATCTTGCGTTTTCTGCTCCACATCTGCCTTTAGAGTTGACATCGTCTCCTGAGTCTCCTTCAGCTGCGTTCGAAGATTGTCTACCAGTCCTTGCAGTACCCCGAGCCGCTTCTCATTGGCATCCTTTTCTTGGCTGACTTCCTCAAGTTTTGATGCCAGATCGGCTTGTTGATCAGCGCTCGCAGGTTGACTGGCTTGCTTCTGTAGCTGTTCAATCTCATCGGTCTTCTGTTTCAAATCAATCTTTAGCTTTTCGACCTCGGCGGTTGTCTCAGTTAGAGTGGATTCAGAGGCTTCCAGTTTGGACTTGAGCTCGTCGATCTCCGTTTGGCGTGAAGTCTTGAGAGCTTCCACTTCCGATTCCTGCTTATCCTTGAAATCACGCAGCTCGGTAAGCTCTCGCGTAGCGGATTCCAGGTTATGGACCATGCCCTCGGTTGACTCGCGTGCAACTGCCAGGTCGCGCTTCAGGTTCTCATTTTGTGACTTCAAGTTCTCAATTTGCTCCTCTTTCTCCTTCAGTTCCGACTCTAGACGAGGGAGTTCATTGTCGAAGGAAAAGAATTCCTCACTCTCCGCCTTCGCCTCCTCGCCGGATTGCTTGGGAGATGATGCGCTGCCTTCGCCATCCTTTTTCGACCCTTCTTGCTTGGCAGCTTCCTTGAGGCTGCTAATCTCATCTTGCGCAGCTTTTTCGGCCTTTTGCGACTCTCCGAGTTTATTCTTGAATTCGTCTCGCTCGGTTGTTACACGTTTCAGCTCCTCCAAGACTAAATCTCCCTTGAGGGATATCTGGTTCAGGTACTCGGTCAGGGCTTTCGGGTCGGCGATTGATGCTAGCGGAGTGTTTTCCCGCAAGGCGGCTTCGAAGGGTTCGATTGATAAGACTCGGGAATGGGCAGCTCGATAAGCCTTGAGAAGCTCTACGTAAGACACATTGTTAGCGACTTCACCAATATCGGGCGAAAGTGTGCCGCATACCCTGGTAACGCGACTCCAGCTTGTTCAACTTCCGCAGCTTCGCTCTCACCTCTGGCGGGAGCTCCGCAGACGGTTGAGCCGTTTCCCTGGCGGGTGTGTTGTCCTTTCCATTTACCGTGTTGTCCACAGCTCCCTCGGTGTCCCCGGATTTCTCGGCGGATCTCTCCCCCTTGGCATTGTCCGACGCCTCCGTTGACTCCGGCTTCGGGGTTGACGACCTGCTATATAGGGTAGAGGCGTCATCATCCCCGATAGCAAATTCCGGCTCAAACTCGGTGGGATCTGGTCCGCGTACAGGCGTTCCGGTGTTTCGCCGTGTGCGGGAGGAACGTTGGCTTGGGGATAGATTGCGACCCGGGGGGCGACGAGCTGAATTCGAGCGCGCGAGAGATTCTTGAGATGACCTCTGTCGAGCTTGTTCCTCTGCGATTCGCGAGTCGATTGCGTCGCGGAGTCGCTGTACAAAGGGAGCATCCCGTCAGCCTTATAGCCCCATGCGGAAAAGCCACGAAGTACACGTCCGGCCAGACTGCGGAGCAGGACGAAGGGTAACTTACTTGAAACATGACTGTGGCGGGCCTGTGGGCCAAGGCCACAGCTGACTCTATGAGAGAAAAGCAAAAGAGAAAAAGCCGGAGTACAGCGACTAAAGTGAGAAGCAGATAAAACAGTGTAATCAGGAGGAGCATGAAGCTTGGGACGGGCAATCAGCCGCCGTTGGTCGAGAACGTGGCTGGGCGGAGAAAACTGGCGGAGTGGCAGAAAACGGGGCGTTGCCTTGTGAATGATGTTCTTCTTTTCTATAGCATCGTCTCTCTACGGGTGTACAGCTCTTGAAAGCTTTGCTTTGTACGTTCCGAGTTGAGGAAAGTGTTTGCTGATCTTGTACTACTGACATACTACCGTTCTCTCTTCGCATTCAGGGCTAGTTCCGTCGAAGAATATATATCGCTGTTGGGCTATGGGTATAACCATGCCAAGCAGAAAGAGTCATTCTATCTATCTTGAAATGACAAGTAATGCCAATATACCTGGTAATAGAAAAGGAGGTTAAATTTAGGGTGACGGCCTCTCAGCAAGAGTGGTTTGCTAAGCTAAAACAAAATCATGTGAGCGGCAGTCAGCCGTTGAGGAATCGACGGGAGATGGTCATCTCCTCTTGACTTTTCACCACCTTCAACTGTGCAACATCTTCATCGGAGTCGAAGCCGCGTGAAAACGTGCGGAAGATATAGGCTGCCTTTGGCCTCGTTGGCTCGGCGATCTCACCCTGAACAATCCTCCTCGAGCTTCCCCTCACTGACGAATGTGAACCGCTTGCGCAGCAAAAGGCAGATCCACAGCCACCCAACGGGCCATACGCGGGCACGTTGCGGCTCGCTTCGAGGATGGTGTTGCTGCGCGCTTGGCCTGCGAACCGTTGTTGCGACCCTGGCAGGTCGGGTGAGACGCCCTGTGGCCTTGATTTTGCCTAACCTGCCAACTTTTAGCGTCATTCCCCATCCAAGCTCCAGCGCAAGGAACGGCCACTCGTCATGGCCGACAGTGGAGCATTGCTGCCATTCCCGAACCCCTAGACCTAGACTCTCTTGAAGCGTCCCTTTCCTCTTCGCTCGCCTGCACCCCCTCAACCGCTGCGTTCGCTCTCGAATCTTCTGATTCCGCCATAACCGCCAGTGTCTCCGACTTCCCACGCTTCTCTCCTCATCTTCCCCCACCACTGTTACCCCCTCCGATCCCGACAACCATGGTGGGGTGGATTGGCTGGACGTTTTCCTTCGTCTTCCAGACAATTCCAAGTATCCTATACTGGATTATAACATTCGCTACAATAACACTGCCCACATGGCTTTTCACACTCTTTTCTATGAGCCTGACGTTCACGATGAACTTCACGACATTGTAAGAATTCAACCCCTGTCCGGTAATACGCTCTCAGCTACGTATGGCTTGCTAACAAATGACTGAATGGCCTTCTAGACTCTTAATCGTCCTGGCTGTGGTCTCGACCATCAGCTGGTTTATCCGCTACCGATTCATGAATATGTACAGCCGCCTTCCTCCCGAGCCGCAACGCAAGGAACCTCAATTAGACTTGTTTCCAGATATACAAGAAGGCGATTCGAAACCAGGCCTGGCCAATTACTTGGACGAGTTTCTCAGCGCGATCAAAGTTTTTGGATACCTGGAAAGACCCGTATTTCACGAGTTGACACGGACAATGCAAACGAGGAAGCTAATCGCGGGCGAGACGCTTCAACTTGAGGAGGAAAAAGGGTTCTGTCTCGTTGTGGACGGTCTGGTACAGATTTTCGTGAAGTCAATGCGGGATGGCAAGAGCAGTTGGAATGGAGACGCTGTTGAGGATTCATCTGACGAGGACTATAACCCCCAAGATGGGAAACAGGGCTACCAGCTGCTTACAGAGGTCAAGAATGGTGCCTCTATGTCCTCCCTGTTCTCCATCCTATCCCTTTTCACCGAGGATATCAACTTGCGAAATAGCGAAGGCTCATACTTTGATACGCCAAGTGTTCAGCCAAGCCCCGCTCGAGTGGCCGAGTCATTTCCCGGTAGCCCCGGCGCTGTTCTGACCGGGACCCCTCCTGGCGCTGCTCGCGAAAATGGTGATGATGGCTCTAACACCAACGGTAATGGGGAGTTTCTTCCATCAGTTCCACCATTGAACCTCGGGGAGAGCAGCGTACCTTCGCAGACAGGCGACAGCCGTATCATGGCTGCCAAACGGTTACAAGGTAGCCGAAGGAAATCGGTCCATCCGGACATTGTGGCTCGAGCGACAGTAGACACCACAATTGCGATCATTCCAGCCAGCGCCTTTCGCCGTCTTACGAGACTTTATCCCAGAGCTACCGCCCACATTGTGCAAGTTATCCTCACACGGCTACAGAGAGTGACGTTTGCAACAGCACACTCCTATCTAGGCCTGACAAACGATGTATTAGGCATTGAGAAACAGATGACCAAATTCACCACATATGACCTACCAAACGATATCCGCGGCGCCGCCCTAGATCGTCTCAAGGACAAATTCTTGAAAGAGAGGAACAGGCTAGGCTCCGAAGAAATCATGAGGGGAATCGCACTGCATAATCCTTATGCTGGTAGAAGACGTCGATCGAGCAGCTTCCTCAGGAAGGAGGCCGCCCTCCACGCAAAGATGGCGATGACGCAGCCGCCCATTTCACTTGGAGGCCGAGAAAAATCTCCAGGTGAGCGCGATTCGGCTGGAGTCAGCCCAGGAGACCTTCTCTCTACTATCCAGCTCTCTCGGTTCGGCCCTAAGCATGAACAATTCGCTTCTATCCCTCGGCTCCATTCGCCCCTCACTGAGAAAGAACGTTCTCCGATGCGCAGGGCATCTCTCCAGCGGAAAGACTCAGTTGACGAAGACAGCATATTCCGCGAGTCCATATTGGACTGCATAATGAACGGTATCGGTCTGACCGCCAGTTCTCACGATGAGATCCGCAAAGGCAGGAATGGCTCTGGTGAATTGTCCCCAAAATTGGTTTCTTACGATTCGCGTCGCCAAAAAGCTGTTTTCTCCAACAACGCTTTCGGCTTCATTGATCCCTACGAAGGTTCCGGAGATGGGGAAACGGAGTCTATGATGTCCATGTCGGTCACAAGCGCCGGCGGCACGGCGCCTATCGTTAACTTGAGGGAAGATCTTCGTAATGATATTGAGATCGTCTACTTCCCCAAGGGTTCAGTTCTTGTGGAGCAGGGAGAACGCCATCCGGGATTGTATTATGTGATAGATGGCTTCCTGGATGTTGGGGTTCCTATTAACGACAAGGCTGAAGATCTCGTTGGGACGTCAAGGCCCGTCCACTTGCAGTCCCAGGATGAGTCGTTCCCGACTCTAAAACGCACCCAGACGGCTACCTCTCGCCCTGCGACCCTTGGAGCTTCTGCTGGCGACCCGAAGCGCAAAAGGCAATCTCGAAAATCTCTTTACCTGATCAAACCAGGTGGAATCCAGGGTTATGTGGGTGCGATGGCCTCATATCGTTCGTATACCGACGTTGTCGCGAAGACAGATGTCTATGTGGGATTTTTACCCCGAGCATCTCTGGAAAGGCTGGCAGAACGATACCCTATAGCATTATTGACACTAGCGAAGCGACTGACCAGTCTACTACCGCGCTTGCTCCTCCACATTGATTTTGCTTTGGAGTGGGTGCAAGTGAGTGCTGGCCAAGTCGTTTACCACCAGGGTGATGAAAGCGATGCGATATACATAGTTCTAAATGGACGTCTGCGCTCCGTTCTCGAAAGCGCTGGAGGAAAAATGACAGTTGTTGGCGAGCATGGGCAAGGGGAGAGCGTTGGCGAGTTGGAGGTTATGACTGAGTCTACTCGGCCCGCCACATTGCACGCAATACGTGATACCGAATTGGCCAAATTCCCCAGGTCCCTCTTCAACAGTCTTGCCCAAGAGCATACTGGGATTACAATCCAGGTATCAAAACTCATCGCGCAAAGGATGCGGGATTTGGTGGAGAACCCTATGCCTGAGCAAGGGGCTGAGCCTGGTAATACCAGCAGTGTCAAAACCGCAACGTCTACCCTTAACCTCCGCACCGTCGGTATTCTTCCAGTAACTGCAGGAGTCCCAGTCGTCGAATTCGGCCACCGGCTTTTGCATGCTCTTCAGCAGCTTGGAGTTACCGACGGAGTGACGTCTCTAAACCAGGCGGCTATTTTGAATCATCTGGGGCGGCACGCTTTCAGCAGAATGGGAAAGCTCAAACTTTCTCAGTATCTCGCCGACTTGGAGGAGAAATACGGAATGGTCTTGTACATTGCCGACACAAATGTGAATTCGCCCTGGACCCAAACATGCATTTCGCAGGCCGATTGCATACTTCTGGTGGGCCTTGCAGAATCATCGCCCAGCGTCGGAGAGTACGAACGGTTCTTACTCGGCATGAAATCTACTGCAAGGAAAGAGCTCGTGCTGTTGCATGCGGACCGATATTGCGCTCCTGGACTCAGCCGCAAGTGGTTGAAGAATCGCGTTTGGATTAATGGAGGTCACCATCATATCCAAATGGGTTTCCGACTTACTGCTGAGCCATCACATCCTCAAGCAAAACGGCTTGGCACAGTATTGAAGCAAAGAGTTCAAATCCTTCAGGCCGAGATCCAGAAGTACACGTCTCGCAGAATCCAGCAGACACCACTCTACTCTTCGCAGACACCGTTCAAGGGTGATTTTCACCGTCTGGCACGTCGATTGTGCGGCAGGGCAGTCGGCCTCGTACTCGGCGGTGGTGGAGCTAGAGGAATTGCTCATGTTGGCGTTATCAAGGCCCTGGAAGAGGCTGGAATCCCTGTTGACATTGTCGGTGGAACATCGATCGGCGCGTTTATCGGCGCTCTCTATGCTCGGGATGCAGACGTTGTTCCCATGTATGGCCGTGCCAAGAAGTTTGCCGGTCGTATGGGAAGCATGTGGCGCTTCGCGCTGGACCTGACATATCCCTCTGTGTCATACACTACCGGCCACGAATTCAATCGCGGTATTTTCAAGACCTTTGGCGATAGCCAAATTGAAGATTTCTGGCTCGAGTTTTATTGCAATACGACCAACATTAGTCGGTCTCGAGCTGAGTACCATTCCTCTGGCTACGTCTGGCGGTATGTCCGCGCGTCGATGTCCCTGGCAGGTCTTATCCCTCCTATCTGCGACGAGGGCAGCATGTTACTCGATGGTGGTTACATCGACAACCTTACAGTAGCCCACATGAAGACACTGGGTGCAGACGTGATCTTCGCCATTGACGTTGGCTCTATCGACGATAACACTCCCCAAGGCTACGGCGATTCTCTATCCGGTTTCTGGTCCGTCGTCAACCGCTGGAACCCATTCTCTTCGATACCGAACCCACCCACCCTGTCCGAAATCCAGGCACGACTAGCATACGTGTCATCCATCGACAACCTTGAACGGGCCAAGAACAGTCCCGGATGTCTCTACCTACGTCCTCCAATCGATCGCTACGGCACATTGGAGTTTGGCAAATTCGACGAAATCTACCAGGTTGGTTATGCTTACGGCAAAGAGTACTTGGAGAAACTCAAGAGCGAAGGGTCTCTGCCGCTTCCGGAAGAGACCGAGGAGAAGAAGAAACTTCAGCGTACGCTGGCGCCGCGCCGGGCCAGTATTTAGGTTGCTGTACTTTGTACTCGGGCGGCGTGTCATGATTGATGTTTGCATTCTATAGCGTTGTTTTACAGCTGATACTCCTAGATGATATCCCGTCATGTGAATGTAATCTAATTGACAGACACTCATAGTCATACCAGCTAGCAAGTATTCGATCGCGCTGCACGCAATGAGAGTGGCTTGCTTGTCAAAAGTAAAAAAGGTAAAAGGTAGCCAGCCAGCCTGATGGCTCCTTAAAAGAGCAAAAAGACGTGGTCCCAGAGGGGGTCGAACCCTCGACTTTGACGTTATTAGCATCACACTCTAACCAACTGAGTTATGGGACCGAGTTCGTTGAAAGCGGATTTTCAAATTTGCATTATGAGGCAGAACAGACATTGGCCGAAGATGAGGAAAAATTGGAGACTCCGACGTGCCCTCGGCTAAGCCGCACGTGACAGTATAACTGGTTTTGGAACATAAAGCACATTTTCCTTCGCCCAATCACAGCAGGTCCCATAACTCAGTTGGTTAGAGTGTGATGCTAATAACGTCAAAGTCGAGGGTTCGACCCCCTCTGGGACCACGTCTTTTTTGCCCATAATGCGTCTCTTCTGTCATGCAATGAGCTTGGTTCTCTTTTTGTGGTGCAAGGGATGGGAAGCCGAGATGGCCTCCTGCAGGAAGACGGCTGCTGCGCTGTGTTTGGTACTGGCGCCATGGTTTTCTAAATGATTATGGTTGCCGAACTTTTCGCTGCCTCATACTCACAGCTCTATATATATAGTCGCTGAGTGGGTGCTCTTTGAGACTTCGGCAACCATAATATCATCACTAAGCAAGAAGGATACATCGATGTTTGCAGTGAAGAGTAAATGCATCATGTCCGTCTCTAACTTGTGAGATCATATCGCTGTTGTGGAAGTAAATCGCAGATCTGATGATGCACAACTAGCGCTGATCGGTCGATGCCCGCCAAGGCCAGCCAACGGCCCAAGGAGCTGTCTCTTGCTCCCCAAACGTGATGACGACACCTCGTTCTCATCTTCACTTGATTTTTAACACCCCATCCCTCTCGACGAGGAGACTTGGGGAACTCTCCAGACCTTTTTTGCTCATCTATCCCGAGTACACTTTCCTCAGAACATTTGATTAAATGGCTTCCCATTCCGCCAAGAGCGGCGCCCACCAGAACTTTTATGCGGACTACGTCATTCAATATTGCTATGCCAATGCTGGTAAGCGTGACAGTGCTTTAAGCTCTGTGGGTAATGCTGATGAGATCAGATCCTTCACGGTCATCCGAGGAGCTTGAATTGCTCCTGAGAAAGCTCTGGGAGGTCGGATTGCAGGCGGAGGTGCGGCCAGGGGAGGATTCGAACCTGCTTGTGTTTGTCCGTGCCTCGCGGAAGAAGAGCCTGCAGCGGGCGATTTATCAGTCTCGGTAGGTACTGACTTAGACAAATTCTTGGAAGTAGTTTCTAAAGGTTCTCTTTTTAGTATCCGCGATTGGCTCCATGGCGTCCGCAGCTCCGAACCCGAGGACGAGTCCTCTGCCGAACCCCAGACGGAATCCGAACGATTGCGCATTATCAACCATATGATTACACTGCCACGCGAAGACGGTGGCGCTGGTATTACTCCGAAGCATGGACACTGGAAGAATGTGACTGCGGTCTTCCCGCTTCACGACGAGGAGAAGAATAAGGAGTACCTGACAGATTGGAGCAAGAAGACGTTCTTGTCGGAGGGTGACCTGGACCAGATACGAGATATGTTTGGAGAGAGTGTGCGTGGTTTGAAGTCTCGTTGACTTGGCTCTTCGCTAACTTTGATACAGGTTGGGTTTTATTTTGCGTTCCTCCAGTCCTATTTTAGGTTCCTGCTATTTCCCGCCGCGTTTGGGTTCTCGTGCTGGCTTCTGCTTGGGTCTTTCTCTACCATCTACACAATTGTCAACTGCCTTTGGGGAATTGTTTTTATCGAGTACTGGAAGCGACAGGAAGAGGATCTCAGTTGCCGATGGCAGACCAAGGGTGTTTCCGCCGTTCGCCATAAGCGGAAGCAATTCATGTCGGAGCGGGAAGTTCAAGACAACATCACCGGTGAGATCAAAGGTGTATTTCCAGCGACAACTCGATTCAAACGGCAGCTTCTCCAAGTCCCGTTTGCTCTGGTTTCGACTGTAGCGCTCGGTGCTATTATCGCCACGTGTTTTGCGATTGAGATATTTATCTCCGAGATCTATACAGGCCCGCTCAAGTCGTATTTGGTGAGTTTATACTTGCAACTATCCACCAAGCTGGGTGTGCTAATGATTTAGGTTTTTATTCCGACCATCTTACTCTCTGCCCTGATCCCGACGATGAGTGGAGTGCTGGTCTCGGTCGCAACTCGGCTGAACGATTATGAAAATTACGAAACACAAACCGCATACGACACGGCTCTGACGCAGAAGATCTTCGTGATCAATTTCATAACCTCGTATCTTCCAATCTTCTTGACGGCCTTTGTCTATATCCCGTTTGCCAGCCTGATCGTCCCGTATCTCGACGTCTTCCATCTGACAGTTCGGCCTTTCGTCTCGAAGGAGGACGCCACTACTGCACGTGCCACCTTTGCTATCAATCCAGACCGGCTGCGAAAGCAAGTCATCTACTTCACCGTGACAGCTCAACTAGTTGGTTTCGCCATGGAGACGATTGTTCCCTATGCGAAGTAAAAGTTCGCTCGCCAATACAAAGAGTACAAGAAGAAGCGAAACGGACGAGTGAATTCAGGCCTCGAAAGCGATGACAATGACGTACCGAAAAGCTCGTATGATGACCACGAAGACGAGAAGAATTTCCTTACGCGAGTTCGCAAGGAGGCCGATCTGGATGTCTATAACGTTACCGACGACCTTCGGGAGATGTGCATTCAGTTCGGGTATCTCGCTTTGTTTTCTCCCGTCTGGCCATTGGTTCCCGTTTCTTTCCTGATCAACAACTGGGTCGAGCTCCGCTCTGATTTCTTCAAAATCATCGTCGAGTGCAAGAGACCTTCTCCCATTCGTGCGGACACCATCGGACCATGGCTCGATACTCTAGGATTCCTCTCATGGGTTGGAAGCATCACGAGCGCCGCCCTCGTCTACATGTTCAACACAAGCACAAACGGACCAAATGGCGAACCCTCGGCGATCAAGGGATGGGCGCTGCTGCTGACAATCTTCTTCTCAGAGCACCTCTACCTCATCATTCGCTACGTGGTACAAGCGATGATGGCCAAGTTTGAGCCCCACAACGTACGCCGTGAAAAGTCTGAACGATATATGATCCGCAAGCGGTACCTCGAGTCGACCCTCGGCGCGCGGAGCAGTGACGATGAGGAAGAGATCCCAGCCAAGGATGAATCCATGGAGATCTCTGATATCACGCGGAAGACGCTCGAAGATGATGCTCGTACTTGGTCCAGCCATGGTACGAATGCTGAGGAGCGTTTCTGGATGAGGCAAAAGGGCTGGAGGGAGGCTGCGAAGGTTGGATCTTCTATTATCAAGAGTCAGGCTACGGACGCGGATAAGAAGAAGCAACAGTAGGTGAATGGGCAAGTCTGGATTGGAATTTCTACACTGTCTTGTGGGAGAGGGTTGTATTGAGGATTGAGTGGTACAAGCTATCAATATCTGCATCTTTCGGAGTATATACTTATCGTATTCTTAATGCAGTATCTGTTTAGTTATCTTGGATTTGTGTAACTGATATTGCTTGGTTTGCTTTTTAGTGTCAAGTCTACACGCGGAAATGATTCCGCATTGGATGATGAATAGGCTATCGCAAGTGTATAAGAAGGGTGACATTTGGACAACCACAAAACAAGCTCAGGGATTCGAGATCAGAGATCACTTCCAATTAGCCTATAAGTGGGGCAAGCGCTGTCATTCTCTCGTCCCTTACATCAGCCTTCCTCCCCGCGCATACGTATATAGCCTACCCCTCCAGCCTCTGTGACCTGCCTACACCTTATAGATACATACTCCCCCACTTCACCATCAGTCCAATTGACCACAAGACCCCAGAGTATAGCCACCTACCTCCCCTAACCTTGAATATGTCCACACACCATAACCCGGGCACATCCGACGGCTGGCACGACCGCATCAACCCCTCGGACCCCTCAGCCCTCTACCCGCCTGAAAGCGGCCGGTACCACCTATACATCGGCCTCTTCTGCCCCTTCGCGCACCGCGCCAACTTCGTGCGCCACTTGAAGGGCCTCACCGAGATAATCGACCTCAGCGTCGTGATGCCGTACCCAAAGGGCGACGACAAGGGGTGGCCCGGGTGGCGGTTCCCGAAATCAAACGACGAGTACCCGGGCGCGACGGTCGATAACCTCTTTGGCGAAGATTATTTGCACAAGGTGTATTTTCGGGCGAATCCGGGGTATAAGGGGCGGTATTCGGTTCCGGTGCTTTGGGATAGGGTGCAAGGGACGATTGTTAATAATGTATGTATCATCCCTTGCCGAGAGGAGCATGTATACTGACAAGATCCACAGGAAAGCCTCGAACTCCTCCGCTGGCTCCCATCGGCATTCAACGCACTCATCCCGCCCGAAAAAGCAGCCATAGACCTGTACCCATCGCACCTGCACTCGAAAATCGACACGCTCAGCGCTTGGATCCTCCCGAACCTCTGCTCGGGCGTGTACAAAGCGGGCTTTGCTTCTTCGCAGGCAGAATACGACAAGAACGTGATCCCCGTCTTTGGGGCTCTGAACAAGCTTGAGAAGATTGTCGCAGCGAATGGAGGGCCGTTTATCCTCGGTTCTGAGATGACCGAGTTGGATGTCTGTGTTTATGCGACGCTTATCCGGTTTGACACGGTCTATGTTCAGCATTTCAAGTGTAACCTGGGCACGATCCGCCATAATTACCCCGTGCTGAATAATTGGTTGAAGGGCATGTATTGGGATGTCCCTGCTGCGCGGGAGACGACGGATTTTAGGCATATTAAGGAGAATGTGAGTAGTCGACACCCATCGTGTGTTTGGGCTATGGTGTGATAATTGTGAGTGGGAGACTTGCTGACATTTTCCTGTAGTATACGAAGAGCCATTACGATATCAACCCCAAGGCCATTACGCCAATTGGACCGTTTCCGGATGTTGAGGAGGGTGTTGAGAGAGACTGGGCGAGGCTGAGGGTTGGTAGTGTACAGCATCCAGAGGTACTCGAGTTTGAGAGCACATTGGCTGGAATCTAGAGTCATAAGCTATAAGATGACCAGAATACTTATCACGGGGTTAGTACAGTAGTAGGTAACAACTCGTATGCCGAGGTAATCATGATACCGCTCCTATGCAGGTACGCTCATTCTCCAAGTCTTATCTGCACTCGCAACTTCACTTTATGTCAGCATCCATCCCATCCTCTCTCTCATCACATCACATACGGAATATACATGACTCAGACATCTCCGAGTCATCTCACCTAAGCTCACCTAAGCCCACCTAAGCTCACATAACCGACAACTTGGCACGCTCAAGATTGGGAAGGAATGCACCCCACAATCCGCCCCGCAGTCCCCTCGGACCTTGCTCAAATCCGCTCCATCAACACACACTACATCCGCAACACGGTCCTCACCTTTGTGCAGCACCCGCCAGTCACAGCGACGTATCGAGCCAAGTTCGAGGATATTACGGGCCGTGGACTGCCGTATCTTGTTGCTGTTGATGCAAGTTCGAGAGATGAGGATGGGAGTCGGGATGGGGCAGGGAATGATAGTGATCTCGTGCTCGGGTATGCGTACCTCGCGCCGTTTCGTGGAACCATGCTTTCTTACGCGTCTACGGTCGAGTTGACTCTTTACGTTCGGCCTGGGTACCAGAGTCAAGGGGTGGGTTCAGGGTTGTTGGATGGGCTGCTCGAGGCTGCGAGGGGGGCCAGGCATTTGGGGTTTGAGGTGATAGGGTCTGGCTTTGAAGAGACCCATGTACCGGGAAGTAATACTCCTGGAGAAGAGAAGAAGCCAGGGGACAAGGTTTTCGGCGTAGATCCTGAAGACGGAGAGCCTGGAGCTCGGATTAGGAGCATCATGGCCATCATGGCAATCGATCCTGAGGGTCCAGACCACGGAGATGCTCTCCGAAGATGGTACGTCAGCCGGGGCTTTGTCGAGAGAGGGAGGATGAAGAAGGTTGGGTTCAAGAGGGGATTCTGGTGAGTTTCTTGACTTTCATGCACGGTGTTGTGCTTAGGAAGAGGGAGATATTTCTTAGGCAATCGCTGACAGATGAACAGGGTGGATACTGTTTGTTTGCAGTATATGATGTAGACGCAATCATGCCATATCTACATGAGAGAGTGGTTGAGATGGCAGCCTTGATTCCCCCGGTTGCTTGGCCTTGACTGCTTGTTTTTTTGCTGGTTGCTGTTTCTGGCTTTTATAGTGCCAAGACGGAAAATCATTTGTCAGCTCCCGTCGTCTATTAGTAGTACTTCCGTGTACGGTTAGCTTGCCAAGACCTCAACAACAGAGTTCATGAAAACTGACCAGCAGAGCGATCCGGAACTGCTGCGATGGTAGTAAGCTGGAGATAATGAGGAAATGAAGCTCATAAAAACACCGGTAAAGCTTTACTGTCCTAGCGACCGCTCAATATAGAGTTGTTGCAGAGTTGTCCTGTTGTGGTTGCGACCGGAGGGAGGAGCTGACTTCCCGATCCGGCGCCCCCACGTCAGGCGCGGTCACACACTCGCTGTTATTCGCCTCGTGGTGTGCTTCCGCCTTTTCTCCCCCTCGGACCTCCCAGACTCCAGTCCCTTTGCTCCTTCCCTCCTCTGCTTACGAGATCATCTCCCAAGCTAAACATCATCACTAATCAGCGCACGCATCACCCTCATTTCATAAGAACACAGTCAGCAGGCACCGCGACAAGCCCAGGACCCGTCGAACTTTGGACTCTGAATTCCACCTGCAGGCCACTGCTTACCTCAGCTTTCGCGTTTCTTTGCGTACTCCCCCATTCATTCCACCCTCTCCCCCTCTCGCGAGCCTCTGTCCCTATATCCGGGCTATAGCTTCCTGCTCGTCGTCTATCTGCCTCGAATTGACCCGTCGCATCTCCTGTCGGGCGCGTCGATTGTCTCTTGAATCGACATCTTCTCCATGCAGCCTGCACTAGCTCCAGCGCCGCATCCAAGCATGCAAACATCTGCTCAGGTAAGCAAGCCTTAGTTATCCCCTCGCGGTTTGTCATCAGATCGATCGGCCGGACTCCAGCTCCAGCTGTCGCGCTGCTTGATCTCTTGCTCGTCGGACGGGCGCCTTTTGCTATAAAGCTCGCGTTTCGCCGCAACTGGCAGAGTCGCCGGCGCGAGATGACCTCATCCACGCGTCTCCTTCCGAGCCGCCTGCTCGCGGTCGCGTTGCTCACAAGTATCAAAACATGACGCTGACGATGATGTTTGGCTTAGGATCCTGCTGATCAAGGTAAGCAACGTGCTCTTGCCACTGAACCGCAGCCCCAGGGGCTCTTCCTAGGCGGCGACTGGTGTCGCATAGCCTTCCGGCTTCCCGCCACGTACCGCGCTCACCCAAGCGACCTTCCTAACTGTTGTGACTTGCTAACATGCTTGCTATGTATAGTGCTCCACGATTCGCTGCTCGCAGCGTCGGCGCACCAGCACTTGTCGCAGCACGCGCAGCACGCGCAACAAGCGCGCCCGCCGCAGCCGAACCCGCAACCTCACCATCTGCAACCCAATGCCACGAGCCCGCGCGATCAAAACAACATCGACCCTGCGATTTCCGGCGCCGCCATGCTCCCACCTCCCCCTCAACCCCCAACGCAAGCGGACCCGAGTGGTCAAGACCAGTCGAAGACATATGGCAAACGACCGCTATCTACGTCGAAGCGTGCTGCCCAGAATCGTGCCGCTCAAGTACGTGACCTCCCCAGTCCGAGATACAGAGATGCAGGTCACTAACTAACTGGAGTAGAGAGCCTTCCGTCAACGAAAAGAGAGCTATATCCGCAAACTGGAGGAGCAGGTGAAGGAATTCGAGGTCATGTCGCAGGAGTTCAAAGCTTTGCAGGCTGAAAACTACCAACTACGCGAGTACATTATCAACCTTCAATCGCGGTTACTGGACTCGCAAGGTGAAGTCCCCGAGCTGCCGGGAAATATCGACCTGAGCCAGCCACGCGCCGAAATCTCTGTACCACAGCCTGCCTCTCGACCCGCGGCCCCGAACGTCCCGCAACAAGGTTCACCCCAGAGCCAGGTATCTATTGCCAACGATGAAATGAATTCGTTGAACCGCATAGCGGAAGCCGGGCTAGGAATGCGCAAACATCCCAACGAGGAAGCCTTCCTTGCCAACAACTTCCAAGCTCGCCGCGGGCGCGGTGAGGATGGCCAGCCTGACCACTCCGAGGCCACGAAGACGGAACCACCGACCCACGGACTACCGATGGTTCAATGAGCCGAACATGTGTTGTATGCATTGCCGCCTGTTTCTATTACCCTGTGTGCGAGCCTTTTGCTCGCAACTTTTTCTACCAGCGTCGCTCGATATTACCTTATCTGTTTTCTTCTGATCCCCGGTGTACGGCGCAATTGTTAGGTTTCCATTCTGGCCTTGAAGGTGTTCTGCGGTGTCTGGCAGGTCTGAGGCTTCGATTCCATTGGGCCAAAAGCTACTCTGTCCTGGGTCGCTTATACTACATAATGCGAACGCAATGTTTAGATTCTATGGATTGTCCGATATCTCTCGGGTCAGAGTTGCCTAGAAGTTTTCAAGAATGTACTTTGTAGCCTCATTCGGTCTGGTTGGTGGATGCAGTTGTTTGCTTTGTTTACCCCACCACTGACTTTCAACTGACGCCCCACCTCGGCGCATACCTTCAGCCTTCGAGTCAACCTGGAAGCTTGTGCCTTTCACCTCTCCGTCATGCACCTCTCACTTGCCATCTCCAAGTAATCGCTGGCGATTGACGGAATGGCCGCCATTGCACCGGGGGAACCCGACCTCCCCGCATATCGGGCGCGGAGCTACCAGCTGGAGATGTTCGAGGCGAGCCTGAAGGGCAACATCATCGTCGCGGTATGTGACAACAAACATCTTAGGAAATCTGTTAACAGCTATAGATGGGCACTGGAAGTGGGAAAACACACATGTACGTACACCCCGGAGATAATATAGTCGACTCGGCTAATTCATTATCTAGCGCTCTCCTGCGAATAATGCATGAGCTGGAGAATTCTGATGGAAAGGTACGTTTCAAGTCTCTCGCAATTGGACTGTCAGTTAACATACAGTTTCTAGCTCATATGGTTTCTGGCACCAACCGTCGCACTGTGTCTCCAGCAGCACAAGGTCATCTCACAGCACATCCCAGCTGCAAAGTCGAGGACCCTCACCGGCCTAGACAAGGTCGAGCTGTGGACCGAGCAGGCTATCTGGGATGCCGTTCTGCAGGATGTCCAAGTCGTTATATCGACGCATGCTGTTCTTGTTGATGCGATGACGCACGGCTTCGTTAGGATTTCGCAACTTGGGCTTATTATCTTCGATGAAGGTATGTTTTGTCAAGGGAGAAGGTGGTATCTTGACTGACAGATTAGCGCATCATTGCGTGCGGAATCACCCCGCGAACAAGATTATGAGAGACTTTTACCATCCTGCTGTTGCGAGGTTTGGTCCGGATGCTGTTCCGAGTATTTTGGGTCTGACAGCTAGTGCTGGGTCGAGTCGTGAGGAGTTGCTGTAGGTAGAGAAGTTGGTTCTTGGTGCCGGAACTGACGGTTTGTAGCACCATCGAGTCGAATATGAGCTCCATCTGCACGACGCCTCAAGCTCACCGGCATGAACTGCTGACACACACGCATAGACCCGAGCTGCAGCGGGTTCTGTTCACACCAGTCGCCTTAGACGCACCTAGGGGCGCAACGCAGGCAGCACTCTTGCAGGCCTGGGAATCGCTAGATCTTGAAAACGACCCGTATGTGAAGAAGCTAAGACGTAGCTCTCCAAACGGACCTGCGTTGAAGAAGGTGCTCTTAACAGAGAAGACTTACTGCAGGGACCAGTTGAAACGATTCGTTGACAGAGTCGAGCATATCTTCACCGAGCTTGGTCCCTGGGCGGCCGACTATTTCATCTGGACGTCGCTCGAGCAACTCCGGGGTAAAGTCCACAATAATTCGGTCATGTTGGATCTAGATACCGAGGAGCGGAAATATCTCGTAGATATCCTTTCGCAACTACCGGTCCCGGACTTCAACCTGCACTCAACAGACCCCGCCGATTTCCCCGTCTCGCCGAAGTTCGAAGCCTTAGTCTCATTCCTAACAACCACAGAAGAGCGCGACTTTTCGGGCCTCATCTTCGCCCAGCAGCGCGCAGCCGTCGCCGTAATGGCTCACCTCCTCTCTATTCACCCCTTAACCCGAGACCGATTCCGCACCGGCGGCTTCGTCGGCATGTCGACGTCAACCAACCGCAAGGACATTCTCGGCGAGCTGCTCACAGCAAAGATGCAGCGCAACACACTCGACGACTTCCGCCGCGGGCGCAAGAACCTCATCGTCGCAACGGACGTCCTAGAAGAAGGCATCGACGTCAGCGCCTGCAGCGTCGTCGTCTGCTACAACCGCCCGCCGAACCTAAAGTCGTTCCTGCAGCGGCGCGGCCGCGCACGACGACAGCACTCGACGTATGCAATCTTGCTCTCGACGGACGACAATAACTCGCATCTGCACAAGTGGCAGGATCTCGAGAGAGTCATGGAGGAGGCGTACCGGGATGACCAGCGCCGATTGGAAGAGCTGCGCGCACTCGAGACTACGGAAGAGGATGTGCACTCGCGGTTCTGCGTTGAGGCTACGGGCGCGATACTTACCGCTGATAATGCCACGCAGCATCTGTACCACTTTTGCTCGATCCTCCCGCGCCAATCGTACGTCGACAACAGACCGGAATTCTCGTTCGAGAGCGATGGGCTGCAAGTAAAGGGCAAGGTTACGCTGCCGAGCTGCGTGCATCCGGATGTAAGACGCACGGAGGGCCGCTCGTGGTGGATGACCGAGCGCGCGGCGAGGAAGGAGGCTGCGTTCCAGGCGTACAAGGCGCTGTATGAGGCTGGGCTTGTCAATGATAATCTGCTTCCGCTTACGAAAAGCCGCGAATTTACGCTGAAGGATCTCGCTCTGCTCCCGGCCGTCATGGAGGTCTCGGAGCAGTACGATCCTTGGGTTGACTGGGCGTATTCGTGGTCGTCGGAGACCGCGGGGGTGCATTCGAGTCGCATCGTTGTCCGTCATAATGGGGACGTTGCGTATATGAAGCTGCTGTGCCCGACTGTGCCGCCGCCGCTGGAACCCATGACACTGTTTTGGGATAATGAGACGACGTACACGGTCGAGTTTGAGGCTGCGCAGCAGATCGATTTGTCCACTGAAGACCTGGAGAAGATGCGGACTATCACAGCTCTGTATCTCCAGGCCTCGTTAACGAGACCCCTCCCCGCTGACCGCGACTACATCGCCCTCTTCACCCCGGACGTACCACCCTCCGAGCTGCCACCCTGGCTGGAGAAACATCGCGGCCACGAGCCAGCGCAAGACGTCTTCACTAGCAACCGCCACTCAGATCTCATGGGAATAGTCCGCGACCGCGCGCGCTTTGGCGAAGTCCTCGTTTTCAAGCGCTGGGTCGTCTCAGGCACAAATGACCCGCTCTCACTAGAATGCGACCCGTACCCTAAGCGCCGAAACCTCCTACAGCAGCAGACCCTCGCCACATCTACAAAACGCTCCGCACCAGAAGACTTCCCACCAGCGAATGAGAGCGAGCAGCAGCAGGCGGCACTCCTTGGATCCCCTACGAAGAAACGCATCATCTCCGCTGACCAATGCACAATCGACAAACTCCCCGCAACCGAAACGATCTTCGGCCGGTTCATCCCCGTGATAATCAACCGCCTCGAAGCCGCCCTCGTCGCAACGAAACTCTGCGAGACGATCCTCCACAGCGTCCCCTTCGGCGACATCAGACACATCATCACGGCAATCACCATGCCCTCGGCGCAGGCGCCGAGCAATTACCAGCGGTACGAGTTCTTCGGCGACTCCGTGCTCAAGTACACAGTCTCCTTCTCGCTCTTCTATCAGCATCCGACGTGGCACGAGGGGTATCTCAGCGAGGGCCGTGATGCGATTGTGCAGAATGGGCGGCTTGCGCGGGCGGCGTTGAAGGTCGGGCTGGATAGTTTTATTATTGGGAAGATGTTTACGCCGAGGCGATGGGTTGCGCCGGTTATTGGGGAGAAGCTGAAGATGGAGAGTGAGATGACGAAGCGCGAGATGTCTACAAAGGTCCTTGCTGATGTCGTCGAGGCGCTTATTGGGGCTGCGTATATCGATGGTGGGCATGTGAATGCGCAGGCGTGTCTGCTGACGTTCCTCCCCGAGCTGCGAATCATCACCCCGGATATGGCCATGTCTCTGGACCAGAACGCAAACCTTAACCAATCCCAAGACCATCCCCAACCACGACCAATCCACTACGAACTCCTCGAAGAGAACATCGGCTACACATTCACCAACAAAACCCTCCTAACCGAAGCACTCACCCACCCCTCCTGCCAACACGACTCCACAACGCAGTCCTACCAACGGCTTGAATTCCTCGGCGACGCTGTCCTCGATATGATCATCGTTAATATAATCCTCGCACACTCGCAGGAGCATCGCGGCCTGAGACAGATCCCGCAGGGCGAGATGACGCGGATCAAGCATGCGCTTGTCAATGCGAATCTGCTTGCATTCTTCTGTTTGGAGTTTGGATGGGAGGTTCCGGGGACGGAGGTTGTTGTTACGGCTTCGGATGGAGATAATCAGGTTGAGACCGTGGCGACGAGCACGACGCATCATCTCTACACGTATCTACGGCATTCTCCGACAACACCAATACTCACCACGCTCAAGACAAAGACGCTGCCGAGGTATATGCAGCAACGACCCGCTATCCTCGCGCATCTGCACCCATCGCCATCGCCATCCCAACCCAACCATATCCTGTCCCCACGCTCAACCCCCTCGTCCCCAAACCCAAATAACCCGAAATACCCCTGGGGCCCCCTCGCAACCCTGCACCCCGAGAAATTCCTCTCGGACATGATTGAATCCCTCCTCGGCGCCATCTTCATCGACACCGCCGGCGACGTGGCCGCGTGCTCAGCCTTTCTTGAGAAACTGGGTCTCCTCCCGTATGCGCGGTATGTTCTTGAGCATGGTGTGGATGTTGTTCACCCGTTGCAACGCGCGCAGGTTTTTGCGAGGTCGGATGTGAAGTTCAGGACTGTGCGTGTGGTCAAGACGGTGGGGGATACGGTGGGGGATACAGCTGAGGATGGCAATGGGGAGAGTGAAAGTGGAATTGGAAGTGGCGGTGAGGATGGCGTAGCCGAGGAAGAAGCAACATACACATGCACTGCAACCCTCCCCAGCCACAGCATCGAGGATATCGTTGTGAGCGGGTGTTTGAGCAGTGAGGAGGCGGAGATTAGGGCTGCGGAGGCGGTCATCGCGGTGCTGCGTTCGACGCAGGGGAGTGGCGTTGGCGCTAATTTTATTGGCCATGACGACGGTATTGGTATTGATAATGGTCTTGACGTTGGTGATATTGAGAAAGAAATGGAGGTGGAGATGGAGGTGGTGATGGAGAAGGACTTGGATAATGATGATGATGATGATGATGATGATGATGATGATGATGATGATGATGATGATGATGATAGAGCAAGCGCGATGGAATTTTAGGGGCCTGGACTTTTGGGGATCTTAGATATTTCCTTTACTCTTCCAGGATGAGATTGGGATTTCAATGCTTGGATGCTTTTCTGGACAAGGCTGGACAGAGATGGATATTGGAAGATTTTTGTACATGAACCAAGGGAGACTGCGTTGGATTTCGGTTTTCTAAATACACCTTGGAATAGATGATTTGAAATATGTAGATATCTTCTGGCGTATCTCCACAACTCATTGGAGTTCCCAGTCTATAGCGTCTACGACACTGCGCAGGTATCCGCCCTCTTTATAGAGGTTACGATGACCTCTGCAATCTTCAACTACGCATGCATACAAGGCCAAGAACCAGAGTATGTTGAATCGACCAGCCGAGCCTTTATTGATCTCGACTTGCATGCAGTCTCAGGTTCGATGTAGAAAAGTAAAGTAAAGGAAACAGAAGCGCTTCAGGGACAGACAGACATGACAAAAAGGAAACCGAGAGAACCTCGAGCTTAAAAAAGGGAAAGGAAAGGGAAAAGAAAAGAAACCGAAAGGTAAGCAAACCCAATGAAATCGAATCTGATCATCACATCACATCACATCTTCACCCCTTCCGCCCGCGCCTCCGCACCCGAGATCTCGTCCTCGGCGCACTCTGCGGCTCTTCTTCCTCTACATCTACCTCTCCACTCGGCGTCTCAGCCCCGGACGAGCTCTGCGACTCGATAATTCCCTGCTCCTGCTCGCCATCTCCATCCTCATCCTCATCCCTCGCAACGATCACACCGTCATCCGTAGACGCGGAAGAGCGGTGCTCGATATCGCCTTCAGCCTCGGGATCCGATTCCACCGCCGGCCCGGCCTCAGCCTTGATATCAGCTAGGACTTTCTTCGTCGCACTCTCTTCCCCGTTCCACGCGCCACACCCTCCACACCGCCAGCGGCCGAGCTCTTCAAGTGATTTCACGCCGGGCGGCGCCTGTCCGTTCACAAGCCGACACGTCCCGCAGATGAGGACAATCCGGTTCTTTGGCTGGGTCTCGTCTTCGCCGAGGAGGACGTCCAGGAGGCGGTCGTACCAGCGTGAGTGCTTGATGTACTGCTGCGGTGCGGAGAAGGCGTTTGGCGCGAAGCCTGGCTCGTCGAGGCCGGGGGGACCGGATTGTGGTACAGGTGGTAGGGGTGCATTCAGGTTTGGCGGTAACTGTGGACTGTGCTGTTGCTGCGGCGGGTAAGGAGAGGAAGGCTGTTGTGGCGGAGACTGCGCCGTCGGGCGACGGATATTCGCAGTGGGAGGTGGCGGGATGCCCGTGCGCTGCTCCGAGGGTTGTTGCGGTTGGGAAGGCTTTCGTTTCCCCGCTTCACTTTTCGGTTTCTGGTCGCCGCTCTTCCCCCGCTGTTTCGGTGAGTCGCCGGCGTATTTCTCGAGCAGCTGCTGCGTGGAGTTGTACTTTGTCGCGACCTTCAGCTTCTCAATCGTCTCGTCGCGCTGCTTGTTCAGGTTCTCCAGATATCGCTGCGTATTGTTGATTCGGTATTCGTAGTATCTGGCGCCGCCGGCTCGGACGATGTAGATTCTGCGCGCGCAAGTCGTTAGCAACCACACCTGTCTCAAACTCTCGAGCCCCGCCCGGTTCGTCCGCCCGATCACAGTAGAACATACACAACAGGCCCCCCAACAATCGCCGCATATTCCTTGACCCCCCAATTCTGCCACCCGAGCACAAGCGCGAGGATAATCGAGTAGAGGAGGTAAACGAAGGTGGTGTAGAGGGTCCAGAGGGCCTTGAAGCGCCGGGCGTGCTGGCGGTGAAGGTCGAGGCGGGTGGTTGCGCGGGTGATTTTCTCGGAGAGGGTGGAGAGGGTTTTTTCGAAGAAGGCTGGGGAGGAGTCTTCGCCCTGTTCGTAGAGAGAGAAGAGAATGTTAGGAAATGGACTGTCTCGTCTTGCGGAGTGTGATGGTCGGGCCGACGTACCTTGAATGGCCAGAGGGAGACCATGACGTGACGTGTTCGTAGGAGCGAGCTAACTCAGTGAGAGAGGTGAGGGAACGTAGGTTGATGGGTTGGGTAGAGAGCGGATGAGGACTAGGGCATCTTCTAGAGTTTAGGAAAGGAGGGAGAGGAGAAGAGAAGAGAAGTGGAAAGGAATTAAGAATGAAAGAAGAATGAGAGAGTGTGGGAGCAAAGCAGGTTCGTTTGGATGCAGTAACTGCAGGTGAAGCTCAAGTGGACCCAATTGCGGTGGCCTGCAGGCTTGGCTGCCTCAGGCAACAACTTACGTCAGGGCTCTTTCCTATTCGGTGAATTATATACACGTGACTTGAACTATAGCTACCATTTACCCTATACCGCCAAGATTGGACGAGACTAACTAAACAGTGTACCGGAATTGAGGATTCTGTAAGAGTCAGCTCTGCCTTGGATTCTGTCTAGAATGCCTGCTTACCGTCTTGTCAGTCAAATCATCCTGATACGCGTTCTCGAAGCCCTCAAGAACGCCAGAAGCATCGCGGCGGGCGTTATCACGGAGGCAGACGTATCGGTAAATGAGAACGAGAATTCCGGCAATAACAGTCGTCACAACGGTGACGATAAAGCCCGGGACGTATCGTGGGTAGTCCTGTGTTCTGAAGCAAAGCGGCCCGACGAAGTTGCCTGCCCAACCCGATTAGTTACATACAGCAGAGAAACGGAGAGAAGAATATACCAAGACAGTAGCCAATGTACAGGCCACTAGAAGAAAGCGAACGCTTGGTGTAGCCGGCAATATTGCCGATTTGAAGACCCATAAGCACGGCGTAACCCGCACCCACAGTTGGCATGATATAGCACGCAAAGAGAAGCCCACCAGTTTGATTGAGCGGCAGGGTTAGTAGAAGAATACACGCAACCATTGTGACAAGCTGACAGCCAACCACAAGCCAGGAGCGGATCCCCTTGCTCATATACTTGTACGAGATCCACGGGAGGATCAACATCATGGTTCCGGCGTAGAACCCTGAGGGAATGACAAGTAGAAGTGACTCGAGGGTGCTAAAACCAAAGGAATTAATGATTATTGGCGTGAACGTAGAAATTGGGGCATTGGCGATCTAGGATTCGAATTCTAGTTAGCTTAGACGCGATAAAATGCCGTAAAAACTCACCATGGCAAGAAAAGCCGTGAGAAAAATCAACCAAAACTTGATATCAAGAAGGAGTTCGACCACCTGACCCATCTTGAAATGAGTATTACGCACTCCGCTGTTATTGCTGCGCATCCTAGCCACGGAGATATACCGCTCGCGTTCATCAAACCCCCGCGCGTTGATGGGGTCCGGGGGAAGCACGAAATTAATGATCACTCCCCATATGATTGTGATGGCACCGGCGAAGAGATACATATACTCCCAAGACGACAGGGAACCCTTAATGTGGCCCAGGCCATAGTTGATTAATGGACTGAAGATACTCACGTACCCGGTACACGCGTACCAAATGCTAGGATTCATAGATGGTTAGTCTGGCCTCCTGATATGGAAAGAGGAAGGAATACGTACCCCATGCGTAGAGCCTGCTCATCTTTCTTGTACCAGCCGCCCTACACAACATTCAGCATGTGATAGACACTCAGGGGGAGCTTAACATACAACAATAACCATGAACATAGGAGAGATACCGCTCTCAAGCAATCCCAAGAAGAACCGCTGAGCATACAGCGACTGATAATTGTGGCAGACAGGCGTCAAAATAAGACATATGCCCCACAGCGTGACTGTGCCCGATGCCACGTGGTGGATAGGATATCTCTGCGCAAGAAACATGGTTGGGTACGCTCCGACGATGAACCCTAGGTAGAAAATGGCCGCTGACATGGAGTACCTATTGCCGACGGTAAGACCTAGGTCCTCGCGGAGGCCAAAGAGTGCCTGAAAAGTCAGTAAACCGTAGCTTCTATGACCTAGAGCAGTCTGAGAGAGAGTAGAATAGGGCACATACTGCTTGAGACAACATTGCCTTGTCATAATACTGCAACCCATAGGTCAGGCACAGAAGGGGTAAGAGCTTCCAGTCGATCTTCCGGACGAGCCGCTTCTCCTCAGAAGGCTCCCACGATTCGTCGCCAGTATAACGGGCCAGAACCTTCATTGCCTCATCGGTGTGAGTGGTGTCGATCTTCTCATTCTTCTCGGTGTTCTCGACAGATGTCGAGGTCTCGACGTGGTCGGCCGCATGGCCAATCTTGCCATCGGACAGGCTGTCCTGAGTGGAGGTGTCCATGGCAGGTAGACAGCAAGTAGAAACGCAATGTCGTGTAGGTGTACCAGTAAGTAGGCAAGGCGGCTGTGAGCCAGAAGGGATGGGAGGGAGGGCAATTTTATAATGACAAGGATGTGATACCAAGAGATCAACTCCGGGGCAGTCAAGACATACCACGGACGGAGTAGGGATGGACAAAGGCGAGGAAGGAGTGAATGAATCCGGGGAAGACGACCCACAGCTCACCCACGAGGTCGATGACCTCGATGAAACTATCCCCAGCTCTGGCTTTTTTTGAGTTTCGGGCCATGTATTGGAAACCTGGGCGTATTGCTGCATTACTACCGGTATCCTACCAGTATTATTAGTCGGACTAGTGCTTCTCCACATTGTGGATGCGGGGGATCGGGAGAAAGGCCGAGCTGTCATAAATCTCCACACAGGCACAAGTTTTCGTGGAATGCGAAATGCATGGAGTGACAGAATTATGGCTACGGATCGTCTTTTTGAAATCCCCGAGGGGGAGTCTGTTACTGTCAAACTGATCAACCCGGTCAACTTTGGGCCATCGCATTTGAAACGGTTCATGACACCTCAAGTGCCTGGTCTCGAGACATTCGCACGCAACCCCGCCTTCTCCTTCGTGATAGAACACTCGTCCGGTCGCAAGCTGGTATTCGATCTGGGAATTCGAAAAGACTGGCAGAACTACGCGCCCAAGATCGCAGACTACATTCCGACGACGAGGTACGATATCGAAGTTACGCAGAATGTGGCAGAGATACTCGAGGAGCACGGCATTCAGCCGGAGGAGATAGAGGCTGTCATCTGGAGGTGCGCGCCTTATTCCAAAGGATATCCTAGCAGAGCTGATATGGATACAGTCACTGGCACTGGGACCACATCGGCGACCCCTCGACCTTTCCCTCAACCACAGACCTAATTGTCGGACCAGGCTTCAAGGAGGCCATGCTCCCCGGATACCCTGCGAACCCAGATTCGCCGATACGTGAGAGCGACTATGCGTGCGTTACATACCTACCTCTTGCTTCAATGTTTGTCTCTTTCCTTTCTCACTGATCCGTCACATTTAGAAATCGAACCCTCCGCGAAATCCCCTTCCCACCGGAATCCCTCCGCATCGGACAGTTCCCGGCCTACGATTATTTTGGAGACGGCAGTTTCTACCTGCTCGATAGCCCCGGGCACGCAATCGGGCACCTTTGCGGCCTCGCACGCACAACTACAAACCCAGACACATTCATTCTGATGGGCGGCGACATTGCGCATTACACGGGGATTTTCCGGCCCTCGAAATACCTCCCTCTCCCCGAATCCATAACCCCGCACCCAGTTATACACGGATGCGAATCGGCATTCTGCCCCGGAAGCGCATGGGAAGAACTGCAGGAATCCAGAGGCCGAGGAACGCACGATAGTCTCTTCGAACCGACGTTCGGACACGACATCCCGCTGGCGATGGAGACGATTGGCAAGTTGCAGGAGGTGGATTGTGACGAGGATGTGTTTGTGATTATCGCGCATGATTTTGCGGTGCGGGACGGGGTGGCGCATTTTCCAGAGTCGCTGAATGAGTGGAAGGACAAGGGGTGGGGGAGGAAGCTGCGGTGGGCGTTTTTGAGGCAGTTGGAGGGGTACTGGAGGGCGAAGGGGGTGTTGAGCGAGAGTACGGAGTAGATGATAATGTCCATGATAATAATTTGAAGGTTAATGAATCTGATTTGGACGTAATTCTGAATGAACACACCATCTCTCCGTAGCCGAGCATGATCCCACTCCGGCTCGGCAGTCCGCATTCGGATAACCGCCGGCACTCGACGCACGAAATGTGGAGATGGCTGCACTTGATCTGGAGAACCCCAGACTTCTTTGACCGTGTCCCGGACCAGGACCGACCCCGCGACATCCGGCTGTCACTTTATATTCCCCATGTTCATTCACATAGTCGCATCAATATACGCAAACTCCAGAGTTCATTGCATCACCACTCCACTCAATAATCGACCCCGAAAGCAGAATCAGAGTCGCCATGGGCAGCATCGAATCCCCCCCCTTCACCCACAAAAATGACCACCTCGACTACGACGTCCTGATCATCGGCGCGGGCCTCAGCGGCATCTACACCCTGCACCAGATGCGCACAATGGGTCTGCGTGCAAGGGTGCTAGAAGCCGCTTCGGGGCCCGGAGGGACGTGGTTTTGGAACAGATATCCCGGTGCTGTACGTCTTCCCTTTGTTCTCCCATACCCCCCGCACGAGCATATCGAGACCCAAATCAGTCACTAATAAACTTGTCTGTCTTTCGGTGAATAGCGCTTCGACTCGGAATCCTACTCCTACGGCTTCTCCTTCGACCAGGAGGTTCTAGACGAATGGTCCTGGAGCGAACACTTTGCCGCACAGCCCGAAACACTCCGATACTGCGAGTTCCTCGTCGACAAGTTCAACCTCCGTCCCGGGATGCAATTCAACACACGAGTCACAGCGGCGCACTACCAAGACGCGTCCAAATCCTGGCTTCTCACCGACGAGCGCGGGAGCACATACTCCAGCCGGTGGCTCGTGACGTGCATGGGGATTCTGAACGCATATACGCTGCCGAATATCCCTGGCGTGCATGATTTCAAGGGGCTGGCGATCCATACGGCGCGGTGGCCACATGAGCCTGTAAACTTCGAGGGGAAGAGGGTGGGGATTATTGGGACAGGCGCGACGGGGATCCAGACCATTCAGGAGGTGGCAAAGACGGCGGGGCATTTGACCGTCTTCCAACGGACGCCGAATTGGAGCGCACCATTGAACAACGGGCCCATTTCCCCGGAGGAGATGGACGAGATCCGGAAACGGTACCCCGAGATCTTTCGCCGGTGCAAGGAGTCGTACTCGTGCTTCATCCACAAGAGTAACCCCGCGAGCGTGTTTAGTGTATCAGAAGAGGAGAGGGAGAAGTTCTGGGAGGCGCTGTACCAGACGCGCGGGTTCGAGAAGTGGCTGTCGAATTTCCATGATATCAACACGAACCGTGAGGCAAATCGGTTGTATTCGGACTTCATTGCCAGGAAGATCAGGCAGCGCGTTAAGGATCCCAAGACGGCCGAGTTGTTGATTCCGAGTATGGACCCCTCAACCCCCATCCCTACCCTCATTACTCCCCCCAACATTATTCGTCACAAAGAGCATGGCCGTACAGTGAACTAACAAAAGAGTCCATAGAATGCCACGGCTTCGGCACCAAACGGGTCCCGCTCGAATCCGGGTACTTCGAGACCTACAACCGGCCCAACGTGTCCCTCGTCGACGTCAAAACAGACCCTATAGAACGAATCACGCCATCCGGCATCAAGACCCGGGATAGTGCGTACGACCTCGACATCCTCATCTACGCGACGGGCTTCGATGCCGTGACGGGCGCGTTTAGCGCAATTGATTTCCGCGGCAAGGGAGGCGTGAAATTATCTGAGAAATGGAGTGAAGGCCCGAAAACTTTCTTGGGCCTGTTTTCCGAAGGCCTGCCGAATGCTTTGTACTGCATGGGCCCGCATCAAATGTTTGGCAACTTTCCTAGGTGCGTTTGGGCTTTTTATTTCTGCCCTGTCCCCCTCTGGTTGATTCTGGTGGTGGGGTGTTGACTAACGGGCGCGCAGGAGTATTGAGTACGCCAGCCATTGGATCGCCGAGTTTATCCGTTGGGCGAGCCAGAAGGGGGTTACGTCTGCGGAATGTACAAAGGAGAAAGTCGAGGAGTGGACGGAGCATGTGCATACATGCGCCGAGGGCCTACTGGCCAACGAGGTGGACTCGTGGATGACCGGGGTCAATAAGAACCTGGCGCATAAGCAGAAGCGGATTATTGCGCGGTATAACGGGCCTGCTCCCGGGTATAGAGCGAGGGCGGACGATGTTGCTGCGAGGGAGTATGAGGATTTGGTGATTACATATGATTAACTAGGAAGCGTTTTTACTGTTTGATATCAAGTTCTGGCGTTGGTGGGTCTCTGAATAAATTCATGATACATTGAGAAGATCCGAAAACTACGTGAATAGGTTCATATCTGACAAGGTGTAATCACCAAACAAGTCCTGAAACTGGACCATTGTCTCAAAGTCCTCGAAGAAGATCTCGTCGGTATGCGGGACCAGTAGCCGCTCTGCAACACGGCTCGTCTGCGCTGTGGCAAACGGAAAGTATTCCATCCAGTCGATCCCTTCCAGCGGGTTGTGCGCCACCGTGTCCGGAATGGGACCGGGGTCAGCTTCCTGGCCCACACTAGTTACAGTATGGGCAGGCCCAGCCTGTGCAGGATCTGAATTCGACAAGGAAAGCAGAGCCTCTGCGCCTGCCGCACTTGGTCTAAGGCGTTGGAACCCCGCATGGAAGATCTCGGCAGTTGGCCACATTGTTCTCAGCTGATCAACAGCCAAGGTAAGGATATCCAGATCCTCGTTTGCGGCTGCAGCGAGACCATCCACGCGACAGGCTTGTAGAAGCGCGATAAACGCCATCCCACAGTACCAGCCTGTAATGGCCATGAGGAACCGTGTCCCGCCTCGAGCAAGGGTGTCGCGGAAAATGCGGGCCACGCACGATGCAGCAAGGATGGCAGGTGGGTAGGCTTCGGGGTGATGGGGTTGATAAGGTTGCTTCAGATGGAGCATTATGATGACGGCGAGGTATGGAAGGTGCAGTTGGTGAACATCACGGTTGAAAGTTGTGGTGCGGTCTGCGTTGATAGGAAGTTGGAGGTGTGGTGGGAGGGATTGAACCCATGTGATGAGTTCGCGGGCGAGGTGGGTGGGAAAGGGCGTGTTGACATCAGAGGTAGGGCGAGCGAGGTACTTGGCTATCCGGCCAATGATGGCACAAAGACGGACCCAATAGATGAAGATCTCAGCACGGATGCGTGCGTTGTGATCGATCAAAGCGTCGGGAAAGTCGTCGAGAGTGGGTTCCGTGATGTCGCAGTCAGCTTCGTCGATGATCGATGGCTTCCCCTGACAGATGGAAGTAAGACGTTCGCGAGCAAACGCTGTCCACCAGATACGCCTGCGGATGAGATGGGAACGGTGGTTTGCAGGGTGGTTGTGTTGAGAAGACGCAGGACCAGGGCCGAGCGAGGGTTGATGGTGGACGCCGAGTTGCTGGCAGTGTCGGACTACACAGCTGGTCCACCACCAGGACGAGTGACGGTGAAGAACAGATGGAGGGCGCGGGCTCCACCAGTAGAAGAGAGAGACGGCTTGCAATGAGCGCACGACATCTGGTTCGGCGTCGTCATAAAACAGGTTGCGCGCGCGCTTGTAATAGGCTGCTGGGCCGTCGTTGGGGATTATAGGGGGTTGAATGTGACTGCCGACGATGGCGAGGGCGTTGACGAGGAGCGGCGATTGAGACAGCTCGTCGATGTTGAGCTGATCGCGGTCGAGGACTGGACACCACGGCGAGCAGTACTCGAGGTATGTCTCGATGAAGCTCTGCTGCAGGTCTGGACTGGGCAGGAGTCGAGGGTCTGGCTGTTGCTGGGCGAGGAGACGCTGTTCCTGATTGCGGGCGTCGGCTTGGATCTCGAGCTCGTAGTATCGCGAGGAGAGGTCGCGCCGGGTTTCGGTATCGTCGGTGCGGCAAGTCGCAGGGGAACAGCTGGGGTTGTCGCCAACAGGATCAATGGGAGGGTGGAGGGGCTGTGTCGGATGGGTGGTCTCTGGCAGAGGGTTGGAATGGTCGAAGCTCCAGATCCACTCTGGAGGGGGCTCGCGCAGGGCGATGCTCTCATCGGCCGTGTCCTTTGCACCTTGTTCGACCGGCGGTGCATCCACCGGCTGTGTTTGCGCCGGCTGCCCCTGCCTGGTGCTGTCACCACTGCCGCTGCTGTCTGGAGGCGTCAGTGGACCGCGTCGCCGCGTAACCCGTTTGGACGGCCGCATGCGACATTCTTTGCCGGCAGAGTCGCAATTCGTGCAGTTGCTGAGGCCCTGCCCGGTGCGGACTTGAAGGTCGCATCGAACCTGCCAGGTCAGCCTAGATGTATCTGGGTTAGGCCAGCTAGAGATACCTTTTTGCTATGACAGATTGTGCAAGCCAGCTCGGCCCGTTTCCGCTTTGGCTGATGGCCGGTGAATTGCAGCCAGGGAGTCGAGGTAACCATGATGGCCTGATGCGATCGAAGATGGGAAGACAGAATGTCGAGAGCATCGGCAGTGAGCAGCAGCTTCGGCTGTGAGCTCTGGGGCAAGGAGATCCGGGGTGCGGGGGGAGTCTCCAGATCCAGCGACCAGCCAATCTCCAGCCGTCGGTAATTCTGGCCTGCTCGCTTCGGCCGGTGAGAGCTGTGGAGCTCTCGTAGCTTGTGTATTGGGGTGTATTTGGAGTCGCCCAGACATCCACTGCCGAAAAATACGGTAAGCAGCCGGTATCACTCTCCACACTCGGGTTACCCCCAAAGGGACAGCCCTGGTTACGACCCGACCCGGGAGTCAATGTCCAGCAAAATGCGAGAGGAATGCACCGTACGATCGACGTCTCTTTTATAAGACCGACACGCAGCTATCTCTTCAAGACCACAGACTAGACATCAGATACACAAGATGGCCATCCCAACCGAGCAACAACCCGCCGTCAACGGTCACGCAGAGACCAACGGCCACACAAACGGCCACACGAATGGCACAGCTCCTGTGCCAGACACAATTCCAACAGAGAAACCTCCACATCCGCGATATGTGCCTCTGAACAACCAGTATGGCTACACACCGCGCAAGCTGCGCGTCATCACCATCGGCGCCGGCTTCTCGGGGCTGTTGATGGCGCACAAGATCCAGCATCGATTCAAGGAGCTGGAAGAGTTCGTCACACACAAGATCTTCGAGATGCGAAGCGACATTGGAGGAACGTGGTTGGTGAACAATTACCCGGGAGTACAATGCGATGTCCCAGGTTCGTAAGCGATATGCCTAGTTATAGCGAATATGCTGCTAACAAATGGATGAAGCACACATCTACGCCTTCCCCTTCGACCCAAATCCCAACTGGTCAAAATTCTACGCCAGCGGTCCGGAGATCCAAGAGTATATCAAAAAGACAGTCGCGAAATGGAACCTCGACCGGGATGTACAGCTAAACACGCGCGTCGTCGCTGCCCGATGGAACGAGAACGACGGCGTGTGGAAAGTGACTGTTGAGCATGAAGGTGTCCAGCGTGACGAATATGCAGAAATCGTCATCAGCGGCCAGGGCGTGCTATGCCATCCCTCCTGGCCGACCATTCAAGGCCTCCACGACTTTAAGGGCAAGATTGTGCATTCGGCAGAATGGGACCACAGCTTCGACTACTCGAACAAGCGCATTGCCGTTATTGGGAATGGGTCTTCGGGGATCCAGATTACCCCTCAGATGGCGGCCCTCCCGGGGACAGAAGTCGTCAATTTCGTCAGATCCAGCGGTTGGATCTATTATCGCTTGCCAGCATCCAGACATCTTGGCCGGAAAACCGACGAAGTCAACCCAACATTCACAGACGAAGAGAAGAAGAAGTTTCAAGATCCAGAGTATCACCACCAATACCGCAAGGGCATCATCGACCGGACAAACAAGGCGTTCAAGCTGTTCCTCAAGGGCGAGTACAACGAGGAAGCAGTCCGCTTCGGCACCGAGCAGATGGCTGCAAAGCTCAACTACGACCCGGAGCTCTGCCGGATCCTCATCCCCAAGTGGGAGGTCGGGTGCAGGCGTGTGACGCCCGGTCCAGGATACCTCGAGTCCTTTTCCAAGCCCAACTGCAACCTGACCGACAGCCCGATCACGCATATTAGCGAGAACGCCGTGCACACAGCTGATGGCAAGACCTTTGAATGCGACGTCGTCATCTGCGCCACGGGCTTTGACGTCTCGCACCGCCCGAAATTTCCCCTCATCGGACAAAACGGGGCGAACCTCGCAGAGAAGTGGGCGGACGAACCAGAGTCCTACCTCTCCGTCGCAACAGCCGGCTTCCCCAACTACTTCATCTTCACGGGGCCCAACTCGCTCGGCGGGCATGGATCCCTCGTCGAAGCCCTAAACTGGACGGGCGACTACTTTGTGAAATGGATCAAGAAGATCGCAACAGAAGACATCAAGTGCGTTGTGCCCAAGAAATCCGCCGAGGAAGCCTCCGTCCGGTACGGCGACGAGGTGCACAAGACGATCGTCTGGACTGGCGGATGCAAGAGCTGGTACAAGCGGAACAAGGCGGATGGGCGGGTGACGGCGCTCTTTGGGGGGTCGGCGCTGCTCTTCAACAGGTTGATTAGTGAGCTGCGGCCTGAGGACTTTGAGATTACGTACAATAGTGTGAATAGCTTTAGATTCTTGGGGAATGGGTTTTTGGAGTATGAGATGGATCCCGAGCAGGATCTTTCGTGGTATGTCGAGATGCCGGAGCCGTTGAAGCAGTGACAGTGATGACTACGGTCATGTCGGGAGGAGTTAGATTTCGTTTCCAATATCCATAGCAGTGAATTTATTCGGTTATCCATTTTGAGACTGATTGCGGGGTTGCATATCCAGATATACTTATATACTTGTGTTTGCTCTGTGTAGATGGACTTCAAACTTCTACTACATCTGATCCAACTTGTTGACTTGTCCGCAAAATGTCCATCCCCGCTACAATGCACGCCTGGCGAAAGCACAAAGGCAACCCTGTCCCAGTACGCACTCCTGCACGCTCACTTCCGATTCGTTGTTAAGCATAAGCAGGTCTGGGAAGAAATCCCCGTTCCCTCCGTCCCACCAACCGGGCTTCTCGTCAAGCTCCTCGCATCAGGAGGTTCGTCACCCAAAGCATAACTCTCAGCAATTGTCTCTCTAATGAACCGTCTAGTCTGCCATAGCGACCAAGCCCTCCTCGACGTCGAGGATAGACCGCAGTTCAACGATGTCTATACACTGGCATGTTCATCTTTCTCTCTACATCCCCACATTTCCAAGCAAAGACTGACGTGGTCTATGTGCAGGGCCACGAAGGCTGCGGCGAAATCGTCGGCATCGGACCCGAAGTAACAGATGCCCGGTTCGAAATCGTACGTTGCCCGATTCCATATACCTATACCCAGCAGACCAAAACGAGGTATTTCAAGCGAAGCTGACGTGCGCGTGTCTAGGGAGGAAAAGTCGCCCTCCTCGCCGTCCCCGGCTGCGGCCTGGATACATGCTCCGAGTGCTCACGGGACCTCGCCCAGCTCTGTCCAAATGGTATGCACCACGGAATCGGACAGGATGGATTTTATGCCGAGTACGTGGCAATCGATGTTCGAGGCGCTGTGCCGCTGCCTGATGGTACGTATTTCTAATGCATACCCCTTCTACCCTTCTCGGACTTGCGCAACGACCTGCGTACTCATGCGTGGTGCATAGGAGTCACTCCACAAGTCGGCGCAATAGCAACCGACGCCGTAACAACCGCGTACCACGGAATCGTCCGCCGCGCCCAAGTCCAGAAAGCCGAAACCGTCTTTCTCTTTGGACTGGGCGGGCTCGGCTTCAACGCCCTCCAAATCGTCCACAGCCACATTGGCGCGCGCGTCCTCGTCTCGGACCTGCGCCCTGAGAAACTCGACGCCGCACGGGCATTGGGGGTCCCCGAATGCGATATCGTGCCCCCGGGAGTCTCCATCCCCGAGTTTATTGCGGAGAAAGGGATCGAGATTGACACCGTGCTTGAATTCGTCGGTGCGGCGCAGACGTTTGCCGATGCGCAGCGGATCGTCCGGCCTGGGGGGAAGATATTGTGTATTGGGACTGGGGAGCGGGTGAATAAGTTGGATATGAAGAATGGGATCCGGAAGAGGTTGAGTTTTGTGTTTTCGTATGGGGGGCAGTATAAGGATCTCGAGGAGGTTCTTGGGCTTATTGCTCGCGGGGTTATTGAGCCGAGAGTTAAGACGGGGAAATTGGTTGATTTTCCAAGATACTTGAGGGAGCTTGGGGAGGGAGTCGTTGAGGACAGGGTTGCGCTTGTTCCTTAGATCTTAACATGGTAGATACCCTGGGGATGTTTTGCGCAATCGCTTCCATTCTATCAACATGCCGGTCGGCCGAGAAGGTGTGATAACAACCACATTAGCTATGGTTCGGGTGATTGCTCCTAGTAAAATTCTTCTGTTCACACATGCGATGTGGATAGGATTTGAACTGTGGTTGGATATGTATGTACAGTGTGTGGTTACTTATTCTGGTATGAGTGTATATGTGCCGAATGAAATCGCTCGCTACCCATTAACACTGGCGCTCTTGGGCATCCCAATCCCAACCGCTGCCGTCGTCCCAGCGTCGACGGGCAGAATGACCCCCGTCATCCAGCGCGCGTGTGGCCCGGCGAGGAAGACTACAGCCGTCGCGCAGTCCCACCCGTTCCCCTCTGTCTGCAACAGACTGCGCTTGCGGCGAGCCTCGCGCGCTTCCTCAGACATGCCGCCGGCGTACATCATCGGTGTGAAGAGCATCTACATCCAGCAATCGATTAGTAGTCACTTCCAAAGAGCAAAGTAAACCATTGAGGGAAAGACTCACCCCCGGACAAACACAATTCACCCTAATCCCCTCCTCGGCATGATGCGCCGCCATGGCCCTCGTGAGCTGCACAACTGCCCCCTTACTCGTCGGATACAGCAGATGCGGCGTGCCACCCCGGAGTCCCGCAACAGAGCCCATGTTGACGATACTCCCGCGCATCCCGCCCTCGTCGCGCTCATTCTTCAGCATCGCGGGGACTGCATATTTCGATACGAGAACCATACTCGACACATTCACTTCCAGACTCTTCGCCCACTGCTCCATGTCGACGTCGATGACCGTCCCTGAGGCGCCCGCGATGCCGACGTTGTTGACTAGGATGTCGAGGCGCGAGAATGTGGAGAGGGCTGTGTTGACCATGGACTCGCAGTCGGATGCGATTGTGACGTCTGCTTGAATGGCGATTGCTTTCCCATAAGCTGAGGCAGAGTTTGATTGAGATTCAGATTTCGACTGCGCTTCCGCTTGTTCTGTAATCATGGCAACCGTCTTCTCCGCCCACTCGAGGTTCCGGTCCACGCAGAGGACATTACACCCGTCGCTCGCGAGGAGGATTGCGATTGCGCGCCCATTGCCGATCCCGTCGCCGTGGCATCCTGCGCCCGTGACGATGGCTGTTTTGCCGTGGAGGGAGCGTGAAGGGGGTGTTGGTGGGATGTCGGCCATCTCTTCTCTCTCTCTCTCTCTCTCTCTCTCTCTCTCTCTCTCTTTTCTTTTCGCTTTGTTTTCCTTATGATTTGCAATGGAGGGGTCAACGAGGGTAGAACCGGAGAGATCGGATCCTGTGCCGATTCCTGTTGCACAAGATGCGGGGTATATATGATAGCCTCGCTATGTACCGAGGAAGTTGGAAATACTTAAACTGGAGAATGGTTTTCGGCGCCGGACTTCATTCTCCGGTTATCCTTTTTGACTACAATAATCGACAGCCGAGCCGAGTCGGAGTGGATTTAGCTGATGCAAGTCACGTAACTGCCGAAGTAGGCGCTTATTTTGTCTATTCTACCTTGCTTGACGATTGCTCTCTTTCGGTCGTGTGATAGAAGCGCAGAGCGATGGATTTCTCAGAATATACCGGCCCCAGCGAGGAGTGGATCGCGCTCGAAAAGACCCTCCCCACGACGATACCCGACCTCACCACCGAGCAGCTCAAGGATGTCACGAACAAAGGCCGCGAGGAGGTTGCGGCGAGGGAGATGGTTGAGCAGGGTACCCCTTCTCTTTCCCTTCTCTTTTTTCCATATTGAACCGAGCTAATATCCTACAGGCCTCGACAAAAAAGTAACCCTCCACGACCTCCGCATCCCCAGCCGCGACGGCTTCACCCTCGAAGCCCGCACCTACCGCCCCATCAACGTCGATGCATCAAAGCCCCTCCCCGTCTACATCCACCTCCACGGCGGCGGCTTCCTCTTCGGCACCCTCTCCTCAGAAGACTCATCCTGCTCCCGGATCGTCGCAACCCTCGCAGACCACGGAACCCCAATCGTCGTAATAAACGTCAACTACCGACACACGCCCGAACACAAGTACCCAGTCGCCTGGAACGACACGGAAGATGCTTTCCACTGGATCCATGAGAACTTGCATCTGCCGGAGATCACGGGTGACCCCGAGAGGGTCATTCTGGGTGGCATTTCCGCGGGCGCGTGGTTGACGGCCTCGACGGTCCTTGCGCAGAATATGGGCCACAACAAAGCTCTGGCAGCCAGACCCAAGATCAAGGGGCAAGTACTCATGATCCCCGCCCTGGTTCACTACGACTGCTACGCGTTGCAGATCGCGCAGCTGCGCGACCCCAGTGTCTCGAGTTGGGTTGAGAATCTCGAGGCGCCGGTCCTGCCGTTTGCGCGGGTGAAGCTGTTTTTGGAGCTTCTTGGTTTGCAGGGCGGGAGTAAGGATCTAGAGAAGGACCTCAGGCTCAATCCTGGGAATGCGAGTGCGCAGCAGGTGAAAGGGTTGCCGCCTGCGACGTTTGGGGTTGCGGGGAGGGATCCGCTACGTGATGAGGGGTTGTTGTTTGCGAAGCTGCTGAGTGAGAATGGGTATGTTTGCCAAGTCTTCGTTTTCCCTACACTTGCTTATGGCCCTGGCTTTGTGGCTTGGTGGTGCACTCTGCTAACCGAGCGTTTAGGGTTCCGACCAAGACGAATGTCTTCAAGGGTGTTCCGCACGGGTTTCGGCGGTATGGGGACGCGTTGTCTGTGTCCAAGAAATGGGATGAGACTGTTGTTGATGGGATTCTGTTCGCGCTGGGTAACCCTCAACCTGGTCCATTTGAGATCCACGCATTCTAGCAGGCGAGGAAATATAGTTATATAGGTAGGAATTTTCTTCGAATACATGGCCATAGATACAACCCTGCTAATTTGTGTAAAAGCCGTTGCCCTTTGAAACGAACGTAGCAATCAAGGGAGAGGAAAGAAGCGAAACCTTGACTGCTGCGTGGCTCCCAAGGTCAACCTCAGGATGCTTCGCGTACAATCCAGTCGTTGAGGGCGCCTCTATTCTGATCTTATCCTTTGACCAAACTCCCGTACCTGGATGGCATTGACAAGGTACGATAAAGCGCCAGTAGGCTGAGAAGTAGAGTAAAAAAGAACAAAGTATTCAAAAAAAAAATATACTGTAATTCCCGTGTGGTATATCCTAGTCTTTAACTTTCCCAGACTATCTACGCCTTCTTCCCCCCCTCGGCCGTCCTCCCCTTCTCCCACCCCTCCACCCACTGATCCTCAATAATCCGCAACTGCAAATCCTGCGTCTTCTTAAAGTACCCCTCGGTATAGTCATCCATATCGACGTCCATGAAGCCTTCTTTTGCAACGGATGCCGGAGTTATCATCAATGAATGGCCTGCCACATGCACACATTAGCACAGATATTTCGAGCTGTAGGAAGAGAAAAGGGGACGAAAAGAGAAGAGTGAGTGTGTACCATTAATAGTCCTATCCGTCGCAATGCGCATGAAACATTTCGCAACGTCCTCCTGTGGCGCGAACTCGACGCCCTTGCTGATCAGCTCCGCTTCGTAAGTGGGTGAGCGAATGGCGGATTTTATGTAGCTGTCCATCGTTTCCATGATTAGTATTCGCCATACAAGTCATGGGTGGGTTAACATGAGGCGAAATAAATAGGATGGGTGACGCACCAAGGTGCCACATAATTGATCCGAATCCCCTGCTCCCACGAGTTCCGCCTCGCAACGCGCATCAGCCCGCGCAGGGCGTATTTGCTGCATGTGTACTGCCAGTTTGCCTATCGTCGTGATTGCCATGTTAGCATTGCGCCTCATCACTCTCTATCCACCGCAAGGACTATCTGGTGTATGTTATGGGAAAAAGGGCAGGGGCTTACCGGAGAATCAATCCAAGCAACCATACTCCCCGTGATGATAAAGCACCGATCCCGGTCTTCGGTGTCGGGCTGCTTGCGGAAGTAGTGTACCGCCAGCTTCCATGTGTATAGTGTGCCCGTGAGGTTGACGTCGACGATGCTGAGGGTTGGTTTTACCGGTGGGGCGTTGATGTCTACCCTCACTGTTAGCATGGGCGTACGACCACTATCACTGGAGCCTCTTGGCCCACTGACGCAAGGCAACATAGGGTACTTTGGAAAGGAGACTCACCATCCAACGGCCAAAGACTATCCCCACTCGCGCGAGAAATCCCCGCATTCGCAATGACGACATCACAGCTCTTACTCGGCGAGTTCGCAATGGCAGCCTCAAACATAGCGACCTGCTCGTCCCACGAGACGATGTTGCATTTCACGAATTGCGCATTTGGCGCGAGTTCGGCTGCGAGCTGTTCACCGCGCTCGACGTTCACGTCGGCGATTGTCACGTATGCGCCTGCTGCGGCGAATTGGCGGACGGTGGTTTCGCCCATGCCGTTTGCGCCTGATGTCGAATGCTTAGTTAGTGATGGGCAGACACGGGACGGAACTGGGAATGGCTTACCGCCGGTCACGATGACGCTCTTCCCCTTGAGCTTGGTGGGGTCCGGGGGGATGGTGCAGTCCACCGGGCCGGTATATTGGTATGGAGGAAGTTGAGGCATTTTGCTTTCGTATGCTTTGGTATAGTTCCAATAATTCACGGAGGGCGATGGGTATCGATGGGCATTTCCTGGTGATTTATGAAGCCTGGAGGTAGCTTGAGGTTTCCCCAGATCGTGGATTGCGGGGAAATTCCGGTCCTGGTTGAAGGCACTCGGTTATCCGCTTTGGGTTAACCGTCGCTCCATGTCCGAAGGCGGCATTCAGGGTGGGACTACCGGCTGTTTTGTTTGGGCTAATGGGTTGTTCGACATGATAAATGCACTCGTTTCTATACATTGTCAAAGTTATGATTTTCATTATTGACTAGATTATAGGCGATAGGTTGGAAAGCAGAGAGGTGCGTCAGCGAAGCCGAAGCACACCAGACAAACACGCTCGACTAAGGTACCGAATCGCTTAAATAGTATATGCACCTTTCTCAACAAGCTTCATTACCCATGTATCTGCCGTTGTCGAACTGCCTGGGATAGTACCCAGTAGGGCCTTGTCGTCTCGTGTGATTGCTCACCTTTAGTCGTAATCAACCTACACGCCGCCGAGAGCCTGATGCTCTTCCATGTAAGTCTCCAAGTAATCTCTTCTCCTCTGCGAGACCGCAAGAGGAAAGCCATTTAGCTCTTATCATTTTGATGGCGAGGGCTCCAAATGGGATGTCTGGAAATGGGAGAGAGATAGGCAAACTCATGCTTCTTTCTGCCCTTTGGATTGAGAACCTCAATCCAGCCATCATAGATGGGCAATCAATCAGCTCACGCAACTTACCAGCAGTTGACTATTGCTTAGATAAGAAGGATAGTACTAACCCTAATTAAACAGTGTGGTTATTTTATACAGAGTGTCCTAAAAGCAACAAGCAATTCAACAATTACTACATAATACTAAACTATAGAGCTTCTGGTACATACGACCACAGGGTGTGGAGAACAGGGCTTCCCGTCCGCTCAGCCGTACTTAAGCCACACGCCGGTAGGTTAGTAGTATGGTGGGTGACCACATGCGAATCCCTACTGTTGTATGTTTTTGCTTTGGATTTTTCTTGACCTGCTTGAATGATTGCTGCATCAGGGGGAAGTTAGTTCAGACCCATGTCTCGCCTCAACGTCCAGCACTACTATATAATTAGTATATGCCAACATGCTTCTCCTATAGCGTCTAGAGCAAAGCACTCGCCGCTTATAACTTACTTGGTCCACTAGGAATGCATAATACCCAATACAAGCAGCGCCCCGCTATACATACTTAAAATATAACCCAGGATACTAGTCTCAGGGCCGGCGTCTGGTCGCTGGACTTTGAGCTGTCACCGACATGATCTATCCAGGGAGTTCCGCAATCATCCAGACTCCGCGGCAAGATTACCCCGTGTATGCTTGTTACCACGGTCCAGATATGGTCTATCTCGTGTAAAAACGACAAAAATGTCTGCCGGGAACGGCAGGACATCTCATGATTGGCCCACAGTGGAAGAAGCGAATGGGAAGTCCTGGATCGTGACGCATGGCGGTGGCTGAGCTGCAGTAAGCGACTAACAGAATATCAGAGGGTAACAGGACTCGATGAAGGGAGAAGGCAGACTTCCTCGCCGGTGTTGATAACCATTGCGACAAGGGGGAATATTCTGGCCTGGTGAAACACTTACAAGAACTGGCGGTGCGGAGGGGGCCAGACTTGAGTAACAAGAGGTCGAAATCTCGGTCTGAATGTCGTCTCCAAGGAGGACAACCAAGCCTGTGGTGCTCTGGCGACCTGTCAGTCCGGTGGGGCTGTGCATGCAGGTGAGCACTGCCGGGCGCCCTCACTGCGAGCCTCGCAGCGCTTCTTTTCTAATTTATCTTCGAATCCCGCCGCCGGATCTCACAACAAGTGGAGCATTCGAAGACTTTAGCCTGCTTCAGTTTACGAGAGATGTCGTCCGCTCGGAAACTTCCCCGTCCAGCTTTCCTCGAGGACTACGACGAGGACACGCATGCCATCCTTCCAGATACACGCCAGGTCGCGACGACGGCCTTGCACCAGCCAAGCACGGACCCAATAGCACATACGATGATCCCCCGCAAAGCGTCAGTCGCCGATCGTCATCTTTTGACAACCTCTATGATGCGACCGAGCCCCCAACTCCCCATCGAACAAGCACGCGCTCGAATGCTTCATTAGAGGTAGAGCCAAGCGGATACCAAGCCAGAATTGCTCCTGATGGGGGGTTGACGCCCATTAATGAACCCCCCGTGGGAATCCCACACCGCGGGTTCTTGTTTTTATGAGATTGACCGGGTACGTTCGTTGCTTTCGTCGTCCCCAACGGGGGCCAATGAGAAGTGCCAACCTGAAGGCTGGCACACTTTACAGGTCTGGGTTGAACAGTGCTACGGCCGCTTGACCCGTGGCAAATATGAACTTATCCACATGGCCCGCACAGGTGAATCTACCAAGGCCAAAGTATTTACTAGAGTAGACGCCGAGGACATCATTGCGTTGGTTTCGAAAAGACTCACAGAGTTTCCCAGAGCAAAGCTCCATTGGCAAGACAAGACCAAGGACGGGTTTGACATGCTCGAAATGTACAAGAACCATATTTCACAATTGGTAAGCCGCCCACTTCCCTGTGTCTCACATGCTTTTATATTATATTATATTTTTTTTGGTTAACCTCCAAGGCCAGGAGTTTCAAGCTCGCCGAAATCCGAGCTCCGACCTTTTCGACGCGATGCAGCAGCTTATGGAGGAGATTCAGATCCTTCATCTTGTCCTCAACCAGCAACTAAGTGTCCTAGAAAGCTCGCTAGAGTTCCTGGCTTGCTCAGATGACCTCCCTACAAAGCTCAGCACATCTGCTATATCTCATAGCCGACAGCATCTCAAGCAGACACAGCACGACCTTTCGCAGCTCGAAAGCATGGCGGATCGAGCCGCCGTAGCAGTACGTCAAGTCGCGTTGGAAGTCATTGGTTATTCCTGTCATGCGTTACTAACCCTAATCCTCCTTTCTTTGCAGCTGCGGTACATGCTCGAGGTACGAAAAGAGTCCAACAGCAAAGCCATCACATTATTCACCATCGTTACGGTCATTTTTCTCCCACTGTCCTTCGTACCCTCGTACCTTGGTATGAACAGCGTCGACATCCGTGGCGGCAGCTTCACCCAAGGGCTGTTCTGGGCCATCGCTATGCCGATCGTAGCCTTCCTGGTAGGTGGACTGTGGATTGCCCTTCGGTTCCGCCGACGCATCAGGCGGGTTGCTATTGATAGATTGGAAAGTTGCAGGGGATGGTGGCGGGGTACGAATACCACTACAGGCTCCGGCTCTGTTGTCGTTGATAGGTTGGCTCAATCCAGATTCGGGTTTGGTTCTGGGCAGTCACACGTTTAGGGTGGTGCAGATACGTACGAATACTGTTGCAGAAGCTGCTTGTCTCGACTATAAGACTTGCCATTGTTCTTACAATCAATCAATCATCAGCAGTAGTTTATTCCTCGCCTCAGGCATAGCGTCTATGCCATACCGCGTCAAGGAGATATGGAAGAACTAAGAATCTCAGTACAGGTACTCAATATCATAGCTCAGATGCGGCGGAAAAGACAGAGGTGGGGGAGAAATATGTGGATCCGATGGGCGTCGATTGAACAGTTTGTTACGAATCGCAATGGAACGAGTGTCGTGTACCTTGTGCTTGAGCATTGCGATGGGGTAGTTTTGAAGATTATGATCCGGGTATTGTCGCCAAATATTTTCTAGAATACCAACTATCTTCCTTAACTTGACCGACCATAGCACAGGACTTTCAACGCCGCGCTAGAACCAGTCTCGCTCTGTCTAGCTACAAGAGCACGTACTACTACGACGCCTGGCATTGTGCTCAAACCTCCACTGCCCAACTCGAGGTGGATATGGCGTATTCCATGAGGAGGGACAAGAGCAGACCTAGTACATGCGCATACTCCATCAGTAGCACTCTGGAAGGACTTCAGACCCAACACCTCCACCCCCTCTTCCTCGCCGCCTTCCGGGCCTCCACACATCTATCTCTAAGGGGATACGCAAGATCATACATCCACGCAGCCGCCGTCTCACTGGTCGTCTCAGCCCCGGGACTCGTCGCAGATATAGGCAGCAACTCCTCCCAAGTCGACGGTTCAGCGCTAGCCTCTTGGTCCAAGGTATCAAAGAGCATGCAGAACAGTCGTTCCCCGTTCTTAGCCCAGTCCTTTGCTTCACATATACACAGCGCGCCACCCCACCGCTTGCCATCGAGGACGTATTCATCCATCATCTCCGATCGGCCCCGTAAAGAAGGCGGTTGCGTGAGTCTGTTGCGCAGTCTGCGCTCCACCAAATCAAGGACAACATGCGACTTTCGCGCAGTGGCCTTTTCAGCGCGGTAATGCATTATGCAATCCCCCTTGCTAGCATTAGGGAGAAAGTACATGTCAAGACGGAAATGGAAATTGGCCATTTCTTGCAGGATAAGATTGAATAGACCGCACATGTCGGTTTGCGGATATCCTGCGGCTGGGTGTGTGAAGTAGATGGCGAATGATATCAGCGGATGGAGGCATTTCTGCGGGTCGTTGTTCTCGTAGATGGTGAATGATTGGGCGCCTTTGTGATCTGGGAAGGCGGACGGCCATAATGGGTAGCTAGGCTCCTCGTCGGACTCTCCAGCTATTGGGTTCCCACGCTCCAGTTGGTGTTCATGGGTCAGTGTGAGCCTTCTAAAGCCGTCGTTTTGCAGATAGCTTGTGCGTTGCCAATGCCGCCGGCAAAGAGCTCCAGATCGGAACGGAGGGTCAGCGTACGGATAGAGAGTAAGGCGGACACCATGGTTGGTGCAAGTCTCTTGAAGCTCGTGTTGGAGGTCCGCCATGTGATGGTCCGTATGGGCAAGACGTTCATCATTTACCCAAAGCTCTGTCAAGCGCGGCAATCCCTTTCCAATGACCGAGGTTAGTGCCCGTAGGACGCCCGACAAGCAGTCTGTACGGACAGTGCTAGTGAACAACATAAGGACTTCCAGGCTGGCAGGCAAGGTAGTGTCCAAGAGCGAGGGGTCGCTACCAAATAGGACCTCTGCTTGGATCGCGAGTGACCTTAATCTGGCAAAAAAAGCCAGCGAAGAAAAGTGGTCCCTGCGCCAGTGGCGACTATTGTCTGTACCATGCATAATGTCCACACTTTCCAGCCTAGACATGTGCTTGTGGAGCATATCCCATATTTGCTGGTTGGACACCTTGCATGTTGTGTCTTTTTTCGCCGGTCCGTGTTTGAATTTGTAGTTATGCCAATAGAAGGAAATACTTCTTAGCGCCTTTGGCAGGGTTAGCAGAGCGTGGACATCGTCTGGTAAACACTTTGACTGCTTGTGCGACGAGATATGCAATTCCTCAATGGCGCACCCACGTTTACTCCGTTCGGGCTGGAGAATCGAGGCAACGTTCTCAGTGTCAAGATTATCCATTGAAAGGGTACGCAGACGCGGCTGGAACAATAGGGGCCATACTCCGTCAAGCTGTAGACGGTGGAAATTGGTAGTATCCCTCTCATATCCCGGAGAACCACGAAGATTTCGGTCGAAAATAGGAACTTCGGGAATAAGATACAGCTCCTGCAGTTTGTCCAGCCTGGATCCCTTGAGAAGTCTATCTAGCGCGGCTCTCAGGTAGGGATCCGAATTAGGTATGTGAGCGTACATTATCGCAACATTTTTGAGGTTAACGAGCAGTAGTGCCATTAGAGGTCGATGATCAGCCAAGGCTAACGCCGACGGTGGAAAATTCTTCAAAATATCGTACTCCAAGTGATGCATTCCCGCGCCGCGGATTCCCTCTGAGAGGAGAGTGCTTTCAGCAACGCTGACCTCAAACGTGTCAGATGACAGGTAAAAGGGGGTACCGTGCCCCCAGTTGCCGACATCCAACGTCTGAACCAGGTTGGCTATGTGTGGGCAAGTTAAAACTGTGCGCAGGAAGCACCAGAGGGACCGGTAAGTGTGGCAGGCGCCATTAAAGGACCAGGAGGAATAGACACGGGGAAGGAACGCCTGATGCCACTTGCGACTGACCAAGAGCAGACTGGTGAGCTGCTGCTGATCCGGCGGCTCACTGGGATTAGAATCGATGTCATATGCATATTTTAGAATGGTATCAAGAAATTCCACGGGCAATTCAACGAGATCGTGCATTGTTGAGTTGTGAAGAGGAATCTGGCAGGGCGGCGCTCTCTCTTTAGGTTAAGTTTGTTACCCACAATGCCAAGACCATTCCCGCGAACCTTATTGGATGAGCAAGTGATCAGCAGCTGCACATTTGCCCGCATGTACATTGGAGCACAGCTGGGGACTGATCTTGTAGTGTGTGGAATAGATAAATGACTATGAAGCGTTGCAGAACAGGATTTAGGTCCTAATATAAAGCAACGTAGTGTGACTGACAGCATAGTATGCAAATACCAATCTGTCGCCCTCACGACTTGTATATATACATCAAGCAACCCCAACACAGTACGCGCTGCCACCCAAAAAGCCTTCAGCACAATCATTCTTAATAGCAGGATTCCTAAAGTATGGGCAATTAGACGAGAGAATTTTATGTATGCAGTGAGCGACATACCAGCTGTAAAATTGTTCCAGCGTGATCCCATATTCCTGAGCAATGTCATAACATGTGTCATCTGACTTAACCAAGTGCCACTTATTACAGGAGCTTGGAATACCCGGTTGGGTTGGACCCGGAGGGCCTCCAGAGGACGTAGTAGTAGTAGTAGTAGTAGTAGTAGTAGTAGTAGTAGTAGTAGTAGTAGTAGTAGTAGTAGTAGTAGTAGTAGTAGTAGTAGTAGTAGTAGTAGTAGTAGTAGTAGTAGTAGTAGTAGTAACCGTTGTCGTGGCTGTGGAACTAGATGAGGTTGATGGCGACGGAGCATTTGTCAGCGTTGTCTCGAAGGCAGCGAGGCAGTACCGAAACTCGGCCTCGGGCATGCACTGACGGGAGGTTATATCAAGGGAAGGGTGCCTGAGTGAGATATATTAGAGTGTCTGGAATGAATGTCAGTTATAATGGGACCAAAAGCGTACCAGTTATGAAGTTGGTCAAGGGAGATACCCCAAAACTCCGCTAGTAGAACGCATGTGGAGGCGTAAAACGTTCCGCCGACATCAATTCGAATCTGGGCGCCGTCCATATAGGCAAAACAATCGCGACGCGTGCCATCCGCAAAAGGTAGTAGGGTTGTTTGGTTTGTTGCGGGGGGTTAGACCTTCCTTTAATCTAGGGAGAAGCCGTGCATTTCCTTACACGTTCTAATTGGTGGTGAAGTTCGTGACAGTCACGTCCCACGTGTTTGAGCCGGGTGGTCTGCGTGAGTTAGAGGCGCCGTCTGGGCTCGGACATCCGGGACCAGGGACTTACGAAACATAGATATCCCTTACCAACCATTGCATTGAGATCGTCGCAGGTCGCATGAAGTGTTCTAAATATCGCTTAGCATATAGCAGTTATCCAGAAAGAGCGATTGACGAATGGATTCTATGACAGAAGCTGGCTAAGGTAGAAAGTATAGTCATCTAGGATGGAGTCACAAGTATCACCGACCGAACCTGATATAAGGAGCAACTGGCCCTGAGGCAGACTTCATTCCTGACTCGTAGAGTGGTGCAATTCTGATCGAGATGAGTTTCAGGAACCCATCAGTAGCAATGGAATTGGCTGCTGTAATTGAGTCGCAAGTGTCATCCTCTGCACCGTATATAACTTTCCAGTACATGAGGGCGTTGCCACTGGAGTAGATGAAGATAATGATGGTGTGATGTTGGTGCTGGTTGGGGCTACATAGGGATAGCTACAGGCCGGGATACTGCAAGAGGATAGTAGCGATGAGAAGGAATTTAGATCAACCCGCATGCGGCCGTAAGAGGACTGCAGCATCACAGCCTCGTACGCTAGAAAGCAATCGGAGCAGGGCTGGAGCGTATTATTGGGATTGGTCACGGCGGAATAGTAGAAGTCGCCCCCTCTGCTAAGGCAGGAGGCGTTAGACGCCCATATTAGCGGATCTAAGGAGCTTTGAACAGTCTGATTCACTCCCCCGGGGAAGGTATATGTGTCAGTGCCGCAGGAGCTCTCCACGTCGTTCTTGAAAGTGCGCAATGAGTCGGCACATGTTCCCGTACATATGGAAGCGAGCGTTGTGTTGTCGATCACAGTCTGACATCCATCTTTATCGGGCATGCTGTACTCGGCGCGGTCATGCCTGAAATCGACCGCGTTTCCCTCGCTGGCTACAATCATTATGCTACATTCATCGACCCTATGGACGGCTTTACTTTCACCCTGCACTCAAATGACTACAAGGGAGACCCCTTGACCATCACCCTCAATTCGACAGAGTCCGAGAAAGTGAACGACGCATTTGTTGGGTACGGTGGGCCGAGCACCTCGGAGCTCGAGTGTCGCGACTTCTGCAAGAAAGTCACCATGTGCCTGCAAAAGGCCGCTGAAAGCACAAAGACGGGGGCGGTTTTCATAGCGAAAGTCACAAAGCGGCGATGCAGCTCCATTTCCGGCTCAATCAAGAACTATTTCACGGCTAATAACTACGCGAATCTGAATACTGTGCTCCAGGGCACTGTTGTTGGGCTCGTCGTCAATATAGTATCCGCACCGATTACCAACGTTTTCCTCAATTCCGATCATAGTCTCCAAGGGCAGAAGAAGAGCGACGCTTGCGATCTTCACGATAAAAGATTCTTGGCTGACGACTTCGTCAGTGCCGTCGGGGAGTTTTGCGTTGCGATTCAGAAGGCGCAAAGCACCAAGACTGAGACCCATTTCATTGCTGGTGATGTGGCCGACAGCGGATCTCATACAGAAAAGGGAGAGCGAGCAATGACCAAGGCTTTTGTCGCAGCGCAGGCTGGGAACTTCGGCCACTGCGTGAGCCGTCTATTATAGCTTTGGATCTAGATGTAATCCTAGTACACTTACACTCTGTGTGGGGTGGTTTAGGATAGTAAATATTGATAAATTACTATATTAAAATACGGATATTAATCTAAATAGGATCTGTATTCCTGGGTTAACTAGCCAAAACCTGCCCTAACCTGTGAGTTAACACAGTTTAATCATGCCTGTATGATAAAAAAAACAGGTACGTAATAAAACTTAGCTTTATATACAGCATAATAGAGCTTAAGGATACGTGGCCTTATTTAGGTCTAACCCTGGGGGAATGGGGCGGGGGGCACTAGGAACAACCAGGGAAGAATGAGGCACCTAATAACATCTGACCAAGCAAACAAGCTTTCTCCAATACAACCTATCACTATTTGCCCTGTTTTGCCAGTATCTGATCCAGTAGACTCGCAAGGACTCTTGAGGGGTGATCATCTGATGGAAGGGTCCCTCTCCAAGCAATCAGACCATCAGGCCGAACCAAGATGGCTTCACCACTGCCAAATTTGCATACGCTTCTGAGCCTAGCAGCGGGATCACATAGTGGGTAGGAGTGCTCTGATATAGCGTACGCAGCGACAGGCACAGGCTGTGCGGCAGCAGCTGAAAGCCAAGGCGACGAGGGATCTCCAGTGAGCAGGACAAAGCTCGTGCGAATAAGATCCAGGGTTGAAATCATCTTGTCATTTTTGGATCGGTCAAGTAGATTTACGTGAGGCAGCCGTGTACCAGCCTGCACGCTGGGAGCATGAGGCTCATCCCACGTCTTTTCAGCGTCGTGTCCCTGAGGGAAGACGAATGCACCAGCTCGATAACGATAACCTAGTTCGCACTTGTCGTCTGGTATCTCCGCTTCATGGGGCACGGACTTATCCTCGAGAACCCGATTAACTAACCGAGCGAATGCTTGCTGCATTGTTCTTTCGGCAGCAGGTTGCCTCTCAGTGCTGTAGGTTGTCAGGAGCGCTGGAGACGCCTTCCCCGTGAGAACGTACGCCAATTTCCACGCCAGATTATATGCATCCTGTATAACGTTAGTGCCTGCCATGGAGGTAATAGGTCACCCTACCTGAATGCCAGTATTTCCGCCCATGCCGCCAGTTGGTGGCATGATATGGGCGGCGTCTCCGGCTAAGAAGACCCGACCCCCTCTGCTTGCGTAACGTTCGCAGTTCAGCGCTGCCACACTCCAGTACGAGACGGATTCAATCACGAGAGATATGTCATCTTCAATCCCCGAAGCGGCGAAGAAAGCATCTCGAGCATCCTTCTCCGTGATCGAATCCGGTTCGAAGTTGTGTTTGTCCCTTAGTCGATTGAGAATCATAAACCCGCGTTTACCCCCATTCTCTAAGCGGAACCCACCGCTGATCTCTTCGTTGACGATGTAGGTTACACCATGGATTGCTCGTGATCCGAGATAAGGAGTCAAGTCCGCTCTGAAGTTGATCGAAACGTTATTCCCAAACGTTCCTGGCCCCCTCCACTCAATCCCTTCTCGCCTGCGCGTTGGGCTCCGATTGCCATCACAGGCCACAAGGTACTTTGCCTTATACTTCTTGTAGTCTCCGGTAGCTATATCCTGGGTCACAACGATCACTCCATCATCTTGCTCCTCATAGTGAACTACCCTTGTAGAGAATACCTGCTGCGCACCAAAGCGGTGGGCTTCTCTTCGGAGCAAGGGCTCAAACATGTTTTGAGTCAGCCATATCCGCTTGCACGGCGTGATCTTGCCCGTTTCCTCCGGGTCAGCCTCTTGCATTTTCATGAGGACGTTACCACCGATCAATCGCTCTACAAGAAGCATGCCGGCGTCCAGGTCAAAGTTCGATGCGCTTGCAGCCTGCATTTCATGCTCCAAATCTAACTGGCGGAAGATTTCCATTGTGCGGAGGAGGAAGAGAGCTGCACGGGGGTGAGTTGCGGTGGATGGATGACGGTCAAATGCGGTTGACTTGATGCTGAGCAGCGTTAGAAATGCAATAAGAACACTGGCCTTAATCTATGAAGCTAGAAGCTTACCCGAGAGATCCGAGTAGGATTCCAAGGGTCATCCCCACCATGCTTGACCCAATGATAATCACTGAGTGCGCTTCATCTTCCAGGGGGATTTTGGAGTGATCGAAATCCCCAAAATCAAACTCGGTTCTTTGTGGCCCGCGAAGGACCGTTTCGTCCGTCTGAATGAATTCAGGAGACATCTTGCTGTCCTCTACTGCCATGCAACCAATTTTCCAGGAATGCTGACGCGTTGCTCTATATACATCGGCTGAGGAATATGTGGAGCCGACATGTGCCGGGGGAAAATATGTGGGCGTCAATCCTGTGCGGGGCCGCGGATACTCATAAGAGGTTATAAGAGCCCATCTCAGGAGAAGCAGGGGACATTCCCTTATTCTCCGCTTCTTCACACACTCCAAGATATCGACTTTGCAGCATGTCTCCCGTTTCCAAGGTCTATGGGGCCACATACTCGACTTGCACTCAGCGGGTGCTCTTCCTGCTCGAGGAGCTCGGGATACCGTACGAGCTAGTCTCGATTAGTATGAAGGAAGGGGAGCATAAGGTCTGGTCACCAATATTATTCATACACAGTCGATGAGTAATGCTAATGGCGTGATCCAAGACACCGACTTTCGTAGATCAACAGCACCCTTTTGGACGTCTCCCGGCATTTGAAGACGCGACTACGAAAGTATTTGAATCCCGCGCAATTTGCTATTACCTGGCCGCGAAGTACGGTGGTCCTCTCCGCCCACCTTGCGAAGACGTGAAGTTATCACGATTCCAACAAGCAGCGAGTGTGGAATACTCATACTTCGATCCACCTATCACGCAATTAGCCTACCAGAAACTATTTAAAAGGTTTGACATCTAGCTGGGAAAAAGAATAAAGCTAAGACAAAATTCTGAAAAAATGACAGGCAAATGGGTCAAGGGGAGCCCGACGAGCAGTTGGTCCATGAATGTGAGCGTAGAATACAGGAATGCCTAGATTACTACGAACAACTTCTAGGGGAGGACGAATACCTCGCTGGAAAGGTGTGGTCATGCTATCCTTTCACTAGGGGCTGTCTCAAATACTAACTGACACACGTGTATTAGAAGTTCACCCTTGTGGATATCTTTCATGCCCCTTGGATCGCCTTCCTATCCAGATTAGAGATGGAGAGCGATATTAGTTCAAGGAAGAATTTGAATGCGTGGTGGGACAGGGTCCGCAACCGGCCTGCGTGGATGGCTGTCACGAATATGGCATGATTGGGATTAATTATACATGCTGTACGATGTATAGAGAGCCTGTTTGCTGAAGAGTTTATGAGGAGTCTAAACTGCACATGGAATGCTTACACTCGGCCGGAGGGTGCTTTAGATTAGGTAGCTGGAATTGGGATCTGCAGATTGGCGAATATGTGGCGGCAGCAAGAATACCTGAGAACACTACGAATACTGAGTAGGTGAACGCTAATGCCTAAAAGGAGAGTATTACGATTCTTGGTTCCATCCGCGTGAGATTTGACATGATGCCTTTTTTTTTTCCTTCAATGAGCTCTAGATATGTATACTACCGCAAAGACAGGGCTCGTAGGATCAATCACGACGGCTCACCATAGCATGCAAGTATTAAGTCGGTCCATCGGTAAATCAAGGGCTAGGTCTCACTTTCTGGAAATTGGAGAGACCTTCCCTCCTCCCTGAAGCTTGAACGTTCGACCCCGCAACGGGCGGTTGGCTGGTGCACTGGCATTATATTTGATCGAAAAGCCATTGCTCCGGACGTTGGAGAACGTACTATCAGCGTTGGTCAAGTTTTGTAGCTCCGTATTGCCCGTGACATTCCAGGTGCTGGATGCATCCAGGGTCACTCCTAACTCAGCATCTCCATATCCAATGTAAGCCTTGCCCGTCCAGAATGAGTGATCGGCGAAGTGCAGGCCCAATGTGCTGCCGTTGTAGGCAACGAGGTCGCCGGTGAGAGTGCTCTGCTCTACAAACACCCGAGCATCAGCCGTGTTAATTGCGGAGGGGGCATCGTCATATCCGGCATAGAAATTAAACTCTTCAGTGACAGTCGAGTAATTCGCCACTGCCAGGATGCCGGATGGGGTTTCAAATTCGGTGTATCGCATGTGGACTTCTGCAGTGATGGCACCGAACCAGAGAGCAGGGGCAGTCTCATCGGTGACTGTCACCTTGGTATGGTCTAGGTAGAAGGAGTTGGCACCACCAGATTTATCTAACCCGAAGATGAAAAGGCCAGCAAGAAGCCCACCTTCCATTTCGCAGTTGGTACAGGATCCCACTGAATTACCGATGCTGAAAAATGCAGGCGAATTGGTGGCAGTACCGACCACATTCGTCAGATTCATCTCTCCCAAAACAAACCCCACTGCGGATCCAATCCCTGTGGTGTGGGCCACTGAGTCATGAATATAGACATAGCCCGCCGGACTATCACCGGAAAATGCTGAGCAGCGATTTCCACCGCTATAGGTCTGCACATTTCTCGCTTTGATGGTGCCATTGCCACTCGCGTACAAGGCATGTGATGTAGGCCCGGAGCTATACATCCAGAGATTCTCTATGTCGATAACCGTATCTGACCCATAGGCATAGACATTGGCCGCACCGTTGTGAGTGGTGATGTTGACATCTGAAAGGTGAATTTCACTTCCATTGGCCGCAAGAACAGCAGAGTTCAGCCCAAAGAAGCTGGCCTGGACAAGATTACTAGAGTATCCGAACTTGATGATCTCGGTGTCGCTAATATCAACAATGGCTCCTTCTGTGGCAATCACCACGCTCGTGTCATTGCTGTCGGTTCTTAAGACTGCGTTTTTAAACGACTTATGCTGGTGGTTTTTCACAGTGTATGGGGCGACGTTGGCAGTTGTCTGGTAATAAATGACGGGGACGTGGTAATCCGCTTTGATTGCGTTGTCAGAAGCCCACTGTGACGCCGGGATAATGTCACTGGGGTCGCTGACGAGGACTGATGCAGATGCAGCAGAAAGAAAAGAAAAGAGGAGAGATGCCTTCATGGTGATAACTTGAGGGTAATCAACTTGATACACCTAAATGGCGCTCTCGAAGCAATATATAGGCACAGCATGCTCCTAGTCTCGCATCGAGTCAAGGTCTTTCAAGGATGACGTTACCATTCATGATGCGGGTCAGACTGGGGACGAAACGGCGACCTTTCTCGGCCCCACGGAGAATTGCCTGCCTGACTCTGTCAAGGCTTCGCGGGGGACCACACGATGGCCTTTGCTTGGTCAACCTGTTCTGTACCCATTCTTTGTCGGGTAGAAGCAGCGGAATACCGGAAGCTCGGATTGCCGGCAAGGGCACCGGTTTTCCGTCCATTTTCTGCTTTAGTATTCCAAATAGAAGATCCTTGAATTGAAAACGCATCCAGACCTTATTCTTACCTTTGTCTACCCCGCATTTTGGGAGCTAGTGCCTGGAGAACTTTGACGCTTTATTAAACTGGATGTTACTAGGCGCATCCCCCTGAGCGGCAATCCTGGTATCAGCTTCCTCTCTAAACGAAGCTATAGTTTGCAGATGCAGGGGTGCTTGTTTCTCCATGTTTCACTATTTCTTTAATTTAGTCCATGAATACTATATGCTGCCGAAGTGGAGGAGTCGGCTACCGACGATCATCGCGGATATAAAAACGGTTGAACCTCGTAACAATCTGGCTGTTTCTTGGGTAGCGATTCGTTGCAGTCTTAATTAACAGGCTCTGTCAAAATGGCTCGCCTCTTTTACCTCATCTTTGTAGCAGCATCACTCACCAGAGCAGATATTACGGTGTCGGACCCTAGTGACGCAATCAACCCTGCAGACTGGGCTGCGGATAATGCATATATCTTCGACTGGCACAATGCAGGAAATGTGAACCAGGAAATTGCAATCCGCGGTCCGTATACCTACAATCACCAGCGGGCCAAAATCCGTCATCGCGTTCTAGAAGATACCGGGAATGATACCAGTGTCCTTGTGGTAGCCAATGGGTCTGATGTCGACGTCGCATACACGACAATCTCCAAGTTCGGTTATATCACGAGCCTGAACCAAGCTAGCTTTTATGGTGAGCTGGAACCGTCCTTATCTCGTTAAGACCATACTCACTGGACATACTACAGGTGTCAATGCCGCCATTAACAACGCAAATCACTCCACTCTGGCCCTGTCCAATGTCAACGTCACTACACACAACGGAGCCGCCAACGTGTACACCTACGGAACGGGAAGTGTGACTTATGCGGATAATGTTTGGCTTTATAGCTCCGGCCCAGTTTCCCATGGGCTCTATGCCTCTGGGAACGGGACTGTGTATGCAAAGAATGTGCGCCACTACGCAGGTGGGACAAGATCCTCCTCTTTCAGTGGTGACTACCCTGCTGGTTACCTTCACGTTCAAGATTCAGTTGCGCATACAGATGGTGTTGGTTCGGCAATCTGCTTCCTGCAAGGCCTCTGCAACATGACCAATGTCATCGGGTACGCTAGAAATTCGCCTGCTATGATCAGCGACAATGCCTTAGGGGATGTGACTGGGATCTGGAGGAACTCAGAATTGACTGCTGGATTACTGGGAGGCATGGTTATGATCTCGGATAGTCAGATCAGAAACGGAACGACGGTGGTTCTGGATAATACCCGCTTAACCGTCCTCGGAGAAACGACGCCAGGCCTATGGTTCGGGAATGTTATCGCAACTGTTGATGTTATCGCTAGCACGATCAACACAAGCTCTGGTATCTTGGCTGTTTCCAATTATTCCTTCTTGACCCAGGACTTTAACTATTATGCCGGGTACGAGGACAATAACAACCTGTCCGCGGCGCAAGCCACCATCAACGTTCAGGATTCGAACTTGTCGGGCTCGATAGTGGTCTACAACCGGTCCTCCATCAGCTTCAATCTGGCGCAGTATTCGAACTGGAATGGTGAAGCAACAATTGGCTACGGCGAAGGATATCTTGCTGTCTCACTCGACAGCACCTCAACTTGGGCCTTGACATCCAATAGCGTCCTTCAGAATTTCACAAATGCCGACCGCAGCCTTTCGAATATCATCAGTAATGGCTACAATATCACGTATGATGCCAAATCGACTGCAAATCATGTTTGGGGCGGGAAAACGTATAAACTCCACGGTGGGGGGCGCATGTACCCTCTGTGAACGGGTTGAAATTTGACTGCGAGTAACCAGCGTGAAACACTGTGCTGAGGGAAATGGGAGAAATATTTGATCTAACCTGATTATTCTGGATAACGAAGAGCTAGCAATCCATTTTCTGCCATCTCCTATCTCTTACAACCGTTGCAGTCTTTCCGTCAAACACATCAAGCCTTGTAACTGAAGGGACCTTGCCCTGTCATTGCTCGTTCCCGCAAAGAGAACATTCGTGCAGGACTTCCGCATATTCCCGACAACCTACTCAGATGAATCCTTTTTGATGCTGATGGTGCGGCCAATTGTGGCTCTCACTCTGCCTGCGGTGTTCTGGGCCACCTTGATCAACTCCGTGACCATCGGGATGATTGTCGTCATCTCTGCCAATTACTCCACTGCATTTTCCACAATCCACAGTTTTGAGACCTGGCAATCTGGACTGACTTTTATTTCTACCATTATCGGATCCCTGATCGCCATCTTTGTGGGTGGATTATCAGATTATATCGCCGACAAGTTGATTATGAGGGCCGCATCATGGCTAATTATGGTCTCATTAGTCAACTTAACCACGGTCCAGTCTGGCAATATCGGGTTGGTGTACATCCTGGATCTTTATCGTCCCATTGCCGGCGAGGTCATAGTAACTCAATCTGTCTTCAAAGGTTTGACTCTCTAGCCAAATCCCAGTAGCTGAATCACAAGTGCAACCGCTAAATTGTGGCAATTCATCACAGCTCTATTCGGATTCTTACTCAGCTTCTATGTTGATACTTGGAGCAACCAATCGGGATATATTCACGTCTTTAACACACTGGCGGGCATAACTGCTGCGGTCTTTCTCCTCGTGTTTTCCGTTTTAATTCTTTGGCCATGTGCTCCGACACATGACGTGGCAATGGGATTTGTGAAAAAGATGCTTCATTGGAATCCAGACCGTGAAGTGGTAGAGTAATAGGTATCTACGGAAATCTGTGCCAGTTGTTATCTACTCGGTATGAGCCAGCGCATGGATGCTGCTGAAAAGCAGCTTTACTCTCCAATCAGTGTAAACTCTTACAAGGATGACACAAGTGGAGCCGAGTGGCGTCAAACAGTCCGGAATTCCGATACGCATAAGAAACGCCGTGTAACTTATTTTGTGGGGAAGGAGAGCACGTACGCCAATGGAGCGTGCTGAAATGGTCACCACGTGTATGCAAATGATAAGTGCCATAATGGTATTAACCAATATTCCCCGTCTTACTTCGCAGTTATCCGAGCCTTCATGCTGGACTTTCGATCCTTTGACGAGTTATGGATTGTCAACGGGGGTATGTCTGAATGATGTGGTGAGGAGTATCATGTCCATCTCTTATGTTCAAATCTGCTTAAAAAGAGTGGAATGGCCAGCAATGCTCGATGAAGAACCCGGGTTGTCCGTACAAGAGATCAATATATATATATATATATATGGTTGATCAACATGTCTATGAGGCCCTGGACCGCTCTCGTCCAGAGGTTTTTCGGGGTGATCTTAAAACTAGGCTTTACAGATTAGACTCTGTCGGTTCCCCATTTTAGAGGTAACCAGCAAGGGAACGGTAGTGCGCTTTATTCTAACCATGGTAATAAAGAGGCTTTGGAAGACCAAGCAACTAATAAGGCAGGGTGATAATAAAAATTCCAAACAGAATCCTGGATGGATGTAGATTCTTATAATAGCTAAATTCATAAAGCGAGATCTCCTACCGCACATAGAGAAATAATGACGTCTGGGACTCCAATAACAGTCTCTATTGCTCGCGCATGATTGCCAAAATATCTTACTTCCATGTTGCTCAAAAAAGGAACAAGCGCTATCTTAATCCTTGAACCTGAATAATTCAAGCACCTTATAACGAAGCCATAAGCGCTGAGAGAATTGCGTGTCATGGAAGAAGTTACTTGTTCTTGGGTCACGTCTTGCTATAGAATGTACGTGCGTGGCCAGCTGTCCGAGGCTGAAAGATGCTTTAGTTTCGTGGCCTGGTTAGCAAACTAGGCAGGGGAAAACTCAGCCAGAGTATTATCCCTCTTGTGATAAACAAGGCACTTGTCCCTCCCGCTTTAAGAGCTGATCTAGTTATGTCATTAAACATCCTTCCTGGTCAAGCTAGCGAAAGATATGCTTGCCAGCATTATCGTGGTAATTAGGGTCTTGAAATCCACCATAAACAATAAATAAGCTTGCCCAGGTAAGACAAGTCATATAATCCTAATAGGGACCTTTAGTGCCTTGCACTGTTAATTCTGAATTATATAGATGGATGTATTAGTAAATAACAGGCGCCTTCTTAGCAGCCTTCCAGGTTAGACTAGCGTGGACGTGTTTATATTTGTACTTGAATTGTTCTGCAGTCCATTCTAGTATATGGGTAACTAATATAAACCACGTTAACCTTGCCACGCATGTTAAAGATGGTGTTAAATGTACTAGTTAGGTAGAAATCTAAAAGCCTGATCTAGGATTTAATAATGAAAATTATTAACTAGATCCTCTAGCTTAGTAAAGGACTCTCTCCTCTTTTTAATATATTATAGCTCTTGTGAAAGTCTTATTAGATTACAAGTACTTGCCAGACTGGTCTATTCCCGGAAAACCCACCAACGTATATCAGCATAAATTATTGGAAGATCAGGACTGTGTCACAGCGGGTGCCTTAGGCAGCTCCGACAGGAGGCCGCACGACCGCCGCTCGGGATCCGACCCGATTAGGCCTAACCCCTTTGGGCCAAATCCCGAATGACTCTTGGCATCGCTGTACATAAAAGACCTATGCAATCGCTGGTCTTCCTGATCCCCAGCGATTCGTTTCTGAATCAATTAGCTTACAGCTTCTCCTTCCTCATTCGTACATCCTACGTAGCCTGACGTCTCGTTGCTTGCTGGGACCTCGCCGCGGGTGAAGACCGACTGGCAGCCGCCACCGATCCGACCTCGCCGCTTACAGACTGGCTCCTTCCACCAGGACCTGTTGAAGAGAAAGAGCTAGATGGGCAGCATCAAGCAGGCGAGTAGTAATTCCTAGGCCTCCAACTGGGTTTATAAGCTAATAAATAAAAGACGAAATCAGCATTAACTGGACCATAGATTGGGCTCTTTCCATTCATCATGTTAAAGGGAATTGAAACGCACATCAGCTGTATTACCAGCTAGTAAAACATTGCTGTCGCGAAACCAAGTGGTGCATTGCTGATGAAAAACATATGGTGCCGTTGCTTTATATTGAGTTTCGCTTGTATCACCCGGAAGGATGCGTCGCAAGCGGTCCTTGACCAACTGGATAGTAGCATTATCTAGCGAACCTATTGTCTCTGGATCTGACTTCTTATCCTGTGTTGCAAATCACCACCTTGTTCCCTTGCCACGTTTAATGACAATACCCCGGTCCACTGGATTAACAATAAAGTTGGCCGCAATCCAGCCACGCAAAAAATACTAGAAATTGACGGCCACGAGTTATTATAATTTGAATATATATCCCTCAAGGCGGATACCAAGACTCTTCTTAACAGGGCTATGCCCGCCGTCCGCACTAATCAAGTATCAACAGGTACGTTCTGTTTCGTGATTAGTACTCCTGTTCTTAGTCTAATATAAAACGGATCTATCACGCTGTTCTAGTCGCTGAACTAATTTCTTAAGTAGTAACTTAATATTACTATTTTCCAGTATTCTCTTCTATAATATCTCTCCTAGTTCCGGTTGGGAGAGATACAGGGTGACGCTAGGATTGTTCAAAGGAGGGCTAACGCTGGCTAAATAAGCCCTGTTAGCATCTCTTTAATTATAGCTATCTATATTTGCCTTCCTGGTAGTAATTATATCCTTAATAATGCCGGCTTTTGCAAACTCCTCTAATATTGGAGGAGGGGGGAATATCTTCGCACGTTACTAGGTGTGGTGCGTGGTGGAGGGGAAAGGGAGTGTGTAACTTATATAATGGCCTAAGAAGAATGATTAATGCCCTTAGCTACTTTAATCACCATGGCATGGATCCCACACTATGCAAGCAGTAGAGCAGTAAACAGGCCCATGGGGCCTATACTAATCACCACGACTAATTCTCGCATCTATATCTTAATAACAAAGAAATTAGCACCGCATTGTATTCCTGCTTATCAGAAGTGTAATAACCACACCATCTGGTCTTCGTTTGTTTGGTGAGCAGATAACTGCAATCCTAGATGAGATAGGTAAGGGTTAAGCTGTGAAGTGCAAGGACGATTATCATAATACCCCTTCTTAAGAAGGGTGTATTCAGCATGCATTTCGGAGCTACCACTATATCGGGATTCCGCGCGCGGGAAGTGGACGCGAAGTCAAACGGAAGCAGCTTTTTAGTCATATGGAACGATTCACATAACTAGTTATTACAAGTCTGTGGGTAAATCCGGCACCTGTGCAGTACTTCCGTCGATGAATCAACCCACGTAGTCCTTCGGGAAGCCGCGTTTGCCCCTCTTACAGCCTCGGTTCTAATCTCCTATTTGTCCACTAGTAAAAAAGCTTATAAAGTAATTTAAAAAGGGTTATGGATTCTAATCTACATAGTACTTAAAGGATTAATTTAAAAGGAAGTTAGAAATAAGTCAGAGGACTCGGACATCGTCAGCCAATGGATCCGCTGTGCCGCAGCCTAGCGCTCTGATGATAATAGAGGAATAATACTCCATACCTAGGTATAGCTAGGCTATGATACTAAGGCTTAGCTAAAGCTACGGGTATAGATGGGCTATATATAGTATAGATAGGTCTATAATAAGAATATAGCTAGGGTATATATAGTATAGTTAAGCTATAGTAAATACTTAGTATGTAAGGATATTTATTACTATATATAATTAGTTTTGGTTACTATCTATTATCTTTAGAATCTAAGCTATTCTACTTTTTAAACTAAGTTATCCTTCTTAGTCTATTAAGAAGCAGTCTTCTCTCTTTAATATAAGAATAACCTTAAGACCTCTAGTCCTAAGCAGGAACGATAGGGCTTATCTAACAATAAGAGGCTTTTTAAAAACGCTAGAAAAGACTTTTATATTACTAATTAACTATTATAGTTAGGAATAGCTTTAAATATTAAAAAACTATAAAAAATACATGGCACACCCAAATGTCCAAGGTAGTTGGGGGCAGCAGAAAGGCACGGATACAAAAGACCAGATCTCAGGTAATAAGAACTCACGCATTTGGGCATGAATGCCGACCTTGTTGCCGTCCCTTACAACACCTACGTCTCCAGAGCATGCAGTGCATATATTGCATAGTCGCCACCGGCATGCCTATCGACAAACCTCCCCGCCTCCACGTCGGATGTCCGTCATATGTGACGGAAAGCCGGCCACATTAAGCAGTTGTTTCCCTTATAGTGAGAGGATGGATTATTTAATGCATACTGTTTGGCTTGTCTTCGTGCATCCTGTCGGTCTTCTATCTGATAATTGCAGATAATATGCTTTTCAACGCAGTGGCATGCCTAGCACTCGTGGTGGGAGGAGTTGCCACCCCCATGCCAACATTGGTCTCGAGGAGCGCGTCAAACACGACCTCTTGCAATCGTGACTGTATGGAAACCATGGTTACCAAAGTCCTAGATTCAATGGTGGCGCACGACCCATTCAGACTCCCACTAGCGGAAGTGTACAAGGCAACCGAGAACTCGCACCCTGCTGCCGTTAACATGATGACCCTCTGGCGCACCGTCACCAAGGCCAGCTCGCCAAACGTACTAGCAATCGATACCACACAAGGCCAGGCATACTTCATGCTACCAATTACCGAAGGGAACGCCACCATTCAAAGTATTCTTTGGGGCCGCATCAAAGTATCCCAGCAGTTGATTACTGAGTTCGAGCTGTTCGTCAACCGCGGTAAAGGTGAGGACGGGTTCGCCTTCGATGTCGAAAATCTCCCCGATAATTTCAAGCGGTGGCAGTACCCGCCAAAAGATCGAACAAAGGCGACCCGGGACCAGTTGGCGCGTCTCGCTGCCTCGAGCTTCAATGCGAATGACAACTTTACGGTGGACATGGCCTCGGACTGCCAATTCACTGAAATGGGCTGGGTGGTGAAGAACGCCGCGTGTAATTGGATGCCTGATCGACCGACCGATTTGAATGCCCGCACTGTGGTCATCGACGAGCAACTAGGCATTGTCGTCACGGCTGGCGTGGTTCCGGGAAAGGTCTACCCCTACGCGACCTTCTCGGCCTTCATTCCGGACTCGATGGAGTCTTCGCAGGCGACGCAGGATACGTGGTACTCAATTCAGAAGTCTGAGGGGTATATCTATTTGGTTGAACCGATGCACACCCTGTCTACCAGTTTCAATGTTTTTCAGTACTACAACAATCAGCTCCAGGGTGAGCAGTTTAACGTCTACCTGACTGCGCCGCAGAATGGAACGAACTGGGCTTAACAGATATGTGCCTTCAGAGTTGAGCTTTCGAAGCTCGTGAATCTCCCCGCCAGCGGAGAGCTGAGTGATTTTATGCCATCAACAAACCCTGTCCTTACTGAGCCCAGATAGCAGACGAGACTTTTCTTGCTCAAGAATGCCTACTAGCATTGCAACTAATTGAGTCCGTTCGCCATCAACGTAATCCAAATTCTCTTCCTGTTTATGCAACGCTCAAGCTCTGTGACACTATTAAATGAAGTAATCAACTTCCGCGTAGCCCTGACTACATCGCAGATTTCTGATCTGCAAACCCTATCTGGAGCGAGAGAGATTTTCGCATCTCCAATAGCGAAGTACATAGCAGACGAGCTGCCCTGTGAGATGTTTCTTTCTAGTACGTAAAGCAGAATACAACTACGAGAGCCCCAGAGTATAACAAATCATGTTCATTATCGACTTCAATGTTGGAGTACAAGACTAATAGAACAATCAACAGCTGTGAGTGTAGACACAGACCAGAAGAGATACCATGGTCGCAAACGAGGACCGTTGTGCCCAAGTTCAGTGACTTAAGCTTGTGACCAAATGCCCCTACAGCCAGGCCGATGTCATATTTGGACCGGTAAGAAAGACATGCAACTGTAAGGCCTGGAGCTCATCGTTATAGTACTGGACAACTTCCAGGTTTTCACCGGTAGCTTCAGTGGGAGTCAGCAGCGTTACATTGCCTTGCCCCTTCACCCAGTCGATCCATACTTCCTGCGCTTCCTGCTGCGTGTGCATGGAGTCGGGGATGAAAGTGGAGATGTTGCCGTAGTATGGATAGACTTTACCCTGGACCATGCCACTGGCAACAACAAATCCCAGTTCTTCGTCGACAACCAGGTTGGCTCGTGCATCCGGATCGTAGGGCCTCGTAGAATCCCAGCTGCACCCAAGCGCGTCGGTCGAGCCGTTTCCGTAGGTCCCGGTATCGACGACACTCCAGCCCACTTCGGTGAACTGACAGGTGTCACTGACAGCGGCGGTGAAGTTACTATATGGATCCCAAAGTGCCACGCCTAGAGCTTCCAATGTTGCGCGGCTCGCTTTCTTTCGTTCTGCCGGCGGTGACATCAGAAGCTTGTAGTTGTCATCAAGTTCCTCGGCCGAGAAGGCAAAGCCGTCATCGCCACGAGAGCGGTTAATAAATAGTTCCAGCTCGGTAATTTGCTGGTCCACCACCTTGACTCGACCTCGGAGGATTGATTCTGTTTTGCTACCTTCACGAATAGCGGAGATAAAATACGCTGAATTTTGCACGGTGTCGATTGCGAGCATGGCGGGCGATTCAACCTTGGTGATGGTACGCCATGCTGTCATCATGGCAGGCGATGATGGGTGCGAGTTCTCGGTCGCCTTGTAGATTGTTGCCAGCGGCAGTGTGCTTGCGTCTTGAAGCCTGATAGAATCCAGAACCTGGGTGACAACGCTTGATAAGTACTCTCGGGAGGTGTTGTGATTCGGCTTCCTGGCTGCAGCGACAACAGGCACCGCCAGCGCGATGCCTACCGCGAAACGAAACAGGCTCAAGGGGATACGCATAGTGAGTTATTGCGAAAGAAAGTCTTGAAGGCCTGGTAGACATGAGATGAGAGGGGTTAGGCCCCTCTTTTATATCGTATCATCTTGTTCAGTCTGTCCCTACTGCTCGTCATTGTACGCGTCACCTCTGCTTGATTGATCAGACCTTAACAGGCAATCATTCAGTCTATCCCTACTGCTCGTCATTGTACCCGGCCCCTCTGCTTGATTGATCAGACCTTAACAGGGGCAATCGATATCTGGGTGCTGAAAATGTGGAGAAGATTTAGTGCTATTTCTCCGGAAGGCCACAAACACCGGAATGCCGTGGTGTGGGAAGTCTCAAAGCCCAGTAGATATCGTAGAGGGAGTTCCCCCACATTCCCGATGTCCTTCCGAAGGCACACGGCAGGCCAAAACTGGGGAAATGTACGGGGGTCTTGTTGTCATTGGAAGCTGCTTCCGTGGTTGAGGGGATGCGGCCCAATTCCACACATTTCAAGTATTTCCCAATCCTGGCTCGACCGTGAGTTTGCTCCTGCATCTCGTCCGCACCGGCGCTTACGTGTTGTCTTTTGGAGGGCTGGAAAGTAGGAGAATGACAAAGGACGTTTCGAAGAGCTCATGATGATCGATCTGTTGCAGGGTGTAATCTGACTCTTATGAGTGTCTTAGATAGACCGCAGATCTCATCATGATGATTTCCTTGTTAATCAATTCGTGGAGGCTTAATCTTCCATAACCCCCCAAAGCGCAATATCTCTATTCGTTCTATGAGTTACGTAGATACGCTGGGAGTTAATGATTAATTATGTTGAAAACCAGTCAAAATTGAATTATTGGTTAATTATATCATCAAAAATCTATTAAAGGGAATCGGGCGCAGATCCTAATAGCGTACTTGACGCCCCTACGCACAGGAAGCAAAGCAGTCAGGGATCGAACTATGTATGTGAACTCTCTAAGGAAGAAGAAAGGAGACAAGGAAAGGAAAGGCCTATAAATGGCCGAAGCAATCAAACACCGCTAGCCTTGGAAATCTCCAGGGGAAATCCTATCGGGAGAACCCAAGGAGATCTTCAAAGAAAATATCCATCAAATGTGGTATTGATCTAGATCAAATCTCCCAGACAAGCGCGTCTTCAACCTCACTGGATCGTGAGTTTATACCTCCACCTTCGCCTCAGGAGCTGGGGCCTTTTCTTTTGCGGCATATGCCTCCGCAGCACGCCGCTCAGCAACTGTCACGTAACTCTTGAAATGGCGCGTAGGCACCCGATTCATGAACAGCTCATCCAGCTCTTCATACGTACGCAGCCGCGTCTCGGGCACATATAAGTATGCGCCGACAATGAAGAAGGCCATGAAACCGCCGAAAACGAACCCAACCTTGGCTTTCAGGTTCCCATACCCAGGGTTGAACATGTATGGTGCAACAAATGACCACATTGTATTGACAGCGTTCGACGAGATGAGAGAGACGGCGAGGGTTTTTGTGCGAAGGGCGGAGGTCGGTATTTCGCCTGCAATGGCGTAGACGTTCGATCCTACACCAACATTGTAAAAGAAATTATACATGGTGTAGAAGCCGACAGCAGCAGTAACGCCTATGATTATATTAGTCATGTTCCAGGGCTTGTTTGTGCTTCCCATCCCGGAATAGATTGCTACTTACCAGCGGTATTGTTGACGGAGCCCGCGATACCCATGCACAGAAGCAGGGTAGTCAGCGCGATACACCCACCGATGAACATGGGGCGTCGACCGTAGAAGTCGCCAACTAGGAAAGAAACCGTAGCACCTGATATAGACAGGATTTGGGCGCCGATTTGAATCATAAATGATTGTCGATCACCAATACCTAGATATTGATACATCAAGGATCCATAGTTTGACACGAATCCAAGACCTGACATTGGTTCGGCAAGGAAGACAAAGACTGCGATCAAAGTTCGACGAAGATTAGTGCCACGGAAACACTCCATGTAAGTTGACTTGTTCCGTGTTCAGCCTCCTCGAGAGTGAGCTTAATGCGTTGAAAATGACCATCTGCATCACTAGGGTCAGAATAGAGACGACTGAGCACCGCCCGAGCGGCTTCCAGCTTATTCGTGCGGATGAGGTAAACTGGTGACTCAGGCATGAAGATTTGACCGATGAATCCAATAGCAGCAAAGCCCCACTGTGCACAGATAAGAGCTTTCCATGACCAGTCGTTGTCCCATTGTGAAGTATAATAGGACATGATGGCTGAGATAAGGGTCCGATACATTGTGACAGGTTGCAGAACCCAATCACAGATGCACGGATAGCGAGCGGAGAAATATCAGGCACATAAGCTGTGCAAAGATTGAGAAACACGCCAATGGCAACAAAGTTCAACATCTTTCCTCCGAAAAATATGCCAATAGAGGTAGTTGCAAATTCGACCCCGACGGATGCAATATTCAGGCAACAGGCGCCAAGCAGGACCGGCTTAGTACCAAGGATATCTGCCAGATAGGACGAAGCAAAAGCGCCTAAGATGGTTGCTGCATTCCCTCCGCCACTGAGAGCCGACTGCCACTTTGTTGCGATGAAATAACTCCCATCAGAATCTTTCTCTCCAAATCGACGTTTGAACTCCGTAATACTGATCACCGAGCCGGCTGACTGGTTTTCGAACCCTCGAACAATGAGTGTCCAAAGCATGACCCCAATCCAGAATAGCAGCCATGGATCACTTTTCAGTGTCATCCAGTAACCACGATTGCGCTCCTGCTGCTGAATGGCACGTCCATGGATTTCGCCGGCATCAACGGTACTCTCAGCTTTCTGTTCCACACAGTTCTCCTTCTTATTGTCATCTTCCTTCATGGTGAGAGCCTGTTAGATGTTATTAGGGATCCCGATCATCGTGAAACCGTGCACTCAAGAGGTTGGTTATAGAAATTGGTTGGTTGAAGTGAGAATAGGAGGGTGAATATGATCGGCTTCAGCTCAAGCGTCATAAAAATTGAGGAGCAACAACAGGCCACATGGGGAATGCTTCCCTTTTATATATCCTCGATGGCGCTGATTGTTGGTTCGTGATTGTACCTTCTTCTTGGATCTTCCATTTCGGAATATCCGGGGCTTAGTTTCTGTGGGGTGCTAATACTGCTTCCGCTGTCACGAGGATCTCGATATTACGCGGCTTCGTATATTATTAGACCGAGCGCAAATTGAAGCTAGTGTGATTTCGGTATTTGTTCGCTTCCAAGGTGCGAAAAGCCAGCAGGTGGCGGGAATTGACCAGTCGGGTGAAAGGAGTTCAGCCATTCGAACCTTTCTTTGTGCTCCGAGATCATTGTGCAAGCAAGGACTCTCGTCAAAATCGATGGCTTCAATAGCGGCCGTCGTGGCCTCTCACATTGATTCCAATCTAGAAATATCTGAGTAGCAGTAACATCATGGTTATTTACCACAAGTTCCCATGGTGTCAGTTTTGGTGGTAGGTCACAATTTGGATCAGCTCCGCGCTGTAGGAGTGCGCACATCATGGGATAGTGTCTCTTGCGCACAGCCCAATGCAGCGCCGTTCCACCTCCTATCTTTTTGTCAACAGGCGCATTGATATCCATCCCGGTACGAAGCGTGACGAAGAAAATGGATGCAAACCCACTCTCCAGAGCCGCGTTCTGGATCTTCCACCTCCTAAGTTCCAGCTCCCTGCGATTCCGTATAGGCGCCTTGCGACGATACTCTCGCCACATCCGCAACACCCGGAACCGCTCGACAAGTTTCCACGGCAGGTGTTTGGCAGCCTTGACAAACTGCTTGTAGCTCGTCTGGTCATCCAGGTAGACCTTGACCCAATCTTCATCACCGTCAAGCACCTCGAAAATATCCACCTTCCCTCCGTGGGCGCGCAAGAGCCGAGTCACATCCGCATTCGATTGCTGTCCCTGGTCGACCGAAATTGAGATACCCAGCGGGGTTCTGCCCCGGTAATCAAGGGCATTAACATAGGCTCCATGGCGCAGCAAGAACTCGGCAACCTCAAGCTGCCCACCTAGGGCCGCAAAGTGAAGCGGTGTCCGGCCGTGCTTTCCTTCCCGGAGATGGATCCGATCCAGCAGGGACTCGACGATATTTCGAGAGCCGTAGTACGCAGCCCAGTGGACTGCGAGCCGGAATGATCGTTTTTCCTCGTCCAGCCACATGTCTCCTCTAATCTGGCAACTTCCTGGTACTGTTCTCTTTTCTTCGCCCGTCGGGCTGTACCTCCTCTCATAATGCGCTACCAGCGCATGCTGGCCCCTTGCAACCATGATCTCCATTGCGCGGCGACGCGGAGCGCCGGGACCGCGTCGTCGTTCGTCTTCAAGGGCAAGCTCCGATAGGTATGTGCCGCGGGGGAGCGAGGCACACACCTGGCGGACCGCAGCTGTTATCCGTGGCGACCCCACCTGTTTCAGGTTATAGTAGTCCAAGACTGGCACGTGGGACACGATCTCGAGGATGAGTTCTGTAGGCAGGCTGGTGAGGTCCATCTTGCGGCCTGCTTGGATATTGCCTGTAGGAGAGTTTCATGATGTTTGGTCGCCTCGAGGATGCGGATACGAGAACAAGGACCCGAGTCGGACTCGGAGTCATGGATCTTGTGGAGTCTCGTATCTATTGTGGCTGTGCATAATGGCTGGAAACACTATAAGAAGAGTTATTTATTTACTTTGTGTCGTATCTGGGCAACAAGATGGGCACATACATTCGAGTTGTGTAGCACAAGCAACGCCAGGTTCGATGGGATATGACCATGGCATACGAAAGCTTCAGTTCCGCATGATTCGCGAATAAATATTCAAACCTATAGGTCATAACAGGCCTGCTAAGATGCAAACATTCTCTGATTGGTCGAAATCCCTGGCAACATCCTCGCGAAATCTGAACTAGTGCAGTGATTTAGCCTGCGAGTGTCTCAGCCGCACGAGAGACGCACCTTCGGCCCCTCCTCTCACTCCCAAGGTCATTCTGGAGGCGCCGGTTTCAGGTTATCAATAGAAACCGATAATCGATCGCAGGATTCTGAAAATTCGGTACGGCAATCAGATCAATGTCACCATATATGCTTGCACGCCGGGCACTGGGGCTCCTCCTCCAGGCCGTCGTGGCGCAAGCCAAACTGCCCCTCGCGACGAACAAGCCGGAAGCTGAATTAAAGAACAGCAAGGAAGTTACTTTTGACCCCCTTGGTGTTGCCGCTATCCTACACAATCCACGCGCCCATAGGAGCGCCGCCAGGCTATACACTCAGCCGTACGGGTCCGCTTTGACTTGGCCACACTTTATGATGTTTGGGGCAACATTGATCCCTCTTCAGGTGCTAGTCGCACACCTCGACCGGGGCTCCAATAATATCCATCCTGCTGTGGCTAGTTTATGTCTAGGAGGGACGACGCAGCTGCCGATAGTGTCGGATACACGCTTGCGTGAATTATCGCTTGATGTCAGCAATAGCTGGTTACGCGACGCGATCGGTTTCAAAGCGTCGCTGCATGCATTGAACGACATTATGATTGTTAATATCCCACCGGCACATCCAGAAGGGTCGGTTGGCGGTGTCGAAAACAGAAACGCACACCGTCTAATCCTCGGCATACTATCCCTCCTAACGGGGCTCATGTTCACCGGTGTAGTCGTCGCTGCAATTCTCGTGCTTGATCTCTGGGCCTTGGCCCTTTTCTTCTTTTACGGACTGCACTGGCTGGCCGGCGTTGGGATTTCAATAGTAGCACCCCTCTACCGAAGCCGAGACCGTGTCATGCCCGACCGAAGCCCTCGCAGCGCCATCATCGAGCGACCCATGGGAGGCCTAGTCGTCCTGCGGGGAACCCAAGAAACATTCGAAATCTGGGCGCGCTCAAACTGGGACTTTCAGAGGTCCCTGCTAAACAACTGTCTCCACTGGTCATGGATCTCAACTGGGGCCATCGCGGCCATTTGCTCTGTCGCGTGTATGGTCAACATGCGTGGGTACATCCAGTTGGCGTTTTTAGGTCTCTTGTTGTGCTCCTCGTTAGCGGAGATAGTGGCCTCTCGTTTCTACAGCCAGCTGGATACCGAGGTGTTTAACGCTAGCACCTGTCTCCTGTTGGAGAGTACCACGAGGATACAGGCAATTGTCCGAGCGACGGTGGAGATCGATGCCGCGTATCGGTTGCACGGGATCAACTGGATAGAGTTGGGACTACTGCCTCCGCTTGGGACATTCCAGGGAATGGTATCGCTGCTTGCTCAGGTAAATACCTTCCAGGATAGGGTTGAAGCAGGGGAGGAGACAGTGCCAGCACAGGGACCGGTGCATCACAAGAGCGTGGAAGGGGCATTTCAGCAGTTCACCGAGGGGGTAGAGAGCTCGCATCAAACCCTAGCGAACCGTATCCTCCATGACGTGCAAACGTCGCTAGAAGTGTGGTGGGAACGCGAAAAGCGCAGGCATTAGACTGAATTACAAGAGGTCGTTGCCAGTAAGCAGAAAGACGGTGATACCCGGTGGAGGAGTCCGCTCATGTAAGTGATTTAGCTCTGCTAGCAGCTATGGAGCATGAGCGCGCCGGGTGCTTGGTCAGGCATGAGAGGTGCAATCTACCATGGCTTTAACGGCGAAGGACCTATCTCCAGTCTTCAAGAGTAATCTTGCGCCGTAATGTCCTAAGTCCCCCGATCCTGCTGTTTGGACCATCCTGTCGCTAAGTGTATATCTCGCTGATGGTGCGAGTGTCCACGTAACGACGACCGACGAGGCCATACGCTCAAGGCAACCCTGGTGTGGACGGATCTACCAGGCCCGCCTCTTCAGAATGATCTACACCTCAGTGTGGGAGGGCCCAGACGGGACCGAGAAGTATGGTAATATGGGCGACAGACCAGAGTTTGATCGGTCCAACCATGTGGAACAGGTGGTTTCGACGAACCTTCTCCAACGAAATGTAAAACTTGATGTGCCTGCCTATCGCATATACACCCTATCCTTTGCGCTGTCGTACGCTCTTTGCTGGAGTATCGACCGTCCGTTGAAGTAGGAATACCAAGAGGAAGTGAGAGGAAAAACAATAGTGAAAGGGTAGGGTTTCCAACACGAAAGATCCCAGTATTGTCTGCAACTCCAGCGTTTTGGGTAAAGTTTTAAGGATCTTCATGACTGAGTTCTCTCCTGAAGCCGTAGCGCTCTGTCAAAACTGGGTGGAGTGTCGTGGATATCCTGGTAGACAGCAAGACGGCCTCGCTACCCCAAACTATACGTCCTACTCATCATCCAAGTCCTCCCATATCCTCTTCCAGCTCTCCGTGATTAGAGCACTCCCAGTACCACTCCGACTCTTCTTGTCCACCTCCCCACCCTCATCCCTACCCTCGCAACCTTCAACTCCCACTTCCAGCAATTCCAACGACGCTCTCAGCCAGGCCGCAAACGCCCTAAACCCCGGGTCATCCCTCCACCCTTCCCTCTCACAGAACCTCAACAAAGCTCTATCCCGCTCAACGACACTTGCCCCCGTCGCCGCCAGCACTTTCGCCAGATCCACCGGACACAAGTACGGCGGCTGCCGCGTGTCCTCGGACAGCGAGGCGCTCCCTTGCATGATGCACGCGTAGTAGACGCAGTGGTCAATGCCGAAACAGTGGCCAAGTTCGTGGCTGATTGTCCGGGCGGTACGGAAGAGCCAGAGGGGTGTCCCGTCCTCTGGATTTAGTCCGGTGGACGAGGTATTCGTGTTGGTGGGGTTGGTGTAGGCGGCAAGAGCTGCTTCGAGCAGTCTATTCGCCCCATTGGGGTTTCTGGATGCTTGCGGGTGAGATGCCGAACTGCCCTTCTTCCTCTTCTTCCCCACAGCTCCTGCCGCCCGGCACGTATCCTCGACATACGCTTGACAATGCGCCGCAGGCCACGCATGCCCCTCCTGAATTCCCTGGATTCCATCAAGCCCTGGATGATACCTCGCCGTCGAAACAACGGCAACACGACTCCCGCCATACGCCCTCCCGCAGACGAAGGTATCGTCATCATCCTCAAACAGGTCGTGGTGCACGAGCATACACAGCGCATACGCGTCCTTGGGTAGGATGCTGATTGCCGCGTCGAGGAGGTCGTCGAGGTTGAGTTGGTGGCTGTAGACGCTGTCGGGGCAGGGGCGGGTGCGGATGCGGATGCATTCTGTGGGAGTTGCTAGGCCGATGGACTGGGGGGTTTTCGCAGTCTTTCGGCGTTTGGTTGTGGTCGAGCGCTTGGTTGCGCCTGGTTTTGGCTCGTCCCAAGAGGTAAACTTCCAGTTTGCCAGGGTCAGTTGTTTAACAGGGAGCCCGTGATAAAAGGCACTTAGATACTCAACAACATCCTGCGTCTCAGCAAACGCAATCATGTCCGGCTCTGACTTGGAGCCTGTTTTTTGCGGCCTCGTCCACGATGCCACTTCCACACCCACACTCGAAGAGTCACCATCACCATCACCATCACCATCACCCCCCGGCGGCCCAAGCACATAAACCGTCCTCCTCCTCGCCGTAAGCCCATTTCGTTCCTCCTCATCAACCCACTCCTGAAACGACTGCGGTGGGTACTCAGGGTCCAGCGCGAGGTCGTCGTCTGGGAGGACCAGTGGGGCGGGGAAGTTTTCTAGGTCTGTTCGTAGTTGGTCGGGGCGGAGTGCACTGGAATTAGATTTTTGCTTTTGGGATGAGGACGACGATGATAAGAAAGATGGGGCTGGGGCTGGGCCCATTGCATCTTGTCGGGTTTCTAGGGAGGGCTGTGTGTATCCAACTTGCGGCGCGTGGGGGGAGGGAGTGTAGATTATTTTGCTGTGTGGACAGTACGCCGCGGAGGGAGGTGATGGGTGCATTTTAGAGAGTCGTTTAGGGGATGGGGGTGGTTTCGAGACCTGCTCTTTTGTTTTGTGGTACGTACCTCGTCTACAGCTGTAGCTCAATGTTTTGATAGACACGTGCTGAGATTAGTGCCTGATTCATCAGGCATGTAAGGCATGTATCGATTGACGCCGCGGTTTCCAGGCATCAACGGGCCATGTGTGGGGTGCCATGGTACAATTTCCCCCACGCTTCAAGCCACGGTCGAAGACGACTGATTCTAAACGTGTTGGATGTCCGGTTCCCTTTCAATTCCAAATGTGGTTTAGCGCCGCAGCTGCGGCCCTTTCCTATATAGGAAAGAGGCTCTTCCAGCTGTTTCTTCCTTCTTCACCTCTCGTTCGCTAGATAGCTCAATGCATCGTCATTCCGTCATAGCCACTTTTGTCAAAACGTGTGATGAGGGCAGCCTTTATAAGCTGTACAAGGTCCTCATAAGGGTATCAGCGAAAACTCCACTTTACACTTTCCCTTATTTCAACAACACGATCTTGGAATAATTGATTGTCAGGATTAATATGATTCATTTGCGCTTCTGGACAGACACGCGGTTATTAGGTACAGTAGCTAGATTATAGATAGTACAATAGACAAGAAACGCCTTGCTAGGCTCGGTAGAACACGCTGATAAGCACATGGATATCGTCGTATGTAGCGTCAAAGATGGGTATGTAGGACGGAAAGAAGCTGTATATAGCCGGCAATGCACGTTGAGTTGAGTGTACATTGTGCCAGTTCAGCATGTTTCGGCGGCACCGCGGGTATTGTGTGGACGCGCGAAGATGGAGTGTGCATCTGTCAGCACCCATGTCGAGATGGTGCCGGGTTGATGCGCTATGTATACCGCGCCAGGCACGCCGGGTAGCGACCGCATGCTCGATGATGCTCTTTGAGCGAAGCGCATAGCTTCCGTAAGTGGGAGTCGAAGACGCCAATGTCTTGCATTTTTCGTCTTGTCGCCAGTATTTCGAATGACAGAATCCTCAACAGGCAAGTCAAGGCGGCCGTGACAGCGTCGACGCAGACGAAACCGGCCGTCTCCGGTCCGACAAGCTAAGCGTGTCAATCGAGTTACCCCAAGGATACTGCTGACGGCGAGAACTCGGCGCCGCATGCGTAACATCCCCCACAATTTGCTCTGGATTAACAAAGGTCGGGAACTGCTCCTGCTCTGTGGAGCTCGTATCCTGGCGATGCGGCTGGACGATTTCAACGAGTTTCCGCAGCACGGCGCACTCGAGTTTCAGCTTGATGCTGTACACGGCAGCCTTGATTGTTGTCTGGAGGAACCATAGCCCGCGGTATTCGAGGACGAGGAGCGCGACGTCCATGGCGATGATGATGAAATTGATTGCGAGCAGTTCGTAAAGGACGCGCGTGCGACGGGTATTTTTCTCGGGTCGGAGCCCGAGGAGTTTGGAGGTTTCCCAGATGTATATTGAGGAGATGAGGATTTCCTGCGCGCAGAACCAGGCGACTTGTAGTCTTTCCATGACGTTGTAGCCCACGATGATAGGCCGGGTGCGGACGTAGATGGTGGAAAAGGTGAGGACTGTTGTGGGGATGAGGAGGATTATCGCGTCGATGATGATGAGCCAGAGGACCAAGCGGAGGAGTTTGCGGTTCTGGACGACGAGGTGCAGGCGCGAGTAGAGGACGACCGATTGCCCGGGGACCATAAAGTAGAAGCCAAAGGTCGAGATTGCGACGCCGAGCCAGGTTGGACCGAGTGCGAAGAACTCCATAAGGTATCCGACGGCGTGCGGGATGACACCCAGCACGCCGGAGAGCAGCATGGTCCAAAAGTATAGTCCAAGGTAGCGCTGGAAGGTGAAGAGGATGAGGATGACGAGTTCCACCACATTGTACAGGGCAAGCGAGCTGAATACGACCACGACGATCTTGACCGGGGCGCTGTTGCCTTTGTAACCTCCAATGAGCCCATCAGGCGGCTGGTCAAGGTCGGTCGTCATCACGAACGAGGACATTTGCTCCGCTCGGTTTGGGTGAGGGTGTTGGATTCGCAGGAGAGGGAGAAGGATTGAGGTAGGTAACCGTACGTGAGGGTCATATGTCGTGTCTCGAGGCCATGTCAACTAGGAAGCATCTGCTTCTGCTGCATCATTGTGTCTTGTCTGTCTGGGAAGGGGGCTGTTGTCGTTGCAAGTGTAAGAATGGGAGGGCCTGACTTTTTCACGTATTCCCCGGCAGAGTCGGATCGGGTTCGGGGAGACCGGGGGCAGATGAGCCACAGAGCCAGAGCCCCCTGCGTGGCGGGCGAACCAAAGAATTGGGACGAGGTGCCCTTTTGGAGCGCTGGAGGCTGCTCAATTCGCGGTGGCGAGGCGGGTGGAGCGAGCTCTTAAATCCTCATCCCTTCCCCCAGTGAGTGGCGGGGCTCTTGGAAAGCAGGGAGTCGGACGCACTGCAGGAGCTCTGGCCGCGCGAGTGAGGTGAGGGGTGCCGCACGAAGAAATGAATGGCGCCAGAGCCAAGCAGCAAGAGGCTGGTCAAGAGCGAGCAAAAGCGTCGATGCGCATCCTTCAAAGGCTTCGACTTCCTTGAATTTCCCTCGCTCGCTTATGTAACCGCCGGGGAAATCCAGAACAAAGTTTGGGGAAACACGCTAGGCCTCAAAGGGGCAAATGGGCCCAACCCTATTGGCTGAGCCACGGGGAATTGCATCACGTGTGCGCCACGAGGAGCGAGCAGAAATTGCAGGCGACAGACTCGACACACACGGACATTTGCCGGACTTGACAAGGGAGTTGCCGACTGGCTACGAATCCCAGGATGCCAATCCTGGTCCGCTGTTGGACTGCCAGAAACTCACGGTCGTGTTACACTCGCCTTTCCATGGTCCGGGCAGATTCGTCCAAATTCTCCCTGGTGTGGCCAAACTTCCTCGTGGTTGCGACTCTGCGCTTACAGATGACCTGCAGCTGCAGCATCACGAGACCTGCTCTCTGGAAGCAGGTTCCGAGATTGCAATTCCTGGCGAGCCGTTATTCTTCGGTCCTCGGGAGGAATTCCTGATCAGATCCGTCCTCCGGAATTGCTGTCCCGTTGCGGGAGTGTGGAAGCTGGGGAAATTCTGGGTTTCCCCAGGGCGTTTGGCATTTTTACCTGCGCTTACCAGGGTTTAGTAATTGAATATAAAGCCCACCGTTAAGTTCTAATATGGTGTCGCTCTTACTTTCCGCATTTGGCAACTTTTTTGACCGTTTAGCTTAATAATCCCTAGAGACATCCGTACCCCTTGTCTGCCAAGACTGCGAAATTTGCGGATGGGGTATTGGTTCATGGCCTATACCACGATTCTCCAAGTGAGTCGGAGTAGATAGTGACACCTTTCCAATAATCGTTGGCTGTTTCAGGTTGAACGCAGTCCAGTTGCGGGTGGAATATATATATACATTGGTGGTGACCAATCACCACACCAAAGAAGCGCCCTGAAGAAGAATTCGTAGATTGCAGTGCTGGTAGAATAAGCGACTATTTACGAGAGAAATTGAAAGTCAAGTTTCGAACCTATTTCTTTGCTAATATAGCCGAGACGCCCGTTTGCTCCAAGGTGTCCGTTTGCCTACAAACGAGAATTGAGCAGGGTCATAGTTGCACATCCACGGATGTTTGGGGTAGAGGAATCCTCAAACAAAAGAAATCCCAGCCTCCGAGGGGTTCAAACAGTCGACAGGCTCATTTTATCCATGCCATTTCGCATAACTGATTTGCTAATCCACAAAGTTCCTGAGCGACAGGTATCATGGCAAAAGTTTGAATCTCCGCGGGGTTCGTGAGAAAGAAAGGGGACCGATGATCCTGTCCAGACATTGTCAGGACAAGTAATGTCAACAGATTTTCATGATGCTAAGTCTAATGCAAAGTAACGTAAGAATGGCCGTCTATTCATCTCAATCGTTACAAAGTCCCCCGCAGCCACTCGGCCAGGGCGCCCTGGGCCATCGCCTGGCCATATGGCATACTCGTCAGCGGAATCTGTCGGTAGAAATCGAGCGAGTCGCCCATGCCCGTTCCAAAACTGGTATTCTGCAGTTCACCATCCTTGTCCACCATGCCCACTACAGCGGTGATTGCCTTTTCCGCGACCGGCTTGTATTCCGCGCTAATGTAGCGTTTTCGTACAGCTTTCAGGATCCCCCACGCAAAGCCCGCTGTCGCCGAACTCTCCACGTACGACTCTTCGTCCAGCAGCGTCCGCCAGAGGCCACTGTCTTGCTGCAGCCGCTTCAACGCTTCAACCTGTGCGACGAGGGTATCAATCAGATGGATGCGGATCGGGTCGTCGGGCTGGAGATCGAGGAGTTCGATGAATTCGGGGATGACGATGGTAACCCACGAGTTACCCCGCGCCCAGCGCGCATTCGCAAAATTGTGGCCTCCATTATCGTCGGCGTTGAACTCCCACCCGTGGAACCACAGCCCCGTCTTGGTGTCAAACAGGTACTTGATGTGGATGAGGAACTGTCGCTTCGCCTCGGCAACGTACTCGGGGCGATTCAGCAGCTTCCCAATCTTGGCCAGCGGCATCACCGTCATCATCAACGTATCATCCCACAACTGCTGGTGATGGTGATTCTCGGTTAAATACGTAATGTGCGCCATGCCCCCGAACCGCGTCCGGGGCAGTTCGTGCATCGCCCACTCGGCCCAGGAATCCAGCCAGGGGAGGTAGGTGATGTTACCCGTCTTCTCGTAGACGTAGGCGAGGGTCAGGAAGACGGCCATGGTGTTGATGTTCTTGGTGGTTCCCTCGCTGAAGCGGGCGGCAAACCAGTCCTCGATAATGGCGAGCAGCTTCGCGTCGCCCGTGAGCTCGTAGTACTTCCAGATTCCGTAGAGCCCGATTCCGTGCGTCCACTCCCAGCCCGCCCAGGACTTTGTGTCGATGACGCGACCATCTTCGAGGCGGAGGAGGAATTTGCCCGTTGTGTCTTGGATGTTGACGAGGTTTGTGATGAGGCGGTTGATTGTTTCGTGCGCTTGCGCTTGGGTGAGGGAGGAGGAGGACATTTTGGGAGACGGAGAGGGGGTTGAGATGGGGGATGTGAATGTCAACGCAGCTTTCGGTAGAAAGGAACATTCCAACCTCTCCCACTCGCTTATCTACCAGCAACGTCGGTCGCCATTGTCCCGCATCCCAGTCGGGAGAATCCCCGATCATCACCCCGAGCGGACGCTGCGATACGTGGAAGAACTGGATGGAATTCTCCGCTGGCGATGGGGCCCGTTCGGCAGAGCGCACCCCGAAGGCGTCGCTAAGGTGCAGCCAAGAAGGCGGAGGAGGCCCTGATTGGCGAGCGGAATTGCCATGCCACGCACGACAAGAGTGCTTGACTCGAATTGTAAATGATCCTCGGCCATCTCGGGCCAATATTCATGGCTGCCCCGGGCGGAGGAGGGGGTCCGGGGGCGAGAATCCCTGCAGCGAAGCTGGGGAAGCTCATCCGTCCTGACTCGTGAGTCGAAGGAGAATTCCCCGTGGAGTACGTGCTACTAATCAGCCGATGCGATAGTTGACCTGTTAATAATGATTCCTTATTCGCGCTCTTGTTGACCGACTCGACTAGCATGGGCCGACGTCGATAAAAGGTGCCCCTCCTCCTCCCCCTGTTGTCCGGTTCTCTTCTTCTCCACAACTGCACTTTGCCTGTCTGGATACTCGTCACCATGGCCGACAACCCAGAGACCGCGCCCGTGTCCAAGGAGGTCAAGGACTCGGCTCACGTCGAGCGCATCCTCTCCGGCGGCGAGGGCATGACCAAGGATGTCGTCGATACCAGTCGTGTCGACAAGGAAATCGCCCAGTATGCCGGCGGCGAGGCCATAGTCATTGACGAGGCAACCAACAAGCGCCTGCGCAAGATGATCGATCGCCGCGTCTTGGTTATTATGATTTGCACGTACTTCCTGCAGGCTCTCGACAAGGGAACAATGTCGTTTGCCTCGATCATGGGTATTCGAGAGCACGCTGGTCTGCTCGAGGGTAACAAGGTACGAATCCATCTTCATTATCCGATAGAAAGCAGTGCTAAGTGTGGCAGTACTCCTGGTTGACAACCTGTATCTACATCGCCGTCCTCATCGTCGAATACCCGACCAACTGGATCATCCAGCGTGTCCCCATCGCCAAATACCTCTCCGCAAACATCATCCTCTGGGGTGCGACTCTCGCCCTGCACTCGGTCGCAAACAACTTCCCCAGCTTGATCGCTGTCCGCACCCTGCTGGGTATCTTCGAGGCCGTCTGCCAGCCCTCGTTCGTCCTCATGTCCAGTATGTGGTATAAGCGCGAGGAGCAGGCTGAAACTGTGACCTACTGGTACGCCACAACCCCTTCTTCTCTACCAAGGCGCTTCTAATCAATGTAGGTACATGATGAACGGTGCCCAGCAAATCGTCGGCGGTCTCCTCGCCTACTGCTTCAGTCTCATCGGCAACGACCACCACGTCAAATCCTTCCACGCCCTCTTCCTCACCTACGGCTGCGCCTCGGTCCTGTGGGGCGTCTTCGTTGGCTGGTGGCTGCCCGACTCGCCCATGCGCGCCAAGTGCTTCAGCGAAGAGGACAAGAAGCTGATGGTCGAGCGTGTCCGCTCCAACCAGACTGGTCTGCAGAACAGGAAGTTCCGTGCCTACCAGGTCTGGGAAGCTGCCAAGGACCCCCAGCTGTATTGCTACATGGCCATCCAGATCTTCACGACGCTGCCGACGAGTGGTCTCGGCGCTTTTGCGAATATCATCATTACTGGATTCGACTTTGATGTCCTGCAGACGCAGTTGCTCGCTATGGTGCTGGGTTTCTATATCATCATCGTGCTCCTCACTTCGGCTTTCTTGGTTAAGAAGACCGGGCAGAACCTCTATGTCATGCTGGGATTCATCATTCCGTATGTGCCCCCTCCCCCTTGTCCCCGTTGTCCCCTCTCTAACAAAATGATTACAGCTCCTACATCGGCACAATCGTCCTCATGACTGTCGAAAACAAAAACATGGGCACCAAAGTCGGCCTGCTCATCTCCTACTACATCACATTATCCTTCTGGTCCGCCCAAAACCTCGGCCTGTCGATGGTCAGTCGGAACATCGGCGGCGCAACCAAGAAATCCGTCTGCATCGCCGCGACATTTGTCTCCTGGGCCGTCGGAAACGCCATCGGCCCCCAGGTCTTCCTCGACCGCGACGCGCCCCGCTACTTCATCGCCTTTGGCGTTCATATCGGGTGCTATGTCTGCCTGACCATTGCGGTTATCTTCCTGCGGTGGTACCTGAGCTGGCAGAACCGCAAGAAGGAGCGTATGCTTGCTGAGGCCGGGCTCGATCCCAATGAGCAGAATCTGGCGCATGCGTTTGAGGATCGCACGGATCAGGAGAATCTTTATTTTAGGTATATCTATTAGGCTTGCTGTTTGATACCATGGTTGTGAGAAGCCTAGTGAGGTGGGATGGTTTTTTTATGGACTGTGATTGAGGAGAAGGACTGTGTTTGGATTTAGGGAAGTTGTGATTTAATTATGATACCTCGCTTCTCAATGGATTGATGATTGATGGAGGAACCATTAAGTAGCTGCGTCTTGATGTCCTTAGTAGATGTTCGCCCTCAGCATATCATGTCGATGGTTCACCTGGTAATTCTCGAGCCGCACCACCCGCAACCTTTTTATCGCTCAGACCCCGGAGCCCAGCGGGCCATATGTATCCATCGTGTAGTTATGTAGATTGCTGCTGGAAAATGACTCCTCCATAGTGTACCAACACTGCCAACCCTCGCTAGCCCAATTTCATCATGGTACACTCACACTCGCACTTACACTCACATTCGTAACATCAGGCCTCATCTAATGTCCTCGTAACCACCTGCAACGGGATATCCCCACCAGCCTCCTTCCTCTGCTCAACAGCGTCGGCGCCCTCTCCACTCCCAGAAGTCGACCGCGTCCTAAACCGATCAAGACCAATCCTCTTCACAGCAGCCGTGACCACAGGGATATAGCCCCTCTGCTCCTGAGCCCGCATACAAAGATACATCAGAATAATAACCATCCAGTACAGATTATACGAGATCACCGAGCCATACGTCGCCGAGTTCGTCCATCCAAAAAGCGCGTTGAAGATACCCCACCCGCCGCCGCCGTTGAGCTCCGGGTTGCAGCAGTTGACGTGCCAGACGCTCTGCCGGATATCGTAGGAGCCTGGGCCCGAACCGGTTTCGGATGCGTCGCCGCCGATGATGGCGTTCCAGGCGTTGGTCTCGAAGTAGCCCACGGCGCGCGAGAAGAGGCCCGCTGAGACGAGGTACAGGAAGCAGGTGGAGATGACGAGGAAGTATTGGAGGGAGGCGGAGCTTCCGCCTCTGTTTACTTTGTCAACGCGGGGTCTGGCTCTGACATTGGCTGCAGGGACAGGACAGGACTTACCGATACAGGACATATCCCACCACAACACCAGCAAGGAGACCGCAGAAAACAGCCAGGGGGAAGGAAGATGCAGGGAGGCCGAGACCCACGCCACCGACATAAACAATCGCCTCAAGACCCTCGCGGAGGACGGTAATAAACGGAAGGGCAAACATGGCATACTTCTCCGACCAGTGCTTCAGACGACCTGACCAGGAGCGGGATTTCTCATTGGACTCGAGGGCCTTTGCGAGCTTGACGCGCCACTTGTCGCGCATCTTGTTCACGCGCAGCAGGCCCGCGCCCATGATGGTAATAATGATTGACGCGATCAGTCCGAAGACGCCTTCCCAGATGTCTTCGGTGTTGGTGAAGGTGTCTTTTTCGAGGCCGTAGAAGGCGCCGATCATGCCTGCGCCGATGCACAGGCAGAGGAAGAGACCCAGGCCGACGCCGCACCAGACCTGTACATGTTAGGGCACTTATTCTGGGCCACAGAGAGGTGTAGAAGAGTATATGATACCTGTTTACGCAGTCGCTTGAGGTTCGCCCGGTTCCCTTCGGCACCTAATGTCTGGGTGAGGAAGGCCAGGAGGACAGAGACAATAATGCTACTCTCGAGGCATTCTCGGAAGCAGATGAAGAAGACTAGACTGGTCAGAGGGCCGTCTGGTAAAAGACTTTCTTGACTCACCAGTAACTGCGAAGACTTGGTTTGCCATGGTGGGCCGAAGGACGCAATGGTTCGTTGAGCGTTGTGAGTACCAAGACTGAGACGAATCCCCCTTATATACCCAAGCCCTACTACTCAACCACACAGCCCAGGGTACGGATCTCTAGAAGACCTTTACGCCGACTTTCGGAATGCCACGGTAGCATGGGTACCCGAGATTCCAGAATCCACTCCGAGGCCGTGTTTGCCGGATGAGCTGGGCTGGCATCGCATGCTCCCACTCTTCCTCCGGTGGACGTGAAAACTCTGACCGCGAAGCGCCATAGCTTTGTGGAGGGCATGCAATCAAGTTACTAGACCAGGCGGGAATCAGGTACACACTAAAATTCGGATCAGATAACCTATTCTAAATGATGTGGATATCTTGTTAGTCAAGGTGGAAACCCAGCAAAAAATACATGGCGTGTATCGCTGTTACCGTTATCCACTTCTACTTCGGGGGTGAGGACGAGTTTATTGAACTATTTCTTCTGTACAGACTTAAATCGGACACTGCTTCTCTCTGCATTTGTCGCCTTGTCGATGTTGCTGCGCCCAAAATGAAAGCCCTTTCTTCTCTCGCATGCCTTGCCGCCCTAACGGCCAGCGCCGTTGCAAAGACACACAACTTGGAGTGGAACATGACGTGGGTGACCGCAAACCCCGATGGCCTGCAACCTCGCCCGGTCATTGGTATCAACAACGAATGGCCACTGCCTCTTCTCAACTTCACCAAAGGCGACCGAGTAATCGCCAACGTGCGAAACCAGCTCGGCAACCAATCAACCAGTGTCCACTTTCACGGATTCTTCCAGAATGGCACGAACGAGATGGATGGGCCGCCTGATCTTACGCAGTGCGCTATTCCACCTAACGAGACTATGGTGTATAATTTTACGGTCAGTGATCTGGCCAGAATTGGTATGTAGGTGTAGGACTAACTGGTTCGGACGTTTTCTAGATCGACCAATCCGGCACGTACTGGTACCACTCGCACACCAAGGGGCAGTATCCAGATGGATGGCGACAGGCTCTTGTTATCCACGATGAAGACGATCCATATAATGGGAAGTATGACAAGGAGCTTGTGATATCGCTATCGGACTGGTACCATGACCAGATGCCTGGCTTATTGAGGCAATTCATTAGCGTTTCGAACCCGACTGGCGCAGAGCCCGTGCCCAAGTCTGCATTAATGAACGATACGCAGAACCTGACTATCCCTGTCGAGCCCGGAAAGACATACCTCCTCCGCCTGGCCAACATTGGCGCGTTTGCTAGTCAATACTTCTGGATTGAAGACCACGAGATGCAGATTGTTGAGGTTGATGGCGTCTGGACCGAACCTGCGAATGCATCCATGATTTACATTGCTTCTGCTCAGCGGTACAGTGTCCTTGTCACCATGAAAAATGAAAGTACCGCCAACTATGCGATGGTGGGCAGTATGGACACCGTAAGCATCATATTCCGTGATTGGACATCCCATTTAACGTTCCAATGCTGATGGTTATAGGACCTGTTTGATACCCTCCCAGACACACTCAACTACAACGTGACCGGCTGGCTTGTATATGACGAATCTGCCGAAAGGCCAGCGGCAAAGGATGTGGCTGAATTTGATTACTACGACGACTATACTCTTGTCCCATACGACAAAATTGAAGCATACCCCGACGCAGATATGACAATTACCCTAGATCTGACCATGGACAATTTAGGCGACGGAGCCAACTAGTACGTCTCACAGCCTACATTCGTTCACCACAGAGCTGCATACTTACTCTAGCATCAGCGCCTTCTTTAACGGCATCTCCTACGTAGCGCCCAAGGTCCCAGTGCTCTACTCAGTGCTCACGACTGGCTCCGCAGCAACCGATGCCGCAATCTACGGGACAGACACCAACGCATTCGTCTTTGATAAAGGCGACGTTATTGATATCGTACTGAACAACGACGATACGGGCAAGCACCCGTTCCACCTTCACGGGCATAACTTCCAGGTACTCTGGCGCAGCGGCGATGACGAGGGCCACTATAACCTTGAGAATGCCACGTTTGCGCCGATTCCTGTCAGACGTGATACCCTCATTGCGCCGCCGAGTGGGAATTTCCTGGTTAGATTTGTTGCGGATAATCCTGGTACGCATCTCTCCTCTCCATGCGCAATTACACTCCAATCTGCTGAACCGGAGTGAAAGCATGCTAACTCGAACAAACGGTGCCCAGGAGTCTGGTTCTTCCACTGCCACATCGAATGGCACATGGACGCCGGCCTCGCAGCCGTCATGGTCGAAGCACCAACGTACCTCCAGGAACACCTGGCAATCCCGCAGAACCACTACGACGTCTGTGCGGCGAGTGGCACGCTTACCGCTGGTAATGCGGCGGGCAATACTGAAGACTTTTACGACCTGACCGGCGAGAACAGGGCTGTTGCGCCTCTACCTGCGGGCTTTACGGCGCGCGGCATTGTTGCGCTTGTGTTCAGCTGCGTCGCTGCTTTCCTGGGGTTGGCTTCGATTGTTTGGTGGGGTTTCCCTTGCTTGCGTTTGGTCCAGCTGCTAATTGTGCCCAGGTATGGAGTCGCTCCGATCAAGAATAATCGGATCACACTCTAGCGAGTGCGGAGGAAAACGATATTAGAGGGAAATATGTTGGACTTTGAATTTGTAGTGTTCGCTATTTATCGATGAAATTTAGACGATTCTTAACTAGCTTTGCGACGCTATGTAGATGTATTGTATGCTAGTAACCGCGACGACATCAAGACCAAATTTTATATAGCAGTGTATCCATAGCTCAGCCCCTTTCCCCGAGACTCTACCGGTTCCCTTCCCAGAATTCTCTATCCTCCTTTCTACCACGCCTCTAGGCTCCATAGAAACGACTACATCCAGCGGCATGAAAGACTTTGATCGTTTGGAGCCATTAGCAAGATCCAGACCTTGGTACTCTCAGAATATAGCAGCTCCACACACTCCACCGATTGATAACCGACCTGCCCCGCCACCTAAAAGTCGCAAACCCAACCGAATCTGGAAGACCACGAACCCTCCCGAGTCGGCCCCAGTGTGAATAGTAGCACAGGTCTAGAGCATGCAGCCTTATGAGGTTTCGAGCATATTCTTCGAGCAGCCTTCACTCAGCGAGAAGCAACAGCACGCCCGAGAACTCGATTATCTGGACATCGGAAGATATCAGCCGGTCGGCATACCTCCATCGTGTGTATGATACCGTATTACGGACGCCACGCGCTGCGAGTGGGAACCCCCACCGACACTTAAGCGACGCTTGGTGGGAGCTTGTGCGAGCTTTGTCCGGATGCTAAGTCTCTGCCAAGAGATGGAGTCGATACGGAGTATGACCACTCGGAGGCTTCACGATGAAAAATTCTGCACCTGTCCACGTAGGGATCAAATTTCGTCTTTGGGGCTCTGTTCATGGCAGGCTCCGATATTCGGGGAGAGGCGAGGCTATCCGGGGGATGAATCCAGGCATGCCATCTTCTCGCAAGACCACCCCAAATCTGGCATCAAAAGCCCCGGTTAAAGTGACAGTCTCTTGGGATTCCTACGGAAAGGTAAGGTCGTGTGGGCTGTCACCGGCGCCTCGCTAGAAGTGCGAGCAGTTCCTGCCCACTACCGAGACACGATGACTAGTCCGATAGCCTCAACACTCGCAAACAAGTGCTGCTTCTGGCTCTACCACAGTATGCGTGTCAGCAGTCGTGTTATCTGATGGAAACCGGATGGATTTCGCGGAAGCCATATGCTAAAGCTAATACTAAGGGCATTGGTGTGAAACAGGCTCGTCTGTAACGCCCTTATATACTGCTGATCCCTCCCTATTCCTGTGGCGACGTGCAAAGCTCAACTTCTCGACATGCTTGCAAAGGCGCCTCTTTTGGCTCTGTGCTTGGCCACCGCGCCGGCTCTCGCTGGGCAAGGTGGGTTCGAGATGGCTGCCGACAGCTTGGATAAGTACTGCTTCTACTCCATCTACACCACCCTCACGGGGTATACGTTCGCTGGGAGTACTATAATTTCCCAGGATACTGGGAGCACCTCCCATGATGGTGATACGGCTTCCTCGAACACAGAAAGCTCTTCGGCTAGTCAGTCCTCAACCACGGCACACGGATCTTCTGACACAAATACCTCCTCCGACGCCGAGTCTTCCGCTACTGCCCACGGTTCTTCTGATTCAACATCCTACGCGGGCGATGAATCATCCTCAAGTGGCCATTCGTCCATGAGAACTAAACGCCTCTTCCGTAGAGGCCATGGTGGAGGCTCAACCTCATCGGGACCCTGCAACAGCACGGTCGAGGTGACATCCCTGTACGCAAGTGCGAAAGCATGGTGCAGCAAGTCCCAGTTTGAAGTCACCATTCCCTACTGGCAGAGCCTCTGCGAGCAAAACAGCTTGACGCTCATGGATCTCACCGCAATTGAAGCCAATGTTACGGATGCATACATTGTATCTCTGCCAACCATTGATCCCGATACGAATAGTACAACCAGTACGGGGACTATTCAGTCTCCTGTTCTGTTGAGCGAGTCTTATTATAAGCGCGCTTACAAGTCTTATGTATCGTCCCTGTCTCGTGCTAGAGTAAGACATGCTAATAAGGATATGTAGGTAACACACGACTACGCTCTATCAAAAGACAAACGGTTCGGTTGGGCTCTCATGGGCTACTGGGGCGGCATCCTGCTCTTGGGCATGGTTGCCAGGTTTGCAGGTTTTGTGACCAGCGGACAGCGTACACTTACTCTGCAGGATGCAGAGTCCAGCGGTGCCGTCCGCCGCAACAAACGGACAGGCATCCTGGCGAAGCTCATCGATATTCCAATGCATTACCTACGAACATACTTGGTCATGCCCGCCAGCTTCGCACCATTCCTTACTAACCACCAGCAAGTCTACTACTGGCACACGATCCCTCGACGCCTAGATTCGATAATCGTCTTTGGATTCTGGGCGCTGTGCATCATTCTCGGATGCGTGGACTACCAGAGTTTCTCTGGAAACATTCAGTAATCTTCCCTCTGATAGCCGTGCCCGAGAATTGTACTGACGATACACTACAGGATCACCAGCCTGGCGCAGCAAAACTGGCAATACTCGTCTGACCGGACGGGGATTCTATCCTATGCCTGTCTGCCCTTCCTTTGGCTGTTTGGCGGTCGGAATAACATCTTCCTCTGGGCGACCAATTTCAATGCGCAGTCCTTCAACATTTTTCACCGGCATGTTGCTTGGGCTTGCACTATTCTTGCCATCGTACACTCGATCAATTACAGTGTTGTCTTTGCGTACTATGGTAAGTTGGCTGGAAACTCTACTGGACTTTTTGGCTAATACCCAACTAGATGGCAGATGGGACAGCGTCTGGGTGCAGAACTATTGGTACATGGGCGTTGTGGTAAGACTATCGCGGACAACGAGAAATATTAGAGTCTAATTTATCCAACGTGTACCAGGCAACAATCCTTATGTCCTTTATGCTCGTGCAATCAATCACTATCCTCCGGCACAAGGGCTACGACACCTTCCTTATTATCCACATCATCTTCGCCATTGTCGTAGTGTACGCTCTCTTCAGGTATGCACCCTCCGAGGAAAAAAAAGCAGAATCGACTCAAATCCAGCTAACGTGTTACAAGACACACCAGCTTCGACGGCACAAAATGGAACGGATACTTGTGGCCCATGGTCGCAATCTGGGGGCTCGACCGCACAGTCCGGCTCGTCCGCATCACCTACTGCAATCTCAACGTGCGCTTCGGAAACGGGGTCGTCGCAACAACACCCAAGGTCGAGTACTTTGAGGACAGCGACCTCATCCGAGTCGAAATGACACTCTCCACTGCACTCACCCCGCGGCCTGGCCAGCACTACTACCTGTACCAGCCACTGACGCTCAGGGGCTGGGAGAATCACCCGTTCACGCTGGGGGCTTATGTCCTTCCCAAATCGGACGAGGAGCGCTGCAAGCTTATCTTCTACATTCGGCCGTATGATGGCTGGACGAGGCGGGTACGGGATCAATGTCGGAACGGTCCTTATGGCATGCAGCCGCGGCTGCTCCTGGAAGGACCGTACGGACATACGGCGTCTCTGCACACATTCGACACAGTCCTCATGGTCGTCGGCGGAACTGGTATCGCTGCAGCAGTGCCGTATATCATTGACCATCTCTCGCGCTGCGCCGTGGGCCGTACACAAACGTCCAGGATCAGGCTAGTCTGGTCCGCGCGCACGAAGGAGATGTATTCTCGAATCTTCTGCGACGAGCTGGCCACGCTCTTGCACCATGAGACTATTTCGACGACCTTCTACTGCACCAAGGGGACAGACAGTTTACCGGATACCAAGTCGGAGACTAGCAATGCCCCTGGCGACGCTGTGGCTAGATCCGACTCTGCTACAGAGAAGAAGGGGGCTGAAGTGTCTGGTACGGCACCGGTGAACTTTGTAACCGGGCGACCGGATGTGAGGGGGCTTGTGGCGATGGAGGCTGAAGAGACAAAGGTGAGCTCTGGACGGTTGGCTGTTTTAACTTGTGGTCCTGCCCAGATGGCAGATGATTGTCGGCAGACGGTGTATGAGATCATGAAGAGGGGATTTAGGGATATTGAGTATTATGAGGAGGCTTTCGGGTGGTGAAGTCGTTTGGCCGTCAAGGTGCCAAGTCGCTGCTGCATTAGAAGATAAAAGTTCATCGTGCCATTTATTCCCTTACAGATGCGATCAATGTGAATGCTAAACTCATGGCGAATGTGGTGGCGATTTTAGATAAGATTAGATTAGATAGATTAGATTAGATAGATTAGATTAGGGCGCTACAGCGCTGCAGGCCGCGAACGTACTTGACCCTCCTACCACTAACTTGATCTTATCAACTCTTCTTCCAACCCTTGCTCTCCACCACAACACGATCAATATGGTCTTTCCAGGCAGACGGAGCACGGGCTGTTATACATGCCGCCAGCGGAAAGTAAAGGTGCGTCAAACACCTGGAAATTTATCGATGATCGCTCACCGCGGCTAGTGCGACGCCACGAGGCCAGCATGTGCGCGCTGTACAAAGTTCGGCAGGAAGTGTGGAGGGTACCCTGATATATTCACGTTTAAATCATATGATGGACCCTTGTCTCGCGAACCCTTCCAGTCGCTGTCGATCGAGAGTGACGAGGAATCTAGAGGAAATTCTACTCTAGAAAAATCTTCCGAGGCTGGCTTGCCAATGTCCATGCAACTCGATATTTACGACTTCGGAGGTGACTCACACTCGATGCTCATATCGCCGAATATTGGCAGTGCTTGCTCAGATATGTCTTCCCTGGCGTATTTCATGCACCATTATGTCGTCGTCATACACAAGTCGCCGTGCGGCGGCCACTTGACTTTCTTGCCAGACTTGTATCGCGAAAAAGGTGCAGAACCATGTCTGAGCCACGCAGTGCAGAGTGTCGCGTACTTGTCGTTGTTCAACCTCCATGGTGCCCCGACCCTGTGGTACCAGGCGCGCAGACAGTACAGTCTTGCCTTGGCGGCTCTAGCAGCTGCAATTGATACCCCCGAGTCGGCTGCCGGGGACGAGGTCTTTGCTTCTTCGTTGCTTCTTAGCATGTTTGTTGTAAGCTGCTGTGCCTTTTCCTAACTGCCGTTGGCGCTGAGACTTGCTGATATTATCCCGCAGGATTTAAGTAACGAGAGAACAAGTGACGCAAATGAGCATATCCCTGGCATGCATGCCCTGATGCAATTGCGCAGTCCGGGAGGTAAATATGGTCGGGGATTGCTTGCATGGGCCGCTACACAGATGGTACCTTCATGTTTGACCACTTAGGATACGGGCTGTACCATGGCTAACTCGAGAGAAAGGTGCAAACAATCTCAACACATCAGTATCAATATGCTCTTCTCCCTCCCCTGCTGAAAGAGATTCAACGGCCAGATAGTGTATCCCAAGCTGTGAAGCTGCTCGGTCTCTTATCACACTTCTGTCAATCAGTCCAGGATATCAAGAAAGCCTTACCATGGCAACTCGACAATACCCCTACCGATGCCCGAACTCCATTCAACGACCTACTCTGTGAGATTTCATGGAAGCTAAAGCACGTATTCTATGAGATCGACAACTGGCACGCATGTCTCCCCTTTCACTGGAAGCGCCAGCTGCAAAGTATGAGAATCGGCAATGCATTAGGGGCACAGCGTGGGGGACTAGGACTATCTGGCCAGGACGCTTGGACGACGTGTTTCCTTGCGCTCATAACATCCGCACACCTGGCGTTCTACATCCAGTGTCTGGATAGCTCAAAGCTTTTGCACTCACCTAGTGGAGCAGGACCTACATCTCTGTCACTTTACAACATTGAGGGGCGGATCCGTGAGGCAATCAGGGCTATCTGCTCGGCTGTTCAGTGTAGCCTGGGATCGCTGGATGAGAATGGTGTATTTGAACCGTCATGGGAGGCCAAAGGAGGAATCGGGCACAACCTGCTTTCGCCCATGGAGCTGGTTGCGCGGTGTCGGTTCGCCTCTCCAGATCAGGCGTTGCTTTGTACACAGGCTTTGCAGATTTTAAGGCGATAATTCCCATTCTTTAGTGTTCTGTTGCGCAGGATGCTGGTAGCTATAGAGAGCGAACGCAGCGATATTTCCTCGTCTGGTTGCTCTGGCTCTGGCCCCCCGAAGAAGGCAGCGACAACGTCTCGCCACTCGTGCGTAGAAAACTCCCAACTCTCAAGACTCAAGGCGAGGGACCCACAATCTGAACATCGGAGCAAAACTCTTCACCCCACCGGGGACCTCGGGGTTGATTGCCCGGAAAATGGTGGGTTTGCGAGCAGCTCCACTGTGAAGTTATCTTATCTCCGAGGCTTTCGCGTCCCCATTAAACTAGAACAAGAGAAGGATCTGATGAGTCTCTTCGAGCAATTTTTAGATGAAAGCCTGGCTGGGGGGTACTACCACCATAAAGTGACTTGCTAGAGCAGATATGCAACATATCGACACCTCTCCTAACGCAACCAACACTCCATTTTTTAGAGCTATCTAATGCCAAATCTCACCCCAGTAATCATTCACCCTTCCCCACCCTTCCTCAAGCTTCCGACACTTGGGCTTCTCAAAGTCCTTCTTCGAGCCCCGTGGCCAGATGGGAATAGCACAGAACTCATCACCCCGGCACGCGCGGCACTCCTTCCAGACAGTCCAGTCGAGATAACCCATTAGCTGGTGCACGGTATCACGGACTGTTTCATCATCCGTTTGGGATCGTAGTGATACAAGGGTCGAGCAGATCTGGTGACTTATGGTGTACAGTGCCTGATGGGCGAGTGGTGAGCTGTCGGTTGGGACGGAGAGGAACTGCGTTGAGCATAGCGCAGTCGATTCCTTAGGGTCGTTTCCGAATCCCGCCATTAGATCAGAGATCTGCGCCTGAGGAGATTTCATTTGCGGCTCGTCGTCGTGCTCTTTGCGATGAGCATGGGGCTTCCTGTGAACGAGCCCCTGCAAGAAGCGGCCATACCGCGCCACGATGAGATCAGCGACAGATTGCCAGTTGACTGAGCCGGCGATGTCGGGCTCATGGTCCATGATGAGGCGGGTTAGATCATCACTTATGGGCGATAGATCATTTACCGAAAGGTGCTGCATCCGAGGACCAGAGCTGTTATCAGGCCATAGATTGAGATCAAAGGTGTAGGCCGATACGAAATGGTCGTAGTATACGCGTACTCTGTCGCCGCCGATGCCGTTGAAGCGCGAGGTTATCGCTCGAAGAAGCTCGCTGGACTTTCCTGGCCCGTTGCTGTTGCCGTTCTCTTGCCTGCGGACAGGCATGATCTTGACAGTGCCCAAGGTGTTGTCGGGGCGACAGAGGATAATCTCAAAGCCAGCGGCCATCCGAATCGCCCCATCAAGGCGACCATTCCATTCTGTCCTGGCCAGCTCACAGACTTTTCTTGCACGCTCATCCTCCATGCTGACACCCCCATCAAAGGTATCATTGAAAAGGACCCGATCCTGCAGATCAAGCGTCCCAATCTTAGACTTTCCCGCAGAAGTCCCATCAATGTACAGCAGCCGAAGCTCCCGGGTAGTATCGTACGTGTGAAGCCAGCCAGTCTCGGTCTCACGCTCCGCGCCTTCACTCAATGCCCCCTGTTGCAGTACGTTCTGGCTCGGATCCGGCGGTGGGCCGTCTCGGGGACGGTGAGGGCGAGGGCGTGCAAACACCATAGCATGCTCCGGCTCAAGCGCCATCCATCCTATATCTCGAATAGGGGTTGGGTCTGCGTTTCCGTGATAGAGCCGCACGCCAGCAGGGACGGTCGCGAGGAAGAATGACATGCCGTTATGGTGGATTGAGGCACCCCACTGGCGCGTCGAGCTATGGATTGCGTTGAAGATGTGATTCGCATTATTCAACGGAGGGGGACTCTGTATAGCAAGGACTCCTGAGAGGAGGAGAGATAGAGCTGGGAGTTTCATCGTTCGTTGCGTGGGCAGGTACATGGGAGTCAGGAGGTGCTGGCGGACTTGAATGCGAGGGTGAGATGAGTACGGACCATCTAGGAATCACCTGTCTCGGGTACTTCTATCCCTGTTCTCCACCTGTAAGATATAAATAATGACTAAAATAAAGGCGCTAGTCTATGCTATACGCATATTGTCTGGCTTTGCGCAAGACCGAGCTGTTAACGCCGAGCGTAGATCCAGTGGGTCAGCAACGCGTTACGCACTCTACCAAAGGCTGACGTAGGGGAAAGTTTAAGTTCTTCACCAAATCTAGTATTCTGCAGAGCGAAAAAGAGCAGATTCTACCGTACCTAGACCTAAGCCAAAACGGCTTTACGTATGTCATTGCCGATCTACGGGAAGGTCGGCGCAGGCATGGAGTCACTCAGGTACTGCATTTGGTATCTATAAAAGGCGCGTTCAGCGATGGCATTACACTCATCACAACCTGGTCCTTGCCCATACTTCTCCTTGTGCCTTCTCAGCCATGGCGCGCCTCACCTGGCCAGCTGCTCTCCTAGCCCTGACTGCCTCAGCACCAGCCCATGCCCAACTTTACAACAAAGTCATCGAAACAACATACGGCCCCGTCCAGGGCTACAAATACTTCAACGAATCCACTCTCCAGGCAAACTGGAACGTATCTGAAAGCAACGTCGCCGCCTTTCTCAGCATTCCCTATGCCGCCGACACGTCCTACGAGAACCGCTGGAAGCCGCCTCAGCCGCGCGAGCCGTGGAACGAGACCCTCGTCGCGGATACCTGGGGACCTGGATGCCCCACGAGCTACGGAACGGAATACAGCGAGGATTGCCTCATAGTGAATATCTGGACCGGAGCCAATTCCTCAGATGAGAAGCTTCCGGTATTGGTGTATAACCAGGGGAGCGACGAACCGAGCAATGACCCTGCCTACTACGGCGGTGGTCTTGCGAGGAGAGGACTTGTTGTCGTGACGTTCAACCGGCGCGACGATGTCTTTGGCTACTTGGCCCATCCCGAGCTAAACGCCGAGTCAGTTGCGGAGAACGGACACAGTGCATCCGGACACTATGGCGTCCTCGACTTCCTCGCCCTCCTTCAGTGGGTGCAAAAGAACATCGAGCGATTCGGCGGCGACCCTGACCGCGTCACAATCGCAGGCCAGTCCTTCGGCTCCGCGCAGGTCTACCATGCTGTCAACAGCGAGTTGTTCAGCGGCCTTTTCCGGGCCGCGATTGCCGACAGTGGCGTGCGTTACCCCTACGATACCCTCCTGGCCGGCCTCGCAGACTCGTACGTATCCATGCCCGACGCCCTAGAAAACGGGCTCAACTATACAGCCGCGCACAACGCCTCCTCAATTGCCGACCTCCGCAAGCTGTCCACCAACGAACTCCTTGTTGGCTCGGGCGACCGCAGCACGAACATCTGGTGGGTAACCGCGCTCTCCACGGGCAACCCTCTGGTCTTTAAGCCCGTCCTCGACGGCTACGTCCTGCCCGAGAAATACATCGACACGCTCCGCAAAGGTCCAGCAAACGACGTCCCCTTCATCACAGGCAACAACAAAGATGAGAGCGGCGCGGCGACGACGACAAACTACTCCGTCGCTGAATACACTGTCGCCTGTAAGCTGAAGTACGGAAACCTCTCGGAGACCTACTTCTCCCTCTACCCCTCCGGCAATAGCAGTGACCAGGCAAGCCGCTCCTGGAACGCCGCGGCCCGCGATACATCCCTCGTCTCATCCTGGGCTTTTGGCCGTGACTGGATCAAGTCCGCCGAGAGCCCATTCTACACGTACTACTGGGACCATGCTCCGCCGTCGCAGACCCAGGGGGCGTACCATGCGTCTGAGCTTTTTTACGTTATGGATACACTCTATGCAAATGCGGATGACCATGACTGGACCTGGTATGATTACCATCTTGCGGAGGTCATGTCGAGCTACTGGGTGAATTTCGTCAAGACGGGGGATCCGAATCTTGGTGGGAGCTATCAAGGGAGTGAGGACCTAGCGCACTGGGCGCCTGTTAATGGGGAGAGTCAGACGGTTTTCCATGTGGGTGAGGCATTTGGGGATGTGCCCCTGGCGAGACCGGAGCAGGTCGAGTTGATATTGGACTATTTCGCGCAGCAGACGCCTTTTTAAGAGGAGTCAGCGGGCAGCAATTGCTTATGCGCTGTTCAAATGTAGTTGCCGATCATTGTGTGGATTCAAGGGGGAACTGGGGCATATTGGTTGAAGAGTATATCTAGCCAACTTTCAAATCTATGTATTCCGAGATCTAGAATGAACGTGGAAAGATCTGAGAAGCTCCCGAATCAACCACCTGTCCCTTTCGCCCGCAACCATCCCACTATCTGGCTTTATTCCCTCTCTTAACCCAGTGCACCTTCCTGGAGCTGGCTGGAGGACCTGCAACGCAGCCAAGTACTGCTGGACCTCTTGTGGCTTACGTCCCCATCCAGATATATATTTCTCAAAGCCTTTAAGGCACTGTTGGTTGTGCGATAGAAGCTGTTTATTAGAAATCATATCCGCCCATACAGGTTACAGGAATCTCTCACCAGTTCGGACTCGCTTAGGTTTGCACCTCTTGAAGGACGCATATCCAATACCTCAAACCCCTCAAAACAAATACTGGCTAATAACAGTGCCGCTTCCAGCTCGCTGTAGCTGGTTGGGAGTTGTTTGTCTGTCCATAGCTTGCGCAGATTTGCAGTCGTGATCGCCCATTTCGAATGCTGTTCTGGAATCTCCAACTCTAGATAGGCAGAATAAAGCCCAGTCTTCTCTAATTTCGCCAGGGATGTCACACACGATCTGCCTCTACGATTGAGGGACCCCTGTGACAGATACTCTCCATTCTGATAAATGTAACACAGTAGGCGCGTGCCGATACTGTGCCGCATATAAATCCTCTTGAGACGCTCGTGGTATGCCTGAAGAAAGCGCTTCGCATGAATGAACTGCCCTTGTGGGAACTTTGTCGCATCAACCACACAGACTTTAATCTCTTCTGAGCTGCAGCCGAAGTGATACCATCTGTACCTCGCGTACTGCAATGCATACAGCAACGACGATGTCCAGGACATGAAGTTATCTCGTGGTTGTCGCTCGTAGTCTTTCACCCCCCAGAGATCCATATGCCAGTCCACGATGGACATCGCGAGGTCCTCATCCAGACTGAATATGTCGGATCTGCAGTAGGATGCTCCAAGTTGAGTGGCTAGTAATATCAGTGCGACACGAGATTATCTCACTAGAAAGATTGATTAGATCAAAACGGAAATCCCCCATAAAGCAAGAGGGACAAGGACTTACATCAACGGCGTAATCGCTACCGCTCGACGACCCAAGAGCCTATCTCCAGGAATGGTCTCCTCCTGCCACATCCCTCCTGAGGTAGCAGAACGTAGACATATCGTATCTGGTGAAGATGAATAGAGGTATGTTGGTGCCTACTAATACCAGGAGCATTCTTGCTGGGTTTGTGGAAGAAGGCGGACTAAGTGTATGACGTTTCCAGTTGTCAGGGCTGGTATGCATGATGGAAAATCCGCATGCGGTTGGCTTGATACTGTGGGCAGCTCGAGTTACACAAAGACTAATTATCGTGGAGCTGATGAATAACCAACGTGTCTTTCAAGGTAGGCCTACTCTATTCGATAAGTATAGTAGTTGATGTATGGTGTGCTTGGAATGGAAGAAAATTTGCAGACCATTAGTAAGAGGACATCATTCTAGATATATATTCTCAGCGGATTCAAGGCGTTTATGGTACATTGTATAGTGACGTAGTAAGGCCACCTTTAATCTAGACAGGGACACTTTGCAGCAGTTTTAAGATACAGGACTAAACGACACTGTGGCTGACGATCCCCGTCGCATGGTGGTGAAGGAAAAAGGTTCAAAAAAAGGCGAGATTCTCGTCGAGGTGAGCTGTAGTTCCGGGCCTTCCCCTTCATCGAGTAGTCCGCAGACCGGTTCCCTGGTCCCTCTCATGGAGACAATTTCTGATCTACCGAGAGCTTTCGAGGCTTGCATTGATCTCGGATTCTTGCCGCTTGGGGGTCTCGGATCGATCCCGAGGGCCATTCCTCTGGTTGTGGGCCTCATTACGTACCGATGACCTCCCTCGGTGGCCGAACCCGAGCAGCCAAGCAAATATTTCATCGGCGCGACAAGCTTGGCTTTTGCTTTGTGGATTGGACTCTGGAGCGGATGGTCGCTCTAGGCCGGCTACTCCGTACTGTCTCTACACTGAATATGCGAATGGTGTCATTTTCCTGCACTACCATTCGAAATGCTCTTCTGTTCAATGGCTTCCGGCCACTGAATACGTTAGGTAATGGGTTCCACCTCCACAGCGAAGAGTCCCACCCTCTCCCCAACATCTGGTCCAAAGAGGGCAATAGACGGAGAAAATGGACCCTGCGCAGAACTGAACAGTGAAAACCTTTTCGCTTTGATATAAGATGTGCCAAGGTGAAGCTTGACATGTTGCTTCAAACCCCAGGCACCTGCTCTCCTATATCGACACTCGCGACGTGAAAATGGCGGCACGCGAAGAAGGGCCTTTGCATGATCAAGCGTTGGGAGACTCCAGTCCCAGATTCCCCGTGTCGAATGAAACTAAAATGAGCACACCTTCACACAACCACCATGATGCCAAACACCCCTACAACTGGCCCATCAGCCGCAAATGGACCCTGACGGTCCTCGCCGCATTCACCACCTTTATCTCGATGATGAACGGGACAATCATTACAGTCGCCCATTTTGAGATATCGGAGCAGTTCAACGTTGACGAGACGACTTTCCCGCACTCTTACTGGCCCGTAACAACATGGGCCGCTGGCGGCGCATGCTCGGCCCTATTCATCCTGCCCCTGGCCGAGGACTTTGGTACACGGCCTGTCTTTCTCACGACATATGTCCTCTTCCTCTGCTTCCTTGTCCCGCAAGCTGTAGCGCATAACTTTGCTACATTGGTGGTTACGCGGTTTTTCGCAGGAGGCTGCGTCGCCATCCTGGCCAACACGGCCGCCGGGGTCGTTGGGAACGTCTGGGAGACCGAGTGGGCCAGATCCATTCCTGTCAGTTTGTACATCGTCGGCTACATGGCGGGAAGCAGCGCAGGCCCCGTTGTTGGAGCGGTGATCTTCCAGTTCCTCTCCTGGAGATGGATCGGCTACATGCAGCTCCTCTGGTTCGGCGCGTTGTTTCCAGTCTATTATTTCTTCTTCTACGAGTCGCGCGCGGACGTCATCCTCGCACGGAGACCCATGGGTAAAGAGGATACCGAGAAACGAACGGGACACTCATCCTCATTGAGCCTCCAAAGTCTCGTCACCAGCGCAACACGTCCGGTAGCCTTATTCTGCACCGAACCCGTCCTCTTCGTCTCGACGCTTTGGTCCTCCTTCACAGTCGGAACCCTCTTCCTCTTTACGCAATCCGTCGAACAAGTCTTTATGGAGCTTTACGACTGGTCTGTCGAAGCAACCGGCTACGTTCAGGCCGCAGTCGTCATCGGCGAGGTCCTAGGCTGGACGCTGAACCTTTTATCGCGAAAACTCTACTTCGCATCCGCCTCCCGAAACACCGAGGTGCCCGGATCGCCCATCCCAGAGGCAAGACTCTACATGGCAGTCGTGGGCGGCGTCCTGGGTATCTCGGGTGGGATGTTCATATACGCCTGGACATCATACCCAGACATCCCCTGGATCGCGCCAGCGATAAGTCTCGCCATGGTCGGAGCGGGAAGTGTGCTCGTCGTAACGGGTGTTTCAGACTACGTCGTCGACGCATACAGTACATACGCAGGCAGCGCGATTGGAGCCGTCGCGACGGGCGAGAATCTCTTCTCGGCGTTCCTGCCTCTCGCGACGATGAGCATGTACAGAACCCTGGGGTTGAATTGGGCGAGTACGCTGCTGGGGTTTGTCTCGTTGGTGCTGGCTTTGCTGCCGACGCTGATGTTTGTTTGGGGGAGGGAGGTGAGGGCGCGGAGTACGTTTATGCAGCGGGGGAAGGAGGATAGTATGAGGAAGGCGTTGGGTAATATTTAGAATAGTACTGTACCACTCTTGGTTGATGATGTGCAGTGGTACGCTCGGTTCAGCGGTAATCAGCTAACGGAGACATTTGATTTCTGATTTCAAAGCATATATTTCGGCCCTACGCCATTGATGGCACGGCGTGGTTGTTTGAATGCTTACACGAACCGGCCAATGCGCGGTATGATTTGCTTTCGCAATCTGATCTGTTTTGACGACATGGTTGTTACGAATCAAGTGGCCCAAAAATAGTGATATCTTACCCCAGCAACAACAGCAGATTATTAATTCAAGAGGGGTAGTCCGACTAGCGGAATCCTGAACCTCGGCATCTCGCCCTGGTACAAAGGCCGGCGCACCGCAATCGCATCACTGTGATTATTTACTCAACACCCAACACGCCCAGATCAACTCGCTCGCAGACATGGTCTCACCCCCCGGCCTAGGAGGCCTCAACACCCCCGCCCCAAACATCCCCTACTTCACCCCACACCACCGGCAATCCCCCGGCACACCACGAAACCCCTCGGCACCGCACATACCGACCCTGTTCACCCCCCTGAAAATCCGCAATGCAACCCTCCGCAACCGCATCGTCGTCGCGCCCATGTGCCAGTTCTCCACGGCGCCCGAGGGCCCGTCGATCGGTGCCCTAACAGACTACCACCTCGCGACGCTGGGCCACTACGCGCTAAAGGGTGCGTCGCTGGTTTTCGTCGAGGCGACGGGGGTCCAACCCAATGGACGAATCTCGGCGTATTGCCCCGGGCTATGGGATGATAGCCAGATTGAGGGGTTGAGAAGGGTCAGTGATTTCGTGAAGAGCCAGGGCGCGTTGTCGGGGATCCAGCTTGCGCATGCGGGGCGGAAAGCCAGTGTTGCCGCGCCGTGGGTTGCTGGTAGTACGACGACACACAAGGCGAGTTTACGAGCGGATAAGGATCAGTTCGGGTGGCCGGATGACGTTGTCGGGCCATCTGGCGGCATCGAGCATACCTGGGATGGATTGGGCCTCAAGCCCGAAGGCGGGTACTGGCCCCCGCGGGCGCTTACAGTCGCCGAGATCCAGGAGCTGGTTGGGGACTGGGTGCGCGCGGCGAAGAGGGCGGTTGCTGCGGGGGTGGATGTCATTGAGATCCATGCAGCGCATGGGTATCTGATTCATCAGTTCCTGAGCCCCGTGACGAATCGGCGGACGGATGAGTATGGAGGGAGTTTTGAGGGTCGGGTGCGTTTGTTGCTTGAGATTGCGGCTGCTATCAGGAGGGAGATTCCCGAGGGGATGCCCCTTTTTGTTCGGGTTAGTGCGACGGAATGGTTGGAGGGGACCGAGGTTGGGCAACAGTATGGTTCTTGGACAGTGGATGATACGATTCGGCTGGCGAAGCTGTTGCCTGGTGTTGGGGTCGATTTGTTGGATGTGAGTAGTGGTGGGAATCATCCGCGTTCGAAACTCAACGGACTGAGGGACAAGGAGCTGCCTACGGACTATCAGACGAAGAATGCTGCGCGCATTCGCAGGGAGTTGAAGAAGGAGGGGATCAATCTCTTGGTCGGGGCGGTTGGGTTGATCACGGAACCCGAGCAGGCGCGCGACCTGTTAGAGCCAGATCAGCTCCTCGCGAAAGAGGCTGCGGATGCCAAGAATGCTACGGACGCAAAAGATGGAGCGGAGCCTGCAGCTGATATCGTGCTGGTCGCCAGGCAGTTCATGAGGGAGCCGGAATGGGTTTTGCGTGTTGCGTGGAAGTTGGGCGTTGAGGTCGCCTGGCCGAATCAGTTCCTGAGGGTTCGGTTTCCTAGATTGTAGAAAGTAACCATGTACTGTTTATTCAATTCGCACAGTTCAGAGAGTTGTATGTACAGACCCTTAGATGAACCTGGTCAAGTCGAGCTCTCCTAGCAAATGGACAGACCGCAACTTGGATTCAACTAGTTCTCCTTCAAACCCCTGTGGGCACCAAAAGAGCGAGATCTACAGGTAATCGTCGTCGCGGGGTGCAGGGCAAAGGGAACAAACTGGTACCGGGCCTGGCATGTTCCTCGAGCACGGATTTCAAATCGCCTTTGGGTAACTCATTCGTTCCTCTTGGAACAAAACAAGGCCCACTCGGGTTCGAGCCGAGAGGCGCTGCTCGGATGACCGAACCGACACTCTCGGCTTCTCTTGTTACTTGTATGCGACGATGCGGAGGACAGTCACCTATAACTTGCAGGACAGAAAGATCAGCTAGACATCTTTACTGATTCACTTGCCTGGGCATAGCTCTTTTCACTGTCCAAGTTCAACAACCTGCCTACACCGCAACCTCCATCATGACCTCTTTAGCGTCCACCCTCTCCGACCCAACCCTCTTCGTCGAAAAGTCCTACATTAACGGCCAATGGGTCTCATCCACCTCAAACAACACCTTTAACGTCTACAACCCCGCGACAGAGACCCTACTCGGCACATGCCCCGAGTCGACCACCGACGACATCACCCTCGCCATCCGCGCCGCAGCAAGCGCCTTCCCAGCATGGCGTTCCCAACCCGGGCGTACACGCGGTCGAATCCTCCGCAAACTATACGACCTCATCGTCGCCCACAAGGAAGACATCGGCAAGATCATCACAGCCGAGAATGGCAAATCACGAAGTGACGCAGAGGGCGAAGCGCTGTTTGCCGCGGGGTTCTTCGAATGGTTCGCCGAAGAAGCGCCGCGAATCTACGGGGACGTTATCCCCCACAGTAATGCGAGCGCCCGCATCCAGGTTACCAAGGAGCCCGTTGGTGTCTGTGGGCTTATTACACCATGGAACTTTCCGCTGGCCATGGGGGCTCGCAAGGTGGCCGCTGCGCTTGCCGCGGGGTGTACGGTTGTGCTCAAGTCTGATGGGCTTACGCCCTTTTCGTCGAATGCGCTGGCTGTGCTTGCGGAGCGGGCGGGTGTGCCCAAGGGTGTTTTTAACGTTGTCACTTCCCTTGAGAACACCCCTTCCCTTGGATTAGCGCTCTGCGAGTCGGATGTTGTGAAGAAGATCTCGTTCACCGGGTCCACGCGTGTTGGGAAACTCCTCATGCGCCAATCGAGCAGCACGCTGAAGAAGCTTTCTCTCGAGCTCGGCGGCAACGCCCCCTTTATCGTGTTTGACGACGCAGATCTGGAGATCGCCGTCGCCAGCGCGGTGGTGAGTAAATTCAAGGTGACGGGTCAAACCTGCGTGTGCGCCAACCGCTTCTACGTACAGGAGGGCATCTACGAGAGATTCGCACAGCGCCTCGTCGAGGAGGTCCGCAAATGCCAGGTTGGAAACGGAGTCGATGCGGCGGTCACACATGGGCCCCTAACAAACGGAGTCGCAAAAACACAGGAACATATTCGGGATGCGATGGGCAAGGGGGCGACTGTTCTCCTTGGTGGGAATACGCTGCCAGCCCTGGGCAGGAACTTCCACGAGCTTACGATTTTGGGGAACGTGGATGATTCGATGATGGTTGCTACGGAGGAGACCTTTGGACCCCTTGCGGCGCTGGCAACGTTCAAGACGGAGGACGAGGTCGTACGCCGTGCGAATAAGTGCGAGGTTGGCTTGGCCTCGTACCTGGTGACGAGTGACTTGGGCAGGGCGCATCGGGTGTCGGAACGGTTGGAGTATGGAATGGTGGCTATCAACACCGGGGTCATTTCGGATTGGGCTGCACCGTGAGTCCGCTTGAAACTGAGCTGTGCGACTGTATTTGATTATACTAACTTGCGCAGGTTCGGAGGAGTCAAGCACTCGGGGATGGGCCGCGAGGGCAGCAAGTACGGGATCGACGACTACGTGAACATCAAGATGGTGGTGACGGGGGGGATCAACACCGTGCATTCTCCGAATTTGTAAAGGGTGTTTGCGCGAGTTGTGGGCAAGGAATAATCATGAGAATCAGCCCAGGAATGCAACAGCTCCGTTATCGGCTTCGACACCCGAGGATGTGTGCCGCATCTCGGCTTCTCTCCGAGTTTCCCTTTGTAGCAACACAATCCGGGGACAAAGCTTAATTTGCGCTAGAATAGGCTATCCATTAACTGTAGCACATGATGACCATCCTTGGAAGGAACCACACGGGGCACGGGGTACCTCCGAGTCGCGCTCTGCTTTGCTCTTTGCCCGCAGTTTCCCACGCACCACCAGCTTCCTCTCTCTGCCCTTTGTACCCCATGTAAGGCCCAATGGCACCGCAATCCCAAACAGAGTCACACAAGCCGAAACGGACTCCGAACGCGTGAGAAGCCTCTGTGCGCCCTTGTCTTACTCCAATAATCGTCGCTGACTCCGGTATTGCAGCTGCATCGCTTGTCGCCAGAGCAAGATCAAGTGTTCGGGGGTGCAGCCATGTGCCAACTGCCAGCGACGCGCGGTTGACTGTCAGTTTACTGATTCCAACAAGGTTACCGTGGACGAAAGGTGTGTCCATAGCTAAATGCTAGCTCAACAAACATACAAGGAGCGGAGGCGATTGACAAGAGTCTCCCAGGTTTCTCCAGAGACTACTCGACCAAGCAAGAGGCCAGCAGGAGCCCTCACCGCAGCATCAGCTCCCCTCGCCTGCATCCAAGCGATCTGCCGACATTGCCTTTGGGCCCATGTTTGACGCCGGCGGAGCATGCTCTAGTAAACGAGGCCCTATCCTATTAGCTAAAGCGCCGCTGACCAAGTCAGTGAATTCAGTACCCTCCCACGAAGACGTATCGCCATTCCACCCGCAATCACTGCAACATGAGCGTAGCGTGTGGACGAACCCGTTCACTTTGCCGTCAAAGACGGTCAATGGGCTGTACAAGGGGAAACGCGGCTGGGGTGTGTTTGGCTGTAGCACTGATGAGCTTATCAATATGCTAACTAATCCATTAGTATGGCTTGCTCCGACATCGCTCTGGTCTCTGACGACTCGACTATCCTTAATGATGGCCGACAGCCTGGAACTGGACTCGCCGTATCGAGTTCCGAGCTCCCTGGACAAGGAGATCTACCCTCTCCGGTGGACACCAGTTCCTCCTGAGGACCCTCCCGATATCACAGGCCTACCTTCCATCGACGACGCACTCTACCTATTCAGTACAGTCAAACATCATCTAGATCAGCACTATCGATTCTTTGACGACAAGGCATTTACCGCCCGCTTGAACGACTTTTATTCAGGCAACTCGCTCCAAGTAGCCACAGAAAACCGACTCTGGTTCGTATCTTTCCTCCTAATCTTAGCATTTGGGAATGCGTTCCTCCTCCGCAATCGAAATGCCGCCGGCCCGCCTGGATCGAGATTCTTCGTACGTGCCATGTCGCTCATCCCGGACTATACGAATTTATGGACAGACGGGTTGTTGGCTGTCGAAGTTCTCGCCCTGGCTGGGTTGTATCTATACTGCATTGATCACCGGGAATCGGCACACGTATACGTGAGATGCCACCCTTCGTTTGTCCCATGTGTTCTGCAGTGGGCTTCACCAGCATTCTAACAAAGCACCACCAGGTCGGTCAAGCAATCCGAATAGCCCAGCTCGACGGCTTACACACCGAGCTTCCTGAAGACGAGCTGGGTATAGAAACTGTGACTCGCTGCCGCAATCTCTGGTGGACGCTGTACGTGATGGACCGCCATGTGTCCTCCTCGTTGGGACTGCCCATGACCACGCAGGACAGCGACATCACCACGCTGCTCAAGCCTGCTTCCGCGGGATCCCGCCGTGACGCAACGCTGAGTTTACATGTCAAGCTGGCGTCGTTGTTCTCCTCGATCTTGACCTGTAAGATGGGCCCACTCTGCACTGGGTGCTACCATACCTTGTCTATTGGAATTGGATTGATCTGACGAATCCTTTCCGCTTCCAGCAATTTACAAAGACGCCAAAACGGAACTGGGAACATTCCTCGACCGAACAAGGTCCATTTTGCAGACGATGACGGCATACGCTCGCGAGATTGAAGACATCGTACAGTCGAAGAATCCCAGCTCGATTGAGACGATGCCCAAAGGAACCCGATATATCACTTTGCTATATCACCAGGTACGTATACCTACTGGGGAGGCTAAGCCGAGCGGGAATCTCTCTTCTGTGGCTGATGATAGCGTACAAGTGCGTCGTTGTCGCAACTCGCCCACTGCTCCTTTCCATCCTTAAAGAACGCCTTGAGCGCTTCGGTCAGCGCGAAGACGACTGGCAGAGCTTTCTCGCTCCAACAAAGGTCCTGATATCAACGGGCATCAAGTCGGCGCTCAAGACTTTGCAGATATTGACCGACGAGAATAGCTTGCTTGGTAAACTGATTTTTCTTTCGTCTCTTTCCGTCTGCCTATATTTCTTCTTCTTTTCCACTTTTTTATACAGCGCGAAGACAAGCTAATGGTCATCCCACAACATAGAAACATTCCTCCCGTTTGAACTCGAAGTCACCTATGGCGCCGCTCTCCATCTAACGATGGCAAACACGCTGTTTCCGCTCGAGGTAGAAAGCCAAGGCCAGAACTTTAGCGCAGATGCCCATGCTATCGTCGACGAAATGATCGCAAAGGGCAACAAACTGGCCGCAGCAAGAAAGACCGAACTCGCACACCTGGAAACCCTCTTCCGGGAGCTGGCGGTGCGGATCGAGAGATATGGACTGCAAACGCTTACGCTGGCAACGCCGCCGGGGCATGGCAGAGGAGAAGATGAGGGTGGGGACCAGGGGCAGGCTGAAGGGATGTGTCCGGCCGCAGGTGGGATGGCACCCATGCTTCCGAATGACGGGGCGAATACTGCTGCTGCTGCATCTGCTTCTGGGGTGGACGCACAGAATCAGGCCATGTTCCATGCGCACCACCACCCCATGCATGCGGAGCCCATTGGGTCGGCGTCGCCTGGTCTCCCGCACATGATGGACAGCGCCGAGCTGCTCAGCGAGATTGGGATATCGTCGTATGAGTTTTCGTCCATTATTGAGCAGATGGGCGGGTCGGAGAGGAGCGTCTTGGATGCTAGGCCTCCGTGGATGGATGGTATTTGAGGAACTCATCTTGAATTTGTAGATATGGTTGAGGCTTTAGTAGCGATGTTTACAGTAATTTTATCTGGGGTTATCTGGCGCGAGAGTCGACATGTATAAAATGTGCGACACTGGCCGGTGCAATGTTCTTTACTACTCGGTACTCCTCGCTTTCAGCTTTGCGAGGGGCAGCTTTATGGGGGAGTCAAAGATAAGCAGCGATTGATACATCACATTGGCAATGTCGGCTCGGCTTCACCAGAGAAAAGAAGAAAAAGAAAATTCCTATCTGTCAACGTTATATGTGACAGAATGACCGTTTCCTTGAGGCACCCTTGTCACGTTTACCAATAGATCACTATCTGCTCTCGACCCCTATCTCCCCCCACCTGCTCTTTCCAGCCTTTGTCCCCTTCGGCTCACACCGAATTCGAGTTATCCGCACACGAAAACGCCCTTGACCCTCCACTCTCACTATACGAGTCGATGATCCCAACAACAGACCCATACGTCCCTGCAACCATCATAAACGTCCCGATTACAATCACAAATACACTCCAGAACACCATGGCCACCCACCGCTTCGATCTTCCCCCCTCCCTGCCCTTGGCCCAGTTATCGTACAGCCACATAGCCCCCATCGGCTGGATGCACATTGCGGGGCCGAGAAGCGCCCCGATTAGCGAGACCAGCGCGTCGAAAACGGGGATCGTAGACGCGATGATGTATGCGATCACGGTGATGCCGAGGGTGCATGAGATCCACGTCGTCCAGTGGATCAGGGTGTTGCTGGTCAGGTGCCGTGAGCCGCGGAGGGCGTGGACGAAGATGAATTTGGCGGGGATCTAGAGGTTCGTTCTTATTAGTTGCTGCGAAATTCATTCCCTTGGTGTCTTTTTTTTTTCTCGACAGGGGGACGTACATGCGTGACGATGGTCATGGTAACCAACAGCCCGGGCAGCGCAAACGCATAACTAATGATCTTGATCGCGCCGCCTGCGGAGCCCAGCGCCGGCGAGGAGACGTGGCTGCCACAGTAGTAATAGATGACGCAGCCAATCACTGCATACACGGCCGTTACACCCGTCTGGCAGGTGAGCATGGCGCCGGTATATTGCCGGGGATCGCGCATTTCCGAGACAATGGAGAAGAAGCCTGCGATGCGTTAGCGGGGGAAGAGTCTCAAGGTGAACAAACAGGGATGCAGGGGTGGTGGGGACGCACCCGGTGTGCCCGAAAATGCAAAGAGTAGGTTCGAGACTGCTGCGATCCCCTGTGCAAAGGAAGGGTGTCCGATGACCTTCCAGTCGGAGGACCAGGGACCTTCTGTTTGTGCTGCCGAGGCTGGACGGTCCTGGATGCCGACCGCGATGGTCACTATGATGATAGCGGCGAGGATACACGGCAGGCCGATCCATGCGAGCCAGGTGATCCTGCCCAGCGTGCGAACGCTACTCAGGCTGAACCCGGCGATGGCTGCGACCGCTGCGAAGACGGCGGTGCACGTGGCGTGGGTAGAGACTGCGTTCAGGCCGATCGAGATGCCGAGAATGGCGGAGCCGCTGTTGAAGATGTAATCTGCATCCCAAGTCAGCGAGTCCTCCTCTCAAGCGTAGTTCTTTGACCGGGACGGACGTACAAAGACAAAAAGCCGCAGAGAGATACGCCCTCCCAGGTAGCCCGAACATAATGCCCCCTGCATCGTCAATGCTATACACCGCGCGGTGCTTGAGCTTGAAGGCTCCGACCATGTACCCGGACCACGTCGTGACGACGGCAATGGCAATCATGCAGAGAACGCCCGGGACCATGCCTAGGACATCCAATGCAGACGGGATGGCAAGCACACCAAGGCCGATCTGAGTCTTCATCATGAGGATCACGGTTCCGGTGAAGCCAACCTAGTTGCTCTGTTAGCTTTCTCAAGAGTACAGTAGACAGTTGGGCTTTGAGAACATTTCGGAAATTGGGCCCTTCCTCGGTGATCTCCCCAAAGACATCGTCGTGTGTTGGATCCAGCGCCGAGGAGACTTGGTCGAGGTCTTCTTTGGGCGCCATTGTGGTTTGTAACAGTCTATGCTCGTTGTGTAGCTAATCTATGTTGCTCAATCCACAGCGACATGCCCACCATTTATACCAACCCCAGGAATTCTCCAGCCAATCACCACAAAACCAATACTCACACTGTCGGGGAAATCCTGGGGTCCCCGCAATGCGGCATTTTACTGCTCCTTGGCTATCAACGCCCCGGGATAGGCGGATCGGATGGATCCCGACAGCCGAGCGTACCCAAGAACCCATCTCGGGGTCATCGGTTGAGAATCCGAGGGGTTCCGTTTGCCGGTTTGGGGTAAAGGACGCTATCCCGATGTATCTGAGCTTTCATGACATTTGAATGTATGATGCGCTATTCTGCAGGGAGGCATGGTTCCTCCATAGCTAGTGAGCACTGGAGCGGTTGTCTGACATGTAGAAAGGCGGCTGTAGTACTTGTACGAACACAATCGAGTCGCCCTCTCCAGCACGGGGAAAGTGAAGAGAGAGTAAAGTCTTGTTATTTCGTTCAAGATTGGATTACTCGAATATTCCAAGAGTACTGCACAATTGAATTCAACTAACAAAAAGCATGCTCTCGTTGCAACATCCTATCATCCCACCAACACACGATGAGTCTTCTACTCGACCTCTTGAATCTCCGCCAACATGGACTCAATGAACAGCTTCTGCTCCATCAAGAACCTTTTAACATCCGGAACATCAAATGGCCTCTTCGCAATCTCCCTCTCCCGCTCCTGCTTCAACCGGTGCCGAATGCGCTCTTCCAGTATCTCCAGGCGATACTCGGTATACTGAGTATAGAGCTGCGACAGGTCGCTGATGCCGCGCACTCCAACAAGCACAGTCTCATCCTTGACCAGCGGGGATTTCGGCCTGAAGCAGGTGACCATGCTGATGCGCTCGCGGCCACCGAGGGCTTTAAGGGCTTGGTGTTCGATGTATCGGCCTTGCATTACGACGGCGGTGCCCTTGACCAGACACGCGCATTAGCCCTTGTAAACTAAAGCTAGCGCATGGGTGGTTGGAATGACTCACCATAGCCGGCCCGCGGACTTTCATAATGTCACCGTTGGGCATCTTCAACGCGGTCTCCCCGCCAATCATCCCCGTGCAGTCGGAGAGCATTGTGACGCAGACGAATGGGAAACTGTCATAGTGCCAGGCTACGGCTGGCAGCTCCTGGTCGGAGATGAGGTCAACCGTGTGCTCCGCGTTTGAGTTTGCGTTCTCATCCCGGATGGAGATGTTGATGTTGGCGATCTCAAAGTCGATCGAGGGGACGAGATCAATGCCCGCGACTTCCGAGATCCGGGCCAGGACCTCGGGCGACTTCCAGGCAGCGTAGGTAAATGGGGCGCGTCTGCAAGCGAAGTTAGCGAAAGATCCTCAATCATCTCTCGGTACCCATTAGATAGGAAGCGACTGGGTCACGTACGCTGGCCCCATCCCGCGCACCATATTCTTATTAAACGTCGACGAGTACTGGCACTCAGCCAGAACCTCCTCGCTGAATATCTCCGCGCGCATCTGTGCGATGGCCTCCTGTGTGAAGAGCGGGAATGGCTCGGTGGCCGCGTGCGGCGAGATGCCGTGGCCCTTTAGCCCAATCTGCTCCATAGTGTAGATGGACTTGGGGGGCTGGAAGTTGAGATGCCGGGCTGGGTCAAAGGTCTGTTTCTGTGCGACCCTAGCATTCTGGATCAGGGACTGGGGGAGGGGATTTGATGGTCGTGTGGCCTTTTTTGTTGCCGGGCCGGTGACCGTCGGTGGCGCGATGTCTATGTAGGTTGCTGAGGGGGCCATTGTGGACTGGATTGCAGACTGCGTGATGTAGATAGAAGTTGTTAGAGTCTGGATATGTGCGTGCTTCCTTGGTCGATATTCATGAACATGGTTATATAACTCCAACTCAATTGTCCCCGCCTCTTGCGTAGATGGCCCTCAGTCTCCGCGTGACCCCTTCTCGTGACAGAAAGCCGCACCCACCAAAACACTCCCGAGATTGAGACTGCGATGTTCGGGATGCAGATCATATTAGGCGTCTTCGGGTTCCAGGAAACCATCTTCGGGTTCCTCGGGTGTTGGTCCGATGCCTATCTCGGGTTCGTCAACAAGATCTAGACCAGGATGTAAGCCCTCGGCTCGGGAGCGTCAGCCTATCTTCCATCGTCGCATCATCTCTCCAGTGTCGGATGTGCAGGCCTGTGAGCCGGCACTGACAGTAACGAAGATGACCTGGTAGCCATGTGGTTCTCGTCTGTTTTTTTTATAAAAATCACGAAAACTCTACGCATGCATACCTACATTATAAACACCCCCAAGCCCTCGTTATATTAAGATTCATCCTTCTTCCCATTATCTATATCTGGGCATATATACACATCACAATAAAACCACCATGTCTTCCATCAACCTCGAAGACGTCGCCTCAGCTCTGCGCACCGCACGCACATCATCCAAACCCATCGACGCCCCCACAAAGACCTGGCCGGGCCTCAACGCAGACGACGCCTTCAAAATCCAGCAACTCAACTCTACGCACGCGATACAGAATGGCGACCGCCTGGTGGGCTACAAACTCGGCAACATCGCCAAGGTAATGCAGAGCGCCTTCGGCCTCGACCACCCGGACTACGGCTTCCTGCATTCCAGCCTATTCGTCTACGAGGGGACGAGCATCCGTCGAGAACAGTTCATCAAGCCGTTTGTGGAGCTCGAGGTTGGCTTTGTGTTGAAAGCGCCGCTCAAGGGTCCGAACGTCACTGTCGCCGATGTTATTAGCGCGATTGACTATGCGGTGCCCGCGATTGAGATTATCGATTCGAGGGTGAAGGAGTGGGCGATTGATCTGCCGGATACGTTGGCGGATAATGGATCGACGGGGGCGGTGATTGTTGGTGGGATGCCGAGGAGGTTGGCAGACCTTACACTCAGTAACATGAGGGGGGTGTTGAAGTTCAATGGGCAGGAGGTCATGGCTGGGAATACGAAGAATGTGCTGGGCAACCCGATTTCGGCGGTTGCGTGGCTGGTGAATCGGTTGGCGGAGTATGAGATTGAGTTCTTGCCGGGACAGTTTATTTTGCCGGGGAGCTGTCTTGAGGCTGTTCCGATGGAGGACAAGGGGGTTTGGGAGTGTACTTTTGAAGGGTGGGGGACTGTCGAGTTTGAGGTTGTATAGGAGCTGAATCATGTGGTACGTAAAGAGCAATGATACAACCATAATAAAACCTACATAACATCATTCATCGTTTGCAACAGAGCGACTAGAGCCCATACTCCTTGATGAGCACCTCGGCAGCCGTAGCCCCAACCACATAAGCCGTGGCCTGGGTATGGTTATTCGTCAAGACGGGCACAACACTCATATCCGCCACCCTCAGCCCCTCCACCCCAAAGACGCGGAACCCCGTATCAACCGCCGCATCCGTGTCACCGACCTTACCCATCTTCACCGTCCCCGTCATATGCCACGCCGTCACACACGTATTCTTAAACCACTCGAGCAGATCCTCATCACTCTCCGACGCAGGCCCCATGAGCGTCGAGAGCGTATCCTTGGCAAAGGCCTCGTGCTTTGTAACAGCCAGCGCCGCGCGCAGGGCTTCAATCACAACGCGGCGATCGTACTCGTGCGCAAGCAGGTTCGGGTCGAACAGCAAGGGGACGTCGGGGTCAGACGACTGCAGCCGAACCTGGCCGTAGCTCTGCGCGTTCATGAGGAAGACGAGGATGGTCACGTAACTGTAATCGGTCGTCATCCCGGGCGCAAGCATATGCAGCGGACACCCCGCGAGAAGCTCATAGTGCGGGATGGTCGGCTTGCTCAGGAACCGCTTTACGTCCTCCGGAAGGGCCTTGTACTCGTTTGACGCGGCCGTGGCCTCGCTCTTGAGGAATCCCATCATCAGCTGCGAGCCGTGCCGCGTCCAGGGCCCGCTGTTGTCCTTTTCCCACTGCGCCAGTGCGGCGTCCATGGCCTCCTGCGAGCCGAAGAAGGCGTTTCGCGTGTTTGTTTTGGGGTCGCGGAGGAAGGTTATTGGGGAGAAGGGGTGGTCGCGGAGCCCCTGGCCGATTGCGGGGAGGTCGACGAGCACGGGGAGGTTGAATTCGGCGAGGTGGGATGCTGGGCCGAGGCCGGAGTGCATGAGAATGCGGGGCGTGTCGAGGGAGCCGGTTGAGAGGATGATTTCCTTGTTGGCGCGGTCTGTAAACACGGTCAGCCTGTGTCATGGATGGCACATTCAATGACAGAAGGGGGAGGGGAGACATACAAACCGCCCCATCAACCTCGACACCGACAGCCTTCTTCCCCTCGAAGACGACCCTGCGCACCGGACTCGCCGTGCGAATCTCCAAGTTGGTAGGCGCCCCCTCGAGCAAATCCGCCGCCGTACTTCGCACCCCCTTGTACACTGAATTGATCGACAGGGAGATACCAATCGGATCTCCCGAATTGTGGTCCCCATTCCACTTGACGCCCGCACTCTTAAACGCCTCCATGACCAGCGGCAAATCCTCCTCCCACTCTCTCGCAAACCCCAACTTCAGCTTCCCCTGCCGTCCATGGTTCGCGGGGTCGACGTCGGCAAAATGCCGCAGTTTCTCATCGACAATCGTCGTGTCGAAATCCTCAAGGGCCTTGAACCGTTGCTGAACCTCCTTCCACGAAAACGTCTCGTCGCCAACGAGCTCCGCCCAGGTATCGTAGTCGTCGCGCGCGCCGACGGTGTAGCAGCCAAAGTTGATTGCGCTGGACCCACCGAGCACTTTGCCGCGGCTGTAGTCGATCTCGCGCCCGTTGCAGTGTTTCTGCGGGATTGTCTTGTACCCGTAGTTGAGCGAGGGCTCTTGGAATGTTACCCAGCGCTGCCCGTCGACGCGCAGGTTCATCTCGTCGCGCTTGATGCCGGCCTCGAGGAGGAGGATGCGTGGGGCAGAGGGGGCTTGCGAGAGGGTGTGTGCCAGGGCGGAGCCCGCGGGGCCGCCTATACAGTTTGTAAGTTTTGTTTTAGGTTTTTCTTTTTGTATAGAGTGGAGGGACATGGTGAGGGGTAGAAGATGGGCAACGTACTGCCGACGACGATAAAATCCCACGACTCAGACTGGGAAGCCATGATTCCGGATTGCGATACAGAGACCTGTGGGGAATTGACTTTGGACTGTTGAATTGGTACACCAAACCAGATGCATGGGGAACGAGCGACCCTATATACCCCTCCCCCTCCCCCTCCCCCTCCACCACCACCACCACCACCACCACATGCTACAATGCGCCAACCAACTAACCCACCCACCGCGCTTGGCCATGCATTCTCTCTTGGTCGCCTATTTCCACCACTATTCCCGAACACGCTCCAGCCCCTCATTCAGCATCGCAGCTGAATAGGGACAAGAATGCTAGCGGCGCGCACCCGCACATCTCGGCGTCTCGCCAAGGGTGTCTTCAAATCGTTCATCGCAGAGACACTGCAAGACCATCAGAACAGTACGGTTGCGCCCGCGACACGACACGGCAGCTGGAGCCGACTCCGTCCTAGTTAATAGTTCACGGTAACTCATCGTCGACGATCAGCACACGCTAGCCGGAAGTCCGCAGCGTCTGCCATCCAGCGGGACCTGCGCCGGTGCCAAAAGACCTCCACACCACCAATCATATACCGCAGCGGATGGACGATCAAAGAGAGTTTTCCAAACAAGGTTAGAGCGGCGGAGAATCTCCGGGAAGAACTGGAGAGAGTTGGCGGGCCTAGACTCGCAAGGTTTTGACGGGCGTTGCAGTGCACTGTTTGGACGCCTGGATTGGGCCACGATGAGATTGAGGGGGCTTGGTGGGGAGTGCGGAGCTGGAGGTGCGAGTTGGCAGTGCCGATCATCACATTCGTCAGGTGCGGTCGTGCTGACCGGAGATTGAGCCCTGAGCGATGATTGCTGAGCGGGTGTTTGTTGTTCGAGACAATCAATATATTAACGGCGTGGCTTGCGGCTGAGGATGACCCGGGGTTCTGGGTGCAGCGGGCTGAAGATCACTAATCCCGCGTAATGAGGCCTCTGGACTCTTATGAAGAAGCTTGGGTTCGGTCCTTGGTGTGTTCTGCTTCACTCTGGTGGGGTCTGGACCGAGACTCACCGACCTTTCCAATGCCCCTCACCTGCCACCAGCAGCCCCGGCCAGTCTCGACTCCATACCATAACCCCTCTCTACGGGTGGACTGGAATGACATGACGAGAACAAGAGATATCATTAAACCAAACACCAAATCGCACACAATCTACAAATCTACGCCTTCTTAATCCAAAGCGTCTGACAATTACAATACTGCACAAGCCCCTGGAGCCCCCACTCACTCCCAATCCCCGAACTCTTATGCCCGCCAAACGGCGCCAGCGGCGAAACCTCGAAATGCGAATTAATCCAGACACTGCCAGCCTCGAGGCGATCGGCAATCCGCCTCGCGCGCTCCGCATCCCCAGACCAAACCGACGCGCCCAGTCCCGTCTCAACCCCATTCGCACGCGCAAGCACATCCTCCTCATCGCTCCATTTCAACACCGGCAGAATCGGCGCAAAGGGTTCCTCCTGCACGACGCGCGAGGTTTCCGGCGGGTTGTCGATGATGGTTGGGTGGATGAAGTAGCCGTCGGAGTCGGCGATGGAGGCGGAACCCAGGGCGGCGGTGAGGTTTTCGGTCGTGATGGTGGAGAAGAGTTCCTTGGCTTTTTCGTACTGCATGCTGTTTTGCACGGGGCCGAAGAAGGTGTCGCTGTTTGTCCCCGGGCCGACGGGGAGGTTTTTCACAAACTCGACGAATTTCGCCAGGAAGGCGTCGTAGATTTTCTCGTGCACGTAGAGGCGCTTTATCATCATGCAGACTTGGGCGCTGCAGAGGAAGGAGAGGATGCCGAGCTATAATATTGCCCATTGGTGTTAGTGAGGGGTAGACGTGGTGGGGTTTTACCGGAGAGGAGAGGAAGCGGGATTCGAGGGAGGGAGCGGCTGAGCTGAGCTACTCACATTCGGGATAACCTTGTCGATGTCCACGTCGTCGCAGACAATGGCCGCGTCATTGCCGCCCAGCTCGAGAGTTACACGTTTCAGCGTCTTCGCCGCCGACGCCATGACACGCTTCCCCGTGAGCGTCGACCCCGTGAAACTGATCTTGTCGATACCGGGATGCTCGGTGATCATAGGGCCCAGGTCATCGCCTCCACTAAGCGCCTGAAACACGCCAGGAGGGAAGTGCGGGATAGCAAGTTCAGCGAGCTTGAGCGCGCAGTACGGGGTAAAGGGGGATGGTTTCACAATGACAGCGTTACCTGTGTAAATCGCCTGTACGACTTTGCCGATGGCGAGGAGGACAGGGAAATTCCACGGAACAATCGCAGCCGCGACGCCCAGTGGCACGTAGCGCTGAATCGTCTTGACGTCCTCTTTATCCTGGATGACTGTCTCGGGGATCTCCATCGTAGGAATCGCCCGCGTCCAGGTGACGGCCATGCCAACTTCCACAGACGACTGGGTCAGCGGCTTGCCCTGTTCCTGTGTCAGGAGGGCGGCCAGCGCGTCCTTGTTTGCCTCGAGAGCGTCGGCGTAGGCGTTGAGGGCCTGCCGGCGCTCGTCAAAGGTGGTCCGCGACCATTTCTTGTATGCGGCCCGGGCGGCTGTGACGGCGCGGTCGAGGTCTGCTGCGGTGGTTACTGGGACCTCGGGGTTGGGCTGCTTGGTGGCGGGGTTGATGCCGTGTCGTGTTGTTTCGGTGGCTAGCAGCTGGCCGTCGACGACGTTGCGGAAGGTGGTTGTATCGAGAGACATGGTGTGCGATGAATGGGCTTGGAACGAAAGGGCTGAGCGATCGAGGACTCGGAGAAGGGAGACAGACGGCTTTATATCCTGTTACACGGAATCGTCTAGCGGCAGTTCAGCGCAGCTCAGCTCAATGATACGCATCATCAGCCCCTCGAGCTATGATTATTTGAGCTTAGCGACAAGCTATGGATCAAAATTGGCATATCAAGCGCGGATAAGTCCCGAAAACCAGGCCGACCAGCCCTTAGCTGAACGCGATTTTCAGCTACTGGAGGTAAGAATCGGGCAAGGTGCGCTAGCTGCTCCCCCACCATTCCAAAGCTGTCTTTTTGATCCTGCTGTAGGCCGGTTGTGCATTACATGACCTTGTCTCTGTTCTCTCGTCATCTTCCAACAAAGCCCAAGTGCGACCGTTAGTTTGAGCATACAATCACAGCTGCGAAGCATCGGCAGAAGCTCAGTTGGTGGAATACATGGAATCGCGGGGATGCGGGGGGAGTTCGACCCCAGGCGCAGAGCGACCCAAGGACCAAATGTTCAAAAGATGTACAATCTGGACGTCGATCCGCGGATCTTTTACCACGCGCGGAGTTTGCTGGTTCCAAACTGGCGCCCGGAGTGCAAGTTCGGCAGATTTGGCTACGAGGAGGAGGGGTTGTGCGGGGATTGAGTTTGGATGGCTTTTTGGCCCTATTTGGCCCTGACCCAGACTCTAGTGTTTGATATGCAGAATGCTATTAATGATTGTGCATTGCCATCCCTGCTCTCATCCTCGTCAGATGTGAAGACTCTTCAGGTCTTGGTGAGGACCTTGTTGGGCAGCGCAGCCAATGAGGGCCAGACCAAAACAGATTATCGCGTGTGCCCCGCCATCATCGGCCATCCACAAAATGAAATTTCTCCTCACGTTTGAGATCAACCCGGGCAACAATGTCTGGGTCAGAAAAAGACGACAAGCAGATTCGCCTGGTGCAGGTGCTTCCTGTCGACTCGGATCTGCAGGATGCTGAGCTGTCTTACGAGTTTACGAAGGATGAGCACACCCTGCGCTTCTGGGAGGCCGCCCGCCGCCACTGGCCGGCACTGGCTTGGGGGATGTTTATGAATTTGGTACGTGCTTGCGTATATATTCAGAGACAGTTATACTGACTGATATCCAGGCAACTGTCCTCAAAGGCATCGATGGCGGCGTGGTCAAAGGCCTGGTTGGACTGCCCATCTTCAAGCAGACGTACGGCTACAACCGCAACGGCGAGTACATCCTGGCCGCGCAGTGGATCTCTGCATTCAACTACGCCAACCTGCTCGGTGCCATCATCGGTGCTCTACTGTCAGCCGTCGCATACGACCGCATCGGCCCGCGGATCATGATCGCCGTCTGCTCAGTCATGTCCATCGGCTTCATCTTCATCCAGTTCTACAGCCATTCGCCGGCACAGCTGTTCGTCGGCCAGCTGGTCAACGGGTGTATCATCGCCTTCTACCCGATCTGCGCGTCCGCATACGTCGGTGAAGTCACGCCACTCGTCCTCCGCGGCTTCGCAGCAACAATGACCAACCTCGCCTTCTCCATCGGCTCCCTGATCGCCTCGGGAATCCTCAAGGGCACCGAGCCACTACAGACAACAATGTCGTACAAAATCCCCATCGCAACCCAATGGGCCCTCCCCTGCCTCATGCTCCTGCTCGTCTACTTCGTCCCCGACCCACCCTACTGGCTCTGCCGAAAGGGCCGCCACACCGACGCCCTGCGCTCGCTCCAGCGCCTCGCGACACCAACCGTCGACGTCTCCCACAAACTCGCTCACATCCGCGAAACCCTCAAGCTCGAGGAATCCTTCCAGGGTGACCGGCCGCACTACCTCGAGTGCTTCCGCGGCCCGAACGCACGGCGTCTGCTAATCTGCGTCATGGCGTACTCCATGCAAGCGTTTACGGGAAACGTCTTTTTCATCAGCTACGCGGTGCATTTTATGGAACTCGCTGGATTGGATGCGAGCGATGCCTTTTCGATGAATCTGGGTCTGACGGCGATTGGGTTCCTGGGGACGTGCATCTCGTGGTTCTTACTTTCATATATTGGGAGACGCACAATGTATCTCTTCGGGTGCTGCGCGCTGTCGGTCATCCTCTTCGCCGTCGGCGCCGTCGACCTTGCACCCCGCGATACAGGCACCGCGGCAACATGGGCGCAGTGCGCGCTTATGCTCAGCTGCACATTCGTCTACGACCTCTCCCTCGGGCCCTTTTGCTACGTGCTCCTCGCCGAAGTCAGTTCCGCGAGACTACGGGGCTTCACCATCGCCCTCGCGACGGTGAGCTGCTACGTGTGGTCCGTCGTCTTCGCGGTCGTGATCCCCTACGCGATGAACGAGGATGAGGGGAACTGGCGCGGGAAAATGGGGTTCCTGTTTGCGGGCACGGCGGCGCTGTGTGCGGTTTACTGTTTCTTTTGTCTTCCCGAGACGAGGGGGCGGACGTTTGAGGAGCTTGATGTGCTGTTCGAGAGGAGGGTTCCGTCTAGGCACTTTAAGCAGTGTCGGGTTGATATTGTTGATGCGGCGCAGGGGGAGGCACGATTGGAGGGGCAGGGGCGGGCGGCCGAGACTGGAAACGTGGATCGGAAGAGAGAGGCAGACGCCGGGGTTTGATTTTGATATGCACTGGATGCATGTCGATAGGGAAGGGGTGTAGATAGCTAACAGGGGAAGATTCGATCCGCGAGGTGAAACAAACACTGCACTGTATATACTCGTGCCAGCGCGATTGTATCACCCTGTCCGACGATGAACAGACACGACGACGGTTGAAGTAACCTTGCCTTGGGTACCCCCGCCCCTTTCCTCGCCCCTTCTACTCCTCCCATGTCTTCCTGGCCTGCCTAGTCGCATAGAGCAAACCTTTGAATCTGCTAGCTTTACCTTTCCGCACTACGAAATGACAACACCGCCCATCCTCCTCCCAACCCCCTCTCCCTCCTCGTCGTCTTCCCACCCCACCTCCACAACATCTTCCAAACCCTTCCACGTCCTGATCATCGGCGGCTCAATCACAGGCCTCACCCTCGCGCACTGCCTAACCGCCGCCGGAATCTCGTATACGATCCTCGAGAAACACCGCAACCTTTTGGCCCCCCTGGGGGGCGTGATCGGGGTCGCACCGACTGGTGCTAGAATACTCGACCAGCTCGGCCTCTTTGAGAATCTGAATGCAATCGCGCAGGGGATTCGCATTCTTTGCACGGGGTTTCCGGATGGGAGCGGGATTAGTCAGGCGTGGGTTCGGGAGTTTGAAGGGAGGTATGTTTTGTCCTTCTCGGTTGGCTGTTGGGTGGAGAGCGAGAATATTCTGTTGCTGACTGTTACATGTCTTTCCCTGTAGGTACGGGTACGGCTTTAGCATCGTGACGAGTCAGCAGTTGCTCGAGGTGCTGTATACAGGCCTCGGCGAGAGGGCCAAGGAGACCGTGCACGGAGGTGCAGAGGTGACGAAGATCTGCCACGAGGGCGATGTGGTCAAGGTGCACACGCGCGCCGGGAATGTGTATACAGGAGACCTCGTCGTTGGTGCCGACGGTCTGCACAGTATCGCGCGCTCGGAGATACTGAAGATTGTCGGAAGAAACGCCATCGCGGAGACGTCGAGTGAGAGACCCTCCTCCCTCTCCCTTGTACCCTTCGATCCCCCTCCTCAAAATAAAAAACGCGAGTGGCAACTAATACCATACTCGCGGACAGACCTCACAGCAGACTACCGCGTGCACGTCGGCCTCTCCACCTCCGTTCCGGGCCTGAGTACCAGCGAACAAATCATCCGCTCCTATGACGGCTTCGCGCTGTTCGTCTTCTGCGGCAAGGACGGAGAGGTCGGCTGGTTCGCGACCGAGAAGCTCGATCAGCGATATACGTACCCTGAGCGACCAGGCTATACGGAAGAAGACGCAATGGCGTATTGCGAGAGTATGTCGGATGTGAATGTTTGGGGCGATATCAAGTTTGGTGCGGTGTGGAAGGCGCGCACCTCGTTCTCGCATGCGCTTGTTGATGAGCATGTTTTTTCGACGTGGAATTATGGGAGGGTGGTTTATGTTGGGGATAGTGTTGTCAAGGTGCGCATTCTTCCCATAGTCAAGGACGATTTGCAGGCATATAAACTGATGCTGTGGCAATTATAGATAAGCCCCAACTCCGGCCTGGGCGCAAGCGTAGGAATGGAATGTGCAGCGGCATTAACCAACAAACTACACTCCCTCCTCTCGTCCAAATCCCCAATCTCCAAGCCCTCCACGGCAGCAATTGAGACCCTCCTCGACGAATACACAAATTCCCAGCACCGTCGCGCGCGGATGATCGGATTCGCCTCGTACGGCGCGATCCGGCTGCACTCGCGAGACGGGTGGCTCAATGCGCTGATCGGTGGGTTTGTGCTCCGCTCGGAAAGATTGGCGGTCTTTTGGACGACGGTTATTATGAGGGGGGGGATCAAGTTGGATTTTCTCCCTGTGCCACGGAGGGGTTCGGAGAAGCAGAGGTGGAACATGCGGTCGGTTATTCTACTTGTTTCCGTTGTTGTGGTGCTGCTTGCTGTCGTTTTTTAGATGATATCAGTTTTGGTGTTGGTCTAGAAAATTTGATTACCGGGTGACGCTATCTTTTCGCTTTGTCTAGTACTTGATGAGGTTATATCGGTGGTTGGGCCGGGATATATTTTGCTGCTACGCGTATGCCCCTCCTCGCAACCAATGAAAAATGGAGCATCAAGTGCGATTCGAGGCGACATCTCACCCAATAAAAGAAACTCAAGCAAAATCCCCCAAAACAGCCTCAAGCCTAAATCCAAACTCCCTCTCCTCACAGGGCACGCGATACTTGTCCAGCGTCGTCGGCCCACACGCGCCAGTGCCGACCCCACAAGTCTGCACATCCAGCCGTACACGGACCAGCTTCTCCGGAACAAGCTCATTCGCATGCTTCGCCTTTTCCACAGCTTCAGCGCTATACCGTGTCGCCACCCAGTCGAACAACCTCTCCTCAGAGCTCGAGTCCGCGCCAGCGTTCGATTCCGAGGAAGGTGTATCGCGCGTAACTCTCACCCCCCACCCCCTCCCATCCCCAACACGCAACCACCTAGCCTCCATCCGGTTCCCGCCCTCCTGCGGGACTTCATACGGTGTATGCAGCTCTGCCGTGGTGGCGCGATACAGGCCGATCTTCTGCGACCGCTTCTTATCCGCGTAGGCCTCGCCGGGTCCGAGACCGAACCACGCCGCATTATCCAGCTTGTCGTTGAGCAAGAGATCAAATCCCACCCGTGGAACATCTTTGGGCTTGGAGCCGATGGGTGTGAGCTTCGTTTGGATGGATAGGGCTCCCTCGCCGGTGATGCGGTATGTTGTGGTGGCTTCGTAGCCCCAGGCGAGGATTGGAGGGGAGAGGAAGGTCGTTGTTTTTAGTTCGATGGTCGACGCGTCAATCTGGGCTAGACTGATTGAGCGAAGTTGCGAGGTTAGCACGTCGAGCCCGTAGCGTCGCCATTCGCCGAGATCATATGGGATGTCGTTGTCTGTCGATGGACGCCAGAAGCCTGGGGTGAGGGTCCCGGTTGTGGAGTCTGCGAGGAGTTCGGTACCCTGTGCGAGCCACGAGGTGAGATTTCCCGTTGTGCGGGAGAATTTGAAGACAAAGTCCGTTCCCGTGATGACATAGTGCGACTTTGTTGGCTTTGTGCTGACTGCAAAGGCTGCCTTGGGTGAAGGTGTCGCGGCGATGTTGGCAAAGTCGAGCCGGTGCTGGAACCAGGCGATCTCGTAGCCTGCGTCGGACCAGGCGGAGGCGTGCTTTGTGTTGAATGTCACGGTGAGCCAGGTTTCTGTCCCGGCGGCCTTTTTGTAGGTGAAGGATCCTGGAAAGGTGAGTTTTCCTGTCTTCCCAGGCTGGATGTCGGGCAGAGTCAGTGTTCCAGCGTCGATGATCTTCGATCTGCGCAGTGTCAGTCTGTGCCAAGCAAGAGGAATGGTGATACATACTCCTCTCCAAGCACCTCAACCTTATAAACAGCCTGTAATCCACTCAAATCCACAAAATCAAACCGATTTTCGACATGAATCTCCCCACCATCGAACCACGCATGCACAGGCGCATACGCCTTCCTCAGCTCCACAAACCCGGGCGTCGGCGTATGATCACTATACAGCAGTCCATCCAGCACAAAATTCCCATCATTCGGCTCGTCCCCAAAATCCCCGCCATATCCGTAAAACCCGCGCTCCTCATCCCAAAGCCCGTGGTTCGCCCACTCCCAAATCCACCCACCCTGCAGACGGCGATGGGATCGGAAGGCATTCATGTAGTCTTCCAGCCCACCGGGAGCATTCCCCATTGCGTGCCCGTACTCGCACAGGACGATCGGTTTCGCGAAGTCATCACCTTCTTCCTGCGCTAGTCTCTCGATGCGCGCGACAGAGGGGTACATGTACGAGAACATATCCGCCGTCTCGGCGTTTACATCCCCCTCATAATGCACAGGTCGACTCGGATCCTCATCCTTGATATACCGATACATCGCGCGATGGTTCTCGCCATAAAACGCCTCGTTGCCCAGGGACCAGATAACAACGCTCGCATAGTTCTTATCGCGCTGCACCATCTGCACCGCGCGATCGAGATACGCTTCCTTCCACACGGGGTTATTCGAGGTAAACTCGGCCGCCTGAGCGAAGGTCAACTTCTTCCGCTCCTCGTAGTCCATGCTCTCCGGGATATCGAGCGGGCGCGCGACGGCGTCGTAAAACCCGTGGCATTCGAGGTCTGCTTCGTCCATGACGTACAGGCCCAGTTCGTCGCAGAGGGAGAACAGGGCCGGGTGCGACGGGTAGTGGCAACAGCGCACGGAGTTGACGTTGTGCTGCTTCATCAGTAGCAGGTCGTTGCGGAGGAAGGCGAGGGGCACGGCGCGCCCGTGCAGCGGGTGGTGGTCATGGCGGTTTACGCCGCGGAAGAGGATGGGGGTGCCGTTGATGGTGATGTTGCCGTTCAGGATCTCGACTTGGCGGAAGCCGACCCTGTGGGGGACTTTTTGGAGAGTTGTTTGCTCGGATTTCAGGGTGATTTCCAGGTCGTACAGGTTGGGGGTCTCGGCGGTCCATTTGCGTGGGTTGGGGACAGGGAGGGTGAAGGTGAGGGTCCCACTGGAGGATGCGGATTGGTTTTCGGATATGATTGTCTTTCGATCGTTGAAGGGGTCGGAGAGGGTCACTGTCACCGTGCTCGAGGTTGCGGCTGTCACGTCAACCGAGACCTGAAGCTCCGCGTCGACATAGTCCTTGTCCAGCGTTGTCTTGACGCGGAAATCCTCAATGCGCGCAGCAGAGGGAAAGGCGATCAAGGTGACATCGCGGAAGATGCCTGCCCAAGACTTTAGCATCCAGTTAACCCCAGGGTATGTCAGAAGTACGAACCAGAAAGCCACCATTGATCCTGATCCTCAATATAAGACCCGTCAGACCACTGATAGACGCGAACAAAGACCTCATTCGCCTCACCCCTCTTCACAATTTCTGAAATGTCAAACTCTGCGGGATTTCGACTGCCCTGTGCGTATCCAACCTCGACCCCATTTACCCATACATGGTACGCGCTGTCGACTCCATCAAGGCGCAGTCGCAACTGATCGGACTTGCCCCAGGTAGCGGGGACATAGAACGTCTTCTTGTATGTACCGGTGGGATTCTCACTGGGGACATGTGGCGGTGCCGTAGGGAAGGGGAAGATCACGTTCGTATAATGAGGTCGTCCATAGCCTTGAAGTTGCCAGTGTCCGGGGACAACGATGGGCTTCCATTCGTCATCTTGCCCTACATCTTCCTCTCCTTTTTCAGTCGAGGTAGGAGACGGCGCAAGTAGCGGCGAAGAAACATAATTAAAGTCCCAATTGCCGTTTAGAGACAGACTCGTCTCGGGAATCCAGTACGCGCGGGGCTTGAGGCGGTTGCGCTGGAAGACCGCGGGGTTCTCCCAGTCGTTAACTTTGGCTGATTCTGTTTCGGCCATATTGTGCGTCTCTGTGTAATTGTGCCGGTGATGTCGGTGGCGTGCAGTTCTCGTCCGGGAATTCAGCCGATACTTAGACCGGCCGGTTGATTAAATCTATCAACGAGTTCCCTGTTATTGACGAGGGCGGCATTTAAATGTGTAGAGGGGAGGAGACGACGTGGGGTTCCAAGCCTGCTGACGTAGCGTGCAGGTGTGCCTGTACCTGTGCGGACCCTTTTGGCTGTCGGGGAAGTCGGAGTAAATAGCGGGTAATTTTGTCCTACTCTGGAGCATCCAAGCGGGATTCAAGCGGAAGTTGCGCTGGTATTGATTGGTGGATGCAGCGTGACTCCAACTCGGGGGTGTCGGGTCCGTGTCGGATTAGTCTGCCTACAGCGTTGCGGGGTCGGGACATGACTGCGTCTGGCCCCGCAGGAGTTCGGTGCTGGCGGTGGATCTCGAGTCAGGATCATTGTCCGAGGAGAGGGGAGGGTTAGATAGTTGGTCACATTCTAGTACTATCCAATCCTATTTGCCAGGTTGACTCGGGGGCGATATGTGATTTCTGTCCATTTCAGCGGAGCCAAAATCCTCACTGAAACAGCTTCTGCGCTGCCCTCCTGAGCACCTTTCGAATAAAGTGTTTCTCCTCCAGCACCTCCTTGTAGTAGTAGTCCTTCGCAGCCTCCATAATCACCTTGACTCGATCCGCAGGAACCTTTTCCCTCCGATCATACGAGTAGAGCCCGTTGACCTCTTGCTCGATGTCCGTCCTATCATAGTCATCAGTACTACCGTACTAATCCGCCTCAGAGGCAAACACAGGAACTTACAACTGTGTATAAACAAACCCACACGTATGCCCCCCCTTAACAACCGCCATGACCAATTTCTCCAATCTTGCCAAGAGATCATTCGGATCCGCCGCAGTGGTATATCCCCAGTCCTTCCCAGACCCCTGTTCATCCTTTGCCGGGGCAATATTCACGCCCCCAAACTCCGAGCAGATGACCGGTGCGCCGGATGTATGCCTGGCACCGGGGTCGATGATGATGTTGGTGCCTTCGCGGATAGGCTCGACAAACAGTTCGCCGTGGAGCTTTCGGGCCAGGATCCCATTTTCCATCCTTGAGCACATTTTGGCTAGTTCGGCCGAGTCGCTGTAGTCGTGGAATGTCGTGAGATCCGTCGAGACATGCTCCCAGCCGCAGTTGTCGTTGACGGGCCGGGTTTCATCCAGCGATCTGTACATGATTAGCCATATATAAACTAAGAAATCGGAGGGATATACTTGGTCAACGTATAAATCAACCGGATGTGATTCCTCTGCTCCACATTCCCCTTGAGATCCTTATACCCCCACGACTCATTAACCGGCGTCCAGACAACCACACACGGATGGCTGCGGTCCCTCTTGACAGCCGCCGCCCACTCCTCATTGAACCTCTCGATATACTCCTGGTTGAACTCGTATGCATTCCCAATCTCGCCCCAGACGAGATATCCCAGGCGATCCGCCCAGTAGTGGAAAACCGGGTCCTCGACCTTTTGGTGCTTGCGGCACCCGTTGAATCCCATTCTCTTGGCCAGTTCAATGTCTGCTTTCAACGCGTCCGATGACGGGGGTGTGAGCCCCGTGTCGGGCCAGTAGCCCTGGTCGAGGACCAGCGCTTGGAAGTAGGGTTGGCCGTTGAGCCGGAAGGTCCCGTCGCCGTTTTCCCACGTTATGCTGCGCATGCCGACTGTAGTTTGGACCTCGTCTATAACATTCCCCGTGGCATCTTCGAGCGAGATCTCGACGTCGTAGAGGATCGGATGCTCGGGCGCCCACAGCGCAATCCGGTTGTACCAGACGTCCGCCTCCGGATACGCGAGCTCGAGCTCACTCTCGATCCTGCCCGTCGCCGCATCGCCCTCGGAAATCCGCACGTCGAGATCAATCGCGACGGAATCTTCCTTGTCGCTCGCACCCACACCCAGACTTGATTTCCCAATAACCTCCCCCGTCAAACTAACCACCGTCCTGATAATCAACGCGCCATGCGAGACTCCCTCGAGGACGACTCCCCCCCTAACCCTCCCTTCCTCAATGTCATCCCCACTAAGCACCGTGCCCGCACTCCAATCCCCGATCCGGACCGCGGGGACACTCTCCAGCCACACGCTCTGCCAGATCCCGCTGGTCGGGGTGTAGAAGATACTTTCGGGCTCGGGACCCCAGTACTGTTTCCCGCGCGGCTGCGTGAGGTCTGTGGGGGAGTCGCGGACGCGGACTGTGACTCTTTTCTCGTCGTTCTCTGCAGCAGCGGCGAACGCATCGCTGATATCAACGTCGAAGGGTACATAGCCGCCCCGATGCTCGCCGTACAGATGCCCATCAACCCAGATCGAACACTCGTAATCGACGGCCCCGAATCTCAACAGCACCCGATGCCCCGCTGCTTTCTCGGCATCGGTCCGGATGTCCTGGATGCCCCGCTCATACCACAACACCTCGTGCGCCTCGCGGAGATCCAATCCCGACGCACGGGTCTGGAACGCATAGGGGACATTGATCGTTGTTTTTCGATGTGTGTCTGCGGACTCGGGGAGGCCGGTCTCTTGCCATTTTTCTTCGAGCCCGGTATTCGAGTCATCAAAGAGGAATGCCCAGGGACCGTTTAGAATAGTCCAAGTTAGGTTCTTGCGGACGAGGTCCGGGCGCGGGTAGCTGGTTGATGGCGGGGGCGGGTCGTTTGTTCCCATTTTCGATGACCCGGAATCGATTACTGGTGGAGATGGAGTTCAATTTAGGGTGTATATCTCTGGGTTGATTTTGTTGAGCTAGCTACTCGAGTGAGGGGGGTCCAGATGGTGTTGTCGTCGACCGACACGCGTTACCCCTCGCCGATGACGTAGCAGACTCATCACACTTTCGGCGTATCATCAACCAACCGAACACGGAAAAGAAACATTCGATTGATATCCAGCGCGGGGTAAGGGGTGTAAAAATGAAAAGAAAACAAATTGCAGCAACTGGCCGTTGACCGTTTGACAGTCGCGTCAATCTATCCGAGACGTAAGGAGGACCCTTGTCGAGTTTCGTTTATAGGCAAGGGGTCTATATAAGCAGTGGAGAATCTGCAACATTATTCACAGCAAGACTACGCTACATGGACCGAGCTCTTCACGGTTAACCCCATTTAATAGTTCAGATCGGCGTTAATCCATTATGAAATCTCGGGAACGCTCAGCAAAATGGCCGGAAGCGATGTACTCGCATCCTCAATAAGCCGAATGCTCTGTAGGACGCTTGGGGACACTCCAGATCCCGGAATCTGCAGCCACTGCGTCAAATGCGTGCTTAGATTGAGTCCAATATCAACCACATTGGCGGGCAGACAATCCCGTAAAGCGTTTTCGCGAGCCGCCGCCAGGACAATTAGCATTACTGACGCCATTCTGCTTCCCATTAGTGCCAGCACAAAAGACAGAGGGGGAGACCTACGAGAGGGAGCAAATCCAGGTATCGACCATGATTGTTTGCGGGAACCCCTGTAGGTTCTGGGCATGTAGGCAGCATGCCTCGAGGCACGTCCGACACCCTTCGTAGGCCTTCTGCGGCACCGCCTCGCCACGGGTTGTCAATGAAAGCGACCATGTCAGGTATGGGCGATATATGACGCTTTTACACGCAAGGTATCGCTGGCGAAGGAAACCGGCTTCGGTTGATCGCGCGGCCTCGCGTGTGGCAGAGAACTGGAACGGCGGGGGGAGGAGGTCTTTCCATTTCTCAAGCTGGTGATCGAGCTCCGCGACGACTTTTGGGAACTGATGAACATCCGAGGCGACACCGTTGTTTCGCGCGTAAAGCAGATCGTGAACTCGGTTTAGGAGCCGACGCATGGAAATGCATGCTAGGAAGTAAAGGGACGATTGTTCCTCAATCGCCGGAGAGGCATGGGTGTGGTATTCGCCGGGTAGTGGAACAGATGATTCGATGTCTGCTATGCCAGTTTGTGGAAGCGCGGCCAGCTCGGCCAGGTAGTCACTAGGATGATGAGCAAGGAATCGGAAATGGGTGCGGTTCAGCCAACCTTTCCAGAATGTAGCAGGACCAGAAGATCCGCCGCAGGCATTCCTGTTGCTCCGGGGCAGACTCGGATGCAGGATACGAAAGGAGTAGACGACATTTGATCGCAGCAGCGCTAATGAAGGACCAAGCTTGGATGGGACGTTGAAGAAAAGCGAAGAACAACCTGGTTAATTAGTGACAGGTAGTTAGTAACAGGAATAGACATACGCGGCAAAGAATAGACATTGCACTGCTTCCGTCGAACACTCGGCCTGCGCCAAATGGATCTTTCTAAAGGCCAGATCAAAGTAGAGCCCGCTCATCAGCTGCCAGCGATGCCGGTGCTCCGAGTCCGTGGGGTCCTGACTAGCCCCTGCGGATGCAGATTGTATGAGCTGACTCGCGGACCCTAGCGCCATTACCAAGAGGGCACGACATGAGCTAATGCCTTCATCGAAACCATTTGACAGGACCTGCAGCTCCACCTCGGTGCGAGTGGCCCGTGACATGGTCGGATACCAGTAGTTGACATTGTGTTCGAAGCTGTGCAGTATAGAATCGACCTCAGGTTTGCTCACGTATGGAAGGACGCCAGTCGTCCGATGCTTCAGTGCTGGTCTCGCACTTTCCAAGCGAAAGACGGACCCGCGGTAGTTCTGTCGCAGAGCATGGAAGTCTTGGAAATGGGGCCACGCCAAGATGGATTCGGTTGTCGACGAGTGAAACTGCGATAAGATCGCGTTTGAGATCTGATCAGGCGGACTCCCCGCGCGAGGGACCGAATCAATCGTCGCTGGGGAGAAGAATGCCAGGGGAGAAGGGGGTATACGATGGTCTACAGGGGTGGCGGCTGGGAGCAGGGTCCGCTTCGGGAAAGAGTCAGGGTGATCCCATCAGGGTAGGAGCGACCATACCAGCTGGGTGGCCATCTCCCGCAGCATATTCTCCGACCTCAAGGCCACGTCAAGGATCAAGTCGGATTTGCTTTTCCTGCAGGTTGCGTGAGAATGACAGCGTTGGCGTGTCCGGCACATTCTCCGGCGTGGCTGGACTTACGGAATCGCCTCTGCTCCAAACAGACATTCTTCGCCGGTTGTCGAGCAGGTCGCGCATGGTTGTCTGCCGTCGCATCTGCAAGAAATCAGCTGAGATTGGGTCAAGCATCTCCTTCCGAGCTCCCCGACTGACCTGACTTTGCGATGCCTGCACGAATCACACTGCGCGAGTCAGCCCACTGCCATCAACCAGCCTTGGCAACATACCGCGTGAGAGGTCCTCTTGCGCTTCCTCGACTCCGCGTCTCCATCCAAGGCCATCGTTCTTGCGGGATGTCAAAAGTCGTGAGCCAGCAGGAATGGGTCTTTTGCTGTGGCAGAGCTAATATAATCGCGGCCCAATGGAAAGTGCGAGTCTCGTGTTCAAAGCGGGGAAACAGCAGCAGGTGGTTCGATCCGATTCTTGTCCCTTCCGGCTTCCCCGACTCGCTTTGGCGCCACCTTAGCAGAACAGCCCCCGTGGGGAAATTACCCAAATCCGACTAGCAGCCCAGGGAACTGGCTTTGAATCCTGCCTCCAGCCCGCTCCACCTCCCCGATTGGCTCTTCTTTTTGCCGTCGTCTCACTTCTTCAAGCACCCCAGCACCATGCCGGCCACGTATAAGTAGTCGCGTATGTCTGGGGAAGAGGGGAAGGTCCACAGCTTTCAACCCGCATTGCAGATCACAAACCCACGGTGACTCCCATGGCAGACGAAAGGATTGAGAAGTCCGCCGCAGAGCAGCATGAGGCCGTGGCCGAGACGGAGGAGACCCGCGTCGCTCACGATGCTCTCAACGGCAAATACAGCCCCTGGACTGTGGCGATGATCCGTCTTTACATTGTTCTGATCGTTCCATATCTGTGTGGAACCCTGAATGGATTTGACGGCAGCCTGATGGGTGCGATCAATGCCATGACCTCGTACCAGGACTTTTTCGACATGTACGTTCAGCGCATCAAATCGCAAAACTTTGCTAACTCGTCGCAGGAAGTCGGCAGGGTCCAGCACCGGTATTGTCTTTGCAATGTACAACATTGGGTCTATCCCTGCCGTGTTCTTCACCGGTCCTGTAAATGACTACTGGGGCCGCCGCGTGGGTATGTTCATTGGAGCGGTAATCATCATCATTGGCACTTGTGTCCAGAGTCCTTCTGTGAACCGGGGCATGTTCCTTGCGGGACGTTTTATCTTGGGCTTTGGCGTCAGCTTCTGCTGCGTGTCGGCTCCCTGTTACGTCAGTGAGATGGCGCATCCCGCCTGGCGCGGCACCATCACTGGGCTCTACAACTGCACATGGTAGGATGTCATACATCCTAGTCTCTCCGGATATCGCTAACATGTGTAGGTACATTGGGTCTATATTGGCCTCTTGGGTCGTCTATGGATGTGCCAAGCTGGATAACCCCGATTCCTTCCGTATTCCCATCTGGTGCCAACTAATCTCCTCCGTCTTCGTCGCCATCGGCGTCTGGTTCATTCCGGAGTCGCCACGCTGGCTCATGGCGCAGGATCGAGCGGAGGATGCTGCCAAGGTGCTCGCCAAATATCACGGAGATAGCGACCCTAACCACCCCATCGTCGTGCTGCAGATGAGGGAAATGAGGGAGAGTATCGCCACCGACGGCTCCGACAAGGCCTGGTGGGACTATCGCGAGCTATACACTGGCCACTCTGCGCGTCGCCGGCTCATCTGTGCCATTGGAATGGCGTGTTTTGGTCAGCTTTCCGGCAACTCCGTCACCAGCTACTATCTCCCAGTCATGCTCGAGAACGCCGGAATTGTATCCGAAGGCCGGAAGCTCCTTCTGAATGGTATCTACGCCCCGCTCTCATTCCTCGGTGCGATTCTCGGTGCGAGAATGACCGATACCATCGGTCGCCGCCCGCTCCTCATTTACTCGCTCCTTTTCTGCTCCGTTGCCTTTGCCATCATTACCGGAACTTCGAAGCAGGCCACGGAAGATCCAAGCAATACCGCCGCAGCCAACACAACCATCGCATTCATCTACCTGTTCGGAATCATCTTCTCGTTTGGCTGGACACCCTTGCAGTCGATGTACATTGCAGAAACCCTCACAACCACGACTCGCGCCAAGGGCACAGCGGTCGGTAATCTCGCATCGTCGATCAGCAGCACCATCATCCAGTACAGCTCCGGCCCGGCGTTCGACAACATTCACTACTACTTCTATCTGGTCTTCGTGTTCTGGGACTTGGTTGAAATCGTCATCATCTGGTTCTTTTTCCCAGAGACCAAAGACCGAACTCTCGAGGAGCTGGAGGAGGTCTTTTCTGATCCGAACCCTGTTAAACGGAGTTTGGTTAAGCGTGATGCTGGAACGGTTCTCAATACGATGCAGGTGGAGTCTGCGAATAAGGAGGTTCAGGTCTAGGCGCGGAATGTTGCATACTGGTATGTGCGCATGCGCGGCTTCGACGATTGGGGCATTTATATAATGTGCATTGGATGAGCATAGTAGCCTATGGACGTGATGAGACAAGAGGAACATATTTTCATTCTACCTCCATCCAACTTGATCCACTCTAGACGCGCTGACTACCGCCTGTGTTCACAGGGCTCTACCAGCTTTCTGGCCAATAAACCGAATCGACATGGCCACCTTGCCCTTGACTTGGTTTGAATCGCACTAGAGTCACCACGGACCCCATTGTAAGCTCACCTCTGACCTCACTCACTTCGGCGTGCACGGAGGAATGGCCTTGCGTGATGTCACCTCAAGTCCGGCGACGCGGAACCACGATACAGCTGAAACTCAATCCACGTCTCCACGCCTTTACACCCAACTCCTCATATTTATCTCGATTCCACGTCGAGTGATCTCATCGACTCGTTTACAATATGCCCCTGTTTTGTCTGCCGAGTCCTCAAACAACGAAGGGTTCTCCGAGATCAGTTATTAGCTTCGAGAAACAATATAGAGTTGGCTGTGTAGGCGCAAGATTGCCATTGCCATGTTTGGTTCGCGGACGCCCTTCCAACTATAAGCGAATCGACAACTCGGCGATCATCCATATTCCGCGCCTAACGCATCGGCCGTAGTAGAATTACTGGGTAACAATAACCCCCTAGTGCTTCCTACGTGACCTCTTACACTTTGACCCAGTCGTAGCAGCAACCGACGCCAACGTGTTCCCTGCACCCCCAGGCACCGAAGTCTGTATCTCACTTGCCTCCGCACACTCAGCAATAGTAAGATCACCCCAATTCCCCAAAAAGCTCGCATCCGTATACGCCGTGTAATCGCCACCCGAGTTTGTATAGATACTCGACGCGCAGTTGCGGCCGATATAGCTCGCGCAGGCATCGTTTCCAGTCCCATCGGCAGAAGAGAGGAAGAGAGACCCGGCATCCCAGTTGGCGTCCGAAGCAATGTTAGCTACGTCTGTCCAGACGTTGCCCTCGAAGAGACCCTGTCCCTGTTGGTTTCCTTCGATTGCGTGGCCAGGGTTGTCTTCCCAGACGTTGTTGCAGGCGTGGAAGATGGTTGACCCACTGAGGGCTGGGCTGCGGCCTGTGGTTTTATAAAGGTAGTTGCCTACACTGAGTTAGGAGCCGTATAGAAGTAAGATGGGTTGAATAAAATCGGAAGGCGAACCTTTGAATGTGATCGAGTCGTTTTCGCCGACCAGCTCCATGCCCCAGTACTGGTACCCGTCGCAGCTGGTCGAGTAGGTGGTTTCGCCATTGATGAAGTTGTTCGACAGGGTGACTTTGCTGTTGGGGTTGAAGCCAAAGACGTAGTGGACTCGCCCGATCAACGAGGTCTGTAACAATGCAAGGTGAGCTAGTAGGCCTGATTCAATGGATGGGAGGAAGCATACCTCGACATGATCAATCCAAATCAAGCTACTGCCATCAAACGTCAACGCATCTCCACCCCAAACATACTTCGGATTCAGCTCTGTGATCTTGATGTTCTGCACAATTACATTGCTGACGTCATTCCTAAACGCCAGCCCCTTCCCCTTGATCACTCCCTCACTCCCGACCCCCAGGAGCGTCTTGTCCGAAGCAACGGCAATGGGCGTTGGGCCGGCGGCATCGTACGTCGCAATTGTACTCTGCTGCCCAGCGCAGTCGTCCTGCAGTATCAGCTGGCATGCGTCGTCGGTTCCCCACGAGTAGCACGCTGTTCCTGTTGCCGTGGTCCCGGTGAAATCGTATGTCTTTGTGAGTACGATCACCTGCTCGCCTTCGCTGGAGAGCAGGGACTCGAGCTCGGCGGCGTCGGCTGGGTACACGGGAGTTGCGGAGCCGCCACCAGTGACGCCTGAGGCGAAGCCCTCGGCCGACCCATGGACAGATTGCGCGGCAGCTAGCTTGGCTGCTGCCAGGACGCTGAGCAAGAGGTATCTCATACTTGACGAGTGATTGTCTGAGTTGGGAAAATTGCTGCTGGTGGCATTGGTGCTCAATCACGTATCAGAACTAAGCTTTTGGAGTTTATATAAACTAGCAGTCTGCATTCCTTGAACTGTGCGGCGAGGGAGTCGCGGAGCACTCCGCCGAACCCGTAGAGTATGTGGTATCAATCTCAAACTTGGACTGTCTCAAAAGTTTCGAACTATTCCACAGCGCCCCACCAGGTGGACCTGTAAGGATTGACAGGCCCGCCGCAAAGTCTGCAAAGAGGCTCCCCAATGACAGTTTTTACAGCCTTACTGACCTGAGTCGCCACGGAGGGCGACTCAAAAGATAAATCTCCCAGATGCAGCATATTACAGGGGAATTACCTACTCCTTCTTCACCTCTTGAAGCCTCGTTCATCGTAGTGCACGTTCTTGCATCAGCGGGTCCCTGCAATCTATATGAGACACCCCCTGCGCTAATCCTGCGCGGATCCAAGCTTCGTTCCGGACGAGCCACGCGTCTGGGCACCAGGGTTCGGAAGCATCAATAAATATGTCGGTGGCTACCGTCTTCCTTCTGGCCAGCGAGGGTCGCACCTAGGTGCTATCTTATCGTGTCTGGTCACGCACTTTTCGTTGAGGCAGCCTCTCTTCTGGGTTTGCCTCAACACGTCTCGATGTCACGTTTTACTCGTCCGTCAATGGGATCCACAGGATCAGCCATGAATATTCCTAGACAATCCAATGTGTCTCCGAAAAAGACGGTGTGTGGCACTTGACCCGGTCGTAATCTGACAGCGGGATCTAAATTAAGGGGAGAACATGCTCGGTCAGGGCGTATGAGTCAGGGTAAGGATCGCTGTGGATGCATCACTCCCCACAACCACAACGGCCGCCATATTCGAGCCTCTGCCACAGCCACCTGCACATACGCTAAGCAATTTTTATTGAGCTATGGGTGTATAATACGCACCAGGATAGTTTGGGGTATAATGTTGCACCGTCTATTGTTGTTGAGAGCCAGTTGCGTCCGGGGCGCCTCTCGTTGTTAAACTTGAGAAGTCCTTCTTGAGATCGCCAGATGAGCCAGTTGAGAGAGATTCAGGAGTACCCCACGAGTAGCTGGAGATGTGTGTGCAATAAATGCTTGGTTTAAACAGGGGGTCTTGGAAAACGGCGAGTTTGACTCGTACTTGTCAGAGAACCCCAAAGATATGGGTTTGGCGAGGTAACCTGGGTCTGTTACTGAGTGTAGGGTTGCTGGGGGATTGAACCGAGCCATGATGCTAGAAGAAGCCTTGTAGGTCCATTTGTCACGGCTGACAAGTCTCTAACTTGACATGCACCTGAGCCATAGATGACACGCGGTGGTAAGAATGCTTTAACAGCAAGTAGCTGGTACTGATTGATGTTTTCTTTGCACGAGAGTCCTAGTCGTATTCTCGATGCTTAGCATTGATGCCCACGATTAGAGGCCAGTACCCCGCGTCTGACTTCACGTGAGGACCAAGCGTCTCCCGCTGAATACTCAAGCGGAGCCTGACTTTTGAGGATCAAAGTCTTATTGCGAGACGGTCTACAAACCTTTCTTAGTGCCATTCAAGGGCTCTAAATTTAGCACCTCAACAAACCTTCAATTATACTACAGTATCTGATTCAACTAATGTTCACCCACCTCAAAGCCATCCCATTAAGCGACTTGCATCGGGTCCAGAGCCTCATTTAGGCCCGGGCAGCTGCGTCGCCATGTCAACACCACCCGTTACCACTCTTGACACCGGAGGCGAATTTATCTTGAATAGCCGAGAGAGTTATCCTGTTCTAGTCTCTCCCTCTATTCCACTGGCTAAAGACCCTGGATCACCTATTGCGGCAGAGGGTAGCGCAACCTCGCCAGAGCTGGATGTGGACGCTACAATATCAAAACTCCTGCAGGTTGGACGCTCGCGAAGGATCCCCCGGCTATTTTGCCTGGAACCCGCTGAGATTAGTGCCATCTGCTTGGCGGCAAGCGACGTTCTTCTCGCCGACCCAAGCTTATTAGAGATTTCCGCCCCGGTCAAGATCGTCGGCGACATCCACGGCCAGTTCACGGATCTGATTCGGATATTCGACCTCTGCGGCTTCCCTGAAGATACACAATATCTATTCCTGGGGAACTATGTTAGCAAGGGGAGGAACAGTCTTGAAACAATTCTGTTGCTTCTATGCTATAAGCTCAAGTACCCCAAGACGTTCTTTCTCCTGCGTGGGAACCACGAGTGCGCGTCCATCGCTCGGCTGTCTTCATTTTACTCCGAGTGTAAATATCGCTGCAGATTAAACGTCTGGAAGACATTTCGATCTGTGTTTGACTCCCTGCCCATTGCCGCAATCGTGTCTGAGAAGCTCTTCTGTGTGCATGGCGGACTATCGCCCTCTCTGACAAATCTGGATGGCATCCGCGCCATTTCTCGCCCAACAGATGTATCTGATGCCGGGCTGCTGACTGATCTTCTATGGAGTGATCCAGCGGACGTGGAAGTGGACTGGACGGAGAATGATCGCGGCGTAAGCTACTATTTCAACAAAAGTGTTACGCGGAACTTCTTACAGCGGAGCGGCCTTGACATGATCTGCCGCGGCCATATGGTTGTCGACGAGGGGTACAAGTTTCATCATGATATGTCGGTAGTAACGATATTTTCAGCACCTAATGTGGGCCTAACAAAACCTCTCGATGTTGGCTTTTATGCTTATGACCATCTCGTGCAGCACCTCGACGACCTGGACAACAGCGGTGCCATCATGGCCGTCGCCGCCGACCTCAGTTATGGCTTTGAAGTCCTCAAGCCTGTTGATCCATACGGTCGTGGGAGAAAAGTACCTCGAGGCAATCGACCCGGCGAGCCGGAAGGGGAGACTGAGGAGTCTTTTCATGGACTTCCTCTTGCGCAGGATTTCTAGCTGGTAATCTCTTTGACCGCGAAAGCATGCATGTCAACAGCAGCGTAGCTCTAACGGAGAATAGACTGTGAGGCACACTACTGGAGCATCCTCTACCGAAGATGAGCTACTTTCCAGTAATGTGTCGAACAACGTATGATTCATCGTGTCCCAGCACTCAAGACTGCTTCTACCAGAACAACAAGTCAAATCAACTCCCCCGCAACTAGCATTCCCTAGACTCGAATACCGCCTTCACCCTCTGCATCCTCTTCGGATCCCGGTTAGACCTGATGACATCAAAACAATGTTGCATCCCACCATTATCAAGCCAACTATCCACCCTACCGACAGATCGCATCGCCGTCGCTCGCACCGATCCTTTCAATACGTACAAGCATGAATCAACGTGGTCGGCATACCGAGCCCAAAACTCCGAGTTGTCCACCGACATGTTCCCCTGTAAGACGACACGCGCAAGGGCTTCTCGAACTCAATGTCTGGGTGGTGATACTGCATGTCTGACTGTTCGCTGCGCGAATTCTGGGTTCTGTACTTGCATCTCATGCCATTCTTCACCGCGCGAGGTTAAATCCGGAGGTGGGCTGGCGGGGTCGACGGAGGCTATTCCCAACGAGGCCTCAATAGCCCAATTGACTGACTCGTGAAGTATGTAGATGCGGTGGATCCTAACAAAGACTGCTGGCCGGTGGCACTATTTTTCTACGCTGTCAGGTAGTGTGTCAAGGCTTGGATAAGCAGCCTGTCAGTCGTAATCATTGGCGATCAGAAAGGAGTCAGTTTCGAGCGTTGGATGGACCTGGAGCATAAAGAGATATTAGTCAGTAGCTGCCCGTAAAGCTCGGATATTTTAAAGTATTAGAGATCCAGGTTGATACATGAGAAAGAGGAACCCAAATACCTAGGACGTGACCATCTTGTGCCGCAGGCGACGCCATACTTTCCACCGGCTTCCGGCTTCAGTTGGGATGGGTACGCGGGGAGTATCCGATATATCCCCGGTAGCTGCTCGGACAATGCCCTTCTTTGCAAGCGGAATGGGAACAGATTTTCCGTCATCGTCGGCTTGGGGACTGGTCTGGTTACCACAGTCCAAGGCTGTCGCCGGTTGGTCGGCCCGGGGACGACTCTCTATTTCTTGCCACCGGGATAGTATGATCTTCGAATCGACGGTGTCAGGGTGTTCGGGTCCAAGTCGCTTTGTGCGCAGCTCCAAGCACTCTTTAGTGAGGTCTATTGCCTCACGGCGCTTGCCCATTGATTCTCGAGTGTATGCAAGATTTTGCATGCTCCTGAGCGTGCTAGGATGCTCCAGACCCAGCTTCTGCTTTTTAGTCTCCCATACCCTGACCTCCAGCTCCTCTGCCTCCTCCAATTGTCCCTGCTCCCAGTGCGCCATTGCCAAGTTGCCCAAGAATGAAATGGTGAGCGGATGATCCTCTCCAAGATGTTTATTTGAGCCAGTGATAGCGAGCTGGTGCAAACATTTAGCTTCTCCGTGTCTGCCCTGTTTTCCCAGCACTATTCCCAGTTGGTCGATTATTACAAGTGTATCAGGGTGCTCTGCGCCGAACAAGCGCTTTGCAATGCGCAAAGCACGCACACGGAGCTCTTCCGCTTCCTCGAACCTTTCTTGCTCGAGATAAATGTTGCCCAGATTATCCATGCTTATCAGAGGGAGCCAGTGTTCAGCTCCGTACGTTTCTTCGGATCTCCTCAATACTTCGAGGTGTATCTGTTCAGCCTCGTCATATTTGCCCAGCCGGGTCAAAGCCACGCCGGTATTGCTCACAGTGTGTAGAGTGTCCTCATGCTGCGGCCCGAGTTCTTTGACATAGCCGTCCATCACCCGTCCATAAATGGCTGCTGCATCTTCATACTGTCCCAGCTGGACAAGGATACTACCAAGGCCCGCGAGGCAATCCAGAGTACTCAGGTGCTCAGGACCAAGAACCTTTTCAAAACCTTGTAGGGTACGCTCTCGGATCTCTTGTGCGCGTGCATACTCACCCTGCCCAGCAAACACCCAACTATAAATCTCCAAACTCGATAGAGTGTCTGGGTGCTCAGGTCCAAGAACCACATTTCGGCCCTCTAGAACCTGCTCCATTATTTGTTTCGCTTCGGTATACTGGCCCAATTCCAGTAGCACCTCTCCGAGGTTATCCATGATATCGAGCGTGTCCTCATGATCCTTGCCTAGGGTTTTCTCTCTATCTTCCAGGACCTGGGAAAGTAATGACTTTGCTTCCCTGTTTCTTCCGTCGGAACCTAGCCAGTATCCCACACTCTGTAATAGACCACCGTATTGGTCTCGCACAGACCTGAACTCGTTATTTTCAATCACAGACAGAATATGGGGCAGGTATTGCCGCCCCAGATTTCTTTCGCGATGGTCAAGCTGTGAAAATGTTTGGCTCATATGCTGCACAGTCTTTAGTATCCACGTCGTGAAGGACTTGTTCTTTTTCATCCATGTCCTTGTTGCGAGATACACTAGTCGGTGCAATGTCAAGTCTCCAGATTTAGTCTCCTCCGATATGAAGGAATAGGCTTTGAGAATACCCAATGCCTCGATCCTTTTTTTGTGGGACAGGGCCGGCGGAAGAAGGGACTGTGGGATATTGCGAGGACTTATACAAGCCATGAACGAGAGATAGTCCACTGCCAGACGGTCCAATAACTGGATCTGGGAGAAGGAAACTAGCCATGTGGTGGTCACCGGGTTTTGCATATCTGCGTATCGGCCATCGTCCTCAAAATCCTCGCTCAATAGCTTAACCATATTCTCTTCCTGTGCGTCAAGAAGAGACAGATAGCTTCCCAGTGTGGTAATGTCATTCTCGTTGAGATATGCCGCGGCCTGACTAATAGCGAGGGGAAGGAAACACAGTTGTTGGAGAAGGGTCGTAGTTGCCTCCTTATCCTCGAGCATATCCTTCCGGATCAGGTGCTTCTGAAGCATCTGCATGGCTGTGTCCTCATCCATGTCAGGAATCTGAACCACGTTCGACAAAGCCAGCTTGACAGCGAGCTTTCGATTTCGGCTAGTGAAAAGGATGTTCCCTGCTTCATTGTGTGGCAGTAGACTTTTCAATGGCGGGCGAGTCTCAGTCTCCTTTGTCCACAGGTGCATGTCGTCTGCATTGTCATATATCAGAAGCCACTTTCCGGACCTTTCGTGGCTCAGGTAAGTCTTTACCTGCTCCTTTACTGCTCCTGCATTGAGTTCTGGCATTCCGGTCATTTGCGCGATATTCATGTATGCCTGCTCAACACTCTCGTAGCTGGTGCATGGAATCCAGAACACCGACATTTCAGGACTTTTATCGCGCACGCGATAAGCGAGTTCCAGAGCGATTTGGGTCTTTCCAATCCCTCCGAGTCCGCATATGGCTGTTTTTCTCCTTTCGGCCGCCCTAAGCACCCCATCTTCCAGAGCGGCGATGTGACTCTTGCGACCGACAAATGCTGCATTTCTGGAAAACGGTACCATCCAGTGACTTTTCCCGGCCTTTCGGTCATTCTGGGGAACAGGAACAACTTGCAGAAGCGTTTTCGCGTACGCGGCTGCCGTGAGAGCCGCGTAGCCTTGCCATTCCTTCGACTTGTGCGAATCACAGTAGTCGCAGATCCCTCGAACAACGAGACAAGGTAGTTGATCCATCAAACCTGCAGCTTCCATCTCGAAGCAACAAATATCGAGCTCCTGGGCAATTGAGTCACGCGTTCGGGCATCTTTCATTACTTGGTTTCCTGAAACGATTGAGCCATAGTGGATTCGTGGTGCATCTGACTGTCGAGGATCGCGTTGCACCAGTTTTGCAGGGTCGCACAATGAACAATCCGTCTCGGGGCCGTCATGGGTATATAAGGAGTCGAACAGCCGATCGTTGTCTGGCCGAGAGAATGTTGTTCTGATCGCTCTACCCCTCGTCGACGGAGCGCTCCTTCCCGGGACATCGCCGTCCTCCCCCAAGGCGTCGGAGATGGTCTTCATGAGTGGGATTTCCTCCTCTCCCATCAACTGAGCGCTCCGCAGCTGAGAGACCGCTGTCAACAACACCTGAGGCGGTTTATTCAACGATCCCACCCGCTGAAACCTTCCCGAATGCAGCGTCTTCCCAAAGTCGAATTGTATCACGCCACCCGATGAACCACTCGGTATGCCAACAACCACATCTCCAAGCCGCACATCTGCTTTCGTCGGTGCGCCGCCTCCGATTCCCACCATGAGGCCGAATTTTATCGATCCGAACGTGGGCAGCATTTGCGCCAGGACCGTCGTTGCTGATATCGTGCCATAGACGCCAGAGGGCAAGCACGCGATAACGATATTATGGCCGTGGATGCTTCCGAGCGTGTAGCAGTTGTGGTCTGTCGAAGGCTGCGCCAGGTTACCGTGGACTTCATCGAGCACGAGTTTCGCCGCGGCCATCTCCAGCGGGAGCGCGCTGATCCAGGCGATTGTGTAGGCAGCGTGGGAGAGGACTCGAGGCATTCTCGGTGGGGCGTCGATCGACGACGCTATGATGATGGTTTATATAGAGTGGAGATATCGCATCCCTCGCGACAAACATGATATCCAAGTCTTGTCGCTTGCGTGGTTGTTGATTGCCATCTCCGTTGCATCGTGAGATGCGAAGAGGGGTAATCAGCTGTCGAGATGGCAACCTGCAAGTCAGCCTCGCGTTTGGGCGCAGCACTGCATTTCAGCGGTGTGATTGAGAGGACGTCGCCTCGCTCTGAATGGTGGTTGGCATGTGGCTGATACCCAAGAGGCAGGGCAACCATACCCAAAATGTGTTAGACCGTAATGCGATCGTGCTAGCAACCTTGCAAGTCAGCACTGGCCAGCCTCAGCTGCACAGTGACAAGACGAGCCACCACCAGCCACAAACACCCCCCCAAACACCTTTCTTGGCAACTCGTATCTCAGGATTTTACTCGTTATGAGCAGTTCGACCCCTTGTTTTGAATACAGGAGTCAGGATGCCTACCTAGGTACCATTGCTAAGCTCCTACATCCTCCGCATGGCGTTTCCTCGGAGTATACAGCACGACTCACCACTTCACTTCGAACCATACTGGAATAAGGGCTCTTCCATACCGGTTTAGTGGACCAACTCCGAGGTCCCGAGTAGATGCTCCTCCCAAAGGCCTCGCGCAGCCTGGTGTAAGCCGGAGAGGAACGGAGGCGACTTTCTAGTATAACATGATATCCGGTTAACTCGTGATGTCTTGTCACCTGTAATCTTACAAGGCAGATCTATTGGCTGACAGCATTCCGTGTCCAAGCGCGGCTCTCTGACAGTAGGATCATTGTAGGTTGGAGATAATATCTCCTCATGCATGACAGTATTATGCATTAACTTATTACTTACAAATGTGGAAGTGTTAAAAGAACTATGCACTATGTTACCTTATTACCTTATCCACTATTGTTGGGCATGGCGGGCAGAGTAAGGCCCTTGACCTTATGGTAGTTACTTGGCAACTAATGGTTGTGAAACAAGTCGCCTTAGTCTTAATAGATCCCTCATTCGGTATAGGGGTGGAAGTGTGCGAATAAAAAGCGGGTAGGATAAAAGCATTAATGCTAATATAGTGTATAATTAATTAAACAAAGCATCATTGATGAATCACCAATGTCTGCTAAAGTTCGGCACCAATGTTGCATTGTAACTAGTCCCCAATAAATTGATCTAGTAGCTATGACTGGTAGCCCCGCCTGCAATGTATGATGTAGTCCAAATAACCTTGAAGTAATATACCAATTCAATTACAAAGCCTGACTGCCGCACCGAAACTATCCCGCTGCACGTACCATATTCTGGTACGGGACAGCTACTGGTACGAAAACGATGACAGGTGAGATATGTAGGAGAGGAAGCATAGATCACTCAAAGAAAGTTCTAGGTTTGAATTTTTGAAGTCTTTTACATTCATGATGCAGGGATGTTTAATGGGAGCTGGATAGGGTTGTTAGAGACTGGCACTCAGCAGAGACTAGAGTCAGGGATTTTACAATGTTGTCATTATATTAAGCCTTTAGCATCATGACACTGATGTAGCTATCTTATTTTACTTTCCTGGATTAAATTCTCGGTTATTTCTTCTCGTGCCCAAGAGACAATCAGACATTTAGAGCTGAAGTCAACTTGTCTGAAGAGGAACACTTGGGTTGAAATTCGTAGAAATGATCATACACTATCCATTTTGGTGATACCAAGCTCAGTTGGCGTTGCACTAACCATGGGTGGCTCATATCAGCCCATGCAATCCACCGCCAAAAGGTGGGCCCCCGCATTAGTGGTTGTTGCGGAAGGGATTTTCATTTTGATCTAGATCATTCTGAACAGTCATAGTAATAGTCTTATTTTTATACGCCTAGTAATTACTGTGCAGGTTATGTTAGATGAAAGTAACTTGGTCGGCTCTTAAAGTCACAACTAATTATATTAACTTCTGAACTAATAAGCGGCCTATACTACTTTAGCCAACCAGAATTTAGAGTAAGAATTAATACTTAAGATGTACCATTTGAATGCGGCTCCATATCAATATTAGTTTGAGTTCCATGTTTTGGCTTCCAGACGATTCTACTCGACAGCATTGGGTTTATTACAAAACCTTATGTCAAGAAGACTATATAGGTCAGACGGTCCTTATTCCACAAACAGTGAACCATATAGAGATAAAGTGATGACGTTTCCATACCTCATTAGACTTCAAGACATATTCACATTTATATTATTAGAGTTTTTGACATAGTCTATATAAGATTCTTTCATGGAAATCGTGTGTTATATATTTCCCGGATTATCACATATTGGATCAGCATTTTACATACCTATTATTTGTAAGAACCAATTACTGAATTCTAATCGACCCTTTGAGTATTAAGAAGAATATCCATCACTTCTACAGTTATGGCCCCCTCTGAAGATTCTCCTGCTCTCAACTCGCCCCTTACTCCCGATTCCCGAGATTCTGATAGTCAAGAGGTTCTTGTCAAACAACCACATTCAAGCCGCGGGGAACAAGACAGCCTTAATTTGGTTCTCAGTGCTATCACTCGATCCACCATCATATCTGGCCTGATTGTTTACGGAGTCTGGAGTGTCAGATCATTCAATAAAGCAATGGAAGCCAGCCAAATCTCCGGAATCTATGTGCAAGAAGCAGTAAAGGCGAAAGGCTGGGCAGCAAACATGCTCAGCCTTTACTCATGCTGTGTCTGCAGCGCAGTACGTCGGATCTCCTCAAAGATAGTCTTATGAATGCGTTGATACTGAATCCTTAAAAGACAAATACAACCTTTTGTTCAAGCCTGCCATCGAATATCGACTTAGCGAATATCACAGCAACCCTCTTGGAAGTCCCAGCTACTTCAACCAAAGTGGGAGAACTTACGTTTGTTTGGCCTCTTATCGTTTCGGTTGCTTCGATATTTGGATCTGTATTCCTCGCTCTGCTGCTATTGCGCGGCTCTCGCTTTCTGCTGTAGATTACCCAGGACTCGCAGGACTACGGAAATCATTGCTTGTCATTCGAATAATCTGTATTTTCGAGGAAGAGGCGTCCTGTCCTAAATATCAGTGAGGTTACGCGATTATAATAGTTCAGCGGAATAGGTCTGTCCTGCTTACAATTACGTATAACTCGGATGATTTCCATACCGGGGATCACCACATACTACTCATTAAATAGACCATATATTAACCAGGTAACCTTCTGATCTGTCCCGTTCTATGCCAAATTTAACTATCTTTATGTTTCACATGTTAGTACACTGGATGTATAAAGTAGTGCTTATAACATCTTCCCTGCTACGCACCCGCCCCGAGGCCTTCAGAGTGCGTCTCAATAGATCTGCTGCTTCATCAAAGAGCGCTTTCTGGAAAGATATGTCTAATATAGCGATCAACGTTTCCAAATTATTTGGAACCTCCGGTTATAGATCTCTTCGCGGCGCTGTAGCTCTTCCCTGTGTAATGCGTCCGCTATATCAAACTCGCCTCGGTCATGAACAGCGATTCCAATGTTAGGGGTGGACTCGACGCTGTATGGATGCTGCGGGTCCAGTAAGACCTCATAGCCCCATTTACCTGTCGTAGCGCTGCTTCTGCTTGCTTGAATTTGCCCTTCAAGCAAGGTAGACAGGCCAGAGAGCTTGTGGCCAGAAGACTTTCGCCGTCGTGCGGGTCAAGGACCTTTCCCTACGCCAGTTATTGTACTTCCTGCGCATCCTGAAGGTTGCCTAGGCGTTTAAGAGCTTGACCAAGGGAGCTCAACGAATCTAGCCAGCCTTTCTCCAGTAAAATCACCAAGGGTGGAAAGGAGACAATGTCAACAAAAGCTCTGGGAAATCGCGGCTCTAACCAACTCTTCCACTATGGGTTAAGTCTTCTAAGAATATCGAATATCGTAACTTTTCAATTCCTAAGCAGGAGGGCTAAGGCTTATATGACGCCATAGGCTACATGCAGATCGCATTGACGGTCTTTGATGCCTAAAAGGCGCTATTGTGGAATTAGTTTCCGTCTCTGCTTCGTCTATGAATTATGCCTATCGCTGGCCTGCCCTGACAATGTGAGCGCAGGTAACGTCGCCTGCTAATTGGGAGTCCCAATCACCGAAGGTTGACCCATACCATTATGATACTAGCGACACATCAACAACAAAGTCAAACGGATACTGGGATCACTTGACGGGGAGGGTATGGTAAATATCTCAACGTTATGGCTCATCTCACGTTCCATATGGTCCATGTCTGGCAGACTGTTCGTTTCGTTAAGTTTGAGCCGATCTGCGCAAGCTCCTCTATGGCCAATTCAACTATAAAACTTAGAAGATCAAAGCGTAATATGCCCAATGCAGCTATCTCACCGTGGCAGGAGACAGCCGCCTTCTTCCCACTAGCCACGTCACGGAGAGCGTTGGTACTGCTGTCGCTATTGGCCTCGCCAACTCCCCAGATACCCTTCACCATTGTCCTAAGACCAGGTGTGGTAGTGTATATCTTGCCTCTGATCATTCGGACGCCTGGCTGAGTAGGAAGAGTCAAAGCCTGCATGGTGCCATCGGCACATGAATACTCCACATTCATTATAAGTTCCATCCGTAAAGTACACACGGAAGATGTCAACCTCCTTTTGAACTGCCTGGTCATGTACATCATGACCGCTCTGGTCGCGGGTGATATTAAGGACATCATTGTTGTAAACAGTGATGTTGTATGCGCTAAACACAGCGGACCACTTTGGATTTTTCCGCGAATATGTGGATGTCCTTGTTCACTGTCAGCTGCAGCTCTCGGACACTATCATAAGCGTCCGAGAGGTTGCCCAGTATGCCCATGGTTTGGTCACAGTGCTCAAAGCCATCGCACCATGGGCGCCAGTAGATTCCCTTCCCAGAGGCCTCGCGCAATCCGGGGACGTGGGGTAGATCATCCGTTAGCCCGCTGCCTAGCATCACCTTGCGTGTGGAGAATGAGCTTCCATTGGCAATGCTCGCGGGCCAGGAAGCATTCAGAGTCACGCCCTTTTAGCCAATGAACGGTGCCGTGTAAAAGAATGAGATCTGGGTTCGAGCTGCTGCTCGAAAATCGGCTGGCATAATGTCTGATGATTGCTCTAGTCTAGGCTAGCTCCGGTACGGGGCAAAGTAAATGAGGGAGAGGGGGGCGACCACGATCATTTCCGATTAAGTCGTGCATATGTCTGGTTCGTTGTTTCTCTATTCACGAGGGTCGAACAAGACAATTTTTTTGAAAACAGGCGACAATCCACTAGCGGCGCTGAGGCCAGAGGGACCACTGTCAATGACAATCACATCGTACAGCGTGTTGTTTTGCTGCGCTAGGGTGGTGGCAAGATAGCCAAAACGGATGAGGACCACTAGGCAATGCATGACCCGAGTATCTTGTGAAGATGGGCGCGAACGGACAGCAACAAAGTCAGGCAACATACAGGGCCCATGCTAACCTGGAAAACGGGAAGTTAGATATAATTAGCATTGGCAGTTATATCCATGACGTGGCATTTGGTGTTGTTCGGGAAATCTGCAATACCACCTCAGTCAAGGGTGCGAAGCAACAGCCTTTTTGAGCATGCTATCATGACCTCTGTTCGTTGACGACACCTGCGAAGTCAAACATTTCGCAGAACGTCACGATACAATGTTCTCGGCCGCAAACGTATGAGAGGGGATAATCAATTGTTGCAGCAGACATTCTAAGTTGGCTCCGGCTATAATACATTCTCCTATTGTCTGATTGACATAATATATCGCTGGAGCACAATTGGCTCCCGTCTGACGACCCATGGGTTGCCACAAAACTTAATCTTTAGCTTGACGGAACCAAGCGGAGACAGAGTCTAGGTTCGTTTAGCATAGGTTTGTTTCTTAAACACGTTTTGGTCGTGTGCCCCTGTCCTTCCGCGAGGGACAAAAGATACTTGTGACTCTACACCTCGACGGCTATTTGAGAGCCAGTAGCGTATCCGTCCTCGTCTTTGATTTTTATGAACTACTGTGTGCTACAATGTGGCCGGAGAAACAAAGCAAGGGGTCCAGCAGTACCCCATACTACCAGAATGGGACGCGGCCAGGCATGCCGGATGGTCCAGCTAAAAGCGCCTCTAGCTCTGGAATGTCCCATGACGAAGCAAAACCTGAAAAGGCAGGGGTCGTCGATGGGCTCAGAGATGCCTTGAAGGTGATGCAGCTGGCTTCCCGACCACTGCCGACCGACACAGGAGACGGGTCATACGTTACAGATGGTCACTATGGCGGAAGTCTGTGGGCAGATATACGGGCGCTGGGAATCGAAGATGCTAGCACTATCAAGGATCTTATTGAGACAACCGCGCGCGGACCTTTGGTAGACGACAAGACCATGCTAATGGAACGCATAATACGGGTAATTGCAAATCTCTTCTATAGAGCACAAGGAGAAATTGGCTAACGCTATCTTCAGCTGGTTGCCAAAATGCCCGACAAGTCCCAGAACAGGGACTTGGCTACCCACAAGTTTCTGGCAAAGCTCTGGGACTCTCTGCCTCATCCTCCGCTCTCGTGAGTTACCCGCAAGGTTTCAGTAGGCACGCGTTACTTAACTCGGGTAGATATGTTGGCGACAAGTATGCGTATCGGTCGGCAGACGGGTCTGAGAACAACCCCGTTCTCCCACGACTTGGTGCAGCAGACACGGAATATGCGCGCACTACCGAGCCTTCGAAGATTAGACCACCCAATATGCCCGATCCGGGGTTGATCTTTGATAGCATTTTTGCACGAGACACATTCAAGCCACATCCTAACAATGTCTCCAGCTTCTTCTTCACCTGGGCGTCCTTGATCATACATGGTAGGTACCAGCAGGGAGGTGCATAAGGCGAGGACAATGGCTGAGACGATAGTAGACATCTTCCAAACCGATCCAGCACACCCGGAGAAAAACCGAACCTCATCCTATCTTGATCTATCGATCCTGTACGGCGACAACCAGGACGAGCAGAACCAGATGCGTACATTCGCGGATGGCAAGATCAAAGCGGACTCTTTCTCGGAGCCGCGCCTACACGCCCTACCAGCGGCATCAGGCGTAGTCTTGATCATGTTGAACAGATTCCACAACCATGTCGCTGCACAGCTAGCCGCTATCAACGAAAACAACCGGTTCAAAAAGCCAGAAAGTGAAACACTTGACCCCGCCGAGGCCCGGGCAGCCATCGCAAAGTACGACAATGACCTCTTCCAGACGGCGCGGCTGATCACCTGCGGTATGTACATCAACATCACCCTGCACGATTATCTCCGCACGATCATCAATCTCAACCGCGACAACTCGACCTGGAATCTGGATCCGCGGACAAGCGAAGAGCACGATCCGGTTGCTTCCGCGCAGGGGAACCAATGTTCGGTCGAGTTTAATCTTGCGTACCGCTGGCACTCGACAATCAGTCAACAAGATGAACTCTGGGCGGAGAAGGCATACCAAGAGATTGTCGGGGTTCAGGGCAAAGATGCCACGAAGGAGCAACTCATGCGGGGAATGAAAGGGATGGCCGGAAAAATAGACAAAGACCCGTCTAAGCGCACATTCGGTGGCATGAAGCGCCAATCCGACGGTAAATTCCGAGATGCAGAGTTGGTCGATATCTTAACGCGCGCAATCGAAGAGGTCGCTGGATCATTCGGTCCTCGCAATGTGCCCAAGGTCTTACGGACGGTTGAAATCCTCGGTATAGAGCAGGCCCGGAAATGGAACGTCGGCACTCTGAACGAGTTCCGCAAGTTCTTTGACCTGAAGCCCTACGAAACCTTTGAGGAGATCAACTCGGACCCCGGTATAGCGGATCAATTGCGCCATCTGTATGAACGACCAGATTACGTCGAGCTCTATCCTGGTATCGTTGCGGAAGAGCCCAAGAGCCCCATGGTTCCAGGGGTCGGCATTGCCCCTGGCTACACCGTTTCTAGAGCTGTCCTGTCTGATGCGGTGGCCCTTGTTCGAGGCGATAGGTTCTACACGGTATAGACTCGCATCTCTCGTCTTTATATAAAGAGTTGCATGCTAACCTATACACAGAAGGAGTTCAATGCCAAGAATATGACCAATTGGGGCTTTGCGGAGGCAAAGTACGACATGGATATCAACCAAGGCTGCTGCTTCTACCGGCTGGCTCTTAGGGCATTCCCTCGATGGTTCAGGTACAACTCCATCTATATCCACTACCCTATGACCATCCCCAGGGAGAACAGCGTCATTATGAGGACACTCGGGCGGGAGCAGGATTATACATGGTACCGCCCCGCGTATAGCCCGCCCAGGACGGATGTTTTCAATTATCACAACGTTCGTCGTATCTTGGAAGACCCGTCCAACTTCCGGGTGGTCTGGGGCGAGGCAACTGCATATGTATTCGGAGAGCGCGGGTGGGACTTTATGCTCTCGGGTGACGCCCCTTCTCATGCTACCCAGCGCGATATCATGTCGCGCTCCCTCTACCAGGCGCACTGGCACGATGCAGTTAAGCAGTTCTATCTTGAGATTACTCAACAGCTGTTGGTTGAAAAGTCTTGCCGGATTGGTAACGTCAACCAGGTGGACATTACTCGAGAGTACGTACTGTAAAAAGACAAGTGTACGCCGTCGTGATGCTAACGCTCAAGGTTATAGCGTCGGAAATCTGGCCCATGTTCATTTTGCGGCCAACATCTTCTCCCTGCCTCTAAAGACAGATACGAATCCACATGGCGTCTTCACTGAACATGAGATGTTCGAGATCATGGCCCTGATTTTTACGGCAATATTTTTCGATGTGGACCCAGTGAAGTCGTTTTTCCTCCGCCACAAGGCACGGGAGGCAGCAGAAAAGTTTGGAAAGCTGGTTGAGATGAAGGTCAAGGCAATCAGCAATTCCGGCTTCTTGGCAACAGTGCTAGGCAAAAGACGTGCTAACAAGAATGCACTCTACCACTATGGTGTCCACATGGTGGAACGTCTGCTCCACAGCGGCCTGGATGCAGAACAGGTGACCTGGTCGCAGATTCTCCCCACGGCCATCTCCATGGTGCCTAACCAGGCCCAGGTCTTCACGCAGATAATTGACTACTATCTCTCGGACCGCGGAAGGCAGCATCTGCCGGACATCAACCGTGTTGCCAAGGAGGATACGCCCGCCTCGGATGAAATACTTCTCCGATACTGCATGGAGGCAATTCGCTTGAACGGGGTTTTTGGCTCGTACCGAGAGTCCCAGACCGGCCTAAGTCTCGAGGATAAACATGGTCTGGTCCAGATAAAGCCGGGGGACAAAGTATTCGTGAGCTTCGTACGTATATCCACTGTGGCGCCAGACAGAAGTAGAGACACTGCTGACCAAACCCAGGTTGACGCCAACAAGGACCCCAACATATTCCCGAACGCATATGAGGTCGACCTGACTCGACCCATGGAGTCGTATATCCATTATGGTGTTGGGCCTCACTCATGCCTTGGAGGGGATGCCAGCAAGGTGGCTCTGACAGCCATGCTGCGAGTTGTAGGCCGGTTGGACAACCTTCGACCTGCACCTGGCCCACAGGGAAATCTGAAGAAGATCAAACGGGAGAATGGCTTTTACACATACATGCGAGAGGATGAGTCCAGTTTCTACGCGTTCCCGATGAGTAAGTTACAAGAATGACTTTCAACCCTATGAGTGGGAGACAACGTGTATCTGACGTATCTTTAGGTTGGAAACTTCATTACGATGGCCCGGCTTCCGATTTGGAGCATGAGCAAATTCTGTGCAATGGTCTTGGACATTGGCGGAATTAAGTGAGTATTGACCATCAGTTGGTATATTGATCACTTTCGAGCGGTGGTCCAGCTGCCTGGTGATCTGATCCGATTCTTGCATGTCAAATCTGTAGCCAATGGCCTTGTATTTGGTTCAACAGAATGTCAGCACATGGTACAAAAGTTATTTTGGTGACGAGGTGGATCGTAAGAGACACCGCGTTCTACCGTTTAAAAGCAATGCAGTTCAAGTATTTTTGAGTACAAAACCGCTTCCATCATCGCTAATAGTCGCGGGAAAATGACTTTGGCTTACGGACATATGTTTCCTGCAAGGGACACCCCTCGTGTGCAGCCACAGTCCACTCCCCTATGCCCTCTTCCTTTGGAGCCTTCAACTTCCCTCTACCCCCGCCGCCCATAATCAGATTTCCCGGCCGATAGTCGCAGTTCGCGTGCAACCTCCGGATCGCAGCAACGTGAATCTTCGCGTCATCAGGCATATCGCGCACCTCCCCGCGGGGAAGCGGCCACCGGACAGGCTTCCAGGATCCGTCTTCTTGAAGGTCCATCCGGCGAAACGGCAGGTACTCCATCATCTTCCAGGAGAGAACAGAGAGCCAGGACGGGCCGCTGCCAAATCGGAGGCAATCATGGATTTTGCCATCAGCGCTGGCCTTCTCAAGAAGGGCTTCTGGAATGCCGGAAGCAGATGCACGCTTCCCAATGGAGGTCGCCTGTCCGCTCGGGCTTGCTCTGGACTCAAAATCCTCTGAGCGTTTTTCGCGTCGCGACTGTGCCGCCTGTCCGACAGTCATACAGTCAAAATGCGCTAGCTTGCTGGTATCAAACCGCAGTCCCGCCAGCTGCGCATTGTGGACCATCCATAGCAGCGGTACGTAGCTGAGAGAGCACTCGTTTTGCTTGATCTCCCAACCACCTCCGATATCCGCATGGCAGCCAGGAAACCATACTTCCTCAATGTCCTGTTCAGTTGGAATATCGCCGCCATGGTCGGATGCAGTGCCGGATCTCTCGGTGGAAATCATCGAGTCCACGCCATCAGTCGCGTGAGGAGGATCGGGGAATCCCGCCAATGCCAGATGTCGTTCCCTGTTGAGACGATCCGGATCGGCGTCAAGCGCGGCATGCCGAACAGGGCCGTTTCTTGCATGTTTGGAGTCGCAGTTATCATCTGACATCTTTGGTTTCTCTTGTTCGGGCTCCTGCTTCATCGGGCTCTCAGGCAATATATGCCGGTGGTGGCGCAGATGGGGATTGGCGGCAAAGTGTGCCTTTACGCGGCGACGCAATCTTGAATGCCGTGATTCCTTTGACGGTTTGACCTCTGACACGAGATCCTGTCGAAACTTAGCGCGGTGTTCGTCGATACTGACCGCATGACGGATCACTCTGGCTGAGGTGCGGGCGGTATATGGGAACCTGCTCCGCCTCATCCAGGCGTTCTCAAAACGAGGGACGCTATTAACCGTATCAAATAGGCCTAGGAATCGTATCTGGCTCACGGGCTGGCAGAAAGTGTCCTTAAAGTCAGCCAGGTGTTGTTCCAATTGTTTCTTCCGGGCCTTTTCAGCTTTCGTGCGGCTGGTACGTTGCTGCCACTTTGCAAATGTCTTCCAGGCAAAGCTGATCAGCTCCTCATTGCCCGTTTTTAAGAGGCCGATCCTGTCCAGCATCTCGGCCAGAAACCGGGCCACATAGGCGCCGCGACTGAATCCGAAGAAGTAGATCTGGTCTCCGGGACAATAGTATCGCATCAGAAACTTGTAACCGGCCATGACGTGGTCGGCAAAGGTAGATCCGATCGCAGCGGCTTTGGCTTTGACATATGCCGACTTCAGCTTCTGGATTAGGCCATTGTCTGACAGAGAGACTGATGTGACATAGGTGCCGATGCCTGGTTGATAATAGTGGTATTGGCTGCTGCTGTCGCTCCGGTCCAGCATCGTTTCTCATTGTCAGGCCAGGCTTAAATGTAGGAAAAGGGTGTGCTCACTCGGAAAATCTTTAGGACATTGCTATCCGACGAATCGCCATGGAATTTATTACCAGTGCCGTCGAAACAGAGAACAAATTCCTTTCGCCTTGGTGTCGAATCCATAATTGTCTGATCCTTGTCGTGAAACCGCAGATGCGCATAGGCAGTCGCAATGAGTGCCTCTTCCCGACATCTAGCGGGCAATCTGGAATCATGGTCTTTTGTAAGGAGTATTCCCAAAGCATCAGCATGACCATGTGGGTCTGCACGGTTTCGGCAGAATACTGCGTGGTCGAGGCCGTGACGTCAATGAGAATACTTGACAAAAGCTTGTGTTCCATGGTGACTTGAGGAATCTTATTCAGTGGGTCGATCTAGACTAACACCGATCCATTGTTCGGCATAGTATATCCTAGTGAGTTTCCAAGGGTGAAAAGGTCATCATCTAGCGATGTGTGGGCCGCTTCAGCACTCGCAACCGCGCGTTGACAAGCTCTCTCCAACACGGACGGAAGACCTCAATGTAGAAAAAGAATCTGCAGCCTCGTGCCATCGTAGGTTATTCACGCTAGAGGGGTGCCTGTTAAGCGAGTAGTCATTGCACAGTGGAGGGACATGATTTCGTGGCTTCGTTCCTGTGCTATCCCAATATCCTTCTCTTGGGTTCAGTACAATAGGTTAATTTTATTTCGACTTTAAACCGCATTTAACGTACCACTTTACTGTATGATGTACTCAAAGTGCTCTTTATTCTTCTTATACGTGTCTCGGTTGTGGCTGCACACGATCTTCAGGCCTCATGTGGCTGTACAGAAAGATGCTAGCCATAAACAGATTAGCACTTTGGCCCCCAGGCACATCCTCCAATTGATACTTGGCATTTATTCTTAGCAACTGGCCTTTAATCTTAGCTTGAGAGCGGCACGCACTTGCTCATTTCCCCGGGCTCCGACCTCCACCTGCCTCACCTTCCCAACTTCAACGATGCTTTGCAATGAAGAACCCGATAATGCTCGAGCTCGCATCCCTCCGACGGAACCACGAGCTATTGGAGCAAGACGATGCGGAGAATAAAGATATAGCACCGCCGAGAAAGCCACATGGTGGGCGCTTTGGGGGCTGGAAAGCGACGATGTGCCTGGGCGCTACGACAAGTGTCGTCGTTCTGATTTTGAATCTCGTGATGCTCCTGTGGGCGACTTTGCGCCATTCAGCGACTGAATCCGTCTTATTCTCTGGCAATTGCGACCGTGTAAAGCAGATCAGCGCGGGGATTCACTTCTTGATTAACATACTAAGCACGCTACTCCTCAGTGCCAGTAATTATGCTATGGTGCGGATTTTTTTCCCAGGAACCGTCTACGAACCCACTGACTATCGCTAGCAATGCCTAAGCGCACCATCACGAGGAGACTTGGACCGCGCCCATGCGAAGCATAAATGGCTCGACATAGGCGTTCCCAGTCTGCGAAATCTAAGCAGAATACCAATCACTCGATCGCTGCTTTGGTGTTGTCTGGTTTTCTCCTCAGTTCCGCTTCATTTGTTGTAGGTCTCCCATATCACCAAATGCTCGATCATGAGGAACGATGCTCATCATCTAAACCAGCTACAACTCATCCGTCTACTCCACAATATCAGCCAACGCCTACGACGTATACGTCTCAAACTCAAGTTTTCCAACACTCACACTCGAACATGTTACCCTTATCTATGATGGAGCGAACGACATGCTCTTGGACTATGCACCAGCTCGAAGACTTGTCAAGCAAGCGAACATTCTCAAAAGACTGTCGATCCAGGATTGCCTCGACGCATACGCGACAAATTTTCAATTACAGTACGGCAGCGTCGTCTTGATCAGCGACGGCTTCAGCGGCGTGAACTCCTCCATCAGCAGGGTCTACAGCCAACAGGTCCCCTCACCGCATGACGATCCAGAAATCGACCCCTATCGATGGATCTGTGCTGACCGGCGCGGGATGGCCTTGGAACAGCCGTGCTCCCAGTATCTTTCTGATATCCGCTTGCGCGATGATTGGGTTGTGTACGGATACAAGGTGAACTATTGTCTAGCCGACATGGAGGGCGAGAAGTGCACGCTTGAATTTAGCCTGCCGCTCGCTATAGCAGTTACTGGGGCCAACTTCGTCAAGGCTGTTCTTATTGTCCTTGCCACGGTTCTTCTGAGCGGAGCGCCGATCTTGACGGTTGGTGATGCGATTGCGTCTTTCTTGCGCTCGCCTGACAATATGACTGAGGACAATTGTCTCTTGAGCCGAGAGTTAGTCGCGTTGAAGAGCAAGAACAAGAAGGTTGCGCTGTTCTCGTCCACTATGCAGAAAGTGGCGACATCTTTAACCTGCAAGCTCGGTGCCCTCGGAGTCAAGGTTCCCAGTACGTTCCGCTTTGGGTCGTACACGGCTCAGCATCCGGAAGAATCGCAGAAGCCGGCAGTGTACAATGCCACGCCGAAACGACGGTGGTCATCGCTATCACTCACCCGCTGGGTACTCTGCCTATCTATGTAGGGCGCCCGAACACTACCGCTATTCAACCCTCACTAACAGCCTCATCTAGCTACACATCTGCTCTAATCCTCTGCATCGCCCTCTTAATCCACGGTGTCACCCGCCTAGATGACCAATCCGGCCTGTGGACGTCCGGCCTCGCGTCCATAAACACAAAAACAATGGTCGACACCCTCAACTGGCCCGGCGGTCTAATCCCCAACACGCTAATAGCCAACATCCCGCAACTCATCTTCTCCGCCCTATACTTCATGTGCAACGCCATTCTGACGAATATGGCCCTCGCGACGGAATGGGACCGCTTCGCGATAACCCGCAAGGGACTCCGCGTCAGCGCACCGCCGCAGGGCCACCAGCGCAGAACGCACTTTCTATCGTTGCCGTATCGATATGGGGTGCCGCTTATAGCACTCTCGGCGTTGCTCCATTGGCTTATGTCGCAGAGTATCTTCCTTGTTAGGATAGTCGTCTATAGGGACGGTGAGCGCAGGCCGAGTGGTGATACGATGACGGTGGGATACTCGCCGCCGGCGATTGTTATCGGGGTATGTGTTGGCGTGCTCTTGCCCGCTGGGCTGCTTCTCACCGGGAGACGGAGGTTTCGGTCGGGCATGCCGGTTGCGGGGAGTTGTAGTTTGGCTATAGCTGCTGCTTGCCATCCTCGTTCTGCGGAGACCAGGTCGGAGGGGATCGAGTATGAGCGGCTGAAATGGGGTGTCGAGCCCTGTGAGGAGGGAGAGGTTGGGCACTGTGCGTTCTCGGGTGCGAAGGTTGATAAGCCTGTGGATGGGATGGTGTATCAATAAAAGCGCTATTTACCACATTATCAACCACTTCACTCTATATCAATACCCGCCAGAATCGTGGCGTGGAGAGCACCGGATGCGGCGAATGTCATGGGTGCACCAAGCGCACCGGCCACTAGCCAAAGGGAGCCTTGACTAACGACGGAGAAGGCGAGTAGCGCTTAGTAGAGGATCCATTGGAGAAGGGCGTATTGCCCGCTGATGAGGTTGATACATTCGACTTGACCTGCGTCTGAGGTGGCATTGTACCAGAGAAAGCTGCTCGAGGCGGCCATCTGAGGGAGAATAGTTAGTAAACAATGAAGAAAAAGTGAAGGTGTAGACGGCATTTTCTGCCATTCCTATGTGGCGGGTCTAAGGATGATTCCGAGTCAAGTCGAAAGCGCATGTAGGGCCGCCGCTATATGAATTATTTTCGCTACTGGGCAAACAGGGGTCCCAGGCACAGCCTCATAGCGGGTGCATATTATTGACGTTGCTGGAGCCCCTTGGTTGAAAGCTTGTCTTGATCTCACGTTCATTTGCAGTAACTGAGGCAGTCTCTCGCTGCAGCTGGACAGAGCCTCACTGTAACATGACGTGTCAGTCTTTATGCATATTTCGGCCGCCGATCCCTCGAGTTTTGCCCACGTCCCTGGTCAACCGTCAAGCAGTCCACATGCTGAGAGATCCGGGCCTTTTCGTATGTATTATCGATCGTATCATGCAGACTCACAATAGACGGCTCCACGTAGCCTGGTTGAACATTGACAGTCTAGACCACATTCGGATGTTCACCAAGAACCTTGGGGAAATAGGTAGCGACAGCATGTTCTGGTGCCTGAGGGGGCGTCCCCAAGGGAACATTTGCAAGACGAATCTAGAGGCCGTCTATAGCCCAGATAACTAGCCCATGTATCTGGTAGCGCACCGCGGTATCCATCCATGGTCCAGTGAGGCTTGGAGATAAGTCCCGACGAATTTTGGGTTAATAGATCGAATGCCCGCGGTCGGGCGTCATCCGCGGGGAAAGCCTGCAAATCGACCAATAGAAATAAAAAAAGTGTACAATTTCAAGCCTGTCCATGGAGCAGGCCATAGTGCAGTCTTACGTTCTTGAAGTGTGTACTGCGATAGAGAAGTTGGTGCCTCAGGCTGTCAACGCACCTCAAGTGCGCGGATTTGTTGGCAGTTTGTTCTCACATATGCCTAATATTTACTGAGCAGGCCTCTCTTTAAGATAGGGGAGGCCCGGGGAGGTGCGCAAACTACTATTAAAGTCAATCACAAGTCATTAGCTCTGTGAGGGACAAATCGAGTGTAAAAATTAACGAGATCAAACATCCATTGACCAAAAGGGTATATATAATAATATTCATCTATACCAGAACAAAACTAACAAAACCAGGGTATCATATCACTCATGAGCCAGCTCAATACTCCAACCGATCATCATGCACCAGCTGCACATCAAACCGCTCCTCGCCCTTCCACACCCGACCCGCATCATTACACTGCGCAACGGCGCTCCGCAGATCGCGAATCATAGACAAGGGCCCACTCGCAACGACGCGCGTAGGACCCGATACAGTCCGTGAGATGAATTCCGTGAGCTGCGTCGCAAGGTCGGGGTGTTTTGTGTTTCCGCTGCTCAATGAGGCGGAGGAGGAGGGCTCGTGGACAGAGAAGGTGTCTTGCTTCATTTCTGTTGAGGAAGAGGAGGAGATGGAGGACGGGTGAGCGTTTTGCACTGCGGCTTCTTTTGACTCGTATTCGGGGTTCGTAGCTGTTGTTGCTGTGGGTGTTGGGTTATCGTGCGTCCCGCGGGTGACGAAGATGCGAATGCGGAAGTTTGATGCTGCTGCTGCGGCTCTGCGGAGGGTCTGCAGCTCCGGCTCAATCCACTTCAGGTCATCCTTTCGGCGGATGGCCCAGACAAACTCGAGGTTTCCGCGGCGTGGGCTGCGAGTGAGGGCGAGGAGAACGGGGAGGACGAATGTGACCCCGGTCCCGCCGGCAATGCACATGACGTTGACATCATCCTCGCGGTAAAAGTCGTCGCTCAGGATCGACTGGCCGTAGGGACCAGAGAGGACGACGGACGTCGTTGGTGCAGGAATGGGTGACGCCGCACTGAGCTGGGCGTTTCGGGCAATGTCTGCAAGCTGCTTGGTGATGCCCTTGCGAGTCCGGATGATGTACGTGTGGTTTTGGCCGCGCGGGTTCTGTCCCGGGACGCCGAGTGGGGTCATTGGGTGGCTCTGCCACAGGGTGAGGTCGGGAAAGCAGAGGAAAAAGTGCTGGCCAATCTTCCATTCGTCGTGGTTGTGCTCAAAGTCGAGACGGACGACGTCGCCGTCATGGCTGCGTTCGAAGAGGGTCATGCGGGCCTCGGGGACGTGGAGGCCTAAAGCGGATGTTGTGTTTGGGGTGTTGAAGTGGTGGAGGGCGAATGTACGGACGAGACGCACGCCGCGGTCAAAGAACCAGACGAGGAGAGATGCGATCATCCAGCAGTAGAGCTGTACCCAGTGGCCCCAGCAGGCACCAATGTAGACCATGGCGAGGACATAGTGTGACTTGCGGAAGAACTCGTAGCCGGTCAGTCGGATACCCCACTGTGTGCTGAATGTAACCATAATCGAAAGCAGGATCATGGCGACGATTCCCCAGATGATGTACACCTGAGCCACCCACTCGTTCCAGACAGCGGGTTGGGGCTGGTAGAGGCGTGCTTCGACGATGGTCCAGCCGAGGGTGTGGAGGGCGGATTGGATGAAGATGATCCAGCCGATCCAGCGGTGCAGGAACATGAAATGGTGGTACGGGATGCCGGTAATCATGGAGAGCAGTGATTCTCGACTGGAGAGGAGGACAGAGAGGGGCGTGAGAGCGAAGGCGAGGATACCGATACGGTCTGACCACGGACCCAGCCCAGTTCGCGTGTTGTATACACCAGGGCTATTTTTGACTGGGGTGACCCATTTCTTCATTTATCAGTTGGTAATCATTGTAGGTTGGGTATCGAGATAAACTGACCTTGTACGTAATCCCCACAAATGTGAAGATGGTCAGGTAGGCAATAATGATGGTGAGAATGCCAATCTGCAGTCGCGTAGTGTGACCAAAGAAGCCAGTCAAGCTCTCCGGGAGCAGATGGCGACGGCCAAAGGCTTTGGCAGCAGTACCGAAACGATAGAACGAATTCTGCTTGGGCCGGGAGTCTTCTAGCAGCTGCTCCTTGGACGGTGTCGAGATTCTGGCGAGAGGCAAGAGCTTCCGCCCCAGAACCCAGAGAAACAACAAACCACAAATGACGGCCCAGAGAATAAAGGTATACATCATCCCCAGGTCGTGCTCATGGTAGACAGCATCGAGATACGCACACGACCCCGCGTCGTTGAGACACGGGACCTGGCGGGAGGCGTAGCCCCAGTGGTACTCGAGCTCCGAGTCGACAGAGAAGTCCTGGATGTGTCGCGGGGCCTTCATGGCGCTGGACATGGTGGCTACTTCTTTTGTGGCAGGTTGTCTGCAGCCAGAAACGTGGCAATGGTCAGCAAGTTATATTTCCGGAGGTGCCACAGATGGTGACGGACCGATTCCAGCAATGCTTGTCAATCTCGAACTGCCAAGCTGTGCCAACCCACTCAAATCGCCTCTAGTGCTGCTGCAACTGGTTATGTTCACAGCCCGGCTGCTTACATACGCACCGTTTTAGGCCAAATGGGGCTAGCTCCAGCACTGTTAGATTATCCCACCAGGGCTATATCCTGTGCCCTTTCGTCCTCCAACTACACCACAAGCCACCCTAATAAACGAGGAAAATGACCTGAATGGCCCTAAGTCCAACCTAAAGCTGTCTTAGGCTTGCCTTGACCACTCTAGCCCCCTTAGTCACCCTAAACGTGGAGGCAGCTGCCCTGTTCATTGAGCTTGTTCAATTACTTGATTAGGTTTAGAGGGTGAGTATGTAACCGTTGGGTGTCAATATAACAGCTCCTGGGGCTTGTCCCTGATTAGCTAAAAATGTGCTCAAATGCGCGCGGTCCACAGTTGGAGTCAATCTAACATCTGACGCCATGGCAAGATCGAGCCAGTCCCTGACTGATAAATATTTACCTGTTCCTGCCACTCAATGTTGACAATGGTTGCCATCAAATCTCGAGCCTCACATCACAATCATGGAACACACTCTCCTCCCCCGCCATGGCGGCATGGACATGGGCATGGCGAGCAACGTCTCCTGCACGGCCGAGGTTGGTTCGCCCCACCCTCTCGATTTCGCAATTTCTCAGTGGACTGACCCCTTCGTCATAGATGATCTGGAACTGGAACACAATCGACAGCTGCTTCCTCGCTGAATCATGGCACGTGACCACAAAAGCCATGTTCGCCGTCTCGTGCATCGGCGTCGCCCTCCTCGGCGTCTCTCTTGAATTCCTCCGTCGTGTATCCAAGGACTACGAAGAGTCCCTGCAGCGACAATTCCAACGGCACGCGATCGCTCAACTTGACGATCCGCTTGTATGCGGGGCGCCGCCGAGTGTCATGACGTTCCGCGCAAGTCCGATCCAGCAGGTCATCCGGGCGATTCTGCACGTCGCGCAGTTCGGGACTGCGTATATCACCATGTTGATCGCCATGTATTACAATGGGTACATGATAATTTCCATATTCATCGGGGCATTCTTGGGGAAGTTGTTCTTTGACTGGGGGCAATATCGCGTGGTACTTGGCCAGACGCAGGGACCGAAGCAGGCGACGGTGCAGGTGCAGGAGGAGGCGACCAAGTGCTGTGGATGATATCAGTTGAATAGAGAATAATCTGGCGCAGGCGCCACTCCAATGATACCTCTCCAAGCTGCATGATGATGAAAGTCTTTTGTAAACATGGGGCCTGTCGGTTCCCCGGGGTGCCGGGAGTTCAGAACCCCAGCCCAAGCTCAAGGCCACCCTCGATCTCGGGCGTCTTATCACCAATACGGCTCATCTCAGCCCAATTAAAGGCCTTGTTCCAGTCCTTGCCCAAAGCTATCGGTGATCCAATATCCACCTCCTTTGGCGAGATCGCATCTTGGACCGGCAAGCCGAGGTGTCGAGTCACTGGGCCTAGCATTGAAGGCAGGGTCTGGCCAATCTTCGCGAGGAGAAGCGGCAGGAATTTGGTTTCTCCGCCAGGTAGGCCCTGGATCAGGGTACAAAGATGCTTGAGGTAGTCCTGGGGACCAAGGTCAAAACTAGAAGAGCGCAGGCCCGTCGGTGACATGCAGGCCATTACATCGGTTAGTGTACATGTGATTTCGAACATTTTCTCGACCTAGGATTTGTGAGTGCCTGAGCTTGGTGCAGAGAGGGATGGAGATGTTGTTTTTACCAGACCGACGCCGTGCGTTTCCAAGCTTTCCTTGGAGAGCTTCCATGTCGCTAGTGACAGGTCCCGCGCAATTTGAAGCGGGTAGGCAAAGCCCAGGCAAGGATGGGACGGAGTACTGGACAGAAACCCAGAAGACGTAGCAAGCTGCCAGATCATGGTCCGGAGCCACTGCTGTGACACGCGAAGGTCCGCTAGCAGCACATCGGGTAGCTCGAGATCTGCAGGGACTGCTTGTAGCAGATGCTCTTCCAAGTGGATCAACTGTTCTCTCGAAGAGGGCGAATCGGTGCCGTTCCAACGGCTCAGAAATGTTTGGTCAAACGGCCGGTAGAGCTCTGCTAAGCAGCGGAAGCCAAGTCGGAATGCATCTGGCTCGGCATGGTGGAGGACGGGGCTATCCCGGGTCACCTGTAGAGTGATGGGACGGTGCCGTCGAATCGCGTGCGCTCTTGGTGTGGTCAGCAAGTGGCTCCGCCTATGATATGACCGTTACTCCTACCTCTCCGAGATCAAAAGAAGCCAAAATAGGCTTCCTGCATCCTCATCGATACCGGTGTCCGCTTGGTCGAGCATGCCGGCCGTGTAAAGCGTCGTGGCTTCCCGCAAAAAGTAATATGCTTGTCGCTGGTTCCCTAGTCCAATCTGACACCCGTACAGTAGAAAGGCAATTGTGATTCCGACACGAGTTGGAGCTGCAAACGGGTCAAGGTGTCGACGAGCAGCCATAGCTTCTGTCAGCAATTGTCTTCCGAGCGTCCCGGTACCCGCGGAATCTCCTGGACTAAGCGACGAGGCATACCCCGTCTGTGTAAAGACAAAGGCACAAAATGCAGAGACGAGACAGTACGAGGGTAGACTTTCAGCCATGCGATCGACATGGCTTTGATATGTTACCGGCAGGAGAATCGGGACTGTTCCCAGCATACGCGCGAAGAAATACTCTGCACAGCTCTGTACTACCGTTGCACGTAGCAGTCGAGGTTGTCGGATAAATTGATCGGATGGCCCCGTCAGTGGAAAAGATGGCGCCTCAGGGCGTTCTGGGGCTTTGCGCAATTCGTGCAGAACGGTCGCGGTGGCCCCTTGGCGGCCCTTCTTGCGGCGCACGCTGGTGGTGCGGCAAGCGATCCCAGCACTCTCACAGCGGTTGCAGGGTTGCAGGGCATCGCATTTGACTTTGCGCCGTCGACAGGCATCACATGCTATTGTTATGGGCTTATCAGAGGGCATGATTTGTCCTGTCGCGTGGAAACCCACATTTTGAGACGGTGATGGAGGAATGAAAGGGGAATGAGTGCAAAGTCCGCTTGCGATCGGGTTGGGAGTCGCCCCAGAACGCCAAGACTTCAGCTCCCTGAAGCGTTGGGGAAGCCGGAGGAACCCATGCAGACTGCTCTATGGAGATAACACCAGCATTGGTCATTGTATTTCATTGTTGAGTCTCCCATGAGGCACCTACTGACCAATTCTTGATTCACTGCTCTTACACTACGGTCATCATTCCACGTACCCTGGGCGTACTATATATATTTGCTCTAACAACCCATCCTCACAATTATACTGCCACATATATCCTCCCTTCATACGGCTGCAATTTCTCAACACCCTCAGAAGTATCTGGATAATTACTGATTAGCAGCTTCATCTGTGCTACCATTTCTGGTTGAGGACAGGGCTGAGCAGTCGCTGTAAAGTTCAAGACCACGAGCGCCCGGTCTTGACTTCTCGACTTGACGAAACAAAAGGTCTGCTGATTGTCAAAGTCAAGCACCTCAAATGCGCCGTGGATAAATAGCTGCCGATATTCCTTGCGCAGCTGCAGAGCCTGTTTCCAGAACGAAAGCACACTGTCCGGATCCGTCTCTTGCTTCTTGACATTGATCTCTCGGTATAGATCGTGTGTCCGCATCCACGGCACTCCTGTCGTAAAGCCAGCTTGAGGAGAATCGTCCCACTGCATTGGGAGTCGAGAGTGATCGCGAGCCAGCACGCGAAGTCCATCCATGATTCGTTCCTCTCGAGTCGGATCCACGCCACTCGCAACCTGGCTCTGTGCTTCAAGGTAGTACCCCAGACCCTCGATGTCCTTGTATTCCTCGATTGGCCAGTCGCGAGGAGCATTGATCATCCCGATCTCTTGCCCTTGATAGAGGAACAACGTCCCGGTCATCGCCATCATCATAAGCGCGAGCATTTTTGCTGATCTCTCACGAAACTCTGGTGCATCCGACGCAAATCGCGATACAGACCGGCCGTTGTCATGGTTCTCACAAAAGGCAGTCGTCCAGCCGTCGGTGCCTTCGATAAACGTCTGCCACTTGGCCACGATGGATTTCATCTCCGTCAACTTCCAGGGGTGCAGGATATACTTGTCCTCCAGGCTACCCATACCGATATGCCCGATGTCTAGGTGAAAGACCATGCTGAGCTGCTTGGCAGAGGCGCCTACGTATTTCAGCACATGCGCAGGGTCCGGGCAATTCGCAAGCTCTCCAACGGTGACCACATCGCCATATGGTTCTAATGCCTCGTCATACATTTCGCGAATGAACTCGTGAATCCGTGGACCATTGCACCACATTCCGATGGCTGGCTGAATGTAGCTCTTCGGGTCTGTGATCGGGGCATCGGGGAAATCGGTGTATTTGCTGTACTTGTTCACAGTGTCCACCCGGAATCCGTCGACTCCCTTGTCGAGCCAGAAGCGGACGGCACTATCGTATATCGCTTTGCGTGTTTCTGGGTTGTCCCAGTTCAGATCAGGTTGTTCCTTGGCGTATAGGTGGAGGTAATACTCTTGGGTATGTTCATCCCATGTCCCTGCAGGTATTTAGCACCGACCAAAGATTGACGAAGTTATGATACTAACAGGTACTTCCAGCAAAATACCCTCGATAATTAGTCGGCGGCAGGCGATTCCCCTTGTCATCATAGCGAGGCGGTCTCCAGAAATACCAATCTCGCTTCGGATTGTCCTTGCTGCTTCGACTCTCCTGGAACCACTTGTGCTGGTCACTCGTATGGTTAACAACAAGGTCCAGAATGAGTCTCATTCCATGCTTGTGACACTCCTCGACTAGTTTCTCGACATCCGCGACGGTTCCGTAAGCGGGTAAGACGTTCTCATAGTCCGAGACATCATACCCCATGTCCAGCATAGGGCTGTCGTACATGGGCGAGAGCCAGACTACATCGACACCCAGAGAATGCAAATAGGGCACTTTCTCGATAACACCGGGTATATCACCCCAGCCATCACCGTTGGAGTCCTTGAAGGATGCCGGGTAGACCTGCGTAGTGAGCACGTGATCGTCCGAGTTGGAGTAGGCCAAGCAGTACCTGGTAGATTGTGGCCTCCTTCCACCAATTGTTGGTCCCTGTAGGGACAGTTTCGACCGCAGAAGGTGACATTATTCCCGGATACGCAGATTTCTGATGTTTTCACTACCGGTTGATGAGCGAGCCTGCTTTATACCCTACATATTCGCTTGCTAGACATTCGACTTGGCGAATCGCCACCCCACGGACCCTCCTGAGAGACCCACTGTCTCTTTACTCGCAGAAACACCGACTAAGGCCCGAGTCTCTCGGCCATGCGACCAACTAGCATCTGAAACTTTGTGCCGATCTTGCGCCGATCAAAGACATACCACGAAAATTTGCGGGGGATGACCCCAGACTTGTGCCGCAGATGCAGCTGGAGTTTTTACATCAACGAAGCTCGTATGAGCGTCCTCAAGGTATTTAAGAGTCCAGATGACCGTCTCTTGTTACCCCTGTCTTCATCAACTCACGTTTTTCGCAATCCTTGATCCGGCTATCAACTGCACCATGTCAACGGAAAATGACCCTCATCCGAAACAGGCCTTGGCCCACGGCAAACATGCTGCTCGACAGGAGCAGGCTATGACCCTTTGGCAAGGTCTACGTCTGTATCCTAAAGCCGTTGCGTGGTCTGTGCTTTTATCTTCCACCCTCATCATGGAGGGGTATGATCTCGCCCTCCTCGGATCTCTGTACGCGTCACCAGCTTTCAAACAAAAGTATGGTGTCCAGACTTCAAGTGGCGACTGGAATGTTCCCGCTTCGTGGCAGTCGGCTTTGTCAAATGGTGCTCGCGTCGGTGAAGTCATCGGTCTCATCATCAGCGGTCTCGTCTCTGAACGCCTGGGATACCGCTGGACGATGATCTACGCCCTGATCGCAATGAACGCCGTTATTTTCATCTTCTTCTTCGCCGTCAACGTGCAGATGCTTCTATCGGCCGAAATCCTAGCCGGTATCCCGTGGGGCATTTTTCAAACCCTGCCTGCCGCATATGCATCAGAAGTCTGTCCGGTTGTGCTTCGGCCGTATCTTACCACCTATATAAACGTCTGTTGGGTAATCGGCCAGTTCATCGCAGCTGGTGTTAATAGGGGTTCATTTCAACGCATGGACCAATGGTCATACCGGATTCCCTTTGCCGTGCAATGGGCTTGGCCTCTTCCCATTCTCATTGGAATCCTCTTCGCGCCCGAATCTCCTTGGTGGCACGTCCGACGCGGCGATATCACCGGCGCAAAGCGCGCACTTCTACGCCTCACTTCGCCACAGGATGGAAACTTCGACGCAGACAGCACCATCGCCATGATCCAGCATACCAACGAACTGGAGAAGTCACTGTCGGCTGGTACCAGCTACCTCGATTGCTTCAAGGGCGTGAATTTACGACGGACAGAGATCGTCTGCGGCATATGGATCGTCCAGACCCTCAGCGGCCAGAACCTCATGGGCTACTTCGCCTACTTCTGCGTGCAGGCTGGCCTCCCCGAAGTGCACTCGTTCAACCTTAGCTTAGGCCAGTACGCACTCGGCGTCCTCGGCACAATGGCCTCGTGGTTCCTCATGTCGAAACTCGGCCGTCGGACCATCCACCTCCTTGGACTCTCCATGCTGTTCATCATCCTCATCATAACGGGAAGTCTCTCATTTGCACCGGGCTCCAACAACGCAGCAAAATGGGCGATTGGAGTCATGCTCATCATCTTCACATTCGTTTACGACATTTCCATCGGACCCGTGACGTACTCGCTCGTCTCGGAACTTTCATCCACCAGACTCAAGGCGAAAACAATCAACCTCGCTCGAGCGGGATACAACATCAGCAACATCGTCGTGAACGTTCTCACGAATTACCAGCTCAACGACGAGTCGTGGGCGTGGGGTGCGCGGTCTGCGTACTTTTGGGCCGGGACGTGTCTGGTTTGTCTCGTTTGGGCGGCATTTCGGGTGCCGGAGCCGAGGGGAAGAACCTATGAGGAGTTGGATGTGCTGTTTGAGCAGCGGGTGCCTGCTTGGAGGTTTGCGAAGACGGATGTTGATCCGTATGAGGCTGAGGGTGGGGTCGAAGTTAGGGAGGATCGAGCTAAGGAGTGAGTCGCTGCGTCGGGAGCTACTCTGAGTATGGGCGACTCGTAATTGTTAGCAGTGAGTACCGAGAATTCAATATGCCTTGATAAATCACACTCTTAATAGCATGGATGAGGCACGTGGGGAGGGACGTCTACCTCCCACCAGAGTAGCTCTCAACTCCGGCATCCACGAGAATTTGTCCTTCGACACATGCTCAATCGTAATGTCTGTTCAGTGTCCACGAGTTATCGGCGCCATAAACCTCAGGTCGGGGAGTCGATCGGAAAATCGATCGGAGAATCGGAGATAGCTCAGGCCGGGAGGAGGGTGGCTGTTGAGGACCAGTTATAACCTTGGAGCCGACAACCCCGGATCTTGTTGTATATTTAGCCATATTAGCGTCGCACTACATTATTCTAGGCGCGCATGTGCGTCCTTATGTCGCTGGACGTCATCTGATGTGACGCTGGGGTTGCTGTAGGATCAAATGGTAGAGCCTATGATTTCAGCAGGGCATAGGCAGTACATCCTGTAGAGCCAGAACGTGAGTCTCTAAAAAGTCGAACAATCAGGAGTTTAACCCCTTATTTGCTAGACAAATTCCAGAAATTATTGGGTGACCAGAAACCTCACCTGTGGGCCAGTTGAGAATCAATTGGTCATAGTTATGCACAGTCAAGCTGGTCAGCATGAGCCACCATGACTTTGACCGACAACACATTAATTAGAGCCTTTGGCGGCAACAGGTGTCCTTTGATTGTCCGTTAGCCTGTCCTCCAGTGTCTGTCCCTGAATCTTTGCAGGCTGGTCCCTGAGGTGAGACACTCATTAAACTACACAGCACAGCCCCAATGCCGTGTGACCTCGAAACACACCAAAGCGCAGGCCCAACTCCCCTGTTTGGCCTAGACCACGCCCAAGCTTGTTTCAAGTTCTTGACAGTTCGCACATCTCTTGCTTATACCTTTGTTCAGTCTTGATTTAGCTAGCTTGATGCAAGTTTGTCGATCGTGGCATTACTCTTGAAGGTTTTCCAGCCAATCGCTGGGCGCTTTCTCTTTTTATCCTTTGCACTGGTTCTCAAACTGACCGGAACCCTCTGGCGGTCATTGAGGCTGTGAACACCGAGGATCCGAGACCAAACAAAGTGGGTGCCTAAATCTGGCAATCGGCCGGTGAAAGGTAAAAGGGAAATGCTCTCCGGTTGCACTGGCGATGTAGATATCCTTCCCCCTCGACCGACCAACCTCACCACGACCCCAATGCGGCTCCCATCACCACCACTCCTCCCCTTCCTCCTCCTCCTCCTCAGCTATGCCTCCCTCCTCCCCTCCGCTACAGCAACCCGACTCATCGAAACGCACGCCCTCGACATCGTCAAACCGGGCAACTTCTCCGCAACCCTCTTCTCCGCCGTCTTCACCCCCGACAATACAACCGCCGCGCTCCGCCTCGTCGGCGACACCAAGATCACCGGCAACGTCACGGCGCGAATTCTCCTCTTCGCATACGGCTACCAGGCGACCAACGAAACGGTCAACCCATGCAAGGTCAAGGCCCTCAAGGGCTTCTGCCCGATGAACGCGGGACCCCTCGAACTCACCATGAGCAATATACCCATCGCGAAGAAGACGCTAGGGTCGATTCCGTCGATCGCGTATTCGATTCCGGATCTCGACGCTATCGTTAAGATTTCTGTCAAGTCGCTGAAGACCGGTGAGGAGACGACGGTTGTACAGGCTGCGCTGTCGAATGGGAAGACGGTGTACCAGGCGGCGGTGGGGTGGATCGTTGCGGTGTTTGCTGGGATCGGGCTGATTGTTTCTGTCGTCGTGCCGATCATCTGGGGATATTCGGATGCTGCGGTGAGGCTGGCGGGTTATATGTTTTCGCTGTTTGGGTTTGTGCAGGAGCAGGCGATGCTTGGTATGCTTGCGGTTCCGATGCCGCCGATCGTTCAGTCGTGGACGCAGAACTTCCAGTGGAGTATGGGGGTCGTCCATGCGGATTTCCTGGAGAAGGTTTGCACCTGGTATCAGCGGTCGACGGGGGGGACTGCTGATCAACTCATGGAGACCATGTCGACTCACATGGTCCATGTCTTGAGGAAACGGGACGAGGGCACCGCCCTTGCAAAGCGAGCAGACTCGGAGACGTCAACTTCCACCGACGTCGTCGTCCGCGGTCTGTCTCGCGTCGCGTTCCGCGCCGGAATCGAGCAAACGAACCTCTTCCTCACGGCGTTCGTCCTATTCGGATTCATCACCGTCATCACCGTAGTCCTGATCTCGCTCTGGAAAGCTGTCCAAGTGCACCCTCGCCTCCGAAGCCCGTTGCCCTATTGGAACAGTATGTCCAAGGGCATCCTGCATCGAATCTACTTCCTGGCCTTCGCGCCGATCTGCATCTTTTGTCTCTGGGAGCTCACGCAGCGCGACTCCCCCGCCGAAATACTTCTCGCCATCGTCACCTTTCTTTTCGTCGTCGGAGCCCTGGTATGGGCCGTTGTGCAGGTTCTCCTCACACGGAGCCGCGCTCTGGCTATGCATCGCCACCCGGTCTCGTCTCTATTCTCCGACCCGGTCGCCCTACACAAATACGGCTTTCTATACGTACACTACAACAGAGACGCGTCATATTTCTCCGCGGTAACGCTTGGGGGCATCTTCGTCAAAGCCCTCTTCATCAGTTTCGCTCAGTCCTCGCTAAAGACGCAAGCCATTGCATTCCTCATCATCGACACCTCCATGCTAATAACAGTATGTATCCTCCGGCCCTACGTCGACAGGCAAAGCAACGCCGTGAACATCACAGCCGCATCAATAACCTTCCTGCACTCCATATTCATCCTCTTCTTCTCCAACATCTTCAACCAACACCGGATGGTCTCGAGCGTCATGGGCGTCATCCTCTTCGTCAGCAGTGCAGCCATGATCTTGGTTCTGCTGGGGTTCATGGTGATGTATGTGGTGAAGACGGGGTTGGCGGTTCGGAACCGCGAGAAACCGTATCGGCCCATGTCGGAGGTTTCGGATGGGGGCGTCGGGTTAAGGTCTTCGAGTGGACTTGTCAATGGGGATGCGGCGAGGGAGTTGGATGACTTGGGGGCGACGGCGAGGGGGGAGGCGAAGCGGTCGTCGATTCTCTAGCCGAGTAGTTGCATTACATTATGGCGTTTTAGAATGCAAGTCTTCTTTTCCAATATCCGCCCGCGAATCAAGCACGATCTCCTAACCGGATCGCGCATCTTCACCATCCCCGTTTCAAGAAGGACTGTCGCCGAAGCGCTCGAGTTTCTTGTACATGGTTGTGCAACCGGGTGGGTTGAACATGCCGCGGGCGATCACGTCGCAGACTTCATCGGCGCAGTGGGAGCCGACTATGTTCATGTATTTTGTGGATCTCATCTGAAGGTCATAACGCTGATGACCTGGTCGGGTGAAGATGTTCTGGGGATTCGGGGTGCTACCCCGGAGGGACTATTGGGTGGTTATGCCCGTGGCTTTGCAGCATGTGATCCATCATAGTGTTAACAGGCTGCGAATGCGGGGAAATTGGAGGTAAGAGGCACAGCACCGCGGGGATCGGCAGTGTAGCAGGCCAGGGCATCCGCGGGTTTACTAAAGGCCGGCGATTGCCATGACTCGCACACAGGGCATGAATCCCGTGCCACAGGTAGGGGAAAACACTGGAGCCCATAGGCCCACCCCAAAAATCAAGTTGTTTGTAGAAGGGTTATCGCGCGGTCCGGGGCCATGCTTGCTGTCAGTCGTTCTCGGGAGGCGAAGGGATCCATACATGAAAATTCTACGGGAGCATTACCGAATCGAATTGTGATGGTCGATAAGGCTGCAGCTACCTCGTTGCGAGACAGAGACTCCGCCAGTAAGGGTTTCCCCGCAATAGATCCTGCTTTATCGGAGCTATCTCGCAATCTGCGGGGATTAAAGTCTGGGCTTCGGGGCTGGCCGAATATTTCAGCTGAAGGTCTGCATACTAGGCACTTACCGGACCAATGGAGCTGTATTTTCAATCTATCAAGAGTACTCTATATGTCACTTGCTCTCTTTCGCCCGCTTCAGCTGCAAGACTGCACTACCGACCAATCTGGTCTCGGTGGAGGCGTGACGATGATTCTGGCGCCGACGGCCGAGTCGGAAGTGAAGGGGCGGAAGAGGGTACGTTGGCCCTTTGGGCGCGCTGCAGATGTGGGAGGGGCCTGGTAGGCACGCTCGCCGTTGACGGAGAAGACTTCGAGGCTTTTTTTCAGTGATGTGCAGGAAGTGCAGGGTTTCTTCTTTCGTCAGGTTGATTAGGAGGTTGTACACGGCTTCGTTGCCGAGGTAGTCCATCTTGTTCTTGGGATGCGATGCGATGGAAGAGTGTTGTGAGCCGCTAGAGTCTAATTGAGGTTGTAATATGAAGAGTGTTCGGTAAAGTCGTTTTAATTCAGATCGTCTACCTGTTGTCATTACGAGTATATGCCCCGCGTCTTGTCTTAGAATTCAGCGAGAGCTTCACGGCGCTGTGCAGCGGCTGATGATTGCGCCTGCGGTGCCGACTGGCTCTCTAGCATCCATACCCCCAGTCCCGAGGTGAGAAATGAATAAACTGGCTATGGTCTCTGAAACCGATATCAACAAGTGTTGCTGCGAGTGAGTCGTCTTTAGGCGCTATACTGTCACATTCTATATCTCAAGCTTATTATCCGCCGCGTGCGCCCATTTCAATCATTGACGCCCCGGTATGTACACTGGGGTAAGTATCATCATTATAATGGTATGTAAGAGATATGTAATCATGCTGTGCGTAAGTGAACTCATGTAGGGAGAAACAAAGTCTCTTGCCACGCTGTATCTTGATCGCTTCAGACTCCGCAAGGTGGCCACTCCACGCTAACATCTCTGCTTGCCCGCATGGGAACTGTGCCCACGGGAAAAGAAACGGCTTTGGTAATCTGCATTAAGATAGCGATAGTGGTTTAATGGTACTTGTTGCGGTCGGCGAGGTCGGTGTTCTCGAGATAGACTTCAATCTAAAAGGAAGACAAGACCGGTCAGTATTGCAACAGAATTTTACCAGTAGGCAGACAACAAGGAGAACGGATTGTCATACCTTGTTCGTCATCTTCGAGTCCACATCCTTGCAGCACAGACAAGCACCTAGACCCAATATCCCAAAGGCCATGGAGACCATAGCAACCACGCTAGAACACCACGGTCAGTGACTTCATGCTACACAAGAAAGGCGGGAGATAGCGCCCGATAGGGGGTGCGTACAAGATAGCCTTGCAGTAGGCATCACTAAGAGCAGCCTGTGCGGCAGCAGCAACAGCTGGAGTGTAATCCGCTAGAGCAGAAGCACCGCCCGTCACAACGGCCATGAGATCAGGGACGTCGGACTCGGGCAGGCCGGCGGCGATGACTGCTTTCGGGATATACTCGGTCATGTACTTTGTCGTACTCTTGCTGTAGACGGTTTGGTAGATCGAGGTTGCGACTGAAAAAGAGAGTCAGGATTACCATACTGATGCCGAACACGCGGAAGGAACAAAGATGGTGATCGAAACGCAAAGCTTACCTGCACCAGCAGCAAACCGAATACACCCCGAAATGCCTCCACTGACACCCAGGTTCTTATGCTCAACCCCCATCTGCGTAATCGCGATGCTGAGGTACAGCCCCCACCCAAAGCCGGCCTGCGAGAGGAAGAGAAACGCAATCATTGTCCCCTTATTATCCGGCGTAACAAGCCCCAACAAACTGCCAAAGAGAACCATGACAAACACCGACCCCGTCAACTGCCAGTGCCAATGTCTCAGCTTGCTCCCGAAAACCGACAACAGAATCGCACCGAAGAAAATCGCGAAGCCCTGCGGGAGAGACAGGATGATCGAGTACTCCCAGTCCGTGCCGCCGTTGGTGTAGAAGAGCGTTATCATCTGTGGCCAGAGGATGCTGGAGGAGTAGTAGAACATGTTGACGACGCCGAGAGCGATCACGGGGGCGGTGAAGTCGCGGCCCCATGAGCTGGTGAAGACGTAGGTTGGGGTGAGGGGGTATTTGAGGTTGCCGAAGGTTTCCCAGAGGGCGAATAAGATGAGGACGACTGCGCCGACAACGAGGGGGGCGACGACGTGCGCGTCGTTGGAGTCGTAGACGCCCGCCCAGACAATGCCCATGAGGAAGGGGACTGCGCCGCCGATGAACAGGAATGCACCTATATAATCATGAGTTGATCTTTGAAATATACAAAAGGGGCCTGATACTTACCGACATAGTCTATGGATTTGAAAGCCTCTACATAACCAATACCGAGACTAGGTCGTCTGTTAGCTTTGGATGCGACAATTTCTGGGAAGCAGACTCATACGGGTGCTTAGGCGGGTGGTAGAGCAGCAACAGTCCGAGGGAAGAGAGACACTGGAAGATGGCGATTCCCCAAAAGTTCCATTCCCAGGTACCAAACTCGTAACCGTATCGCGCGGTGACGGGCGCAACAATCACGGCGATGTAGACGGTGAAATCGGCAATGACCACGCCAATGTGCCGCCATTTGTTTGGAAGAAGCTCCGGGAGGGCAAATGCGGCCATCTGTATCCAGCACCGCTTATATTAGAGCGGCCCTAGTAGACGTTGCTGGAGCTGTCGGATAAGACGTACCTGGCAGTTTGCTCCGCCGAAACCAGAGACAACCAGACCGGCGATTATCTGGTTCGTATTCTTCGCAGAGGCTACGATGACATGGCCGACAAAGCACACCAGGTTACCCAAGACTAGAAACCAGCGGCGACCGAGGAGATCCGTGTTTGGGCCACTGTAACGAAAATCAGCATTCCATCCCGAGGGATGAAGTAGGGTGAACCGTACAAGATCAAGAAAGCACATGTGATCGAGATGGTCCATGCCTAATACGCATCAGTCAATGGATCAATAGAAAGGCATGCTCGGATTGCATACAGGCACAAACCAGATGTATCCATTTGGGTCGCCCATATCAGCCGAAACCATGGTGCCAATAGCAGCCACCACGGGCACGGGCCAGAACGACAATCCATAGCCACAGGAGAGGATCTAGATAAGGGTCAGTCCTTGGCTACGGTTGGGGTCTACGAGAGACAATTGGAGGACCTACACACGAGACGATCCACGTTTTCAGAGTCACAACCGGTGGCTCGGCCACGGCGTCAGTGAGGTCTGTGGATGGCGACCCCGGCTCAGGAGAACGAGCAGTGTCCTGCACTGGGCCTTTCTCGCTGTCGAGCGCCATCATTAATAGGGACAATTAAAAGATGGAGCGAGACAACAAGGAAATAGAAGAAAGAAGTTTAACTTGAGGAAGGGAACAGGTCGACCTGCATTCCTGCAGCGAAGACGAGGTCCTTAAGCATCCCTGCATGGGGCGGGGAACTGGTGGGTTCGGCGAGGCCTCCCCCAATGCACATGGCAGAAACCATCAGACCAGTGGTGAAATCCAGCCTATTGCCTGTAGCGTCGGTGGGTCATAGCTTTGCGTCCCTTATCGAAGGAGCTACTGACTCGCTGACGGATTTTAGCTTTGGATCCTGCACAAGCGATTTGTGATTGTCCTGACCAGCTCCGAGCTAGTGCACGACTCTGTATCGTCTGTCGAAGTGGGTATTTTAAAGGCCGGTCTTTGCGCATATGCCGGAGTACTCCTTGAAAGCGACGACGAACAGTCTGGCAGCAATTTATCCCTCCGAAACCAGTGCTTTTTACCTTCAAAATGGGCTCGCATGTGGAAGACCGTGTCGCCATTCTGGTCGGAGCTACGGTCAGTACTTCAAGGGCGCGGGACACTGTCAAGCAATCACTGATCAGTCACCATCGCAGTCCGGCATGGGAATTGACATTGCGCAAGATCTGGCAGCACGCGGATGGAAGGTTGCATGTGTAGGTCGACGGCGTGAGGCTGGTGAGGCCCTCCTCAAGACCATCCCAGGCGAGAATGCCCGCTTCTTCCCAGCGGACGTCTCCAACTACGAGGAATACGCGAACGTCTTCCGCGAAGTCCGCAACCTCTGGGGCCGCATCGATGCACTGTGCGCCAATGCTGGCATCGTCGATACCTCATCGGTGTATATATACGACTGGAAGAACAAGAGCGTCGATGATGTCCCGCCAGCCCCTGACTTGAGCGTCGTGGATACCAACTACAAGGGGGTAGTGTACGGGACCCAATTGGCAACGCATTTCATGAGACATAATCCTGTCCCTGGTGGTCGCATTGTCATCACGGGGAGTATTGGAGCAGTCTTTCCCCACAGGACGTATCCTGTGTACTGTGGCACCAAGGCGGCCGTCAACCACTTTGTGCGCGGCATGGCTCCACTCCTCAAGCAGAAAGAGAACATCCTGATCAATGTCGTGATGCCCGGAATCGTGGCTACTCCAATTGTTCCGCCGGAGATGATTGCGGCCGTTACCCCTGAATGGTGAGTTTATCGAACTCAATTTGAACAGTTAATGCTCACGCGCGATCCAGTATCACCCCCGTTGAAACCGTCCTGAAGGCGTACCAGGTCTTCCTGGAAGACACGACGGGAATGGCCGGCGAGATCCTCGAGTGTTCTGCACACAAACTGATCTACTACAGGCTGCCCGAATACGGCAATGGAGCCATCACCAAACGGGCCGTCACGGTGTGGGAACCGCTGTTCCGCATGATGCACGGCGAGGACTCGCAGCTTCCAGATGCGATTCCATGAACCAGGAAATCGCCGGAGGAGCTCCGAAAAGATCCACGAAAGGGTGTTGAGGTGAGCCAAAGGAGCCCTAATAGGCTGGGCATGCATAAGCGGCCCCGTCGTGGCGCCGCCACGGCCGATCGAAATACGTAACTCGAACATCTACTCCAATTCTCGGGATTTGCCTGTTCTTCTCTTGAGTGTATTCGCGCCTGTCAGTGGCCACGGCCTTTGAAATTGTCAATAGTTATTTGGCCCAGCCCGACAAGAAAGACTTTGTGCCAAGTCGCCGACTTGCTCTTGTGTAGTTGCCGTCCGTAAAGAGTATGAGAGTCTCGCTGGAATTCAAGATGTGCATCATGGCGGGCCTCTTACTATGCTCACTATTGCTGATAAATCGAGTAATTCATGCGCAGCACTGTTTCAACTTCCGAATTCTAACCGCCTCCTGCGTCTTGTGGCGTGACACTTGGGGAAAGAGAACCTGGTGCCCGCCATCCGTTGCGGGCCGATCAGGGTCCACACGGTTTCGCGGGACTCGGAATGGTGTCCTCGCTGCAATCTTGGTTGGCAGGGCTGTCAACGGCCAGCCGTGTGGAGCTCAAGCCCAGACACTCCTCCACATTCCTCAGCATGATTCGGTGCTCTCAGGCTCTTGTCCTTCTGGCCCCCTAGTCTGCTGTCCAGTGCTTTGCCTTTGTGTCGACTCCCCTGATTCTGCAAGGAGAATCTTCTCAAGCTCTGCAGCAAATGGCCTGAAGAATGTGATAGCGGAAAGATCCCTGTCCTTTTACGCATTCGATGTACTTGTCCACCTGCATGTATATCTCCCTCATACCCTATACTGAGCCATTAAAAAAATGATTAACAATCTATTCCTTGAAATATTATCCCCTCTACTTATCCAAAATAGCCCCCACCTGATTCTCCAAAACCGTCGCCTCCATAACCTCGCGCATCCCCTCGTCGCAAAATGGATGCTGCTCACGAAAGTACACTCCGCTATCCGAAATCTCCACCGCCAGACCGAACAGCCTTTCCGTGGGCAGGTGGGTTCCCTTTGCATCTGTCAAGCCCGAGTCTCCATCTCCTTCTCCATTGCCTTGGCCTGTGCCTTGGTCTTCGCTCACGCCCGCGAGCCGGAGCACGACTCGGACCACAGAGTCCATTTCCGTGAATCGGTGTTGCGGGAACGCGCTCCAGCCTTTCGTATCGACGAGGTTCGTACGCACGATTCCGGGGCAGATGGCGTTGGCGCGGACGCCGCGCGCTTTGAAGTGTTGGGCGATGGAGCGCATGAACCCGACGACTCCAACTGCCGATCAGATGTGAGGTCAGCAATGTAAATTACGCGATAACTAGCGCATCCAGAACCGAGTTTCAGAGCGAAATTGTCCCCGGGGTATGGGGCAAAGGATTCAAAGGATGCGCCATGGAAAGTTAAAACCCACACTTCGCAGAAGAATACAGCGGAGAATAATACGACGGATACAGCCCGCCGCAGCTCGCGGTCAAAACAATGCTCGCGCCTCTGCCCTGATCGGGCGATGCACGGAAGTAGTGCTGCGCTAGGTAGGTCGTCAGGATCACGCCCTTCAAATCGGCATCGATCGACAGCAGATCTGGCTCTGGTGGTGGCGTGATGGATTTGCTGTCGGTGATCTGGCCGGGGCAGGGGTCGTAGAAGTTGAAACGCTCGATCATGCCGGCGTTGGCGAAGACGAAGTCGAGTCTTTTGGGTCTGCTGAAGGCGTTTTGGAATGCTTCTGAGAGCGTGTTGTATTTTGTTACGTCGGCGTAGTGGAAGCTTGTGCGGGCGAGGGTCGAGGCTGCCTGCGACCCGCGATCTGAGTTGATGTCTAGGATGTGGATTTCCCAGCTGGGTAGTGCTGATAGGGCTGTGGCAACTGCCAGGCCCATTCCGCTGGCTGGAGTTTCCAGGCTGTGTCAGCTCATGGACAAAGTCTGGATGTGTCCGGGATTGGAGTAACTGGGCGTACCTCCACCAGTGATCAAAGCAACTTTTGGCGGCATCTATGTTTGATTGGTGAGGGTGTGTGTGGCGGGCCTCAGTTTCAATATCAGATTCAATAGTGTAGATGAATTGCGATCCTTATATATCTGTAAAGCGATGATTATCCTCAGCAAGGCTATTAGGCTGGTAGAAACTAACAATGTAACCAGACATTTTCGAAGTTACGACTATTAAGTCTACTCCATTGTTGTCGGAGACGCATAGCGTGTCCCCGCTAGTGATCAGCTAACAGTCGGAGGACGGACGTCGTCCGCTTTGGTAGCACTGAGGAGGTACTACACTGATGTATGCGCATGAGACCCAGAGCTCTGCAGGTTGTGGCTTGGGCAATTGCGGGACTAACGGTTCTGCACCTGAAACCTGGCAAGAGTATCATTACCTAGATCAGTTAACAGTGTGTCCCAGATACGACTTAGCCGTACCTGTGCACATCCTGCAGGTATCCTTTGGCCGATAGCAATCGATACCAAATGGAGTCCCTCTGCTAGTGGAGACAACGCTCCTTGCTCTGCAGACCCGTCAAAACTGAATCCAGCCAGCGACGACCCCTGTCATATTCTATTTTCCCGAGAGGCCTGCACTATAATACTGCGACAGACTTGCGATGGAGTACCCCAAGACAATTCCGATGTGAGAACTCCGTATGAGTGCTTGCAAAAAACCCACCCCATCGTGAAGGGTGAAGAAGAGCTTGTCATCTAGCGTCGCTCACCATGGCGTACGACTTGAATGTTGAGACGTTCAGTGAATATGGTGTTGGTATCTTCTTTCTCCTGCTGCGGTTGGTGGCCCGGCTGAGCATGGGAGGGATTCGTGGGTTGCGTTTGGATGATGCCTTTGCAACCTTGGCCATGGTATGTCTCGTCCAGAGTTGACAAACGCATGTCGACTGACCTTCAATCATAAAGATATTCTTCACGATACAAACGGTCAATATATACAGAATGGGTAAGCTATTCGCAGCACCTGACGCTGGTTAGCCCACATTCGCTAAACATTGGCGCAGACATACTAGGAACCAACATCGGCCTGAATGAAGAATCCGCGATGCTCGTCCCCGACAACCAGATCCCCGATATGGTGCGAGGCTCCAAGCTAGCCTTTATGAACTGGATCTGGTATATATGCTACATCTGGTGCCTAAAAGGGGTGCTGCTTTGCCTATACTGGAAACTCACGTATGTGGCCAGGCTGCCTTTACACCACGCCGTTTCGCACGACTAACACTCTTTCTCCTGCAGAGCTGGAACATGGCACCGCCATGTCGTCACTGCAACTTCGATTTTCTGTGGGATCATTTGGCTTGCGTGTGTGTTGACGCACGTCTGCCTTTGTACGCCCGTCTATCGCAATTGGCAAATCCAGCCATACCCAGGAGGTAAGAATCCCCCTATCGTGGAACACCCGATCTCATGTGTGCCTAACGCAAGGTATAGACTACTGCACTCTTCGACAGCCACTCTACGTCGAAATCGCCGTCTTCAATGTCTTGTACGTCGCCAGCCGAGTCCATCATCCTCCTACCCTCTCAGAGCACCACTAACAACTGCCTCCCAGATCCGACGTCTGCATCCTCATAATCCCAATCCCCATACTCGCAAAACTCCAAGTCCCCATCCAACGCAAAGTTGTGCTCGCCCTAATGTTTTCGTCTGGAATCTTCATAATGATCTGCACGATCCTCCGCGCATACTACTCGCTCAGAAGTATCACCAGTCTGCCCATCGCTCTCGGCTGGGCGAACCGCGAATGCTTCGTCGCCGCAATCGTCGCCTCCTTACCAGGAATCAAGCCGCTGTTCCGACACACGAGGTTCCTCGGTTCGTCACATCGCAAGAACTCGAAGACTCCCGGGTATAACAGTGAGGGATATAATAACTTTGGGTCTAAGGCGTCGGGAGGTGGGACGAAGACGTTTATTTCGTCGAGGGCGGGGCGTGCGAGTCATGGGCGGCATTTCGAGCTCGACAATGTGTTGCCGAGCAAGAATATGGATACGCGTATTTCGTCGGGGGATAGCGAGGAGTATATTCTGGAGGGCCCGAAGGATCGGAGGCCCTCTGTGACGAGGCCGCAGCCGAGAAATGACCTGGCTATTCATGTCACGACTGAGTATACCCTCGAGTCATCGGAGCCGGTGTCTAAGGCCAGCTCTACTGTATAGGATGCTCGGTTGCTTGTCCTTGGTGGTAGAAGCAGGTTATGTTCGACTTCCAATGTATAATTTAGTCTGGATAATGTTTCCTCTTTGAAACTTTATCTGTCCTCTGGTTTTGCTTCTCCACATTTCCGGCGCCTTGCTTGCCTCCCAGATATAGCCTTGATGTACAAGGAGAAGACACGACAACCCTCGCTTGTACTTTCCGGGGTCGGTATAAGACAAATGAGAAAGGCACAATGGTTGTCGTGGATTGTTCCTTCCTCCCAAAGCATATATGATGATTGGGAAGGTGCGACAGTGGGCAACCCATCGTCCCTTCCTTATCTGGTACACCTCTCGGTCGCTCCTTCCCCAAGTTTTGAATTTTGTACTACTGGTCAAGGGCTCTGCTCCATCGCTCCCTGCGTACTTGCCGGGTATACCCCTAGCGAAGATGGAAGGAACGACCCTCGTACCTGCGTGACCTAATGGAATCTAATCAGCAAGCTACGTGCCACCCCCGAGTCGCTTCTTCCTCGTCACTTATCGGAGCTACGCGAGGAGGGAACGTAAACCCAAAAGACGAGAGAAGGCGCAACTCTGTCCCTTAGAGCCCAGCTTTCGACATATAGAACTTGCAGCAACAGGGAGTGGCGACCCACGAAGTACACAGACTAGGCAGGTACGATGGCCACACCTTCCTTACATTAAGGTTTTCATGACAGGAAAGCACGTTCTGGGTCGCGCCTTCCTTAAGTTTGTATTTCCCCGAGCAAGGAAGGAGCGGCCCTCGTACCTGTTAAACCCGTTCGAACACGAATGAAGAAGGTACGAAGGCTGGTTTGCTCCTTCCTTAACAGCCAAGGCGCGACCCAGGCCTCGTCCGATCGTTATTCGTTATACCCTCGGGTGTTCCTTCCCTACTTCCCGACATTTCAAGTCTTAAATATGGGAGGTACGCACTGGATCGTCTGGTACATTGGAATGGTCTTCTTCTTCTGAGTAGTCAGTACGATGTCCGTTCCCCAGTAGACTTTGACAGAGCACGCTATGGCTCCAGGAGAGAACTCAGGCATAGTCAACGATGATACATGCATTTAGAGGTGTGTAGAATAATGAAGCTATCTAGGTAGGGAATCGCCAGAAATAGCTAAATGACATAAGACTTGTGACATGTATGCTAGAACCTTCCGTGGGGGACAAAGGAGCGATAAGCGGGGCTTCCAACGGACTTTGGTCCCAGGATCTGGGGATGCGGCAAACAAGCTTCCATTGATTGTCCATAGACGTCGCATATTTGGAACGGCCATAGACTTGCTATCTGGGAATAGAGTAGGTGTCGTAATCCTATCTAGTTCATAATAAAGTCACCTCTTTGTATTATAATTATAGCTGTTTATCAACTGCTGATACACCCACAATCAGCGTGGAATCAGCGCTGGGTTATCTGCTATGAGTGAGTCTAACGGGTGCTGACATTCTCAGTATACTAAACAGCAAGAGGGTGTACAAGAATCCATTGTTTATTATGGAATTATGGAATTATGTACAACGTGTAAGTGCCACCCACCGTCAGGCTTAGTGAGAAGAAGTTCTGTGTGTTGTACTTGCACGCATCTTGGACGATGATAAGTTGTCGGCGATGTACTATTCCCAGCAAAACATGGCCAACTCAAGATGATCTCCTAAGCAAGAACCAGATATCCTCTCCAACCGGGAATCTTCTGGTCTACAGTTCACTCTTACACACTACCTAGCTCACTTCTAGAACCTCTGGGTATTAACTCCATCGTTGTGGATCATACGTTCATATCGAGTGCTAATATGCCCCGCGACAGTTTTTAGGAATCGTCACCAATATATATTTATAGAAACACAAGGCAACCCGACTTGAACCCATAAGGAAGGAGGAGCATTGAGCAACCCGACTAAATAAATTGCTGTCGAACTGCTTCCCTCAACCATGCAATCGTACAACGTAGTAAGTGGTGTGGAAGAGGTGCGAAAAAATATGAGGTTTCTATTCTAGGTGCAGAACTGAGCGGGCCTCCGCGCGCTCCTTGACAGCAACGAACACATGATTCTATTGGATGACGATGATCGCACGGCGATTAATAGAGCAGCTCAGGTCCAAATTGATTTAGCGTGTGGGACAGCCAATTGACGCTAAGCTGATATGCTGATATGTCGGGTGTCTCGATCTTCAATGCTGGTGATAGACAAGCAGGGAGCATTGACCGCCAGCTTGACCGGCTTTGGAGCTATAATTCCAACACCAAAATGCAGACTACGAGTTCCTAAGTGATACCCAGAATGCAGTGGTGTTAGGTCTCAGGATACACGTGGAATATGCCTGTAGGATAACGTTACTCGGGTCCCGGCGACAAACATGTGATTGGGGTCCTCGAGCGTTCGGAGACTAGAGTGACAGAATCTGTCTTCTTCGGACATATGTCCGGCATCTTGACTTGGGCACGAGTCAGTCTTCGGTAAGCACCTATTCCGTGAGGATAATAGGCAAAGTCAATGAGTCAATGTGAGATCGTGGGGACGGCACATATAAGCCAACCTCATAGCCGAGTCTGTGGGTGCTTAGTACTCCTACAGCATGCCAATCGAATTTCGCCAACCTCCCGCGCCGGTTCAATCGCAATATATCCTCGGCTCATCTTCGGATGTCCTCACCTTCAATAGCTGGCGTCTCCCATCCCCACCGGGACGACGGCAACAGTCCACTGAGGCGAAGGGGGGCGCTCGGTCAACTTCCGAACAGCCAGCGATAACAACGCACCAATGATGGCGGAGATTGCGCGATGGATGAGCATGTCAAGCTCGCTAAGACTCTCGCCCCCACGGCTTGGAGATTATACCAGCCAATGCTTGATCCGGCCTCTCCACATATCCTGCTCCAACTCCTCCCCGCATTCGCCCGGATGACGGTGCTTATGGAACCTGTGCAAATCGAGACCCCGCGGACGGGGAGGACTGGAGGTGCTCGGTGGCCAGTGCTCCGTTCGTAGCTTTCTCATATATTAGGTTGGCGAGACGAGTTTCGCAAATCGTCCGCTTGTGCTTTTGTTTCTGCTTGTCCCCTGGTCCATTGGCGGTTATCATAGCATAGTGTACGACAGTCCGCTGCAGCTACTCCCGAAAATGAGAATCGGCATCAGCAAACCTGAGGCTGTGCACGAGACGCCTCGTGAAGTATGGAACTGGCGGCTTTTCTGGAGTGCCGCGGTCTTCGGTACGTTGTTCCTGCTTGATAAGACAGTACCGTTGCGTCTGATTAACGAACAAAGGACTTCTTGGCCTAAGTCGAGGACTAGACGAAGCCCTTGTCGGCGGCATGACAAGCTTGCAGAGCTTCAAAGACGAATTTCACCTCGAAGAAGGTTCCGAAGGCCACCAAGCCGACGTGCTCTCCAACATCACGAGCATGGTCCAACTCGGTAGTATCGCCGGATCCCTCTTGGCCTTTTTCCTCTGCGACCGGCTCGGACGCGTGCGAACTCTCCAGGCCCTCTCTCTTCTATGGCTTGTCGGATTTATCATCGTCGTCACTAGCCACGGAAACGTCGGGCAGATTCTCGGCGGTCGCTTCATCGCTGGTCTGGGTATTGGTATGACGGTTGTTGTCGGGCCGACATACATCGCAGAGATCGCACCGAGGAGCGTGCGCGGCATGCTCACCAATATCTTCGCCGGTTCGGTCTACCTGGGTGCGACTATCGCCTTCTTCAGTAACTGGCGCGCCTCCGTCAATCTTCCGGATTCGTCGCGATGGCAGTGGGTTGCGCCGCAGTTTGCGCACATTGGATTCGCTGCGTATGCCCCTTCCATTACTATCCTGTCTGGCATATCACTAATCTTTGGCAAAGCTTCTTCCTAGTCTTATCTTTCACCGTCCCCGAAACACCTCGATACTATACCATCGCCGGCAAGCACGAACAGGCCGAGAAATCCCTCATCAAGCTCCGCAACCTCGACAGCAGCCACCCATACATTCAAGCGGAAATCATTTCGATCCGTGAGCAGCTCGAGCGCGAACAAGAAGGCAGTCGGGGCGTCTCACGCTGGGGCAAAGTCCGCGAACTGGTGCTCATCCCCGCGAACCGCTACCGCCTGATGCTCGGGGTCATGTCGCAGGTTCTTGGGCAGTGGTCCGGCGCAAGCTCGATTACAATCTACGCAACAGAGTTCTTCAAGGTCCTCGGCAAGACCGGACAATCCGAAAAGCTACTCGCCAGCTGCATTCTCGGAATCGTCAAGCTCGTCTCCGCGTACCTCTGCGCCTTCTTCCTAATCGACTTTGTTGGTCGTCGGCGCTCGCTATACATGGGCATCACCATACAAACTATTTGTCTCGCGTACATCGCCATCTTCCTCGGGGTCGTCGGCGAAGACACCCTGGAAGCCGGCAACCTCACGGGCACCCAACACCAAGCCGCCGTCGGCGCGATCGCCATGATCTACCTCTCCGGCTTCGGCTGGGCAATGGGCTGGAATGCGTTCCAGTACCTCGTCAACGCAGACATCTGGGCCCTGCGTCTGCGCGCGCTGGGCAGTTCGATAGTCATGTGTTTGCATTTCGTGAACCAGTATGGAAACACAAAAGCCGTGCCGGAGATGCTGCTGGCGCTGCAGAGTTATGGGTTCTTTGCGTTTTGTGCAGTGGTCAGTTTTATTGGCCTGGTTTGGGTCTGGTTCTTTGTGCCCGAGTTGGCCGGAAGGTCGCTGGAGAGTACGGATGCATTGTTTGCTTTGCCCTGGTATCAGGTTGGCAGGTTTGGGAATAAGCTTGCGCCGGATACGAGTGCGATGGTGGTGGAGGTGGATGAGAAGGCGGCTGTTGCGACGGATGCGCAGCATGTTGAGTATGGGAGGCACAATGGAGAGAAATGAATGATGCCTTTTGATCAATAGCCCAGCCGCCCAACTGGTAGCACGAGAAACACGATAGCGATAACAAAGGGAATATGAACAAAATAAAAATTCTCCAGATACTCATCAGACCAACGACAGCAAGCCTAGAGCAACCTCAAGCATATACAACCATCTATCTGCCTGGATGAATGATGCACCAGACTCCTCAACCTCGCGAGGCACATTCTCCTCCCGATCGTACTTCTTCACCCACTCTGGTCCACCTACGCCAGACCTTGTCCGCAGTTCATCCGATCGCCCCGAATCAACGTTCCCACTGAACGACACGCTGAAAGTCCCCTCAGCAAAATCATCCGCGGTTCCGGCCGGTCCGTACCACACCTCACTCTGAACGGAGCCCCAGTACGTCCCATTCCAGCGGAAAGTGGCCTTCTGCTCATCGAATGTTCCCTGGAATGTGATGTTCTGTGTAGAATGACGTTGGCGACCTGCGGTGCGCGTTGAGACGATCATCTTGAACCACTCAGAAAACCGTCGCTGGCAGCCGGGTATGGTTATGTTCATCCAGTTTTCGGAGTTTGTCGCGCGTGGATTGCTGGAGATGTGGTTCTGAAGAAGGCTTAGCTTTGATGTCTTACGTAGTAGATAGAGAGCGCAGAAGAAGATTGAACTCACGTCACCAGTAAACAAGCCATCCATGGCAAAGCCACTTCCATTGCGAGGGGTGCTTGTCTCCACCGACCACATCTCATCCCCCTCTGATTCATTGTCCATCCAGAGCTTGCTGCGTTGACCAAGTATGAGTCGGATATCGGGGCTATGCATATTCCATCCATCCGTGTCCGAGCCCATATCGATTTCCGGCGACGAGGCTGCGGGCACCGTACCGGTATCCCAAGCCATCAGGACAAACTGAGGCGAGTTTGTTTCTGATCCCGGGCCCACGAGAAAAAGACCGCTGAAAGAGGCCGTAAACGAGTCCCGACATGCTTCTGCACAGTGGGGCCATCGGTCGATCGAGGTGGCGAGATCCTACGACAACAACCGAAAACATGTCAGACGTGACTCTGGTCAGTGGGGAATGTATATCACTTACAATTGTCCCGTTATAGTAGGTCCCAGTCCAACGGTACGGCCACCTGGGTCCGTCGTATGGAGACGGAGAGCTCGATTCCTCATTGCCGTGTCTGTCTTACTTCGGCTTCTTGCGCTTGGCGTCGGCGCCGGCGACAAGGATGAACAGAAGCAGACTGAGGATTTCAATTAGCCGCATGGATATGGGGTGATAGAGGCACAGAGCTTCCAAGTCTGATCCAGAAATCCCAACCGAGAGCATCGCGGGGGAGCTGGCCCATATGGCTGTTGTCAAACTAAGGTGCGCAGAATCATGGGGTTTTCCATGACCCTGTATTTTTATTTTCGAACAAAAAGGTTTCTTTCATGCACCCGTAACATCCTAAGTTAGCACTGGACCCTGTAATTTTGTCATACTTAATTGGCCACCGTGCCACACCTGGCTGATCACTGGGCAACCAAGGGACAAAGAGATACCCTAGCCACTGAGGGGTGTGTGGTCTTTTGATTTTGAGTGGGCTGTGCCCCTTGTGCCTAGATAGTTCTTCAGGGTCCAACGATGGTCAGAAAAAAAAAGCATCGTGTGATACGTTTATGACCACAAAGACAGTAGATCTTCCTCGCGGTAATACAGGGCAGGGCCATGCAAGGCAGGAAACTTGAACCAGGAAGCGTGCAAAGAACTAACCCATCCCACTCGCTCAGCTCGGGGATTTCATCAAGGCCTATCCAACCAAAGGTAGACTCGAAACTTGTCTCTTAATCCCATGGTTCCCCATATTCGTCTCTCCTAGAAGCCGACGTCCCTAGGCCTTCTAGTGAGGCCAGCATATCTGCATAACGACGCTCCGCTGCCTCCGCCGACTTTAGATCATCCCAAGGTATTGCACACCGAGGGCAACTATCTTCTGTCTCGACTACTCTTCCGAACAGGGGCACCCATTTACGGGACATCATGCAGCCCTGGCAGGCAGCGCACATTAAACAATAGCGACCGGAATCGCACCGCCTCCAGCATAATCCGCAAATGTACGATGCATAATTTCGCACCTCGATCGGTGGTTCCAGGTTGTCAGGCCCGACTACCTTCCTAGGAGTAAGGTAGAATCGCGTGCCAGGCCCACGAGGACCCGGGGTGGGATCGGCCGTTGAACAAAGAATGGCCACATGCAGGGCCTGCCTTGTGAAAGAACACGGGAGACGATAGCCGATTAGTTAGTGTTCTATCAGTCGTGTCTAGTTAGTCGATTGTTCCTGGGTGAGCAGGGTTGACATGGCTATTTCCATTTCCCATGATGGCTACGGACTATGTGGGCAGATCCGCAGGCCTTGCTCGCTTTCCAGTGCCAGACGAAGGAGCATGGTCTATGTGTAGCACGCGTTACAAAATATGAATGTGAGATAGGATCCGTCGCACTTGAGGTATATTACCCATCAGATTACTCGGTACGCTATGGGCATTTAGCCGCATAACCTGAGCAGACTACTGGATGATCAAATACAATCCATAGCAGTAGCTGTCGGACCGACGACAAGTGAAATTCGTTCTGAAAATGGCCATCTAGCAGGAAAATCCGGCTTGACGTCTCCAGTCCCCTCGGACGTCCTCCGAAGAAAACGGCCCCAAGGCACCCGCCTCGACTCGGAATTAGCTGCGGGTAATCTGGGGGCCGGCCTGGGCAGACAGCATGGGATATTCCATAAGGAAAGAATGCCGAACGTGGGGGCCGTGGGGGGAAATGGCACAAATTCCACGAGTTACCTCGGTGGCTCACTGTGGACTTGTTGCTTCAGTTGGATTCGGAGATTAGATGTGGGTATGCGCAAAGAAGGCCTGAGGTCACATTCCGTTGGATGGGTCGGCTATGCAGTATCGCTCGTGATCTTCGGTGTCAAGGGCGCAAAACAGCGCGAGTGCGACCGAGTCATTTACCCGAGGGGTCATGATTCTTTTAAAGGCCAGGTATATTCATCGGTATTGGAATGGGAGGCTCCGTCATCGTTGTTCGAGGACAGTGGTCGGTGTGTTCATGGTTCTGTTCTTTTTGTGATATATATAAACAACCAGGAGAGCGATGCTGAGCCCTCTACACGGCTAGGACGGAGTGCTACATTGCGGACCTGGGCCCCTATATTGGTATATTTAGGATTTGGCGAAGCGTATGTGGCTCGTTCCTTGGGTCTTGTGCTTGGTAAGAATATTTTGATGCCAGTGAGATATCGTAGTGCTGCAGGATTACCAACTTACCACAATAGCTGCGAGATGGCTATCTGACTTTGTACAACTAAGTTTCGTACCAGAAGTAAAGGGCCTCTGCATACGCCTTAGACCGGGCGTCGAAAGCACTACACGGAGACTGATTAGTGCACGTGTAGAGGACTCGTACAGTCCCTGCGTCGATGTACACTCGCCCATGCTGCCGAATCAACAGGATCATTTGAGCCAGGACCGAAGACACCAGGTGACCACCAGTAAGTACCTTTATAAGGGCCACTGCTCATAAGAAAGAATAGCCCTAGCTCTCTACTTAACAGCGGCAGAATTTTCCGGTGCAGGATCTGGCTCACACCCGCTCATGACGGGAGATGAGGTTTCAGGCCCCAGAGCACTGAAGAGTAGATACACATGCTGATACGATGGAATAAATCGACAAGCAACTTTCTTGTCACAAGACAATGAAACTATCCCCAAACAAGCAACCATCTAGCCAAAGGCCATACCCGATGAGCCAGCCACAGTGGTGACGGCACCAGAGCATCCGCGCTAGACCGCAAAAGGCATCCACTTCGTTCGCAAGAGCAACTTCTCACCAATCATGACGCACCAATGTGGCTGAGCGTCGTCAGAGTAAGCACTAAGCCTCCACAAGAAAGCTTCTGTGGCGATGGAGCAAGGCTTAAATGCGCCCGAGGTGGGGTGTCTACACTCTGGGCTCAAGGGGTGAGACTGCTGAGGTCGTGGCATATAAATCGCCATCTGGCCGCTCGGTTCTCTTGGATCTGCACGCAGCTTTCCTGCTTCTTAACAGCGCGCAACTTTACCGAGTACTATTTGTACCGCCGCACTGCCTGCCTGCCATTGCAACACACGAAATGATCCTAGGCGGAAAAGCTATTCGCGGCGTTGCCGCTGGCATTGGTCTTGCCTCCGAAGCATACAAGGCAAACAAGCGAGAGAGGGAATCAAAACCACCAGTTTCCAGCCCAACAGGAAGCGAACAGGGCACTGACAGACTCGCCAACACGCAACTAGAGGAAGAATGGGAGCTCGACGAGGCGCAAGATGAATTACATGATGATACACAGGGACGAGATGGAAACGACAAACACGCCAATGTTGACGGGACCGGGGATGAGGTGGGCGAGACAAAGTACACCGTTGAAGCCTTCCTACGCCTTGTCCAGAGTAGCCCTCCAGCCTACGTTGCCGACCCCTCAGCGGTCCCAAAGCTCCCCTACCCAGTAATCCTCCCGCAGCGCCGACCGAGGAACAACAAGCGAGGATTCATTCGCGCGTACGCACCCGATCTCGAGCAATTCGGCATCGACCAGGGAATGTTCCTGAATTTCCTGGAAGCATCGAATCGCGCGTGCCAGGCGACGCCGTGGCTGTATGCGCTGAACCTTGCCTCTATTGGGACAATTTGGCTGCCCAGCGCTATATCGTTTGTTGTGTCTGCCATGATTCAGTTGGGGACTGAGGCTGCCATTGCGGCTGAGACGAGGAGGAAGTGTGTACACACCGACCCTGAAGTTCCTGGAGAGATGATGGGAGCTAATAAGGTGACAGGACTAATTCCTTCTTCGACAAAATCAACGCGGAGTTCTTCCGACCGCGCGGGCTCTTCTGTCTAGTCATGACGTGGAAACCAGAATCCCCGTCGACATTCTGCAAATTCGATCTGAATACCGCCATCTCGACGGCCGTTGAGTATGGCGGGCCCGGCAAGTTGAACAGGCTGAAGCACACCTTCAAGTCCTCAAATGGGAAGACACAAGGGGACCTCCCCTTCCCGGAGTCTGCACCGCTCATATTCCCAGAACTCGATGCCGTCGCAGCAACGGGCTCCGAGTCTCAAGTACGCAAGTTGAAGAAAAAGGACTTTGTCACGGATTACTTTGACCGCCGCTCACAGGCCAAGTTCGTAGGTCTTCCCTATATTCCTCAAGTTCCCCTCATGCCCCCCTCCCTCCCCTTACCCCATCCCTCTCAGCCATCTAACCCCACTCGCACACCAGCGCCACGAAAACCCCACAAGCGCCCTCAACATCTCACCCAATCCAACATTCACCTCCCGGTACGCAGACCCCAGCCACCCGGCCAGTAGCGGCGACCTGCTGGGGCTGGTAAGCGGTGGCAAGATTACATACGCCAAGCTTCCACGGCGTCGACCTCCTCCTGCAGGCGCAGTGCATAACGGACGGTTCGCAAATGTGCCCGGTGGGAATATTGGCCTAAGGCATATACCCGGTGGAGGGCTTATTGGTGCGATTGCGGCGAGGAGGGGCGGTAGGGTGCAGGCAACACAGGCTGCCAATGCTGAGTTTGCTGAGAGGGACGAGGGCTATGGGGCGCCGGCTGTGAGTGGGCGTACTCGTGGTCGTGGGCAGATCGCTGCGCGAGGTGCATCAGGAACTGCAGAGGGAAGAAATGACCCGCTTGCCGATGGGTTGGTGGGTGGGGTTAAGAAGCTATTGCAGAGTGTAAGCCATACAGCACCTCCTTGCTGGCATGAGCAGCACGGATTGCCAGGGCTAATGTCTTGATAGAATGTGGCGTACTTGATGATCGTGAACATGCCGTCCGAGGAGGAGATGGTGGCGGCCAGGGAGATGTACGAGGGCTGAGGCACATATGTGTTTTAAGAGGTGTCTCCTTGCGCTTTTTGATGAGTGGGATCTCGGCCGATTATCATACGGGCAATAGTACACGCTCTTGGGGAACAGGTTCCTTGGGCAAATGGGATAATAGAGCAGTGCGGATACTGCAGGGCCTGAGTATGATTAGTACTCCCCTAAGTTAGCCTCGAGAGATGTAGGGAGCTTAGGTAGCATCAGCACTGGTCACTAGAAAAAAAAAATTCAAACTGTGCAGTGAAGCCCCAGCGGCCACTACCAAGAGTGGCTGAACCATGTATCGTGAGGTCCATAGATACCAGGAGATCACGCTGTGCCCAACCGGTTTCAGAAGTCGGAGTGGCAGAAAGCTGTCGGAGGCCCAGGATTTCAGACCCACCTTGGCTGAAAAGAACTTGAATGAGTCCAAGAATGCTGTGGCAGTCACCATTCTTCATGAACTGACTCATAGTCGGATGATTTATGTGGGCGAGCTCCGGTAGGTCAAATTCCGGGTAGTTGGCTGTCTTGATCTTCAATCTCATCATACCTGCCGGTAGTGTCCGAGGCATGGAGTGGATGTCGAAGTGTCCCTTGAATATTACGTTTTGTTTTACAACTAGAACATGAGGACCTGTGAAATCGATACCGAAGTAACAGCTACTGAGGCCTTAAACGGCCGCATTGCCACCCGTAACTCTTACAGCAGTGAGCCACTGTTTTGGCATCCCTGTGTGTTTCGCAACACTATTCTGCGCCCGTGAAGTTAAAAGAGGTGGAGCTAGAATATTGCATGTTGCCCCAAAATTTGAAGAACTATGGATCTCTAAGCCCAGGAGAAACCTCTAGAGTGTACAGAGCTGGCTCCTTGCGCTTCCAGTAAATACTGATTCAGCATGCCACAGGTTTCAATGATCTTACGTATTATCTGGAGTGGCTAAGCGCCGAAGAAGCTGCGGAGGTTTTAGCCAAACGTTCTCCACCCTAGTTAATTGACACAGAGCACCTTAAAAGGTTAATAACTGTGTCTAAGCAGAATTCGTTGTGCCTTATTTCAAAAGACACTGTGTTAAAGGTTGGCTGGGTTAGTGAGGCTAGGTCACTGCCCCTAGCAGGTCATGATGGGGGTTGCCAGAGTGCGTTATGACAATTTCGACCATTAATTTTGGCCACCATATATCGTGTGCTTAGCTTGTGATGGCTGTCTCAAAATTAGTTAATACCCAATTCGGTATAAAGGGTATCCAGTTCGCTGTCGCCTGGAAGCTACAGCGGATCTTACCAACCTTCTGGGGCGAATCTGGGCATAAAGGTTGTCGAGCCGAAGCAGGACTTCTTACTATTTATTGGCCGCGAGCCTGAAATATCCAGCAAGGAAGAAAAGTAGCGCCACACTTCAGCAGTGTGCTTCACCAGTGCTTCAGTTTCGCAAATAAACCCCTGGCATGGACATACGGAAGTAGATTGACGTAGAGCCCTACTTATTGATCTTAGGATCATACCTTCTGCGAAGAGACGAATACTAATTATTCGTTCATACACCTTTAGCATCCCTAGCCTTTTGGAGCCCTTTTGCGCTCGTCATTATCATAACCAGCTATCTTCGTCTCGATGGTTCCGCATGCTGTCCGAACTAAGTATGTGTCTATTTACTATAGTAATAGCACAAGGCAACTGACACCCTAGATTTCCGGCTATTGTTGTCACCTATAACGATTTTTCGCCCAAAGACTTCGAGGTGCATAACCCCCCCGGACTTGTTTGCCTGTGGGCGGCGACCTTTTACAGCGACTGTAATTGCAGTGCCCAGGAATGCATAGCAAGTATAATACCGCTATAATCAATATCGTCTTGGTGATATAGACCTTAGCTACCATAATCAAATATATTAAGGCTCAATTGGCCTCACGTATGAACCTCGCCTACGATGCGAGTTACGCTTCTTTTCGAAGGACATATATTCCTATCACCATGTTCAGGGCAGATGGGACCTGTCGACGGTCCCACCCGACCACGTAAAAGATAAAGATGCAATACCATCTTCAATTATATTTTAGACCTCTCAACGCAAGCTTGACCATTTACTTCCCATCTTAAATCGCACCAGCAGCAGCCGAATTCTCCTTCGCAGTCTTCCACATACCTGCGACGGTCCGAAACGCATCCTTGTGGAGTGTGCCTGGATGCTGTTCCTTGAACTTGGGCAAGGTTTCGTGCATGAATTTGGCATACGGGGTTGTTCGCTTCCGGCTGGCACCTGTGCTGCTGGTGGCTGCGCCGGGGTTGGTGCGTCTTGTGGTGGGCATTGTTGTTCAAATGGGTTACTGTACGCGTTAGTTGGTACTTCTTGCCAGGGTCTCTAATCAAGGAGCAGGGGGACCTGGACTGTCAATTGCCGAGACAGGGAACGGGAAAAAGGGCTAGCAGTCACGGACAGATATGGTGTGCAGTGGAACAGACCGGGAAAACGGGATGAGGGAGGGATCTTGTCTACATATCGAGCTAGGGCAGATCGGCGAACATTTACCTAACTATGATAATTAATCCACGAGGATGCATCAGAGACTGACCAATTCAGGTCTCACTTTAACAGATGACTGCGTCATATAGTAAACTTCCAAATCTGTACTCCACGCATGCGGGATGCCTGACGTCATGAGTGCTAGTTCGACTCAACAAAGAACCGCCCCGCGGCTAAGATTTTCCCATTCACCTCACATATATTTGCATAGATATAAATATATGTATATCCTTCCCCACCGCCGTCCCTCAACACACCCATCCCCAGGAAGCAACCATCGCGTCCTACAAGTATCCGGCGGCATGGACCCCGAACACATGGACGTCGAGGAGACGGTCCTCTTCATTACCGAGAACCTCTTCGAGCCCGCTGAGGTTAGTTCGCCAACCCCTCTGAATATCTCTCAGATTCCACGCTCTTGATGGCTTAACAATTCTCTTCCACCAGATTACCGGTTCCTCCAAGCTGCATGACGACCTGCGGCTTGACGACGACCGGATGGCTGAGCTGCTTGGAGAGTTGAAAAATGTGAGTTCCCCAAGTTCTCCAATTGCTGGTCTTGAAGAAGGCTGACGCGCGAGCGAGCCACAAGGCATTTGGCGTCGATATCCCGCTTGAGCGCGCAGAGGGGCTTACGACAGGTATGACATGAGACTTTGTGGGCTGTGGACTGGACTAATGTGGATTGGGGAGAAGTCCAGTCTCTGGTCGAATATATCGAGGATGATATTAATACGGACGAGGTTTGGGAGTAGCTTAGTTGTGATGGAGTTAATAGGTGCAGAAGGGATGTCCGATTGCACACATGGCATATGCGTATTTTGGGAAAGAGTCCAAATGTCCAAATGAAGCCGAGGCTGGGGAGGCGGAGAGCACCAAATGATTGGCCGGAGTAGGTGTTTTCCAGTACTTACCTCACCACCATAGGGCCATGATCATGAGCAATACCAGACAAGAAGTTTGCATCTATGAATATCAGAATATATATATATGTCTAGAACAAATTAGGCCTTTGGATTAGGAGGGTAACATGGTCAACAAAATTAGATCGTGTTTAGTGGCCTTTTGTAGACACTCAACAAGAGTATTAGCATCATCATATCATCATCATCGTCTTGGTGACGTTTTGGATATATCCCTGTAGTATGGCCAATAGTATACAAACCTGCTTCAACAGTGTGGTCCTCAATTCTCTATTATTACAATTCACAACAAACCTTTTCGCTAGTATCTTCTTGTTGAAATATCTATATGTATATATACATATAGAAGTATTCATTTTATTCTTGATTCACACCTTTTAAATGATCTCGCAAATAAGGTGAGCCATTCTACCTTCTTTAATAGATGTCCACCCTATTTGGCTATCTCATATGTAGGAACGGAAAGATTTATGGCGGTTTTATGGACCAGAATGAGGTTGAACCCACAGTGAAGATAAAGGATAATCGATTGGTTTCCAACTTTGCAAGCACGGACGTTACAGTTACCTATAACTCGCTCGACGATTCAAAGGGCACGATGGAAAGCGATTTGCTCATAGAGGGTCCCAAAACTATGCACGTGCAATTCCCCAGCAGCGGTGTCCAAATCAGCTGTAAAACTGAGCCTCCCGCCCAATATATTACGGCTCTATACAAGAAACAGGGCGCAGCCGCAATTTCCAAAGAAAAAAAGCTGGCGAAGCAGGTGGGCATCCTTGGAGTAGGTAAGACAACAGGTCATGACCAGGCAGGTGCAGAATATAGAAGGGAGAATAGGGGAAAAAGAAGTTTAGGAAGAAATAGAGGCAGAACAGCTAGGATAGTTCTTATAGAGATGAGCTAAGCAGCCAAGTCCATGCCATGGCGCGCAAAACGCAAGCATTCTCCGGGGGCATAAAAAGGGGCCCCTATCATCTAACCGTGGTGGTCATGACTTGCTCATCCCCAACGATTGACCTTGAATGAATCCTTTCGTTGGCACCTCATGCTTTTGGCTCGGATACTATGTATGTGTTGGGGTTTAAAGCAGCTTCTGGTCTTCTTGATCTCCAGAAGCACCTCGTTAAACATCCAAATCAGAACCCTTCCTGTTGCTCTCTGCAATTCCAAACCGATAACAAACAACAAGAGAGGTTCCTCCCCACTGGGAACCCCCTCTTCTTTTCGCGGCTTCTATTTTGTCACACCTTCTCCAGGTCTGCGACGAGAGAGCCAACGTCCACTTTTTCCCTAGGACAACGCCTGAAATGAGTCAAACAAGACTTTTCAGGTCAACTGAACTTGCCATGACTCAGGCCGGTGGCGATTTACGGTACCCGAAATGCTTAAAGAGCTCTCTACTTTGGGTTTGGGGTGGTAGGCCGTATTACATCAACTGGGACGCAAGCTAGATGATGGTCGGCGTTAGTTTAAGATTGGGCTGGCACTATTGCAGAGCAGGGAAGTGTCTTTCCAATCAGTGACTTGGCCAGCTCCTATCTTTGCACAAGCCTGGCTTCACCAAGTTCGATAGAGAAACACGAAGCAAGGTGCTTGAGCAAGGGTAGAACGGTAGTCAGCAAGGGGATTTTGGCAGACTATACTGTAAGGGAGGCCACAGGGGCTTATTGCTAGATTTGTGCGCGATTTGCTTTGCAAGAACTAAAGCTGCCCTGCACGGGTGCCCAGCACAGTTATACACTCAATTCGCCCCACTAACGTCTATGATTTCAGCCGCAATCTTTTCCGCCAGCATATCTGTGCGCACCCAACCCCGTTAGCCTCAAGCACCGCGAAATAGGATCAGCCGAGACAGAGAAAACATACAGCACGTCGCCTGCGGATGCCCCGGCGGCAACATGGCAAACGAACTCGCATCCACAACCCTCAACCCGCGCACCCCCAGCACCCTCGCCTTGCTGTCCACAACCGCCATGGGATCATCAGCCGTCCCCATCTTGCACGTACAAGCCGCATGGAAAATCGTCATCACAGTCGCGCGAATCGTCTCGAGGATCTGTTCATCCGTCTGCACCTCTGGGCCCGGGAAGTACTCTTCCCCGATTACGATGGGCACGAGACCCTGTGGGTGTGCCCAGGCTTCGCGGAGCCGGCGGTACATGGCAACTGACACCTGTGCGTCGGACTCGGTGTCGAGCCAGTTTGGTTGGATGGCGGGGAGGTCGTCCGTGTCATTTGAGCGGAGGGTTACGTAGCCTCGTGAGGTCGGCGCGACGAGGGAGCCGATCATCGAAGCGTACATATAACCGTCTTGAGGTTGGCCGAGGAAGGGGTCTTGGAGTGAGCCAAGGTAGATGGAGAAGGAGATGTACTTGGTTTCGATTAGCCAAGCGCAGCCAGGGGCTACAAATGAGGGCCGGTGGGGGGAGAGAAAGCGGATCAAACAGTAGGGGGAGGTGAGAATCACGTACCTCCGCCTCTGGCCAACTCGGCGGGAACCACGACAGATTCGCCCGTGTCCCCTGAGAGAACTGGGCGCGCAGGCTGTCCGGGATCTTCTCCCAGGCCAGGTAGTCCGCACCAGGGTTAGTGAATAAGCCACGCCGCTTGGCCAGGTATTGTATCCCCTGTTCAGCTGTGAAGACGAGATCCCTCGGGATCCTCGAGTTAGTAGGGATGCTGACCCGATACGAGGGTCCAAACAGCAGATGATCCCACATATTCTGCCCAACGCCGGGCAGGTCGACGACCAGCGGGATCTCAAAGAGCCGCAGCGTCTCTGCGGGTCCGATCCCCGAGACCATCAGCAGCTGCGGGCTCTGAAACGCGCCGGCCGAGATGATGACCTCGCGCGTCGCGTGCAGCACATACACCTGTCGTCCCGTCCGCACCTCCACGCCGGTCGCTCGCGGCGGAATGCTCTCCCCGAAGAGCACCCTCTTGCCCATCGTCTTTCTGTACAGCCTCATTGTCGCAAGCAGCTCGTCGTTATTCGGCCGGCCCCTGAACGCAGCCTCAGAGCTGCTGCGCGTGCGATCCTCCGGCCGCACTGTAAATGGACACCACTGCGCGCCGAGTAACCGTCCGCTGCTGAAGTCCTGCACCTCCGGTATCCCAATCGCCTGCATGCCCCGCGCCATCCAGGTTGAGAAAACGATGTTGTCGATGGGGTATGAGACTTGCAGTGGCTCTCCGGAATCAAGGAACGCGTCCGGGTTATAGTCTACCGAGGCATTAGATGGACGCAAGGCGTTGTCGGGCGGGTGAAATGTCGGTGTTCGCTGGTAGAAGGGGAGGACGTTTTGGAAGGTGTATGAGTCGTCGTCGACGAGCTCGGCCCAGCGGTTCATCGAGTCTACATCGGGTCTAGACAGTGTCAAACGCGAAATTCATCAATCAGCATTCGACTTTAACTGCGCTGCACGACCGGGGTAGTAGGCTCAACCTCTGGTATACCATCACGTTAGCCGCAGAACACCCTCCCACCGTTCTATGCCGGCAATAGTGAACCTGGCGGTGTAGGGCGCCCGGGACCGGCTCGGTAATGAACTGCCAGTCGATCGGTGTGGTTGACGAAGGGCTCGCCCCGATGCCAATTGCGGCCGCCCCAGGGATCTTGGGCAAGGGCCAGGTGTTCTCGTAGAAGTCACCGGCTTCCACTAGCGCCACAGTAAAGTTGGCTTCTGCCAGTCTCGCGGCAAGCGTGAGCCCAGAGGTGCCGGCGCCAACGACAACGTAGTCGAATGTCGCATCGGTTCCTGGGGTCCCTTCGGGGATGCCATTTACTCCCAGGGCAGCGATGGAGAGGATGGCTAGCGCGAGAGTTGGCAAGATCATGCTTGCGGAGAGAGGTTTGCAGATGCGCCTATATTGTGTCGGACATTTTGCTGCTGCGCGGAAGGAGCAAGCGAAGATAAAACAGACCCAGATGCATACTTCCTTACGGGTACTTTTGGTGGATTGCAAGCATGCATATGCCTGATCCGGCGATTAAATATACGTCGCTAGAATTACAACGGGACTTTTTTGGGTGCTGATCATCGCCACCTGAGCCATGCCGCCAAATAGGGATATATAGTATCTACCATGCAGCGGGGACATATATTCTACTAAACGGTCGAGGGCAGGCCTGATTGATAAAACCCTAAAACGGGCATGATAGGCCCAGTTAAAGTGACGAGTATGCTGCTCCACGCTCTACGGTATGGATTGTACTCACTAAACTGAGTCACTCTTAGGTCAATATGGCCCCTTGATTTACAAGGAGCTATCCCTGGGTTGCCCCTTCTATGCAGTCCTTAGTGATTCAGGCTTATAGGGCACTGCTGCGGAAGGGCCTGTAGATGTTGAGATTGTTGTTGGTGGAGCCTTGCTCGCCTTTGTCGATGTTTAATCCTGTTTAATTTAACCAATTATCCTCACGCTTTTACCTGACCCGGCTCAGCAGTCATCCACCTGGCTATGTAGGCCGTCGTGGATCCACGTACGACCTTGGAATCATAGACACTGTATAATATCTAGCAACAGCCTCCGTGAAGTAGAATCTGTGAGGAAACGCACAGTCACCTTAGTAATTCTGACGCAAAAACTGCTTCCAAGCTTCTCGCCCTCAGAACCCTGTCTCGTGTAAATCCAGGTTGTCTCCACTTCACCCCCCCGCTTCTCTGGAGTTAAATGGTAGTACCCCTCACAATCCCCACTAGGGCATCTGGGCCAACGGGGAGCTGAGGATAAGACACGGTGGGCTCACTAGGCTCATCAGGCGTCATGCAGATACTTGCAAAGGCCAGGCGTACCCGACGATTAGCACAATGGACGACCCCGCGGTGGGTGCAAGTCACTCTGACCCTCCAGAGGCTTTTCTCGCCAGAAGCGGCTTGGCCACCGTGGGAGACTATAGTTACAGTGCCCTGGAAAAACTTGATAAAAACACCAGGTGGACAGCCAGGTCTTTCTCTGGAAAGCCGGGGTCTGGTCGTTGATTACAGCAGGGATTCAATCTGTAGACATCAAACCCCGACAGCAGCATGTTTGCCTATTTACTAGGGCTGAACTCATTCAGGTGCTTGGCTTGCAGCTCGGGTGAGACTGATTAGCCAATCCCAGCGATCCTGGATGTTAAGGCCCTTCAGGTGGGTGGCATCCCACCTGCAGGGATCAGAATCGGCCAATCAGGACGAGAGGTCCGTCGGTAGCAGTTTCCCTTTCTCCTCAGCCCTCGAGAAAAGTATCATTCTCGCCTATGAGAGGGGATGCAACCCCGCACGGGTCTAGATCAAAGGGCGCCTGAGCTGAATCTTGAGCGGACCAAGAATTGGTGGAAGATTAAGTTGTGGCGAGGGGCACGGGTGATCCCGCTCGTCCAGAGTAACATAGATAGGGCTGCCATGTTCGGCCTAAATCAAGAGACTAAAGGGTATAAATACAAGCCCCTCGCAAGGTTTGTTCGTTTTCCTACAAAGCCCAACGGAAACATCCAATCTTTCTTCTGCCTCGAATCTTCCTTCGAAATGCTTACGCAAGTCCTCGTCCCGCTACTGCTTACCGGCTATGCCAGCGCGATCGCAGTTAGATTATACAATTACGATGGGGCTAACATGGCCTATTCGGTGAATGCCGACGGCAGTTGCTGTAAGTTGATCATGTCACGGCCGGGGCAGAAGTGAGTCAAACTAACAAGCAGCAGTCTCCCTTAGTGGCGGCACCCTCCAGCAATTCAACGACAAACTCAAGGCAATGGACATTCCAAGCGGCTACCAGTGTGTTCTTTGGGAGTGAGTTTACCCCCGCAGATCTCGCCATGGTCCGTCCATTGCTTGTATAGAAAACTAAAAAGAAAACTCTTCACCCGATAGTAACTTCAATTGCAATGGCAAACACACCAACAGCATCGGTGGATTCCCACAAATCAGCCAAGTCTGCAAAGGCGTTTATCACAACGACTTGAACTATGACTGGTCCGCAACCGCCTCTTCTTTCAAATGCTGTCCGGCGGGCCCGGATCCGGGCTGGTGTGCTGGGTCAATTCCATACTGTACTTGATGCGTCTGGTCGTGTTGTTGACTTGGCTCTTGTGATGAGTTGGTTACAATTGGTTGTGTGGCCAGCTTCAAATCCCTCAATGGTCTGGAGCAAGCTTGATGTGTCTATGTGGAATGAGGGTTCCTTGGCACTTGGAGGTTCTATCATCTGTTTTAGCTCCAGGTTCCTTCACATGATAACGAGCGCGGATAGTAAACACGTAATTGATATATTGTACACAGATCCTCACATGTATCAGGCCAACACTCGGCAGAATTATGGCAGTGTGATATCATTTTTGCTCGCCTAGTCAGCGTGGCACCTCCCAGGAAAAATAGGGTTGACAAGCTTCAAGGCCTTATAGGATGGACTATGGCCGTTGATCATCATCCATACCAAGCAGACGCCTGATGACCGCCATGGCGAAGAGCTGGCCAACCAATATCCCAGCCTCAAATTCCCCGGCCAGTGAGATAGTCGCGTGCACCGCGTAGAGCCACCGGACAGAACTCTGCCCGCATACGGTACGGCAACCTCAATGATTTGAGCTACGGCTCCTAACCTACCATCAACTGACGTATTATATGTCTCCACCTGATGAAATGAAATAGCTAGCACAACCTTTGTTTATACAGTTGCTGCGCGACCAGGGACTGGTCCAGTACGAACTGGCGCGGGACCAACTACTAGGTCCCCGACTCGACCTGTCACTGTGTCCTGTATGGGTCTGTCTCTGTTGAGTGCTAGAGGGAGTGTCCTGCTTGCCCTGAGCCAGGTTGGACACCACGATGATATTTGTGTTCAAGAGAGAGTGGCCCCAGTGCCTGCAACACACCCCACGCAGGCTGGCTACATAGACTATGTGCTGGAGAAACTTGCGCCTTTCTGTCCGTTCATTCTTGCGTTTTTGTTTTCTATTTTGGAAGTGTCAGTCGGTGCCTGAGGCGACTACTGGAGCCGCATGGATGTTCCCAGCCCATTGCGCTTGTTTCTGTTTGCATATCGCTCGGCTGCTATACATCAGGTGGACGCAGCTTATTTCAGGGGTGCAGTCTAGGGAGAAGAGCCGGTGACTATCGGTGAAATATCAATGTATGTTCAGGTTGTGGCATGGACGTGTCTTTCTAATACATGAGACTCGCATCTCGATGCTTGCTCGCGTCGGTAGGCTCCGGCCGGGGATACGCTACAGCCACAAAGTATGGTAAGAGACATTAGCCATACAATCGAGCCCAATTAAGGCCACATGTACCACACCCTCATCCGCGCACATGCTTCGCATAAGGGGGCGGTGCATCCAGAGCATCGTCCTTGAATTCACCATGCAACAACCGGTCCTTCTCTTCCTCCTCGGCTGCCTCCATCTCAGCCTTAGAAAGCATAGGCCCCTTCTCCTCCTCGTGCTCGTCCTCAAGCTCGACCGGTCCATTACGTCGGCTCATACAGAACCAGATAATGCTAACCGACAGCACCATTCCAAAGGCGGCAACGATAACAACTTCCGCGCCGCTCCCGAGCCCGGCCCTTGGCGATGCCCTCGGTGATGGCGAGGGTGAAGGAGATGGCGTGCTTTTCGGGGCCGTATTCGTGTAAGGTGGAGGCGTAGGCGTGGGTTCGTAACTGGGTGTTGGCCTGTACAGATCAGGCCATGTATTCCGACCGGCACGGAAGAGGCTTCGTTCATCGCAAAATGTCGCTTCGCGGGGACGGTTCAGATATCTATATGTCCAGACGACGTGGTCTGAGCATTCGGTCGGTATGTTCGATTCGATGGTCATTGACTCGGCGTTGAGGAGATGAGTCAAGTTGAGGCTGTCTGGGGTGTCAGTTATTGATGGACAGCTATGGCTGGGGGGGGGGGGGGAAGGCAAATGGGGCAAGAAAGGCAAGGTAACTCGGACCTTTTGAGTTCTCCATATATACTAATATCTCCGGCGCGGTATACCTCGGACTGAATCTCCACTGGTATGTTGGTGTTGATGTACATTGACGCATTCGTCTTTTGCATCGGGCCGAGATCAACTCTGTGATAACCAGGTCGCAAATCTCAGCAGGAGTCTATGGAGAAGTCCCTACGATAAAAGGGGGTTGTTTTACCGGCTTATCCGCCCCCAGAGAGAGAGGCGTGTGTCCAGGCTCTTAAGTGAGGGCATGTCCACGGCAGGTAAATCGGCTTGCTGCGCGCTGACTCTTAATCCACCGTCAACTATGGCCTCTAGCTTGGGCGTTGAGAGGCTAGCATGGAAGGTATGTCAGTCGATTCTCCACCGTCAGAAGCCGGGGATTGAGGGGAGGTAAAACGAACCTTCGGATATCTCCCTCCAGGCTGAGCCCCCCGACACGCCTTAGCGCAGGGAGCTCGATATCGATCGGGGCCGGGTCGCGGGGGTACCCCTTGGAGGCCCAGGGAAGCTGGGTGTCAAATGACAGCTTGAGCTCGACATGTTCCAACGAGGGAAAGGATATCCTGTCTTCGATTAGACAAGATGTCATAAAACCATGGATCAGGGCTGAGCTGCTACTCACCTAGACCAAGGCCCATCCAAACTTATCGCCTCCGCACACGTCAAAAAACCCAAATCAAAGAAGAACCCCCGTGGCTGCGAAATATGGAGAGCTTTCACTCGCGTAACCCTTGGTAGCAGCAGTCTCTTGACCCTGTGTCTCTCAAAGAGGGTCACCTCGCCAATATACTCCAGGTCCGGCAAGCTGATTTCCTCCAATGCGCCAAAGACACTAATCGAACCGGTGACATTTTTAACGCCTCGGAGTTCAAGGTCTCCAGAGAATGTAGGGGCAATGTCGAGACTGCCGATTAAAGTTGTACATCCTTTGAACTGGTTTAGTTGGGGGTAGGTTTTCACCAGGAGTGAGTGGAAGCGGCCCTTGTCTGTGCCGTCGACGTAGCATTCCCGAGCGGTGCTGCCTGAAGAAAGGAATGTCAGCGACAGCTTTGTATATTCACTGAATAAGAAGTATCGGTACCGATGGGCAAAGTTACCACAGCCGACAAAAGGGCCACGAGAAATTTGAGCTGAGCCATCGCGGCGATGTTGGGATGACACACCCGCAGCTCCAGACGTCGGAAATGCAGAAGGAACCGACAGGAGAATCGAACGGGGCCTCAGGGTTTTGAGAATTTCGAGCCTCAACCCACGGTCCTTATCCTCATTCGAACAGCGCAATCTTGACTGAGAGCTGCGCCGCAATATGCTGGCCAATGCGCGCGGGGAGCTCCTGCACGCTCAAGCACCGCATGGTCTGGGCACTATGAGTTCCGGCGTCTTCATTGGGCCAGCCTGGACCCTGGCTCGAACATGTCCTATCAAGACGACGGTCGTGGTGTTGCCTGAGCCTCGGCTTGTCGGATGTCTCTTTATTCTCAAATTAACGTCTGCGATAGAAGAATGCAGACGTTGTATCGCTTTATCATTGCTTTGTTCTGGCTTCGTGTCCCAGTTCTTGAGCCCAGCCACCATTCCGGACTTTGTGCTCCGGAGGACCAATTGTTTGGCGGCCTTCCATTTCAGTTCTATAAGATTATTGTGGCTCTTTCAGTCTCGGTTCCTTATGTGGCAGTGGTTGAAGGAGTCGGATCCTAGGCGTATCACAAGATGGCTCAAAATCTCTTCCATTCCTCATCCGTCCGATCCGCGATGCATCAGCTTACCGCGATCTCAAAGTCAATCTATAAGGTCAACAGTAAGGGGAAGCATAATGGGTGACTAAAAGAGCTCTGGAAGGCCTGGTGTCGGTGGATGGAGAGCTGCCGGGGTATCCTGTTGATCCCCGTGGTTTAGACTCTGGGATGGCGAGGTCAGTCCCGGCAGTCCACCTCAATGGCTCGAAAGAGTCTGGGGTCTCAAGTACTCCCGCTCCTCGACCCAGAACCATGCTCCTTGAACATGCTCCACACCTACCGTCGTAGGAAGAGACTTCTGTTCCCTGTCAGGGAACGTCTAGATTGGGTTTGTGGGTCTCCCGTCCCGCAAATCCATGGATTCCACCTGCAACCAGCGACTCGGAAGTCCCGGAGGTGCATCTCACACTTCGTCATAGACTATGTGCCATCGCACTGATCGGCGACTGTCTTCAGACTCATGTATTTCTCTTTTCACAGCTTTAAAACAAGCACACTCCTGGTTAATCTACTGAAACTCGTGTGAATTGCAAGACTTATTCTACACTATACTATATCCACATTTTTTAAGCTTATCTCCTCGTCGCCTGTCAATTATATTTTCCCGGGCTTACCCTCACGCATTGTTAGCATAATGAACCTCAGGTCCCTCCTAATAGCTCTTGGCCTAGCGTCCTTGGCCATGGCACAGTGTGAGCTCTCCTAACCCTCCCAGGTCGCTGCTAGTTTCCCAGAATTGTGCTAACACTGCTGGATCAGATGACAGCCCTTGCGGGAGTGCGAAATCCTGCATCTCGACTTGTCCACACAAGGACTTCTTCCCGATGATTGATTCGTGCGAGATGGGTGACGATGGACAGCCCGAGTGCTATGTCAATTTCTATTGCGCTTAGCGGTGTTGCAATTACTGTGTACCCATGTCAGGGATGAACCGATCATCGGACCAATGTATCTTAAACAGCTCCCACCACTAAATACATATGGCTATACCAACGCTACCCTAGCTACCCAGTGACACATCAGTATATATCTCATACAGCTTCATAGTCCACCATCACGCAAGCCACCAAATATACTCCGCCTCCGGATCGGCCATCAACAACGGACACGGCGCATCCAAGGGCTCATTCCTCAACCCCTTAGCCTGTAATCCAAGCCGGACATAGAACAGAAGATGCCACACCAAAGCCCCAGTCGTGCCAGCAGCAAGAATGATACCTAGACCCAAGTACAAAAATCCGGCACAAAACACGACAAAGGAACGCACGGTTGCATTCGACCTCGCCGGGTCGCGGAACCGTTTTGGCGCCCTCTCCGAATATGCCATCATTGCTGCCCCGAATGCAAGGAGCAGCACCCAGAACCACCAGAGCGGGCCGATGAGGTCGAAGAATGAGTTGATGAAGATGGGGTTGCGAAGGAGTAGCTGGACGATGAATGCGAAGGCGAGGCTTTTGAAGAGGTAGAGGAGGCGTCGAACGAAGGCCGGTTCGTCGCGGAGGACCTCTTCGTCGTCGCTTTGGTCGCGGAGGAAGTGAACAGCGTGTTCTAACCAGGCCTCCCTAGTGTCTGGAATGGGGTCGTTGAAATACGGTAGGCGGACCGTGTAGCCGGCCGATATGATGCCTAGCAGCAGACCCCCGCCGGCGAGTTGGAGGATCTGTTCGTCGATCATCGTCACCCCGTTCCACCGACACCGGCGCTTATAGAGGTAGATTGCACCACAGCACTGCACGATATAGCCGAGGGCTGGGATCACGGGTCCAATTCGGGCAGCAAGGCGCTCTACTCTGGCCGGGCGGGGAGCGTTGCCGAGTAAACTATAACTCATATCGAGGCTCTTCGTTCGGCCCAGTAATGACGATAGCGCGCGACTACTGTTTGAGAGGATCCGTCGGCGATGGGTTTTGCGGTTTTTGATTCGGAGACTGGACGCAACACCATAGGTCGCGTAGCCGAGGATGATTAGCAATGCAGCGCTATAGCGGAGCACGGTGTTCAGCGGCGCTAAGAAAAATACCACAACATCAAGGGTAAGATATCTGCCTTCTCGTTGGTGATAGGAGTGGAAGTAGAAACAGAGGGTGACAAAGTTGACAACGAACAGCTTCAGGATCAGCCCACGCACCGACCGCTGAGATTCCAGTGGGCAGAGCACTGTGGGAGCAACAGTTACAGGCTCCATCGATCGAGCTCTACACACGCGCTGCTGAGCATGAATATTGTGAAGAGTGAAGGCTGTCAGAGCTGAAGGCAGCGCTGAAACACCCGCAAGCTTGGCAATCAGCTGACCAGCCACGCAAGGATTGTATTGGTGGACGTTGTCAGCATGTACTTTTGTAGCACAGAGGAGAGGAGGATAGATCCATAATGGATATTGAACATGGTAACCATAAATGGTGGGTATCTCCTTGCAAAGGTTTGCGTGTATGTGTACACGCTGACTTGTTTTCCACAATCCGCGTATTCTGCATATAGCACTAACACTAGACGAGCACATCAACGACCGGTAATGGAGAGAGGAAACTATAATAGTAAGCCTTGTTTGGCTACGGTTGCTATGAGATGAGAATTTCCATTCCATATTCCACTTGCCCCAGGTCGCAGGCCATACGATCTTTTATCGGAGGTATATAGTTACAAAAGTGATGGCTTAACGAAGATAAATACCTGGCCTCCGCTCCTGTTTCGATATACATAACCATCGGCGTCCTTTATCGTGTAAACCCTTAAAGCTAAAGTGGTTGAAACTCCTGCAGACAGTGCTTCAATTGAATGTGCATCACAACCTTCTTCCATCCCCCTCCCCCTTTTCTGTCGCCAAACAAGTACTTCTTGCAAAGGTAGCACCGAAACGTCATCCGGTTATGCCACTTTAAGGTTTCACAATAATGAAACCGATCGAGAACGAGTTTCACATCAATCCAATGGCCGTCCTTAGTCCTAGGGACCGGCCAGGTCTCCTCGTGAGTACCATGCCAGTCACAACTGGCACAGTTGAAGCTATAGTACTGGCGTGACACGCGAAATCTCGTCATTGCACCTAACCCACCGAACAACAGGGGGTTAGTGTCAGACTCGACATACTCGCACGTCAGAGCGTTAAGGCAGTTTCCCGTCCACGGAAGAAGAGTCCGTGCCGTGGATCCCTCGATCCGCTCGATTGGCTTCGCTTGGGTGAGGCGCTGGCACTGCTCTGACAGCGCAGTAAGGATTCCATCGCGCGTTCGGCTTGTGGTGCTCTGAATGGAGTCGTGGTTGGGGTGGATAAAATGAGAGGCTTCGTTCTGTTGTTCGCGGAGGAGGGAGATGACAGTCGACTGGAGGATAATGAGGTGGTTCATAAGGGTTTCCCTCGCGATACCTAGTGCAAGTGTGTCAAATGCAGCGACCAAGGTTAGTGATACAAGAATAAAAGAAGAACAATAGTACTGGAGTACAGTGGTGTACATACCATCGCCTTCCCGAAAAGCTGGTCCCACAGCTGTTAATCCATAATCAAACCCTCCCTGCACTGCACCACCATTGCCTGCGAGGGATTTCTGAAGTTGAAGGTTCTTTCTCTTGTACGCGCGTTCGACACGCTGTTTCCGCCACTCTCTGTATTCAACTGAGATGGCACCAAAGGCAGAGATTATCGTGGGGATTAGGGCAATGACCTCGAGTCCAGACATCGTGATCACAGAGAATGGGGATTAACAAGAAAGTCATGCAGATTTGATGCTGTATATAGAAGGGAGGTGCAATGCGCTCCAGAGGGCTTCGTAACCCTCGTTGCTAGGTCGAGGCTCCATGCCACGAAGCTTAAATAAACTGAGGCGTCTCGGGAGCCATATGTCATCAGACAAGTCGATGACTGCGCAAGATAGTCGATCAGTTCAGCTATTGTTACATTGAACCCTTGCATCTTGATAGTGGTCACGTATATCCGCCTCGTATTTGAGTCAAGATGTCGGAACTTCGCGGATTAGTATACCAGATGACATCGCCTCGACCCGGGTTATTCCGGAACCTGTAGATCTTTGCATCAGAGAGACTACAAGCCACCACACCACTATCCTGGGGCACATTATCAAATGTGCAAATAAGCCGTGTTATTGTACGGATACAGCAGCATCCAGGAAACAGCTGAGAATACTCTTAGTACTATGGTCATATCACAATCGCTAACGGTTTATGCGAACAGCATACGCGAGCATCTTAGTGCATACAAATTCCAGTCCCAGATCGGTACGAGATTGGATCAGCTTACGAGCGGAGAAGAATTGTGAGTCGGACTTGGAGCCAATAGCGTCCCCATCAATAACACTGGGTGCACAATCCAACCCGCTTTTTTCACGTAGGTGGATGGGCTTTGTCAATTGATTGACACTGGCGATATAATCCAAACTTACCATAGAGGCTGCTCAAGGTCTTCGATTGACCTCCAGGAAGGAAGATACTGAAAAAGTCTCGATAGTGGTGTCAGTGGAGTGACCTTGCCCTCAAGTTTGTATCCTTAGCCAACGGCCTTTTATAGCAGCTCATATACCCATTATGTATGCTGCGCTACGAATTGAAGACGCCTTTTATGCATCACGATATAAACAAAACTCGCATTCGCGAAATTAGCATACCTACGTCAGAATCAGAGATCTGCCACTCCAGGTTTCTTCACCACATATGGGCTAGGTGGAAATACTTGGCTGAAACCTCTAGATTGAAGCGTACCACATCTTCCCAAACGTACCATGACAAGGACTACGAGGATGACGGCCGTTATGTCCACTGAAACAATTCCGAAGCCCTACTAGCAGTCCCGTATCTCAAACGAAAGGGGTATTGCAGGGTTTTGACGCTTTGTCACTGACCCCCTGAACAAAACGAGATAGCCGCTTTGCATTGAGGGCTAGTTCAGCCTATATCCAAATGAGAATACGGCCCCATAGGTCCACGGGGATTTTTGATCTTCAAGGTCATCCAGGTCCTCCCTCTCGTAGAGATTTACGCTAACTCCACGCTAGAACCCATTATAGCATAACCGTTTGCGGTGAGGCTGCATGATCATTCGCTGCTTCGTGAACAGAAGAAAGCCCCAACGCGCTAGCAGTCAGCGGGGGTATAAAAGCTACAGCCCAGCCAATCCTCCGCGTACTTACCCTTATATCTTCAAAATTTTCTCCCCATCTATCTCAGCCCAATCCCATCCCGTTCAGCCACCGACCATGCCATCCGTCGTAAAAGGTCTCCCTCTCTACGCCCTCTCCGGCATCCTCCTCCTCGGCGCCTTCTCTCGCTTCACCCACGGCGTCTATACACCACAATGGTATGCCTTCCAAGAGTACCACGCGCCCGATGATGGCTCAACGCTGGCGCTGGCAACACCAATCGTGGACACAGTTGTCGCGCTGCTTGTGGCGATTGGCTCCCGCAAAGCAAGGATCTACGCTGCCGGTTTTACGTTTGTCACGTTTGCTATTGGACTCGGTATGCAGGTTTCGGCTGGAAAGGAGTATTTGGCGGATCTTGGGCTTGTTGCGGTCGCGGGAGCGGCGGTCTGGGGGGCGCTTTAAGGGTTTGGGCTCTTTTGTTGGAGGTATTGGTTTGGGTACAGAAGGTTGAAACGAGATCCTCGCAATCTGGCTGTTCGGCTACGGGAATCTAAGGGGTTGGAATTCTATCAAATCTTTTTTCGTTGGTAGGAGGTTCTCAAACTGGATTAGTGCTCGATGGGTGCTAGCTAAGGCTTCTCAGTGTTGACGATGTTCCCTCCATAATCCAATCGCTATCATCATGGCGATACGAGTGTCCCATCTCGCGTATCGATTATCTATTGAGTCATGTCCGTGCCAGTGCGTCGTGTCCAAGGCGTGTATTGAAAAGACATCAGAGAAACCCAAGTCGCCAGCGAAAGCGAATGGAAAATCGACAGTAAATGGAAACAGACCGCTAACAATCGACATGATCCTCAATCAGATGAGTACTTGGTCAAGGTAAAGTCAATAACAACTTAGAAGACGCAAAAACTACATGTGCAGCCGCCATTTGTGCGTGTCTTTTATTTATGAGCTTTCCGCCCCTGAAAGCAGGGGGTAACGGACCGAACCGAAGTGGCCATGGCACACATTCCATGACCTAGCCTGATACGGTTTATAAGTTATACATGCGCGCTGGCCTTCGACTTGGTGCCAATATATGGTTGCGTTTTTCCGTTCTCCGCCCATCTTCCGGCGGGCTCATTCTAATGCAATCTCACTCGTACTGCACAAAGTAATCTCATAAGTCCAGTCCGAGAATTCTCGGCCCGAGCCCTACACTCATCGTGAACCCCACAGCCACCGTAGCTCCCATGGGTGTCGCACATATGGACGCACCGCCACCTGTCGGTGTTATTGAAGGCTCATCGGGCGAAACGGACTCATTGCCAGTCGATGTCGGCTCTGCGTCCTGCGTCGACTGTGATGGTCTGTTTTGCTCTTCGGAGGTGCCCGGGTTCTCGGGTGTTGAAGAGCTAGAGCCAGGGCTCGTTAGAGAAAGTATGGCGGATGGCGAGAATGACGGCGAGTCCGAGTTCCGTGGTGCTGTCACAGAGGCCTCTGGCTCAGGCTCGGGCTCTGATGGTGTAGGTAATGGAACTTGCTCTGGAGGTCCCGCACCAATAATCCCCGGTAACCAGGTATCTATCATCATATCCGGATCTACAGTCGGCGGCTCGTGGCGTAGACTCGATCGATCGGACTCCTGCCAGGTGATATGCCACGGTGTATGGACGTAAATCTCTCCGCCCTCACTTTGGACGCAGGGTTTTGAGTAGCCGTCTAGTGGATAGTCGTTGAGTGCGTAGAGGTCTTTATAGCTGCCCTAATTAACTTAAGTAATTCCCAAACGTATCAGACACAAACGTACTAATCACAACACCACGCTGTAGTCAAGACCTAATCTTGCACCTCACTCGTAGCGATACTCCAATACCTCCATCCCTGCGGACACACCGCAGGGCTCGGCGAGTAACGACTCTCGGGAGGGATTGTCCTCCAGCTTGGTGGCAGACACTCGGTGCAGAGATCCGTAGCCTCCTTGCAGTACGTTGTCCCGTCAGTCACCGTCGTGGCCCGGCTCCCGCCGACCAGGTCCCAACAAGCGTCGGCCTGAACATAGGGGGTTGTGAAGGCGAAGTCGGATGCTGCTGTGCTGGACATTTTGCGGGTTCCGTGGGTCTACAATTCGTCGAGCAGTAGAAGTGAGCTGTAGGAATTAACTCGCTCGACGGTAAGCGTGCAATGATGGATTTAGTTTAAATACCGCACAAGTGGCTGGAGTAGCGATGGCTTTATAATGGCGCTGTGGTTGCCGAGCCTGCGGGCCCCTTGCCAGGTTGTCGGGAACCGTTCACGGTTAGCAGAGCACATGACCCTGACTTAACCGAATAGCAGCCTAAGCCTGATGAAGCTTCGTGGATGAATTGGTGCGAGTCGAAATGAAAGCCAAGACGGACCACCAGGGTTCGTCGGCTAATATTGCCACCTCACGAATCCCAACAACAAAGCGGCTTGCTGATTGGGGCAAAGTTGTGACAACCCTGGGCACAGACTTTCCAGGAAGGTCAATTTTCCATGTGCCTGAATGCACCACCCATACGGATATGGAGATAAGAGATCGCTAGCACCTACCCTAGCTCTGATGGAGGGGTTATGTTTACCACGGTCTCGAACGTCCGCAATTTTCTTTATCACAAAGGTCTCTGAGCCCTGGCAAGCTCAAAGCCACGCAGTTTACACGGCCATGCTGCCAGGATGCGCGGAGAGCGACTGCAAGTAGATTAGGTACCATTAAGGTTGACCCATTTCTGTGGGGTCTCTGGTTTCTTAAAGCGAGCCGTCCACTCACAACGTCGCAACTGGGTCAGCTCCTAACGGATACCCCGCGTCCATTGGAGAATCTGTGATCTAGCAACGCTGATTCAATGCGAAGCATCAGCGGTAGTGCAGCGCAGTCCCCAACTAATCGATACCTAGACAGTACGGCCACATCCAGCTGGTGCTTAAGTAGGCCGCCTGTCTCTCTATTCCTAGCTTCGCCGCTTGAGCAAAGGTGCGCTACGAGAACAAGCAACCACCATGGCAGACAACGCTGGCCTTGACCCCCACATGATCCCAAAGGTGAACGCTTTCGTGAAGAAGCTCCACCGCGATGTTTACCCGGCTGTCGACCCTCGACGACCAGATCATTTCCAGGCTGGCAAGATTGTGGTCATCACCGGTGCGAGTCGTGGACTAGGGTGATATGTAAGATGATCGGCCTAAAAGATAAATTGGTTTCCCTCGAATGTCTAACCAAACCATGCTACTAGTCATTTGCTGCATTTTTCGCTCAGGCGTCGTCAGGGCCATTGCTCCACTCGACCGCTCTGCCAACGACCTCGCCGAGACCGAGGAGCTGATCAGAAAGATCAACCCCGTGACACAGGTCCATTCCATTGCAGGCAATGTCACCGACTACAGCGGCTATTGCAAAGGCCTGTGATGAGATCGTGGATCGATTTGGCGTGCCTCGTGTCTTGATCAACAACGCTGGTGCGTTGGAATCGGCAGATACGATTTTGGACTCGGATATTGAGTCCTGGTGGGAGACGCATGTGAGTCTCTAGTACCCTGACAATAACTCACTTTACCTACGGAGGACTGATTGAACCATACCTACCGTTCTGTAGGACGTCAACATCAAAGGCACCCTGACCGCGACGCAGACGTTCCTCCGCAAAGTCGGGTCCACGCCCTCCAGACCAACGACCATCATAAATCTGACATCGGACGCATCCCTGGGCGGCATCCCGCGCTTTTCGTCGTACAGCATCTCAAAGATGGCAAACACCAAACTCACCCCGTATCTGCAGGTCGAGCATCCAACGATCACTTCCCTCTGTATTGATCCCGGCGTCGTGGAGATGTCGTGGACGGACATCGAGGCGCTGCAGTCTCCCCTGCTGCTTGGACGGGACATATATGAGTTGGTTGGAGCCGTGGGGATCTGGGTTGCGAGTGAGGATAAATCGTTCCTTTCGGGCCGGTACCTTTCGATAAACTGGGATGTTGAGGAGCTGCAGGCCAGGAGGAGGAGATTCTCGAGAAGGATTGGCTGACGCTCTGCCACCGGGGAGAGGTTGGTGGGTTGGACCTCGTTGTGGTCTAGTCGAGGAAACAAAGAAAGCTGTAGAAGAGGTCAAGTCCAATGGCTCTTGATGTCCGAAAAGGAATCATGAAGGATTGTGGATAGTGTAGACGTCAATTGTGTCTGGAACACAGAAAAGCTGTCTATCTCGTGATGCGCGTGGGAGCTCCCTATGATACGAGAAATTATATGCAGTGAAATGCGACTTACTCTATGTCTGAGCTGACGCCAGATATTCCCAACAAGGTTCCAACGCACCTAGAAGATGAACACAGACACGGAAGGCCGTCATATAACTAGTTTGATACTAGGGCCACATATTCGCAATTTAGCCCGGGCGCAATTCCAGTAATGTACTTGGTCTTCTGCGCGAGAAGTATCCAGCAATTTTTTGAGAAATGGAATCTTGTCTGCAGTTACCCAACTTCTTGTGTTTATGGCTATATAGCGCATAGGACACGAATCAATTATGATTATTTTGCCTATCAATTAGGCTGGCTCAAGTAATCCCTGTTAACATCTAGTACTTCTCTGAAGTAGCTGAGCATCCCGTTTGAACGGGTGTCCTACTGCGGGGTAAGATCGATAGTCAGAGCTTCGACAGAAGCTTGATTCTGAAGTAGCAGTGAATTGATGGGCATAGACATCCTGCATCTAATAGGGATCCTGTGCGTCCTCAATGACAAGTCCCTTCACTTGCCTCCCTTCACTTGCCTATCCTAAATCCGACGTAGCCAATAAACTCCGGCGGTGGTTCCCCGAGTATATGCCGCGGTGCTAAGGCGATACGTACAAGTGCACAGCCGCAACTAAATTCTGACATCCAACTTGTTCCCCGCTCTGACAGACTAGACCTTCGTGTTTCTGGGCCCCACGTGTCGTCTCCTTAAATCTTTCAGCTGAATCGCGCGGGGTCCGTTCCTTCTTCTCACAGCCCTCTTCCGCCATTACTTGTATCAAAGCAAAGTCCAACTTTTTAATCACACAGAGTTTCTGCGACCAGTCCAAATACAGAACATGTCCATCTCCAAAGTGGCCGTAGCCGGTGTAAGTCCCGTGGAAATCGTTCACGCCGCTCCATCTCCTAGGCTGACAATTGAGACGCCCCGCTCAGAAAGGGCGACTCGGCTCTGTTGTGCTCGACGAGCTTCTCAAAGCCGGGTTCAAAGTGTCGGTCCTAACTCGCTCGTCGTCCTCGCTCAAAGACGTCCCATCTGGTGTTGAAATCCACGAGGTAGACTATACATCGCAGTCAATTCTCCAAGCCGCATTAAACGGAGTTGACGCAGTAGTCTCAACCGTCGCCGGCGTCGCAGTCTCCAGCCAGAAACCGCTCATCGACGCGGCGATCGCCGCAGGCGCCGTCAAACACTTCATCCCAGCCGATTACGCCATGAGCCTGCGCGCGCCCGAAGTGCGGCGGCTACCGCCCTATACAGACGTTCTCGGCATCGAAAACTACCTCCGCGCGCACGCGCAGACCGATGGCAATAATATGGCCTGGACGGTTGTGGCATGCGGTGGTTTCCTGGAGTACTCATTCGACCTGCCGTTTATGATCGACTTGCCGAACCGCGCAATCGACCGCGTGAATGGCGGCGAGGTCCCGTTTAGCATCTCTGAGTTTCGCACTGTTGCTACGGCTATCGTTGGTGTACTGAGAGAGCCGGAGCGTGTTGTGGCGCACTGCGTGCAGGTTCATGGCATGCTTGTTACGCAGAACCAGGTGTTGGCGATTGCGAAGAAGTATTCCTCGGATCCGGAGTCCTGGGTCGTGAACGAAAAGGAGGCCGACGTCCGATTTGAAGAAGGCATGGATATGCTGAGGAGGGGTGAGTTCACTATGCAAGCGGTTTCGACGCTCATGGCGGGTGTGATTTGGGACCCAAAATATGAAACGGGATTTAAAGAGACGGATAACGAGTGGCTGGGGATTGAAACAATTCCCAATGAGAGGCTCGAGGAGACTATCAAAGATAAGCTTCTTAGTGGGGTTTCCGGGATTGCTTCCGACAAGATTGTATCTAATGTTTAAGTCTGCTGGACACTAAGAGTAAGTGGATGGTAGAAACAATACCATTATAGCAAAGAACGATTCCTTAAAATGACATGCATCCATTGAACAAGTCAAATCGCAGTGTCGCGCATATTAGGGCTGCATACTCTACTGCCATCTTCTTCGCCATGGAAGACGTCCGTAATATATACAAAGGCCTTGGAGTACCCTTATACTTTTTTTTTTTTTTTTTTTTTTTTTTTTTTTTTTTTTTTTTTTGGTTTACTGTATTTAATTAAGACTTTTCCTAGTTTCCAGGGAGTTAGAAAACTAAGGATCATAAGAGTTAATCGTGAAATATTAAATGCGACATTAGAAACCTTTAATATTTATTAAATATTTTAAGTTCTAGAGTTGTTTAAAGCCTGTATTATAACCTACATTCTGCCGGCGTACTCCACAAAGTTTTAATAGGATCAATATGTTTTGCGTGGCATGGCAGTTCTTTAAATTTGAGTAAATAATTATATTTTGAACGCGTGATAATTTTTTCATGGGTGACTGGATCAACCAGGATGACTGGACTGACCAGGAATTGGTGACTTTATGGCTCCTCGCTGACAAAGCGGACTGAGCACGGCCACAGGGAGTATAAGAATTGCCGTGATGCAAGCACATAAACAAAGATCGGGTTCTTACCTTCTTCCACTAAACAGCATGTCCTCCTTCAACTATTACTCGCTCCCCGGCTTCGGCGAAGAATGCCGCGAAAAGTACGGCTTCAGCGACGCTTGCATCATCGGTGAGCGGCTGGTCATCACCGGGCAGAGTATGTTACACTGTGAATCTCCTTATAGGTTTAGCCACTAATACCACGCAGCCGGGATAGACCCCCTGACCAGAGTCACTTCACCAGACATCGAGGCACAGATTGCCCAGGCCTTTCACAACATCGATGAGTTGATCATCCACACTCTCGCTCAAGCAGGGCACGCTACCAAGGACAAAGGGACTGGGTGGGATAATGTCGTGAAACTGCGCGCGTACTTTGTGGGCTTGTCGACCATGCGGGACCAGGCGCGGCAACTGATGGTCCAGTACATCCGCCAGTGGTGCCCTCGTCATCAGCCCTTGTTCACCATGGTGGGGATTGAAAGTCTTCCGTTTCCAGAGCACCGGGTGGAGTTTGAAGTCGATGTCTGGATTCCGTGAGAATATTCGGCTTTGCAGATCGCCAGGCTGTTTTGTTACGATATACGGTCTTAGTTAGATCTGATTACTGGGTTTATTATGCTCCCCACATGTAAATTGTTGCTTGAGTCTTGACTACCTGAGCGATTACACGGGTCGTTTCTAGTTACCCACTACTTGTGCGTCCATGCAGGACTTGAATGGTCTGTGTATACAAGGAGTTTGTATTTTCATATAAAGACTGGACTGATATTCTTCGCACCATGTTGCGCGAAATGCTCATATCTACTAAAGTGTGCCTCACTCTCAATCCATCTACCAAGCCACCCCAACCCCGTTGTAATCAACGAACTGACCAGACGTAGTCGATTTAGTTGCTGCAGCAATCTGCCAAGCCGTTAGTAATTCTGAAAAGGACATATCGAGCTTTATATGCATACCTGATTCGTGATTCCGCGAACGGTATCATCAATCGTCAAGGGAGCCTTTTCCAGTCCATTGAACTGCGCAGCCCTAGCACCCATGTCTGTTTGAACAAGCCTGCCACGAAAAAAAAAAGATCACAAGCATCAGCTCTCTAACGTTACGACTTGTTGTGCGGGGTAACCTACCCCGGGTCAATTGACAAAGTGATCAAGTGGCCGTTCTCCGCATTAATCTTCCTCATAAGATAGTTCCCCGCTGCCTTAGACATCCCGTACGCAGCGGTCAATGAATTGAATTGATTGATTCCAGAAATGCTTGCCAAGGCTGTGGAGATATAGATGAATTTGGGGGAGCTAGCGTTGTTCAGCAATGGTGCGAGAGCTTGGAAAAGCCGAAGGGGTCCCAGCGTGTTCACTTGAAAATGAGTGAGCACGTCCGCGTCCCTCATTTCCAAGACAGGGCCCCAGTGGTCGCAGATTCCCGCGTTGGAAATGACAATATCGATTTGATGGATGTGGTGATGCTTCTCGATGACGGAGGCGGCTTCGGCGATGCTCGATGCGATGTCGACGCTCAACTGCACAATAAGCAGATGAGACCTGTCGCTTCTTTGGAGCGTGTCAAATGCGCTCGCATTCTGGGATGAGACTTCCCTCGCCGTTGCAATGACGGTCGTGTCCGGCTGCGCAAGATAATGTGCCACCAGCCCTTTTCCGATCCCTACGAATCGAGTCAATCCCACATCGTCAGTACTCACAGCTGTTATAGACTCACCTCGATTACCGCCGGTAATTAGAACAACGGTGCTCATTGTGGTGTCCTGCAACTGAGCTGTTTCTCTGCATCATGAATAATCGGCAACGGGCGGATGGGCGATCACTTATACCTGTCTGGTATTTGATTACTTGGCCTGTTCTCACCGATGATTAAGCGGGCGTGAACCAACAAAGGTGGGGTAGACTTCGATTAGACTTATCTTGACATTTGAATCATCTCATGGACGATCACTGGAAGCCTCCCGCTTAGTAACCGGAGTGGTTCCTGGGGCATGTCTATATAACTTCGCCTATGTCCTCTGGCTTTGTCTATTGTAAAGGCAATTTGTTTCTTCAGCATCGACCAACTGCAAAGACACAATGACCAAGCGAACCGTTGTAATCATTGGCGCCACTGGCTCCCAGGCAGGCTGTCCTTCCCCTACGCATATAACCACGCAAGTTACTGACTGGCATAATGACACCAGGGCGGGTCTGTTGTCGCAGAGCTCCTTCAGCACCCTGAGCTCTACCATATTCGAGCAATGACCCGCGACCCAACCAAGCCTGCTGCGCAAGAGCTCGCTGCCCGCGGCGTTGAGCTCCACCGCGCTGACTTGGAGAGTGGCAAAGAAGCCCTCTTGGCCGCATTTGCCGGCGCACACGCCATCTATGCCCTGACCGATTTCTGGCAGAAGCAGTCCGCCGAGGCAGAGATTGCGCAGGGTAAGGCTATTGCCGATGCCGCCGCTGCAACAGCAACTCTGCAGCACCTTGTCTGGAGCGCGCTTCCCGACCCTGTCGCCCTGTCCGAGGGCAAATTCCTCAATGTTCACCACTGGAAGGGAAAGAGCCTGATCACCGACTATATCCGAACGGAGAAGCCGGAGCTGTGGGCCAAGACGACGACGATTCTCTTCCCTAACTACTTTGAAAACTGTCTGACCACCCCGGACCGGTATCTTCCTGTCAAGGTAGGATGGCTTCTTCTTCGTTTACCAATGCGAAATGCTTACCTGAGTTGTTGTTTTTTTTTTTTTTTTGGTGCAGGACGAAAATGGAACGTACACTCTCCGGTTCCCGCATAGTCCCAATACCGTGCTGCCCAATGTTGCAATCGCTGATACCGGCAAGTTGGTCCACCTTGTCCTCGAGGCCGGCTCGGTCTACTTCACCAAGGCCATCGCATTCTGGGCGCAGGCCCTATCGGAAGCAGAGAAGCTTGCTGAAATAGGGGAATGTATGGCTACCATGGCCATCCTTCTTATCTTTTACCTACAGGGCTGACACTGTTAGATTACGGTCTCCCAACCCGCTACGAAGCGACCAGCACCGAAGAGTTCCAACAGCTCCTCATGTCCCGGGACGGCATGTCGGCGGAGATTGCATTGGACTTCACGGAGCAACTGATGATCTTTGAAAAATGCGGAAATGTATATGCACGGCAAGAGTTTGTGCAGGCACGAGAGGTAGGTTGAGCTCCAGCATTGCATGTGCCAAGCTGACGATGGCAACTCTTAGATACCTGGCCTGGTACTCCAGTCGTGGTCCGACTTTATTCGCCAGCACACGTTGCTGGGCAAGCGTTAGTGTAATTATCCGAAGACCGAGCGTAGACAAGATCCACCTGTGGCGTGGAGTCGGTGGAGCCATAGACAAGTCCAACCCGATTAGTCAGCGGGGGGGCTGCCAAACTAAGTCACAATGATGTCTGGATCGTTTCTTTACTTTGATCCACCCGCGGGTTCTGTTCTGGCGACGTAAATCATGCGGGCTACTCTCCCTGATAAGTCGAAGCCTCCTGGGAGGTCAAGGCGAAGAGCATGCGACTCTTGTTCCAGGAAGAAGGTATCCCGATGTGCTGCGTCCTCTCGGGACAACCTCGTCTGATTTGGCCGTGACAGATTCAGTGCGATGCAGAATCCCCGCAGTGCAACTGGTGCGAGCATCATAACCTCGCCTGTACCTACAACCGAATCTGGGGCTGCACAGTCCCGGGGTACAGTATACTCACGCGCGGGCTCAAGACCCCTGGCTGATGGATGTGCCCAGGAAGCCGGCTACTCTACCAGAGCCTAGTGGAGAGGGTCCTGGTGTGCAAAGCACACTTCAGTCGCGAGCGGGACCAGGCAATGTCATTCTCAACAATCTGGCCTACTTCAGGGGGCACTATGTCTTCTCTGAGCAGGGTCAGCGCTGGATTGAGGCTCAGGTTGGGGAACGCAATGTCTTTGACAAGCTTTTGTCGCTGGAGCTCCCTTGGCCGCAACTGCCGGACTCGTCAGCTCCGCTCCCTGAGCTTCCGCATAGATCCGACGTGGAAATGCTAATCGTGGTTTACACCTCGTCCCCTGAGAGTCTGGTGTTCCCCGTCGTTAGCAGGTCGATCTTCAAAGATACCCTGGACCTTGCTTACAATCCCGCTCAGCCAGCGGGTTCCGCCAGTGCCAAAGCCTGCGTCTACGCTTTTCTCTCGCTTGTCTCGTTGTTTGGCTTTGAATGCAGTATACTCGGCACCATGGACTGTCGCTCGTATGCTTCGGCTGCGCAGAGCTTCCTCACTGCGGTGATTCAGCAGATGACACTCGACGGGCTGCAGTCACTAATCATGCTGGTGAGTATCGTCTTTTCCTGTGACCTTGATTGCGTCACTGATCAAGGCTGCCAGGTTCAACTCCAATACTTTGTAGGTGACCTTCAGTCGGCAGCAACGACTCTATCAATCGCCACTCGTTTTCTCTACACACTAGGAGCTCATGTACCACCTACCAGCCCGCTGGCCTACGATAAACGCAATCGGGAATGCCATCTACGCGATCTGTTTTGGCTGTGCTATTCATTTGACAAAGATATATGCCTACGGACCGGCCAACCACCCTGTATGAACGATACCCATTGTGACCTCACCCTGCCCCCAGACTATGTGCGGCTGCGCGACAGAAATCTGCAACCAAACACACCACAGAGATATGAACATACAACCCCCCTATTCCCGTGGGATCTCTGCCTTTCAATGCTCAAGTCTCAAGTCCACCAGGACCTGTATACCGCTCACTCTCTCAAAAAGCCCGCCCCCGAACTCCTTTCAAGCATCCGAAACCTTGACGAGAAGTTGGACGGATGGAGGGTTTCGCTGCCTGCGGCGTTCCGGCCGGCCCTGTATTTCTTCCCCGCGACCCCGGTCAGCGCCGACCTCAAGACGATAACGGTCATGTTGCGCCTCGCATATTACCATTGCGTAACTGTCATCCACCAAGCGAGCAGTAGATGCGATCGTGCGGGGCCGATACCTGCCGGGATTGCCTCTAGTACGAGGCTTTCCATCGCGGCGAGTCGCTCGACGCTGTGGTACCTAGAGCGGGTGCTGCCTCTCGTGCACGGGGAATGCTTCCGGTATGACGTTGCTGCCTAGCGAAAAGCTTTGATCCCGACTGATATTTGCAACAATAGGATCATCCTCTTTTATGCCATTACCGCCGTCCTCACCCTGTTCTGTAATATCATCTCTGATCTGCACGATTCAGACACGGTGGAAAACATAAATCTGCTGCAGAACGTTCCCCGTTTGATTCGCAGCATTCCAGTCCGAAATCGAACTCTCGGTGAGGTCATTCATCTGCAATATCTCGATGGGCTGACCACAGAACTTGGGAGTATTTGCGTGCGCGCTATATCCAGGTCACAAGGCGACGCCCCGGGTGCTGATGCGTAGTATTGCATGTAGACTAGATCTCTTGCGCATCATGCGTACTACCACCCCGCAGAATATGTGTTGCGGAATACTTTGTCTCCTAGCAAAAGAACATTATTTCTTATCGACTATTGATAAAAGACGGCCAATATAAAAGAACATTTACTCTCTAAGTGCCGAAGCGCTATCAGGGTTGCAAGCATACGCTTGATGGTCCTTGGATGATAAGAATGGCATTCGGCAGTGGCTATATGATGCCGCCCTAATACCTATGGCTGGTAGTTGTAAGTACTGTCTTCAATAGCTAAATCATCCCGTCTAAACTTTGGAAGGCTGGAGATTCGAGTTTCTTAATTGGAACGGAACACCTTTTTGCATGACCTGAAATGCAACTTTATAGACATCCAGCCTGTGTTTCGCATTGACACCAATCGATACCTTGTTCCATGTTTATCGCCGCATCCTACAGGTTAGAGTGTGACCATATTTCAAGCATACTACACAATACATTATCTTTCAAGGTATCTAGGTATGCCACCGAAAACCAAAGCGAAATACCTAAGGCACTATATCTTCCAGTGTGTGTTTACTTGCATGGCGCTGACACTCCGTGCTGCGTAACTCATGAAGAGACGACAATAAACCTCAAGATAATAAAGTATAGACAAGATACTGGGCGAGTTGTGGTAGATTACTCCTGATTGTTCATCGTCATATCCAAGAATAGGATCGTCTACTCCTCGTTTGTGTTTGGAAGCTGTCTGGTGGTGCTATTGGGCAGAGAATTTCCCTCCTCATGCGGAGCAGGCTCTCTCACTTGAAGCGGAATACAAGGGAAGGCGCGCTGTCAACAGCTCATCAGCTATGCACAGCTCATTGTTTTAAGGTCCGAGACGTACGCTTTACGCACCAGCCTATTTCCGGAGTAACCGAGTGGTCCTTCTGGATCCTCTATTATTAGCGATGTCCCACCGAGCACATGGGCTGCCTCTCGAATTTGGAAGCCTTATCTGGTTTGACACAAATCCCATCCTCCGAGGCCTGATCACCCCTGGCGGACAACTAACATTATCACGCTGCATCCACTGCAGCCCACAGCGGTCCCTGGAGCAATCCCGTATTTGTTTGTGATACATTAAAACTCTACACCAATGCAGTTTATCAGACGCTGACCTATTTGTACTAAGGCTGTTTTACGTACTGCGATGATTTACTGCAATAGTGCCCGTTGGCGGAACAGCGATCCAGGACCATCACGATCAAGATTTGCCACCGATGTAGGATCTAAAAACCAGGCTTTGCTTTTGGCGAGCGAGACTAGGTGTGCACCGTCTTGCGGTGGATTTGTGGATGGGGTATTTGTGCTCGTACACCGCGTGCCAGGCAACTTACTACCCAACATGTCGCGGCAGCTCTAGAAGTAGCACGAAGAAAAGCCTCAGTTCAAATGGCTTTGGCGTCTCAGTTCCATAAAATCCAAGTATTCTCTAGCAGTAAGCATCACCCCAAAAAGCAGTTTCCATTCACCCTCCTCGTGAGAGAGTAGACCATAGCAGAAGCCAGAGAGGGTGTAAATTTTGCGTTCTGATGAAACAGGCCAAGAGGCCCGGGCAGTGACGGCTAAAATCCCGTCGGCCCGCCGAGATTATTTCCGTTTGTGGAAATGGAACTGGCAGTGCTGCTACTTAGGATATGGATCTCCGAATTGTATGAACAGGGTCACATTGAACCAATGGCACTTCACGATACCATATGGGCCTGTGAAGTGATATAATGGCAGCAACTCGGAGCTACCAGTGAACCAACAACTTTCTGGTACTATGTATCTAGGCAAGGTTAACCCGTTGTACGATTTAGCCGCCGGTATTGCCATACGAATCCTGCTCGCTTAGAAGTTCAGCGGTGGGTGTGGAGTAAAGTCCGAGTCTAATAGGCCCTCGGCTTTGAGAGTATCACCTGCACTGCCGAACGTGAGCGAGACCCTTGTCCGGACGACGGGTCCGGTTTCAGGTTTCAGCGATCAGACTACATTATGTGGGGCCTATCCACCCAAATAGGGAGTCCATAAGCGCTTTGGGCCAGAAAAAGAGTCTAGCATCCTGGTCCCAGGCTTTCAGCCATTTTAGCCGTTGTGTATCACCACGTCCGCGACAATATGAGACATGGCGGACATTTTTTTTGGGCTCGAGGGTCTTGGCTTGTTTTTGATAGATTGGCGGCCGATACTGCTTCAACAAGTGGCAATTCGTGTATACCAACCTAAGTCGCTCAGGCAGTAGTCAAGAGCTATATATGAGATACAATAATCCCCCATTCCAAGGGTTTGAACGTGCATCGCATTCTTCAGTCATTCGCTCATTTTTGCTATTGCACTCATCTGGGCTGGCCCTTGCATTCATTTATCAGCTTTCTTTCTTACATCTTCACAATGAAACTCTCTCTTCTTGCCACTGCACTCATCGCGCCGCTGGTCTCGGCGCATTACTTCTTCGACACGCTCGTCATCGATGGCCTCGAAACCACCCCGAACCAGTACGTCCGCTCGAACACCCGACCCGAGAAATATAATCCAACCAAATGGATCAACACCCGCGACGACATGACCCCCGACATGCCCGACTTCCGCTGCAACAAAGGCTCGTTTACCTTCGCAGGCCAGACAGGTACGGTGGAGGTCAAGGCTGGATCCAAGCTTGCGATGAAGCTTGGTGTCGGTGCAACCATGCAGCACCCTGGCCCGGGCCTTGTGTATATGTCCAGGGCGCCTGGTGCGGCTAATCAGTACGAGGGCGACGGTGACTGGTTCAAGATCCATGAGGAGGGAATCTGCGACACGACCAAGGATATCAAGTCTGATGCTTGGTGTACATGGGATAAGGACCGTATTGAGTTTACCGTTCCTCCGGACCTTCCGGACGGAGAGTATCTTATTAGGTCTGAGCATATAGGTGCGTGCTTCTTTACCAATGTAAAGAGAAGCAGTGTACTGACTTTAAGAAGGTGTCCATGGAGCGCATGGTGGGGAGGCTGAGTTCTACTATGAGTGAGTAATCCTACTTTCCTACTTGCTATGCGTGATCAGGTGGATACTGACAGCGTGGCAGATGCGCTCAGGTCAAGGTCATCGGTGGTGGAAATGGAACTCCCGGGCCTACCATCAAGTTCCCAGGTGGTTACAGACAGGATGACCCTTCTTTCAACTTCAGTGTCTGGGGCGGCATGAAGGATTATCCGATGCCCGGTCCAGCAGTTTGGACTGGCAGTTCAAGCTCCATCCCTCCCATCAATGGAGGTTATGAGGATGAATCTGTCGGGTACCCTCAGCCAGGGAACGCCGGTACCTGCAGGAGCAGCCTCCATCGCCGTAAACACGCTCGTGATTTCAGCCAGTAAACGTCTGCCTGAAACAAAGAGCTGTGTCAGCATTGCTTAGTTCATGGCTGGCTCTTCTGGCGGACGCTGGAGTGTGCACAGGGGCTACCTGCGTGCTTTGTATTACATGTGACTTTTATTCTATTCTACTATAGTTCTCCTACAGAGCCCAATGGGTTGTGAAGGCGTCTTTTTGGATGAGTTTATCCCCAAATCAAATACTCTTCCCTAAATGTTGGGCCCAGTACTTGGTAGGATGTGTGAGCAGCACTTAGAAATGACCATTCAACAAGCGTAAGTCCATAGAGGAATCAGTCGTCCAGCTAACAGTAAATTTTTTTTCGATACAATCAACTAGCATAATATCACACTGTGTATCTCCACCCCCTTAAAGCCGCGACCAACGCATCCATCGCCGAGCTATGCGCCGACGCATTGACCTTTGCAGCGTCCACAAGGCCAGACCAATCCAGCCAAGGCCATTTGTATCGGTCCAATTTTTTTTTTTTGCCACAAAATCTCCACGGATGCATTAATCACTTTAGCATAGGTCTCACTTGCGCACCGCTCTGCAGCTTCTTCATATTTCGCATGAATATCCCCTCAAGCTGCCTTTGGTCGGCGACACCGCAACCATCCTGCCCTCATGATCCATGTAGGACATAGTCCCCAACGACCAATGCCGCAACTGTAGCCGAGATCATCTCCCCAGGTTCCTCGAGATGGGGAGAGTGGGACGTCGACGAGCCATTCCCCACTCTGCCCAGTGCAGGTCCACACCGTCGGCCCGTTGCTTTTTTGCAGTCGTCGGTCAGTCTCTCGTTGATTGTGTAGTTTCCATTTATCAGACCACCATCACGGAACCAGGTCCATTGGCGCTGGACCCAGCCAAGATAGTAGGCGCCGTTCGAGGCGCGGCTGGCAAGCTGTGCCGCAAGCGCGAGGCGACTACCGGAGTGCCGGATACCCGAAAACCGCTGGGAGGGTTAGAATATTACGGGACGGCAAAGCCTTCAAGACCATAGTCTAGTAGAGGGCGCCTCTCTTGACTGGGCGAGGCTAGTCTGAAGATAAGATGAAGTGAAATCTTAGGTGGGTTTCGGCGTGCTTAGATAATAGCGTTGGAAAGGAAGTCTCCAGAGGTGTAGCCCTGTGGAGAGCGTGATTGAGCGGAGTTAGCTTGGGGATAAATGCATGTGAACTCTTGGTGGACCCGGGCTTCCTGAAAGACCCGTACTTCGTTGTTCTCTATTTTGCCCTTTTCACTTTTTTTGACACATATACTGATATTTTCGGTGAAATGCATGGCCTCTCCCAAGGACTAACACATATTATCTGGGTGGCTATATATGTTGGGATCCTGCTAGCGTGCATGTTGGTGCCTTGGATATATTTGCAACACAATAAGGAACCTGGAAAAGACTTCAAACTCCCATCAGTCTCGGATATTGACAGAAGAAATACCTCGGAAAACATAGGCACGATCCTGGAGGACAGACTTTGGTACCCCATGTTCGGTGCTTCAGCAATAACAGTTAGACTTTCCTGGACGGCATGGACAGACTATGTAGGTGCTTAATGAAAGGATGGGCTCGCGCGTCAGCAAGAGAACCATGACTTGGCTCACAAGGAGATTCTGTTCTTATTAAACAGGAACATATTTCGGTCCGGTCGCTAATTGTCGACTCGGCATTCTTTGGCTTAAAGCCACGGAATAAAGAAGGTTTTTTTTTTTGGATATCCAGTACCCTGAACCTACCGCTGATTAATCGGAGCAATAACCAGTTAGTTACGCCCCACAAGTTCGCCCTGGCTGCCCCCCATCCCGCTTACTGAGCGGGGAGGGGACGTCCATGTCCAGTCTAGCTGTCTCGAATTCTCAGTGGCCTCCTTCAGCTGTACGTAAGGATGACATCTTCATAATCTCATGTCTCCGGCAAATCGCAAGGCTTGAGCGGCGCTTGGCTGGGAGGTAGCTCGCACATGGGCTGATGTATTGGAGTGAGTAAAGATAACAAAGACTCGGCACTTTCAGCTGATATGGAAAGATGAACGGCAGCTTGTGCGACATGGGGCCGCACAATTAGATGAATACGGGGTCGGATCGGACGATGTTGTGTCAGAGCCCATCTGTTGTGCGACGCTGACAAAAGTCATTCAGTCATATTGCACTTTCTTTGCCTGAGACTGCCACTCCCATACGACGGCAAGCAGGGCTGCAAGATGATGTTCCTCAACGCGATCCTCCGTCATTGTAGCCTTGCCCTGTCAGTAGGACACTCGCATAGCTACGTAGCTGCCCAATGAGTTGTCGGGAACGGGCTTTTCCTTGGGCCTCTTCAGTGAACAGACCTGGTTCAACTTGTGCAAAAGCTGAAGGGATGAAGTGGCTAAGGGATGCAGTAGCTAAGGCTTGAGCCATGGTAGAATGCCTATGTCTGGGTGCCAAATGCTGCTCACTCCAACTGGCCTATTATTGTCTATACTGCAGCCTGGGTCTGGATGAGCTAGGGGAAGGTTAATTGAACAACCATTTTCAGTCAGCATTTGTAATGCCCTATCAATATACTTATACATTCCTCTGGCCTTTTCCACATCACATTCACTCGACTACAGCTTGGCCATCCCGGGCAGCTCAGTTCCCAGCAAGGCCAAAACATCACTCACAGCAACCTGACCCCGCTCAAGAGCACCATCCACAAAGCCTCTCCACCCATCCGCCCAGTCCGCACTCGCAAAAACAACTCGTCCATGCGGCTCCTGCAGAGCCTTGAGATACTTTGAGGTGCATCCAGGCCCCCAGCACGCCCACGCACCCTTTGCATAAGGGTCATTCATCCAGTCGTGCGTGACGTACGCTTCGACCGTATAGTTCGGATTGATATCTTCGTTAAACGCACTAACAATGGCCTTGCCATTAGTCTTATCCGCGAAACTCCCATTGTAGCCGAACCCGATGCAGTATGTCCCAGATGGGCTGGATGGCTGCGTGCCGTTATGATCAGAGAAGGCAAACACGAAGCGAGAGCGGCCAGGCTCTGTGGTGAAGAACCACCCAGGTAGCGTCTCGCGGAGCTTGAAGTGGATCTTCGCTCCCTGGTTAATCTGGCCGGTGGCGATTGCCTCTTGTCGGAGGGGTGACAGTGGCGGGCTGAACATGATATCACTTAGGCAGTTCCTACATCTGTTAGATCCATTCCCTCCCCCAGGCTTATCAGGCAGAGAAGAACCCACAATGGAATCGTCAACACGACAACCTTTGCCCTCTTCATACTCCTATCCACCATGCGAACCTTAACTCCACTCGCCACCTGCTTCACCTCCTTCACAACCCCTCCGAAAATTGAATCCCCTCGAAACTCCGCAAACATTCTCCTTGCAAATGCCGTTATCCCTCCCTTCCCCAACTTAAAGACTCCCGCAAGCTTAAACACGCCCGCCATACTATGCCCGCCGAGCGCAAACCACCGCAACGCCTTGACGAACCCAATCTCGCTCGCTGGCGCACTCCCAAAGGTATTGGTATTTAATTCGAAAAGTCCCTTCTCTCGCTTCGTAAAACCTGTAATCTGATCCAGTCGGTCGCGTACAGTGAGATGGTCATACTTTTTCCATGGGGCGGGCTCGCGCAGTGAATCATGCGGGAACGGCATGAGGGTGCGGCTATCGAGCCCATTAATCGTGAAGACCTGCTGCGCAATCTCTTCTAGCTTGTGAGACTCCTCCGCACCGACATTTGTGATCCCGCCGACCCCGGCATCCTTGGGGAGGAACCACTGCTTCTCCGTGTTAGTTATTCCCGCTGAAGTCTTCAGCCCGCGATGTAAATTATACCGGTGTAGTTCTCTGTACACGTGCGGCTGGTTCTAGTGTACCCACGTCCCACCCATCTCCAGGTCCTCACCGAGGACGTTGGCTGTCCAGGTGCGGCCGCCGATGCGGTCGCGGGCGTCGATGAGGAGGACGCGGAGGTTGTATGTGAGTGAGAGGTCGCGTGCGGCGGTTAGGCCTGTGAAGCCGGCACCAATCACGATGACGTCGTATGATGATTTTAGAGAGGTAACTTGTGTGCCTTGGACTGTGGCGTGGGTGGGGAGGCCGTCTGTAACAGAGGTTGGGGTCCAGAGGTAGCCTTCTTTAGTGGTATTGCGTGGAGGAGACATTTTGAATGTGTAGGTAGGTTGGAGTGATGGGGTGACCGGTGTAGGATGCGTAGAGGAGATATATATCTGACAGCGCTTAATTTGGCTGACGTGTTAGGTAGATGACTGCAAGAATCGTACGATAGTGTAACCACCCAGTGTTGATGTCGCGATATTAATGGTCTTGTTGGGGTGGAGTATGTGCTACCAGTGCTCAGACCACCCCTTTTGGGGCATGGGCTAGCATCTGTATCTATGCGGGCCTTGGATATGTATCCGATTGGTTCGCTTTGACTTCGACGCAACGCAATTATTTGCTAAAAAGGGCGTTGTTAATAACATCACGAAATATGAGGCATCCGGAGAAGCGTGAAAGGATCCAAGCTCCAGCTAATGCTGGGCCACAGCGCCTTGAGTTAGTATATCCTCACAGGGGCTTTTTTTATCTTTGGTACACATCATCGTTTGAGATCTTTACCTTTGTACTTTTGACAGTCCCCTATCCACGTAGCACATGGAATGCAAAAATTCACACTATAGCTCCTCGTTTTCTTTTCTTCACAGAAGTACTAGAACTTCGGATTCTACCTAAGTAGTATCCCTAATATCTTAACTATGCATTGAACATACTTGTAAGTAGCTAGTCTCACAACTTCGTAACCTCCCCAATCCTCCTAGCACATTTCCACGCAGCCCCATACGACGCCGAAGAGAAAGTAATCGTGCTCCCGCGCGGGAAGAAAAACACGTCGCCAGGCCTGACTATCGTCGTCTGCCCTGTTTCGTCGCGGAGCGTGATCTCGCCTGTTTATATATATATATATATATCAGCTACTGAGTTCATCCCCTTCCGCTCCTGAGGGGGAAAAAAAAAAGAAGAGGGGACAATCAAGAAGATGGATTGAGAAGGAGAAGAAGAAGCAAGATTGCAATAGAAAGCGATTTGGCGCGCCGTAGCGTACGTACCCTCGATGACAACGCCGAGCTCGTCATACTCGTATGTCGGTGGTGTCGCCTCGGGACCAGCTTCCATGCGGAACCAAGAGCCTACGATTGGATTTTTGATTAATGCTTCATGGGTTGTTTGGCTTGTCGATGTGGTTTTGTCGGGGGTGGTTAAGGCTGAGGGGTCGGTTCCAAGGATGTCGGCTAAAGAGATACCAGATGATGTGTGAGGGAGAGAAAGTAAGAGTTGTTTCGCCCTCCATAAGGACAGGAGCAGAATATGCCTTCTAGTACAGGGAGAGAGAACTAGAAAGAATTGTAAGCTTACCAAAGTACACATTCGGAATCCCTCCAAAGTTGGGGACCTTGAAGAGCTCTGTTTTGCGCCTGACTTAGAAGACCATTTTAGCGAGCGCACTAGGAAAACGAGGAAGGGTGTGAGGGAGAATAGGTAGAGGGCAGTGATCTCGCTGTATACACAGACGAAATCTGACGCCTAATTTCTAGATGCATTCTTGCGCCCGCGGGAACCGGGTGCCATCCTGATATGTAGGGAATTCCAGGAACGACGACTTGGTTGGGACTCGGACTGGAGTGGGTCTATTGGCTCCATACATTGACCAATCGCATCATGATGCGCTCCGCACTTTTTTGCCGTTTGGAAGCAGCCGTAACTCACTTGTGTACCCCGCCCACGGCCTGCAGGCTGCAGATGCAGCGTGCCAAAGTACTCGTCACTGCTGTTTTGTAACCTCGTACGACTTCCGTCCCATCACAGCTTATCTGCCGGACAAACAAAATGTAGTTATCTGCCCGCTACCGCACAGTCCGACCGAGAATTCTCGCCTGCGTCCAGCGGCGCCAGTTCCGCTTTCCCCTTTCCGCCCTCCGCCTTCCTAGCGCCAAGACAGCCTCAGCCAAAAATCGTCTCCAACCGCTCGTCGACCATAACGTCCGTCCAGAGCACAAAACCGTTCCATTTTTCTCCTCCTTTCTCCTCCATGTCTCCGTCTGTATCTTCGTCATTCCAGATCTCCCCGACAGCATATCCCAAATCTGACGTCGCCCACACTTTCTCGAGGATCTCTAACCCCCGCGCGATCGCGGCGACGCCGACGTACTGGTGTACAGCGGTGATTCGCTCGCGGATAATATTGCGATAGTAGGTTAGAACGGCTGGGATGTTGGGGAGGGCGGCGAGTTCGGTTGAGAAAAGGGACTGGGATGAGATGCCCTCAGCAGTTAGTTCCTGGTTCGGACTGAACAAATTTGGGCTCGCGACATGTTGCAATGTACTACCCGCAATTATAAGGGGAAGGGTAAGGAGGCACGTGACGCCAGAGGAGGCGGGGACCGCGGCGATGAGGGTTAGGATGCTTGTTACCATAGAGAGCAGATTCTGCAGGGTACCGAATCTTGATTTCTAAGTGTCTGTCTCAGCATTCGTCTCCACTAGCTCAGGGAAGCTGCAGTAGAGCTCGAGGAGGGCGGACAGGCAGTAGATGCGAGCAATCTGGACGAGGTAGTCGGTCGGAGTTCTCGCATCCTCAGTGTCAACCTGGGAAATTTGGCTCGGGTTCGGTGGTTGATAAGAGAGGATGGATTTCTTGACCGTTCGCGCGTGTTCGAGGAGATTGGCATCCAGGGTGTGGCAGACACTAGCTGTCCCCGCGTCGCACGCTAGCTTCCTTAGAGACAATCGCTGCCGCACAAGGGTGCCGGCTTTGGCGAGATAAACAAAGAGAGGCGTGCAGATTCCGGTCCAGGGATTAGGTTAAGATAGGATCATCACATCCAAATCTTCAAATTGGTCCATATATTCGATTTTGTCAAGGGGCTGAGCAATTAAGAAAGATGACATCGCCTCCCAGTATGCCATGACGCCGACGACGAAGCTTCCTAGCCGGGACGAGTGCTCGAGGCCGTCTTTATTGGATAGCCATTTCTTGAGTAAGGTGCGCGCTCCGTGTAGGTGTGTGATTCCGAGTGAAGACGGGTTATGCCAGCCCTAGGACTACCGTTAGCCGATCATCCAGCCGGCTCGAGCGAGGGCAATCGAACAAGATAGGTACGGCACGTACATCAGTCATCCCAAGAATAACCGTAGCAAGCAATAACTCAGCCGTGGAATCCAGCGCGAGTCCGTCACTCGCCTCTCTACTCTCGCTGAACTGCGCGATCTCTCTATTCAGCGATGTGATAGCCTGCGTCTTATGCCGTAGCGAGACCATTGCCATGTCTGTGTGATTTGCTGCGAGGTGCGCCGCAGACATGGAGAGGATCGAGTGGTAGATTAGCAAGCACGAGCCTATAAGGTTGCCGATCTCGAGGCGGAAGAAGTTGCGCGCGGAGTCGAAGCATGAATTTACCCGGCATATGGTTGTGAAGTAGTAGCGGAACATGGAGGTGTCTTCGTCTTCAAAGGCAGGGGGTATACCTGATATACATATAGCGGCGACGTCTAGCCATTCTGGAAAGTGCGTAGATTCATCGACGAGCTCGAGTGGAAACGCCGGGAATACCTCATCGCCGGGGACTGTCAAATCTGGCAATTCTGGACGACATGGAAAGTCACTATCGTTTTCTAGCGGTGTCGAATCCGATCCTGGAGGCGTTTCCTGGCCTGGTTGCGCTGCTCTGCCGACTTCGTACTTTGACGACCACTTCAGCGGTTGCTTGTATCCAGGACAATCGTATCCCCGCCGCATGCACTGGTTGCAGTGCGGGATGGCCTCGTCGCACTTTATTTTCTACAGGACCAGTATGTCAGCACATGATTTCCGCTCCCTGGCAAAGTGCTGCCTACCCTCTGTTTGCACCAGAGACAGCCGGCTATAATGCGTCAGCCTGTTACAGCTCGTCCGAGGAGCAGTATTAAGACTTACTCCGTGTTTTGAGTCGATTGCGAGGTATGTTTTGCATCTTTAAATGCTTGAAGGTATCTGTAAGGTCGATACAGCAGGGGACAAGAAACGAAAAGGGGTCTTGAAATACGAACTGCGGGGAAGCTTCTGCCAGTCTGGATCACTCTCCACATCCTCCACCTCCGCAGTTTGTGCTCGGCTGAGGTTTGTGTCAAGCAACACAATGCTCTAGGTGTAGTTGTCGGCGAAGAGGCATTGAACGATAGAGAACTAGACCTTTTTTTTTTTCTTTTTTTTGTCTTTTGAGAATCCCGAATGTACCCCCTCTCTATCTCTAGCCTTATCGCAGCTACATCATTGGAGAGGTAGCGGGTTCTCCAAAAAGCTGAAAGGTAACGGTGGGTCGCTTATCTCGCCACAGGATCTTGCTGCGGAATAGATCCGCGAGCAGAGGTCAAATACGAGAGTAGATGTTGAGTCTTACAGCAAGAACGCCTCAACCACCTATATATTCGTTAGAGAGTGGGGAACTCTATTTTCAACATCTCTCTCCCCTAGAGATGCCCACGGAGACATGAATAAATCGCATTCTTTGTTTACATTATGTATTGCAATCAGGCTTTCGAGGCATTGCACATACGTAGCCCAAATTCAGCAGGAACGATAGAATCGGTCCACGACTTAGATGCTAGCATTTGCTCTGTCACGGAGGTATCGGACTCGTCAAGTAAAGGAATGTAGTTCTAGGTCTAGGTCAGTTAAACAGTTGCTTAAGTGAATGCTTAATCGTCTCTGGTTTCAGCCCTAGTTCGCTCCACGTTACCAGAAGAAGATTCTTCAGGACTACATTGCGATTGTTTAACCGTTGAGGTCAGCAGCCGCACCCAAACTCGACAAATGGGGCATTTCTACCACCAGCTACGCAACCAAGGTTCCAGAAAATCGGGCACGGGGGGCGTGCGTGTGAAAGGCCTCGTGATAGCGAATCGAATCCTGGTAAAGATGAATATGGATATCTGGTCATATATACAAAACCTTGGCAAGCACTCGAAGTGAAGACGTATACCCTAAAGCAAGCACACACCCGATCCCCATTACCGTCTACATTTCCTGTTCATACTCATCGCTCATAGCCACATCCCACTCCCTGATGCCCAATTCACCCACTCATAAAAGACTCAATCAATGCACCCTCGTTGCAAACCACCAGATTATCCTCGCCTTATTGTCCACAAAACTTATCCCCCGCATCTTGGTCATGTTCTCCCTAATTTTTAAACCCGCCTGCAACTCCCTCTTTACCCCTGTTCTTGCTTTAACCTCCTGCCATATCTCTTATATACTCTCCATATTATGCTAGTAGTGTATCGTCCCATCTATCAGCCCCTTTAACTTGTAGAAGCCCGCCACCATACTCCCTATCTGCCGCCCACAGATAATAGTCCCTGGTTCGCCCTTTGTTAGCCTAATTAACCACTCTAGACCATAGACCTGCCCCTTATAGTCCTAGAAGCGCAGTAAAAAGCGAGCCTAAATAATATTAACCTTGCCCTTTACTTCCCCTGTAATCCCTCCATCGGCCTAGTCCTCGTCTAATACGCCTAAATCCCCGCTTCTAAACAGAGCAAGGAATTTCTCCAGATTATCACGGAAGAGCTTGTAGCCAAGCTTAAAGAACACGGGTTGTAATTATTAAACTCTTTATATAAAACTTAAATCTTAAACTACTAAGTTAGAAACTATCTCCTAAATTTATTAGACTATTTTAAGTACTTAATACTATAGATATATAAGTATACTATCTTACTTTACCCTAACTATATAACTAAATTTATAATATTTTTCATGTATCTCTTTTAGAACTATAATATAGGAAAGCTAATAATCCTCTTATAATACCTAAACTTACTAAAGAAGAAGAATAGGAAGTTAAAGAAATTAAAGATAAGTAAGTCTATAATAGAGAAATATTCTACTTACTTAAGTAGAAAGACTAGCCTTCTAAATATAATTAATAGTTTTTTAATAGTAATATTTACTCTCCTAAACTTATATAATAATTTAAATATTTAAAGAAAAACTATAGAAATCCTTAATAAACTATAATAAATTCTTAATAAATTATTAGAATAATATAAACACTTATATAGAATAAATATAGAAATAGATAATATATAACTAAAATAAAATAAATCTATTTTAACTATTACTAATAAAATACTTAAGGATTATTACTATATATTAAATAAAAACACCCTAATCCCTTATAAAATCACTAAGTAAAGAGGGAAGCTATTATTAATTTCCTAGACTATTAGGAATAGGTTAGCTAGATCTTTACTATAAAACTAGACTACCTCCACCCTTATTATCTAGTAAAAGTTATAAAGAGTAACTTACTATAATATATACTCTAGATTACTAGGCTAGAGGCGTAGTAACTTAGTATAATAGTATTTATTCCAAGTATTATTATTAGAACCTAAGGGAGGTATTAGTAGAGTAGGGAGGTCTTAATAATGATTTATATACTATTTTATATATTTAACTTACTAGGACTAAGAGTAATAAGAATTAGTTTTTACCTATAAATTAGGGAAGAATTATAATTACTTACCTAAGTATTCTTTTATATACTAATTAAGCTAAATTCCTTTTAATATTAGGTCTTCACGTTATTAAATATACTAACTAGATCAAGAATCACCTCTAAAAAGGCTAGGAATAGCTTAGGAGCCTAGTTTTAACTATTTATATTATTATTAGGATTAAAGAATCCCTTATACTATTTAATATAATAAGTGTTAGACCCTGTATACAGCACACCCGCAGTGCGGTGCCTCAGGCACCGCACCTGCGCGCCGCAGCTCCCGCTTACCGGGAACACGTGACGCAAGAACCACGTATTGCGGCCGCTGGCCTTACAGAGTGAAGACTAGTGATTAGTTTAGCTACAATTAATACACACGTTCTAAACCCTCATATTCCGCTTTATATACATATTACTCGTAGTTATATTAGCTGTGGTTCATAGTTCTAATCGCTCACCCCTTATGAAGCCTAAAAATGAGTGGAACAGACGGTGAAATCCCACAGGGAGAGGATCAGGGGCGACTCACGTGATTATAGAGCCAAAGACTTTAAGGAAAAATAGCCTCTAGTAACTTAACCATAATAATAACCCTAAACAATCTAAATAAAGACGTTAAATCGAGCGAAGATGCTAGAATAATACTAACTAATAACCCTACTAGCTAGGAGGAGGGGGAAACTGCATAAGTAGCCCCTAAAGCCGCAGGAGACTTAGTTAATAATAAAAGTAAATAGACTTAGGGAACATCTCCTAAACCTAATAACAAGGAATAAGAGCTATGGTAATAGATAGAGAATCTCTAATAAGAAATATAACAACGCCGCGCAGCCTATTAATAAGAAATTAAGAACGCGGCTAGGGAACGCCATAAGAAGTAATTAAGAGATAAAATCTAATAACTTAAGGCTATTTAAGAGGGCTAAGTAAGCTAGGATGTGGATAAATTCCTCTACTAACTTAGGGAAGACGAGCCTATTAAATACCCTATACTAGTAATACAGCCTGTAGATGCAGCTAACTAAGAACCTATAGTAGTTATAATACCATAACCCATAGAAGAACTATCTAACATGGTTAAAGATAATATCTAAGCTCTAAAATAAGAAGAGTTCCCACGCTAAACGCTAGATATAAAACTATTTAATAGCCATAGCCTAAAGGAACTTAAGGATTAGAAGACTACTATAGAGGTATACTTTAAAATCTATCTATAACACTATATACGTGAGGAAACCAGGGTGCGTAGCAGGCTAAGGATAATCAGCCTAGACTAGTACCATGATTAGACTAGTGTGTGGGAGACATTAACTACACCTATCACCTAGGAAGTCTTTACTAACGCGTTACTATAGATGGTTAGTGACCTATAGATCCTCCATGAAGACGCTATTATCCACCATAGCGTAGCGAGATAGATAGAAAACTAGGATATAAGATCCTTCTTATAGTACCTAAGGATACTAACTAATGTCTTTAAACCTAATATATCTATATAGGATAGAAAGGATAACTTGCTAGGCAAGATACTACCCATAGTATGGAATGAGATGGTAAAGTATCCTATTTAGGATGCCATAGATAATAGCTATGAAAGCTATATTACCCACCTATAGGTAGTAGAATAAAAAATGCCTAGCTAGTAAGAAGCTCTCCAAGCTATATAATAGAAGGGGAAGCTCCCGCTAGTGTAGAAACTAGAATAACTACGTGGAGTATAAACTAGTTAACTAAAAAACCTAAAATAGGGAAGCCAACAAAGTCGTAGTAATTAAGGGGGTTATAAATAAAAACTATTATTAAACCACCCGCAAGAAGGCGAATACAAGCTAAAAAGGTATAGTAACTATGGCCTATCTAACTACATAGTAGATACCTACTAGAGACCTAGTAGAAAAGCACACTAAAAGGGACTACAGGGCGAGATAAAAAACTTATAAACCTAGTGCTTTGCGTGATAGTAGCACTAAGACTCTCTATAAATCTAACTAAGCCAAAGGCAATATCCTTTAGGATAAGGTTAGGCATGGATAGAGAGCTATAATTAGTATGCGTCTTATTAGATAGCAGCGCTACAGTGAACTTCGTGAGCTAATACTAGGTTAAGGAGAATAAAATACAAGCCATAGGCCTACCTAAAAGCATTAATATAATTAATAGCTATAAAGTCACGTCCTATAGGACCCATTAGCTTAAAATAAAAGCGCGGGACGAATCACGCGAGCTATAGACATAGAAGTAAGCATTTAAGGTA